GGGGGGGGGGGGCGTACCACCGGGGGGGGGGGGKGGCGTACCACCKGGACATCATGCAGTCCATGAAGAAATAGGATAGATATGCTGATGCACAGCACTATCATCCACAGTCAGCCATATAACCAACCTTGCCATGAAAGAAAAAGGGGATACACACCCACATAATCGCCAGCGCAACCTCCGTTACGCGAAACCTCCTCTCCACATCCCAATCGGCCGCCGCACTACTAACCACAATCGCAACCCAGCCTTCCCTCCACATACTGCCGGGGCGTATACGCAGCAACTCCGCAAGAAACGTAAACGCGCACCTCAATCCCCACCACAGCGCAGGCCCAACACTCATCGCTCGACACACGACTAACGGTAGGTACCATTTCCGATCCACTCCAAGTATGACCGCAACGCGCGGGTGTAGTTTTGATGCAGAGACTGTTGGCGTTGTCAATGACGTTTCTGTTGGTGCTGTTGCTGTTGGTGCCGGTGTGCGGTCCTCCATTCGAGGCGTTCGAGAAGCACCAAAAGGAAATTGTAGAGAACGGCTCGGCTTTGTTTCCGCTTTTTCCCGGAGTCGATGCTCACGTCCTTGTTGTTGTTGCTGTTCTCCTCGCGCTGTTGGGGTTGTTGCGTGAGAGTTTGGATTGCTTTGATGGTTTTTTCGGTGGTTATGAACTCCGCTAATTCCAGGAACCGTTGGTTGAGGGTTTCCGCGAGATGTTTCTGGATGAGTGGGCAGACTTCTCATGTGGCTTGTATAGCTCTGGAGCCGGGAACGTAGCCCGTTGGTATTTGCGTCGGTGTCAAGAATCCCGTCTCTGTTGTCTCTGTCGATGTACTCTCCGTAGGCGACGCTGGCGCCGATATTATCTCCGCTGCTGGTAGAAACGTCGTCTGCTTCTTGTGTGGTGCCTCCATTGCTCATCAGCGAGTTCCGACGCGATCTCACAGGCGAGGACGGCACGATAGTTGACGCGGGGGAATCCTCGTCTTCGTCGTCGTAGTCAATGTCTTCTTGAGTTGCTGGTGTTGTCGCTGGAGGAAATATCGTCCCGCCAAGGCTCTTCATTAGTGCGGAGGCAGTAAAATAACCATGCGGTAGGACATTTGTCGCCTTCAATGAGTGGAAAGCAGTTGGTGCTAATGACCTTCGTGGTGTACCTTGCGACTGTATTAATCCTTCTTTCTGTTGCTGCTTCCTTTTCTGCCGTGTTCCTACCGGCGTCGATGTAGGTGGCGAGCTGAGACGGAGGTCTGCGGCATCGCGGCCGGTGGAAGCCAGTCTTTCTTTTTACGGCATACGCTGCCGTAGATTATTCGCGATATTCGTAGTTCGATATCGAAAAGGAGAGACTTCGTCTTTGTGTGCCTCGGATCGGCGGAGAGGTACACGTTGTACAGGTGGGTTGTAGTTGTAACTTGCAAATGCGTAAACACACGCGATAAGGAGAGATTCTTTAGTTTTGGAATGCGGGCAGATAAGGTGTTTATCGGAGGAGTCTCAAGAGTATGGTTTGAGAAGTAGAATGAGCATATAGTTGCGCTGAATGTACAAGATATTCCGTCTTTACGATTGAGAATACAACGTTAGACGAGTCATGGTGGCATTTAATTGAATGTGAATGGTAACAGGCCTCGGCATGTTTTCTACGTAGCTGCTGAGAGAACAACGACAATGAGCCGCCATTTGTATGGGCCGTAAGATTTGCTAGTCATGAGAACGTTATGAAGCGGGTTGATACTACTGCTCGCCTTTGATTTAGAGAGTGTGTTCAATATCAAATTATTGCTCAAACTATAGAATAGTTTCAAGTATTCAAGAAGCGGCAACGATGATTGGCAGCGCATAAGGCGGTGTATCACGTGCGCCTATTCTGCCCGGAGAGGAACAAAGCCCGCGAAACAGGAACAACATTTTTATTCCTGGCCAGCACAAAACAAATGCTCATATGACTTCGTGACAGTCTCTCCGGAGGACTGCACGATTTAATCGACCGCCGAAATGGCACACTCGCTCGGAATAAGAGCCACCATCCTCCCTCGACACACACCTCGCTCAATCCCCATCTACGGATCTTCAACACTCATCACCAACAGACAATCACAATGTCGGGCATTCTCCCAATCCAAACCCACCGCAGCAAAAGGCGGAATGATGTCCGCAGAAATGCTTGCGCCCAAAATGCCGCCTCAACACAGCTTTCGGACCCAAATGCGAAATATTGATCCTGACAAGATACCGACAGACTTTGGCATTTTGCCGGGGACTTTTATAAGGCCGGAGGGCAAGGATATGCCTAATTTCTTCAAACATCCTAGAGAGCGATTGCTTTTTGAGTGGGTATGGTTGAAGAGTTGGTTCACGTCTGCTTTTTCGTAAGTTGTACCTCTCTTGCGGGCTACAGGTCAATTGCTGACGGCTTTGTTGTAGTACGGTTTACTTTTGTAAATGGCAATGCAACCCTCGTGCATCGCTTCTATTGAAAGACCGTAAAAAGATTGGAAAGGGGCTTCATGATTTGATGTACACAGAGTTTGCCAAGTAAGTTTACTGTTCTTCTTCGAAAATGTTACTGGACTGACGATATACAGAGGCAACGAACGAATGCTCCGCGCGAAATGCTCCCCGGGCCTAGCCAATGACCTCATAAAACGCATTCGAAAACGCAACCCCAAGGAAAACATCTCCTGGAAACTGGAAAGATACATCCGCGACCCTTCCACCTTCTGGACGGGCGTCCGTGTCCTCTCCGACCGCGCAACCCTCATGCCCGAAATGCCGGATAGTGCAATCCGGCAAATCGTGCTGCGCATCAAAAGCGAACAGACCTCCTTCAAGAGTACCAAGGATGAAACAGAGAATGTCGTAAAATCCATGTACGGCCTACCGAAAGTGCAAACCTGTACGGAGTATGTGGTTATTCAGAAAGTGAAGCTAGCGGGTAGGGATAAGGACTGGGAGATTTGGGGGTTTGCGAAGCCGACGACAATGGAGGATTTGGATAGTCCGTTTTTTGCGACGGGGATGTCGTTGAAGGACAGGGTGATGGCTATGCAGGATAAGATGATGGGGAGGTCGTAACTCTGCCTGACTGGTAGAGCTGCGGTGTGGTAAAATTCCCTTCTCGGAGTGTGCTTATTAGAGTTTATATGTATATTACGGATATGTATCATACCATTACTTCCAAGATTTCTACACTGTAATATGTAATTGAGAGAAGAGGTCATTGAGCGGCGACTGCCTATACATATATATACATCGATCTGTCAACCATCTACCTACCTACATAGGCACTTAAGAAGTCAGCTCTCTTACCAGATCAGCCCTTTTATTCCTTCTCTTCCTTATACTCCCATCAACCCAAATCAAACACGGCACCGTCGTCACACCACTCAACAGCCCCAACGTCCACGTCGCCGTCCCCCATCCATAATTCTGCTTGATCAGCCCAGCCCAAATCGGTCCTACAAGCGTTCCGAGAGCAAACGCCATATTAAACAATCCATAAGCCTGCGCATATGCTCCACCCTTCCCGAATGATCCCTTGGGTCGTGATTGCTCCTTTGCGGCTACTATGTGTGTGATTTCGGCCATGATGACGGGGAAACTGAGCGTCATCGCGAAGCCGATGAAGACCATCAAGACGATAAGCAAAACCTTTTGGCGGATGGAGTTGTGGGTTACGAGGCGTAAGAGGACGAACAATGGACAGGCTAGCAGGTAGCCGACTGCGGCGAACCAGCGACCGCCGTGTTTGTCGCCTAGGTACCCGACGAGGGGGGACATGAGGGTGGGGATGACGATTGTTAGGTAAAGGATGCCGGACTGTAGAGAGCCCCATGAGAAGGTCTCGTTGACAAAGAGGGGGAGAATGGAGTCGAAGGAGGCGACTAGAGCGGCTTGGACGACGCTTGCAAACAAAGCGGCGAGGAGACGCCGGGATGCGAGGAGGGTGAAGACCGCGGGGAGTTTCTGTGTCCAGGTCTTGGTCTCAGGGGTAGGTTGTGATGGTGTCGACTCTTCGGTTGGATGAGTGGTATTCCCGGTTGAAGACTCTTTCGTCTCAGGCTGAAATTCAGATGATTCGGCCTGTACGTCCTCAGCTGGAACACCTTCATCTGAAGATGGCAGATCCTTCTTCTCAACAAGCACAATCCGCAACACAAAATCTAAGCCAATAAACGCATAACACAGCGCCCAAACACCATTATACCCCGTCCTCTCATACAACACACCACCCAACAACGGGCCTAGCATGAATCCAGAGGTCATGCCCAGACTCACGTATCCCATGTACTGAGCCAACATTTCCCGGGGTACTGTGTCAGCGAGCAGCGCAAGGCCCACAACCCAGACGACCGCTGCACTGATACCCTGCAGCAAGCGGCCGATGACGAAGACGGCCACGCTGGTGGCGACGTTGAGCATGATCGTTGCGCCCAGAAGAGCTGCTAGACCGAGTAGTAGGGGTAGGCGGCGCATGGAGATTGTGTCGGAGAACCAGCCGCATATTGCTGTCTCGGTTAGCTTTTTATACCTTCATTTTTGGGGTAGGAGACGTACGAGAAAAGACTAGTAAGCCTGCGCCATACACAGCCAGTAGCACCGAGACCCAATACTGAACTATATATCAAATTAGCACCATTCGATCTTGTCAGACGTAAGAATACTCACCTCGATCAACGCCAACATTGGCCCTATACTCCAACGCAAAGGGGATAACGGGTACAATGACACCGTACAAAAAGATCTACTCATTCGATGTTTTAGTCTTATACTGATTTTTGTGTGACTAGATATCCTGGAGAGAACGTACATCAGTAAATACGGCAAATGTGACCACAAACACAGTAAACCAATTACTGGATCGCCATTTCAGTCCCCATCTCCATAGGGTATGGGTTGGTGAGAATATGTCTGGAAGTTTGACCTTCATGTTCCGTACTTATTTCCGATTGGATCCTGGGTTGGTTCGAAGTTGGAGAAATTACTTCATGTCTTCAATGAGGGTTTTGGAAAAGACCAGATGATTTATCGAGGTTGTGATGGCTCAAATGGTCCAATCCAAGAATGAATGCAACCAGTCTCGATTCGTGAAGTAACACGAAGAGATACTGTGCCAGAAGCTCTAAATTATAAATGCAGTGTAATCGTGCTAAGTGGGTAAATCTCTGCGTAGCGCATAGTAAAGCCGGAGAAAAAGATAAGATGCCAACGAAATGTACTCCGCAGTGAAGTACTTTTTCTCCTTGACTTCCTCGGATTTTTAATATAAAAATTGTATCAGCCTACTATTCGCTGCACGCGGCTTCCGATATGCTCTTCACTCCGAGCGCGCTAGCGGAGCCCGCGGGTCCAGTTTGCACGTTGCCACCTAGGCACATCGACTTCTCCATCTATTGCCCTATCAAGGCCTAGCCCGCGGTCCAATGTGTTCCTTCATCCGATATATGAACCCTAGTTAACCCTAACACTATTTTACCCTCTATCATCTATCACAATTCTTCAGCTGTCGCTCCCTTATTCTTCTTCTTCTTCTTCTCTCGATACTCCACCCTCAACTGCGCCGCGCTCTCAAATAGTCTCTCTGCGTACCGTCCCTCGTCATCAAGAGTCCATACACCACCATACGAATCCCACCAGACATCATCATTCCCATGCGCTGCGTACGCGAATTCATACATTTCCATAGACTGCGAGGCCACGGTGGTATATATTCCGTCTACTATCGAGCCGGGGTGTGCCCTGAACGGGCCATGCCAATTCTGTAGATCATCTTCATCAATGGCGTCCTCTTCCTCCGCCTCCTCTTCTTCTGCGTCGTCCAACCCCAAGCCATAATCCATCGCAACAACGAAAGGAATCACATCCCCCAACCTCGGACGTTTGTGCACTTTCTTTGGGTCAATAGAATCCGCCAACAAAATCGACCGCGCAGACGCATCGTCGATCGCAAAGAGCATGGAATGCTGATAATTCGCCGGCAACTTTTCTACTGTCTCTCGGTAATGCGCCGCTAGCTTCTCAGGTGGCATGCTGCTGAATGTGTCACCATCTTCGACCCAGAGTAATTTCCAGCGCTGTCTCGCTTCATTTACGCCGTCTATGTTACTGTAGTAGTCAAATGTAGATTCAATCAGGGCGTTGAGTCTGTGTTTGATCAGGGACCATGTCTCCTCGTCCTGGGCGTAGGTGGTGCGGTAAAACACGAAGCCCCAGTCTCCTTGGTCTGCGTAGCGGCGCAGGACAGACAAAAAATTCGGGGCGGTGGTTGGTGGTTCGGTAGCTAGCATTATCAATTAACCCCTCTACGCGTATAAAGGACTATATGAAGGGGGCGTACGAGCATCCGGCTCAGACCGTGCAGCCATATCACCAATAACCTCATTCTTAAACTCCGTGCCGCAATGCGCTTCGAGGCCCGCACGCAGGACATCTTGTTGCTTTTTAGCCAGGTCAGCTCATCGTCTTCACTCAACAATCGACCAAAAAGGTTGAAGTACCTTCTCAGTCAAATTCATCCACTCCTCAATCGTCATATCCATGACTTTCTTCATATCCCATCCCCCCGGAACCCAGTCCGGTTTCGAGTCGAGACTGTATTGCGGGACTTCGGTCATGTTTGCTCGAAACTCGACCATTAATGGGTCTATGAACATTGCTGCCCACTTCCCCACCAAAAAAATATACATTAGAAAATCATTAAATATATAGATCTAGTGGAGGGATGCGTACAGGGTTATCATCCACAGGTACTGGGATGGACCCCATGGTCTTTTTCATTTGTGATAGGCGGCCCATGTAGACTGGTCTGGCGAAGAAGAGGACTACAAAGTAGATTGTGGGCCAGTGGGTCGAGAGTCTCATTGCAGATTGTGGTGCTGAAGATTTATATGTACATGGAAAAAGAAAAGGGGAAGATCATGGTACTGCGTAGTTGAAACTTGAATGTCTCGAGCCCAAGGCTAGGGGCGAAAAAGGTTAATTTTAGCCTTTCCATAGGCCGACAGAGCCTCGCCCGTGGCGTCCAGCAAGAAGCTTGGCGGCGGTTGAGTCGTCCTACAGCTTATGTCTTGGGCTAACTTCAGGCTAAGTAATATTTCTTGATAAATACGTATAGGCAAATCAAACAGATGATACAACATGGCAATACTTAATCAAAGCAGAAAACATGCATCTTTTGAATTGTCATCGTGCCTGACGGACTAGACAAATGCAAATTTCAAGGAAAAGCCAAATGATATGGAAAATATTCACATGCAGAATGAAAGGGAATAGCACACTACACGCATAGAGAGCTATCCGGGAATGCTGAGAAATGTAAGGTAGTAATTTTCCAAACTTGTGTGCCGTACAAATCAATCATCGTCAAAGATCTGGAAAGTGTTCAGTAAGACAGTCTCAATGACACGGTTTTGCCAGCCAGAGTCAATGAGACTGGCCCCTGAAGCGCCCATAAGGGTCGGTCCAAAGCAAATGGCAATGTTGCCAGCCGTCATACGGTTATTGCTTGCGTGTTCCTGGACCCGGTTCAAATGCTATACAACCGTCAGTACTGTAAATCAAGCACACAAGCAGTGACTTACCAGAACCAAAGCGCGTAATGTCGCATAGTTGGGATCAGGCAGGCCGTTGATAATGGCATGTAAAGAATCGCGTCGTTGGGTATCATTTTCGATTCCTTTGAACAGTTTAGTGGCTTTCTGTAGACGAATACAGTATCACTCACGAGCAGCATTAATAAAATCATTATAGAATTGTCGCGTGAACAAAGGATCCGGGAGTTCTCGGAAAAATTGCTTCAGCAGACCTGCGACACTATTTACATCGTGGAAGAAGCTTTCCGGATTGGTAAAATCGACCTTGGAGGAGTCTTTAGGCACGTTAGTATTGAATCAAACTCCGAGATTTCTGAGCATACCGTTGTCAAACAATGCTTTCATATGATTGATATGGTTGGCGCTTCCCGACTGTCGGTAAATACCCTCCATATCCAGACCGAACATCTCAACTGCCTGAATGCATTGATAGACAATTACCGGGACTGCTGTCCCATCTCTGTGGAACAAATCTTCCAGAGTCAAACCAAAAACTGGCCTGACAGGGGGAAGGTTGTTCAAGAAGCCGTTTGGTGGCTGCATCATCGGAGCATTGGACGAAGTCTGGTGGAACGCCTTTGACGGACTAGACGGGTAAGGAGCAGGCGCAGAAGCCGGTGGCAAAGTTTGGTGAGCGGGAGGTTGATTCGGAGGTGCGGAGCCCGAGTAGCTTTGAAATTGAGAAGGCGACTCGAGGCTATCAGGGTTCATGATGGTCAAAGGTGGTAGTTGCGCAGGAGTGTCTAGTGTAGGTGGTGCAGCTGGCTGTGAAGCTGGCGGTGCCGAGGATTGCTGGGGCACAGGTAACGAAGGTTGAGCGTTTTGCCGCGTGTTGAATGTGCTGGGCTGGGATGCAGGAGCGGATGAGGTTCCAGGTAAAGGCCCCCCAAGAGTCTGGCAGGTCAGTTTCGCTCTATGAGTTTGGGACGGCAAACTTACAGCATGACGATGATATTGCACTTCTGGGGCCTTGACAGCCCCGGAACTTCCTTCATGAGTCAAAATATGCTGATTAAAGTCTTTGGTGCTGTCGATCTCATGAACAACCTCGCGMAAGCTCTTCGGTCCATCAGATGGCGCATTTTTCAACGGACTAACACAAAGACCTTTTCCGAGCAAATGCCTCTCGTTGAATGCAGCTATATGTTTCATTAGTATATTATTTTAAAAAAGGTACTGCTCACATACCGTATTTCTGAAGCTGAAGAGTAACCCCTGAATCACACTCAAAAATAAGCTGTCGCAACTGGTGAATAGTTTGAGGACGATGCGACGCCAACAATTCTTTGCGCGCTGACTGCGCAGCCTGAACCTTGGCCTGATAATCGGCATCCGCATTCTGTACTTTGCGACTAAGCTCCTCTTCCTGCTGTATGGCCGATTTGTGCCCTTTCAAACCAAACTTTCCTCCCTGTTTGTCGCCAGTCTTGACCCGATCATACTGTTCAGCCAAAGTGTCATATTTTGCCTTGGCCTTCTCCACAAGAGTTTCCGCATCGGTTACTTTCTTTTCCGCGGCAAGCCCGCTTGCCTTCCACTGTTTGCGGCTTTTTTCGATATTTTCAGAGAGTTCAGACAGGTCGACGGACATTTGGTATAGCGAGACGGCGAATTGCAGGCCATGGTCGGCCATTTGGTCGTGGATTCTGGTGATTTCATCTTGAGCGAGGCGGTACGTTCCCTGGCGCGTGTCGGGCTTATGCGCTGCTTCTTGGGTTTGACGGGAGAGTTTTTTCAGGCCTTGGGCGTGCTCATCTTCTAATACTGATCGTTTTTTGAGGAAAGTAGAGAAATCCTATATTGGGCAGGTATATAAGCATGAGATTGGTGAAAAGGGGGCCAGCGTACGAACCCGCGCCGAAGCAATGCTTTGTTTTAAACGAGCAAGGAGTGTGGTGACACCGATCTGGACTGATTAGCTTGTTGTCAAATACAATGGCACAGTATAGCGCGCACCTCTGACTGCAGAATAGTCTCAATACGCTCTTTTGTCTGGTCATTGGGGGCGGAGTCGCTGGGCGAATTGAGGTCGGCCAAGCCCGAGTTGGAAGCTGAGGCGATGACACCGTCCTGCGACGAGGGGCGCGCGGAGAATGAGGCAGAGGGGGAGAGTGATTCGGCCATGGTGGGTGTCTAGTGTACAGGGAGCATGCTCTGCGAGAAGATGATGTGTAAGAACTAAGAAGCAGGCAGGAACGATAAAAGAAAAGACAAGATGTGGCTACTGACGTCGTTCAATCAGAAGCTCCACCGCTGTGCCTTCTTCCTCGGGGTCACAGCCACACCCGCGCTTGCCCCGACGGAAGGGACCAATCACGTGCCTTGGTGTAAGACAGTGACCACGTAGCTGACTATGTGGTAACGTTGGGCAGGACTGTGTATGCTAGGAGATAGTGATGCTAGACATACGAGGATGTAACTCAAATCATAGAAATCAACCATGTTGAGACTATGGAAACTCTGTGATATGATATGTACACAATGTATACATGTGCCTGGCTAGTTGATGCTGGTAATGCTATGCTTAATTACGTCCCGGCCAATAGCAACACGTGCTACCCGCTGACTCAGCACAAACCGCCGGCTTCGTCGCAAAGTTTTCTGCCGATTGCCGGAGTTCTCTCACCTCTTTGTCCCAGAAACAGCCGATTTGCTTCTTTAAAACAAGAGAACCACCGTGCAAACGAGAGTCAAAATGACCAGCTATGGGGGCCCGTCCATATTGAACCCTGAATTTAGACGCACTCTCAGTGGTGTCGTTGGTGTCACTGGCCCTATGCCGATGGTTTCCCCGCCTGTCCCCGATGCCTCTGCCCTGCGAACCACCGCCGCCAGATCCAACGGCCCGGTATTAGGATCTCTCTTATCTGGTCCTGGGCCTATCCCTGGCCCTGGCGCTCCTCAGGGGCTGGACGCCGACAAGGCTCAGCCAATGAAAAAGCGAAGAGGCGGGAACCGGAGGGCCTGTAACGAGTGCAAGCAGCAGAAGGTAGTTGTTGTGTACATCATATGTAACATATCCCTGACGTGCATTAGCTTCGATGCGATATCGTCCAAGTCCCGGCATCGACGTCAGCCCGCTCGCCCTGTTCGCGATGTAAGAGGTTGAATATCGACTGCAAGGTAGAGCAGTCGTTTAAGCGTATTTCAAAAAGACGGTAAGTTTGGTCTCAACATTGTTATCTCGTCGTCGTCTAATAGTTACAGTCGCAATGCAGAGATGGAAAGAGAGATTGCCGACCTTCGTCGTCGACTAGCCACCGGCGAGCGCGCCGAAGGCTTGGTTGATGGCGACGGTCACGAGATGAACCATTCTTCTGGGGAAGTCTATTATGATGCTCATTCTCCGCCTACTTCGTCACGAGCATCTGTCTCGGTTGAGCATCAGCCATCCCCGTTGAGGCGGTCCTTGGTTCCCACGGACAGTCCCATGTCCCACAGCGCCAATGCATGGGTTCTCGAGGATATTTCGCTGTCGAAGCAGCGTGTCGATCGGCTTTTTGACCAGTAAGTGATTCTCCGCTGGCACGAGATCGACGCTGACAACCATAGATACTTTAAATTCTACCACCCCTTCCTTCCGTTGCTTGATCCAACAAAAGATCCTGAAGAATGTCGCAGTTGCTCCGATGTTCTGGCATGGACAGTCATTTGCGTGTCCAGCCGACGCTGCCCATACGAGTCTGGATTGCTGGTCTCGCTCTCCGCCCCTTTTAGTAGGTTGCTGTGGGCTAATATCAGCAATGTCCCGCAAAACTATCACGTCGTCAAGGCTTTGTGTTTGCTTTGTACATGGCCGCTACCGACTACAAGTCAGAAAAGTGATCAGACTTTTATGCTGAGCGGGCTGATGATGAACCTAGCTATGCAGCTGGGTTTGCATCGTCCGGTGCAGCCAGAGGAGTTTACTACGTTTCGAATGGAGGTCAGGGGAGAGGAGCTAAAGGATCGTCTACAGACGTGGGTTCTCTGTAACCTCGTTGCACAAAAGTAAGCTTTGAGTCCCGAAGTTTGAAGTAGTATACTAACCTTCCAGCGTCGCCACTGGATATGGCCAACCGCCGAGCACCATCTACGACTGGGCTTTGGAGCCCGCCTCTCTCAGAGCAGCTGATTACCGGCTGCCGGATGAACTCAAGGTCAGATTGCGGATTGAAAAGTTCTGCGACCGAGTGACCAGAAGCCTATACAACGGCCGACCAGAGCCGTCGGAATTCCTGAGCATGGACAAATTGCTTCTTGTCGGAATTTTAGAGAACGAATTGAAAGAGATGGAATTGGATTTCGGTGATGACCTTTCACGTAAGTCTATTTCTCATGTTCGACTCGCACACGACTGATAATCGAAGAAATCAACTTGATACACTTGCGAGCGGCAAATTTGCATCTTCGATACTTTGTGTTCTTGAGCCAAAATGCCCGAAGCGACGATCTCACGAATTTATTTCTTGCAACCACATCCTTCCTCGGACGGGTGCTCGAACTCGAAACATCTCCTGGAAACCTGCTCATCCATGCCACCAACTACATCCTCCAAATGATCGTCTCGGCTGCGTTCGCCTTGATGAAATTGCTCAAAAGCTCATTTGCGCGACAAATCGACATTGACCATGGCAAATTCTTGTTCAACGGCGCAATCTCATCGATCCGCAGGATCAGCGTCGTCGACAATGACCGACCCGTTCGCTTGGCGAACGTCATTTCTCAAATGTGGAACGCAGGTAGTTCAGGCGACGATGCGCTCCATCTCGGGATCCGAAGTCGAATGAGTATGAGCCATGTATACGACACAGTATGGCGCTGGCGACGACGATTTCGACAACAAAAAGCCCCTGACGACTCACAAGGTATTTCTTATCCCTCTCTTCTTCGGTAATAACTAACGATAGAAGGAAACATAACCCAACCACAAACCACAACCGGCGTTCCAGGCCCGCAACCGGATCATACCCTAAACAATGCATCGTGGATGCTGCCCACCAACTTTGAGGACAACGCGTTTATGAGCGAAGCCAGCTTTTCGGACTTTTTCGATTCGCTGAATTGGGTTTTTGACGGTGTGCCTGATTCTATTATTGCGCCGCCTGTTCTATGATTTTTTGCCTGTAGCAAAGATACCCGACTTTTGTTTTTGATCTATGCTGTTTCAATTTGTACATATGATGGATGACTCACGCCGTATATACTTCATACATAGAAAGTGATTTATCAACATGTCAGAATGTGATATGTATCAGTATAGTTACAGATGTGACTGGTACGGAAACCGGAGAGATGGCTCACATCCCGCATGCCGGACGGGATCTGACGCGATACACTTCTAGTCTGTAACAAATACTCACCGTCAATGCAATGAAGATGGGCTTGCTATCTCTACTAATTCAAATAGATTACTAACTTACCAAGCAGTGAGTGGATAAGCCAGACAACTACTAGTACGTCGAGTATTTAGTAGAAAGTTCCGGCTCGTGCATAATCGGCCATCCACTCACCACGCTCTCTGCGCCTTCTGCAATGTGACAGGCTGGACTAGCTGCTCCAATGGTAGCCACAATTTGTTGCAGTTTGCGCGAGCTATTCTTGGAAATGTATAAATAATTTCACTGCTTTGTATTTTCTAAGACTCAACATTGAGAGTGTATACTAGTTTGTAGATACGTAATCGTGCTAGTACCGTATGATATGGTGATACGGCCCGATGACACGATCAGACGAACCTCCTCAGGGGGCAGGATCTGAGGCATTGATCGATTATCAGCAGTCATCAAGGCTGACTCGTCGCTTGGGCTGGATGTTGTGGTTGGTTCTGTAATTGTCCTGTTAGATGTAAGTACCTTGTTGAATCTGGGTTGCAATGTAGTAGCGATCAAAGCATGCATCGGATCTGCGATCTGATTGTACAACGTCGCATAGCATAGTCAAATATGAAAACATTTAATTTGTCTCGAAGTAGTGTAAGAGTAGAGTAAGAGGGAGTAGAGAATCAGGGTCTCCCCGCCTGAAGGCTTCAGTCGAGTTACACTAATCCACTCCGAACTTAGCTTCCTTTACTGACCTCCCCAACTAACGCAACTAACCTCTTCACTCGACCGCTCATTGCTATCTCCAATGCGTCGTCAGTCATTCTATTGCTGCATCCTCTCTGACACTGTGCTGGACTGTCGACTTTGTTTAATTTTTATTCTCTAATTCTTGCTGCATTCTACGGCAATTCCTCTCTATTGGATCAATCCATTCCATAACGAGTCCCTGATTCCCCCGCTTGTTTGTTGATTGTCAGTCATAAGTTGCTGCTATCGAGGTGAGACACTCTCCCTAACCGTTATATACTATTTTCTATTTCTCTCGTCGGATCTTGCATAACGAAATGGATTGTATGGCTGATGTTCTGTCTAGATACCCCTCCCCCTTTCCTCCTCGCCGAATAAACTCAACTCAACAACCCCGTCTACGCGTCCAGATAAGGATTGAATTCTCCGAATCATAAGCAGAATGGCGTCTGGGCCTGCGACTCAATCATTGAAGGTACATAGTCTGGTCACAAAACATGGCTTCAGGAACGACTAGCTAATCGGACAGTGTGTGGTGACCGGTGACGGTGCTGTCGGCAAGGTTAGTGCGACAAGCTATAACCACGAAACGAAGTATTGACGAGCGCAGACATGTCTTTTGATATCATACACCACCAATGCCTTCCCCGGCGAATACATTCCCACCGTGTCAGTTTTCCCCATTTGTCTCTTCGCCAACATACTGCATACTGTATACTGACGACGAACAGGTTTGACAACTACTCCGCTAGCGTCATGGTCGACGGCCGGCCCATCAGCCTCGGACTCTGGGACACAGCTGGTCAAGAAGACTACGACCGTCTCCGCCCCTTATCCTACCCTCAAACCGACGTCTTCCTCATCTGCTTCTCCATCGTCTCTCCGCCCTCCTTCGACAATGTGAAAGCCAAATGGTACCCCGAAATCGAGCACCATGCACCTGGAGTACCCATCATCCTCGTGGGCACGAAGCTGGATTTGAGAGAAGACAGAGCTACCGCTGAGGCGCTGCGGGCGAAGAAAATGGAGCCCGTATCGTATGAGCAGGCGCTTGCGGTGGCCAAGGAGATTAGGGCGCATAAGTATTTGGAGTGTTCGGCTTTGACGCAGAGAAATTTGAAGAGTGTGTTTGATGAAGCTATTCGGTACGTCGTCCTCCGCTTGTATGTTTCTCTTCATACTAACGTAAACAGAGCCGTCCTCAATCCTCGCCCTCAACCCAAGAACAAGGCAAAACGATGCACTATTCTGTAATCTTTTTCTTATCATATCTACTTGATTTTTGTCCTATCCTACTACGTATATGCTAATTTATATCCCCATCGCTTTTGTTTACGTTTTACCATTTTGATTTGACAACTGTGAATACATATACCGGTTCTGCCAATTGAATGACTTATCTCGATTGATTGATTGTGCGCGGCGTTTGCTTTTGTTTGTCTGAAATCTCATTTTCATTTTCTTTGGATACATAGAGACTTCTTCTATATTCGAAGATCTTGCACCCCTCGATCGAATTGTACTCTACTCCAAGCTTCCACATGTCCATTAGAAAGGAATTGACTTTTGTTCATCAACTAGCATCGCTTACTCATATACATTAGGAAGATAGAAAAAGGAAATGCAACAATAACGAAAAAAACCCTTAAACCTAAGATATAGGAAACGATATTATCGCATCTGATTCAACCGACTGGGATGAATACCCGAGTACTCCCCTCCCCCTTCTTCTTTCGAGTCCTTCCCACCCTTCTTCTTCTTCTCTTCCTGCGCGTTCTTGGCTCGCTCTTCGGCCAACTTTGCATTCTTTTCTTTCAATTTTGTGCGACGCGTTGCTGATTTTCCGCCTCCGCCGGCACTGCCATCATCAACCGTCAGCATTCCTCTCTATATGTCTAAGTAAATTTTGGGGGTCATGAAACGCACGTAAGCTCAACGTTTATCTTCCGAGCAGGACTCTTCCCATCATCAAACGATGAGTGATGATACAGCTTAAGACAGGTCTGCATGCGATCAAAGGCCTCGAATTCGACGAAGCCGAAACCGCGGCATTTATTGCCCTCCTTCTTATCGGTTGCGACGCGCACAGATTTGGGTGCGATTTTGGAGAAGTGGGCTGTCACGCTTTCTGCTGTTGCGGTGTAGGGGAGGTTTCCTATCGAACCACGTTAATCTCAAAAGTGTATGGGCAAGAAGGAGGGAGGGAGGGTACATACCGACGAAAACGATGAAGCGATTTTTGTTGGTAGCTTGTTCCTCTTGCTTCGCTTCCTTAGCAGCGGGTTTCTCTTTCTTCTCGGATTTCTTCTCGGCAGCTTTGGGGGCAGGCTTCTTAACCTCAATCTCACTCTCTGACCCCGAACTGCTACTGGAATCTGAATCCGAATCCGAGTCTGAATCAGACTCCGACGACGAAGTCTCGTCTTCTTTCTCCTTCTTCTTTTGCTTCTTCTCTTTCTTCTCCTCTATCCTCTCGGCCTTTTTCTTGTCATTTCTATTCCTTAGTTCGTGTGCTTCTTTCTTCTTCTCCTTTCGCGCTTCTTTGTCTGCTAGCGATTCGGTATTTTGATGCTCCGCTTCCTTTGCGACTTGACGTTCACGCTTGCTCTGGCCCTTTGATTTCTTCTTTTCGGCGACTTCAGCGGCGTTCATGGGCGTCGTGTCAATCACGTAAAAGTCCTCGCCAGCAGGCTTGCTTCCTTCCGCAGGAGCTGCTGGGGCAGTAGCACCCTCAGCACCTTCAGGACTCTCGCGAATCCGTTCCTGCACCGGAATCGCATTCGCGCCATTCATCAACTGCGCCGCAGCACGCTTGCGCCCTTTATTGCCCTTGGGTAAGTATTTTTCCTTGTTCTTCACTCGTTTCGGTTTCTGTTGATCTTCTCCCGGAGCGCTGCTGCCGCCGACTTCTTCGCGCTTGCGTTTTTTCTCGTTCATTTTCCTGGTAGATGCTTCTTTCTGTTTGAGATTCATTTCAAAAATCCTTTAGAAAAGATTCTGTCGGCAAGAGGAGCGACTGGAAATGTGGTGGTTTGGTGAGGAAAGTCGATAAGCATTTAATTATTTTTTTCTGCCATTGGGAGAGGTGGAGTTGGTGGGGAGCTGGAACCAATGGGAAATGTGGACTTATCTCCGCGATCTGGGCGGTGTGGATGCCGGGATGCAGTGGATAATCATCAATATCGATTAATAGAGAGTTAAATGTTCAGAATCACTTCTTTGCTCGATTTAGCTTTATATACAATGCAACCCAAGTACAGCAACCAACCAGTCACATGCCATCATCCTATATGCATATACCCGGGTAGAAGGAGATGAAGAATATGCACGAACTCAATAACGTAGCGGAAAAGCAGCATACCTCCCAGCGATATGTATATAATATATGCAGATAGTAAAAATTAAACCTCCGGTTTCCGTCCATACACAAAACTAAACAGCGAATAAATATGGTACTGCGGATCGCAAATCTCTGCTCTGACTTTATCGATCAATTCGCGTGTATCTTCGTTGCTCCATTTGAGGACTCGCGTAAAGACGGCCAGAGAATATGGCTCSACCGCTTCGAACATCTGGAATTGTTGCACTTTGCCGATTTCTTTCATGCGTTTGTCTTTGGGCCAGGGGCCGATTGGGACCTATCGTCGTCAGTTAGACACATACGGACAAGGAACTAAAAGAGGGCGTACCTTGTATGTATCTTCAGACACATCAATAAACCCAGCCTGCTCCATACTCTGCTTATGCAACGAATAATCACTGAACGGCTTCCCAAACAATTGACTCGCCTCATTCAACTTATCCTTCCACAACACAAAATTCTTCGCCTTCAAATGCGACCCATCATCCGACGAAATCTCGATTTCGTATTCCTGAATCTCTAGCCATCCACCGGGACGCAGGTTATCAAAGGCCTGAGTGAATAGTTTACGCCAGTCTCGAATTGAGCCTGTCATGCCGCGGCCGTGGATGTAGTCGAAGGATTGGTAGCCATATAACCATTCAGACTCGACATCGTCGACTTCAAAGCGACAGTTTGACGGGAACCATGATGGTTGGATGGGACTCAGGTCTGTGCCTAATACCTCTGTCCGCGGGTTCTCCTCTGCGAAATCAATCGCCCATGCACCCGTCCCCGTACCGAAATCCAGCGTTCGCACGGGATTGTTCACGGGTGCTCTGTACAATTCCCCATTGAGTAACAGTCGAAACGTGTGATGTAGTAGATCGAGACGCTCCTGTTCCCGCTCGTCGTTGGGTAGTAAGTATTCGCCGTCGCGGAAGGAGTGATATCGCCGGCCATTTTCGTATTTGTAGTTTTTTATGGAGGAGACGATTGTCGTGCGGTCGTCGAATGTGGAGGCTCCGTCGACGATGTCACTATTATCGCTCTGTATGCCAGTTATTAGTAGCTTAAGAAAATGCTGTGGTGCTGGGAATTGAGACGTACATCGATTTGTAAGTCGCCTTCTTGGTTGGCTGTTCGGCCTATGGTTTCGTCGTCGATGTTCGCCATATCGTCTGTTGCTCGTCCTTCGGAGTATTTGAGACTTCAACTATTGAGAATATATATTGATATAAAAGACTGTGTATAATTGGAAGTAACGACTATATCCTCGTGCCTAGAGCTTCTCAATCGTGACTGTGTCGAGTTGGGTGTTGTTGGCGGGCGCATGGAGCTGCGGGGACGGAGTATTCGTATCAACAACGTCTTTCTCGCCGATGTGACGATGTAGTGCCAGATTTAAGAAGTAGAGGTAATTCAACGAACTAAGCAGCCGAAACTGCAGCTCAAGCTCCAGACACAAACAGCGCATTCAGTGCACTGTGTACGACAGTCAATCGTGCAGAGACCACCGTGACGGCGAGTTGGGTAAGCTTCAAGGTACAGTCAATGGGGTATGTAATCGCGCGTACCGCCGATAGCCCGTCCCGAGAGAAAGGGCCATGTCGCTCCACTATGGGATACAGTAGCCAATGATGGCAGCTGAATGGACTTGAGCTAAGGTGCTTACAGGTGATAGTCTCTTCCGGGGAGACTCCTCCCGGAACCCCTGTAATATTACGTGTATCCAATACAGAGTCTCCGTGAAGATCGACTGAAGAAGCTGACTATCGACTAGTCTCCCACCGAGCCGATCTCCCACGTTCTTTCTTTGATTGATTGCAAGTCTTTCTACGGCTGGCGGTGAACAAAGAATTATCAAGTCAACGACGCCCGCAAAGGAATATCGTGAAATCGATGCCAGGAGAAAAAGCAACATCATACATAAGTGTTGATTTCCATCCTATTGGTCAAACAACAAAGCCTCAACACACGTTGCATTGGGTTTCGATCTTCCCGGTCTGTTTTCCCCGGTTCTTTCAATTTCTAACCTATGACATAGCAGGAACATACGCATCAGGCTTTAGCAAGTGATAACGGATCTGCCCTGTTGGCGGCCGCGTTATCTCGGAAATAATTACTCAGTACAGCAAGACAGAAATGACTCGTCAACTTTCTCCCCGCACCAAAAGTTGGACTTTGCATGGTGGTGCCCGACAGTCTGGATCCTGGATCTCGAATCACGGCCATCTGCATGCGGTGTGACAACTACCCCTAATCAGCCTGGTAGAGCGATGAGCTGTTTTGAGTTCATTTACGGCACTAGAATGTTCTGTTGGATTACCCAGTGATACTATTTCCGATTCCGATCGTCGATCTGAGACATACGGACTTAGAGTAAGCTAGTATACAAGTATTTTCAGATCTTTATCCTTGGATCCATAGCGTTCTTTGAACTCTTCCCTCGTCAAAAGCTTAAGCAAAGGAGCGTAGACCTCCTTCATGTCGAATATGCCGCGTTTCTTTTGATCGATATGTGAGCCGTCAATGACGATGCGTTCGAGTTTCTCGGTTTTGAGTGTACCTGACATTCGTTAGCTAGTTATGCAAGATTTCAGGGGATGTTGCATACCCGACTCTAGCAAATCAATTATGCGCTGAGGAGTACCGACCCCGATGCTGACTCGAGATCTTTCTAGAAATTGTTTCGCTTCTTCTATTTTGATGTGCTTGGCGAACAGTTTTGCGACGGCGGCGTCTTTGTTTTGGAATGATCGTAGTGCACTGTATCATATCATTAGCTATGAGGAAACTTGACTGGAAAGTACAAACTCACCGAACTAAATCAGCCGCTCGCAGTCCCGCCGAAGCTATCACAAGAGTATGCGGACTCCCTTTGTCCTCCGACGCACTTCCCAGCCTCGCACCCTTCTCCGGACTGTACGCTTTTAAGAAGTCTGGCAATTGAGCCAATTTCCGCACTTGCTCAAATGACGTCGTATCTTGAAACGCCTGCACCGGCACACTCATATCACTCAATTCCACGGCCGTCAGATCCTTGTTATGCGCCTTGGCCTTTTGCATGAAATGATCTGCTAGGATTTGCTCGTTCATTTTGCTGATTGATTCCTCGACTGCTTCTTCTCTGTCCGGTTGTTGGGGTGTTTTATTTGTTGATTTGCTGCCTTTGCTGCCTCCATTCTTGTCTTTGTTATTCTTGTTGAACCTTTTATCTTTGTTCCAGCCTTTCTGCTTCTTGCCATTCTGAGCTGTTTTGTCGCCATCTTCTCGCTTTCGCTTCTTTTCTTGGTCATTTATGGACGAAGCGGGTTTGGGGGTTTGTGTCTCTACCATGTTTTTTGAGGGTCCGGACATTGTATACTAGTGGTAATTCTGGTATATGCTGTGTCGCTGTTTCTGTCGTTGCAAGCTCTGGAAATTTTATTTTTGTTGCATACAGGCTTAGTCATCTATCTTATCGATAAGACTAACCACTTTCGGATAAGCGCATTATCGGCCAGCGGGAGCTCCACGCGACTTTGAATCGCGTTGATTTGAAGCTCTCTTTTGCATCAATTTCTTCTGTTTAAATTCGACAAAGATTCTTGATCAATGATAGACTGACTTCGCGATTGAAAGAGCCTTGCATATGTAGATATATGTCCGGTCCTAAAAATCAGCACAATGTCGACTCCAAGACCCCGCGGTCGTCCAAAGCGGACGTCAACAAACAATGATGATTCAACAACTCAGACAGTAAGCTTGAACAGTGCTCCACAAAATACCAGGGGATATATCTAAATGATTTGATATAGATACCAACAGCTCTAGACATACAACCTATGACCCCTCGATACACAACTTTAACTCCCTCCGCCCTCCGCTCGGCAAATCGGCGGACTCCTCGCGCGCCATTGACACCATTCGGGCTTCGTGCAATGCAGCGCCGTACTGCGAATACGCCCGGTCGAGATCGGAGAAGGAGTACACGCGGTCCGCAACGCGAAACAGCTTTTGATATCTTGCGCAATCTTGGTCGAAGTACGACGACCTCCAGACCTTTTAGCGAAAGACCGTTACTAAACTGTATGTCTAATAGCACTCGCGCCAATCTCGAAACCAATTCAATCTTCTCCCCAAGAAGAGCGAAGCCCGACTCCGGAGAGTTCGTCGGAGATAGAAGATGAAACAGTATACCTTGACCGAGAACCGCTGCCAGAACGTCCGCGTCTTTCACTCCCCCTTCGCGCTGACAGCGGAACGAGTAGCGATGGCAGTCCTGATATGCCTCCGCCACGACTTTCTCTGCAATTCGATGAAGACGATATCACACAACGCTCTGTAGAATATCCGCGACGAGCTATAAGTGACAAAGATCGACAACGGCTAGAAAGAATGAGTTTTGGCGATGTCAGGATGAGTGAGAATTTCGGCGATCTCACGCGACTTGATGCATTTTCAGAGGCGGGAGATATTACTGGTCTTGTTCAAGGGGCCGATGATGAGGATATGGAGCAGACGCAGCTGGATGAAGCTGCTTTTGACGCAGGGTAAGCTTAAAAACATACTTGTTCCTCTTATATCGCTAATGACATGTAAAATAGTGGCGAAACTGCGGACCTGGGCCGGTTTAATCTGGAGTTCAATTTTCCGAGTCCTGTTGCTCCAGCAGCAGATCTCGATGACGCCTTACCAAATGATGAAGATGATTTCATGCTTCAAACCGATCAAGGCGAAATTCCATATCCATCCTCAGATGATGACGCAGCAGATGGTTTCACTGGCTTTGAGGTCAATATCCCAGATCAAATATCCGAAGCCGGCACCACAGGGACCGCCGAAGCTGGGGCTGGTGTTGTCGGCGGCGGCCTTCGCGACGAACCATCTAAGCGAACGCGAAAACAGAAGAAGCTCTCAAGACACGGCATCCCAGTCCCATTGCTACCTACAGGCGTCGTAAAAAGATTAGCAACCCGTTTCGCGCGAACAGGAGCTGGCAGTAAAGCCAAAATCAACAAGGAGACGCTAGCTGCAATTGAGCAGGCTTCAGAATGGTTCTTTGAGCAGGCTAGTGAGGATCTCGCGGCGTATTCTAGGCATGCGGGGAGGAAGACTATTGACGAAAGTGATGTTGTGGCTTTGATGCGTCGGTATGTTTATTACCCCTCCCCCTTTTTGAAGCTGTTGGTGATATTGATTGTATGTGTAGACAGCGTCACGTTAATAGTACGAATACGGTGTTCTCATTAGCGCAGAAACATTTGCCGAAGGAGCTTTTGCAGGATATTCGACTGGGTCTGCCGCCTTGATTTTTCGCTGCAGTTGAGAATGAGTACCTCCAAAGAATCTTTGATGGGCAGTCGGATGTGCCCTTTAAGATCCAAAATGCCAAGGTCCGCACTACAGCAGACGTTCGAGCTTTTGGATTGCTTGCGCTTCTAAAATCTAAAGGGGTCGACAAGTCGAACTGCGCAGGATTAGAAGCTCAAAGTCCACCACATAGAGCTGGTTTGCACAAATCCTACTGACAGGCACGGTAATCTGACAAGAGAACAATATGTATTATACAAGCATATCATACACCGAGTACGCCCTCTAGGAGATGATCTACATATTCTTGCTCTGGCGAACTCGTCGCAACGCTTCATTGGGGCGCTTACGAACAACCATCCAAAGCATGATTGCTGTTGACACGGACAGACCGTACCTATACAAATCCGTTAGCCGCAATAAATTCATTTGGAATAGAAACATACCAAGTAAATATATACTGAAGATGATTATTCCTCAAATTCACCTGCGCCGGCCGACCAATCGGCACACCATTCGCCGTCCGATTCAACGACTCAATCAAATCGGGTACTACAAGTAATCAGTTACCTCCTTCACTATAGCATCGTAGCAAACGGAAGGTAAGATACGCACCCATAGTCTCCTCAATAAGCACAGGCTGACTTCCAGTCAACTGCGCCATCTGCTCGATATCCGGAAAATAAAACTCTCCCTTATCCGGCCGATTATCCGGCGTGAAATAGTTCTTTTTCACTGGATCTCTTATCAACCCTTCAACAACAACTTCGCCTTGCGGCAGTCCCTCCGGCCGATCTTTCTGATCTTTGAATTTTTTGGATATCCATCCTCGATTGACGAGGACTGTATTCTCGCTTCCGCTTCTTCCTGGCTCTGTTGTCCTTTGTAGAGGTGTAATGACGACATACCCTTCTTCGCCTTCGTACATACGTGGACCGATTAGCATTTCTTGGTCGTGCCGGTACTCGCCGGTAGCCACGATGCGTCGATAGTCGAAGTCGGGGATTACTTCTGGATCAATGCGTGGTGGTAGAGGCAGAGGAGGTTTGACGAGTCGATCTTCGAATTTTGCAATCAGTTTGGTTTTCCAGTCGAGTCTTTGGACTTGCCAGGTTCCGAGGACGAATGCTGTTATGGGGATGAGTGCTATGCATTGTCGTAAGTGAACGGTCTTTGTGTTTATAGATATGGAAGAAGGGAGGGAATACCTAAAAGGATCAAGCCGGGACCGTGTCGACGACCGACACGCACGATTTGAGAAGGTCGGTCAATGGGCGATACCCATTGCGGGTCGTCGGCGGGTTGCTGGTGTAGTCGTCTACTGCCCGCATTGAAATTGCGCTGCTGCTGTCGCTGGTGCAATTGTAGCTGTTGACGGCGGCATCGTAGACATACAGAGTCGAATATTTGACTTTGTTGTTGCTGTTGGAGGCCCTTTTGCAATGGGGTTTTTGGAAATGATGTGGCCCTCGATAGGCTGCTGAGTAAAGGCCTCATTTCTTTGGCTTTTGTCCCGGTTGCGTGGGGACTAATGTGTTGGATGGGCAATTGATTGATTGATGTTTGCGAATGAGAAATGTTCGAACATGCGGCAGAGCTGCTGTTCCGCTCGTCGCCGCTTTAACGTTCACGTGAAGTAAAGCTCTCTTGAACCAATCAGAAGTGTCGTAGAATATATTGTTCACGAGGGAAAACTACACGCAAAAGGACTCCTCGTTACTAAGTCGATTAGTTTTTCTATTTAATCTAATTTTCAGCATGTCAAAATGCATTCAATATGTTGTGTTTGGTCTTGTTGTCAAGCAAGTTCTTCAGAACTACCGACATGCCGACCCCGGACAGATCGATTAGAAAGGTTAGTTGCTCCACATCGCAAACATCATCCATCAATCACATGCAACCACCTTTATCAATCAACTGCTAAGCTCTCAACATTATTACTCCGTACAGACAAAGAATATGCGATAACGATGTTCTACCAAGGCGACCTACAGAGTGGCATTGCCACTGCTATGCGCGAAGCGAAGCCTGTTGTTTGTTTCATCCGTGGTATGTCATTGATCGTCTCCAGCTTTAAACTGCATATCTGCATACTGACTCGAGATTTATGTACAGATAATCAAGAAGAAAGCACAACATGGGAGGATGAATATTTTAATAGTGAAGAGGTAATTCTATTCTGAGAAATTATGACAGGCCAGCTCGACGCAATAGCTAATGATATGGTAGCTACGTCAATTACTATCAGACAGCTCGGTCACTCTGCGTCTCATAGCCGGTACCCAAGAAGCCGGATTTCTTACTTCCATATGCCCTATTCAGACCTTTCCGGCGGTTATAGTTATAAGAAACGGAACGTTGCAGGAATATCTTGTCGCGGGGACAGCCAAGGATGCTTTTCAGACAAGGTTGAAAACGGCGATTTCTACAGATACTGCGCCAGTTGAACTGTCTCCCCCAGTGAGTTCTTCGGATACGACATATAACGCTGAATCACAAGCACCATCACAGAGCGCGGGAGCGATACATGAGCCTGCGCAGGCACCTATTGTTCCAACGCCTCAACCGCAGGAAGAGTCGGTGCGAATATCTCCTGTTTCCCAACTACCAACATCGCAGCCAATCCCTGCAAATGCAGAAGCATTGAATAGAGAGAGTATACGAGCTGGCAAGCGGCCCGCGACCCGCGAGACTCCCGAGCAAAAGAAAGCTCTACAAGAAGAGAAAGAGCGCAGTGCACTACAAGCCAAGCTTCAACGAGAGCAAAAGGAACAGCAAAAGGAACGAGAACGAATCCGCAATCAAATCAAAAGGGACCAAGAAGCGCGGAAGCACAGTGCTGCAGTAGAAAAGAACTATTCCGACGCAGCCACTTCTTTAGCGGGCGCAAGGGCAAAGAAACAGCCATCACAATACCGTCTTCAAATTCGTCTCTTTGATGGAAGTTCTGTTCGCAATAGCTTTCCACCGTCGGCGACGATACGGAAAGATGTTCGTCCGTGGCTTGAGAGCCAGCGCTCAGATGGCGCAGAGCCATATAATCTTAAACATATCCTGACTCCACTTCCGAATCGGACAATCTCTGTCGCAGAGGAAGAGCGGTCTTTAGAAGAGCTGGAGCTGGGACCAACGGCTAGTCTTGTCATGGTTCCCGTGCCGTCGTATATCGAAGCTTATGCTCCGACAGGTGTGGTGAATAGTCTTCCAGGCAGGGTTGTATCGTCAGGTTATGGTCTTGTTTCTGGGGTAGTGGGCGGTGTCGCTGGTATGGTTGGGGGTTTGTTGGGATATGGGAACACTTCCAATCAAGCGAAAACCACCACGTCGAATTCAGATAGTCAGCAGACTGCACCGACAACGCCGTCAACTACGAGGACGAGAAGCAATGGGGGCATTAACATTCGAACGATACATGATCAGAGGAATGAGCGGGATCAAAATGAGTTTTATAACGGCAATACTGTAAGTTCCTCATCCTCCAAGTTACACTTTTCTTGCTAATATATTCTCATTAGTTGAACTTCGAGCCGAGACAAGGCGACGACTCAAAAGACAAGTAAAATCACCACTGAAGATTATGCACGAACGGCCCATGCTTTGCTTTATGAATAAAAATTGATATTCCCTTCCTCTACTAGAAACGATGCGAATCTGAGTGGAGGATTTTCTTTTTTTTTTATTCGCTTTCCATGTTAACAGGAGAGACATGAACTGACCATCATCAGACCAGTATGACTAGTATACAATATATGCCAGAGAGAAAAATATAGCAAATCAGAATCTGCTCATAGACAAACCCTCTGTAAGTCTAGAGAGGATATCATTTCCATGCTATGCCATAATCCAGAGTATCCACAATCAATAACAACAGAAAAAAATCTAGCCATGATACGAGGTTTAGTAAGGCTTAGCAGCAGCCTGGCAAGCCTTCAACTGATCCAAATACCATCCGCAGATGGTCAAATCGCCCTTGTTGTCGTCCATGCATTTGCGGAAGTTTTGTGCGTCAGTTGCGCAGGCTGGGTTTTCCCAAGCGGACTGAGAGGTGTTGGTGGCGTAAAGGCCGCTGTCCATGGCCTGGGAGTCTGCGACGGGAGCTGCTTGTTGTTCGGCGGGCGCGCTGGAGCCGCCTGAGAACCAGCCACCGATGGCGTGGCCGATGGATGAACCGACTGCGACACCACTGTAGAGATATTAGTCGCGATTCGAGATATTTCGGTTTTTCCCCCTTCTGCTGGAATGATGGATGGGACTTACGCAGCGGTAGAAGCCATCTGGCCGAAAAGACCAGGTCCTTGGCTCTGCACAGGCATGGGAGGAGCCTGCTGGGCAGCAGGAGGGTGAGCGGCGGTGGAGTGAGGTGCGCTATGCTGTTGTTGAGGAGCAGCTGGTCTGGCAGGAGCAGCGGTAGGACGGGTGGGAGCGCTGCGCGCAGGGGCGGCAGGGCCGCGACGACCGCTTTGACGAGGCATGTTTATAGATATATGAAAGTGGTTGGGAGAGGATGAAAGGTCGAGGGGTGAGTTGGAGATGGTGATGAGTGGTTATGTATATTGTTGGAGAATGTTTTGCAGAAGATGTTCGAAGGTCGGAGTTTTGAGGCAAAATCGGCCGGCACGGGTGTCGCCGTTCGCTTGTCTGATTGGCTGATGGCGGTCGGAGTTAGGATAACCGCGGCTTTAACATCTACTAGTTGACGAGCGGTCTACAAGATGTCTACTATGATGTCTGTTGAAATTAATGTATGGAATTCTGTGCCAATTACTGTATCTATGTACATGAGTAAAACCGCCAACGCCTGCACTCCGGCTTAGACCCAGACCGAATGCATATGCTAAAGAGCAATCATAACATCGTCACATCGCCTATTGCTTCTAATTCTTCTTCCCTTCCTTCCGTTTGCCTGCCTTTTTGCGCCGTCGCTCCTTCTGATCCATCTTTCGCTGCTGCTTACTGTTCGGCTCAGGAACCCCCTTTGCCTGTCTCTTCGCCTCGCGCTCGGCCTTTTTCGCATTGATTATATCTTCTTTTCTCTGTTTCGCTTTTGCCTTGGCGGTTTTCTTTTTGGCGTTTTTGGAATCTGCTACTGGTTCGGAGGGTAGACTTATAAAGTCCTCCACAGGCGCAACTGAGCTTGCTGGTCTTGTGTTGACTTTCTCTGTTGTGGGGGATTCATCTTCGGATTCTTCCGACTCGGAAGATGAGTTTGATTCAGATTCTGAGCTTTCGGCTTCGGTGGAGGGTTTGCTTGGTTCTTGAGAGGGAATTGAAGCTGAGGATCCGTCTTTGGATTTATTGGCAAGCATGGCTGCTTTAAGCTGCGCGCGTGCTTTTTCCTTTGCTTGTTTTTCTGCGCGCTCAATGTCGTATTGTTCGTTGCCGGCCTGATAAAGTCAGTATACGTAGAACCCAAGAAAAGATAAGAATCAACATACCAGACCATGGGTTATAAACCGACGGGCAGCTTGCTGATCCAACTTCATAGTCGGCTTTGCTTCCTCCTCAGGCGGATTCTCCAGTGCCTTGATCTTGGCAAAGTACTGTCTCACGCGAGTTAATTCTTTAAAAACAGGATGTTCTTTGGCATTGGCGCCATGAAGACTGAGATAAGCTATTTCGATTAATATTGAATCCATGAACAAGGTAAAGCAAACATACAGAAAATTAATGACTCTAGTGTGTATGTCAGCAAAGCATGGAGCTTGGCTCTTTCGAGCAGAGGCAGCTTTTTTGATGTCTCGTCCAACGAGCGACTCAGTAGCGGTTCCAGGGCCTCTTCCAAGTCGTCAATGTTATCCTCGAGGCGATCAATCACCGGCAGTAAATTTGCGACCTCCATATTGCTAATTTGGATAGATCTTGATGTTGTGTCGTGCGATAGAACGGTAAAAATAAAAAGTTTCTCCACGTTTTTCCTCGGCATCTCAAGGCGGTGAGACAAGGCGGTCAATCGGCAGGCACCCGATTGTCGTCACAGTTGAAGCTCAAATCGCGATTTTTTTTTTGTACAACCCTGAGTCTTATCAAGTTTATTTGAATTCAAAGTCTATAAAGTCCGACTTACTATACGAGCCCTGATATGAGCAACTAAAGTTCCTGCTACGTTTGCCAGTCTTCCTTCGAAATTCGCTTCCTCCGCATCGATCACCAAACGCCGCCAAAGTGCATGCTCGAATCGTTAACCATCCGCTGATGCGGATTGGTTTTGTCAGCGCCAATAAGCTTACAAGATATCAGTCTTTAATAGTGCCATGGAGTCGTAGCTTTGCTTCTCAGTCTCACGTACCTGGTGAGACAATCTGGACGTATCGCGAAAATGAACACGAGACGCAAAATGACGGCTTGTCCGGACGAATACATATCCTAGGAGTGGGAAACATTGGCTGTTTCGTAGCACACTCGCTGGCATCTCGAATGACGCGACCGCCGATAACATTACTCCTACACAATCGTGATACGTACGAACGCTGGCTGCAGCGAAGGCAAACTATACGCTTGATGACGAACGGGTCGGATAATAATAAGACTGGGTTCGATGTGAATGTCTGGGATAACAAGACGTGGCACTCTATACCGTACTATGATGAACGCAACCCAATAGCTAGTCCCGAAGAGCAAAAGGTGGATACTCCATCCACCGAGGTTGATAAATTTGGTACAGATGACGAGAGAATCGAGTGTTTGATAGTGGCCACCAAGGCACCCATCACCATCAAAGCACTGTCAACTGTCAGCCATCGATTAACTCCAGATTCGACTATCCTCTTCCTTCAGAATGGCATGGGGATCATCGACGAAGTGAACGAGAAAATATTTCCAGACGCAAGTCTCCGCCCTCATTACCTACAAGGCATCGTATCACATGGCGTGAAAATGAGAAAGCCTTTTCACATCGAATATGCCGGCTTGGGTACCACCATCATTGGGAAACAACTGTCGTCCATGAACCAGTCGACAATCGAGTCAACGATCGAATCGACAGTCGACACAAAGCCTCCAATGGCAGGCTGGGCTCCATCCACGACGTACCTCGCACGCACTTTAACTTTAACGCCACCATTAGTGGCAGCCGTCAGACCCCCCATGGATTTATTCCAAAGCCAACTCGAAAAACTAGCCATGAACTGCGTCATAAACCCACTGACGGCATTGCTGGATGTGAAAAATGGCGAGCTCCTTTACAATTATTCCATGACTCGCACAATGCGAATGTTACTCGCCGAGATATCAACAGTCATTTGCGCATTACCAGAACTTGACGGCGTGCCGGGAGTAAAGGAGCGGTTTTCAGTCGAACGATTAAAGACGTTGGTCAAGAGACTGGCCAATGCAACTGCTGCAAACACGAGCTCCATGCTTCAGGATATATATGCAATGAAAACGACGGAGGTTGGCTATATTAATGGATATATCGTTCGTCGAGGGGATGAGTTGGGTATTAGGTGTGCACTAAATTATATGATTATACAGCTCGTGATGGGAAAGAGTCATATCTCCAAACTCAGAGAAGCAGGTGCAGTACCGCTTAGTCCTTTGGAGGCAGAAGAGATGGACGGCGAAGAGGGCTTATGATTTATGCCTACTTTAATTTCGGTTTTTTACATGTATCAATATGCAGATATCCTCATTATCCTTTCTCGGACTGTAGCATCACTCAAGCTTCGAAATCACACCATTACATTGCCTTTTGATCTGCTCCCACCGTCCTATTAACATCCTGATCTTCCCCTGCGCAAGTCCATCTTTTTCTTTGGAGAGCATTTCCTCCAATTTTTCCATTATCACATTAGCTTCTTTGAGATATGTCTCAATCCAATCCCTGATAATAGCATTAACCTTCACAGTATTCGGTGGTGCGCCGCGGCCCTGGATGTAATTTCGCCAATTACGCCGCGACATGCATTTCATACTCGCTGCAACTTCCGTCCGGAAACAGGGCCCGGAGTCGAGTGTGAGTTGGTAATTCCTTCACCCAAAACTTCAGTAAGTGATATTGCATATGTTCATATGGTGGCGGAATCTTACCCGTAATATCGTTGTTCTATTAGTTCTTCCTTTTCGGCGACGGTCAAGTCTTTGAATATTATATCGTCCAGGAACAGGGCATCGAATTCATTGGTTTCGAGGTAGAATCCATCTAGTCACCATATGCTGTCAGTTTTAATGAGAACATTTGAAGCGGGATCAGGTATTGTACGCACATTCAACAAAGAGAAAGTCATTTGGATGTGGGCCGTAGCTCATGTATATCTCCTCCCCCTTTTCTAGTATCCAATAAATTAGTGTTTTAAAACAGATGTATAAAGCGGGCTTGCGACTTACTATATAATCTCGTCGCCCGAAAAGTATAACTCTTCCCATCAAAGTGTACCTCACATTCCTACCAGCTCGTCAACACACAGACCAAGTTCATCAAAACAGACAATGATCGTACCGCATCATCAGTATGATTAAAATAATCCGCAAACGGCACCATAGCCATTGCATCATTCTTGTCTTCTGGCCGCTCTTGCCCAGGCATCAGATAATAGAAACTCCTCGTATTAACAATCAACCAATGATACGAGAACGTCTCCCAATCTGTGTCTGGGAAGACGGTAATGACGTTTCGCCATGCATCCCGTAATCGCGCCTCTTGTTGAGTAAGTAGATTCTGATGTTCTGTTTCGTATTCTGTTGTGAGTGGCTTTTTGCGAATTGTATTCCATGATCCGGAAATTGATGGTGGTAGTAAGACGGCTGATTCAGTAGCAGAAGAAGTTCCGCTGGATGTAGAGATTGGAGTCTTCAGACCTGAACCCCCAAGCTCTTGAGGCCAGAGAATGGGCATTCCTTCCTCAAAGTCTGCAAGGGTTGGCCATGTGGCTTTCCAGAGATTGTGTTTATTCAAGGCTTTTGGGTCACCGTGCGTAAGATAGGCTGCGAGCAGACCGTGTGTGGATATGGCATTGAACAAGTTGATGAAATCTGATGGGATGCTGTCAATGCATAACATGGCTGATATTGGTACTTCGACCATGATTTCATTTTCCTACATGAATTGTCAGCCTCGATCAGGGTACTATGATAGAGTGAAAAAATGCATATTGCTAGGATACCATACTTGTATATCCCGAGTTGCTATCATTCCCAAACCTCGACCAGGGATTCTGGCAGGCTCTACCCCATTTATACCGATATTTTGTGTAATAGCCCATTTCATAAATGCAGTATGCTGTTCGCCAGGCGAACTATGTTTCAACATATTGACACCAGTAAGATATACATGTACCCAAGAGCTCGATGATTTGGGCTAATTTTCCAACCCAGCCCAATCTCCGTGTAACTCGGGGTTTTGTCAATTAAGCGAAACAGTCAGCCAATTAAGCCGATTAATTGATTGAGATGTCCATGATCAAGTGAATACAGTCTTAGAGATCGTTGTCAGGAATGAAATAAAATGTCAACAACTGGACGGAGAAAGGCAGAGTGGGGCTTAACCCTAATTACCGCCAATCAAACCTGACATTTCTCTTGACCAATTAAGAGAGGCTTATCCCAAGATTTGTTCCTGATTAGGAAGGATGTCTATAAACTGCCTAATTAGGAATCTAGGGCTTTTCAGGTCCAACTAGCCGCGATAAGAAGCCATCGCTTTGTGGTCTTAGCTATAATTGTCGAAATTCTCAGCTAGCCCGTATCTCAAAATAAAAAAGTGCAAACACGTAACATCCACAGTCTCCATCGCCTTAGACGAGTGTCATTTCGGTTAAATCTCATTAAGCCACTCGACTAATCTCGATCTCGTCCTCAAACTCTCCGGGCATGATAAGCGCAGGTACACCCCAACTCTTCCCAATTCGAGGATTGCCTCGCACATACTCCCGATACTCTGGCGCGCCAGGACGAACCACATTATCCGCAATAATGTGACAACCTTTCTTGTCGACGAAGCCCAATTTCTCACACAACTCGAGATCAGGCTTGTAGAGCTCTTCTGCATGGTCCAAGAAGATCATGTCTACGCTTCCCTGTTCTAAGATACCTTGGTCATGAAGACGTCGTAGGGTATGCGCGGAGGAACCGACGATGATCTCGACAATGTCACTCAGTCCAGCGAGATTGACCAAGTTCATGGCGATTGACGCAATGAGCGGATCTAGTTCCAGGCTATAGAGATGAATCTTCTCTCCTCCGTGGTTCGCTTCTCGCATCGCATTTGCAAACAGAATTGTGGAATACCTTTCCGCTATCAGTCAGAGACGCAAAAATTATAATAGCCAGTGGATCGTTTGACGAACATACCCAACATAAGTACCCAACTCTAAGAACACTCTTGGTTTGTGCTCATGAATGAAATTGGTCAATATTGTCGCTTTATTAGACCCAATATTGATCAGAAAGTCTTCCTGTGCCGCGAACTCATCCATGACCGCCAAAATCGCCGTGGGAGAACCTCGCAACTCGCTGTCTAGCTTTGGGTGGCCGTAGATGTACCTAAGTAACTTGTCCTCTCGCCCATCGTGCGATTCGACATCCATGTTTTTTTGCAAAGAGGGATATTTAGCGAAGTCGATGGATTGTTGTTCCGGAGACTTCTCATGGGAGGTCCCTTGCTCAGAAGGAGGTTCGATAGTTGGTTCAGATGCCATATTCAGTTCAATAGTCTTGAGAGACTTTCAAAGTTGCATAAATATAGTCGGTAGGTGCAAATAGTGACCTTTGCTTAGGGCTCCTATTATGCCAAGTAATTTACAATTTTCTCCTAGATTTCTCAAATCCTCTTGTACCAACTCTTGTACCAAGAGTTGCGATACTCGACGGCTTGCATATATGTAGATTTGTGTAGATCAGGATCATAGCACCACAGCATTGCACTCGGATGACAGTTATTCCGTTGCCAGTCCCAATCAGGGAAGACGTGGAATGGTGTTCGGACATATTCTGGGCGAGGAGTGATGATTTGTCAGCCACGTTTGTCACTTTCTCAACATTGCCCTCATACTTGGAAGTAACTTATATCCGGGAATGGATTTACCATGCCGTTTTAAGTACTAGATTGCTCATACCTACTGGCCGAATAAGAGCCATTAATGGCGGAACATAGCGCGCCTCGTCCAGGTGGGTCAAAGCCCTGAAGCACCATTTCATTCGCTTTCCAACGCTGTCGCTGACCATTTCTCAGGCGAGAAATTTCAATTTATCTGCATACAGAATCCAGATGATGCCAAGAACCGTGCGACGAGGCGACTCGCGCGGTCGCATGCTATAGCGCGGGGCCTTGAGAAGAAGAGGCGGCGCCTGCAACAAGCAGGCCGTAACTTTCGCACAGTATCCTTGAAAGATGAAACCGGCAGTAAAAGCGAAGAGATCGTTCATAAAAAAGATGTGTCACCCGTTTTGCTGTCGATAGCTGCCCCTGGTCCATTCCAATTGCTGGCCGCCGAGTCGCCGAGTTTGCAGGCATTAATCAGTCAGCGTAAGTTCTTATCAATGCTCAAACCCCTAGAAATAGCTAATAGACCGATTCAGACAGTAGTGAACGTGCTACAGAACCAATACTTAGTGTCTCAGACGAACTCGTGCTCCAGAACTTTCAGTCGGTTCTTCGAAAGGGACTCGATGACCGCGCTTTATTGTATGCGGTCATGTTAACATACACCTCAGCAGTTGCTTCAAGCAGCTATAATGACGAGCATTTCATATATCGGACAGAGACATTGAGTTCTCTTCGTCAAAGTCTGAGATCTTCGGATGAAGCTACGTCCGAACCAACACTGGGGGCCATCCTGCTACTCGCTGGTATTGAGGTCTGTCATTCCTTTCTTTGAAAGTATACAATAATATGTCTAATAGTAGTAAGTGTAGGCCCGACTTGGCATGCCGCGTTCAGTGCAGCTTCACCTCGGAGCAATACAACAGCTTCTCGACGTCTGTCAAAGAAAAGGTATATATCTGGGTGACGCCATCAAACGCGCCATCTTCTGGTGAGTAACTACACTCAAATTCTCCTTTAAGCTCGATTCTAATCTTAATAGGCAAGATTTAAATTGCTCCGTCATGACAGGATCAACTCGAATCGTCGACCACACAACATTCTCCGAGCTCAAATGGACCAGATATCCTCTCTCCTCGAATCTCTTTGTCCTCCCTCCAGGCTTCAAATCTCTGGCCCCCTCATTGGGTGAACAGTTCATCGAAATCCTCGAGGATGTTCATGCATTACAATGTATCCGAGACAATGTGTGGGGCGCAAAGGAGAATGTCATATCGATGGCATATATCGATAACCACCAGGCAAATATTCAGTCGAGACTAGTAGAAGGTTTATCTGGTCATTCGTCTTTCTCGGAGTGCTGTCATTTGGCTCTATATCTATGTTCGAGTATGTTACGCTGCAAGATCTGGCGTAACTCAGTCATCCCTGTAAGTTTGCCTTATATGTCGTGTTTGTTTATCATTATACCCCATTTACTAAGACTTTGCATGAACAGTCACATCTTTCGCTACAACTACTCCACAAACTACAACAATTGAATGATGACTCAATCTGGGACGAATATCCCGGCCTATCAGCATGGATGCTTTATATCGGAGGTGCCTTTGCGCCTGTTGGGCCTATACAATCAGATTACATGACACTGCTGCATGAAAACCGTAAATCTAGACTCAAAGACCTGGATACATCGTGGCCAGAGCTGCTGGAGATTTTGAAGCAGTTCATCTGGTCCGAAAGGGCCTTCGCGTCACAAGTTGAGGCTTTTTGGAGAGAGACGTCAACTTAAAAAAATATATAAGGCTTGTATAGTATTGCTACTGAGTCAAGAAGCTCTTGCGGACATGAATAATTGCACGGGAACAGTGGGCAGCATCCAGCAGGCAGACCAGGGGGATATTTCGGCCTCAAAGATATCCAGAAAATAGTCAGCACCCACAACTGGATGTCGAAAACTTTTTCTTATTTATAATCAGCTTGTAAACAAAACCAAAATGTATCATGAAATGTATCCGACTTTTCGTTCATTGCATGGCAAGTTGTTGCGCGGCCGACCAAGCTTTACCTAATTCGGAAAAATCTCAATTCCCTTTTTGGAAATATCTCGTTGCCCTAAGTGAAACAGATATCTGTTTCTCGTCGATATTATCCATCTATGCTTAATAATGTGAGTGCAAAATGTGATTAAATTTCCGTAATTTTATTGAGTACATTCTTTTCTTCTTCTGGAAATGATTTGGAGAGATGTGTATAAATAAATCCCGACATCCTACTCCAAACCGACGCATCACATATCTCATTTCTCAATTCCAACCTACGGCCTACTCTCAAGCGCACGAGCTCACCAATCATGTCTCAATCCAACCTCTTCAAGCCTCTTAAGATAGGCAACATGCAACTCCAACACCGCATCGCCATGGCTCCTCTCACCCGCCTCCGTGCCACCGAGGACCGCACTCCAACCCCCATGATGAAGGAATATTACAGCCAACGAGCAGCGGTACCAGGAACCTTGATAATCACCGAAGGTACAATCACATCCGCTGCTTCTGCCGGTGGGTTCAGTAATGGGCCAGGCATTTGGCGCGAAGACCAAGTCGACGCCTGGCGCACAATCACCGACGAGGTCCATGCTAAAGGGTGCTACATGTTCTGCCAACTATTTGCCATGGGACGCGCGGCCGATGCCGAGTTATCCAGGAAAGAAGGCGTTACCATCGTGGCGCCTAGCGCTATACCGATTGATGACAATGCCGCGGTACCGCAGGCAATGACCCTCGATCAAATTAAAGCCACAGTCCAAGAATTTGTAGACGCAGCAAAAAATTCTATCCGCGCAGGATTCGATGGTGTCGAGATCCACGGCGCTAATGGCTTCTTACTTGATCAATTCATCCAAGACACAAGCAACAAGCGCGACGATGCATATGGAGGGAGTATCGAGAATCGCTCCCGACTCCTGGACGAGGTTATAAATGCGGTTGTCGATGCTATTGGCGCTGAGCGTGTGGGACTACGTCTGAGTCCCTTCAGCACGTTCCAGGGTATGCGAATGGAGGACCCGATTCCGCAGTTTAGCGACGTCATTACGAAGGCCAGCAAATCGGGGATTGCGTATTTGCACCTCGTCGAATCGCGTGTATCTGGTGCAGAGGAATATGAGACGAGTTCTGAAAGCCTGGACTTTGCGTACAGGTTGTGGAATGGACCGTTTCTGATTGCTGGTGGATACAATTCCAGTGAAGCGCGGAAACTCGTGGATGAGGAGTATCCAGACAAGGATATTGTGGTTATCTATGGGCGGTATTTCATATCGAACCCGGATTTGGTGTACAGGATTAAAGAAGGGTTGGAGCTTAGTGCGTATAATAGACAGACCTTTTACAACTACATGTCGGCGGAGGGATACGTGGATTATCCGTTCAGCAAGGAATATCTGACTGCTTGCTGAGGTACTAAACTAGATCCCATTCCCATATAGAACTCTCTTGTTTTCCGTGAATTTTTATCAAACTTATTCAAAAATTTCATTAGATATACTCTACCATCACATGTAACTCCGTGCTCGGCTGAGCGTTCTCTCGAAACGTATATTTGCATCCTCATCTTCGGCTTTTCCCAGATACTCACCTGGCAAAAGAATGGCTCTATCAATTGCGACAGGAAGACCGCGGTGTCGACCCCGGATCATCACCGCACATAGCACAAGTTTGCTAAGTGTGTGCCAGCCACCAGAGAAGCTGTATGCCTGATTGGGCAAACCCGTACTGATACCGACACAACCATATGCACTTACCGTCTCAAATAGGATGTTGAACACCGAGTACGTCACTGGATCGCGCGTAAAGTTGCCAGCTTCGATGATACTGATGATTATCACGGCGAGCGCAAGCCACCACGAGTCGTGTGCTAGTTGGAGACGTAATTGGTGCTGCACGAAATAACGCCGGCCGCGCGGGGTCATTTTTGAAAGAGGGTTCTGTGAATCTGCAGATGAAGATGACTGCAAGTCGCCTGCCTCATTTGCCGATGGATCATCTGCATAGATGCCCAGACTGCGCTCTTCGTAGACATTCGAGTTTCGCATCGTAATGACGACCGGATAGACAGAGATATACATCATTATAACATACAGAACTTGGAGGCCGACCTGCAAGGAAGAGATGGGCACAACGTAGAAACCTCCACTTCGAACACAGAGTGCTTGGAAGAGGCCATCTAGAATCCGCGGTCCCAATGGTATAGTGTCAACCGCGGGGTTATCGTACTGTTCAATAACATTAGTATAGAATATTAGTCTTTTTGATTGAGTACTCACATTCAAAATCTCAAACGCAACCCAGTCAATACCATTTAGCACAATTACTGAACATAAAAGCCACCAGGTATGAGTCGAAGGAAAGAGTGTGGTATAACAGCGGCGAGGATGTTGCAACAGGAATGTCACTGTTTCTCTATACTGTTGGAAATACTCGATTTCCGGCGTAAACTTTTTGATGGCGACGAGCGATCCACGAAGGAAGATTGGATAGCTGCACTCGTTAGTCGCTGATCTAGAGATCAAGTAGTCTCTCCTCTGACACATAGCTAAACGAACCAAGTATTCCCCGCTAAGATGAGCAGACCCAAAGTGATAAGGAAAAACCGGGAGTCTTGAAATGGCACCTGCAGTCGTAACGGATCAGGCTTGTTTCAAAGCACGACTAGGATTACCCTACCGCATTGGCATCAAGTAAACTCATGCCGGAGTTATTGAAAGCCGAGATTGCAAAAAATGCTCCGGTCCACCTGCGTGAGTGCACAAGTCAATTAACAAAAATTAATGTATGAGGTGATGTAACGCACCAAGGATTGATCCCATTTTGTCTTGTCAAATCACCGTGATTTCGCGCCACATAAGCGCCAACAGCGAGGGCACCTAGAAATTGCCAAAGGAATAGATAAAGGGGCACGATCACCGATAAAAGACAGACCGCTCGATATTCAACTCCCCCAAGACGACGCCGTTCTGCTTCGCTGAGGTGGTGGAATGATGAATTGCGACCAAACATATCAAGGAAATGAGAAAGATGGTCGGCGGCTTCTTCATTGTGACCTTTCTCTTGAGATTCTACCTGACCGCGGACATTTGTATACGGCGGACGTAGGTTTCGTTGGTACGCGGTTGGTGACGGATCTTGGACATCCGCAGCGAAGGTGATTTGATTTGGCGCGGAATCATCTTGCTGCCCTTGCTCCTGCTCATCTTGACTCCCATCATTGAATGAACTTTTCTTCTGCAAGACTGTATGTGACTCTAAAGGAGCTGATATGCCCATGTTCGATTCGGGATCATGGTGGTCGTGATCCGGCTGCATGGTGCTCGGTTGCTCTTTTGGTTCGGTTCGAAATGACCGGGAACGAAGCAGACCCAGGTTGTTGTTTGCAAAAGGACGGGGGATAGATGCTGAACTTAGTCTTCTCAAGCTCAAAGAACCTTTTCGCTTCCTCAGACGCTGTTGCTCCTCCACGATATCACTGAAGCGCTTCTCGAATGCGCGGCGACGAACGAAAACAATCGCTATGGATACCCAAACCTGCGCCAAATCAAATCAACGCTCCGTGCGACCCTTATTTTGTGAGAAGAATAAACAGAGGGACGCCCTACCGTGGAGCCCACTATAATCAAGCAAAACAACATTACTTGTTGAAACACGTTCAGGGTCGACAGATTGACGGTGTTGAGACCCGCCTCAGTCATGGCGCTCACGGTGAAGAATAGAGCGTCAATGTATCTCACGCTTCTCGCCGGCGTCGATGCACCCCAGAAAATAATTGACGTGATCAATGAAACTCCAATAAAGTATGCATAGTGAATAGTCAAAAACCGTGGCCGAAGCCGTGGCTGGTGACCCCGAATCGCGTCCAAGATGCGCGCCATTGTGCGCGCAGAGAGCAATCACCGAGTCAGTGAAATTTCATTCCACTCGAAGCCCATGCCATTGTGTAATTTTGTTAGTATATCGTTGAGCGTTTGCTAAATAAGATACGGAGCACTAAGTATGCAGGTCAAGTACGTAGCGGTCATGGCCAGAGCGTCAAGCTAAGCTAAACCGTGCTGCCCCACATCTCATGATCGTCATGATCCACCATCGACGACTACGTACCGACGTATATCGAGGTGCTCGACCACAGCAAAACAGCCATCAAACACAAAATGTCTCCAGCCCCGAGAACTGCGGTTCTCACTGCAAGTCGATGCCTTAGATGCCATGAAACTGGCTTGAGATATGCATCCCGAAGCTTCTCTGTACTCAATCGGCCACCTCCAAATTATCCAGGCCATGTTCCTCTCAACAGAATTGAGCGCGGTGCGCTTGCGATAGGATCTGCCTTTGGCTCTTTAATCAATCCATACAGACACGGTATATATTTACTCATAACATCCCTTTCGTTTCTCAATTTATTAAAAATTTCGACTCAGATCTCATTGCGGCATTAGGCGAAGCCACCGCAACACCATATTTCATATACCGTCTTCGCGACGCCATGCTCTCCAACCCCACCGGCCGCCGCATTCTCCGAGACCGTCCTCGACTCAACTCCGAAACCCTCAAAGTACCCTATCTGCGTAGCTTACCCGAGAACTCAGTTGGTTGGTCATACGCAAAATGGCTCGATAAAGAAGGAGTATCCCCCGACACGCGAGACGACGTACAATACATCGACGACGAGGAATGCGCCTACGTCATGCAACGATATCGCGAATGCCACGATTTCTACCACGCCGTTACGGGTTTACCGACTATGGTTGAAGGTGAATTGGCTCTCAAAGCGTTTGAATTTCTGAATACGGTGCTGCCTATGACGGGACTGAGTCTTGCGGCTGTGGTCCGATTGAAGCCTGCGGAGCGGGAGCGGTTTTTTAAGCTTCATCTGCCGTGGGCGGTGCGGAGTGGGCTGTCGAGTGAGGAGTTGATTAATGTTTACTGGGAAGAGCAGTTGGAGCGGAATGTGGATGATTTGAGGGCTGAGTTGGGCATTGAGGCGCCGCCGGATTTGAGGGAGATACGCCGTATGATGCGGCAGCAGGAGAAGAGGGCAAAGGAGAAGCAAGCTCAGAACTCTACTTCGTGATGGCAGGCCGTTGTTCTAGACAGTGGTATATAATGCCTGTTGTATATTAGACATCATGTATATCATACATTTGTATTGAGCGTTTTCTGCTTGTGCTATACAACTGTTCTTGCTGGTTATTCTCCGATGTTCGTATGGTATGCCGTCCGGCTCAGTAAGTAGCAAGTCATTCAAGAGTCATGCTTCGTCCTTCGTCATTTTCGTTCCTTCTACCAACTATTACCATTTATAAATCCAACAAATCATCATCATCATCATCCCAACCACCCTTGCGACGACTGAAAATAACTTTTTGCTCCTCTTCCTCCTTGCGCGAGTTCTCCGCAACCGCGTTGAGGAGATCCTTCAATTGGTCTTCCGTCACTTTCTGGCGCAACTGGCCTGTCTGTGCGAGCATGATGAGTCTGTTCTCGATATCCACGGCGSGGGATTCTTTGACGAGTCGTATTCTTCCGAGCCGGTCTGCGGCTGCTGGGTCGAGGATTTGGTTGAGTATTGTGGCGCGTCGGTCAGCTGGTTTTGGTCAGTCGATGTGCGGGTTTCTCGAGGTTTGTGGGAATAGCATGTACCTTCTGCTTGTCTATATCATGCAAAATGTGTCAGTAAAGTAACCTATTGCTCGAACGACGGTGCTAACCTTCTCTGATCTTCTTGTCCTTCACCTCCAATGGGAGCGGCCCCTCGGCCACCTCCCTGCTGTTGCAGCTGAGCGAGACGAGCTCTCCGGATCTATACTCGATATTAGATCGTCTTGTCCGTACTCATCGCTTGTATTCGCGGCTTGACTGACCTCCTCCAACTCAGCGTCAGCCATGATGATATACTCTTTTCCCCAGACTTTCTCCAAATGTAACGAAACGAGGTATTCGAATGAGAGACCGGTCGAGACTCAGTTCCGATGTGACGAGTCCCGTGATTGTTGTCCTGTGTACAGCACGTGTAGTGCAATGTGGTGTAATGGGAATAGTGTTGATTGTTTTGTTAAGAAATGTACAGTGATTGTCATGCACCCCACTTAGTGGCCTGAGGCCTTACAGATATGTAGTGGGGGAGCACATCATCATTCTACCATAAGAATGCATGTAGTTTAGAAAAGCAATACATCATAATTTATGACGATAGCTATTTCTTGTATCTGCCTTTCAATTACTGGCTAAGATCGACATAGGATTTCCGCTCATTTCTCTTACTGGCTTACATCTCAGCATGTAACTTGAACATTGACTATATAGCATGTCTTCCAGCCTTGTCAATTAACAGGTCATGCTGAAATTGCGTGCTCTGTACTCCGTTCAAAAAACAAGATTTACAAATGCTGTCTTGCTCTGTACTACGGAGCTGTCGTAGAAATTCTGATAAGTTGAATAACTAGGCGCACGTGACATTTGTCAGCAGGGATTAGCTTCTCAGATTGATTACGCGCTAAGCCCGATCTGGATACTGGCGGCTATCTGAGCTGCCAAGACGCTGCGTTCGCCACTCTTGCTTCACGCCTTGACCAACCACTCAATCCTTCAGTCCCACACGCAATCGCCGGACCTCAGGGACTGTCCGTTTGTCTGTCTCTCTCTCTCACTCTCTCCGTGCTTCGTCTCGATTATACTTACGCTGCTCGACTACGGACAGCATCCTCCATTCCTTTCATCTACAGATATCGGTCGACCGACTTTTCCGCACTCAGTCCTCTGTGGGTCTTACAATAACATGCTACTGGTGTAACGGACTCGTCGCGGCAACGTCAATCGGGGGATAACCGGCCATTCTCGTCATATCAATCTTCCTAGATGATATTGTCTTTCCTTCACTGGTCCGGCTGCATTGAATAGGTCAAGTCCACTCCTTTTCAGGTAGCTCGCTGAGCCGCCGTATCTCGATTCTATTTCTTATCGAATCCCATCATGGCCGAGTAAGTCCCTAGGCAGCTTCGCTTCATTTCAGAAAATTGCTTATCTAAATCGATCATTTAGCAGCCTTATTTCCCTCCACACATACGGACACAGCAGCTTTTTATCGGCGCCGAACATGTTATCCCGACCAAACAGCCACAAGCGGTCCCAGTCCGCCGGGAAGCGGTCACGATCGCCCGCGAGGTTTCTGACGAAGATGAAATCTACCAATGCGCTCTCCGATTTCGATAGGACTGGCCGAAGGCTTTCACCAGCTGGATTGGAAGATCTGCAGGAAAGCGATTTCAATACATTGAGGGACCCTCGAATGGCAAGCACATCCGATCTTACCGGCACTTCGGATTCATCGCATCACCCCGATCTGAGCAGCGAGGTGGCCACCCTGAGTGCGAAATTGGTACAGGCAATAAACAACCAGACGAATTTGGATGACTCATTGTCGGCTACCCGACAAGAATTGGAGGAGGCGCAGGAAAGACTATCGGAATTGGAATCTGAGAATGAGAAATACCGGGCAGATATCTCTAGCGGAATCATGATTAAACGAAGTGATGTCGAAGCGGAAATTTTATCCATGAAACAGACGCTTGACGAAGAACGTGCAAAGCGGACAGCTGCTGAAAAGGAGAAGAGAGAGATGGAGCAGGAGTTGGAGACATTGACTGCTGCTCTGTTTGAAGAAGCTAATAAGGTAGAGCATATCTTCAATCCGCAATGGCATTAGTTGCTAACATAGATAGATGGTTGCTGCTGCAAAGCAAGAGCGGGAAGCTGTTGAGAAGAAGAATGAACAGCTTCGTGCCCAAATCAAGGATACCGAAGCCTTGGTTGCCTCTCAGAAGGAGCAACTTGCGGAATTGAAGACAGTAATGCAAGAGATGAACTCCGGTCGCGACGATAACGATGCCACGCCTAATCCATCGACAGCCCCTACATCACCAGCGATCGCGATGCAATCGAGTGTAGGCCGCTTTTTAGATGGCTCTCATTCAMCSCCCGCCACTCCTGTGCTTAATGAAATTCTACCTGCACCTTCAACGTCCTTTTCTCATTTGATAAAGCCCATATACCGCACAGATATGGTTGCATATGACGATTTCCGTGAGTTATTGGATTTCGCTACTGCTTCCAAACCGCCTAGCCGGGTTGCTAGTGGCTCATATGGCGGCTTGAACGTCATGGGCCTAGCCGGCTTGACTTCAAGCAGCAGCTCAAATGTTGCGTCTGGTACTCCCGGCAATAGTCAATCTCATACCCCTGCTGGAAGTCCCCAAACAAACGTTTCTCATACGCCCTTGAAGGATACGCGGTTCTACAAACGAGTTCTCGTTGAGGACTTTGAACCCACTCTGCGTTTAGATGCCGCTCCGTCCATCTCTTGGCTCACACGCAGATCTGTTATCAGCAGCCTTTGCGACGGTACACTGATTGTGGAGCCTATGCCTGCAAGCCATAAAAAGTATCAATTCCCCTGTGGTCTCTGTGGCGAGCGCCGACTAGGCGATGTCAACGAACGTACTCATCGTTTCCGCACATCAGACAACGAAAGTGCTCAGCGATACTCTCTATGTGTCCTTTGTCTTGAAAAGGTTCGCGCTTGCTGTGAGTTCGCCGGGTATCTCAGAATGATTCTCGATGGCCATGTGCATGTTTCAGACGTAGAGGAAGAGAAGGAAGCATGGGAAGAGACTATTCGTTTGCGAGAGAGGATTTTTTGGTCACGGTTCGGCGGCGGTGTTGTACCGTTTTTCGCTCCTGTCGAAGATGCAGAGAAATCGTTGCCTGTACCGGGCCCAGCTGAGGTAGAGGCTGGTGTTGAGGAAAATGAGCCGAAGTCGGAAAGTGAGGTTGTTTCAAATGCTACCGACGAAAAAATCGATAAGGTGCCTCCTGCTTTACCTCCAAGAAATGTCGACCGTGTGGCGGTTTTGCCAAACTCTGAGGTCAAGGAGGCATTATTTGTTGACACTGCGGTCCAAGCCGATGGACAACTCGACGGCGCCCATGTTGTTTCAGGTGACTTGGATGATACCGAAGCAGAGAAGCAACTGCGCACCGACTTGGAGACAACACTTCCCGACGCGTCGCATTCCAAGAAGAATTCCGAGTCAACACCTCCGCATACCAACGATCACGCGGAGTCGGAGAATAACGATTCAGAGGATGCAAAAGCCATGCCAGGTGCTTTTGATTGATTCGAGTCATTCGACATCCCCGTGATCACATGCTATTTATCCTTGTCTTCCCCCGTATTTTTTTGACCTATCAACTTTGGAATCATCCCTTTGTTGAGATTCTACCTACCCCCTTTTTTCACCCTCCAATGACGCTGGTCCGGGCATTGCATAGCATTTCGTGACGATTTTCATACACCTTTCCATCATCGTTATCATCATTCTATCATGTGTAGTACGACCGCTACGTACTTCCAACTGTACTATTAATGTAATAGCTTATTCTTCCATACATACCCTGTCTTTTGGTTCTGATTTTTGCAAAGTACATTTCAACCCCTGCCCCAGGTGCCCCGATCGAAGATTTTATTCGCATTTGCAGCTTTTGCATATATATTTATATTTCAATTATCTTTGATTCGTTTTTATTTTTTCCACAAAGAGAAGTTTGGAAGTACTTTACGATTTTAGATAGGCATGAAATTTTCTTTCTGACAATTCACATTCTTGCGTTTGATGATATTTGCGGATCTCATCTCGAGATATATCTGATGTCTTTACTGATTTTCTGATTATTGGTTCTCTATCTATAGCATTCTTCACCATAATGGTAGCGAGTATATATGAAATCTCATTTATCACTTGATTTGAAAAGAGCTCTATCGTAGGTCATAAAACCCCCCTTTTGAACTCTGATCCAGCCGAAAGTTCCCTACTGCTGATACCATTCTGCTTTAAACACTAGCAACGATGTATGTGAAGTTTGCATATTTCTATTAAAGGTTCTGAGTTAGAGAACGACATCGTGCTGGACTGTATGTACGAGTTGGAGAGAGGGGAAAGTAATTGTTCGAGCCCTAAGCCGTTTCGGCATATCTCCCCATCAAAGGAGGCCGGCCAGAAAATTAGTACGAATATCGGTGACCGTAATCTTCTAAGAGTGTGTATGAACTCCTTTGCCGGAAGAGGAAAACTCGCTAGAATAGAGATTCACCTTCCGTGATCCCGCCGAATCTTTTCGGTTCGAATATGGAAGAAAAGGCTTTTTGAGGTTGGCAGGTTACGCCACGGTGGTTCTGTGAACGGATTGGGGACAATCTCAAGATGATATGAGAGAAGGTGTGATTTTTGATAATTTTGGTCATTTATTTCACATGATTCAGAGATGAACCGGATGATAATGTTGTGCGAATACTTTCTCAATTCTACTGGTCGTGGGAGAATGTTCTACGATTGTCGTGAAAGGAGAAGGAGCTTCGTTTTCGCGAGAGCTTTCGTTCGCATTGTTTCAGCATGTCGTTGAGGAGATAGCTATGTTTGCTAATATCTCTCCTGATTTGTATGAGCAAAAGACCTCAAAAGAAAAAAGTCCTTGAAGATAGTCAAGACGCGAAAAATCCGAATCGACTACACGTATATAGTTAATCGCTACCTAGGTACCTTTATTGATTCGCATGACCTACGAGATTCCATCCATCCGATTGCAGTAGAAGAACATATAAACACTATTGTCATCAATAACCTAATTACATTTGCCTAGAATGTTTTCAGGTATGTATAGATGTCTACGTCTACGCGAGAAATGGTTTCTTACATCGTGATTTGTTGGTGCCCAATCAGATTTGTCTTTAGCTACAACGGTAGGGTAGGTTGCTCCCTACGCTTGGCCACCCAGTAAGCTTCAGTTCCTTTGATAGATTGACTATCAAGAATAGTCCTGTCGAAACTCCCACCCCCTCACGGCTGGGAACGGCGTTAGAAAGGAGCTGGATATCGCAACGCTCTTTCTAAAACTTGCAGTCCATAAGTCGTGCACTAAAGCGCGTATCGTTCCTTCGTGCAAAACCTATCCAAGCATCGTCGATCTCGGCAACATCAGAATTGATTGCTTATAAACGTAATAATTCTAAGCCTAAGAGCTATAACTATAGATAAACAGATAGATCATTAATCCTGAAACCCTAACGCTAATCCTAATTTAGATACTTTCCATCTAGTTAAAAGGTGCGTATCACAGGGCGGTGTGTGACTATTCGTTGTGCCAAACCTAACACAAGTCGAGCCCCAACCTCCAGTTCGCGATATACATGTTTAAATAGAGCCCTCCAACCACAGATACCTCCTCTAATTTGATCAGATACATCCGCAGACTCTTCCATTGATAGCGTCGAAATGCAGGATTCGCCCGAGACAAACTCCTGGCGACAGGAGTTTCTCAGTGAATTTACAGCAATACCAGCATCGGAAACAACATTCTCAATACTAGAGCAAGGAGACCTTGAATCATATCAGTACGATGCACTTGAATTTAAAAGAGCAATCAGGGTAAATAAGAAGCATCCAATTTCTGTGTTGCTAGCTACAGCAGATAATCGACTGTTTGCGATTAAAGAAGTGAGTATCAATAATAACGAACCACGACAGGAGTACTGAAATATACTATCTTAGTTCCAGCCAGTCAGTGATCAGCAGGTCAAGATTTTGATTAAAACCTATCGTGAAGCTTTCCCGGAGACTCTGAATAAATCTATTTTGGACCGAGTGAGGCAGGATTACGATCCATTCACTTTGGAAAAAAGAGCCTATGAGAGAATACATCAAGCCTCAAAAGGCTCCAAGGCATATTTCCCCGAATGTTATGACTGCCCGGATAAGAGAATTCTTGTTATTGAATACTTACGATCGTCTCTTACGTCACGTTGCATTTGCTCCAGTTCAGTCCCTCCTTACTTCAGCAAGGATTTAGAACTTTTGCGAAATGAGAGCACAAACACTAACCTTTCGACCTTGGAGAGGAGATGGTACGAATCACTTTTCATTGATCGTCTCAAGCGACTAACGGCACTACATTCGATCGGAATTACACACGGGGACATTAAGGAGGATCATTTCCGCCTGCCAGGTGACTTTCATGACACCGTTCTCTTTGATTTTTCTCGTGCATATACGATTACATCAGAAAGGCCATATCTGGTGCAGGGCTATGTGATTGATAGTAGATATAAATCGAGGTGGGCAACATGGCGAAGTATGCAAAGACTCGTTGAGATGGAGAGAAGGTGGCTTCGCGCTCTAATTATCACACGGTAAATCTATCATAACCTCTTTCTTCCCCGGTTAAAAGAGCATCTGAAATGCTGAGTCTTATGTCCTTTAGTATGAAAGAGAATACTTTCAAGTCAAGATACAATCTTAATGACGAAAACAGTCTTGCTAGATCGTCATCTGCAGAAAGGGAACTGATCGCGATGAGAATATACCGAGTACCAGCAGGTCAGTATTCTAAAATCAAATATTTGTATATTACTACTATCTCGCGTTCAGAATTTGCTTTTCCGTCGCTCGCCTCAATTCTACCATTCTTAGAAGAAGCATTAAAGGGCAAGCCGCAAACTTGGCTGATCTCTATAGTAGTCTCTCTTGAGGACTACATCGCGCTTTGGATCAAGTCACATGGCAGTGGTGATTCCTATTTAATCGCTATGGCTTCCGAATCTGGAGAGAACACATCTTATTATTCGCCACAGGGTACTTTCAAGACCGAAAGCGAAAAATATTATTTGTTTCTTATTCCAAGAAGCTGGCTAAATGTGTTGGAACTTTCTCAAGAATTTGCAACGAGAGTCTTAATGACGCGGTTTGGAAAGAGGGCATGGACGGTTGACAAAGAAACATCCTTCGGAGAGCATTAAACGAAATCCGATCAAAGATGGATTTTACCTTCCAGAAATGTGATACCAAGCTGAGGCACTACTTAGAAAAGATTGCATCGACCAGGATGAACGAGACTACGGGTAATCTGCAACTGCATACATGAATATTGCCAAAGCGCCAGCAATCTCCCTTTATGTCACTAACGCATCAAGTCATCTTTCGAATACGATGTCAGGTGGTAACCTCCCTGTAAGATGCGAGCCTATTCTCATTCCTTCCATACAATAACCATTCGTTACTCCTAATCAACTTTATTTCACGATATACCACCAATAATTTTGATAAATGACCTCGTTCGGCTTGTCCCCACAGACTGCAAGTGAAGGAGACATCCCCTTCCACTTATTTACTTCCGGGTGCTTCAAAAATTCAACCCCTAAATCCTTCCAGATCTGCATCTCTCCCCGAATTTCAAAATATCTGGCGGCAGTAAAGAGTATTGGGCACGGAGCATGTGTAAGATACTTGATGGTTGGGTACCATTCCGCTTGTTCGACTACCGAAAATCCCGAGTGGAAAGCTGCTCCAAGGTCTGGTGTCTGATAGAGTTTGGTATTGACGTATGTGTGGTATGGACCTCTCCAGGTAGCGATAGAAACCGATCGTCCCATTTTCGTACACGTGGTGCAGCACTGAAGTTTGTAGAGTTTCTGAGAATTTTTACCGTCTCTAAAACCCATGGACACATTCGGACCTACAAATGTTAGGTAAAGAGCTGTCAGCGATGGTAGAAGGTGTAAGAGCTCCTCAAATGCAGGAACAGAAGCAAACTCAGCTCCAGCTGCGCCTATAATGTCAAGGCGAATTGAGCCCCGAGTGCTGACATTGGGTATTGTCGCCTCCAAGGCTGCGATCAAAGTAAGCTGAATAGTTGTTGTGTTGGTACCGCATCTCATATACTCGACGAATTCTCGTTCTTTGGGGTTATTTTCCAGGTATTTCAGATCTCGGTTCAATTTGGACTTGAAGCTAGACTTGTCTGAGAGCATCGTGTAGTAATCATACCAGTCCTTTGCAGAAGAGAGTGAAAGATATCGTTTCCTTGGCCCCTTAGTAAAAGAGATAGTCGACGTCTTTCCCGTTCGCTGGCGGAGATTTACCATGGCCTTGTCGTCGGCTGAAATATCTTGCAAGGTGTCGCACTCCGCAGATGGATGTGTTTGATCGCAGGACGGGCAGAATGAGGTGAGAAGGCAGTGATGGCAGGCGCTCAGTTTTGCCCCAGCTTCAAGCTGAGACTCTCTTCTGTAGCAGTGATAGCAATATGGTTCGTGGCTAAATGTAAGTGTCAGGAAATGAAACGAAAAGAATATAATATGGTAAAACCGCCCAGGCTTTGTGGAGGTGGGTTCAACTCTGAGAGGAGAACGCACATACCCAATTAATCTTCCAAGTTCACAAACGTTCAGAGTACCAGATCTCAAGAAGTCTAGCAACTATAAAGTGCGTCAGAATCTGCTTGTTCGTCTTCCCAATCCAGATAAGCTAAATAACGTACCTGCTCGCCATGGTAGTCATTCCAACGCCTGCCAACTGAGAGCACAGCTTTTCTTTGTTTATCTAAAGCAACGAGTTTCTTGCAGATCTTCTTGTGATTCCTGGACCAGTCTTGCTCTTGACACTTTACTGAGCAGTACGAGACCCGTTTGCAAGCACCGCATCGTCTGAGATCTAAGGACGCGTCCCAGCAGGAAAAGCATAGAGCTTGTTTCAATGCTAAGGTTGGGACTAGATTTGCATCTGAGTCCGAATCAGCGTTGGCATTATTGGATGCCATTTCTGGGTTGAGGTTGAAAGTCTTCCGGGAATTTCCAGCGATGTAAGTAATTCCCAAGGCAGATGTCTACACTTCACGTGCAATGTCTCAGACATCGCAGCCAATTTTGAACATTAATACCATGGGCGCTCAACACATTATAACTAACTTAACAGTTTTTCTGCCTGCCTTATTGAGAAGGCTGTCGGACTATATATACTTTGGAACGTGTAGATCTGCTATTGGTTAGGAATTGTTTTTTGTCGTTACACAGCATTATTTCTGTCTTTGTCCTCGTCGCATCCACCCCCAACACCGTTCTTCCGTGACGAGTAACCAGGATGTTGGCCTTGCTCAATGTCGTGAGTCTCCTTGCGTCAGAACGCTTCAAATACGAGAGACATTGAGGTACGCACTATCTGACTGATCGAGTTCGTTTGTAAGCTACATGAATCGTTGCCTCTATAGATTCATCCAAAAATCAAGGAGCGCCTCACTACTTCAGAGATAGATGCGACTCTCACATTTAAGTGCTAATAAAGTGAAGGTGTATCTGATCCGTGGATTGGGTTACGCGTCTAAGGAAGCTGGATACGTCAACTATTGTTGCATACGAGCAAATACGTAAAGTATCATGTAGTTATAAGCTTATCTATGGCTTACTGATCCAATTACAGTACGTGACTTAGGTAGATGCATGGTTTCAGAACAGTGTAGACGTATTTCATTCGTACATAAACCCCAAACCCAACACGCCCAATCCAAATGCTAAATAAGTAATTACTCAAAGCTAGAAAAAGAAGTATACATGAGATATTGGTAAAACTCCGTTTTGTACACCAGACTGTCATCCGCCTTCTGTTCCCCTTTTGTAGGATTTTAGACGGAGCGAGAGGAAAGAGAACGGGAAGATGTAATAATTATATGATCAATAAAAAAATTTAGTGACTTCCCGGGTATCCCTGTTGATATTGCCCCTGCGGATACTGCCCAGGCGGCTGCTGTTGGTTGTTTCCATATCTCTCGTGCAAATTCCTAATCTGCTCATTGATATCCATAGTTGGCGGATTTGGCCCGCCTGGCCTTCCTACCATTCCGGGACCTGCGCCTGCTGCTGGTGGACCAACAGTCGGCATTTGCATGTGCGAGAAATGAGATGGCGCACCCGGCGCACTTTCGTAGCCAGTGGTACCGGGTGCTGGTACTGAGAAAGGTGTAGGTCCGCCACCGGGAGGTGCCATCATGGCAAGTCTTTTGCGACGTGCTTCTTCTTCAGATTCGTCGTATCCACCGGCGGCTGCGGTAGGAGCGGCTGCATTTGCATAATCAAAGACATCGCTTCGCTGACTAGCAAGACGTTTTAGGTTGCCCGCAACATCCGTTGTGATCAAATTAGTATGCGCGGCACGGGATTCCGCCTTTTCGCGTTGCTCTTTCCAGCGTGGATCCAGCATTTCGATGCGCATGTGTTGATCCAATTCAGCAACAGGGATTTGCTGGTGACAATTGGGACAAAGCGCTGTGACGGCTGCGTTTTGTTGTCGTCGTGATTGTGCGCGTGGAACATAGTCTGATCGAATACGCATTGATGGCGGTTGACCTTTGGCGGCTGCTTGGGCGGCTGAGGCCTGGTCGCGTGCTTCGGCACGTTCGCGGATACGTCTATCCTCTTCTTCGTTCGCTGCAGAGACAGGTGTCGGTATGGTCGGGGGTTGGAAGGTAGGGTGTTGTTCTGCGGGAAAATGAGTGGGTTGTGGCTGGGGKGTAGGACCGACTTGTTGCATTGGATAAGCATTGTAATAGACGGGCTCTGCTTCGTCTGTAGGCATCGCCTCCTCGATACGTAAAGGATTAAGTGACATTGCCGCCTTCTGCTCGAGGGACGCCGACTGAAGATCACCCAGGGAAGCGGGTGGCGGCAATTCAATTTGATCGTCTGCCTCGGTGAAGAGGACGGTTTCCACGACGGCGAAATCATGCCAGTCAATTTGGGCGTATTCAATACGTTCTTTTTCTTCCTCCTCCTCTTTTTTATGCTTTTGTTGTTCTTGAAATTTGACCCATTCCGCTCGTTGTTTGGCACGGTCCAAAATATGGTATTTGCTTTTTATATTTCGATCCACTTCTTCAAGCCGACGGTTCTCTGTAGTCTCTGCATCGATGCCTTCTTTCGTCAACAATATAGTGTATTGATCGACCAGTCGGGTAAAGAACTGATATAAGCTGTGTTGCGGTCGCAAAAAATCAAACTGAAAGTTTCGCGCCTCCCTTTGCGACAACGACGTCATAAATGATTTTCCTCTTTTGGCGACGAATAGCGCAGTCAACTTGACGACCTCCAAATCTTGTGCATTGATAATAGGCATTCGCGCCGAGAAATGGAACTCTGGTGGTGCAGCCGGCCCCTTGGGCTTTTCCGGTACTGGAGTGACGACCGCCTCGCCTGTTCGGCCAGCCGACACGTCGGTGCCACGTCCTTCTTTAATCTCATCGAGTCGCCATAGATAATAAGCTGCATATGCGTCGCCGGGGCTTAGGAAGGAGAACTTCGGGTTGTTTTGTTCTTTTTCGCGAATTCGCTCTGCAAGTCGAATATAATTAGCTGTGACGAAGAAGATCTGAGATTTGCTAAGACTTACGTTCAAAGACCGGACCATTTCGAGCGGCATATCCTGCTGTCTTCTCAACAATAGCTGTATGATAGAATATATTAGCAAAGGGCATCAAGACAAGCTGATTGAGTAGATGGACGCACCTCTGATATCCTTCGGTGGCACAACGATGCCCTCTGGAGGCTTGGTTATATCGTCTACCGTCGTGGGCGTTGAGACCCCATTACCGTTGGCTACTGCTGCAGCCATAATGTCTCCTGTAACGCGACGAAAATGCAAAAATGACGGATTGCTGTCGGGTGAGCAGAGAACGTTGAGCCGGAGATGGTCGCATTAGATATTTCCCGTGTAAGAACCAAGAAGGTTAGAGCTTCTCCGGCGCTTAATTTATTAGCCGCGCGGCTCGGCGGAAGTGCATTCAGGAACAAATAAGTGCTTTAAAGAATGACATGAATCATCTAGGTCTGCCGGCCTAAGTTTGCTGAAATATTAAGTCATCATATCAGAATGAGTCCATTGCAATCATACAAATGAAACTTATTGCCGTCGTCTACATTCACCTCCTTGTGGTCGCTAATAATAGCCGTGAGCAGCCAGCCAGTAGGAAGCCGCGTTGCCCAACCGGCGTGGCACCTTCCCCATACGAGATCTGGCCAGCTGTCGACGACGAACTCCCTTCCGATTCATTTTCCATCAACACTGTTTTTTGTTTACGAGCATCTTTTTGCAATCACTTTTTGATGGGATCTCTCTATTCTAATTAATCGTTCTTCGTTTCCTGACTTTCGTTTATGCTCTTATCCTATCACTTTGTTGCTCTCTTATAACCTCTAATTGTTACGTACTCGTTGCTGGCAAACCTCGAATTATTCTCCGAGTCAATCGCATTATCTACAATACATTCAACATACCGGGCGACTACAATTGACTTTTTTTTCTGATAACCTCCTCGATGAAATTCAATTGCAACCATGCCTTCAAAATCTAAAGATACACTCAGCGTGCGGCCGGTGTCTCGAGGAAATAACCGCTCGCGCAGTCGCAGTCGCAGTCGCAGCCGTTCACCCAATCCAAAATCGAAAAAGTCCGCACTCAAGAAAGCAAAGGATTATTCGTCGGAAGGCGTCAAGGATAATGACATTTTCAATCTCCCAGTTTCAGACTATCTGTGGCTCGCAGGCTTGACCCTGGGGGCAGCCGCGGTCCGATTGTTTCGCATTTACCAACCCTCGAGTGTTGTTTTCGATGAGGTCCAGTACGTTATGCTTATACTCTAGTCAATGGTGGAAGTTTCTTGGCTAATACATTCTGATGTTGTCAGTTTCGGTGGCTTCGCAACCAAATACATCAAGGGCAGGTTTTTTATGGATGTTCACCCCCCGCTTGCGAAATTGCTCATTACATTGGCTGCCTGGCTCGCTGGCTTTCAAGGCGACTTTGATTTCAAAGACATTGGATTGGACTATCTTGAGCCTGGAGTCCCCTACGTCGCTATGCGCCTGCTGCCAGCTATCCTTGGTGTATTGACTGTACCCTTGATGTTCCTAACGTTGAAAGCCACTGGCTGCAGAACATCCACTTCTGTCATGGGAGCAGTATTGGTTACCTTTGGTGAGTGACGATAAATTAGCTACGCAAGTATTAAAGCTTACTCGAAACAGACAATGCCCTTACCACTCAGTCCCGTTTTATTCTCCTGGACTCACCCCTGATTTTCTTTACGGCCTTGACTGCACTATCCTTTGTGTGCTTTACAAATCAACATGAGCAGGGCCCTTCCAAAGCATTTAAAGGCGCTTGGTGGTTCTGGCTGGCTTTTAGTGGACTTTCACTAGGCGCCACACTCAGCGTCAAGTGGGTTGGTCTCTTCACCACCGCCTGGGTGGGATCCTTGACTATCCTCCAACTGTGGGTTCTTCTAGGCGATTCAAATACAGTCACACCAGTAAGTCTAGCCCCTCTAGATGTTCCACAAAACATCACTGACTATGCTATAGCGTCTGTGGTTTAAACACTTTTTTGCTCGATTCTTCTGTCTCGTTGTCATTCCCCTTGGCTTCTACGTCGCGATGTTCGGCATTCACTTCCTCTGCTTAGTGAACCCTGGAGAAGGGGATGGCTTCATGTCTTCTGAATTCCAAGCTACTCTCAACTCCAAAGCTATGCAAGACGTTCCGGCAGACGTTGTCTTCGGCTCCCGAGTCAGCCTTCGCCATGTCAATACCCAGGGTGGTTACCTCCATTCGCATGCACACATGTACCCAACCGGAAGCCAGCAGCAACAGGTCACTCTCTATCCACACAAGGATGAGAACAACGTCTTCCTCCTTGAAAACCAGACTCAGCCGCTTGGAGTTGATGGAGTAGAGATTGAAGGACCAATGGCTTGGGATAATGGAACCGCAGAGTATATTTATGATGGGGCTGTCATTCGACTGTACCACTTGATGACACACCGCCGTATTCACTCTCATGATGAACGTGCTCCTATTACGGAAGCCGACTGGCAAAACGAAGTGTCTGCCTATGGTTACGAAGGTTTCCCAGGTGATGCCAACGATCTCTTCCGTGTTGAAATCGTCAAGTCCTCTTCTGATGGCGAGGAAGCTAAGAAGCGCCTACGTACGATTCAAACTAAATTCAGACTTGTTCACGTTATGACCGGATGTGCCTTGTTCTCGCACAAGGTCAAGCTACCCGATTGGGCGTTTGACCAACAAGAAGTTACTTGCGCCAAGCAAGGCACTCTCCCCAACAGTCTCTGGTATATTGAATCCAATGCCCACCCCGCGTTGACAGAAGAGTCGGAGAAAGTCAACTACCGAAACCCCGGTTTCTTGGGCAAGTTCTTGGAGCTGCAAAGAGTCATGTGGACAACTAACGCCGGTTTGACTGAATCGCATGCCTGGGACTCTCGCCCTCCTTCATGGCCCACTCTCCTTCGTGGTATTAACTTCTGGGGCAAGGACCACCGTCAAGTCTATCTGCTTGGAAACCCACTTATTTGGTGGTCATCAACCGCTGCGATCGCTCTTTATGTCGCTTTCAAGGGTTTTGCAGTTATCCGCTGGCAACGAAGCTTCGACGACTACAAGAACGTCAACTTCAAGCGATTCGACTATGAAGTCGGCACTACAGTACTTGGCTGGGCTTTCCACTACTTTCCCTTCTTCCTCATGGCCCGTCAGCTCTTCTTGCACCATTACCTCCCAGCTCTGTACTTTGCCATCATGGCGTTGTCGCAGACCTTTGACTTCATTTTAAATCGTGTTCAGCTACCTGTCATTGGCAAGAAATCTATTATCGGCAGCGGACTCATCACGACTTTCCTTGCCTTGAGTGTCGGTGTCTTTGTCATCTACTCCCCTCTCACTTATGCCAATCCTTGGACAAGAGATACCTGCCAGAGCGTGAAATTGCTCGATTCTTGGGATTTCGATTGTCCTATCTTCCATACTAACGTAAGTCTCCCAGAATGGAAGCCGCCTCCTCGCGGTAAACGTCGATCTTCGTGATTATGATTAACGAGTTATTGGGACAAACAGTTGAATGATTATATTACACCCTATTCAAACGCAAATGAGCCAGTGAAGTCACAGGCTCCTGCTATTCCTATCCAGAACCAACAACAGCCCATCGGCGATAGCCCAGAGGACAACAAGCAGTTCGTAACTTCACAGCCGGCGGGTTCAAATCGAATTATTGGCCGTGAAGAGCGTGTTGAATACCGCGATGAAGCCGGCAACCTCTTGGACCCCAAGGAAGTCGCCAAACTACAAGCAGAAGGAAAAGTGTCCTTGCAAACCAAATACTCAACACAAACGCGAGTCATTGATGCAAGCGGCAACCAAAGCGTCAAGATTCCCGAACATGCTCCTCCACATCCTGATGTCGAAGGTCAGAACCCAGAGACCAATCGGAACGGTGATGAAAGCGTCGCTCCTCGGAACGAGCCCGCGTCAGCCGCAGGTTCGGAGAAGTCTGTTTATGATGAACAGGTTGCCAGTGCACCTAAGCCTGCAAGTGAAGCTCAAGGAGCAACGGCATGATTGCCATGGCTGTTTTGGTTTCTTTTAGCTACTTTTCTCATTTTTGTGCTGGTGCACATAGCATCAGTGTTCGGCATGTCATTGTGTACCATACTTTCTCTCTTTCTTCCTCTTTCCTTTTTTGATGAGCTACCAAAAGATAAAAACAATCTTTCTTTATCTCCTAATATTCGACATTTTTTATATTTTATCTAGTTTTACATCTGAAAATGGCAATGATAACGAATGAAGGAACAAAAGAAATAAATATTTGATTTCAAAAGGACACAAGATTGCTCAAAACTATACATAGAACAAACAAGTAGTCTTTGTCTGGGTTGATATTTTTTTTATATCTTTTTCAATGAAATGATGACCGGTCTCTTGAGAATGCCATCAGGTTTGGATCTTCTTTCTAGAGTACAAGCAAGCCATGCTTTTAGTCTTCGCAAAACTCCGGGGGTCTATAAGAGAGAGAGGTAATGGGATCCCAATCGGATTTATACTCCGATCAATGATCTCATCATTGTCTGCGTAGTGAAAGGAGATGGTGAGACTTTAGTAGTCGTATTCCTCCTTTCCGTACTTGTTGAACTTCTCATGAAGATCCTACCAAAGCAATACCCTTAGCACCCCTGTAGTGATAGTATTTGTAGGAGTAAACTTACCTCAGGCAAAGTAACATTGGGCACAATGACAGTGTTCAAAGCACTGGGAGCGTTGCGGAGAGGCTGGCTCTTGTCTCCGTGAGGGTGGTACTGGTATTTGAAGACTTTGCCTTCGTTGTCGCCCTCCCAGGGCATGGCGGATTCGCCGATGCGAACGTTGCTTTCGGAGGTTACGGAGGTGGGCTTGCGACCGAAGAACCTGTGCATTATCCGTTAGCTGGAAGTCCTTTTTCGGTTTGGTGTTGCGAATTGAGTGGATGGTTTTAGCAATTGTGAATTGGATAGTGCAATTGATTGCATCGTATGACGAGTGGAGAGAATGGGGTGGTTTACCATCCAGCAAGCATGAAAGCACCGGACATGACACCGAGAAGAACCTATAAACACAGTCAGCCTCAAGATCTCTCGATCTCCTATCTTCTCGGCGTAGAAATAAACATACGTAAAGCTCGGGATCGCGCTTGCCAGCTTTGGGCAGGTTGGACTGCTCAGTATTCGCACTGGCAAATCGGCGAACGGGAGCGGCGCGCGAAAGAAGAGCTGGGCGAGCGACGAGGGCTCGGCGAGCTGTGAGCGATGCAATTGAAGACATTTTCGGGTGTGGTTGTCTGTTGCGGACAGAAAGGGTGGTAGAGGGGAGAGTAGTTGTGGTAGTAAAGACGAAGAAGAATGATGTGATGTCGTTCTCACCACACGATGATATCTCGGCCCGCGGATCAGGTGATTTTTACCTAAGCTTTCCGGAGGCGGGTGTTGGTGCCTAATTTCTAAGGCTCCACTGACAGTCTCCCGGTTAACTATCTGAGGCGGCATCAATTTGCAGTCATTCAATTTCATGTTCACCCAAATGTACCATTTGTGCTCATACAATCAGGTCCTCAAAATGGTATGTGTTATATACATGCGAGAACTATCGTTGATAGTTATTACCATTATAGCTTTTTAATGGCTCAATTGAGAAGAAATAAGATTCTTTGATTGCATTGACTCTTCCCAATGTTCAATCTTTCTAGTCACGGTCAGTCAGTATATCCGAACATCAAATCAGCTATCTCTGTGCTGTGTTGTGTACAAAATCTAGTTGATTTCTTCACAGTCTCCGGGCCCAATGACACTCATTGGGGTTTCGTAACCGACGTTGCAAGACTTAAATTCAATGAGGTGAAAGAGTATCATTTTAATTGACGCATCCATCTTCCCCCAGTAAGAGCTGTTGCCACACAGCTTGTACTCGGAGTGCAATTCAATCATTCTAAGGGCATTGTTTATGGGGACTAGACCCCATAATCGAGGCACTTTTACGGACCGGACTCTAGAAGGATTACAGACCTTCGCCTCGGAAACATACTGCTTCAATTGCCGTTTGATATGAAATACATAACTCTAGAGTATTTACGTGCTAGAACTGGCGAACCAGCGATAGAGCTCGTTGTCCGTGAGGATAGGCGTCCTCTTGACTCTGAAGTCCCTTCAGAGCTTGTCATCCTCATATTTGGGATATCTTTGGATGCAGGCCTCCGTTTGAGTTCTTTCCTGTCTCGCTAGATGAAGTTACGATGGAGCATGTTGAAAAGCTTGGATAATTGCCCGACCGGTGGTGGAATGAGTGGAAGGAAAGGAAAAACTGGTTCGACAAAGATGGCCACAAAAGCGCGAAAGAAGATATTCATCAGTGGTGTGGGAATACTTCCAGGGACTGGAATAATCGTTCGGGCGAAAATATACGATAACCACGAGAAAGGAATAGTTTGATTTGTTCTCTGCAGACGAAGAGGCGGCTTTCCGTAGCATGATAGAGTTGATGCTAGTTTTTGAGCCGAGCAAGCAGGCTACAAACGTGAAGTGGTCAAGTGCGAATGGATGCAACGGCGGGAATTGTCAGAGTCGCGGAGAATGCAAGATGCAATCGAGTTGAACCCCTAAGGAGATTGGCCGTCAAAAGATCTGGCCCTTCCAGCACCAGATATCTGATCGCCCATGTGGGAGGGAGGGGCCGTTGTCAAAGTCAAGGTTGAGGACCGAGGATGGTGTGGTTGTTATTGAAGTAGTCACTGAGGTAGATGAACTGATAGCGCTGACGGGAAAAGCCACAGGAGCAGATGAGGTAATAGTATAGAAAATGTGTAGAATGGACGTATTTCCCTAGCATGATAATTATCATTGAGCTTACATGGAAATCATTGACTTGTGATGCATGCAGAGTTATCATCTCCGATTTTCGTGATCTTTCTTGGTGATAGAGTCTATCAACTAGGTGACTCGATTCTCATGCATGAACATACCAGTCAATACTCCCAGTGTCGATATGGTTTTCCGGGAAGCAATCTAGTAACGATAGTACATCTGCGTCCATCATTTCGAATGTTGCAGGATCTGTCGAGTCATACTGCCACTCGTGGTGTGGAAATGCTGGAAGAAAAGTTGGTGTATGATTAATGCCAATGGAACTAGAGGAATCAACTTCACGTTGATCACTTGAAGGTTCGCTGTCCAGGTTCTGATTCTTGATGCTGTTCATAATTATATCGATGCTGCGCTGGACAACCGGGCAGGTCGTACAACTGCCCTTCAGAGCACGCAAAAATGTATTCATTCGGTTCCGAGCGATGGTATCACCGGATCTGACATCCTTAACAATTGCCGAAGCGGCCGTGTATACGCAGTATGCCATCAGGTACGTGATTCGTGTAAAGCCGAAGGTGTTCTCGAAGAAGATGAGGAGCTTTTCAATATTTTTGGCAGCATCTTGACAAGCCGCATGATGGATTGGGTATGAATAAAATGGTCTGTGGAGCAGAATATTTGTGGCGTAGTAAAGAAGGCTGTCTGTGTCAATTCAAGTAAACATGCCGAGAAGAAAGCGTACATACTTTTGAGCGAGAATATGAGGAGGACAACATATTTCAGGCAGACTGTTTGGATCGTATTTTAGGTAGGGAGGAGAATTTGCCCGCCAACCATCCAGCTGGTCTCGTATATTCCGCAATACTGAATCTGTGAGTGGCATCGAACGTCGAGAGTACAGCTTCACAACGATCTGATTGATAATCACCGCCAGTTTACAGGAGTTTTGGAAGCACGAAATCGCATGCGATTTCATCGGCGGGTATGCCTCGGCTGAAATAGACCCACGACTGCCAGAGTCACCATAATAAGGAACCCATAGTTCATGGGCCGTGCTGTCGTCAACTAAGTCATCACAGTTAGCTCACTGACAAGTGTCGATAGAGTTAAGAGGCTTAGCTGCACCAAATTCGGGTTCTCGATCAAAGGGTAGCTCGGTGAGAGCGGGCATGCGGCCAAGATATAGACTTATCGCCCTACAGTGATTTGGTTAGTGACACCTCTGCGTCAGTCACATTTCATGTGTGGTCGCACTTATCCCAAAAATAACACGACCAGAATAACCGTCGCCGGATCTCGATATCTTCGGGGGTAAGATGACCCAGGTGTACTATCTTGCCAGAACTATGATGCAATCCTAGGTCGCTGACCATTCTGAATGCCATACCACTGTATAACCAGGCCTGTGATATCGAGCCATATGCAAGATCCCGTGCACTGAGTTGAAGTAGCGCCTGGACTGTTGGAATTGAGCTTGGTTTCTGGATCTCTTCCCCAAGTACTAGTCTTGCACGGGATATCAATGCTTGTCCGATAGAACTAGATTGAAACCGGGAGGAGTGGGCGCATAATACAATAAGGAGAAACGGTGAAAAGTATTGGCCGCCCGTAATCATGTCACCTAATAATTGAGCAAAGCCGCGTAAATATATGTCAATCAATCCTATAGGTGTGTTTGCAGGGATCATTTAAGGGTAAGCTTACGTATAAAGGCAGGTCTATATACCCACATGAATAATGGTCCAATCCATGACCAGTGTAGTTTGAGAAGCTTTGAGAGTATATCCTTGGGGATATCATGATGAATAGCAGCATTCCCCAATGCAAATTGCTCCCATGCATGATATTCAGTTGCAGTTGGAGACAGCGTGCTGGCTATATCTGCAGAAGATATGGAATAGCTCGTTTTGTGAGCCGTAAATTTATGTCCCCGTGATATCGGAGGATCATGCATTGCTGAAGTTGGGCCATAATAGCATAGCTATAGTGAGATTCTTGGTCAATTATTTGATTGGTGGTAGTATCAGTACAACGAACCTTTCCATTTTCATCTAAGCTCAGATCAGACAAAGGTAGTGCAGACGTTTGATCCTGCTGACTAGCATAATGATCTGGGATTGCAGTAAGCTCTGTATTATTGATTTCTTGCCCATAATCAGAAGCGATACTGGCGGCGTGGGTAAAGGTGACTGTATCCCCTTCAGCGACATTTGAGTCTTGTGGACTGCCAGATGCCCAAGATGTTTTCTCCTTCAGCGTTTCAATTATCTGCTCATACTCCTGTAGCCTCTTGGACATGGCAATGATTTGAGACATAGGCGGAAGTTTCTCGTAGCGACACTCGTCATTGTAGACTTGACAAGTCTTGCACCCCGGCTGTGTTCCGTCACATCTCGTCTGGGCCGTGTCAGCCGATTATACACAATTGAAGAAGGGAAAATCACCTTTCGGATTCGGCAGTTGGTGCATGTAAGCGTATTTCGATTGGCTCGGGATGGTCGCTCCGTTCGCGAACTGGAGATCGGTGACAGCAATGGTGTGGCTGATTGCTTCTGGCGGTTTGACCGCCTGGCATTGTGTATTGAAGACATGTGTGAGACAATGCTGAGATGGATGACAGCCCCGGAAACCGGCCGGGTGGACCAATTTAAGTGGCGTTTTCATAGGGGAGGGGGAAGACGGTCAAGCAAATGCATTCATCTTGCTATTGGCCACGGAATTTCTCACCCGATATAAGCCTCGTGTCTCGTGTCATTCTGTGGGGAATTGCGGTGGTTGCCACGCGGGGGTCACGCTATTTCCTTACCGTTTTAGGGCTTTGGTAGCGCTTTCATTCGAGCATTTAGTGCACTTCTTAGTAAAAAAAGTTCATTAGACTGTGAAAAACCGGTTTAATTCGCTCGTCAAACAAAGAAATTCGGAATTCACTTGGCATTTGTGTGTCATTATGCGATGATTTCTCATTCGTTGTGTCTTGATAACTAACTACTCGGGTATACATCCCCAAAGACGTGCACATCTACACAAGGATTTTACTACACCCGCCACTTTGTTTGAGTCAATTGGTATTGCCTGAAATATTAAACGCAGATTGGTCATCTTATGAGAAAATAAATGACAGCTGCGCGTCGATCATGTTTGAGGTTGTCATGGAATAATTATTGGAAAAGTACTTGAACCAAGACACCAGAACACACCATACATCGTTTAGCATACTAATTCAAATTTTTTCCACATGAACAGCCACCGCTCTCTTAGCCATCTCATCAAGCTTCTCGTCATGAGTTTGCTGTAGCACTTCAGCTTCGCTCTGCCCATATCGGCCAATTTTATACCAGGGCAGCGTAAACAAGTGATCCATAGATTCCAAACTGAGCCCCGATGTCTCTGGAATAAAGAACCACGCCCAAAGTGCACTGAAGGCTGATATGGCAACGAAGAACCAGAACGCGCCGGCCGGACCCATTCCTCCCTGCGATAATGGCAGTAGCATCAGTGGCACAGCCCGGTTCGCACCGTATTGATTAGCAAAATGAAGCATCATGATGAGTGAAGAACATATTGCTCGTATTCGCAGTGGGTATATTTCGGCGTTGATAAGGTACTGAATACCATTCCACCCCAGCGCCCAGCCAAAACTACACAGATAGATCATGAAGATGGCGCCAATACTAGCCGACTTCTGTGACGGCGTAAATGAGGACGGGTTCGGAGTGCCTACTATGCTGAGGAAGATTGCAATATATGTCATCGAGATTGTTTGGATTGTGATGCCAATTCCCAGTGATCGTTTGCGGCCGATGATATCGACCAGGAAGAAGGCGCAGAGAAGAGCCCCGAGAAGTTTGACAACGCCCAAAATACAAGTCGCAAATAACTTCTCGTTCTGTCCACTGACTCCAGCCAATAGAAAGAAGTCCGGAGCGTATACCGTGATTGATTGTGCACCGCACCACTGAGTCAGTAACTGACCCGCGAAGCCAAGGTAAATGCGATAAAGGTTCGACGGAATGGCGAACATCTCCCGGACAATGCTAGACAAGCCGCTTCCCATAGTCGCTGTCCTTTCTTCTTCCAGCTGCGCTTGTATCTCGCAGATTTCCCTTACAATGGCCTCATGATTTTGTGGGAGATTCCGGATGCGCGAGAGATTGTCCGTAGCTTGCCTATCATTTCCACACTTTATCAAGTAGCGGGGAGACTCATAGTTGAATAACGATAAGGTCCCTATGATTGTAGCGAAGATAAGGTGAAGGCTTGTAGGTACCAACTATTTGTACATCGAAAGCCATTAACTTGGGACTTCCGACGAAAGCGATTGGATTGAGAATATATGTACGTACCCATCGTCTTGACGTAGTATCGGATATATGCAAGCTGGACCCCCAGCTAGCAAAGTACGCCAACATGATGCCGATATACACGGATCCAGCGAACGTCGTTGTGCATAGTCCTCGAATGGATTTCGGCGAAATCTCCGAGAGATAGACGGGGGCGACAACAGAGGCTTGCCCGATTCCGAGCCCAGCTACAAAACGACCGGCATAGACCATGCCTAGGTTGCCGTTGTTGCACATGAAGATGGCAATTCCAATAATCCAGACGACACAGAGCTGTCTAGTTGCCCAAAGACGGCCGATACGGTCGCATAGGATAAAGGCACCATGAGAAGATTAGCAAGAATACAACCTCGAAATAGAAATTCAAGCAATAAACTTACAGACCCGCACCGGCAACACTGCCAATAGATACCATGGATGAAATAGTGGCCTTAACTTGAGCATATTCGGAACTGTTAACGTTGGGAAGGTGAAGAACATTTCTGAAAGCAGCAGAATCCAGTGTACCGCTTATCAACCCTTCATCGATACCTCGAGCAGCACCCATAATACCAAAGGAAAATACGGCAAACCATAGTCTCCAGTTTAGGACTTCCCTAGGTTCATCCCCGATCCGTAGTTTAAAGATGTTCAAGGGACTCCGGCTGCCACCCATGCTTTCTTGTGGTACAGAATATTTTGAGATGAAGGGTTTGAGGAGATCGAAATCAATGTTCTAGCAGGACGTATCTATCCGAGCGGTCTCCGAGCCTATCTTAATATACTAATAATAAGAACCACGAGACTACCGGGAGAGACGGTGTCAGAAATAAGCATTCTGGATTATGCATACGCGCCACGGCCATCCTCCGGGATATTGGCGAAAAGCCATATTGTGCAGGGCATGATGAGTGCTTCCGCGGGGACTTGCCGGGAGACTTACCGGGGTGATGACCGAACAGCTTGGAAACATGCAAGTTCTAGAAGAGAAGCTAATCATCATTTATGCTACATGTCTGTCAGGCCTTTGAAGAACTGCTTTCCATATAATTATGCTGTTAGAGATATTATCTGCTCACACTACTCAAATCGACAACTAAGTAGTGCACAACACTCGTGCTCACAAATGGCTCCTTCTCCAGAGTTCATCGTCTCGGTCCTTCGTCAGTTTTCAACGTGAGATTCCACTCAGCATATCTTTCTACTGGCGAGTCACTCATGAGATAATTGACAAAAAACATTGTGTAGGTGCGATGTTTCGGATGCTTTGTCAAAACTCAATCATCCTCATGGAGGGTTTGTGGCTGGCCCTACGATGTGGTCACCTCAGCGCCAGGAGGGAGACACCAAGATTGTAGGACCAGCATACACTGTTAAGTATGTGTCACGTAGCGATACTACATCACCCAAGCAGGCTTTTCACTACGTAAGTCTAATCGTCATACAAATACAGAGGGACTGCTTACCTCTTATTGAATCGGGGTGACTGATTCCAAATGCCGAAGATCGATATGATTCCAGCTGGATCTGTAGTGTTTATCTCATCACCAAACACTATCAATGCAGTCTTTGGAGGCCTTATGAGTAACAGAGCCCATGCAAGTGGTGCGGTCGGAACGGTTGTTGACGGTCGAATTCGGGATCTACAGGAGCATCGTGCCCTTGGCTATCCGGTAAGGACCTTACTGATAGGTTTGTTTCATGTCCCTGACTCGTAAACAGGTCTTTGCTCGCGATGTTAGTACTGTCTCCCCGTACGAGGTTGCACGTGTCAGTGAGGTAAGTTCGGATATTGCTCCTCATCCATCTCTCGTTTGTTTGAATTGCCAGTCACATCATGGATTGACGTGTCTGTAGGTGAATATACCAGTCAAAGTGCAGAACAACGGCCAGGACACCATAGTCAATCCTGGAGACTACATTATTGCTGATCTTAATGGTGTTGTCTGTCTTCCAGCTAATTTAGCCGAAAAGGCGATTTCTCTGATTCCTCCACAAGTCAAGGCTGACGAACTGATTACCGAAGAGCTCAAATCTGGCGTGTTATTTACAGATGCATCGAAGAAACACAGGACCATGTTGAGCCCTACCTAGGATAGAAACATTAGATAATAAGGTAGTTTACCAGCGGCGTCGCTTCAAATCACGATATACCTCAAGTGCTTGTACCTAATTCTTTCCAAGGTTGGAAATGGTTTCAAGGCAGACATGAAATCCATGCGTTTTACTCTTTTATAAGAAGAAAATCATTAAATTGAAAAATCAGATATCTTGAAAAAAAGGAAAAACCTCCATAGTAGAAAAAATTCAGTCTGAGTTATTGATGTCCATCTGGTTGAAGTAGTAGCTGGGATTTTTCGAGACAAAGTATCTCCTCCGGTCCACGCAAGTCGGCGAAATAAAAACGACTATGCTGTAAATGAGGTACGTTCTTTTCCTCTGATAACAACTTAGAGAATATCCAGCGTTACCCTGACTCAGGGTAGTTGCCCGGAATTTCGCCGGGCAAATTTCCGGAGTGCAAGCGGCAGCTCAGTCAATGAAGCGATATAACCTTGAGTGTCTAAGTCGTTTCTAGCCCTTTCATTAACTTTTCGCGCCTAAAATAAGTGACCAAACAATTTGTCTGTCAATTGAATGTGTTCCAATTATCTTGCTTCAACCAGCCAATCACTTGACAAGCGAATCAAAATGGGTAGTGTTGAAGAGTCTCATGCTATCCGCATAAACCCGTCCTCATCTCACGCCTTTGCGAAGTCGATTCTTTTATCTTACGGCATACCAACAGACAGAGCGGATATAGTTGCAGATGCACTTGTGCTTGCCGACCTCCGCGGTGTCGATTCACACGGAATCAACCGTCTGCCCAGCTATATCGCCCGAATCAAAGCTGGTGTATTGGCTACTGACCCTGTCTTGGAATTTGAGTACAAAACACCTGTGCTTGCGATTTTAGATGCAAAGAACACCTTTGGATTTGTTGCCGGTTCTCTAGCAATTGATGAAGGAATCAAAATTGCCTCGACTTATGGTTTGGCTGTTGTTGGAGTGAAGCACAGCAATCACTATGGTATGGCATCGACATATATTCTCCGTGCTGTTCAACAAGGATTTGCGGCCTTTGCTTTCACGAATGCAAGCCGTTCTATGCCTCCTTGGGGAGGAAAGGAGCCACTATTTGGCACAAGTCCGTTTGCAGTCGGTGTTCCTGGTGGTCAAGCAGGAAATTTTGTTCTTGACATGAGCCCGAGTGTCGCAGCCCGTGGTAAGATTCGGAAAGCTGCGCGACGAGGGGAATCTATTCCGGAAGGTTATGCTTTAGATAAGGATGGCAAACCAACAACTGATGCCCAAGCCGCATTAGATGGTGTGGTTCTTCCAATTGGTGGGCCAAAGGGCAGCGGTCTGGCCATGATGATGGACATATTCGGGGGTCTTTTAACTGGTGCTGCTTTTGGAGGGGACGTGGTTGACATGAACAAGGACGCGAATACACCACAGAACGTTGGCCATTGGTTTCTAGTTTACCGACCAGAAACGTTTCTGGGCAGCAAAGAGGAATTGCATGCCCGCATGGACAAGTTGCTGGACAGGACTAGAAAATGTGAAAAAGCCGATGGCTTTGAGAGAATCTACGTGAGTGGAGAAATAGAGGCAGAGCGCGAGATGGAGAACAGAAAGATGGGCATCCTTTATACACAAGGTGAGATTGAGGCACTACATCAACTCGCCAAAGAGATCGGATCAAAATCAATGCTGGAGCCAATGATATAAATATTATAACTCGATTAGTAACACCTAACTTAGCTAAAAATGAATATCCAGTCAGAAATACATCTTGGCACCCTGTATGCACCGCTTTGTGGTTGTCGAATACCTACCAATCCATCTGAGGTATAATCTGCAGAACAATTGCAAACTCCCCTCGGTGTTTGGCGATGTCTGGCTCTTAAGGAGCTGAAAATTGACTGGATTGAGGATCGTTCGTGAAAATGTACCGTTAAAGTTGGAAAAGAAGAGTTAACTCGATATACTTTGAAGTTCTATATTCAGACTCCCCTTGCAAGTCAGTCTCATAAAAATCCCGTCTTTCACTTTGCGGCAATTGCTATTCATCTATGAAATACAAAGATTCGCTGTAAATTCAGGTAGCCGCTTTCATAGCCCATCATTGAGAATAGTCCCAGTCCGAAAAATCTCCCAAGACCACGAACAAGCCTTTCCGAGTATATACCCGAACGATGCCTTTCTCAGCTGACTTATATGCAATCTATATAGAGCCAATTACTGTATTCAATTATAAGTGCAATTTTATTTCAATATAGTGGCTGCAACAGTCCCCGTCGGGAACTGTATAATTCCCGACCCTAAGAAACTCGTTCCCGAGAGAGCTTCAGCTCGGGGAGAGCAATGATTGAAGCATTGAATGTTGTAGTAGCTTATGAAATAGTTCTATAAGCAGAGATTAGTACAAGAACAAGAATTTTTCCTCATGTTTCTGGTTCGAAGGCCGTGAGTTTCCTAGGGCAGTTCTCTATCCTAGTAGAAAAAAAAGGTCGAGTCACTCACTGATAGTATGGTAAGTTCTCTCCTTTCTCTGCTTGCCATCGCAGCAGCAGGGGTCTCAGCCGCGTCAATTCCTAGCACTCCTAGCTCAGTTCTCAGTGCTCGCAACACCAACCTGACCCCGGGATGCGAGAACGGCCCTACGTCCCGCCAGTGCTGGGGCAAGTACGACATCAACACCAACTACTACGATGAGATATTTTATACAAATCACACAGTCGAGTACTGGCTGAGTCTCGAGGAGATCGATTGTGCACCGGACGGGTACTTGCGTAAATGTATGACGGCCAATGGTACTATGCCTGGCCCAGCCATCACGGCTAATTGGGGAGACGAAATTGTCGTCCATGTCACCAACAACATGAAGACCAATGGATCAGCTATTCATTGGCACGGTGTGAGACAGCTCAACAACAACGTAAATGATGGAACACCTGGTGTCACGCAATGCCCTATTGCACCTGGGACAAGCATGACATACAAATTTCACGCCGAGCAGTACGGCACATCTTGGTACCACAGCCACTTCAGCTTCCAATTTAGCAATGGTCTGTACGGACCACTGATTATCAATGGTCCTGCCACAGCTGACTATGATGAGGACCTCGGTGCCGTCTTCATTACAGACTGGGACCACATAACAGCCGATCAAATCTGGGCCACCATCGCCAACTTCAACGTCACGTTCGACGGCTCTAGCACGGGTCTGATCAATGGCATGAACACTGGAAATTGCACGGCACTCAACGCGACAAACGCCGACCCTAATTGCCTTAGTGAGGGCAGAAAGTTTGAACTGCACTTCGAGCAAGGCAAGAAGTATCGTTTGCGGTTGTTCAATGTTGCGATGGAGGACTGGGTACAATTCAGCATTGACAACCACACCATGACGGTGATCGCAATGGACTTTGTGCCTATCGTGCCGTACGAGACTAAGAGTATTTTCATTGACATGGGACAGCGGTACGACGTTATTATCGAGGCGAACGCAGCACCCGCGGATTATTGGCTGCGCAGTGGTTTTGAGCCATTATGTATTCCCAACGGCGCGGGTGCAAATAACATTACGGCCATTGTGAGATATGACAACACCAGCACCGCAGATCCGACCAGCTCGAGCGTGGACGGTGCCATAATAGGATGGGATCTCTGCGTAGATGAGCAGCCCACCAACTTGGAGCCATGGGTTCCTGTCGACTTGGACATGGCCAAAGTGGTCGAAGGAGTTCAGACAGAGATCGTCACGGGATTCTATGACGACAATACCTACCTTCGATGGTCAATCAACGGGGGATCGTTCATGTGGGTGAATTGGTCAAATCCAGCACTGGAAGACGTTGTGGCTGGAGACTTGAGTGGCATTCCCACAACAGATAACATTTTCCAAGTTGGCTCCAACTCGTCTGCGAAGAGCACGCTTCGTAACGAGACGGAGTGGGTCGTCCTCGTCATCGAGGACACAACTCCCATAACCGGCATATCTCATCCCATCCACCTGCATGGTCATGACTTCTTAGTGTTGTCAACAGGCTATGAACGGTGGACTGGAAGAACGTATGGCTGGCAACTTACCAATCCGCCGCGTCGCGACACGGCCACCATGCCAGCCAACGGTTATGTCGCAATCGCGTGGCCTCTCGACAACCCGGGTGTTTGGGCGTTACACTGCCATATTGCCTGGCATAGCAGTCAAGGCTTTGGAGCAACGGTGCTGGAGTCAGCGGACATGATGCCTAAGCCGTTGGGAGGCGACTGGTCCCAGGAGATAGACTCAGTTTGCAAGGCCTGGAATGAATACGCGCCGACTGCTCCCTTCCAGCAGGTCGATGCTGGTATCTAAAGAGAATAATTTCACACACTAAATTTCACGAGCTCCATACGTATTTTCTAGAATAAAAGATTCCCTATGGTAGTAGTTGGTATGTGCCATTTCACTTACAGGATGCTCTCCATACCCGAATGCTGTACTTTCCAAACCTATGTAGGTGTCGTGGTATCCTCGTAAATTTTGTAACTTATCATATGTAAATACAGTAGAACATGGATGAGTCGTTCTATAAGAGTTCCGACAACAGCGGAAGAGGGTTGTTGAAGCTCAGCTCCTTCGGGATAATGTGATTTGCAGGACAAAAATGGGGCATGTCTGATGTCTTGAGGCCCCAGCCCAATTATTGAATAGACATTCCAGTATCAAAGACAAATAAGAACGATGATGATGATAATAAGCTCGTCCTGCTAGACTGTATTTGGCTAGCGCCAGGGACCCGGTTCCCGGACGTTCATTTACGTAGAAATTAGGGGAAGAATACTCGTCACATTCACAATCACACACTATACCCATCCACTTCTTTACGCTTTTCGTCACAGTCTCTCATTTTGAAACGCCGTCCGCTCTTTATTTACGAATMCCCTCCCTTCACTTATCCTTATATTCTATMCCAGCCGCTGTCGACGCGTGTCTTACATCTCATTCCTCACTGAACTCCTTGCCTTTCGGCCCACCGTCGCCCGCCGCATCGTACACACGCTGAGAACTATTGAGAACGTCTGAATAGCCTGAAATCGCATCATGAACGGTCGCTCCGCATTCTTATAGATTGATATTTATCACGTTGGGACACCCGGCATCTAGCCATGGCCGATTCTAGCACCGCATCGACCCCAGTCACACCCGGCTTCCCGGTATCTCCTGGATTGGATGTACCTCGCCCCCCTTCCATAGGCGGTATCTCCTCGCGCATGACCGACATTGCTTCTGAAGATGGAGATCGGTCGATGTCCTCGCGCGCGCCGACTTCGGTCCAGCCACCGCAGTCTCGACGAGGCCCACCACCAGCAGCGCGATTATCAACCGGGAATTCAAATTCGCTTCGTCCAGGCAGCTCGTCCAGTCGCATGAGTCGACTAAGCAGAACGCATGTCCCTTCGTTCACTCCGCAGGCGTTCTTTCGGCCCATGAGCTCGCAAAGACTACAGGCACATCGTCGTCCAAGTCAGGTACCCCAAGAGGCATACACAGAAACGACAGAAACCATTGAGGATGAGAACGGCCTTAATCGAAGAAGCTTGATATCGAACAGTACGGTGCATCTCGGCGCTCACGCAAACGACTTGGAAGTCCCTCCTTCTCGTGGTACGGAATTCACCGATCCTATCATTTCTGACCGGAACACCTCCAACGCGAGCCCGACGGGGAACACAACTATTAGAAGCTTGGGAGAAAGTGTTAAATTATTACACGAACGAGAGAAGAAGTCTGTGCCAGAGCGACTCAACATAAGCAGGACTGTCCAAACGGGGTCCTTGCACGATCCTCCGCAAAAATCACCACTGTCATTCCGATCCGACTTTTTGTCCATTCGAAATAAAAACGAGGATCCCCAGCGTCCGGCCAGCAGAGGTCACGAAAGGTTATCGTCGGTAACATCTTCCTCTCCGCGCTCAATGAAGGATCAGAAAGCATCGGCACCGCCTGCAAATCTCGGCAAGAATTATGAATATTTTACAGGCAACACAGTTTTCTGGGGTAGTGGCAGGTTTCAGAACTCCCGTGATAAGCCAGTCAACATAGCGACAGGACTTTTGATTGTTCTTCCCGTCGCATTGTTTCTTGCATACTCGTATGTTTTTTCTTCGTCTTTATGGACTTGGCTGACTTGGTATCAGAGCACCGTGGTTATGGCACAATGTGTCGCCGGCAATCCCAATCATTTTCGCCTATATATTTTATGTCTGCTTCTCCTCTTTCGTACACGCCTCTGTCGTGGACCCCGGGGTGAGTACTGAATCTCAATGAAATGTAGATGACTCTTTGCTAACCATATATAAAGATCGTTCCGAGAAATCTACATCCATTGCCTACGACTGATCCGTCTTCTGATCCACTTGCACTGGGTCCATCAACGACCGATTGGGTCATGACGAAGCTGGCTACGTCCGAAGTTGACGCCATGGTGGTCCCAGTCAAATACTGCAAGACCTGCAATATATGGCGTCCACCACGATGCTATCATTGCCGAGTGTGTGACAACTGTGTCGAAACTCTAGATCATCACTGCGTGTGGCTCAATAATTGTGTTGGCCGTCGTAATTATCGATACTTCTTTGGTTTTGTCAGCTCTGCCACGATTCTTGCCTTGTTCCTTCTCGGAGCTTCCTTGGCACATGTGCTTCTTTATCAACAGCGCGAACACATTTCATTTGGGGAGTCAATTAACAAATGGCGAGTTCCATTCGCAATGGTTATCTACGGGGCTCTTGCTTTTCCGTACCCTGCGGCACTTTGGTTCTATCATCTCTGGCTCGTGGGCCGCGGCGAAACCACACGTGAATATCTCAACTCCCACAAATTCGCCAAAGCAGATCGTCTTCGACCTTTCAGTCAGGGAAATGTATTGCGAAACTGGATTGCAGTACTCACAAGACCCCGACCACCGACATATCTTCAATTCAAGAAACCGTACCAGCAAGGTGATCAGCGCTTCGCAACGCAGAAGCGCAAGTACTTGACAGCGAAAGATGTCGAAGCTCAAGCTGGTCTGGAGTTGCAAGCTGTTGTTGGACGAAACACCAATACTGGTTCATCATATCAACCTGATATGCGGGAAAGCAATAGCAGATCTTGATAGTTCTCTGCTTCCTACACATCTTTCTATTGTACCATTACGCCTACCTAACCTCTTCCATTCTCTTCATTTTTCTATTCTTCTTACACTGATGTCTATTCTTTTTAACTGTTCGTCCTTTTGCTTATTCATTTTGGCTTATTGGCATAACGACTCACACTTCATTCAAACGACCTGACTTTCTCTTATTTCTCTTAATGATTCCCTCTTTCATTACTAATGTACCACTATACCTGCGTTCTCTTCTTGTGTAATGGATTCTATACAATTACTACTATTATTGTTTCCTTGAATACAAATATATTCCTAGTGTGCTCTCTATGTAAGATTTGAAAAGTACATGAGCAGTTAAAGGCTCATTCAATGTTGGATTTTATCTCCCGTACATGCTCGGCCTACCTGGGTACCTCGCAATAGAAGGATTTAGGATAGTAATCAATGCCGGAGCCGGAACCATATGGACGATCTAATAAGTGGTAGTCGCTCAGGTCGATCAAATGGTCTGAGCTTTACGACATGACCTGTCTGTCAAGGTAGGTATCACGTTGCGAACATTCTAAGGCTTGCAATGATCTTTCCGGGAAGCTGTTCGATCATGATCAAGGAATCTCCATAACCGGGGGAGACTGCCAGAAGAATTAAAGACTAAGAACATGAATTAGAGGAGGTGGGCTTGATATCTTGGCTTGAAGCGAGCAATGGGTAGAACAGAAGCCTCGTTGAGACTGTAGAAGTATTCAGGAATACATGAGATACATAGATGTCTGATTGACACGCTCCATGGAATGCTGACCGGAGTGGGATGGACTTACTAAGACAGGCAGGAGAGTACAAACATTCCATACAAAGTTACTTCTTTCCTGTTAAGTTGAGTCCCTGCCGACCACCTTTCCTCCCTCCCATTGTCCACCTACAACATCTCTTTTCCACTACATCCATTCATCGATTCTACCGACACTCTGTTGGTCTTTGTCTGTCAATCATTGTTGTACTTTTGCTCAAGCCAGTCAAGTTGCTAGCCCATTTGTTGTTTTTGAGGTCTAGCTTGATTGAGGCTGGTGGTCATGTTTACACTGCATCAGCCATCAACAAACTGAACCTGGAAATTTCCCTCACGACGCGCGCGAGATTCGTGTAGTCAAAGCAGAAATCACTCGGCTTATCAATCAGACAACGAGATTGGTCTGTTCGATCCAGCCATCCAGTTATCTGAGTTCTGTCCTGGACCTGACTAGCCAAAATCCCGTTTTGACTCCACCTCTTTCAGTCTTCTGCAGCCCCCGGCTCTCTCTCGCGCAATTCAATCATTAGCCCCCGTTGGGTCCCGTCCGCCTGGACGTTTTACCCTTTTCCACCTTTAACATTGTTCTCAAGTTATCTTCATGTTTGAGTCGATTGTCAACTTTCTTTCGCCCGCGGCACTGACCAATTCCATCCTTCGCGAGGCAGTTGCTGCTGCCCCGGGCTCTTCCAAGATGATGACGCGCCGAGCCCGTTCCTCCCTAGAATCAGCCGCCGCTGTTGACAACACGGCCACAGCAGACACGATGGAACAAGATACATTCAGCAACAACGGTCCTATCGGTGTCGACTTCTCCGGTCCTTTACTTACGCCAGAAGCTAGTCGTTCCGAAACTTCCAGCAATCACGATCTCGCTGTCGCCGGAGATGAGAAACCTCAAGCACGACGACGTTCTGCGCGTACGACGCGTATGTCCCTCCGCGCATTAGAGAATTTACGAGATTTAGAAGAGGACAATAACTCGAAACATGTAGAGGGATTGTCAATTACACCCAAAGAGCGTACGGTCTCAGGAGAAACACTTGTAAACAGCGTTGATGAAAGCCGCGCTTCTCCGTCGTCCGTCAACAACGATGCCAACATGAACGACCACTCGTGGAGCCAGACGACTCTCTTGCGGGACAATACGGACAACGACGAAAACGCGCACCTTGCAACACCTGTCTCAAAGCGATCCGAAGAAGACGAAGCACCGCGAAGACGATCTCTACGAGCCCGGCCAGTTAAGGAGGACGATATTAAGGATAATGATAAGGATACTACGCAAGACAAAATGGAAGTGAAGTCAGCCAGCAAGCCAGAAAAAGCTACACCTCCGCGCCGCTCGTCTCGTCTTAGCCTGGTCACCAGGGCTGTCGAAGTGCTCGACAGAGCTGCTAGTGTCTTGGGAAAACGGTCTCGAGATGCGATGGAAAAGGCTGTTATGCAGCGTCGCTCTAGTTTACGTCCTCGACATTCCCTACCTGCGAAAGATGCGCTAGCTAGCACTTCTGAGCTCCCCGATCCCAAAAAGCGCCGAATGTCCGACGGTGATTTACAAGCAAAGAAGAAAGAACTGGAAGAGGAGGCCTCAAAGACGGAGGAAGTGGAAAAAGCAGTCTCACCTCGATTCAGATCGAAGCGGTGGCTGGATCAAGGAATGTATACTGGACAAGAACGTGACTACGATCCCCGACTAAACGAGGCAAACAATAAGTTAAGGGCTGCCAGACGCAGAGCTGCCCCGGAGCCACAACGAAAGCTTCTTCCTTTACCGATGTTTGCTGGCGAAAGATTGCTCAAACTCGGTCGTGATTTCAAGCTTCCTTTCGATGTGTTCTCACCACTTCCTCCGGGTCAACCTAAGCCGGACGAATGGAAGAAGACAAATCGAAGTGAGTTATTTATTTATGATAGTTGATATACTTGCTAATTTATTAGATGTTTTTGTCGGCGATGCTGCTAGCTTCTGGCGCGAGAATAAGAAAATCGAGCTTTCGACTTGCCTATGCGACGAAGAAACTGGTTGCGATGAGGATTGCCAGAATAGATTCATGTTCTACGAATGCGACTCCAGTAACTGTCGTGTCGGACCAAACTGCGGTAACCGGAGCTTTGAGGAACTAAAGCAACGAACCAAGGCTGGCGGGAAATACAACATTGGCGTGGAAGTTATCAAGACAGCCGATCGAGGGTATGGTGTACGCAGCAACCGTACTTTTGAGCCAAACCAGGTCATTGTGGAGTACACGGGCGAGATCATCACACAGAATGAATGTGAACGGCGCATGCGGTCGGTCTATAAGAATAACGAGGTAAGTTATACGGACTCTACGGTGTAGATCAATAGCTAAACTACGCAGTGCTATTATTTGATGTACTTTGACCAGAATATGATCATTGATGCAACTCGTGGTTCTATTGCGCGTTTCGTCAACCATTCCTGCGCTCCCAACTGCCGAATGGAAAAATGGACTGTAGGTGGGAAGCCACGTATGGCTCTGTTTGCAGGCGACAGAGGCATCATGACTGGCGAAGAGCTTACTTATGACTATAATTTTGAGTGAGTGTCTCGTGGCTCGACGCATTATTGAATACTGACCTGGTTTAGTCCATACTCGCAAAAGAATGTACAACAATGTCGCTGTGGAGCTCCAGGCTGCCGTGGTGTTCTCGGCCCACGACCCAAGGAACGGGATATCAGAGAGTCCAAGGCAGAACAGAAGAAGGATGCCTTACAGAAGAAAGCAAAAGGTGCACTAGCCGGTACGAAGCGCAAGTTAGGCAGTGTGCTAGATGAATCAACTTCTGCTCTCAACAAGAAGAGAAAGATTGTCAAAGGCACAACGGTCAAGGCAACTATCTCCAAGGCAATGTCCAAGGCTAAATCAGCATTGAATGGCAAGAGAGTACCTGTGCATGTCAAGAAGAACGTTGTCGTCACGAAGGCAACTAAGACTTCAAAATCCACGAAAACAAAGATGATCAGCAAGTCGAAGGTCACCAAGGTCGCCACAGCAGCAAAGGCAGCCAATGCATCGTCCAAAGTGAAGATTCAGCAAGCGACGAAGAAGCATGCTACCAAGTCAGCTAAGTCAGCTAGCAAAGAGACGAAACCCGTGTCCGCATCAGAGAGGGTTCGGATACGATTCAAAGCGACGGCTCGTCGGTCCACTAGCTTTAAGAAGGGAGCACAAACTTTAAAGGCGAAAAGCCCTGCCAAAAAGACTCCAGCAAAGAAGACGCCCAGCAAGAAGACGCCTATTAAGAGCCCCGGCGGAAGTGTCAAAAACAAAGCTGCTGCAACCAAGGTGAGCAAGAAATAGCGTGTCTACGGTTTCTAAGTCACCAATCTTCAACTCTACTTTCTCTTTCATATTTGATTTTTCAATTTTTTACTGGCCCACTCATAACTGGCGTTGACGTTGCTTTTACGGAATTTTGCGCGGGGCGAACTGTACGCTGATTTAGGAGGTATGGCTGGATTGATTGTTTTATTTTAACTTCTACCTTATCTTCTCCTTTTATTCGACTTCATCTTCGATTCCATCTTATGATCTACGGTCCCTTCTATTCAACATTCTATCTCCCATTCGGCATGGCTTTCTTGTATGGAAAGGCCTATGTGTCATCTTTCTTGTGTTGCGAGTGTCTTTTCCTTTAGGTAGTCATTGGTGCATCATGTATGAGTTTTTTATGTACGGTAGTTCACGTCAATACATGGGACATTCTTGCTAGATGTTCTTTATCATATTATGTTCCTTCCTAAAGAAGATTGGCAGCCTTATGAAACAGGCAGAAATCGGTCTGTTGAGCTATTTCCCAAAACAGACTAGCGGCGGGKGTCAATAGATCAAAATCGAAAGATGATTGGTCTGTGTTCCGTCTCAGATCAGCCTTTGATCCTCCTGATTTGCATTTCAAGGAGACATTTTTATCATCGTCCATCAGCTAAATCTTTTTTATTCATGTATTGATACAAAGTTTTGACATTGAATAGCAGACTGATCGGCTGTACATGACCAGACTTACACGATCTAATTCGGGGTGGCAGCGGTAATTATTGCTATCACTATCAGTCCGGCCTGACAAAAGACGTCGCTGGAACTTCGGCCGCAATCTGCATCTTCATCAATGGGGGTTTAGAGCAGCCGTCTATATATACGAGAACTTCTATAGAAGTTGTACAGAATGGCAACGGCACATGACAAGTATGTTCCGCATCCCATTCTCTGGATCTTCGTTAACATGTTCGCAGATTTGTTGGCTTGACGTTGGCGGTGTTGGCTTCTGTAGCTATTGGTATGCCACTCCATGTCCCAAGATTTGATACGCTGTCTTGAAGTGCATGAATAAGAAATTGAGCTATGTTCGGAAAAGCTAACTGCTCGAAACTAGGGTCGAGTTATGTCATTACAAAAAAGGTCTGTACTCCGATTCAATCATTAGAAATAATATGCTAAAAGTCAGAATAGAGTCTGATACAATCGTCAGACCGTCACGGATACGACGGTGATGGATTCAGATATATCCAGAATCCGCTTTGGTGGTGTGGGACTATTACTCGTATGTAAATGTCCCCTTTTTGAGAAAGAATTTTGCACTGATGTAACTCGGCAGTCGTTGTCGGAGAATTAATGAATACCGCCGCGTATGCTTTTGCGCCTGCTGTTTTGGTTACGCCCTTGGGAGCGTTGAGTGTGTTGATCGGGTAAACCACCTCCCAGTCGTCACTTTTGGTTGGAGAAAAAGTCTAACATCCATACAGGGCTGTGCTAGGCGCATACTTCCTCGACGAAGAACTCAACACCGTTGGCCGCGTGGGCTGCGCAAATTGTCTGCTTGGCTCAATTTTGCTGGTGCTGCATGCCCCAGCCGATAGAGAGATACACACCATCGACGAAGTCTTAGATCTCGCTACCCAGCCTCGTACGTCCCCTTCTCCCCATCATCTCCCAGACTATATTTCTAACAACCAGGAAGTCTTCCTGGCCTACCTCGCCTTCGTAATCCTCTACACTCTCTACGCCATAAACCGGCTAGCGCCACGCAGCGGCCGCACAAACCCCATCATCTACATGAGCATTTGCTCTCTTGTCGGCTCCGTATCCGTCATGAGCGTCAAAGCGTTTGGTATAGCCGTCAAAATCACATTTGAGGGCAACAATCAGTTCACGCATGCGTCGACGTATGTGTTTTTGGTGGTTTTGGTAGTTACGACGTTGACTCAAACGCATTATTTGAATAAGGCTATGAGTGTTTTTTCGGCTTATTTGTCTGTCCCCCTTCCCTCCCCCTCTTTTCTAACGCTGTTGTGACGAAGTACTGATGGTTGTAGGGTAAATGCAATGTACTACGTCGGCTTCGCGACATGCACCATCTCCGCATCCATGATCCTGTATCAGGGCCTCAACACCCATGACCCGACAGAGATCATTTCATTGCTTTGTGGGTTTCTGCTCGAGTTTGTGAGTGTTGCACTGCTTACTATATCGCGGAATGATGATTCGGCGGTGCAAAGGGGGAAGAGGAGGACGTCTTCGCCGGTGGATTATGAGCGTGTTGGAAGATTTGCGGTTGGTGGGGATGAGGAGGATGAGGTTGAGTTGAGATCTATTTGAGTCTGATTAATAGAAAGAGAGGGATATGAGGTGAAGGGCATTGTATATATGTGTTGAATTAACTACATGCCATATTACAATTCATCAAAGACGGTTGCTGTGTAATTGATCCTCATTACGCAGTGTAGGCACGTGCGTTGGCAACGGACGCGTTAGGGCATAATTTCTTATCCAAAAGGGCTCTTGACAGTGCGTTAGCAAAGTAATACCCTTTCCCCAGATTACCAGAAAGGAAGCACGGCAGTACGCCATATAGAAATGTCGAATACTAACAGGCAAATAATGGGGCAAATTCATGAATAGAATATGAGCATCACTCTCATGTACATTGCTTTGGCACTATCTTCTCTCGCTTTCCAGCAAGTCGCGTTTTGTTACCACAGTCGGAGTCGGCCTATGTTATTTATCTAGATCCTTTTACAGTCTGCATTGTCTGTCTTGCTCTTCAATTGCACTAAAAGCTTTTCCGTACCAGTACAGGAAGCAATTTTGAGTATCCAAACCCTCATTAAGCTAAAAAAGTAGTGCCTGAACCTCGAAAGGGCTCACGATTCAAGAGTCCCGACTTCTGCACACACATTGCCGCCAATGAGACGAATATCAAACCTCTGTGTGGGTATCATTCCTTACCGGGGGAACGTCTGTGTTGGGAGCTGTTGCCATTTCTGTGGTGGTTCCATGTCCGTTCCGTGTACTCGCCACCGGCTGATGTTCTTTGGCAAGGGTTGTTTCAGGCAGAGCCGCTGACTGTCGGCTACGGAGATAAAGATTGAGGGTTTCCAAGCAAAGGCCGCAAAAAGTCCAAAAGCTACGAAGTGAGGATGAGGCGGAGAAGAGCAGCCCAGGGGTAGTAGTGACTTACAATGACAGAAATGTGAAAGCTTCGATGGCATTGCGTCGCGTGCAGCCACGCGTTAGATCCCAAACATAATAGTAACACCCAACACCATCAGTATTGAAGGCGTCATCTGTTTGGGCAACAAAAATGAATGCTGCCAGCCACCTAAAATATTATGGAACATCAGCTAGGATAGGGAAAGGGGAGAAATCGCTCCCAGTGGCCGGAGAGTGGGAAGGGGCGGACCGGGCATACAGCGCATAGAATACAATGTCCAGTGGGATTATGTAGCCAACATTGCGATGCATGCAAGCAGTAAATAGAGAAGGGATGTAAAATGCAGTGGTAAGTACCGCCTGTCCGGGAAAGTCAGTGTCTGGCTCGTCTAAGATCAGTAGAAGAACAGAGAACATTCTGGGGCTTACAATGACTAGAGTGAAAATGGTTCGGTAACCCTTCAAGTGCGTGACTGTCCATGCGGTCAAACCCATGGTGATCACGGCGCTGATCCATAAGACCAGACGAACGGCAAACAAGAAAACTCGAATAATATCGGTTCCTGCCATCTTCATAGATTGTGATGAAATTCAAAGGTCATTCTTATTGAAAAATGTCGAGGGAGATGTCAGAATGTAATCTAAATAAGCGGATATATGTTACTACTAAATCATCTCAAGCTCATTCATGCCCGAAGCCGGCTAGAGTTTCGGCGTCAGCATTGATCGCTATTTGTGATGTTAGAATGATTCATGGACTCTAAGACTGGTGACAGGGATGAAGAGTCTGCTCCACAAATGGTAGCTTATGCAATGTAAAGAGGTCGCGTACAACAAAGCTGYCCAGCCATATTTACCCTCGACCCAAGAATATCAGATGATCTAAAACAAACTCCACGATCGCATGTCTGATGCTTACATTGTGTCTCTGTAGGTCTGAGAATCTAGGCGCAGTCGAGAAGGCTCACTACCATGGTATACTCCGTAGTAGTTTTTAGATGTCTGATTGATTCACCAAAMCCCGCCACGGTCTGTCAGAAAAAGGCCTAGACCCACACCGACCCGCACATGTCTAGTTCCCGCATCCGCTTGTACTATGGAGACATTATTTGACGTCGAAAGCTGATAGCCTGATCCAATGTCTGTAGCCTCTCTTGCACTGGACTCAATCAGGCCATTAAGGAGTTGTATGAATGATCCACAACGACATTGTTTGGTTCCTCGGTTCTGCTGACCATGCCATTGTCGAGTCTACTGAGGCCCATATGCATAGACCTATCATCAGTTTTCAAGCTGCATTTGCTAAAGACGTGGTACCATTGAATATGTGACCCAGCCTAAATTTTCTGTCCTACCAGTCGAAGATGATACTGAGGATGCGCAGCACATGTGATCGCAGTCTACAGCATCCACTTCATGGGTATTCCCCGCCCATCCTGGCTAACAGAGGACGCCTGGCTGTTCTCTTCTCTCCTTTTCGGAAACTATGATCGCTCGGTGATTACTCTGTAGCAAGGCGATTACTACAAATTATTACCTGGAGATTAGTCATTCCCTGTCTGACTCCTTTCAGGTCCAGAGTCTCTATATGTATGGCAAGTTCAACATGCTCTTAATAATAGCGGAGCAAAATGTCGCCCTCTGGTGGCAACTGGCTAGTCGTGTGACGGAATGGGAGGCCCTCAAGCGGCCAATGATACAGTTTCACGGCGATAGTTCTGTGGTTTTCAGCTTCACAATTAGCCCCGATAGCTAGCTAGCTCAACCCTTCATTCAAGAAATTTGGCTTTCGCGAGCCAAGAAAGTGAGTCTCTTCCGGGCTAACCCCCCATTTTCTGTCCGAATGCGGCAATCGTGATAGCGACACTCACAACATGCTTTTACGGGGACATTGAGAAACCGAATCTGAGGTCTAGTGTTAAAGCGTGGTGTGATCTATTCTCTCCAACTCCTTGTTCTCGTGCTGAAATAATTTATGGACACTCTGACCTAGTGAACACTTAAGTTGGGACGCTTTGCTTTGGATTAAGAGCAATACACACTTTTCTTCTGGAGCACTAGACGTGCATAGGCTAATTTGATCTACCGCCTTACCTGTTGTCCTCACGAAATTTCTTGCTTGGTGAAAATTGAAGTCCAGCTCGGATACCCGGTGAAATAATGTGAAAATGCGATTTGCACACTTCATGCTAGGCTGGAATGCCCGAATCTGCATCATCTTGATAGCCTACTCTGTTTTAGGCCCGGTATCTTTGGCGCAGTCGTTATCCAACATATGTCCTGGCGCTCGTCTACCTAGGGCTTTGCCAGATGCGCCTAATGGATATACGCCGGATCTTGTGCAGTGCCCAGTCTCTGAACCCTTTGTTCGTTATTCCGTAAATATCAGCATACACGAAATGGATTGGCTACAGAAGCGTCAAGAGAAACGGCTGAAGGCTATGAACGCCTTTTTGACGCGGATAAAAGTTCCRGGTTTCAATGSGAGCCACTACTTCGCAGAGACTCCTACCCAGTCTCTACCTAATATCGGCATCGCTTTCTCAGGCGGTGGCTACCGAGCTCTACTTAACGGTGCTGGGATATTTGCTGCCTTCGATGAAAGAACGCCAGGGTCAACTACACCAGGTCACCTTGGTGGACTGATTCAATCATCAACGTACCTTTCAGGTCTAAGTGGTGGTTCCTGGCTGGTCGGGTCGATCTATGTTAATAACTTTACTACCGTCACTGCGTTATTAGACTCGCACACGAGTGGCCTATGGGAATTTGGTCAATCGGTTCTCAGTGGCCCTACAGGCGATGCCGGGTATTTGAACCGCCTTCGTCAGGTTGTTGATGGCAAAGAAGAGGCCGGGTTTCCCGTATCAATCACTGATTACTGGTACTATCTCCTCCCCTGCATCCTATCTTTGTTAGCTAATTACCGGGTTCGATGAAAAGAATACTGACCATTAGTTATAATAGGGGTCGTGGGCTCTCCTACCAATTGGTGAATGCCACTGAGGGCGGGCCTGCCTACACTTGGTCATCTATTGCCTCGACTCCACTTTTCGATGACGGCAGCGTGCCAATGCCTATCATCGTTGCACTTGAACGTGCGCCTTTAGAGCAGAACTTGAGTAAGGATACGCAATCAGTTGTGTGCTTTGCGAATCCTGTTGTCAGGTGTGCTGATTCATTGTTCCTCACCCAGCATTGAATTCATCTGTCTACGAATTCAACCCATGGGAATTGGGTACATGGGACCCGACGACATACGGCTTCGTGCCTCTCGGATTTGGTGGATCCAATTTCACAAATGGCAGTCTTATAAGTGGCGAGTGTGTCTCTGGATTCGATAATGTCGGGTTCATCATGGGCACATCTTCTTCCTTGTTCAACCAAGCGCTGCTTAACATCAACAATACAGATCTTCAACAAACATTCAAACGCCTCACGACTTCGCTTCTACAAAACCTCAACGAGTCATCGAATGACGTTTCTGTATACCAACCGAATCCTTTCTACAAGTTCAATAGAGCGAGCAATCGGAATGCTCAAGAAGAGGCACTGATCCTTGTTGATGGCGGCGAGGACTTCCAGAATATTCCATTCCACCCGCTTCTACAATCCAATCGCAAGGTCGATATAATATTTGCCATTGATAGCTCGGCAGATACAAAGATGCGATGGCCTAACGGGACTAGCATGGTAGCAACCTATGAGCGCAACAGCAATCATTCTGAGATAGCAGATGGGACTGCGTTTCCTTCTATCCCAGATCAGAATACTTTTGTGAATCTAGGCTTGAACAGTCGTCCTACGTTCTTCGGCTGTGATCCAACTAATAGCACTGGCGAAAACTCAGCTCCACTGGTCGTCTATATCCCAAATAGCCCATACACTTACATGTCAAACATCACAACATTCACGCTTGAACTCAACAATACTGAACGGAATGACCTGGTGCGTAACGGATACAGTGTGGCTACCTCGGGGAATTCCACGGATTGGGGTATTTGCGTTGGCTGTGCGATTATTAGCCGGAGCCTACACCGCACTAATACCTCAGTCCCTAGAGCATGCGCGGACTGTTTTCATCAATATTGTTGGGATGGCACTATCAACTCAACTAATCCGGGATTGTAGCAGTTGCACGACAAGAACTGAAGCCAGCATGGATGTCGGTAAACTGTATCGTTGAGTTTTGTGGAACAAGCTCTCCCATTTGCTAATCTATGTGTTGTACAAGATCTTTCAGTGTTTTCGGCCGAGCAAGTAAGGCTGTGTCTTGCGTTCTTGGGCTCCGGAGTCATTTACACAAAATCCAAGTTCTTTTTGCTTGACTAGATCATAATTATTTATAAATAGTGCCATTCTCAAAAACATAGTGTTCAGCCGAAGGAAAACTTCTATAACCCAAGTATCATCAGCATGGCTCAGGTAGCCACATCGTGGGTGCTATTCCGGGCAGATACAGTACCTATCCTTCTATTGATCGACTAGATCAAGCGGTTGAAGCGATCAAGGTCAAGCTTACCGCAGAGGAATTTGCGTTTCTAGAACAGCCTTACCACCCCAGGTCGGCGATGATTTTCTGACCGCGAATGTGTACGTCTACGCAGAGAATGCTTCCAATTGTCGAAATAATTCGCGCGAAGCACCGTATCTTCTGATAGCAATTTAAGACCCATTTGAAAGAATTTCTTATCTGCCTACGACACCATCTGAAACGAATCTTGAGGCTAGAGTTCACTAGATACTAGTAATCATTCGTGGGTTCATGCAGAAGATGCTACTTAGAGAGGCCATCTATAGAAGGTCTCGGGTGACAGCAAAGTCTGTTCTTAACACTATCACCTCAATTCGAATGTTTGGGCCAGCTTGGTGCCACGTCATCTGAATCACTGTTTCAACTTTCAGGGAGTGCATTGACCTATGAAGCGATAGCATCCGTTCTCGGGGACAGGTACAGTCATGAGTCCTCCGACTAGCAATTAACTATTCCTCTCTTACTCTACATCGACCTGCCCTCTCACCTCATTCGTTACCAAAATTGGCAGTCCAAGCAGCCTATGAGACTCAATCCAAAGCCTCTCCTCGTTCTCCTGATCATATATATGCTTAGCATAACCCCGTGCGCTATACAAAGGCTGATTCTCAAAGCTCACAGCCTCGTAACAATCCTCTAGATACTTCCCCCCTTTTGCTGCCACCCCTTACCCACAGCAGCGAGCACAGTAGTAGCAGTACCCTGCTCAACATTTCTAAAATCCTTCTGGATCTTTCATTCCATGCCCAGCTATCTTTTACTTCCTAGGGTTGCGTGCATCAAGGGACAGGTGAGCATCGATAGTTGCTAGAGCACGCGCAGTCTCTACTTTAATCCCTGCTGAGGCACCGACGAGGAAAATAACTTTGTCTGTTTATGTGTTCTCGAGTCCTTCGTCTCTGATAATCTGAAGCACGGTTGGGTGTGCGTCTCCGGGGCCGTTTAATGTTTTGTGAACTGCTGAGTAGCGAGAAATTCTTACCATAACAAAGAAAACTCCCGGAGGGAGGTTGGGCTGCTCAAGTCTTAGAGCGTGCAAGCTTGAGACGTACCTCATATGAAATACACGCTTGCAAAGAGGGGAAGTCAGCACTAGAGCCAGTGAATGATCGAAAAGCCAAATCAAGAAATCGACGTATTCGCGGAACAACTCGGATACAAAGGCCTGCATCACCTTCATTGACTTACAAGGATGTGATATGCTGGAGTGGTGGTTGATTGCACGGCCAAGAAGAACTAGCAATCCAAGGTTTACTAACCACCAAGTTGGAGTAGCACTCTCACCGGTGTCACCAATCCTCTTTGTGTTATACGTACGCCAACTAGCAGCCGCTATCGAGATTGCTGTTCCAGGGGTAAGAGGGCTACCCTTCGTGGACGACCAGGGACTCATTACAGCGGCCATACAACGATGATCGAACTCCGTGACCCCCAATGCCCCAATGCGGTCAAACTATCCACAGTTCTTGACTATATAAGATTATTTGCGTCATTGTGACATACACTAGATAGTGAGGGCGGAACGGATGCTTAGATAGAGATACCAAGTAGTGTGGCTACTGTTAAGTGAACAGTGAAAAGTTGATCATGCTCAGTGAGTTCTCACTGAGCGACAACATAGTCCCCAAAATTTGTCACGCGACGACGCTGGGTGCCTCAGTAAGCGTGACTCCAGACTGAAATCTACTCAGTGAACCAGAGCGTGAACGCCGTCACAAAAGCGGAAGCAGCTGAAATAGGAAGACCTAATCTGGCAGGGTAAATACGGTTCGTATAGTCTCCTAGGTATGCCCGAGACTGTTAGGGGGCCAGCCTAGGCTACCCCCATGTTTGTCATGCCTGTAGTGTCCCATAGGTGCCTTGTGAATGTTATGTCTAGTGTGCCCCTCGCATGAGAGTCACTTACCTCACCTCTACAACGGCTAGATCCTAGAGCGATAGGACCCCATTGCATCATATGCTACCATTCGTGATTATGCTGTTTATCGCTCGTGTCAAGTGCAAAGAGAGAGGTATAGGAAACAATAATCTTGCTGTTGACTACACTGAAATAATGCTCTATTTACGCTTTCACCGCTAAAACTCCTAGCACAACAAACAAAACCGAACGTATGTATACACTTAATTGACAAACGACAGTTGCTTCTATGATTCCCCTGTCTTTTCATCGACTGGGGCCTCCACAGGAGCAGGGTTTGTTGTGTTTTCTTCTATTGAGGGGGTCTGTTCTTTGACAGCTTGGTCCTCTGCGACTGGCTCTGATACGGCAGGCGCGGTATCGGGTTTGGCTTCGGGTTCGACTTCGGGTTCGACTTCGGGTTTGACTTCGGGTTCAGTGTGAAGTTCAACAGCAGGGGACTGTTCAGTCTTTACTTGACTCGTTTCCTCTGCGGGCAGTGAGGGCTCTTTCGTTACGCTCTCCTGGATAGTGTCTGGTAGCTCGGGTTGTGTTTCTGGAGCCGTTGGCGCGAGTTGGGGCTCCTCGACCGCTTCGGATGAGATCGGCGCATCTGGTTGTAGCACGGTCTGCTCTACTTTCATTTCCGTTTCTACCTCCATTTCCGTTTCGGTTGCAGTTGTAGCATCCACCACAGGCTGGACAGTTTCTGTGATTTCAATCGTTTCGGTAACAGGAACCTCTGGCACAGGTTGCGTCTGCTGAATATCTTCCATCATGTCTGCACTAGACGCACGTTCGGGCTTGACTTCAGGCACTTCTTCGACCTTTGATGGTTCGATCTCTGGGACAGGATCCTCTGGAGGGGTCAATTGTTCTGACTGAGGTCGAATTGGAGATTGAKGTTCCGGAATAACAGGCTCCGTCGGAGGCGGTACAGTCTCATTCTCTGGAGCCGGTGGCGGTGGCAGACTTGGTGTTGCTTCAAGATCCAACTTTGGAGCTGTATCTGTATCGACAGCTGTATCTGCAGTTGTATCTGCAACTGTATCGGGAGCTGTGGCTGTAGTTGTAGTTGTAGTTGTAGCTGTAGCTGAAACTGTATCTGCAGCTGTATCGGGAGCTGTATCGGGAGCTACATCTTTCATCGGCGTATCTGACGTTTCTTCTGGTTTAATAGTCTCCTCGCCATCCTCTCCATCTTCGCCCTCTTCACCCTCTTCATCATCCTCATCTTCATCTTGTTCACCATCAGCCGCTCCAGCTTCACCACCAGCTTCAGCACCTTCACCAGGCGCAAACATAACCTTCTTCCTGCCTCTACCCCTCAAGCCTTTACCCCTTCTCTTCGGCGGCGGCGGACCTTTCCGTTTTGTCGGCGACTCCACAGCCGTCGACGCAACCACAATGCCCTCCGCATTCGCAACGCCAACACCTTCCACCACCGTCCCCGGCGCCGGAGTTGCCTTAATCACCGTAACATCAGGCTGGCCATTCGAAGCCTGCGACTCATCCTTAATTTCACCGTCCACTTTCTGCCCTTCCGGAATCCAAGCATCATAAATCGTAATATTGCCCGTGTCCGGGTCAACTTTTCGAATCTTGGCTTTGCGCATGGGTTGTGATGCATTGGGCACAGCAGCCGTGACTGCACCAGAAGCTCCATACAGAGATGGTAAACCAGGTCTCCTCTTTGCCAAAAACTCGACTTCGGGAAGCTCAACGTGCCGGGGGATCTGGCTCCATTTTCGGGCTGTATAACTCCTCTCATTCTTCACTGCCGGTGTCGTCGCGTCTTCCATATCAGGTCCGTCGCGTTCATCGACAGATTGCGTATCCTTGGACGCTGGCAGCAAATAAATATAACCAGCCCTCGCAGCCCTCAGCAACGCCCTGCTTTGCGGCGCAAGCAGATGGCTGTCCTTGGGCATTGGTAATTCCGGGAATTGATGATCGGTCTTACCGCCGGCAACATTGTTGCTGCTACTGCCGGCGCCAGCGGCGTTGTGTTGGTCGGGGAAATTATCGTGTTTGGCGTCTTGGGAGATTGTATGCGCTTGACGGGTCCAGCGACGGATGGGGAGGCCCTCGAAGATATCGTGATCTGCGGCGCTGGTACGACTACGGTTTGTGGCTTCGCCGAATTGGCGGCCGGAGCGAGAGGATCTAAACTGTGGACGAGGGTTTTTTAGTAGTGTTCTTGGGATAATTTGACACAGCTGTGGTATGCGACCACAGGTGAAAGTATAGACAACTTACTGTCGGCGCCATGCTCAATGAGCGGAGAAGGCTCGCGCTCGGGAGTTATCAAACGTCAATCGCTACCCCCTCGTCGATATACCTAATCTTTACGCAAGTGTCGCGTTTGAGACAGGATGGTGTACTGTGATTGATGTCTTAATCGAAATAATTGCGATTCGTCAGTAGACAGTACTTGTCAGCTCTGTCTGTCTTGAGGCGCGGAAGCGTTTGCGGAGAGAGTTGCAATCGATACACGTGACTAACCCCTTTTGTCTTAGCGCGTTATTTCTTATAATCAATAACTCGACCTAACATTCGCTATCTGATAGAGAGATAATGATTGGGAATTATATACAGTCTGAATGAAGGTTGATTCAAGTTCAGAATCATTAGAAGTTCAAGGTGAGTTGGGAGTTATAGTTCGCGAGCACCAAGGCAATTAGCCACAGCCTTCGATATGAGAACAGTAGTAGTATGTATACACGTTATAATATCCTTTCCAATAGCAAAACGCCGATTGAAAGAACAAGCTAGATGAGAGTGCGAGTAGGAGGTGCCTATATTGGGTGGTGGGTAATACAGTCATCAATGCGCACGTAGTTTAATCCCAACTATCACCAAACGTTAGTAAAACTGCAACACGAGTTATAACCACGTAGTTGATGAGCTTACCCAACATCCTTTTGGCGCACAATATCGCCTCTGTCACCGGTTTGTTTGCCCTGCCAACCGTCAGCTTTGGAAATTACAAAGACGAGTTTCGACATACCGTCTTTTGCCCCTCCACTACCAATCGATCTAATTGATAGAACTGACTGATCACAGTTTGTCGCTACAACCATCAACAAAAACCATCAGCATTTGCTCTTTAGAGATTCCCAGCTGCGCGGGAGATTATACCTTCATCATCCTCAAATTCTTCAACCCTTCCTGGATAAACTCCTGTATCTTGCGCTCTTCGCCCTCCTTCTGATGATCCCGAAAGGCGTCTCTCGTCCGTCGGCGGGCGTATTCACGGAAATTGTAGTTTGAAAATTGAGAGGATTGGCGCATGAGGGAGCGGAACTGTTATCAAAGAAGATTAGTGATTGTCTGCGCGGGAGTCGTAGAGGAGAGGGAATCACGTACCAATGACCGCACCTGGAAAGCTGTGTCCCGGTGAAGGGTTGTAACTGACGACATGACGGTTTGATATTCAAAGGATGAGATGGTAGATCGATTGCGACAGCAGTTTGTGTTGTCGATTGAGTTCGGACTTTCCGGTCAGACTCAAGTCACGTCGTTTGCGCGAATTCCGGCTAGGTGGGGATCTCGGTTGTGGCCGCTGATGTGTGTAGTGGCAAGTATAGATGCTCTGACAGCTATGCCCAGGTTTTATTGTGTAGTATACCTGAAATAACAGCAGAATCCAAGATGACGCATGGAGAGATGGAGCTCAGCAACGCTATTTCATCGATTACTGCAAAACAAGACAGTCAAATTTATCGATCAAGAACAGCGGACCGTGAAGACATTCAAGGTCAGTACATACCAAGTAAATAGACAAAGCTGATGCGTTGTGACAGAATTGAAGATAACTCGACTTTTTTCCTGCGATGACGGAGCTTTCACTTTGATGGCGAACGAATCTCTCCCGCAATCTCCGAGGCCGACTTTGGATGGTCGGACATACGTGGCTCCGGCTGGAGATGCCTCGTTGGTTAAAGCTAGCACGGAGATAACACACCACACACCACAACAACTCTATGCATAGTAGCACCAATACCGATAACGAGTACACAGTAGGGAATAGAAAATGTCGCAGATACCAACTCCTCCACAATCTCGTGGCGCATCTACTGAGCCCAATGAGAAAATCGACATTACGCGTGACGAAAAAGTCCAGTTACTCGATAACTTACTCGAGCGCTATCTCCACTTACTAGACACACACCAAAAGCTTCAAGAATCACTAGGGAAACAATTATCATCTGTAAGTACGTTCTTGCTTTCGTTCCCGAAGTACGCAGACTAATCATGAGATTCAGGGATTCTTCCAACTCGCACATGCAAACTATGTCTCACCCGGTCGAAGGTTTGGGGAGGACTTTTATGATGAGCGGATGAAAGCGACGAGGAGATTGTAAATTTACTCTTCTCCTTACTGATGTGTTCATGATGCACTGACCGTCTTGGAAGGAATTTTACTTCTTTGCTGGATGATGAGCAGTCGGACTCGGATAGGATTGAAGCTCGAGTTGATAGAGTACAGTTTGAGGTGGAGTACAAATCTGTCCTCGATAAAAAGGATAATAATGAAAAAGATAAAACGGAGGATGGCGATGAGAAGGATGCGAAGAGTTCCGCTACGGAGATAGTGGCCGGTTCTGATAATGAGACCGAACAAGAGACATCAGCATCGGGAATCGCAACACCGCCTACACAAACCCAGGACATCAACAGGGATAATGACAATGATAAAGGCAAAGATTCTACAGTAGCGGACGAATCTACCAAAAACTCCACCAAAAAGAAGATCTTCCGCTCCGATGATCCAATTTCCTGGTATGGGATTCTCGTCCCCTCGTCGCTGAAAAGTGCTCAAAAATCGTTTATTGAGGCTGTTGATGGCGGCATTCCGCAGATCGTCAGTGTGATGCAAGACATGCGGTGTGTGGAGGATATGGTTTATGAGCTGAGGAAGGAAATAGAAGGGTCGACTAAAGCTGAATAATACAAGCATCAAGTATTTGAGAGGCGATTAAGATATGCATCTATTCTAGACTGCTGAGTCTCTATTGTATAAGGAAAGTGGGTAGCTAAGAATGAGTTGCCAGGTTGTGGATCCAGGCTAAATAGGTATGAGCATGCAAGTCAAGTGTCGTTCAGTTCACATGAGCGATTTTCTGACGGAGCAGGATGTCAGGGTCGTAGTAGCTTGGACTTCTCTTCCTTCGTGGACAGTTTTCCTTCCGATATGTCGTTACATTAGCGCTGAGGGCGGCCACGTCCACGAGATCGTCTGCTGTATTACTAGCAGTGGAGGGGGTTGCATGCTTAGTTTGGGTTGATGATGTGGTCTCACTCATTTCGTATTCTCCGGATCGTTGCGCCGTTCCTTTTACCAACTCTCCCGGCACGCTCGGCACAATGAGCAAACCATCGTCAGTGGTCCAGCACGGCGGATACTTTGAAGCTTCAACACGTGGGGGAAGTGGCCTTGCACTGTTAATGCCTCCAGATGCTACTGATAGTGGACGGCTATAACTGACGACACCATGTTCCAAACTTTTATGCTGACAGATTGGACTGATGTCTAGTCTCGGACATGGTTGCTTCAATTGATCGTCAAGAGTCTCTTCGATTGTCATAAGATGCGGGCTCAATATGAACGCAGCAGGGTTTCGAACGAGCTGCCAGGGCTCAACTGGCCTTGCTGGGACTGATGAAGGTCTCGACTCATTACTCGATACTTGTGGTGCCAATACAACGAAGCCGCTCGAACTGCTTGTTGCGGTTTCAGCGAAACTATGTCGTCTGGTGGGATTCACTATCGCCAGAGAGCTGTCACTCCCGAACGATGTCAGAGATTTTAGGTCTTGCGGCCCTCCAAGATCGAGTTCAACGAAGGCAGTCGGTGACTCTGATTGTTCATCTTGTGGAATTGGTGATGGAACATGAACTTCGAGAGAGGTTGAGCGTGCCAAAGGCGGGCGTTCGTCATATTGTGTATCCAGAGTAAGAATTCCAACTGGCTTCAGTCGATCATTACAAAGGGAGTCTGCCAGTCTAGGATCTGTCCGTCTCTCGTATGACACATTTCTACGGGAATCGTACGCTATTGAAGGCTGAACACTTTCGTCCAATCGAATCGTCGGCCCAGTCGAAATGAAGGGTCTCTTGGCTAGGGCTACGGGATTCTGCGGAGTCTCAATTAAGCCTTTTTGGTGGACCGAGATATTAGCGGCAGTCAGAGGAAGCGTGGGAACTGTGGAAGTTTCAGAAGTATCACGATCGTCGCTGCGGGGACGTTGAGATGCATTTGCTGGGGCTAGAAACGCTAGTTCAGTATGGAACAGACATGAAGCAGCTCCGTCTTGACTTCAATCATAGATAAGAATACAGCGAATAGATATCATTGTACATGTCATTGGGTGATCGTTCGCACCTAGTTTTGAGACCATGATGGTGATGTATTGGATGTATAAACGGTAATGGGGTTAGACGAGCATTAAATATTGGCGTTGGTTTATGCAAGCATGGGCGTATGATATTCTACATGAGAAGAGTTGAGAACAGAGATGTAATTGTAGATAGATCATTTTAAGCAGCAAGGCAAGTGCTGCTCGTGCTGTCGCGAGGCAGCTGCGACCATGGCACCTTCCATCAGGGCAGCCAACAACACGTGACAGTACATTCACAATAATGAGGACATATTCAATCTTTCGTCTTCGACTTGAACCATGTCTTCGTAACTACTTCCACTTGCTTGTCGATCACCCAGACAGTCTGAATGTGTCTTTGCATGTCATGCCATACTGTTCGAAAAGGTCAGAATGATGCCCCCAGCATGCAACATTCGTAACAGAAGTGAGCTAATCATCTGACCCAAGTGTGTTTCAGACTTTCGGTCTTCCACCCATCCTAGTCAGTTTTCAGGTCTATGATACACGCCGAATTCCAGTCAGCGATGACAACCCATGCAACGAAAATTCCGCAGTCTAATTTTGTGTCCATCCGATCTGACAACTGGGAGCCATACGGGGACTGATGATATAATTCTACATCCCATGTGTTTCTTCGCGATCGGATGTTCGAGCGGAGCAAAGTTACTGAGGTAGCATTCGCTTACCTGATATTAACAATGCTATTAATATAATACAAGGGGAATGTTAATTTGTTATGACCACTAGCCACTCGCAATACGTAATATTCTACCTAACTGCCTTTGCCATAGCCCCTCGCTAGCAAACCCTGTGAAACGCGCCAAGCCGCCGTCGCCTCGACGTTCCCTTCAATTAGCCAACGACCGGCGAGAATCGGCTAGCCACGCGAGACAAGCTGCGGCGACATGTCGACGTTATGCTTTGATTTGACAGCGAGCCCGATCTATCATGAAAGTTGAAAGCTGACTGTCGCTGCAATTGGTGGCGATATGTTTATCATGGCGATACTGGACTTTGAAGAAAAAGGGACACAGGATCAATCTGTCAAAGCATTAGGCAGAGTACGGGCCACAAAGTGCCCAATACCACACCACTTAATACCCCCTGCTAGTCTGTTACATCTAGTTGCGCCTCAGGGCTTGAACATGGGGATGAGGAAAGGTCCGTCTCCAGTACAGATTAAAACCTAAACACTAACGGCMCCAGCCAATATAGCGTGTCTTACCTGTCCGCGAATTCATGGTACGGTTAATATACGCCGACACTAGGCTATGAGCGTGGCTGGCCTCGACTTTTTCCTCCACAGAATCGCAGACTTTAACTGTGTTCTCCTTTATCCGAGCTGGTAGCTCTTTCATATCTGCTGGACGCGGATTTGTGTTGTGTTGTTTTTGTCGTTGTCGTCGTTATTCATCGGTGTTGAGCTTGCGGTGTTGACTTCATCGAACTTACATATTGATCGTTTGACATGAGACTGTCCCTTTAGGAACCAGGTAAGTATGCTGACTCCTGCGCTGAATCACGCTGACAGTTGGCAATCAGGCATTGAGTGCCACTTCCTTGCCATTCTTTTGCAGCATAGGCCTGCCTTGATCTATTATTTCTATTCGCTTGTGTTTGACAGTGTCGGTGATCGATTATCGCCGACTTACATTCGTTGCAACATACTACCACAGACCAAGCAGTGTGTCACCTTACTTTGATTCTTTTCACATTTTCAGTTGTCGCTCCTTATTAAACTCGTTATATCTCGACCATGAGTCAGAATCAGCAACCGTACGGAGTGGGGCGAAACCAGGGTGGAGGGTCTGTTAAACGTGCCAGAGAGATGTTGAACGCTGGCGCACGCGGGCAAGACCAGAATGATCGAGGAATGCCACCACCACTGCGACCAAGGCCGACGCATAGTCGTTCCAGTTCACAGGAAGCAGAAATCGAGATTGGTTACCAGTTTGAAGACGATCCAAGAGGGCCAGTCCCTATCATGCCGATTCAAGGGTTGCAGGTCCCGAGACACAACGGCCCCCCGCCTAGTTCCAGACGTGGTCCGTCATCAGTCTATTCTCGTTTGATGACTGGCACTGCTGTGTCCCCCATCCCGGAGGAAAGTTTCAAACAAATCCGAAAGAAGAAGGAGTCGTATGCATCCAGCACAGTCATCCCGTCTAGCTGGGGTTCAGGACCACCCATGTCAGATATTCTCGACACTTATGGTTCAGAACAAGATGAGCCCAAACAAGACCCGAAGCGAAACAAACGTGATTCATTGACGATTTTGCGACAAGCCAGTGTTGGAAAGCGTGGAAAGCCTGCTTTGCGCACTGTTGGCAAAACTCAGGAGCCGTCACCGTTGAAAGACGACAAGTCTAGCGATAGCAGCTTGGGATATTCCACCGTCAACGGCTTGCAGCCTCGCGCCTCGTTGGATTCGACATCCACCGACACCGACTCGATAGATTTAGAAAAGGAGAGAATTGAGATCGAAAACGAGCAAAAAGCGCGGAGCATTGGTATTGGGTTTGGACTCGGCCGGCCTGGCGCTGGAATGAGTAGCAGAAAGCCCAACTCTCATCGACCTCCCGAGCTTGATTTGAATAAAACGCGGTCCGCCGAAGCCCACGGCAGTTTGACCAGTCTGCCCGATCTTATCCGACGCGCGACGAAGGTGGCTTCGAATTTGGAACACGGACGGACAGCGAGTCGACTCGGTATATTGGACATGTTTGATTTCGGAGGCCAAGGAAAGCGGACGAGAGCCTCACACCAGCGCTCTTCTGCTTCCATGTCGGATATCCTAGCCTCGTTTCCGCCTCCTCGTACTGGGACTCCTGATGAGAGCGACCGAACGTCGTGGCCATATGCGCCAACCCATGCCGCTGAGAAGTCTCGATTACGGGAAATGCAACGTAACTCAGCAGACGAGTCTCAGAATGAAGGCAAACCACGTCGTCGGTGTTGCGGCATGACGATGCCGGTGTTTATTTTTGTCTGTATCATTGTTTTGTGTGTTATCGCAGCCGCCGTTGTAATTCCTATCGTCCTTGTGGTAATTCCTCGGAACAACCACCATACACAATCGGCTGCCGCAGCCAACACAACGACAGCAGCGCCGACGTGCGAGCAGAAATTACCATGTATGAATGGTGGCGTCAGCATCCAGTCTGGTAGCACGTGCTCGTGTGTTTGCGTTGATGGATTCTCCGGTACTCAATGTGCCACTGCCAGCGATGGTAGTTGTACGACGACCAAGACCTCGCAAAGCGGCAACGCCACTATTGGAAGCTCACTTCCTGACTTGTTTACCCAGTCTGAGACTGACTTCAATATTCCCCTGAATGAGACTGCGATTCTCAGTCTGTTCAATGCCAACAATGTGTCTTGCACGGTACAGAATGCATTGGTTGAATTTGCCGGCCTGACCTCGTCCAAAGTTCGGCGGGACCTAGACCTAGACCTAGAGACAGAACCATTGGTAGTGGTACCGACAGCCCCGATTATCAAGCGGGCTACCACCACTCAGGCACCCGACGCCACATACGTTCCGCCGATTCTGAGTGTTCCCACGAGCAGCGCGACACAGGCTGCGGGGGCCATGCAAACCGCCGCGACCGCCACAACGACCAAGACCGCGTCGACCACATCCGCGTCAGCCTCTGCCTCAACTACCGCCGCCTCGGTCAACGGCACGGTAGCGCGGGTTTACGAGTTTGCGCGAGTTGCGGTGCTGTTCATTTTCGAGCAGACGCAAGACATCGCCGCCGCGTCCACCGCCCAAAACGACATTGATCTGTATCTCTTGTCGATGGATGTCAGCACGAACACGAACATGAAGATGAGCGTGACCAAGCCGACGTCGTTTGTGCTCAGCTTTACCAATTTCACGATTACCTTGTCGAACGGGACGGTGGTGGGTGGCAACGCGACTGCCACTTGATTTCTTGTCTGTTTATACGTACAGTGTACTTTTTACAATTCTCTTCTTGTTGATTTTATCGTATATACGCTTGTTTACTCCAACGTGTTCAATACTGCAATACATCAGTACTCAGATCTTAATGTGTAAACTGCAGTATTGTGTTACGTAGGTGTACACTGTAAACCACAGAGGAGAGAGAATAACGTTCTCTTGGCAAGCCGCGTGACATCATGGCTGACTAACGCGCCAATCGGAAGCGCGGCACCGCCATCGGCAAGTCTTCGGCCAAAAAATGGCTTTTCTCCACTACGGCCAATTTCTTGTTTTACTCGTATGCTGTGAATTGCTTCATCAGCCTGGAAGGAGAGGGAATATCAATACTTTCTCAAGAAATGGAAGTAGATTTATAAATATATATATATGTTCGACTCTCATACAGAAGACAGAATACAGAGTAGTGAAACAAAAAGTCGTATAGATCCCGACCCTTCCGAGATCTTCATCCCGGTGAACCAGCCTGGTAACTCCCTGGTCAGTTACATGCATCTGCATGCAGCGTCCACCAGTCTTAACGCCGAACGGAGGCTCCGTCTGGTACGTGTACGTACTGCGCAAATGAAAATCGGGCCCTGGAAATCACCCCGAGGGGTACTGCTGAGTTTTGCTGGGTACAGTCGGAAGAACATTCAGCAGTTCGGCATAGTGGCAGGGKTGCATCCGGGATGGGTCTGTATTTCCGGCTGTGCCGTGCTTACATACTAGGACTCGGGGATGGGTTGGTATGTACGTACAGACAGACTCGGGCCGACTTCCTTCTGGAACAACCTACTACTCGTAGTATGTAGGAAGATACACAACGGTAAAAGGCGACGGTAAATATGTCAGAGGCGACGACCAAAGTAAAATTTCTTCACTTAATCAAACGGCCAAAACATGGTTGAGTTCACGTGTGCTGGGACGTTATTTGCTGAGCCTGAGGCCTTCCCCACGTCATAGGCCGGCGAGTCTCCATCAATGACGAAAATATCTCCACCGTCCACTGGCGAATGATTTCATTTTTCCCGGATTATGCACTCCCTTTTTTCCTCCGTATGGGGGGAACTCACGTGTGCTAGATACTCCAGTCTGCTCTCCAGCCAGTCCCCGGTTGTTCCGGCTCAAGGTCGGGCAAATCACTGCCCAAGAAGATGAGAGAAAAATCTTATAAATCCGCTGATCGTCCGTTTCTCTTCCACTTTTTCTGTTCTGTTCTCTTCATCATTCTTTCTTGTGTTGGGCTGGTTCCTATCTGTACTTCTTCATATCCTTGATACTCTCTACATGTCTATACATACATAGTACTTCATATACACCTCATTGAGTATAACACAATGGCTTCCTCGTCGCACGATAAAGTGCACCAAGAACATGCCGAGCAATCCACCCTCACCAGCAACACCAACGCCAACAACTACAATGGCTCATCTGCCACCGACGAAATCGCCATGGCCGACCTGCCCGCCGCCATCGTCGAAAAAGGTCCCCAACTGGTCGACACCAAAGTGCCCTTCCTGACCTGGCGCTCCGTCGTTATGGGCCTGTTCGTGTCCATGGGCGGATTCATCTTTGGTTACGATACCGGTCAGATTTCCGGATTCTTGCAGATGGAGGACTTTCTGTACTCGTTCGGAACGTGGAATGGCTCGAAATATGAGTTCACTAATGTGCGGAGCGGGTTGATTACTGGATTGGTATGCCTTTTCCCTGGCTCTTCAAAAAGAGAAAAAAAGAAAAAAAAAAGCTAATATATGTATGGTAGTTGTCAATTGGAACTTTGATCGGTGCCCTCGTTGGCGCCCCCATCGCAGACCGCATCGGCCGCAAATGGTCCATTTCCTGGTGGTGCATCATCCTCTGCGTCGGCCTCACCGTGCAAATCTCCTCTCCACACGGAAAATGGTACCAAGTCGCCGTTGGCCGATTGATTGCCGGTCTCGGTGTCGGCGCCTTGTCGCTGATTGTGCCCATGTATCAGGGCGAAAGCGGTCCGCGACATATCCGTGGTGCATTGATCAGTCTGTATCAACTGTTTATTACCCTGGGCATCTTCGTCGCGTATTGCATTGACTTTGGCACCGAGGCCATGACCAACTCGGCCTCATGGCGCATCCCGATGGGAATCACGTATCTCTGGGCGATCATCCTGGGTGTTGGAATCATCTTCTTCCCCGAATCGCCTCGCTACGACTACCGACACGGAAAAGTCGACCGCGCAGTTGCCAACCTAGCCAAGATCTACGGTATTCCTCAAAACCACCGCGCTCTAGCCCATGAATTCGAAGAAATCAGAGAAAAATACGAAGAAGAGAAATCGCACGGCAACATCACATGGTGGATGATGCTTAGCGCGCCACGCATGAAGTACCGTATCATGATCGGTATGTTGTTGCAAGCTCTCCAGCAACTCACCGGCGCAAACTACTTTTTCTACTACGGCACCACTATCTTCCAAGGTGCCGGTATCTCGAACTCGTACGTCACGCAAATGATCCTCGGCGGCGTTAATTTCGGAACCACGTTTTTGGGATTGTATAACATCCAGCATTTCGGTCGCCGCAAGTCCTTGATCGGAGGCGCCATATGGATGTTTGTATGTTTCATGATTTTTGCGTCTATCGGCCACTTCTCCCTCGATAGAGAGACTCCCGCCAATACTCCCGGTGCCGGTAAAGCCATGGTGTGCTTCGCCTGCTTCTTTATTCTGGGCTATGCATCAACCTGGGCGCCCATGGTCTGGGCTATCTGCGCTGAACTGTACCCCTCCGAATTCCGCGCTCGCGCCATGTCCCTCTCGACCGCCTCAAACTGGCTTTGGAATTTCCTGCTTGCATTTTTCACACCTTTTATCACGAGTGCCATCGATTTCAGATTTGGGTACGTCTTTGCTGGATGCATGTTTGCAGCTGCCTTTGTGGTGTACTTTGGAGTCATCGAGGGTAAGGATCGCACCTTGGAGGAGATTGATACCATGTACGTGCGCAAGGTGAAGCCATGGGAGAGCTCGAAGTATGTTTTCCCGGAGAATGAGTTTGAACCTACCAGCGGTAGGACGAATGGAAATGGGAAGGAGGAGCCGACACAGGAGCATATCAATTAGCTTGTCATGTTTGAATGATTCTTTTGACGATACGTTATAAGTACATACTATGAATATATCATATCAATGAATGAAAATAAAAATATACATAAAACTCAATTTTTAATTGTCCCTCCACCTCATAACCCAAACCGCCACCTCCCCTTCTCCCCCATCCTCCACCACCTTACGACAAGAAGAAACTAAATCCCCAAACCCAATCCTCCCCACCCCCTCAAACCCGGCCTTTTCATAAACCCTTTTCCCAGCATCCGAACTCCAAACCCAAATCTCCACGCCTTCCTCTTTCGCAGTCTCGAGCCCCCATTTCAGTGCCTCCATACCATACCCTTGGCGCTGGTACTGCGGCGCAATGTATAGCGCTTCCAACTCCCATCTCTCGGCCGGCAAGCTGATTTTCTGGCCTGAGGGCAGAGGGGATCGGATTCGATGCTGGAAGTTGTTCATGTTGGTATGGTTTATGCTGGTGTCGAAGGGGTATGTTATTGTCATTGATATATAGCTCATACAAGTTTTCAGGCCTGGTTCTTCGTAAGCATACATGTTGTACTTGGAGAGTGTTGTGTGTGTAAAAATGGAAGAGGGGGGGGGCGTACGAGTAGATACTTTCGACCCCTGAGCGCGCCATTTCCGTGCAAGAGGGGATGTGCCATGGCGGTTCCAAATTGCGAAGCCTACTACCTCCTCCTCTTCTGCTTCTTGCCCATCCTGTATGTTTTGCTTATTGTGGTGGCGGCAAATAACCCAGCAGACACTCCCCGGTAACAAAACCTCTAGCTCAAATGATTTTTGTAGGGATTTTATATGTGCTTTCCACTGCTTCTCTCCTCCTCCTCCTTTCTCTTTTCCCTCGTTCCCGAGTTCGTGACCTGACGTGTGTTGGTTGTGGTGATGGTGGTGCTGGTCAGGATTGATATGACGACAGTACAGCGCCAAGGGATCCGTGAGATCGCATGTTGCTTTTATGGTTGCTATTGCCAGAGAGTCGTGTGGCGTGTAGGGGCGGAGGGGCATTGACTCTTTTTGCGCGTGCTGTGCGGTGCTCTGCGCTTATTTTAATTTCAGGTGCGATGCTGTTGATGTTGTTGATGTTTGTTGGGAAGCTTTACCCCGTGTTTGCTGCGTTATCGCTCTTATCGTCACTGACCCACTTACTCTAGACTCGCAGGCAGGTTGGATATTTCTTATATTCATACAGTAGAAACTATAATACAGCATACAGAAACAACGCCTATACACCACGCTAGCCCACTAAAACAAAGACAAATTGAACCCGCTCGGCTTATACAACGTGTACTCATTCGTCAACCGCAACAACCCATTCGCCCGATCCTCAATAATCATCTTCTCCGCCTGCCACCGTTTCCTTTCAAACGTTTTTCCTTCTGCAGTCTTCTTTGCGCTGTTAGTGAACCAACTCTTGTCTATGCTCGAAATGGCGGCTTGTTCGGCGACGGTCGCTTCCGTGACGAGATTGTCTACCATCGTGCGCCAATTATTCAATCCGACTTTGAGGCATGACGAGCACCGACTGCGCGTTTCGCGGATCTCTTCGTTGTATACGCCGCTGGAGCTGGAGCTGGCGCTCGGCAGGTCGAGTAAGACGGATTCGGTCATGTCGACTGCGTCGCGCGTCCAGGCGAGACCGGTCTCTTTGGAGGAGGATGCGTACAGGATTTCGCCGATATATGTCATTAGTCCTGCCTCTAAGCACGGCGCACTGGCGTCTCGTACAGGCGGCTCGTTTCCGTCGGATGGTGCTTCGGGGTAGACTGAAGGGACGAACATGTTTTTGATTTTTTCGAGATATTCGTCCAAAGCTGGCGTGGGGCGTGATCGGTTTTTATTCTCTGATGTTTCGAACTGCGGTAGGTTGCGGCGCGCTTTGAGGATTGAGGTGAATATCGATAGTGCCGTAGTTAGATCTCCAGACTTGACGCTGTGCACACCAAGAGCGGTCGATACCCGCATGATATTATCGGATGCAACATTTTTGCCGTTATTTTTGAGTATGCAGGTTTTCGTGTCCACCACCGTCGAAGCATCATACGGCAGCCCCGATGTTGCAATATCCATTGCCCAAGCATACATATCCTCAGCCGTACTACTCAACCCTTTGTAATTCAGCCAATCCGCATATCCCAACGCAGCATCAATCTTTTGTCTCGCCGTAAATCCCTTGGTCGTCAAAATCTTCATATAAAACACTTCCGGCGCCGGCGCTGAAGGCGTACAATCCTCCTCGCGCATCACAATACCCGTCCGACCAGGCAACGTCTTCGCATCCGGGTTTGACGGTCCATGCACATACTCCTTGGGCGCAGTGATTCGTTGTTTGCGATCCGTCATAAACCCATCCAAATATTCCGCCGCTTTCGCCGAATTGATCAAACACTGGAAATAACCCCTCCGCCACGGTTCACTCTTCTGCGACACGTCGTAGCCCAATTTCCCAATTCCGTCAACTAACATACCGCCTTCTTCTTGCTCCAAAATCCCCGCGCCGTCGACGTTCGGATCTTCCAGACGCTCAAGTAGCTGCTTATAAAATCCGTAGACGTTCTGCCAGGGTGTCTTGACCTGTCCGATTTCCTCGGGATGCTGTAATGCGACCGCAGACCGCAGCGCCCATCGACTGCGCCAACTCCATTCCTGTGGCGTGGGCCATTTATGCTCAATCTCTTCTTGATACAGTCCCGTCTTGATGAAGTGTAGCATCCACAGAATCGCGTATAAGGTAACGGAGATTTTGAGACCGCGGTAGACGCCGCGTTTGTAGCGGGATGTGCGCGAGGTGGAAATTAGGCGGGTGAAGTGTTGGCGCAGATGGAGGGCGAGAGGGAGTCGGCCTTGAGTCTGGGAAAGGAATGGTAGTTGAGGCCGAATGGGCGAGGGGGTGTTGAAGGATTGGTGAGGTTGGTTGGTGAATGGTCGGTTTGACTGAAGTGGTCGTGGGATGATGGGTCGTCGGATACAGGCATGGCAATAGCGAGGCGTGCGCCTGGCTAATATTTGATGGGACATCATTGCGATGGCTCATTGAATGTCTGATGTCGTTGCGACTACGATATGCGGAAAAGTTGAGGTGGTGCTGCCTGTTTGCACTGTTTGCATTGTTGCTGATGCCAAGCCTGGTCACAATCATCAATTCATTACCTGCTCTAAAAGTCACAAACTCGATGAGAAGATGCTTATATTCGGTCGAACTTTGAGTTTGAGATATGTTTGATGGCTGATCGAATGTATCAAGTTTCCATTCAGCTCCTGAATTCACAAGACATCTGCTAAGATGTAGATTGTAACGTTGCTTCTATTGTCGTCTTCAATATATTTCTACTCTCACCCGTCTACAAAGAATACCTTCTAGTAACTACAACGCCTTAGTCCAGAAATACTGCGTCCTCCCATGAACAGCCACTTCCCCAGCCTCATTCTTCTGCACACCTTCTAGCGTCCTATCTAACTTCTCCTTAAACTCCTACTCATACGCTTGTCAGCCGTATCCTTTTCCCAAACGATAAAGACAGAAAACAAACCCGTAAAACACCCTCCTCCGCCGTCGAAAACATACTATACGTCTTCAACCGCTCCCAAATCGCCTTTGGGGTGCTCCACTGCGTTTGCGGTTCATGCTCTTCGTTGATCGGAGTCTCAAAATATGTCTGCTCCTTCTCGTCAAAGACGTTGCGCCATATTCCGTGCCGGAAGCGTGGGACGTTGTCGTCGTGCGACCAGATGTGGGATTTTATCAATTCTTCCCAAGGGGTCGTGACAGGGTCAGATTTATAGGCGTTCCCTTTTACAACATGAATTAGTGAGTGGAGAGGTAAGTGTTTCGGTGGGTAGACTGACAGTCATCGACGTGCCATATCAATCCAAGGTAACCGCCTGGTTTGAGGATGCGTCTAATCTCTTTCAAAGCATCGAGAGTAGCGAACCTATTCATCAAGTAAGCATGTACATCAAATTCGACATGCGAAAAAGAAATATACCAATGAAACGCCTATCCATAATTTACCTCTCAGCAACCTTCACCTTTCGCACCTCGAGAAACAAGAAAGACAAACCTGCGTAGCAAAAACCCCATCCACACTCCCGTCCTCAATCGGCAACTTTTCAGCATACCCCTTCACAACACTCACCCTCTCCAATTCTTTTCTCTCAAGCTCCCTCCTCATCTCATCATGCGGCTCAACAGCAATGATCTCATAGCCCTCGGGCCTAGCGGCCAGAGCTTCCGTAAACAATCCCGTGCCAGCTGCGAGATCAACCAGTTTTAACCCACGACGAGTCGCGAGTTGTGTGCGCTGAAGGATGAGGTCTGTTTCGTGCGCGGTGTAGGTTGGTCTGTGTTTGTCGTAAGAGGAGGCGTCGGAGAAGCCGATTTGGGCTACGTGGTTGATTGATGGGGTCATTTTTCCTTTTCTCTATTCGCTACTTTATGGACTGCAAGAGATAGAGAAAGGAGGATTGATGCTGATACGTACGCAATGTCAGTGCGTAGAATGACGAATGCTTTAGTTCAATTGCGATGATCAGATATCGGATAAATCTCCGATATGGACTTATCAGATCAACCCCGCGTTCATTGAGCAAAATCACTACTGCGTAGTTGGCTGACTTTAAACAAGCTTCTACTCCACTTACATATACAGAATAGGATGATGCAAATAACTAGATTAACGCCTCTATGTAGCTCCTAATCTGTATGCACATTGCTTTCTATATCAAAGCACGTTCATATCCCTAAACCAATTGCATAACTCATTTCTTTCTTTGTTCAAAGGCACTTTTCTTTGTTCAAAGCAATTAAGATCGGTCAAGGAATCCCTGAGACTCAAGGATCAAGACAATCTCGTGCACAATGCTGCGGACGCTTTGCTTCTCAACGTCGACCACGAGGTCGGCCTTCGCAGGAGCCTCGTATGGGTCATCGACACCAGTGAATCCCTTGATCTCGCCACGGCGGGCCTTCTCATAGATTCCGCGCTTGTCGGTCTTCTCGCAGTACTCGAGAGGAGTGGCGACGTGGACGAGGATGAATGTGCCGACTGCGGAGATGGTGTCGCGGGCAGCCTTTCGGGATGCCTCGTAGGGTGCGATGGGAGCAGCGATAACGGCGGCACCGGCCTTGGTGAGCTCAGCGGCAACAAAAGCAATACGCTGGATGTTCTTGTCGCGGTCTTCGCGGCTGAAGCCTAGCTCGGAGGAAAGCTCGTGGCGGACGGTCTCTCCCAACAGAAGCGAAACGGAGCGGCCACCTTGCTGGTTGAGAGTCACTTGGAGAGCACGGCCAATGGCGTCCTTGCCAGAGTTCTGGTATCCAGTGAGGAAGATGGTGAAACCTTGGGCGTTGCGAGGGGGGTTGGACTCGCGGAGAACCTTGATGACCTCGGGGTAAGAGAACCACTCTGGGATGTGAGCACCGGAGCGAAGACGTCTTCTAAGCTCGGTACCGGAGATATCGAGAGTCTTTACACCAGCAGGCACCTCGTTGACGGGCTTGTATTCGTCGGTATCGGGCAGGTAGGTAACTTGCTGGAATTCAACAACCTCAATACCCAACTCGGACCTGTACTTCTCAACGGCGTGCTGAGCATCGTAAGGACCGTAGAATTCAACGCCCTTGGAGTTCTTTCCGGGACCGGCGTGGTCACGTCCAACAATGAAGTGGGTGGCTCCGTGGTTCTTACGGATAATGGCGTGCCAGATGGCCTCACGGGGACCGCCCATACGCATAGCAAGAGGTAAAAGACCGAGGACAGCCATGCCGTTAGGGTAACGAGGAAGAAGGGCTTGGTAGACGCGGACACGGGTGAAGTGATCAATGTCACCAGGCTTGGTGAGACCGACGACGGGGTGGATGAGCACGTTGGCTTGACGAGCACGGGCAGCGCGGACGGTCAATTCACGGTGAGCACGGTGCATGGGATTTCTACAGGAGTTAGTTTCGAGCAATAATCTTGCAATCGATATTATCATACCTAGTCTGGAAAGCGACAACTCGGGTCCAGCCGAGCTTGTCGAAGTGTGTGCGCAATTCAGCGGGGGAGTCTAATCTGTCAGTCTATGTACTATTGTCCCAGTCGGATGTGAACTCACATCGGAGAGCGACATAGTCGTAGTGTGCAAGTTTGTTAACAGCTTCAACCTTTCCTCCGATGTAAAACTCTTGAATCTTGGTGTTGAGGTATACGATAGCGGGGTGCTCTTCGTCACCTCCGAAGACGAGCTGCGCTTCTTTCGTCCTGTAAAAGAAATTAGGATTTTTCTTCGCAAGGCTGCTTCAAAACTTACTTGTCAGGGCGGTAAATATCATCAATGGTCAAAATAGCAAGGTTGCGGTCATCACGGAAATCGCGCAATGTGACACGAGATCCAGCCTTCAAGCCAAGTTCTTTGATGGTTTCGCCTGAGGCATCGAGTGTGATGGGGATGGAGAAGAGGTTGCCATCGGCGAGACGGGATTCGGCGACAACACTAATCAGTCAGATAAATCATCTCTATGTCCGCGCAAAAAATATAAGTCGGCGTACCCATCGTAATCTTTCTCGTTCATGAAACCTGTAGAACAAGCAATGTTAGCTACTACTCTTCTGATTGCATGCGACGACATCTTACCTTCAAGAGGACTGAAACCACCGTTCATAATCAACTCCAAATCACACAATTGGCGTTCTGTGAGAAGAATAGCGGGCAAGGTGGCAGCTTCGGCCTCGAGCTCGTCATGACGAGGGGCATCGCGGGCCACCAAATCCTTGAGGATACCACCGTGGGGAGGGTTTGCCATTTTGTGTTATAAGTAAAAAATGAATAAACAAGGTATCTAATAATAAGATATAAAAAAGAGAATGATTTTCAAAGAACAAGAGAATTGAAGAAGAAATAGTTGGAGCTGAATGTTGGAGAAGATGACTGTAGTGACGGTATTGCTGTCGTACCGTTACCTTGAATTGCGTACATCCCACTTTTATCGATAAGGTAATCCACCCGTTCGCACCGGATTCTTGTCTTTGATTGGCCAGATACGCCATGACCTGCAGAATTGATTACGTGGAATACGCGCAAAATACACTATGACGAGCCACATAAGCTCAAAAGTCCCTATGATCCTGCTCACTTCATCCCAATGTACAAATTCGACTATGAGAGATTCAATTTATTCAGCTTAATGTACTGCTTTTGAAATTGTATACATTGCAATACATTACTACATTTGATACATCGGTACATTGAAATTTTAAACAGAGATCAAACACTAGACTTAATCAGGTTTAGCGGCTGCCATTCCCAGACAAAAAGCAATCACGACATCGCCTTGGCGGCTTGCGTGATTGTACGAAGATCAATGTCCCTGCCAAGACTTATGACGGAATGATCTGAAAAGCCCTAGCCCTAGCCCTAACTCAACTCTTTTCAGATCGTTATGTGTAAAGCAAGTATATCATCGAGACGAATATATGACTATCCCCAAGTCTATTATCCCAATCTCGACGGAGTCGGCCGTACGCCCAAAGTGCTTCATGAGCTGAATTGGGATTGTTCAGGGCCATCCCAGCTGGTGACATTGGAAAGGTCAGGAAGTGCTATTACTGGCTTCTCAAAGTTGGCATGACCGCATAGAACACTCTCTGTACATACTTATCGTGCTTAGGATTTGGAGGGGTAATGGGCTCTTTATAAAAGTTGTTTGAGTCGAGTAAATGGCTGTTGAGCTGCCAGTGCAAGCACCTCCTTTTGTACATTGATCTCAGATCAGTGATTTACCTGCATTAGGTACTTTCGATTTCTAGCCTAGTAGTGAGATTTTTTTGTTTCACTGAGTTCGTATCATATTCCTGTCAAACAAAGTAAATATCTGTACCCAGTAATCGGAGTGCCGTTTGGATCGGAGTCCAGGCAGAACTGGCCCCAGCTGTAAGGTGGCGCCCGCTCTCCGCTTGATATCCCTCAATCTACATGAATTTATGCCTAGAGAGGTAAGCACTTGCCATATGACCTGCTCGTGTTTGTTATATTAGTATCTTAATAAGATCTATGACTCATTCTTGTTCACACGGCATAATACAGGAGTGATAGGACTCTGGAACTCTGCGGCTCAATATTTCTCGATATCTCACTGGTAGGACAGAGCTGGGATCACGATCACTAAAATGTGGCTTTTAACGTTACAATATAGTCCGAGTAGAATGAGCAGTCACCCTCAAATAATCGAGTTTCCCACTAACTCAAGCCAAAGATTTTCCTCAAGCACTCAACTAAGCCTGCTAGTCTGGTTTAAAAAAAAAGCTAGTAAAGCTTGACCAATATGTTTAAGAAGTTTGTTTCTGCGGTTGCTGATGCAATTGCTGATATTGATGACAACCGTAAGGCTCAGTATCAACAAGGAACTCAAAATCAACCATTTTCTACTACACCTGGGCAGCAGCAAAGCTACCAGACCAGCAAACTCTACTCCGGACCTGATACACAACAAAAGAGATACGAAGGATACAGTGCACCAGCTAATGGGCCTGATTGTATCGGCCTGCAACCTCTATTGACAAGATACCATCAATTCTTCGCTCTCAAAGCAGCACCGAACTTTTCCATTTGCCACAATTGTTACCTGACAAAAATCCAACCAAATCAAGATTTTCTATACGATTTTGAGCCTCACCATAGTACTGGTCCCCAAGAGGCGTTTGCCTGCGACTTCGTCATTCCAGCTATCAGGTCGATATTTTTTCAACAGTGCGTCCCAAGAAGAAGCGTGAAACCTCTCATAGACTATTCAAAACTGTGTGAAACCCTCACGCCATGCGATGGAACCGCCATCTCTACCCGCGGGAGACCATACTGGCAAGCCCGAAGGAACAAGATGAAGAACTTCATGTCATGCGAGACATGTTTTGAGCTTTATTTCAAGCATACGCCCTTCGAGCACGAATTTGAGAAAGTCCCCGACGGAACGCTTGGAGGGACTCAGCAATGGACTTGTGATATGGCAAGGTCATATTTCATTCGTCTCGCTACCGTCAAGCTTGCGAAATCACGTCCAGATTTCTCCGAATTTGCAGAGGACGTAAACACTAGGATTGCGTTACCTCCATGCCCTGGATTAAATAAGCCCATAGTCGAGTTCACACCCAAACTGCTTAATGTTGTAATGACCGGCGCAAACGGGAACGCGGGCAATATCTGTTTATCGTGCTTTTCGGACTTTTTGGCCGAGACACCCTTGGAAGCAACAGCCTTCGTCGGTGCACGGCTAGCTTCTGATCAACTCGGAAAAGTTACATGTGATTTGGCACCTGGATACTCTCAAATGGCCATGACACATGCGGTGCAAAAGCGGGATATTCAGATTTGGCTCGATGCAGTAAGAATGGGAAGTAAAGTGGGGCAATGTGCTGGGAAAAGGGGTATGGATGAAGCAGAAGTTGCTCGGGAGAGAAGCGCAAAAGGCGATCTGATTCAGTGGTATCAGCTTAACACCTCACCGACAGTTGAGATATGCCCGTTCTGTTACTGGACAAAGGCGAATATGCTTGGTGCCGGGCATATGTATTCGCCTGTGACACGAAAATCACCGGGCTACGTGCATATCTGTTTTATGATGGGGTCAGATACGCCTGAGACAGCTTCAACAGATAGCCCAGATAATTTCCAAGATAGTGTTGCATGGCGCGGACGGATCCTGTTTAATGCTTTACGCGCCGGCTATGAAGCTGGAGATTGGAATGCCCTGGCCTCAGCTGGCCAAATGCTAGCCGCCAATGCGCCGCCGTGCGGCGGTAATGTCCGTGGATTCTCTCGAGAAAGTTGGAGACGGTGGTATGGCCGAGTCAATCAAGCCTACGGAAACCAAAGTGATTGCACAATCATATTCTGTGAAGAATGCTATATGCGTGCCGTAAGCGGGAAACCTTACGCCCAATTCTTTAGCCAGGACATAACAGACTATGCCTTCACGACTGCCGGAGCCAACGGTTTGGTATACTGCAACACATACACAAACCGTGCAAGAGGCATGGTACGCCAATGTACCGAGACCGGCGATCTAATCTCGTTCGCTCGATGGTGGAATATGCGAGAAGAACTACGCATAAAGAAAGATTCATGGAAGCCCATTATTGAGATGCAGCTTCAGAAGCAAAAGCTTGCTGACGCCAAGAAATTGGCACAGCTCAAAGTTAAGCTTAACGCACAACAAAATGCTATGGCGAGGATGGGAGCTGCAGGCGCTGCAGAACTTGCAGGAGGAGATACGGGTTGGAGATATGGAAACTCTCAGGTATGGTCTTCTCATGGCTTTGAACGATCGTAAACAAGTCTAGAAATGACAAGCTGACTGGTGTTGTAACTTTGATATAGATTGGATATGGACATTGGACCGCGGGAGCAGCAGATGCGCATACGGACTGGATAAGAGCAAGCAATCTGCCTTCAGGATTTGAAAGTTCTTCCAATTCTGCTATGGATACTCAGAGGATTCTTATGCAGGCTCGTCAGGACGAACTCAACTTTGCAGCTGTTGAGTAGAGGTTCTGGTTTCCAAGAGCGAGGAAATGGCCAATGAAAAAGTGATCAGAATGCGTATGAGACGTTCTTATTAGAGTAGGTAGATTGATTGCAAGAGCTTAGTCAATATTTCAATGACAAGACATTCAATTTTAAGATCATGCCAGTTAACCTTCATGATGACCTTGCCTCTAGGTCCTCATACCATGAATCATCAAAGTAGGAAGCGAAAATGCGCTCCATATTCTGTTCTCGAAACACAGATCTTGGGCTTGTTGATAAAGTCTCGAGACTCACATTGCGGTGCATAGAGGTTGCTATAAGAGCATATGAATATCCGTTAGCCAGCTGTTTGTAAACAATGCTATTGACGGATGGTGAACATGCTTTCCCCATATTTTCGTCTTATTTCTTCAACTCTTTTTGCGAAAACCCGGTATTGACCGAATCCTTCCATGTTGTCATTGGCCTCGTCAGCATCACGCGGTCGTTTCATAGATTCCCTGCATTTATGACGCATGTAAACCCTGATTATTTCTAAGACTGAGTCCATCGTGGCTGTATGAGAAATATGATCCTCGAAAAAAGAGTCGTGATTGGAAAGATGAGTGTCTCCATATGCGTCATGAAGAGCTGTTTCCATTTGGGAAAAGACGACCATAATCAGAATGAAGATACATTCAATATGTCCCGGCCCATGATCACGAAGGGAATGGGTATGCCAATCTTGTAGACGTGATACAATCCCTGCAATCAGATGCTGATAGAAAGAGAAGAGGATACTTTTCAATATCCGGTTAGCCAACTTTGAAATGGAAGGAGAAAGAAGAATGTGTGTGTCCTTATATCCCAGACGATTTAGTTCATCAAACAATCGCTTCCTAGACCCCCATGGTATTTCAATTGGCCGCGAAAGCATAGTCGATAAAAATGCCATAAACCATGTGTTCGCTGGGAGTTCGTTCATCGGGTTGGAGTTCGCATCTTCATATAAGTATTTTACACAATAATGCCAAGATGCTTCGAGAATTTCGCGTATCCAACTAGAGCCTAGCCGTGGACAACAGATATCAAAGCCATTGTTGCATAGATGATGAACGTGACAATGTCTACTTAAGCCACTGCCATAGCAAACGTTGGAAATGATCTGTGTCTGTATTGTATGGATCTACTTAAAAGGAATCGGAATTTGCATCAATAGGATCTGTAAAGGCCTGAGTGGGCATTGTCTTAAGATTCGGAGTGCCCTGGAAGCTATGGAAGTCCTCTCCGAAACCAAAATTCAATGGGAGAGAGAGGATTGGATTTCTTTTGGTTGAACGAGGAATTTCATAAGACCCAGTCAAGACAGAAGAGTCCCAACGCTTCACGAGTATTTCTTGTGAATAATACCCCGTTATTAGATATTTTGTAACATTCTAGCATATTTGAAAGAGTCTTACTCGGTGTCAAGTAACCAGATAGCTCATTAAAGGAACGAAGACAACCGCTCCATTTGCTCCCCCTTGAATTTCTGCACGTGGTACAAATTGGACCATCTGAACACTATGTTTGATTAGCGAATAGGAACCGATGTAAAGTATGTTGGAGAGTGCGTCTTACCTTCGTTTAAAGCACTGTACATCTCAAACATGCAACCGTGTTCCGTATCTTCCGAGTATTATCGACCAAATCTGGGGTTGAAAGAGAAGTAGAAGTCTCAGCACGCCGACGATTGGAACGACGAATGGAATTTCTATTCGCGAGATGCACGTTTTCGGAAAGATCCCAATTTGGGTTGCTTGCATTTTCAATGTGAGTGTTGACGCATCAAGTGCTAAGGCTGTTGATGGGCCCAGGCCTTTACTCTCATCTCTAATTGAGTCAAGCCCATCAAAAGAATTGTCGCAGGTGAAGCTTGGTGCGTTTTGACTGGAGACGTTCGATAGATCCGGTTCTCCATCCTGTTCTCATATGGCCATGTGTCTTCGATTTACTAGCGTCAAACACATCTTGTCGCCTATTTAGCTCTACTATGCGTGCTTCCTTCGAGTTGACTGGAAGACATTACGACGTCTCCCCATCTCCGGAGCTATCGTCTTTAAATTCAAGGCGTTTTTTATCCCAGTTCAGGAGTTCGTATGTAGGTGAGTCAAATATACTGCCAAAACCAAATAGATCGCTGGGTGACGCTGGTAGGCATGGGCCCTCGCTCTCATCTAGAAACAAGTCAAGCCAGTGAGCAATATCTGTTCCAGAGCCTGAATTCTGACTCAACAGTTCAAGTTTCTCTTTGGTTAACTGCGTCGGTTCTGTGGAAGGTTTAAAATAAATTGAAGGTAGATCCGAATCTAGCTCCCGCGATCCAGCTGAAGACGAGGCTTGGATGCTTCCACGCGTTGACTGATCCATACTGAAATACCTATGATGCTTGAAATAGTCTACATGAACAATAGAATTTCCCTCTTTCGTCGAAGCCCAGGGCAGCGATCTCAAGGAGAATGAGTGAATGTGTTCGGCGGTATGGTTCAAGACGGCCTCCGCATTTTCATGAGAATATGAGCATAAAGGGCAACAGCGTATCAGTACTGGCGAGGTGCGCAGCCAAGCAGATAGTAATATTGGTATCTGCTGGGATGTGATGCCTCCTCCATGTTGTCCTTTGAGATGTGTGATGAATTTGTCTTTGCGATCAAAGCTTGGATGTTGCTCAGATGAAGTACAAGCGAAACAAGTCCAGTGTGGTATACCACGATGATCAGCAAACATATGCGATTTCCAGGTCTCCATTGTTTCATACGTTTTCTCAGGACAAGGGCAGTCATCCAGAATGCACGTATAGGGTAATACGTCTTTTGCGATATGCTTTCTGATTTATATTAGCATTGATCATCAAATATTATCAGATAAGCACGTACTTCCATCGAGCACCACTGCTGACGGATACTGGCAGCATCTGACAACAGCATGGGCATTGAAATATAACCTGATCTATGTTAACACTAGGAGGCTTTGGATATTCCACACGAGAAGCTGTCGCAGAAATCATAGTGGTTGTAGGGTAGTGGGCGGGCTGCGCCGGCAGGATTATCGTGTCTTGAATGACCGTCGCGGTGGTTGCACTTTCGACATGAGAAGAATGCTTCTTAAGTTCCTGTCCGTCCGTAGGAATTGAACGGACGGGGCTCCTTGGAGTCATGGTTGTCTCTGTTGTGACTTGACTTGACGAATTCCGAACCAGCATTGTGTTCGACAGTTTTTCAGCGTGACGTTGAGCATATAAAAATCGATTAAGACGTCTAAGATTTGCCTCAATAAGACGCTTTGCAATATTATCCAATGATTCTGAGCCAACTTCGACGCTTCTATGCGTAGAAGCATACAGGGTAACCTCTTGGGATGATACTCGTGCCTGTAAGGTGCCGATTTCGCTTGGTCTAGCAAGTAGCAGAATCTCAAGGTGCTGACGTAGTGCTTGAATCTGCGGATCGTCGTAATTAAACGATGCGTCTGCTTTCTGCATACGAGATCTGATACCAGCATTGCGTATTGCAACTGTTACCCTGGCAAGTTGGCCGAGGGTATCTTGAACGTCATGCATCGTCTGGGAAAGGCGACTGTCCGTCGTTCTGGATAAATCTGGATGTGGAATGGCTGGAGAATCAATGTGTTAGTACTGCCTTGTATTTCTATGTACTGCTCTTAATGATCGGTACCTAATTCGATGCATTTCTTGAGAAGAGCCGTCAGGAAACTCAGGAGTTGAATGAAGAAAGTTTGTGCTTCCAAACTGGTTGCTAATCGATCTTGCAGTGATGATTTTCCAGAGCCGGATGCATTCACCCCAGCACACCAAAGATTGAAATCAGCCAGGCGATTCTCTACCCATTCTCTATGTTCCAGAGATGGGATAGATGAAGCATCCTGGAAAACTTGATAACATTCTTTGATGGCATCAACGATAGCTAGAGGCTGAGACATGTTCGCTTTGATGATCCATGAGGATATGGCAGTGAAGAGAGTATGAAGTCCGGAGCAATGCATGGGCCATTGATTATGTATGGCAAAGCAAGCACGTGCAGGCCCAATCAAAATCGACCCCGCCTCGCAGTAAGATAATCGACGCAGCCTCAATTCCTTCTATTTTCTCTAGCCTCATATTTCCTCGGATCATTTTCATCGAGCAGAGTGATAATACTCATGGACGATGATGACGTGCTGGATCTCACCCAGCGCGTTTTGCCATGGGTGAGCACTCAAGCACTAAGAGTTGGGAACCAGACTCTCGATAACACATATGGAAAGCTTGGATGTGATCTCTTCATCTTAGCTGAACAAATTCCCTCCATAATAGAAGATAAGACTGTCAGAACAACGCTAGTCAAAGTGCTGAGGCTACTAAACAAAGCATGTACCGTGAGTTAATTTGTAATATTCGATGCTCTATTTATCGTATCTGATAGATTGAGACTGACATCCAAACCAATATATTAGGTTGGTACCACCCGAAAAATGGACAACGACCAGCTCAGTACTCTTCGAAAAATCCAACTATACACCCCAGAGACTCTTGACGAACGAATTCGCTCAAGTTTGACTCATTTTGTTCGGAGGGATCCGGAGTTTCATCTTCTACAACGTCTGGTCCAGGATTGTTTGAAGGCGAATGAGTCCATAGCGAGCCCGTCGGATGAGAAGGAGGAAATTGAAACAGATGAGATGGAATATCCGGCGTACATTAATGATGTCTTATATGAGCAACTTCGATTACACGCTTGCTGCAACTGTAATACGGGACATCTTGAGTGGACACAACTTCGTTTGGGTACAGAGAACCAGCGAATCAATGCCGACGTAGAGTTTGAGCTTCTGTTTAACCCCAATCCTCAATCCCCTTTACTACTGGAGATCCATGGGAACAACCATATACGCTGGAAAGAAGCTATCGTGTTAGTGTCAACAAGGTAAGCTAGATAAATTTTGAGGCTATCGGTGGTACCCAATCCATTGACTTACGCTTATGGTGTTCTCCTTTCTAGTCGTGGTGGCGGAAGAAAGGTGGCATTCAGACAACAGACTTCAGTGTCGCTACAACCATTATCAAACGGCATACAAATTCCATCGAAGGCGAGACACATTAGCTTGGGGGAGTTTTGCAATTTGATTAACTCTCATATTCACAATCGCGTCTATTTCCATATGCAAGGTAACGCGATGAAGGTAATTKATAACAGAGATAAAGACGAAGTGGAAAGCCACAGAATATTACCTGACTCAGGTATTTCTTTAGGAGACTGGCTCCTCAAGACGCCGCATCTGTCTAACAGAGGCAAAGTTACTCTGGCTTATATTCTAGTCAGGTCTGCATGGCGGTATTACGATTCCCTGTGGATGATGACCCCGTGGACGCATGAAACCATCTGTCTACTGAATGAAAAAAGTCTCACAGCAGAAAGAGGTAGACCGCATCCATACCTTAGGAGGCAACTTATAAAAGTCATGGATAAGAAGAAGGAAGTCTATATTGCTAAGGATTTGATGTACCGATTTCCGCACATACTCAGTCTTGGAATTCTTTTGATCGAGATCGCGATCAAACAACCACTCAAGGAGGGGCAATCTGGTCGTTTCTTGAGCGAAAAAACAATCAACGATTACTATGCCTGGGCTTGGACTACCGCGAATAGGTCCAATCTCAAACAGTCTATACATACAATATATGAAGAGGTGGTGGATAACTGTTTGAATCCGGATCTTTTTGAGACTTCCTTATCGCAAGATTCTTCTCATGAAGAAAGCACAAAGATCCTGAAAAGGCTTCTTTACGAAAAGATAGTCTCACCGCTGAAGAGGTTGTATGATGCGTATCAAGAAAACTGGGAAGTTTCGGTACCTGTGACACTCTCAACCAAAGCCACAAATTACATTCAGTCAACCAAGAACTCTGTGACTACCAGTTCATTGAGTCCAGATCAGTTCACAGTTGCAATACTGTGTGCTTTGCCTCTGGAGATCGATGCTGTGAGCTCACTGTTCGACGAAATTTGGGATGAGAGTATCGAATTATTGCGAAACGCGCCAAATGACTCCAATGCTTACACTATTGGTCGTATGGGTGGGCGTATGGTGGTTCTCGTACACATGCCGGGAATGGGAAAAAGTGCCGCGTCACAATCAGCCTCAAGCCTTCAGTCAACATTTCCAAATATCAAATTGGCTTTGGTTGTTGGAATTTGCGCCGGTGCTCCTCATTATGGCGGCGAAAGAGACATCATTCTCGGAGATGTTGTCATAAGTGAAGGAATTATCCAATATGACTTTGGTAGACTACTACCAGGAACCTTTCGCCGGAAAGAATCGATGCATGAAATTCTTGGTCGACCCAATACAGCCATTCGGACTCTGATTTCGAAGATGAAGACAAGAAAAAAAAAGGAGGGCCTGATGGGAAAAATAATTAAATATTTACAAATCATTGACGATAATTTGGGTGATGGAAGTGCCCAGTACCCTGGGACTAGTCAAGATGAACTTTTCCAACCCAACTACGCTCATAAGCACTATAAGCCAGGGGCTTGCTCTACTTGCAATACTTTGAAGACTCGAGGGATCTGGTATGTGACAATGCCTTTGATTTTACCTGTGAGCAACTTGGCTGTCAAAAGGACAATCTAATTGCACGAGATCGATTAAAATTCGCCGCTGAGATGGGTAAGCCGCCCACTCCAAAGGTCCATATCGGTCTGGTCGGGTCTGGAGATACGGTGATGAAATCAGGAATAGATCGAGATAGAATTGCTTCCCGAGATAAAGTTATTGCATTTGAGATGGAGGGCGCTGGAGTATGGGATGTCCTTCCCTGTATAGTTGTCAAAGGGGTGTGCGATTATGCCGACAGTCACAAGAACAAAGTATGGCAAGGATATGCTGCCGCCACCGGTGCAGCGTGTATGAGAGCTGTTCTAGATTTATGGACGCATTGAATGCACGAATTCCAAATCTGAACAATCTACTGCATTGTCTTGGAAAAACCTTACAAGCATCTTGCCCTTATTGGCAGCTCTGGTAGATTGTCAATAAGCCCAACTTTTGATTCATGTATCTGGATTGATTTGAATGATGAGACTTTTCTCATACTTTTTTGCAAAGTCAGTCTCAGGGACTATACGAGAAGCTCTCAAACAAATAACATCTGAATTGGTAGAACAGAACAGGCTGTTGAAAGGCACCAGACACGTAGCTTAAACGCGTTCCTTATAAGTGCAGCCTGTGGAGCTTGGCTGAAATAAGGTTGTGGGACTGTGCACAACAATCTAGACGAAGTTCCGTCTCGTTGCTCCCCTAACGAGACGGCTGATTCTGCGCGTGCCTGCAACCAGAACATCATCCATATCCACAGCATACTTCAAAAAGTGCTATCACTGGGGCAGGAAAGCCCCCGCGGAATTCAATCGCTATGGAACGGAAAATTACAAATCTCCGAGATACCTACGGGCGGGCTGCTATCTCCAAAACTACTTGATAAATGCTTTGTTTTTTCGAAAATACTATTCTCTGCTCGAGGCAAACCAGACAAAATTGGGTTGCGTTTCAGCTATGTTTAGGCGCCCGAGACAAACTGAACCTGATGGGCTCTCAATGAGGCTCAGCAAATCACTTCAACCTCTTACTGTGATTCTTTGGGGGCCACTCGCAATGTGGTATTTAGGTGTTCCCATCGCCGTTGGGGTAATGTGTACCTTCAGCAATACAATTGAAAACTTCTCTATCATTGCTAACCACCTCTTGATAATGTAGGCCCTCATGATTGTGGTGCGAGACGACGACTACTCAGATGCTATTGAAAGGCTTGAGAGTGGGGGATTCCACAGAAGCGTTCCTGATCGTAGCCCTCCTCCCGAAATTATGGGAAGCCATCCAAACCCACAACAGATGCTGGAGGAGATAAATGCCGGCTACAAACGCTTGGATCGGTTTTGTGCTGTATTTAATTATCCACACGGTGACCCAGCAGAGAAAGACTTGCAGGTGTACGTAATTCCGGGCTCCTTTGCGCACCTTCCCCCAGAAGATTGCTCCCGCTTTACGAAAGAAGTGAGAGATACAACATCCGCCGAAGGATTTGAGATATATGGTAATTTGCACTATCCTTTGGAAGGGGCACTAGTGGAAAGCTTTGTTAAGGCTGGGATCGATGAAGAGAAAGATACCAGTTTTTCTGCGTGGGATGAATCTCTGAGGTCATGGATATCTCTGATGGTAGGGTATCTAGAGGTCGATAATGACATCCTCGATAATTGTCAGGATAAGCGGGCAGTGGAATGGTATAGTTGTAACTTTGGTCGAATCCATGAAGCCAACTTCGGCCCCATTAATAGATGCGTGTCAAAGCGTCTCGGCTCAGGTAAAGAGATGCCTGTAGACATGAGGGGGAATCCTATTGAGAGTTCTTTTCATGCAGCTACAAATACATAGAATATGTTCCTGCCAAGGAAATATTTCAAGAAATGAAATTGCATCGTCTGCCATCATTCACATTAGGGTTTTGCCATATCATAACTATGCACGCTATATGTTCAAACCAATTGCCCTTCTTGATGTCCCGGGCCACTGCATACAGTGATCTCAACAATTGACTGGAGAAAGGCTTTAGGATTTCCTAACGTTGAGTATCAACAATAAGCTTTTGATCATGCTGAAGAAAGCGGTATTAAACCTTACTAGTTGTGGAGAATAGTGCTGCATTTAATCTTTACCTTCAGAACCTATTCTCAGGCCGACCTCTTTCGCAAAATATTAGCTATAGCGATTTGTAACATTCGGTTTTGCTAAGAGTCGAGCTCTGGTGTGCCTGGCACTACCTCATACAGGTGATATCGCGAATATCAGTTGCTTCTCTAGCACTACCTCGGCGCTAGTAATGGGACAGGATCTTTTCTCGTAGAATACATTAAGAACCAAAGATCTTGACACCTCGACCATTAGTAAAGAAGTGACTGAGCCCTGAATAAGCTTCTCATTGGTTGCTCCAATTCAGTTCCCACCGTACACAAGCATTGTCTAGAAATAGAATACTACTACGTAGTAGATACAAGCTTGGATTAGGTTCTAGGATCTAAAGCCTAGATACTCAACCTCTAAGAAGTTCTAATAGTATATAAAATTTTTTTTAAAGAGTTCTGAATAAAATTGTGCATCGAAGGGTTAGTTGAAAATCAGATTCAGAAGTTTATTGAAATCGATGCTTCTAGTGTCTAAATAGTTCAAAGCAACCGCAACAACCTCAACGAGAACCAAAATGCAAACCTCTCGGGACCTGTAAGTGCGTCTAGCAAACTGTTTCTTATCGTTCTAGAGATTTAGAGATTACTATACTTAAAAGTAACGCGGATCAAATCATCCCGGGTGTACGCGAAAAGTTGCCATCATTGGAAAAGCTGGCGCTAAGACCGACAGGAATTGTGATGGTATGCGGAACATAATGTATTTCTATAAGTAGAAAAAGAATTGAGATTCACCAAACTCATCATGATCGTAAATTCATTACTCTTAGTCGATATGTTTTCTAGCAGAAGAGTTGCCTAAAAAAGGAAAAAATAACTCCATAGATCATGTATCACAGTCCTAACACTTCTTATCCTACGTAGATTGAAATGAACCCGTCTTCATCCGGAACTGGGAGTCCCCTTGCTGCTAGTTTCTTTCCCCTATTGGCCTTTTTTTTTAGAAGAAATGCCTCCCCAGTTTAAATACAACCTCAAGTCTGCAGCTTTAGCCCTGACCATATGACTATGGAGAGCTTCGGCTGCGTCTTCACTGGGCCGTGCTTCGGCAACCTGCAAACTTTTGGGGCTTTCATCATTGGTGGGAGCATATTCCACGTACTCAGCTTCATCATTTTGAGAAACGCCCGGTTCATCTGCAGTATCAGCAGCAGCAGGAGCCTCTTCCTCATATGCCGATTCAGCAGCAGGAGCATCTTCCTCATATACCGATTCAGCAGCAGGAGCATCTTCCTCATCTGCAGTTTCAGCAGCAGGAGCATCTTCCTCATCTGCAGTCTCAGAAGCAGGAGCATCTTCCTCATCTGCAGTCTCAGCAGCAGGAGCATCTTCCTCATCTGCAGTTTCAGCAACAGCAGAAGCCTCTTCTTCACCTGTAGATTCAGCAGCAAGAGGCTCTTGTTTTGTTGTGGTGTCTGCAAGACTCTGTAAGCTTCAAATCGCAAAATTTGGGATCAGCAAAATGGCACTTACCATATTCAGATATACGTTCCCAGAGAGGTAAGTGATCGAAAAGAATCTCTACTGCCATCTTCAACACGAAAACACCGAAATTTTTATCTTGATCAATGCAATTGTAAAACTCATTCAGATTAAAGCCTGGCTCGGTAGGCTTTAGCATTTGTTGTAATTTTTCCTTGACATAACTGGGAAACCAATCTTCGTCTTCTGGGAGTGTCAAAAATAGATCTTTGGTTTCCTTAAGCATTACAGGCAAGGATAATTCGTCGCCAAAGCGCTGAATATATTTTCGGGCGAGAGCTTCGAGATCAGCGAGACCATACTTCCTAGATGCTAGATAAATCAAAACACTTCTTCGATACTCTCTTGCCATGTCGGATGTGTCTCCATCGAGTGCCAAATCTATCGTCTCATATTCTCCCGTGTATAAGAAATGTACTAGGGAATGGCCAATATCATCGTCAACATCGTGTAACGCTAAAAATGAAGAAAAAGGTGATTGTGTTGGAAAATGCGGGTATTTTTGAAGGAATTGCGCTGGGATACCATAGCGTTTGTTCCCAATCCCCAAGGTAATGAGTGGTATTCGATACGGTCAATAGAATCTGTTAGCAAGGAATTAAGGGCTAATGGACTGACAGGACTGACGATGACAGGGGCCGATGATAATCAATTTTCATAGATTTTGCGTTGGATGTCACAACGTTGATTTTCTGGGACATCTGAGCCTTTTTCGCTTTTTGCTTTTTCCCCATATTGGAAGCGAGTAGTACAGAGAGGTGTAGAGAATAAAGTATCAGAGGTCGATTGAAAGGATATGTGTCTGTTCATATAAAAGCCCAGGTTGCAGAAAGAGGGGATATGCATGTATGAGTTGTTCAGGCTGTACTATAAAACGCTGGACTCAGTGTAGCTTCATTGCACCGACTGAGGCTTGAACTCGCAGGAGTTTTTCAGACCAATAAAGACACAGCTTTTCCTTTAGGACAGTCGGTCCTATGTGATTATATTGGCCCAATAACGGAGGGGTGTGGGCTGTCAACTGCATGTAAATGACAAGTATTACCTATCAACAACCTTGATCGGTGCACGAATGATGGTGTCAGGAGCATTTCTGCGATGTCGATGACTCGTAGAATGCCTGTATTGGTGGATTATTGGGTTCTGATCACACCGCGAATTCCTGGGTTACACGGATACTCGAGTTCTCACAGATGCTTATCAGCACAAACCTGCCAAATCATGTGGGGTAAGATACAGTAAAGATATAGATGGATTTCACATACATGAAGGATCCCACAACTGCAAATCCTATATAATTGTGGTAGTTCTTATTCTACTTCCTGCTTTACTGCAATTCTGCCCAGTAGATTATATGCAAATCGCACAATGTCTGAGAGCAAAATTCTCGACGTGGTTAAAGCCGAAGATGAGCAGCCTGAAAACGACTTAACTGATAGCATAAAGAGGTAAGACTATTGGGCAGCACAGGGAGGCCGGAATTAACAGCAACAGGTACCTCGTCTCTGGTGAATTCTCTGATCTCACGATCACCACCAAAGACAAAGAATTCAAAGTCCATCGTTTGGTTATTTGCGGACAGTCGAAGTTTTTTGCCCAGCTATACAGAGGGGACTGGACAGTAAGATTGCAGTCAGTTTATGACGGCTGAAGACTGATATATATAGGAGAAAAATGAGAATGCCATCTCTCTTCGTGATGACGATTCCTTCGCAATAGAAGCGATGATTCATCACATGTACGGATTTGACTATATTAGCAGCGGGAGTGAGAGCAGTCGGGTATCACCTATGCTATTCAATGTCAAAGTCTACCATATCGCGGACAAATATGATATCCCTCAGTTAAAAGAGGTGGCAAAAAAGAAGTTTGAGACGGCTGTGAAAACATGCTGGCAGATGGATGATTTCCCAATTGCCATTACAGAGGTATACAGCGGCACACTGAAGACAGACCGAGGTCTCCGAGAACCCCTCGTTAATATATCGACGGAGCACATTGATCAGTTACAGGAAGAGGATGGTTTTCGGAGTGCACTTGAAAGTACGGCTGGGTTCGCAATGGACCTTGCGCTGAGCCTAGCTCAAAGAAATGCTCAAATCTCTACAAAGACAAAATACCGTTGCCCTAGTTGTACTACCAAGTGGTTTCTAGAATGCATCGGAGGGAAGGTGCAATTCTGTCCAAACTGCGGTAATTCTCGATCTAACTGGTCGGCATATATCGTTCACGATTAAATCTCAGCGGCTACATTGTGTATGAAAACACCGCTGCAAAATTACTTTTTTCATAGTTTGAATATGTGTTGGTTGATTCTTGCAATCGAGAAGGCTGGCACTGGTGTGCAGCAAGGAAAGATCCTGTATGTCGGAGCTATAATACCGCTTTACCAAAAAGAAAATCCCCTTAATGGGGCAATATTGTGACGGACTGTATGACTACCGCATGCGCTCTAGTGTAAAAATGGCAGACTTATATGACCACTAATTTACCACTCATTAACGGGGTTTCGTTTTTGGTCGTATGGTAAAGACGTGGATGTCGCAGAAAATTGGTCAACACTTCAACATAAAAGGGCGCGATTGTGATATGTCCCGGGCCACTGCATACAGTGATCTCAACAATTGATTGGAGAAAGGCTTTTAGGATTTTCTAGCGTTGAGTCCCAGCACTAGGTTTTTGATCAGGCTGAAGAAGGCGGTATGAAAACCTACTAGTTGTGGAAAATAGTGCTGCTTAATCTTTGCCTTCAGACACTAATAGATGTTCTTTCAAATCGGATCTTCTTGGAGAGACGTAAGATTGCGTAATGACTTGTACCATCGTTTTCCTTCAAAAAGATTCGGATGTCGTTTGCGTTGCGCTTCCTCTTCTGCATAGTCAAGAGGCGCCTTGCCATCCAAGTCCTTCTCAAGTAGTGAATTGAAAATGTTTGTCTCTTGTAGGAAGTCCGTCAAGTCTTTGTTGAAGGCACCGTGAATTGCTCCATAATGCAGTGCATTGCGGCCTCTAGCGTCTTTTGCACTTATATCAAAGTATTGTAACAAGTGCTTGAGAATAAGAAAGTTATCTCTATCAAACTGTTGCATGGCTAGGTGTATCAGACTCTCCCTCCCTTTGCCCATCCAATTTATGTTCGCCCCATTCCGAACTAAACAGTCGAAGACATCCACTTGAAGACGCAGATGAAATGATCGTAGATATAGGCTAAGAATTGAGTCGCCGTTCTCATCCAGTTCATTCGGTCCGATTCCGCATTGTAAAAGTAGATTGATGATTTCAACAGAGCAAACAGGTGATTTTACATGATGATGTAGAAATTTTGCTTGAAAAAAGTCGCTCTGCCGACAGTCCTCCGGTAGCTGATGACGATATTGATCTAAAATCAATCGTACAACACCAGGGTGATTTTTTTCGATGGCACAATGAAGCGGGGTTGATTCGTGTATGTCTTGCGAGGTCGTGCAGCAACCTCGACCCATCAGTATTCGAACGGCATCCGAGTTTCCCGCATTACATGCAAGATGAAGACATGTTTGACCATTTTTGTTTGATTTTGATATATCGGCTCCGTGTTCGATCAGCTTTAGTAATATTGCTGACGCATAACATTTATGGAAGGGAATCAAATGCAGTGGACAATCCCCCTGCTTGTTGGTAATATTGACATCACAAGAGATTATACTCACAAGTACGTCAACAATACCTACTCTAGCTGTCTCAATTTCTTTGAATACAGAGGCTTCTTCGCTTTCCCAGTCAGTGATGTAATCGCTTAATTCCTCGACGGAATAGTCTCCAGTCGTCCAGTAATCCTGATATCCCAATCCCAGAGTCCTGCATCGAATTGCTAAATGCAATGGTGTGTCGCCAGTCTCAGATACTGCATTAGGGTCGGCATGGTGGAGACATAGAAATTCGGTCATTCCCACGTTTCCCTTCAAAGCTGAAAAGTGAAGCGCGGTCATCCCTCGAGCAGATGATTTGTTTGATAGGTTTTCAGGCTTCTCATCAAGCTTGTAAATATTGGACCGATCTTGAATCTGACGGGCCCAAGACCGCCTTCGGATTGCAAGGTTCACATTATATCCATTTTGAAGAAGGATAAGCGATAGATCCTGTCGTCCATATGCGGTCGTGTATAGAAAAGGGGTCATATTCTGTACATCGGGTTCCACAATAGAAACTCCTCGATCTATGAAATATGCTAGCAATGTGCAGCTGTTACTAGATCTCGGAGCTTTGCAAATATGATGTAAGGCATTCTGGCGCATGTTGTTGAAAGTGTGAATGTTAGCTCCAGCATCCACCAGACGATAAATGGTCGCAGTATGCAGATTTTTTACTGCAGTGAGCAGTGGAGATTGGCCATCAACATCTTTTACCTCCAAGCTTTTCGGTGTACGAGCGAACAGCTGAATCAAGTTTTCGTTACCAACTCCAGCTGCAAAATGAAGGGCTGACCTGGCTTTATTGTCTTGCACATCCGGATTTGCACCTTGTCGTAAAAGAAGATCTACAGCTTCATTCTGGGATTGCATTATTGCCCAATGCAGTGGAGTCCTACCACTGTCATCAATTGTATCTATGCAAGGTTGTATCTTGTGCATAATCTTCAGGGATCTCATATACTCTTTTATCAATCCAAAGATGGTCGAGTCTGTGTACAAAAGAGAACAAAGAAGGCATTTGATGCCCCATGTTGCCGCAACATGTAAAATGGTAAAACGTTGGGGAATAGCACGGTGCCTGCGATATGATTTTAACCACGCCTCACGCTCGACTGAATCAGAATGGAAAAATCTCTGATATTCAAGCAGAATATTGAATTCCGTAGCACCGGATCCAGCGTGCTCAGGCCAGTAAAGGATGGCATACTCGAGAAATGAATCACGCTTTTGATCCCCTTGTCCCTCAAGCAAGCCGGTATTTTCCAAAAGATGTTCAATGCACCTATTCGCGAGAGATGCGTGGGCTTGTGGCTCGTTGATAGAAAATGGATGGTTCGAATTAAGAAGAAAGTCCCTGACCGACTTGTGCAAAAGGTGCACATTTTCATCTTGAATAATAACCATAAAACGACACTTGTGGATATCTTCCTGTACATATCTCAGTCGATCTTCACTGTCTTCTTCTTCATATAGTTTGCAGGCGATAGATAACTCTTGTACGCTGAGACAACGTCTTGATGTTGCGACAACGGAAAGGATTCGCGAAACAATGTCGAAAGTATCTTCACCCGCGTCCAGGGCAGTTTCAAGCAATTTGGCGTAGAGGGAGTGCAATCCTTGTGGTAAGCTTTGCAGTTTCGCGATTGCATCTCGTGAATCAACACCTGCCATTTCCTTACATACAACACTAACCCATAAAAAGGTTCCTTCTGCCTTCTCTTTAAGTATGCGTGATACATCTCGTTTTGTTCTCTCTGTGTAGCATTTTCTCATTGCAAGCTCATTGACTTTATGGTCAATGAATACTCGAAGATCGTCTTGGATTTGTTGATAAGCGCACCAGTCTTTCGACCTATATGGATAAAGATACTCGCGGATTTCAGGGAGTGGTCGACTAATTATCAGAAAATGTATTTTACCGACTGTGGTATCGTTCTGATCTCCACAATATTGAGTAATTTGCGTCAACAGCATTCTCTGCGAACATAGGTCGCATTCGTCCAAGGCATCGATAATACAGTAAAATTGTTGATATGCACTATCATGTCCTACTTCAATGAGTATGGCCCATAATGCGTCAAATGAATCGAACACCTTTTTCCCACGCTCCTTAAACTTGGGGAGTAAGTATTTCGTCAAATGTGGGTGTTGCCTCAGCACCTGAGTTAGAAGACCTCGTAGTATGGCAATTGCTGTACAGCCTTCTGGAATACTGGAGTCACAGAAGAAGTATGTAAGAGCCTTTTTTTGGCCAATCACATCACATTGTTTCGAGAGGATGTCCACGAGGGTGATCGCCATAGTTGTTTTTCCAGTACCTGGGTAACCATGGAACCACATCACTCCTTCAGAGCAGGTGTTAGACGACGCGAGCCAAGCCTGAACTTCGTCCGTGTGTTCGATCCAGACGCATGTGCCAGGAATGCGGTTCCCTCTGTCTCGCTTCAACCGGTTCTTCTCCTCCTCGGGGTCGATTATGAAAAGACTCTGCCGGCACGCTTCTTCATAAATAGAGTAATTTCCTGTGACCTTGTCAGTGTATTGGGAACTTCAAAAGAAAAGAGCATACTTTGTCCTGCTCTTCCCTGACTGTCACTTGGAGGAGTAATGGACAGCAGCTGTTCCGCATAAGCTGCCGCAGTGAGGGCCGCGTAACCCTGCCACTCCTCTTGTTTGTGAGAGTCTGAGTAATCACAAACTCCACGGATCACTAAGCATGGAATTCGATCCATTAAGCCTGCCGCCTCCATCTCAAAGCAGAGAACGTTTCGTTCCTTGGCGAATCGGTCACGTGTTTCTGTATCCTTCATAACTTGATTGCCGGAAGCGATTAATCCATAATGGAGATCGGGTTCGTCTGATACCCGTGGCGGACGAGATAGTAGTTGCGACCTGTCACACGTTGAGCAGTCATGTGTACCGTCTTGATGTTGATATGTTGCATTGAAAAGTAAATCATCAGTGGGCCGAGAGAATTGCTTTTTCATATCGTTGTTGGCTTCGAGTGCCATCATCACTGTCTGCTTGATTTTTTGTGTCACCTGAGCTCTAGTACTTTCCAAATGGCTCACAGCCTTCAACAATATTGGGGATGGTTTGTTGAGAAATACTGTGAGCTGAAGTTCAGCCTGGGTTTTCTTTCCATAATCATATGGTATCACACCACTTCCATGTTCAGTCGGCTTGCTGATCACGACATCGCCTAGCCGAATATCAGCGTTCGTAGGTACTCCGCCTCCAATGCCTACCATTAGGCAAAAACGTAGTGAAGGGAACGTGGCCAGCATTTGTTCTAGCACCGTGGTTGCCGATGTAGTCCCGTATATTCCTGATGGTAAGCAAGCAATCACCACATTATGGCCATTCAAGCTGCCCAGAATATAGATGTTGTCATCAACGGGTGCCTGAGGAAGATGATTGTGATGTTCATTTAACATGATTCGGGACGCAGCTAGCTCTGACGGTAACGCGCAGATCCATGCTACGCTGTACGCCTCGTGCCAAAGTGTCAAATTCCCCATAGCAGTATAATATCTGAGCGCGTTGTAGAAGATAAAAGATTCTTTACGATATTGAATGAGGTATTTTCTAAATATCGATAGCTTTGATGCATCTTTATATAATCGGAGTCTAGTACATCGAGCGGAGTGGCTCGGCTGAGTACTGGTAATGATAAGGCTGATTGTTGGGCTGAAGTCAACGCACAAGCCAGTTGTGTTACAATCCATGCAATAAACGAGGCAGAATCTGAACAGTTGGCAGCAGACGGGGAGAAGACATTTGGCTACATTAGCCGTAGTTTATGGTGGCTTGACAGCCAGTCAGATTTTTTTAAATCCGAGGGGTTTTGCAGTCACGTTACGTTCCTTCAACGACCTACGTCCGAAGAATAGGATTAAAGGCAGTCTTGTTGATCTCCTAACCCCCTTCCTACCCCTCCCCAAGGATCCTTCCGCTGTGTATCTGAGACCACCTCTGTTTTCTAGATTCGTACGTGAGCGCGTGGCAGCTAGATTCAATTGGGGGGTTAGGGAATCCGCGCACCTAGTTCACCCCCCAAAGCCTCGCACGTGAGATTTGTGTGGTGCGTACATGTAGGTGCGCGCTGGGTTGGCGTTATATATAAACCTACAAGGTACATAGTGAGCACGCAAGGCTTTAAGCTACATGTACTTAATAGGTTTACAAAATACCTAATTAGGGAGGCGCGTATCAAATTGAGCCTTGCAAGCCTTCCGTAAGGCGGCCAAAAGATTACTGACATACAATACAGCTAAATCTTATTGCATATCCGTGTTATGACAACGGGTTGTCATCTTATTTGGTTACAGTGAGGTGTCGATGGTTTGTAATGTGATAGCGGGCTTACAGAACGCATTTCTCGATCACTGGGCAATTGCCGGGTAAGAACCCGTCAGGCAGAAGCGCGGATTCATGCATTAGCGTAGCTGCCGCAATCAGGTAGTTTCTGATTCGAAAAATGATAAGGGTATATCGCCTAGCCCAGCTCTATATTTATTCATTTCTATTTCCTCCTTTTCCTTGATCCCATAATTGTTAAATACTATATCTGACGAAATTTTTCGCATCCATCTTGAACAACTCGAAAAGAACGTCCGTAGCGAGGGTGAAGATGGACTTGCGGATCTCATTCAACAGATTCAAAGTATCCAACCGAGTGGCTTCTTTTCAAAGAAGTCGAGCTCCGAGGAAGAGCCAGAAAATTCATAATCTCTCTTCTGACGAGCGTGCGGCATGGTTCACGAGATATAGATCCTAAGATTGTTCAGCACTTTCGGCCAAAGAGGTGCTATCGCTTGATCGTTTGACTATTTGCTGGAATTTGGAAGAATACACGGTCCAAACGTTGCAGACCATCGCGTTACTATGATGTCGATGCCCATTCATATTTTAGGGACGAGAAAAATGTGGCAATGATATTACCTTAGAAGGTTTCAACGACCTTCGGAATAATCTGATCGAAAGGAAAGTTATACTCACTACTTTATCCGAGTACATTGAAGAACAACAGAGAAATATGCCCCACCAGTTATGGGAAATAGAGATAAGTAAGCCTGACTCTGAGCGTAAGTCTCGGCCTGCGTTTTGTCTTATATCACCAGTGGGCATTCAAATCTCAATAGAAACTTACCAAAAAAAGTTTCACATGACAATTTCAGTGACCTCTCTTGCCTTCTCGTGGATGAGATACCCACATCTGACTTCATTGATGGTGTAGAAGCAATTGAAGGGCAGTGAGTCCATCTCCGATTGTATCAGCTCCAAGCCGGATTTCTCGCAGTGGACTTCAATACCAACCAGCGGGAGGGATGTTAGATCCTGGAGTACTTTTCTGTCAGGCAAAACTGGCAAAATACTCAAAATTCTAACTCTGTCTTCAAGGAGTGGATGAGGAAATGCGACGAGCGTCGTGCTCATTTGCCGCAGACTGTCGGGCAAAAGTTTCGCGGCTTKTTCAACAGCCCCTGGGATATCCATTGAGATAGATGTACATACTTCCGGCTCGACTGTAGGTCGTTGCCACAGCACGCATGATTCATACAGAGGCTCGTGTTTCTCCTGAAGCATTGGCGCAAGGATCTTCTCTACAAGCTCGGGGGTTGGGTTTCCAAGCCTGATTGTTTTTTGCATGTTTTGCAAACCAGGAGTCATCACCTCGCCGTAGGCGTCGAGATAGTCTCTGGATCCAGCATGTTCGTAAAATGAACGCTCGTCCAAATAAATTTCTGTGAGCTCTAAAATGACGGTTGATTCTTGCAAGGTGTCGGGCAAGGGGGTTGAAGGATCAAGGTTGAGTAGCGCTGGATCGAGTCCTCTCCGCATCAAGTCGGCATTGATGGCAGCAACAGGAACACCGACTTTCAATTTTTTCTGCGCCTCTCGTATTTGCGGATGCTGGCCTATTGTCATAGGCTTTGAATTCTTCAACTTGGTATCAATGGTGGATATTCGGAAGAAATACGTCGGAACACAAGGTGTATCACGATGTGTTGCTTTTGAGCAGCGCTGAAGCGCGCTCAACACTCTTTCTGCAGCACGTTGATTGGGGGCTTCCCAGAAGACATGAAGCATAAAGACCTGCCCAGCGTAGTAGGTTGTCTTGCCTTTGGGCTCATTTAGCAAAGCTTGAAGGGACATATTCTCTCCTCGTAAAGCGCTTCAAAATGGGCATGAAAAGAAAAGAAATGTACGGAACAATAAAAGATGATAGACAATTCCTTTCGCAGGATCGCTATCTACTGATATATATAAAACCTCAAGATGGGAGTAGGCTCCATTATTAGGTTTCCCTGGTTACTACATACTACATCGTAATAAAAAAATCATTTTGGCTGGGAGTCGGAAGTCAGTACCATTCCGACCGTTTGCCCCGAGCGAGAAACTGGCAGCGCAAAGGTCGGTGCGCTTCTAGCCAAAGACTGAATGGAAACTAGTACAGGGCCCGTGAGGTTTACCGGAAGTAATAAATTTGCTCAGCCAAAGCGTTTACAGCGTGGGAATCGAGAATGGGTGACTGCAAATGGAGCAACAAATTCGGCTGCCTGGCCTCTGCCTTCGTACATCCGTTCCAAGGCAAATCAAAGAAGACGTACTGTTAGGCCAGTTTGATGATATCCCAAGTCATTGAGGATCAGTTTTAGTAGAAAGAGATGAAACCCAGATCATATAGGATTAGAATGAGCCTAAATAAAAAATACACTGACACGATATATGGACTAATCGTAATACTTGGCTACCACGCCGCCGAGAATCGGCTGGGAACCGATTTCATTCCGTGGCACGCCCTTGTCAACCCCTTTAGCAACCCTAGCCTTCACCCATTCGCCCGCAGTGATGCCCACTGCACTATTATCAGTTATCTGATCATATCCCAACCGACGAAGTACTTCACTCGCCACAGGCCGTAACTCGAGGTCATCCTCTGGGCGGACGAAGTACAGCACACCCAAGCGGTCGACATCCCGTTGATCTGGCGGGGGCATAACGACGCGATGTATGCTGCTCTTAAGGAAGCCATTGGTTAGAAACTCCAGCGAGTCGGCAAGGTTGACCGTAATGCTGCCTGGGTACGGCTTTACCCACTTCCACTCGCCCTCCGGGGTGCGGACCTGAAGTGCAGCAACAGGTTGGCGAAACAGCAGGGTCAAGCTGCCAAAGTCGGTGTGGCCCTTCGTCCATATGCCGGAAGCTTTCTCGTTCTCTTCGGCCGTACGACGGCTGTATTTCATATATCGCAAGTGGCAGTCGCTCTTCTCGTCGTATCGGTGCACATTGAGAAGATAGTCCTCGGGAAGCTCGAGGATAATAGCTAGTAGCGTGAGCAATTTGCGTACAATCTCATCGTGAATGTGGCGTGCGAATTTCTCAATAATAGGACGGTTTTCATTCACAATATCCGGCTGAGGGCGTTCGAAGGCTGGGATAAATTTGGGAATGTTATAGATTTCGATGTTGTCAAATACCCCTGGGGTGATTTCCTGAAATACAGTTAGAGATGGATCTTGTCGATTCATTGATCTTCGACTTACCCGTAGCCCCTTGGGCTTGTAGCCATTGTAGCCTCCTTTTTCAAGCTCTGCACGATACTTGAGCTTCTCATCGAGGGGAAGCTTGAATAGCTCTTGGCCAATAGAGAACTGGCGGTCAACATCTTCCTGCGAGAGGCCAAAGTTGATGATATAAAAGAATCCTAGAGAAGGGTTAGTACTTGCGCTACAAAGATAAAAGGACACAAGAATTATGTATTACTGACCTATATTTTTGATAGCATCAGATAGCTGCTTGGCCAGCTGCTCTTTACCCCCTGGTTGATCAAACTGAGAGAGATCCAAAGTGGCAAGGTCCGCCCAGTCCACTGCATAAAATTACACACACGTTAGCCTCAGGCTCGTCTTCTCCGATAGTGCTGTTGCAATTGAATAGAGAGCAGGAGTGAACGGAAGAAAGACGAACATTCATAAGAGGTCTCCGGGACCTGGTGATATGTTGGAATATCACTGCCTGCAGATGCCACCACGGGGGACTGGTCTAAGGCAACCATGGCGAAGTATATCAGATATCCGAATGAAGTATAAACTTCCAGCAGTTACGGTACGCGGGGGCGGGGAGGTTTTATTGTGGAGAGAATGATAATGAATCGGATTGCTGTCGATGATGATGCTGCGAATGAGGGTTTATTAAACCCTCATGGCATCAGGCTTCTTAGCAGTGCGATAAAGGAATATTTCTATCGCAGCCATTCACTCCAATCGGACGGTTTTTGGGTCTTTGGAGATGTGCTGCCTCTGCGCCACGAGGTACGCTGTTGATAGGCGGCTGTGGGCGGGTTCTAGATCTCACCATGATATCCTCCGCTGGCGTGATCGCAGCCGTCCTCTAGCAACTTCCTAGCTTCACTATCACATATGGCCTCGAGATAGCCACCGATTGTCTCATTTTACTCGGAGGGTTTCTGCACGACAGGATCTTGCATATCTACATGGAGTTACGACGGCTGTTGACAGTGTTGGTCGATTGGAAAATTGTCGATAGCTAGTACTGTACCGTACCGTCCGTCGGCATCAAAAACGCAACCATGCCAGTGGAAGCTACATCCAAGGACTTGGCCACGGCCATTGACGTTGAGCCTTCCTCAATTAGCGAAAACCATGGCGACCATGAAATTCACTTTGTCCGCCGTGGCCAGGAGCTCGGAGATACCTCTGAAGTCTCGTCCAGCATCGATGGATACGACCCAGAGCTGATGAGCGGGAGGACGCTGCTTACAGCGGAAGAAGAAAAGAAGCTGCTGCGAAAGATTGACTGGCGGCTGATGACGCTCTGCTCAATCATCTTCATGTTCAAGAATCTGGACAGTGCCAATGTGCGTACTGATCCGCCTACGGGTGGCATGGTGCAATATAACTCACAACCTCGCAGACATCCAACGCTCGAATCATGAATAAGGGAACGAATCAAAACATTATCACCCAGCTCGGAATGACCTCCAACGAGTATAGTCTCGTGACGGTAGCTTACTATGTAATGCAAATAGCGCCAAAAACGACCGCTTAAAGCTAACCAATCACATTCAGATCCCATATATTGTCTTCGAAGCACCCTCAAACCTACTGATCAAGAGATTCTTGCCCTCCAGATGGCAGTCGAGAATTATGATCACCTGGGGTATCGTTCTCATGTGCAATGCAGCCGTGAAGAACAAGAGCGGTTTATACGCAACGCGGTTCTTCCTTGGATTGGTACATCACCGCGCCATGGTTCAAAAGAGAATCCTATGAAATACAAATATACTAACAGTGCAGTAGGCCGAGGCTGGACAATTCCCTGGCGTTATCCTCCAGATGACTTACTGGTACCGTCCAGACGAGATGTCTTTGCGACTGCTCTACTTTTGTAAGCTTCCTCTTTTCTCATAGCAAATTGTTACTGACTCTATAGATGTTTGTGGAAATATTTCGAGTATCTTCGGTGGTCTTCTTGCTTATGGATTTGACACTGTGTCTGGCGCTGGGGGGCTTTCCGGATGGCAGTGGTACGCATTCTCCTCCATTCTCGTAGATACGTGCTAAATTACTGCAGGCTGTTCCTCACCGAAGGCATTGCGACCGTCATTTATGGCGTTGCCATTTGGTTCCTGCTTCCAGACTGTAAGACTCCAGTCCACCGCTTTATTACGCGATTTAGATTAGCAGAGTCATTGACATGAAATTAGTCCCTCAGACAGCAAAATGGCTGACCGAGAAGGAGAAGAAGTTCATCCAAGCTCGACTGCCAATGAATTCCCCTCGAGCTCACGAGCAAAATTTCAAATTCCGCGAGATCATTGATTCACTGAAAGATGTGAGACTATGGCTGTTCACCTTGATATGGGCTACCTTCACTGTTGGAACCAGCGGCGTCACGTTTTATCAATCAACCGTCATTGCTGACCTCGGATACACGTAAGTTTTACTCCTAACTAGCTAAGGAAAAAAAGGGTAAGTTGGAAGGTTAACGGCTCCTGACACTTCGCAGGACCATTGCTCAAGCTCAGCTGCTCAACATCCCTATCGCAGTCTGCGGGCTCCTGTTCATTGCCCTAACAGGCATCGCAGCAGACCGAAGCCGGATACCCCGGCCACTATACCCACTATCTTTCCTTTTCGTCATCATCGTATGCTACGGAGTGTTTGTTGCATATCCGAGCGCCGGCGCCATATATGCCGTAACACTGATTGGAAATGCATTGACCGCAGCCTGGTACCCTGTCATGTGGTGCGTTATCTGTCCCCATACATACCCTTACACAAACACCCCCCTACGAACATCTCACTGACTTTAATGACAATAACAGGCCATGGCGCGTCCAGACCACTGCCCGAGCGACAGGCTCCGCCTTCTCCATCGGCTTCGTCAACAGCTACGGACAGATTGGCGGTGCCATTGGGCCCCAAATCTTCAGAAGCAAATACGCGCCACACTACACCGTGCCATTTGCCGCAGCCATGAGTTTGGTGGGCGCCTGTGTGATTCTGACACTTGTGACTTGGTGGGTAACTCGCGAGACGGAGCGTGACACGCGACGGCTCAAGCTGGCCAAGATTGCAGCAGAGAAGACGGGAAAGACTATTCTAGATGATGTTGTGGACCATGACTTGAAGAATCGCTAATTGTAACTATTGTACGTGTGGTTTGTTCATCTGCTCTTTGCGAGTGAGTCCGAGATTAGATGTTGTCCATCATGAATACTGCTTTGTACAAGTTCTGGGATTTTTAGATGCTCTAAACTTCGACTTTTGCTCACGCACTCAAGAGTTTTCATATGTAATAAACAAATTGGCAATATAATCAGCTATCAATAGTTAAGATTGTTCCCAAAATTACAGTTGGGACTACCGAGTCCCGAGACGGTTTTCCAAGAAATTGGTAGCACTGAGCATTAGGGTGATAAATAGATAGTCTCTAAAAACATATGTTGTACAAGTGAACCTCCTTGTCATTTTCTCACTTAGCAAAGGTCTGGATGTAAGCTAGTGTAGGCTGTACCTGACTGCACTCCGTTCGGTCGTCTTCCAGATCCAAGCCAGACCATAGGTAAGGGCGAATTCCACGCTACTGAAACATCTTCATAGATAGTAGAAAAAACTAATGGAAATTGCGACATTATATCCACAATGGTAGAGCCCGGAAACCCTCCGCGGCCACGGTCGAGAAGATATCAGAGAGTGAAAAGAAAACATCCGAGAAAACCCTCCGGGTCCATACAGCATGCATGGATACATCCACTCCCCCGCACGAAACAATTGGTGGGGTCTAGCAAGCCAAGTCCATATTAGTAAAGTTTTAAGCTGCGAGGTTATTTTCTTTTTGTTGATGGCAAGAGAATCAAAGTAAAAAACCCTGACACTCGACTCGAGTCGGCTGGTATAGCTGACAATGAGCGCCGCCTGTGCAGGTGGCCAACGACCATCAGCCAGATTGTCGAGCGAGCCCTACTTTGACCTAGGCACATTCCATTGCAAAGTCAGCACCACCTCCGTCGAAGCGCAGATATGGTTCGACCGCGCGCTGGTCTGGACATATGCGTTCAACCACGATGAGGCCATCGCCTGCTACAAGCAGGTAATCGCACACGACGAAAATTGCGCCATGGCGTACTGGGGAGTTTCGTTCTGCTCCGGATGCAACTACAACAAGACATGGGCACTGTTCGATGAAAACGATCGAGTGAATGCGATCAGGCAGTGCTATACATTCTCGCAAGAAGCGCTGAAGCGTGCAAAGCAGAACAGCAAATCGTCATCGCTGTCGACGACGGAAGATTGGGAGCAGGCACTCATAGCGGCACTGGCGAAACGGTTTCCTGACGATGATCCGAACAAAGACTTGGTCGCATGCAACAGGGCGTATGGCGAGGCCATGCGAGAGGTATATAGGAGTTTCGGTCGGGAGGATTTCAATATCATCACGCTTTTTGCTGACGCATTGATGAACGTTACTCCGCGCAAGTTATATGATGCCTCAACGGGCCTTCCTATCGCGTCTTCGCATGTATTTGAAGTAAAGGCGCTGCTTGAAAAGGCACTGAAAATGCCAGGCGTCGAGCAGCATCCAGGTCCCGCTCACATGTACATTCATTTGATGGAAATGTCAGCGACGCCCGAGGCTGCGCTGCCTGCAGCAGAGATGATCCGCGAGATGTTTCGGGATACCGGGCACACCTTTCACATGCCGGCGCACATCGATGTTCTTGTGGGCGACTACCGGCGTGCGGTGGAATACAATTACAAGGCGACCATTGCCGACGACAAATTCTTCCAACACAACGGTGGCTTGACATTCTATAGCTATTACCGTTTACACGATTATCACTCACTCATTTACGCGGCTATGCTAGGCGGAAAATCAAAGGCCGCCCTTGCAGCCACAGACCGCATGGAGGCGACTATCACAGAAGAAATTTTGCGCGTAGAAAGGCCTGTGCTGGCAGACTGGATGGAGTTTTTCAAGGCGGTTAGGGTACATGTACTTATTCGGTTTGGGATGTGGGAAGAACTGAAAGGCCTGGACCAAATGGAGGATAAGGAGCTGTATTGCGTGACTAATGTTATGAGACACTATGGGAAAGGCATCGCCTATGCAGCTACGGCGCAGTTAGAGAAGGCTGATAAGGAGCGAGAGCTCTTTAAGGCTGCGTCGAAACTGGTTCCGCCCACACGTCTAGATTTTCCTAACAAAATCACGGATATTTTGAAGGTGGCATCTGCAATGCTGGATGGCGAAATCGAGTACAGACGTGGGGACTATGAGACTGCTTTCAGCAGACTGCGCGAAGCCATTTGCCTGGAGGACGAGTTGCCATTCGCCGAGCCATGGGGTTGGATGCTTCCAGCACGACATGCATATGCTGCTCTCTCGTTAGAGCAAGGCTGGGTTGAACAGGCTGCAATAGCATATGCCGAGGATTTGGGACTTTCACCGACACCCAAACGTGCGCATCAGCATCCGAACAATGTCTGGGCTTTGCATGGGTACCACGAGTGCCTCACAATCTTGGGTCGCCATGCCGAGGCAAATATTATCAAAAAGCAGCTTTCTCTCGCTCTAGTGGAGGCTGATGTGGAAATTACGTCGTCATGCTTTTGTAGAAATGGCGCGTTACCTTCGTGTGCTGCAAAAATCGAAGTAAATGGTTGCTGCGGCGGGAAGTTGGGATGTAACAGCTAAAATGTAAAGTTTACCTTTGTCAACAAATCAAAGCCACCTGAATATATCTCCTCTCCAGAGTAATGCATTCCGCAGTGAAGAAACGGAAAGTATGCGTGAGACGTAGAGATAGAATGTAGCTCGGCTCTACCGGTAGCCACAGAAATACTATTATCAAGTCCTCAACAAAGCTACAAAGATTATGAAACATAGGTATCATGCGACAGCATCTGCAACATCCTTGATCATGCCTCGAACCTCATCGACGATCCGGAAACACGGCACCAATTTCCGCGCCGCGGGGTTTTGTGGACAAAGATCCAAGGGGTCGTGATCAATACCATACTCCTTTTTCCGACAGCGTCCTTCAGGGCCCGGGCAAGCTTCATGCCCTACCATGTGGCGATTGCGCTGCCGCTGCGCGAACTGTTTTCCCAGCACCAGTAGCCGTTCGGCATCGACCTGGAGGCCCTCTACAACAAGACTCCGCAGCTTCTCGCCGGTGATTTGTAGATTAAATTCTGACGCAATTCCCAGCCCAGAGCTGAGGTAGATAGCTTCGCTCTTGTTCCCAGCATCGAGGTCGGTGCAATATTCTTTCAGCCAGCGTAGGTACTTTTGGTAGCCGGATGTAATTTCAAGCATAAGTTGGCCGATGAGGAGCACATTTTGCACCGTCACTCGTGGCGGTTTCGACACATCATAGCATATCGGACATGTCAGTAAGCGCTCTACGAGGGACACTCCAGTGCGAAGCATCTGGATGATATCGTGGGACATTTCAGCACGGTTCAGATTCCGGACTATGTCGGATACCTCTTCGTCGCACTTACACGCCCCTGAGAACGACGTCGGAGAGATATATGCATCCGAGGGCATTGGAAAAGTGTCGTTCGGACGCGATGCCTGGCACAATTCGACGGGAAAAGAACCAAGGTTGCCGTTACCTAGAATCTCCCAGTCCAAGGCATCGAATCCGCAATTTCCGGCTAGCTCGCATGACAATGCCTCGAATTGGCCGCCGCCAATGAGGATATTGGCTGCATCTTGCGAGTTTAAGGAAGCTGTTTGAGGGATGCTGCTCGAGAAATATGAGGCGCTTGTGTGCTTCTCGCTGCTTGGCGAATGCCGGTCGCTTTGATCCTGTCTTGGGCGTTTTCTCGGCCTGCCAGGGGCTCCTTGGTCCTGGAATCTACAGGGTAGAGACATGCTGCGGCAGCGAGAGCAGCCGCTCTTTTCGCCTGAGCATCGGAGCTTCCGCGTGCCTATGGTTCATTAGCTGTGGTGGAACTGCAAGAAATTGTACAGCTCAGCTTACGGCAGGCCTCGCAGGACTTCCGCTCTTGTCGTGTTGGATTCATAGCTTTATATGTACTACGGCTGTGGGAATGAGAGGGTCGTCTGGAGCAGCAAGGTGTGATTTCACTCGGGGCAAACCGCGACATTGGTCATTACGCGCGGCGATGGCGACATCTGGCGCTTACTGAGCGGGGTCAAGCAGCATCTCTAATTAAGAAGGCAGCAATTGCTGCATTCCCACATTCCATTGCGAAGAGATAAATGCGTTACACCAAGGAGTAGAAAAATTCTGTTCTACTTTCTGTCTTAGCGAGCCAAGTGAGGCTTGATATAACCAGACTGAGTGTGTTCCAAGGTTCATTTTTGCATGTCCAGCTGGCGGGTCGGGTTTCCCCACCGCGCAGTACAAAACCCTCCGAGAGGCTATAGTGCCTGGGTAGGTACCAGTTGAACAATAACTTAAACTGATGAGACTATAGTTCTCTTCTTGTAAGACCATGAATGTATGTGAATATCTGCGCCAGTGTCGCGCAGTTCCGTTGTCCATGTAGCAATTTTACTTCAGCAACAAAATGACCACATTAAAACATGTCACTGCAGCCGAGCTGCGCCGCCACTGGGCAAATCGCCTCGAAATTGCTCTCCTTGATGTCCGCGAAGAAGGCCCCTTTGCCGAGTCACATCCTCTTTTTGCCTTGAGTGTGCCGGTATCTGAAATCGAGAAGAAGTTGCCACCGCTTGCTCCTCGACTGTCCGCTCCGATTGTTGTCTACGACAATGGCGAGGGTTATACTGAGCGAGCCGCCTCCCGGATATTAGCCCTAGGATATCAGGATGTCGCCATCCTCGAAGGCGGACTTTCTAGATACGCCCGTGTTGGTGAGGTCTACCGCGATGTAAACGTGCCATCCAAGGCATTCGGCGAGCTTGTCGAATCTATCAACCACACTCCATCTCTATCTGCACGGGATGTTAAGGATCTTTTGGAAAGTGAACGTAACGTGGTTCTCCTGGATGCTAGACGTTTCGAAGAGTACAATACAATGAGCATTCCCGGCGGCCGAAGCTGTCCTGGAGGAGAACTAGTGTACCGCATATTCGAAGCCACAGCCTCTTCGAAAACCACTGTCATTGTTAATTGCGCCGGTCGAACTCGGAGTATTATCGGGACACAATCATTGATCAATTCTGGGATCCCCAACAAAGTAGTTGCGCTTCGAAACGGCACTATCGGCTGGACATTGGACGGGCTAGAATTGGATACAAAAAAGACGGAGCGGATTTCAGAGCCCTCAGCGGAGGCATTGCAAAAGGCTCGACAGCACGCTAAATCCTGGGCCGATTACGTCGGCGTCTCTACTATAGATAGTGGTAAGCTCAGCCAATTGGCCACGGAGTCGCAAGACCGCACGCTATATCTGCTAGACGTACGAGATCCAGAGGAGTATGCCCTAAGTCATCCGTTGGGCTTCTCCAATGCTCCTGGTGGACAACTGGTACAAGCCACTGATGAATGGGTCGGTATTCGAGGCGCACGTATTGTTTTATATGACAACGACGGCGTGCGAGCGCACATGACCGCCAGCTGGCTCCTACAACTAGGATGGGAGGTATATGTCTTGGAAACGCAATCCCTGGTGCCCGTTAATCTCCCAGTACCCAAAACTCCTTTGTGGCAGTCTTCCAAATCTGGTGCTATTACGGTCGACGAACTTCAAGACCTTACAGGCGCGACTATTGTTGATCTTGCCCGTAGTCCGTCCTATCGCAAAGGCCATATTCCCGGCGCATGGTTCGCCTCCGGGCCTGAACTTGTCCGTGATTTGAGTTCTATCGCCGGTGATGGGCCTATCGTGATAACTTCGCCAGACGGCGACATCGCCGCCGCGAATATTGAGTTCGCGCGCAACTCGACCTCGCGAGACGTCTTCTACCTGGCTGGAGGCACAGCAGCTTGGGTGGCAGCCGGGCATGCACTCGAGACCGAGTCGCGCTGGCTCTCGCCGCCCATTGATGTGTATAAGCGGCCGTACGAGGGGACCAGCAACGCCCGCAAGGATATGCAGGCCTACCTTGACTGGGAGTATGGGCTTATCGCACAGTTGGCAAACGACGGGGTTGCTTGTTTCCACGTTGTGCGGGACCGGCGTGGGCAATCTGGTTAAAATAGATATATCGAACTAAACCTTGGAAGTGTCAACTCCGAGATGGAAATTTTTGTTTAAGCCTAATACCCTAGCCAAAATTTCTTATTTTGCTTATTTTGTGGAGATGTGTACTATCATCATCAGACTTGATTTAGGGCTATAGGCCCGCGATTAGAATGTTGGTGGGGATGCGGTCGCGCCCTTCGGATGACAAGTTCAGACTAGCATTGTATAAAATGTGCAGAATACCAGTATAAATTCCAACCACCTGATAATCTCATGCATCCCGTCAAATGAGAAAAATCACGATATGCATCGAGCTGTCCGACGAGAATCTACTGAGTTGACAAATTTTGAGTCCACCTCTCCGGATGATTCAGCCGATGGAGTCAGCCTGGCCTTCCCTGAAGGCGGGCTGGAGGGATGGACATGTCTATTTGGATCCTGTTTATTGATGTTTCCATCCTTCGGATTCCAGACCGCCGGTAAGGACTTGAACGAATATGAAGGTATTCACATCCGCTAACTCTGTCATGAAAGTTGGCTCTGTCCAGGATTACATTAGCATAAATCAGCTCGCCGAATATAGCATCCGTGACGTCGGATGGATCTCGGCCATTTTGGTGTTTCTGACACTATTTCTTGGAGTCCAAGTTGGTCCATTATTCGACCGGTATGGGCCAAGAGTTCTGCTGATTTGCGGTTCAGCAGCGAGCTTTACATCGTATATGCTGCTTGCAGAATGTACCGAATACTGGCACTTCATTCTGTGCCTGTCAATCCTCGGGGGACTTTCCTCTGCCGTGATTACAACGGTGTCTATTGCTGTTCTGAGTCACTGGTTCCAACGTCGACGCGCGTTAGCCTCAGGCCTCTGTATGGCAGGTTCTTCTGCAGGCGGTGCCGTCATACCACTGATACTGCAGGCGCTATTTGCGCGAAAGGGCTGGAAATTTGCTATTCGGACCATCGCTTTTGTTGCACTAGGTTGCTATATTTTAGGAGTCATTATGGTGCGCGGACGACTCCCCGGCCGCTCCAGTAAAGCCACTATCGACTTTCGCGCTTTCCGATCATTGCGCCTATGCTTTTTGACTGTGGCCGTGTTTTCATTTGAGTTCATCATATTCGGATGTGCCGCTCTGCTACCGACATACGTTCGTTTTGCCGGCATGTCGACTACCGTACAATTCTATTCACTCACTGTTCTGAACAGCATGAGTTTCATGGGAAGAGTTCTACCCGGATTTGCGGCCGATCAATTTGGTAGATTTAACGTTCTGCTGTGTTTGGTTGTGATGACCTTGATTGTCATGGCGGCTGTGTGGCTGCCGTGGGGATCGCATAATGATGCTACTATCTATGCCGTTGTGGCTATCTTTGGCTTTAGCTCCGGTGGATGGCTATCGCTGGCACCAGTCTGTGCAGGACAGCTCTGTCGTACTGAAGATTACGGGAGATACTATGGCACAATCTACTTTGTGGCTGCGTTCGGGGTGCTTTTGACTGTTCCGGTGGGAGGTGATCTGCTTCAGTCGACCTCACCGCAGGTTCTTATTGGGTTCTATTCGGCTGTACTGTTAGTTGGATTTATTGCTCTGGCACTGTCACGGTGGGCACTTTTGGACTGGCATTGGAAATGGAAGGTAAAATTGTAGGTTTGTATTGTAGAGTAGGCACTAGGTGAGAACGATTGTACACCTGCCGTTTAGAACTAAACGCTACTTTAGAGAACAGTGTAGAAGCAATAGGCACTTTACAATCAATGAGAAGACTGGAATTAGTCCTAATGTCAGATAGAGGATGTTCGAGGAGTAAATTCTGAAATGAGCTCTTAGAGAAATGACCTTTTCCCCTTAATGCATTTGAGGCACTCCCTCAAAATAATCGAAGTCTTTGAGTAGCGGCGAGACAACTGTATCAAAGATCGACTCAACAAATCGTGGATCCTCGAAACTCTCATCTGTACCTCGAGGCCAATAAAGACATTGCTTAACTACATCGCCATAGTTCATTCCACTTTCACCGTACACAAATCTGAAAACCCAAGTAGCAGTGTTGAAGTGCATTTCTCGCTCATTAGGCCCATAGTCTTCGAATCGATATAGCGCCGATATTGTCTTGCCCAAAGACAACTCAATCAAGGCGGTAGCCAGAGGAATTTAAATTTCATTATGAATTTTGGTACTTGTTGATGGGACAGTGCTGCCGTAATTACTGGAGTCCGATATTCGTCAAATTAGGTATGGGTGTTCGAAGTTGGTGAATCTGTGATGTGAGTCTTGCGCGAACAGGACATCCTTTGTTCCCTCCCCATTGTCGCTTCAGCCAGCTTCCATAAAGCTGTAAGATACCGCATGCGAAAACCGCGGCTAAATATAATTTATCACGTCAGCTTAATTCATCTGAGCCGTGGGCAGGTTTGGCCAAAGAGGTTGAGCCGAAAATGATGTCTTGTAGAAAGCATAAGTTGATGTCCTGATCGACCTTGCGTAGGAGTCGCATGTGGTACTGTTCATCATCTGAGTGGTCGAGAACGAACCGAATGGCATCTTCCTGTACAGCAATATCCAGAGTATAGCAAAGGTCATCGATTCGGCTCGTAGGTGCTCTTTGCACTGCCGCCACGCAGATGGTAGTGGAAGTGGTAGCAAATTGTACTTTGCGTTTTACTCCGGAAATTGACAGTGAGCTTTCAGAAATATCAACAGGAATCGTGTTCTTGATCAATTCTGGTCGTAATTCGACTTTAAGGGAGGAGCCTAAGTCACAGCATGAAGTAGATGTCATAAGTGAAGATAATAAAAGATCTATTAATGCCCCTATTAAAAGCCTTCAGTCTTTCTTCTCTCGCGCCTCACGAATCCGCGCACTCATCTGTCCCATCCCAAAATAACTAGCCACAAACCCCTCCGAAACCCATCTCGGAAATAGAGTCAACCACCATATAAATCCCGTCATTCCTCCCCTCCAATACCAATCAGGCGTACCACCGATCCAACCTCCAAGCCAGCCCTCCCCTTTAAGAGCTTCAGTAACAAGGCCCTTCGCGAAATCCTCTGCTGACATAGTCCCAGCTCTCTGCGACCATGTAACCCTACTCTGATACATATCATTGACAGCCGAGTAGAGCGATGTAGGAGGTAATGACTGCTCCACTTTACTAGGCATGTTTGACTTGACGGTGCCCGTCATGGAAACCATGACCCTAACATTGAACGGTCTCAATTCCATACGCAGAACGGTTGAATACGCGTTCAAAGCGGCTTTGGATGAGGAATAGACGCTACTGAAGAGAGAAGGCAGTTCTGTGGAGGCAGAGGAATTATTGATGATGAGACCCCGAGCGGGAATGAGGAGGCTGATGAAAGATTGGATTAGGAGCATGGGTCCGAAGATGTTGGTGTCGTATGTTCTTTTTGCGTCGGCGAGGTCGAAGTCTAATGCTGGGATTACACAGGGGCGTCCCCTGGGACATTACATCAGCTTGTTGAGGATACTTTCATGGGATTAGACTCACGCATTATTAATCAAGATATCAAGACGTCCTTCCGTAAGCTGCTCAACGCGACTTTTACATTCATCGATACTCTGCTTGCTCGTAACATCCAAGGCCAGAATACTAAGGCCCATCAAGTCGAGATCTTTAATTAATTCCAAATTGCGAGCTGTGGCTATAACATGACAACCTGAATAGTACAATAGCAATTATTAGATGTCCTTTTGCCTTCAAAGATACGTATGAACGAGGTGCGTTGGTACCTCTTCTGTGAAATTCCATGGCAAGAGCATGACCGATACCACCAGGCGAGCAACTAAAAAGCGGAGTAAGAAGCCGAGAACTGCCCCAAATATTATATTATATCGTCGCACTTACCCTGTGATCAGTACTGATGTTTTACGATGAGCAGACATGGTGTAACCAAGTAATTTATGCTTGAAGAGTCTGCCTGCGTAACTTTCTTAATTCTTGGTAGTTGGAAAATTCGTGCAAGGAGGAGGTTATATTAAGTACTTAAAACAAGACGATACACTGTTATCACACTGCCCGCTTTCATACGTTCGTATATGTATCTCTATAGACAAGGAATCTGAACTATAGTACATGTGATGATCATCTAGTCTACGCGCAGTTACTTGTGTGGTTGGCTAGTTTCAACATGCGATGTAACATGTCAAATAATGACCGACAGATTTTCGGTACTCTGAATGTTATCTAGTATTTAAGTGAATCAACTGACCAAAGATTAAAATTAGACTATTCAGCATGAAGTTACCGACATTAATCTAGGGCGTGGAAAGTCATGCATCTGAGTAAATCAAGGAATTGTACACATACGCATGTAATCGCTAGTAGCTCGCATTAATGTCCACTATTATTACGGACTATGAACTTAGATAGGTACTGTTTGCAAAGAGTTATGACGGATTTCACGGTAAAATTATTTTCGATTCCTAATTAGGTGTTTTAGGGCTATGTAGTCAATTTAGAGTTTATGCCCAGCTCTCGTTCTTTGGATATTAATATTAGAGGATAGAGACTTGAGTGTCTCAGCTATCAATTTGTCGGTAGATAATACACCTAGATACTGTACAATATATAGCTCTGTCAGCTATGCAGAGTAATAGTAAGTCTCTTTCGGCACGACCAAGATCTGGATCTATACGGCCGTAGCACATATGACGGGATTCCACAAAAGTGATGTTGAGGTCTCACAACATCGAATCACGTTACAAAAAATTAAGTTGGTAATACACAGAGTATTGTTGCTTGGATAATAATTCTTTGACTGATCTTTGAACCAACAAAGACGAAACAGCAAATGTCAAAAGGGCCTGTCCATGTATCCTGCATGGGATTGGAGCTGAAGATGCTGCTGTTTTTGGTGACCGTAATGGAGAAGGTGAAGCAGAAGCTGTTGAACGGCACTGCTGCTACTCTAGAAAGCAAAAAAAAACCATATCTCGAGCATTCGAGACATACCACGCAATTCGTCGAGAGGTTTCCTAGTGGCATACTACTAGTAGTCGTCAACAAAGCCAGTTGGATAGATAAATGGAAGATAACAGAAATTCATAACACGGAAGATATTAACAGGGATACGGCGGAGAGGTGTTCCAAGCTTTATAGGTATGATTGGAGATTGGAGGTCCACCAAAGTATCGAAGATTGTGTGCAGAGGATGGCGAGTGCTGGAGAATAGCACAAAACGACGTTCTATTTGACACAGATTTCGATATATAAGACTCATATTTATGCAATTTGTGGATTGGCAATGAAGCAATTTAATGCTGTACAACGATTGTAATTTGGGCTAGGGCTAGAGCTGAGGATCGCCCATCACCTGACACCATGGGGCGGAATTACTAATCGGAACCTTGGGCGACAACTTTATCAAGAACTTTGTTTTGACATTCATTATTGCAGTCGATCAACTATGTACATGGAATAAAAAAAGATCTATGAATAAGATCATGCCAGGTATCGCTCAGAATAAACAATTAACGCCGCATCGTATGCTTGAACGCCGAATTTTTTTTAAAGTCATGTCGTGATTATATTATAAGCGAGGCCGAAGTGACTCAAGCGTCACCGGTTGTGACTTGAACATTCTCCAATGCTTGGGCCAATGCCTCTTCTTGTCGCTTGCGCTCCATCTCTAAAAGGTATTGGGCGTATTTGGATCGAGGGTTGTGAATACCGCACTCGGTCTTGGCTTGACCCTGCCAGCGACCGGAGCGCTCGTCTTCGTTCTCCTTGACGGGCTTGGTCGAGTGGTAGTCACCAATGCTCTTGTAGCCTCGGTCGAGAAGTTCGTTATATGGGACACCGTTGTCCTTGACATATTGGCGGACCTGTTCGAAGGACCAGTTGGCGAGGGGATTGACTTTGATAAGACCGGCCTCGTCGATCTCAAGGACGTCGAGATCACCACGCTTGCCGCCTTGGCTTCGTCGGCGACCGGTCAGGACTGCATCGACCTTGAGTTCACGGTAGGCACGTTGAGCAGGCTCAMCYTTGGSGAGCCAGTCATATCGTTCATCGTTGGTTTCCCAGAGGCGTTCGCCGTATTTTTTGGCGAAGTCTTCTTCTGTCTCGGCGCCCAATGGCTTGTAGACATGGACGTTGAGGTTGGGGTATCGTTGGCGGACGCGGTCCACAAGCGACAAAGTCTCTTTGAAGTGATGAAGAGTATCCAAGAAGATGAGGTCGACTACTTGTGGACGGGGAACATTGAGCTTCGAGAGCATGTCGGTGATAGCAAGACCAGTAAGACCAAAGGCGGTGGTCTGATAAAGGTTAGGAAGGGTGGTAATGCACCATCTCAAGACGTCTAAACTGCACTTTAGCCATCTCATCACAATGATACCCCGCTTTGGCTTGAGAAGAAAAAGAAAACATACCTTGAGGCTCAAGGAATTGCAGCTGGCGATTCAGAAACTGAAGGTGGGCCTTGGTAAAGATGACCTCTGGCAGGCTGGCTTCACTAGACGAAGCACTTGCATAGCCTGACTCGGTATCGTTGACCTCGTGGTCTAGGGGGTAATGGGAGGGGGTTTTGGCAGGCATATTGAGCATTCCCGTTGATTAATGTCCTCGGATGTGTATGAAAGTCAAGCAGATATCGACTGAACAAGACTGTCGACTGGCTGGCTTATATGGGGTGTCTTGGAAAGATAATATGACGAAGCAAGGAGAAGGGCGATTAGTTATTACTCATAGAATCTCGTCGACGCGAACTTGGACATCAATGAGGGATTAGTGATGACTAGCCATGGCGAAGGGAACAAGAAATTATTAAGCACAGCATCATTCCGACGGTGCCAGGCTGCTTCTCTTTCGCTGCCAGGCTGCCTGGTGGGCCAGGCAGCTCGGCCCAAAAGGGAAACCTTGAGCACGCCATCTTCAATTTTTCTCTTTTCGGAATAATCGGACCCTGACAGAAATCACGCAATACTTGCGTCTGTAGTGTCTACGGTAGCCGTACAACGTCTGCAGCCCTAACTGCACGTGACTCCAGGGCTGGTGGGTCATGTGCAGCGCAAACAGTGCAAACATGCAAACATGCAAACATACCCCGGCCCCACTACTCCGTAGCCAAGGCAAGTCTCCAGAAAACGTTTCTTGGAACTTGGAAGTGGGATGTGCCACGACTAGATTACTACTAGATTGAGATCAGCCTGGCATGCTGGGACCTTAGGCTGAAATATTATTATTGTTCCTGACTTGGATCTACTTAGTCATCTACTATGTACAGAAATGTGGTAAAATGTAAGGGATGAAGTGACTGTTCTTTTCATAGGATCTTGACGTCATACAAAGAATAACCCCGCGCTGAAAAAAATGAACCTCAGAACTCAACCAAACCGAAGCATGATGTTAACTTGCGTCTATCTTGACAGACGCTTCCCTCTCCCCGATCAAGGTCAGAGTACATAATCGGCGTGCCAGAGTAAGCTGCAAGTAAATTTCTGACCAATAGCTACAGCTAGATTCGTCTCTACCCAGGCAAGCAGGCGGGGATTAAACTGGCAATCCTGATCATAAGGCACATCCTGCCCTCTGATTGGGTCGTGGCAGCCTGAAAGTCCAGGAACTAAACCAGGTCTCCACCATCACGTGGTCCGCCCTAGCCGTTTCGGGACTGGCGGGCTGTCGGCGCTGGAAAGATGATCCTCTGATCTTTTTAATTTCTTTGACTCTGTCCGTACTCTTCCTCTACCATTACTGTCAAATTCACCGCTTAGATTCTCGATGCAAGTCCACCGGGTGGCCCGGGATTCATTAGCAATTTTCTGATTTGAATATTTTCTGTCAACAGCTTCTGCTGCTCTATCTATACATAACCCACTTTCGGTCAGCGATTGAAAGCTGTGTATAATGACCGATACCACTAAGCTCGCCATGCGCACCGAAAGACCAATACTGCGCCACAGCTCAATGTCGGGCGGTTCTTTTATCCAAGACCACCAACAATACAAGCCCACGCCGCCAATCACTCAAAACATAACCGATGTTCTCTTGACGGCAGGCGAAAACAACAAGAACTCACTCTTCTACAATGCGAACCCCATCAGCCCAGATCCTGACAAGGTGACCGAGAGCGGGATTGTGCATAGCATCTTTCCCACCTCCCCAAACCCGCTCCCAGCAGGTACTACGAAGCTTGTGGCGACCATCTACTACAAAACGGCTACTGCTCACCAGCATATCAACACCATTAATGCCGAGCGCGGTATTCTCCCATCGCCATCGGTTCCAATTGGTTCCGCTCCAACAGTCGATATTGAGAAGCTGCCCCGAGAGCCGCCAGCACCAGAGCCGGAGAGCTTAGATCATCTCTACGGACCCTATGTGTCGCAACTGTGTCTCACTCACTTCTTGCAGATCCTGGAGAGCCTGCATACTCCATATCAGCGTACCAACACGTCACATCGCTGCTTAGATCAGGAAGATCAGCCTCGAGTTGTGGAAGTGACTGTTTCACCACTACCCAACCCGGATTATTTGTCGTTTGATGACTTGCGTAAACACGAGAGCATCTGGCGATTTGAGCGGGAGTGGAATGTGGAAGTGGTGTTGCAGAAAGAAAGTGTTTTCAGGCGGTACAAGCGCTTGGCGATTTTTGACATGGACAGCACATTGATTCAGAACGAGACCATTGATGAGATTGCCAAATTTGTTGGCGTGGAGAAGGAAGTTTCGGTATGTCATTCCTTCATAGGAGGAGCCTTTTTAGAAATACTGACTTGTACAGGGTATCACCGAAAGAGCAATGAATGGCGAACTTGATTTCACTGCATCCCTGAAAGAACGTGTCAGCCTACTAAAAGGTGTTCCGGCCGACGTCTTCGACAAGCTACAAAATATCGTCACCATCTCTTCCGGAGCTCGCGAACTATGCAAAGCACTCAAGGCGTTGGGATACCAAATCGCCGTTCTCAGCGGCGGTTTCCAGCCTTTGGCCGACTGGCTCGCCAAAGAGCTCGACATCGATTATGCATTTGCCAACCATGTACGTTTCCTGCCTCACGTTTAATCAAAGTATAAGCTAACAACCGAAAGCTCGCCGTCGACGAGGCAACCCAGACCCTAACCGGCGAACTCGTTGAAGGCAAACCCATCATCGACGCTATCCAAAAGCGCACCCTACTCCGCAAGATCGCAGCCGACAACAACATCCCCATGACACAGACCATCGCCATCGGCGACGGAGCCAACGACCTACCCATGCTGCACGAAGCAGAGTTGGGTGTCGCATGGCGCGCAAAGAGTAAAGTGCAACTCGAGGCACCGTCTCGATTGAATGGGGAGAGCTTGACAGATATTTTGTATCTGTTGGGATTGGGAGATGAGGATATCAAGGAGTTGGAATCGACTTATTCGTAAGAAATAGAAAGAACAAATGACACATCAAAGCAGGTTGTATACGAGAGTTCTGTCATGATTGTGTTTGTTGTGGACGTTTGCGGATGGATAAGCTTGGAAATATACCTGATATACACGAGAGGAGACGAGACGATGTTAGCGATCCTATATCGATGATTATTTAGTTGACTATGGGCTACGACTACCCATTCATTATTCAAATATGATAACCTATTAAACAATGACTAAAATCTATGAGTAGCGTACCTGCTATGTAATCCTAAAAAAGTACAAAAGAACTCCTGCTATCATGTGACCTAATACAATGCCATTAACTACTTCGCAAGCACATCCACCGGCACCTCAGCCGTCACCTCAGCACCCGGTGTATTCCCAACACCCCTCCTCTTCTTTAACACATTCTCAATAAAAGCCTCTCCAGCCTTATAACTACTCCTCACCAACGGACCCGACGCAACATACAAGAACCCCATCTCCAAGGCCCGCTGTCTCCACAATTCAAATTTATCGGGCGTGACGTACTCGTGCACTGCCATATGTCTCTTCGTGGGCCGCATATACTGCCCAAAAGTGACCACGTCAACATTCGAAGCGCGCAGTTGCCGCAACGCATCCCACATTTGCTCTTCTGTTTCGCCGAAACCGAGCATCATAGATGTCTTTGTGATAAGAGACGGTTTGGCGCGTTTCGCAGCTTCGAGGACTCTTAGAGACTGCTGGAATGTTGCGCGGCGGTCGCGGACATGTGGCGTTAGGGCTTCGACGGTCTCGACGTTGTGAGCGTAGACATCCAAGCCAGATTTGGCGACGAGGGAGACCATGTCGAGATCACCGGCGAAATCGCCCGTGAGACATTCGACGAGGATACCCGGAGCTTTCTGCTTGATTTTCATGACTGTTTCAGCGAAGTGGTGTGCGCCACCATCGGAGAGATCGTCGCGATCCACGCTTGTGAGCACGACGTAGCCCAATCCCCAGCGCGAAAGCGCCTCGGCTGTATTTTCGGGTTCATGAGGGTCTAGCGGTCCTGGCGTCCGTAGAGTCTTGACGCTACAGAATCTGCAACCACGAGTGCACGAATCACCCATCAACATAATCGTCGCCGTCGCCGCAGACTTATCGCTTCCACCCCAACAATCCGAAATATTGGGACAGCGCGCTTCCTCGCAAACGGTGTTCAGCTTCAACCCTCTCAAATCCTTCTTGATACGTTTGTAATTTGTAGAGTCTGGGATGGGCGTCTTGAGCCATGAGGGGAGACGGGTATGTTCCTTCTTGCCACGACCTGCGGGGCCTGGGATCATGACCGTTTCGATGGCGTAGGCGTCCTGGGGGTCGAGAGGAGCGTTGTTGGGGTCTCCATTGCCGCTGACGAAGTCGGCGAAGGAAGGGCCGGCGTTGAGTTTGTCTTTGAATGTGGTTGTTTTGCGTCTTTTAGGGGTTGCCTCGGAGCTTAGTGATGGAGTTGAGGGTGTAGAGCTGGTTGTCGCGTAGTGGCGAGATAGGGAGATTAGTGGTTGGGACGGAGATTTCTTCCATGCTGAGGATGATGCGTATAAGCATCGCAGCCGGGTCGACGAAGCTGCCATGGCCTCTAGTATTATGTCGCAGAAATATGCCGTAAGTATTAGAATCAATCGACAAAAACCGTATGTTGATGCGGCGTGGTTGTCGAAGCTATCGGGAAAGATTTCGAGAATGGAGAACATTTGGAGATGATTTTCGGCGTTGGAAGAATCTGCTCTAAGTCTATTTGGGTTTAGCGCAAGGTTCGCCGCGGACCGGCCAGCGACTTGGATGTTTGCCGATGTCAACCGCTGCAATGGCTGTCGTCGGATTATTAATTCACCAAGCCCTAAGTCGTTACCGGTATTGCGACAGATAGCAGTTTACTGCATGCTGCTATAAGTCAACCACTTGCTAGTCAGATGAGCCGGTGACCATTTAAGGCATAGAGTTATATTTCATTCGACATCGAGTGAGCGAGTGAAAATGCATGGGTAGGGAAGTGTCTAGTTGTGCACCGTAATATCATCAAGGTAACACTCCATGCAACTGTGCTGTTACAAGATCTTGTATTCATATGCACAGCAGCAGACCATTCAACAATCGAGGCACTACCCTGTCCCAGTTGATTATAGTTGTGGTTGCGTTCTGCACCATGACCGTGTTGGAATCTTGTTTTATGACTCTCATATTAGAGCTCGTGAACAATCTACATGTGAAGATATAGTAGTCTTGGACTAAGGGTTTTGTTCAATATGAAAATAGAGTCGAACTTAGGAGATTAAAGATAATGAATTGCTTTCTCCGTGACGATGGTGATATACATAGGGACAGACTATCATCGAGAATTACAGCCGAACCCATAACACAAACCAGAATGGCCCAGATGTTTCTCAGCTCTTTTCTTACATGCAGTGAGTCCAGTATAAGACAGCCAGCCTGGACGAGTCTGCCAAAAAGCGACATCATGGCTACTCGTACTTGGACATCTCAGTATACCGAAGTAGTGCAAGCTGAGTACTAGCTTTCTTAATAGCCATACTATACACTTCTCCAGCGCGGGTCAAGGCAGTTCTTCTCGATAAGGCAGAAAACAACTTCATTCTCAACTACAACAACAACCTCGACCGCAACCACAACTACAACCAGAACAACCACAACTACCACCACAACCACCCAAGCAGTCTGCCCATTTGGCGGAATTACCTGTGGCCAGCAATGCGTAAGTCTCGCCTTTCCCTTGAAAAACCTTTCAAATTACTTACTGATCCGGATTAAAAAAAATGAAGTGCTTTGGCGGCACAACATGCGACCCTATTATGCTTCTCTGTACTTGCACACTAAGTTCCCAATGTGACCCAAACCATACCTGTCTCGATGGCGAATGTTGTCCCAACAGTCACGTTTGTCCTTTTTTGGCTACCTGCGTAAGCTGCCCTCATCCCAAAAAAGATGTTGATTTAGATGACTTCCACTAATTAAAACAGTGTCCACGCGCGTGTGAAGCGGGCATTTGTCCGGCGGGCTTGGACTTACAATTCGGTTCAATTGTGATACGCATGGTTGCTGTTAGGGTTTCGTTTCCGCTTGCCCTAATCCCGTTGTCCTAATGCCCACAGCACCTCATTATGGCCCTATTCACAATCATGGTTCACTAGTTCTATACGTAGTTGACACAAATTGAAAGTGGAATTAATCCTATTTTAAAGCAGAAGATTAAACCCGTAAACTCAGTAAATCGCTAGTAATGCAACAACAAACGCAGGACACAAAAGGCAAGAGAATGTGAGAGTATCAGTACAGCAGTGAAAAATATGGGCAATTTCCGAGATATATTCAAGCCGAAAGGACATGGAATAGCGGAGAAGGAATGTCAGTCTGGTAGTCACAAAACAAATAGGGAATCAAGGAAGATAGACATTAATAATATGAGTATGGTGGAGATTTAGACAGATAGGAGAAGAGAAGGAGTGAGGACAAAGTAAAAATGGACAGTCATGAAGTTCATTACAAGAAGGAAATGTAAGGGAAGTAATTGAGAAGGATTGTCGGTGTTTGGTTCTATGAGGGAGTGGTATCATGAAAAAGAAGGAAAGAAAAATAAAAGGAAGGAAAGCAGAATGCTGGTTGAGCATAGGTCGGTGTAATGAGTGAATGGATCAAGCCTTCAAGTCCTTTGGCTCGAGAACTTGCATCAGAACAGTCACTGATGCCTTCAGTGTATCATCGTGTCGACCGCAGATTGAGAAGAGTAGCTTATCTACAATCCGGTCAAGACCTTTTTGAAGTTCATGACTTCGAGCCCCCATTGATTGGTTCGGGATGTTCAAGTTCAACTTGCTTGAATTGGTGGGAAAAGCAAGACCGAGTGTTGCCCTGGCCTTTTCGGGGACGCTGTCGAGCTTTGAAAGATTGCTGCTGGTGTTGTTGCTATGATTGTTGAATTGTGAGATGGTATGCGAAGGTGGGCTGCTGTTTAGGCGATTATGATGCGTTGATGCCATCGAGACAAGGTAATTTCTTGCAATCAATGCTGCACAGAGATAGTCGATAAGATTGTCTGGCGCGGTAGAGAAGATTTTCTTAAATGGTCGGGTGATTGCATTTTCGTGATTCTGGCGAATCAAGATGACGACCGGTGATGTCAGCCGGAGGGCGTATTTTGGGAACTCCTTGATAGAGTCTTCGAGTTGGTCAAGTGTCCATTCGTAGTCCCAAAACTTCACCAGCGTTTCTTGGTCGACGGTTTTAGGAGATACTGCTGGAGGTGTCCGTGGCTGCTCATCTTTTTTATGATTGGATGTAGGTTTGTGGCGATTGTAAGACGACATATAACACCTATGTTTGGGTTTTTGATCACTAAAAATACCCGTCACAAATGAAACATTGCACGTCGGCTCTGACGACGATGTAGTTGCAGCAACATCAAAAGCTGTATCATATTCGTCATCTCTGAATTCGTGACTTTCGTCTGAGGATCGGTTGGATTGTTGTGTGACATAGCCGCTATCCGGTATGTCTTGAGGAGTGTCTGGACTAAAAGCAGATATCTCATTTATACTTCGTTGTTCGGGCGTGGAGGGTCGCCTCCATGAAGGTGGTGGGTGGATAGGGACAGAAAATGTCGTCCCAGATGACGAGGGTCGAGATATGTCGACAAGCTTCGGCTTAGTTTTGCTGGCTACAGCAAGCATCTAGATGAATGTTAGTGATATCACGACAGAGTGAGGACTAGGGGTACCACATACCACCGGGTTATTAGCCGCATCAGTATCGATACTCAAATCAGCAGGTTTTCGAGTCTGATGAGTCGGCCGGCTTATTGGGAAAGGATCATCATTCTGTTGTACTATCTGGAATTTGCGCCTATTGACTTCCCGCCCTCTTCCATCTTGACGCTCCGGAGTCTCTAGAGGAACCCTCTGAAGCCAATCCTCGCAATATGTCAAGTTCTCCGGCACCCAGCTGGCTGCACTCGATACCGTGGTTGTTCTCGACCGCTTGTGGTTCTTGGCCGACGAGGTCGGCGGAGACTTGATCTCGTTGAGCTGTTGCATCTGTGGCGTCGAGGTCGGGTTGCGCATTTCTTGCGAAGAAAAACTAGGAGCCAACGTTTGCGTCGGAACTTCCTCAGGTATTTCGGTCTGACAAAAATTTCCGGCCACGATATCAACAGGCGGTGTCGTTTCACGAACGACTTCTGTTGTACAGAATTCGCATTTCTGGGTTGCCATATAGCACAAGCATTTAGGAACTGGAAGCGGCTTGTCCTTGAAATGGAAGTCCCTTCGTGCAGTATTGAGCTTAGATGTAAGTCTAGATTCGGACAACGTGGGACTAGGTAGAAGCCCAAATGTCTCCAAAGCACCCGCGACCAGGTTCTGGTCTGATCTGCAGGTGCGCAAAGGAGGAAGGCCGATTGGCGACTGAAGACTTCGAGGTTGTGATTTGTCTTCTTTGGCTTCTCGGTTCGAAAGCGAGCTTGACATCAGGTTATTTTCAAAGGAGGGTGAGTGAGGAAGCTTTAGTTGAAAAGGTTCTTTCATCTGACGAACAGAACGGAACGGCGACACGGTAACAGGGGCCTTTTCCAAAGTTCGTCGAGATGGGGCAGGTAATTGTTCGTGAGATTCAGAGCGGCTCATACCAGTAGAAAGGAATGACAATGACCCGTGAGAACGACTCGGCCGTGATGGTGGTTGTGAATAGATTGATGAAGGAGAGAGAGGATATACACTGTCAGGGATGTAAGTCTGATTGAAGTGCATGGTTCCATGGCCATAACTGTGAGGATGAGTGAACGAATGACCCATGATGGGCAACTCGACCTCCACAGAGGGCATATTCAAGGCCGCGTTAGTGACACAGCAACAGTAAAAGAAACAAGGTAGAGAGGTTAGCAAATAAAGAGTGACTTGGATGAATAGTCCAGCCCGGGGCAAAAATGCAACTCAAATTCCTTCACGATGGACATGGAAAGAGGGATATCAAATGTCCTTATACTTTCCCAGGGACGCCTCCCCCTTGACTGTCCCGTTCCTGTGAAAAAAGGCCGGACTCGGAAACATTGGGTGCAGGTGGGATGCCATGCTCTCTGGACAACGAGCAGAAGGGTATCTCCAGAGTGATCGGATCATAATTTCCTTGCATATTTGCAGAAAGTCCAACGAGGCAACGAGCCGGTCATTGGCCCTGATGACCAGTCAGGCGGGGCGGACCGTCTTACAGTGGCTGCTCCAGAGTTCGAAAGTTCGAAATAGGTGTTCAAATATGTCGGTTAGTAATAATCAGGGAGGATAAATGACGGCACGAAGCTAAAGTAAGCGTCCCAACGAAGGAAGGGGTGTGCATTAGGGAAGATTGCAGTCGAACAGAGCAAATGAGGAGGCGCGGGTAGAACTACTAGAGCCATCCCTTGCTTCGCGGGCCGGGTTGGACCATCATGCTTCTTTGTGGCAACTCACAAAACTGTAGGCAGTGCTACGGTCTGTCTTTTATTATGTATCAGGACCTGCAGATTAGACACATACCAGACAGACGACAAGTTCCATTCTACGTTGGACGTGTCGGTCTGTTGGTCAACGTGGTGGAAGTATGCATATAACTTTGTTTAGCAGGTATTCAGTCTGTCGCGAGTACAAAGAGATGGTAAAGCGTCTTAGCATCATGTAGAATGATGCGTAGATTCGAATATATCAATGTTTGTTTTGGAGTGAGATGAGTGGGGGCGTGCTTTGACTAGGTTCATGAGATCTGGATGGATCGCTGGGAATCCGGAAGTCGAAAGGAACATAGATAAACTATATTAGTGCGACGTAAAGAGTAATACCAAGATACAAAACCTCAATAGTCACAAATCCAGATCGCAAGTATGAATATTATATTGTTGCAGTGGGGCAATCCAATGCTGTTGGCTGTGCTTTCAGCCTTCGATGACGGACTGCGACCTGTACAGAAACTAAAAGCCTTCGTGTAAATTCTCCTGCTCAAGCCTCGGGCTAGTTCGGAACTAAGGAACTAAGCATGTATATCTTGCATCCGGCGATGCGGTTTAGGTTTGAGACAGTCGATGGCGATTTGAGAAGGTTTTGGATATATCAAAAAGATGAAAGAAGATTTGGAGTTGAGTCAGTCTGGATGTGATTGGCCAATTCGAGACAAGGGTTAGCGGTGGATACCTCAGGCAGCCACAGAACAAACCTTGCAAACACCCCGTTATCGCGTCTCTTATCGCCGTCCCTCAGAAAAATTATCGCAAGCTTTGGTCCAGCTTCACTCGACATTGCACATTGCAGCTGCACACGTCTCAACGCAATGCTGTCAGAAACTCTCATAGCCTCCTTGATAGGCTCAACAAAAGTCCAAACGTCGTCTACCCTCAAAGACGCCGGAATATGTCTGCAGGATTTGCAGCCTACTTCCGCTCTCCGCACCACATTCAAAAAGAGCTCCACTCCTCCTAACGGTCTCGCTGTCACCCCGACTCATATATTCGCTGCGCAAGTCGATAAGTCTGTAATTCATGTATATAACCGACAAAAGGGAAATCAAGAAGCGGCTGTTCCGTTTCCCGAACGAATTCGTAGTCTGGCCGTGGCTGGTGGACACAATGGCGAGGTCTTGATTTTAGGCACAGACGGCGGACGATTGATTCTGTGGGAGGTACGTTTTTTTTTCTCTTATCGGATAGTATCAAGCGTCAGGCTGATTCTTTTATAGACATGTACCGGACGTCAAGTGTCGACCACTCCCTCTCACCTCCAACCCGTGACCTCACTCGTTGTTGATCCCACATCTAATTTCATTCTTTCTGGCTCCGCCGACGCCAACGTCCACATATGGTCCATCCCACAACTGTTATCTTTTTCGCGGCCAGTATCGACAGGACAAGATCAAAAAGCTCCGAACTCTCCTATACGAACATTTGGCAATCATAGAACGGCAATCACAGCGCTTGCTGTTGGACATGGCACGGGGCGCAGTAATATCGCTATATCCGCAGCTCAGGATAGCACGGCAGTAATTTGGGAATATACAACCGGAAAGGTTTTACGTACGTTTTTGTTACCGTCTGTAGCAATATCTGTTACGCTTGACCCAGCGGATCGAGCATGTTATATCGGCTACGAGTCCGGCAACGTTCAACGAATCGACTTTTACGAAACAACCTCAGCACAGCACCCTCTATATGACCAGCGACTTCAGAACACCCCATCACAGTTGAATGCGGACCAACAATGGACAGTTCCGTCAGCAGATAAGGGTGCCGCAACTACCCTAGCTTTATCTTATGATGGCATGACTTTGTACTCGGGGCATCCGAACGGCTCTATTTTGGCATGGGACGTGGCGCGCGCCAAATTCTCGACGACTATAGCTGATTATATGAGCCCGGTGACCAATATACATATGCTTCTTCCTTCGGGGTTCCCTACCCAAACATTTAATGACTCCTCTCGGTTTACGATCCCAGTCATTATCAAACCACGATACGAACCAAACATATCAGACAGGTCTGTTGGGGATGGTTCAATTCCGTACAGCTACTCCCTGAATGTTCAACTTGTTTCACCAGCTATCAAGTCGGATATTTTCTCCGAAGCCCTGACACATCCTGTTTTCCCAACGTCTCTACTAGAGGAAGGCCTTGCCGAGCTAGCAGCTCTTAAGGATGGCCAAGCCGTATGTGAAGCTGCCCCGTCAAATGGCCGCTCAACCACATCAACTGCCATCGAATCCTCACAATTAACCGCCATGCAAGAAGAAATCGCAAACCTCAAAAAACAACTCTCAATCAACGAAGCCGCACGACGTGCAGACGCCGACGAAACCATGAAACTCAAAACAAACATACGTGAATTGCAAGAATCAAACACCAGATATCAACAATTGAAAACGAAATATGACAAGCTCAAAGTTGTGGCGCGCGCGGACAAGGAAGACCGTGCTCTCGAGCGGCGTAAAGCTTGGTTTGAGAGTGAAAAAGCCGGTAAAAATGGGGATGCGGCTTTACGGAAAGCTCGAGTGGCTGACAAGGACTCAGATGAGATGAGTGAATAGTTTTGGTCCGTACAAGCTATATACATTATATAACGGCGTTGGTGGTTGATGTGACTTAAAATATGTTTACATACTGGCGTCATGGATACGGTATCCACTTAGTTTCAAGTTGTCTTTAACAACTTGAAATAATTACGTTCTGTCTTTGTGATCATTCTTTAAATTTGAATACTTGACATCCACATGGCATTCTCGCAATTTCAATGTTTGAGTGTGATCAACATGGTATGTATGTCGTAAGTTACAATCCCGCTGTGCTAAGAATAGCCGTATTCTATCGTAAGAATACAGACCCACTCAGTCTTAGACTGGAGCCTCAGTCCCTGCGGCCTGAGCGGCTCAGCCTCCACAAAACAACTTAAACTTCATTCTCTCTCATCCACTTTATTGATCAAATAATCATCAACAAACGGAAAATCCATCAAAATGTCGGGGGAAAGTAAGACCAAGACGCCTTTCATTTCTGGCGGGCATATGCTTGACACGTAAGACGCCCCTTTCCGCATTTCACGACTTGCAACCGTTTCCGGCCAAGAAAGTCAAATCGAGACTCCAAGAACAACAAGCTATAGCACACTAGAATGCTGACGCGCTCCTTACTCATATAGGCCTCCCTTGTCGTCTCGTATAATCCGATGGATCGATAGAATTTATTTGTTCTTTGGGCTTTATCTTGTGACTTTGTTTGCGGTATGGACCCTTCCACTTCAACCTCAATTTGTCATGCGGAGTGATCTTGAGAAACACACTGTGATTGCATGGCAAAACTTCAATTCTTCCACCATTTTCCTGTAGTATCAAACAACTGACCAGCAATGTTTTCTATACAGCTCGACTCCTACGCCGCCGCGGATAAATCTTCGTTTAACATCACCTCATCCAGCAACCAAGCCTGGACCCGACCTCGCTGGGGCGGCAGCGCAGACCGAGGAAATAACAACGGCGGCGGTAGCGGTGGCAGCGGCGGAGGAAAACCGGATGATGGAGGTAGCGGGTTCGGCGGAAGAAGGGTTGGCCGGATTAGTGATTTCAACAATGGGCCGGTGTATAAATCGACTTGCTGTCAGTGATAGCTTTGCCATCGACTCCTAGAAGTCGGGGTTGATTGCAGAGTTTGTCAATTTGGGATATCGTTGTGGAGGTCAATATCCCATCCTGTGTACATATGTCACACTCTGCGGGGTGAAGGAAGTTTCAATGGGCAGTGCGATGGACTTTTATATTTTATCTTCCTTGTCAGATTATGTATATAGCACATGGTTGTTTATTCATGTGAAGGGCGGTTTTCTAAGGTTGAATGTGACCAAATTGATTCCATCACGTGGCACGCCTGAGGCAGAACGTGGGGAAGTCCAATCACAAGCTCAACCAGCTTGAAATCCAATGAAGTCACTCTGATGAAACTTTATAGGTTATTTCAACATCCAAAACATTCGAAGGAGAATAATCTCACATCTCCTTAATCAATCTAGTGAAAGTCACTACTCGGCCGGAGATATCAAATTCTTTTCTCTGAGCTATAACGCGGGGTATCCACCTTTTAAAAATCGCGAAACATAACTTCAAGCTACACTTTGGCATCAGTCTAGATCCTGAGATAAACAAAATGGCAACCAAACTAGAAACCCCCAAAACAGACATAGAATGGGCCGCATTCATCTCCACCATTAAAGATGATCTCCCCGAAACCCACACAGTCTACCACACCCCTCTGCCCCATGCAGTCGCCCACACAATCGACCACACCCAACTGTCCCCCTCCGCCACAACCAGCGATATTGACACTCTATGCGCTGAAGCCCGCGAGTACAAATTTGCCACAGTTTGCGTGCGACTACCACACGTGCCCCGTGCAGTCCACAATCTAGCAGACATCAAGAACGAGGTCGGCATAGCATGCGTCGTGGGTTTCCATGAGGGGACATACCCCACGGCCGAAAAAGCAGCAGAAGCCACCAAGGCAGTGGCCGAGGGCGCCACAGAATTAGATATGGTCCTCAATTGGCCTCTATTGAAACAAGGGAAATATACAGATGTATACAACGACATCCTCGCCGTGCGTCGCGCCGCACCGGCACCAAAGACGAAACTAAAAGTCATCCTCGAGACATCTCAACTGACTCGAGATGAAATCATAGCCGGTAGCGCGATCAGTGACATGGCAGGCGCGGATTACGTCAAGACATCTACGGGGTTTAATGGTGCGGGGGCGAGTATTGAGAATGTAAGGCTTATGAGAGAAGTTGTGGATCTGTTGGCCAATGGATGTAAAGTCAAGGCTTCAGGGGGTGTGAGGGCAGCGGAAGATGCGGTTGAAATCCTCAAAGCTGGTGCTGATAGGATTGGGGCTAGTGCTGGGGTGAAGATTGTGAAGGAACTGACGGGGAATGCGTTGCGGCCGAATGTGTCGACGCCTATTGCGGGGGATTATTGATTTCGTATTGAGATTCGCAGGGACGAAGATTGGCAATAGCATTCAGTTATCATCATATTCTTATGAAAGTGACCAGTTCATGAACTATGAGTGGACTGTAGGGACATTGCATGGTTACGCGTTTCGAGGTCAACGGTTAACCTGTCAACAGCCCCTTTCTAAAATCCTTCCATTCCTTCTCTTGCATGATTGGAATTTTACGTCAAGGGGTGAATATGCAATAGCTTGTTATATGCAAAATTTTGCCTGTGCATATGCACGTCTAATTCAATAATTTGCGTCCTTAATGGCAGGCAAGGGGTCCAAGTTAGGTTTGTTGCATGCTACATAAAGCTACGTCTCTGGCTGTTGCTGCCTTGTCGACTGGCACAACTATTAAGTTACATTACCTCTATCACTATATCTAATCTATAACGGTGTCGTTTGAACTGAGTTTGGGCGACACGTGAAGCCAGTCTTACAGATTGATTCTTTCCATATTGGGCTAACAAAAAAGGTGCTCCATAATCTTACGACGGAGACTGTTCTTGAGAGCTTATTATAAAGAATGCCTTGGTTCCAAAGTTTGATTGGAGAGATAAAAGTGCTCTGGTAGAAGACCTGATTCACCAGGCATTATAAAGACACTCAGGCGCCTAGGGAGTGATGCATAGGTAACAAGACAGCCATGTCCCTCGCAAACTCGTCTAGGTATGCGAACAGTATACCCTACCAAGGTCATATATCAAATCAAGATTGCCCTCGAGACTGGTACCTGCTGGCAACCCCTATGCTGTGTATTCTATTCTCTGTAATATGCAGGAAGCTGTAATTGCTACGCAGCATATTATCTACGCAAATTTCATATATGCATGCACGTTAGATCAATTATTTGCATCCTAGGCAATAGGCAAAGGGATAAAATTGATTGTTTGCATAATAGCTAGTACATAAAGTTTTAAAGTACATAGGAAAAGTACAATTAGATAAAGACTGGTTAAATACAGCCAATGCTAGTAGGCTGATCAATTTCAAGGTTGTATCCACGGGTCATTTGGGGGACCAAATACATTTTAGTGTCCATCTTTATCTCGACTGGTTGAAGCTGCTTCTGTCTGATCATCCTCTGTCTGAGGAGACGCGATTCATCCCACGTCACAAAGACAAGTGGTAGACCATGTATTTCTTTGTACTCGTACAGTATGTTTATTACTTCCTCGCTTTTCTCTTTTGTGTTATCCTCATGAAGTGCAGGTATTTAATAGATGACGCAGAACTGAAGACTTGGTGTCTCGTGGAGTAATTTGTCCAACGTTCCCATAGCCCGCTTCCAGTGAGACGTTATCAATCTCAAGCCGGTGAGTATGTTGATGTTTATTTTTGTTATTTCTTCCTCGGAGTTGAGTTCGAGCTGTAAGAACTGCTGAATCAGGCTGTTCACCGTCACCAACAGGCAGGCTTCAAGAGCTGTTTCCACCAAATTTAGAATTTTGTTAGAGGAACATTCAGAGATTTCATGTAGTGGTATTTCTAGGATACGGGAGATAATAGACGTGTTTCTGTTCCATGTAATCGGCAATCAAATCGAAAGAACAACGACAACGCAATGCGCCTGGTTAATGGCCATCCTGCGGTGAAATAGATAAATGTTGACATGGGGACATTACTTTTTCTGCGATTATGTCGGCGGAGACAATGTGTACAGGCATCTGGACATATAAGTCCCGGCCTTTAACGGTACCTAATCGACCCATGTCGTATCTGTGATATAAAAATTTGAGGGCGGATCTTGTTGCTCGCCGTAGGCATTCTTTTCACGGTAGATAGTATCTGAGATTTGAAGTTGATGGAATTTTTCCAAAGCTAGGTTTGTCTCCGCATTTTCCTGGAGTTGTTTACAACTTATGTGAGTAGCGAGTATAAAACTCTGTCATCTCATAAAACAGTGATATGAGTCACACTCAAATCGAACACTGAGCCAAAAAATTGTAATATGAAAGTACATTCCTAATCGGTGTTCGTCCGATCCTGGATTACAATGTACCTACAGATCCGGCGAAAAAAAAAGTCAACCTAGAAATAGTGATATACAAAGAATCCTTTAAGCCAGAAGAGTGGGTCAAAAGAGGAGACAATAGAGAACTAATAGTATGAAGGCCAAAGATCAGATATTTTACTGGGAGGAATTGATAGTCGCCAGATGCGGGTTTTATGATTTTCTATCACAAATCATAAAATGAGTTATAGAAAACCCCCCAATTGACTCCTGAGCGATATCTGAATTGTAGCACAGTAGTTTTAGGTAAGGAAAAAGAAGACTGAGGATCATACCACTCAGATAATGGGCTTATCACTCAATCATTCCTATCCTTTTCATTTTCTCATAGTCTAACTCTGTCACAGCTACGCCAACCCTACCTATATATTTAGGAAGGAGCCGCGATTGACCGGACGTAGTAAAAAAAATCTGCCGTGGAATGGCTTGAGTTTGAGAAAAAAGCACATCTAAGAATGCCTTGCACTTGTCCGAGGTGTCGGATTCCAGATCAATCAAACCAGAAATGTTGCAGTAGAGTGGATTTGGTGCACTATCGAGTAATGTTGCAAAGATCCTCAGTGCCGTATCCCAGTGCTTTATATCCCCATTCAGTTCCATGAGTTCAGACTCATCTACTTGAGTCTGCTCATAACCTGGAGGTCTGAACTGCAAAAGTTGCAATATTAGGCTGTACACCATCGCCAGAATCCCTGCTTCCCGTAATGTGCCCTCAAAATTGGGAACTATTGACTTCCTTGGAATTGTGCAGATACAAGAGATGAAAGGTGCTTTTGCTTGTTTCAGTATCTGCACGAATCTCATGGCGACTGATAGGGCAGTCGTTTGCATGCCACACTCGTAGGGTGCCTCAATCCAAAGAGCGTGCGGCGGAGCTGCTGGGTTTTGTAGCTATGGCCGTATCTTTCCAATAATATCGGTGTCCAAGGGAATAGATCCCACATCGATAGCCAGCTGGATGTCGTCACTGACGCCAACCTGGTCGACAAATTGAGCGAGTCGTGCACAAAGGGTTTCTGCTTCTCTTCTATGAATAAGCTCACTACTATTCACAGCTTCTTGGTTCATTGTTGTCTTTGCGGTATTGTCGTTTTCAAGTCTTTGGTGTTTCTCAGAAGTATCCATGATCAATTTCTTCTCAAAGACTGCGACTTCGGTAAGTATTTGGATCCATCATGTGCTGATTCATCAACTTGAGTCAAAGAATGACTCACATAGATGTGTTAAATTTTCGTCGAGCAAGTTGCTCATGTATTGGCCGAGACGTTGTGCTTGTATTTTGAGCTCCATCTTATTCTCGACGATGCCTTGCGCCATGAGGGTTTGGCCGTACTCAGTCATAATATCCAAAGATGTGCTGATGTCCTCGAATGCGTTTTTATATCTCAATGCACAATGACTGTTGAACGAGTCGAGAAATCTTGAATGCCAAGGCTTCATGTACCAGCAGGCAACCTCTGTAAAGAAGTCGAAAAAGGAGGCGTAGATGCTTGAGAGATGTTTCCGCCCTTCTGGCATAATAAACGCGCTGGCCCTAAGCAGGTCTAGGTGTATTAAGTTATCAGATGCTCAGATCTTCACTTGTTTTAGTATTAAGAATCAACTATTCTACTGTATCGTTCATCTAAAGCGGACGATTTAGTTTCGGGGCATGGGGCAGAACTGGATCCAGGAGACTGGCATTATTGTATGCTCATGAAAATTACCTCGCATCAGCAAGAAACCAGACTCTCCATTAATGTTTTCTCCCGCTCATAGAGTGCATGGTCTATGTCAAAATGATCTTTCACTTTCACGTACTGATGAAGAAGGCGAGATTCACCAGATGTCGTAAACACAAACCATGTATTTTCAGCTTTAGCGTCGTCAAAGAGAACATTGAGTAACTGCTCGCATTTTTTTCACAGTCCCCCCGTCACTCAAGCCTCGCCTTCCAAGTCATTCAAAGCCGAGATCAGGCAGTAGACGACTTCCGTTTGTCCATATATCTTTTCCAAGACCTTCAATGCTTGATCCCAGTGTGCAATGTCCTCTCCCAGCTTTTTGAGCTCGTTCATATTCAGATGAACTTCTTCTCCAGATTTAATTTCCAAGAGCTGTAGAATTAGGCTATAGACTATACCCAAAAGACCGGCTTCCGTCCTTGTTCCCTTGAATTCAGGCATACTTCCAAGCTGTGGTACTTCGCAGATATGAGCAATGCAAGGCTTTGTCATGCTATGATTTTCCGTGAACATTTCTACCGCTGTGTAGAGGAATGTGCGCTCAATGAATTGTGCATTCAGGATTTCTCCATGTCCGTAAATCGAGTAAGCCCAAATCCTGTGATGATCTCTTCTTTCATTCTTCACCCACGATGCTATCTTGCGCTCAAAAATAAAGCTGATTTCTGCCGCTTCTCTGGTATTTGGGATTGTCACACTGTCACTAGTATCCATATCCTCGACAAACGCTCTGAGAGGAGTGCAGTAATCTAATGCTTGAGATCCTGAGATCGTAGTTGATTCGTTGGCCATTGTAGTAGTTTCGGTTTGGCTTGTTCGTTTTTATGAAGGATGTTATGAGTAGCAGTTGTTGATTCATCCTCTTGTTGAAACCGACGCTTAAACAAGTATGCTCCCCATTATTCAATAATTTAATGAGTCAAAGTCTGACTCAGAAATTGACTGATATGAGGGAATAAATGACTTCTCGGCAAGATGAAATAGTCATTTCATCTAATGTGAGAAAGTAACAGCTGTACTGTACAGTCATGGACTAACATTATTCCTTAATATAGCCTTCTATCGAGTCAACAGCAACGTCTCGCTCCAAATCCCATCTAAAACGACACAATTTCTAGACTTCGCAGAGATTGTTTCACATACATGACTCGTTCGAGTAGGAACAGAGAAGAAGAAGCCTAGAAAGAGGATAATTCTAAGTCCCATAAGCAAAGTGTGCCATAAAAACCATACACAATCAAACTGCAACATAAGTTTCAATCAGATTTTGTAAGAGCCGTATACAGAGCCTTAAATTCCGAATCCTCCTCAAGAAGCTTCTTCGGACTATCCGATTCGATCAATTCCCCATTTTTCAAGAGCACCACCCGGTCAAACCGATTAATATACCTAAGTCGATGAACAACTGCGATGACTGTCTGCGTCGAAAATTCCCTTTCGATTACATTTTGCATGATAGCTTCGGTTTCCCAGTCCACACTTGTAAACAATCCTGTTAGTGACAAATACCAACACGGTATCTAGGTATGACAGATATTTCATACCTGCTCGTAGCTTCATCCAACACCAAAATCGAGCTCTTAACCGTCAAAGCCCTCGCAAGAGTCATCAATTGTCTCTCTCCAACTGACCAATCCGACGCCACGAGCGCCATCTCCAATCCCCCATTAATACTAATCCGTTTCCACAGTCCGACCTTGTCAAGCGCCGACTCCATCGATTCATCAGATACCCTTTCCCCACTAGGATCCATATTGAACCGCACAGTTCCTGGCATGAAAAAGGGGTCCTGTGGAATTACGTTGATTCGGGAACGGATATTTGCACATTCGATTGTGGAGAGATCTCTGCCGTCGATTTCGATGTGGCCGGATTGTGTATCGATCATTTGGAGGAGAGCCATTATCAGAGAAGTCTTTCCGCTGCCGGATGGCCCGCAGATTGCTACTTTTTCGCCGGCGTTGATCTTGAGGGAGAGGGTTTTGAGGGCCGGTGGTAATTCGGGGCTATTTCAAGATTGCGACATTAGTCATTACAAGCTTCGGGCTGACAAGAAAAAAATGAAACAAACCTGTAGGTTGCAACTACTTCCTCAAACGTAATGGCACCTTGAGAAGGCCAGTCCTGTCCCGGGGTCCATTGAGCATCCAAATGACGCTCCTCGGACGGCGTACCAGTAACAAAATTCTTGATACGCGAGACCGCCCCAATCGAAGTCTCCAACTGCGTCCACGACCTTATACAAAACCTGAGATACGCTCCAAATGACAACACCAGATTGAGCGCAACACCCACCGATCCAGGACTAAACTTATCCTTCAGCGACGTCGTAGTCGCCATCAGAATCACCGCCATAGCGCCCACCATCAGATCCAGGACAATGGTGAGCCACTGCTGGATACACATCAGCATATAAAACGGCTTTTGAGAATGGTTGAGTTTCCGCTCGCATTCGTCCTGAAAATTAGATTCCCAGCCGTATGCTCGGACGGTTGCTATGCCGTTGATCGTCTCAATGAAGTGTGTATACAAGGGTGATTTGGCTTCGATATCTAGTAACCGGACCTGACGCGAGGTGCGGAGGTAGTAGAGCTGCAGGAAGAATACGGATAGACCCAGAAAGGGGACTGTGATGGCAAGGTATTTTCCTGCGATGCACAGGATGACTAGGCTGAATATTGACATTGATAGATCTGGAAAGGAGAATCATGAATGAGTATATTGCTCGGAGGAAGTACGCATTTAGGAGTCAGTGAAACATACTTGATGCAAAATTGATGGCTGCAATAGGTAGTTCCATATCGATGAGGTTTATGTCCTGACTAAATCTATACAGCTTTTAGTGCTGACGCATACATCGAGATTCGAGGTCGGAGGTCATACCGATTGGTGATTGTTCCTGTGTCTGTCTTTTGGAAAAAGCTAAATGGTGCACTGAAAGATGGGCATAAAGTTAGCTCCTCTCATTTTTGGGCGGCTTTCTTTTCAAGGAGGACTTGCCCAAGCGTTGTGCGCAGAAGATCCGAGTGCATCCCCAATCCCGTATTATTGATTATATCAACGAAGAGTAACCTGTTCCCTTCTTCGTGAGCATGTATATCCACAAACTTGAAACAGGAATAAACACTCACTTGCACGCGCATACGATACCCATAAAGTCAAGCACAAATATTGTCGCATAGACTCCAAGATAATACGCGAGCCTTCCATTTGGTCGAGTCTCGTTCGCATCTGACCACCATTGGAGCCAGAGAGCTAGAAATTATTATTAGCAAGAAGTTACCACGAACACAAAGAAGAAACGAAGGTCGAACTCACTAGCAAAGTTACTGAAAAATCCCATAACCAAAAGACTGAAAACAAACAGAGCCGTTGTCTTGTATCCGGCACTTTTGACGTAATATTTGTAAACATCCCAGGATCCATTACGTCTCAATAGATTTTGTTTCTTGATGATTAGTGCTTCCTCTGGATTGTCGATGCTGATTTTTGTAGTATGGTTATCTATGCTATCATTCTCTACCTCGGGATTTTTGTCTTCGAACAAAGTTGATTGCTTGTGGCTCGATATCATGGATTTCGTTGCCATTTCGGGATTTTCAGCAAGGATTTTCCGATAGGGACCGTCATTCACAATGACTCCCTTATTCAGAGCAATGATCCTATCGGCGTATTGCAGCATCCGTTCTGTATGCTATGTTAGTCTTTAATGCGGGAGAAAGAGGTTTCAAGACCACTCACGGGTGTGCGTTGCCAGAATTACTGACGTTCCAGTCTTTCGGAAATGACCATTCTGGCCGAAGAGGCGAGTAGATATGAGGGTGGTGCTGTGCGAGTCAAGCCCACTGAATACATCATCAAGAATCACAACCGGGAGTCTGGAATATACGGCGCGTGCAAGCGCCTAGGGAATCGATTGACCATAGTGTCAGCATGGAATCCAGCGTATATCAGTTTCAACTCCCTTTATGACTACTTACAATTCTTTGTTTCTGCCCACCGCTGAGAGAAACACCATTACTCCCAGTCAGGGAATTGTCACCTCCGGGTATTGTCTTCAGATCATCCTCAAGAGCACAAGCCCAGATGGTGAAATCGTACCATTTCTGATCGATATCCTCTGAAGCATTCGTGATATTGAACTTGATTGTGTTGTTGATAATCCAAGGCTTTTGAGAGCAGTACGCCACATGAGTCAATGGTGCTGTAGTCGTTCCGTCCTTCAAGTATGTCTCGCCAATGATACTTTCGAGCAAGGCTGACTTACCACAGCCCACGGGACCAATAATCATGGTTATATTTTTGCCAATATCAAGAGACAAATTGCTTAGTACAGTTTCGGTTTCGGGTGACCATGAGATATTCGCATTCCTGAATGTGAACAGGCAAGTATCATTACTTGCACCTGTATTGCGAATGGAAAGCTCGGCATCATTTGGATGGGAATCAAGGTGAGGAAAGTCCTGATCATCCGGCACCGTGGCAGGCTTAATAAGACAGTACTCCTCGATTCGTTGAAAACTGCCTAATGATCGTAGTAGGTTAGGCAGGGACTGAATGAACGTGAGCAACGGGATCGTGAAGATCGATATCAATGACAGAGCGGTAAAAGCTCTAGAAGCCAAGAGTGTCTCGTCTTTCTTCACAGATGCTATAATCGCGTAGACGACAAAGGTCGCAAACGGAGCAAAGTCGAGAGGTACGTTTGCTATGTAGATAAAGGAAGAGATTAGTTGAAGCCTTCGACAACAATGTTTCTGATGTTAGCCTACATATGGCGACCTGGAGCAGGATCAATTTCCGCAACTTTGTCGATGTCTTCAATTCGACTTTTCGCAGAGTTGAGATAATTGAGTTTAGCACGTCGGGTAGGCCGAGCATCTTCACGGCTTTCATGTCACCCAGCACGCTTGACGTAACTGCTAGCCGCTTCTCGATTTGCTGAACCCACGCTTTTTGAGCACCTGCGGATCGAGTGGATACAGGTCCTGCTGCTACGCAACATACTGCCAATACGAAAATGATCAGTTACTTAAGAGTCATGGAAAGGGAGAGCGTATTGCTTGGGCTGAGACGAGCTTACCGACACAGATCACAGCAGGAACAACACAAGCAGCGAAAATCTGACGCTCCAGAAGCCACAATGCAACTCCCACCTCCAGAAGTGAAGCCCACGTTTCATGGATTACTTTAATACTGCTCACTATCACTTCTACATCAGTCCCGTGCAGGGTGATGGCCTCATTGTCTTTCATGCTGCTAGCTTTAAGAATAGTCGTTTGTCGATATATCATTGATACAAGACCTGCTCGCGTCATCGTAGCGAGACGAAATGTCTGGCGCCAGTAGACCGCATTTGATACCTTTTTACATGTCAGGATGAGACAGCTTTGGGCACCCAAACTAAGGGAAACGTACAATGAGACCCAGATAAACCAGTGCATAAGCGCCCACCAGTGCTTGACCATATTTCTTGGACTCGGGTGTTGTGGTTGTAGTAGACATAAAGTTCACGGTAGCATTGATAAGAAAGGGCTGACAGAATGTGAACACAGAAGCACATAGCCTCGGTCCAATTCCAGATAATAAAGGCCACATGTATGCATCAACTGTGGCCTTGAGTAATCGACGGCGACCTTTAGTCCGTTGCCAGCTAGCATCCAGTCTCTTCTCTGCGGGGTGACCCTGAAGAGCTTGATCGACCTCGGGAAGGTCTTCGACATTGAATACTGTGGAATATCCCAAACGGAAAATGGGAAGAACCCATACAAAGAAGCTCCGGCCCCAGAACCCTATCAATTGTTCTCTAGTAAGGCTGCGGTATACAGGGCGTAAGAGCTTGGTTTTGATGACAGATTCTAAAAAAAGGGTTAGGACGGTCAGTACATAGACAGCTGTCCATAACCCTCGACATGCTGGAGCAGATGGAATAAGCCATAGTGAACGCAGTCGAGCTATGCCAAGAATACTAGAGACTGAAAAGTAGATAACGATGAGATCAGATGGTTCGACGGAGCGCTGGTCTTCCATAAAAGAGAGCAAGGCTGCGGCGAATATGGCAAGGATATTGAGCACTCCGGACGTTGTCGAGAGTCGAGTATGGAGCGAAGCTGTCCGTATCTGCGCTGCTGTATATGCGACATGGAGGATGAAAAGTATCGCCAGAAGTCCCTTCAGACCGCACCAGTTACTCGGATTTGAAACACAAAATGACACAGGCTCATCTCACCAATTTGTAAATCGCTAGTTTGTATGATATCAATTTAATAGGCGCAGTCCGAAGATACTGCAGCCTCGAGGCCACAAGCAACAGAAACAGCGCAGCGGGCAAAACACTAAAGAAGGCATCTTCAAACAAGAGGGTAAAATCGAACAAGCGACAAGCTACGTTGACACGAGGACCGAATCGATTATCGCTGCCAAAGGGGCATGCCGAAGCAGTCGCCATCATTTTGGGACGTCTAAGAGAATATCCAGAACCGTCAATTCAATTGTGCGACTATTCAGAGCGCTCTTTATCTTGACTTTGCGGGGTTCGCGGATTGTCAGCACTAAGTCAGCGCCAGCCAGGCAGCAGAGATAGCTGCCTTGTTTGTGATTTTGTTAGTATGATTTTATTACAGGGATTCGATGATACAATATCGTCTTAACTACCTATTTTTTCCTGGTTACTGAGCTGGTATTTCCAATTTTGTACGGACAGCCCTAATTTCCAATCAAGGAGCTGTTCAATGTATGCACACTAAGTACCTACGCAGCTTAGAAATGGTTGCCGTTGATTTTGACAAGCTTCATATATCTAGCCGCTCTGTACTGCAAATTATATCGGGATGCGAGATATAGATCTTCAGTGTTAACAGTAAGATGTGGTATCTCAATTCATCTAGCAAACAATGCGCCATCCATGCAATCTATATATACAACTTCTATAACCAAGTGCCAAATCTAGTCCTGCTTCTTGGGCTCATCACTCAGAAAATCCCCATCGACACCCAAATCATCCAGTCCCCTAAATCCATCCTCGACAACCCATTTCTGATCCTCCGGCGAGTGCAAGACATGACAGCTTGCACCCACAATCAGCAGGCCAGGAGGCCTGGACCCTTCGCACTCCACAGCCTGACACACATGTTCCAACGTCGTGCGAATGATTCTTTGATCAGGACACGATGCCCTCTCCACGACAGCGCAGGGCGTACTCTTCGGCCACAGCATCCTCTTGCTTTCTTCCTCCGAGGGTGGTGTTGAGGTCAGACTAACCACCAGATCACTCAGTCTATGCAACGCCATCAAGAACACGACAGTCTGCGTGGGAACATAAGTCGGTGGTTCGGGTGCAGCGCCCTTTCGGCCTGTGCCAGTGCATACGAGAACTTGATCTGCGACACCGCGATGCGTAGCTGGGATATCGGCAAACAGTGGCGCGCTCAGTGCACTTGTGATACCAGGTAGAACTGTAGGGATGTATCCCTTTTCGCGGAAGAAGGTGAATTCTTCGCCGCCGCGGCCGTATAGGTACGGATCACCCTGTTTTAATCTCAGAACGTATTTGCCTTCTCGAATAGATTTCAGCCCCATTTGTAAGAACTCTTCTTGTGCCTGGTCTGCGTTTCCAGGAAATTTCCGCGCGATATGAACTTCTGTTCGTCTAGGAATGAGCTCAAGTACCGGAGCAGGCACAAGTTTGTCAGCGAGAATAATATCCGCATTCTTGATAGCGTTGTACGTTGCGCGGGTGAGCAAATCAGGATGTCCCGGCCCCGATCCCGCGAGAACAATTTTGCCTCTCTTTGTGCTAGTCTCGCCATTTGTGACTGCCCCAATATCAGAGTCACTGGATCTATCGCGCGAGTATGCCGTGAGGATAGAATCAATATCCGAATCCGAAATCGACGCTAACCGTTGTAAAGGCCAATACTCGCAAATCTGGGCCAGCCATCTCATCCTTCTCGTTTTTGCGGTTTGCTCATCTTCAGCTGTGACAAGTTTATTGAATGTGTGACTCTGAGTCGCGACGTCCTCGTCTTCATCATCCAGTTTGTGTTCGGATGATTGTTGTTGGTGGTCTTCCTCCCATAATCGTCGTCGCAATGTACCCAAGCGGTCAATTGCAGGTCCTAGATTAGCGGGCAGCGAAGAAGAGATCTCGCGCCTGAGGCGTGAGGCGAGCTTACATCCTCGGCCGGACGTTGTGATGCCAATGTGTAGTGGGCCGTCGGAGTATGTGGATAGTATTGTGAAGGAGCATAGATCGGGGGCATCGGTCACATTGACCGGGATTCGCATTCGTTTGCAGAGTTGGGATATGCGTGTGTCTGACCAGTCAGTCTTCACTCCCTGCAAGAGCTCCAGAGAAATTATGCATACTGAGATTATGGTCACCACCCGTAACAAAAACCGCATCAACAACATAATCAACCTCCTCTCGACCCAACGTCTTCAAATCCTCATCCCGAAACTCCCTCTGTATCCATTGTACTTGCTCTTTCTCTATGCAATCCTTGAGCGAAAAGTGTACACCACTGGTCTCTGGAGCAATCACAATAGGTCGTGCGCCGGATTGTAGACTCTTGGTACAGCGGGCTGCGGCCAGCGAGTTTGTGCCGATGATGAGGTGGATTTGCGAGGTTGCATTTATAGCGATGAGCATTGGTGATGTGTCTGTTGGATTCTGCATTTTGCCAGAGCCCACCACATCGTGGTCGAATAGAATATGTCGGACTGACTCACACTATTCGAACCCTATGCATATCAAATGTCGCGAAACTTTTTTGGCGGGGTATATAGATCGTTCAAAGGACTCAAACAATTGCAACAACGCTCAATTCGCACACTCAGAACGTCTAGGAGAAAGCCGATAATATATTATAATGTATAACAATCAAAATAAGAAAAAAAATAAACCCTGAAGCTCAAGAGTCATGAGAAGAAATCAATTCTGTATATCCACGGAGAATGCGCCGATAAGAGGGCCGGCCAATTTTTACTGGCGCTGAATGGCGTGCTCGGCTTATCTGATCAATGACCAATGGCCGGTAATGGAATGACAAGCAGATCCGCGGAGTTGTACCTCCGTCGCTGTATGTAATTTATTGTGTACTGTATTTGTACTGTATGTGTGTATTTGTGTATGTAATTACATATCGTTCATTGCTTGCTAAAGAACAGTATTTAAAAAGAAAATATCTAAAGGATACACATAAAATCMCTCCAGCCACGTCTTGACAGCAGTCTTCAACGCCTCATCCAGCCACTCCTCCTTGATCGAAGCATCCTGATCAAACCCATGCGGTCCAGGCCTCAACGCTAGAACAATCTTGTCTCCGCCCTGTCTGCCCCTCAACGCATCTTTGGCCTTTTCCACAAACCGCTCACTAGCCTTCGCCAACACAATATCATCATCAACACCATGCAGAATCACCAAGCCACCCCGTGGCAGTCTTGCGTCCGGCTTTTCGAGTCGAGCAAGCTGATACAATCTGTCCCGAGTGGGTGAATTCTCTGAATCACGGATATAGAATTTGAATCCGGCTTGGTTTGCGCTGATGGCCGCGCCGATTTGCAGTCGTTGAAGGTCAAGGTCGGAGGAGGATACTTGGCCTGGTTTGATATTTGAGACGTATTCGTCGATGAATGTAGCCGGGACTTCGGGAACGAATGCGCTTCGCTTTGTGGGTAATAGAGGGGGGTTGTCCCATCCGATGGCGGGATAGGCAGCTGTTCCAGCGCGGATGTCGTCCGGGTGAGACAGGATAAGGTAGATGCTCAGTAAGCCGCCCGCTGAGTCGCCCGATGTGATGATTCGGTCGAGGTCAAGTTCTACTTCAACCTCTTTTTGTGTCCGTAGAAGTGTCGCGAGATCCTGTGAGTGCAACCATGTCCAAAAATCATCAACATCGTCTAGAATATCAAGGCCGGTGACTTCGGGAAGAAAGCGATAGTTGGCGGAGACAATGACTGCGTTATATGTCTCTGCGAGCTCGAGCACCCAAACGGGAAACCAGTCTTCGTAAAGGGATTCCCCCCGTACCTGTCCTTGTTAGCATGTGTAACAGACCCTCAACTGGGGTAAACTTACTAAACCACCGCCGTGGAATCGAGCAATGACGGGTGCTTTACCTGCTGGGAGGGATTTTGGAATGATCAAGTCGGCGCGAATCTCATGTCCATCTACGACTTTGTAGTTGGCTTGGAGGATGTTGAAGTTGGCGAACTTGCTTCCGTAGTTGGAGCCGGGTACCACTTTTGTTGCCATTATGCTGTGATGCGACTTTGCTTGAGTGATCACCGAGACTATGATATTCACTTGGTCAATAGAATTGGAGAATATTGTTTCTCTTTAGATTTGCTGATATGAGAGAGGTTTTTGGCGATCGAATTTGTCCATCTATCGCGAGGACCAGGACAGCTTTTATACCCATCCTGACACAGCATCTGACCAACCACCCAACCAACCAACCAACCAACCTGACACGGCAACTTAATCGAGGCGCTTTCCCAACTCGATTTGATGACTCGAAAGATGCAGATTGCACAATTTGTTTAATATATTCTGTTTGACTGGTGATACAAATTGAGGCCTATCTGCGAGGTTTCCAATGTTTGCATCTGTTGTTTACAGGCGGAGGGCCAATCAGAGCGAATGCAAACATGTTGGTAATTTGTGTTTGTCTCCGTATTTCCGCTCTTGTCCACCCCGCCCCGTATATCCGACTCAGTCAACACAAGCCCTAATCGTCCCCACCATTAAGTGCCTGCAATAGAGAAGAGCAACTGGTGATTGACGGAAATATCCGTTATATCTGTCAAATAAGCTTTTCTTTGTTATACGTTATATCTATTCCACCCGCCAGATCAATCAGCGTGTGTCTTGCTCTCGATCTAGCTTTAGCGCTGCTTCAACCAACACAGGGTCCTCTGCATGACGTACATCTATAAAATCGTAATTTGATAGAAATATGAGATTATCTTTCAGTCTACAAAAAATTCAACTCCTCTCGTTGTTCCGTATTTCAGATCACTTGAGGTACTTAAGATGATGTCTTCGGACCTATGAGGCACCCAGCCAATCAGAAGCCGCAGAGGCCAATATTAGCCCTAACATCCCCCCGACTATTTAGATAGAGACGAGGGTATGGATAAATCTTGCCGAGTAACAATTGGGTCAAAGACCAGTTTCCCTTCAACTTAGTACGCTGTCTGCTAAATCCGACTGGTCGACAGCCAGATCTATGATCGCCCTAGGCCTTTTGTGCCATTGGCGTGCTCTAGCGTTCCGAGATTGCGAAGGCTGCAGCATTATTTACATAGGAATGGTTGACGGACGTCAGTCTCAATTTGATAAACCACTACCTATATAAAATTGACTTCGTCTAGTCAAGTTCAAGTTATGCATATATTTGATAACGAATTTTGGAATCTGCCAAAAGAAATAAAAATTTCGCAATCGCAATGGTTTCACATAGCTCATTCGACCCTTTCTGGGGTCCGCCAACATGCAAGTCCAAGTATGTTCACCTCGATCTGTGAAATCAAAAAAAACCTGAGCTAATATATGATAGTTTCTGCGAAGAGGTAGTGATTGAAGCTCAAACTTCCAGTATTTGATCCACGTAGTTGGCACTGACCCGGATTCGTAGGACTACGCCATGACGAGATACATTGGCGAATTCGTCAATACCCTGACCAACCTTGTCTACAGTAAGATACACCCCTCGGGCCTACCACTTGCTTGGGAGCTGAATGCTAAGAAGCGTAGTCGTCTACGCCATCTATGGTATCCGCAGCCTTGGCCAGAAAAAAGATGCCAGCGCTTTCCGAGCCATTCCATATTGGGGCTTGATGGCTGTTGGAATATGTTCCGCTGCTTTTCATGGAAGTCTCAAGTACCATACTCAGATGAGTAAGCTCTCCCTCTCGGACTTAGGCAGAAGTTCGTCAGCTCACTCCATCCGACTGCCAAGTGGACGACCTGTCTATGCAACTCACGACGACGCCCGTCTTGCATCGTGTTCTGACCGTCAACTCAAGCCAGAAGATGTCAACAGCTGTGGCCATTCTGCTGGGAGTTCTGCTTGTATTATTTGCAGCCTTTCATGTGATTACTGATGAATTGGTTGTCCATTCTGCGAGTTTCGTGGTCTCGGTGACTATCATCGGGATACGTACGATGCAGCTAATAAAACTCCGGACAAAGCCAGGCTCGGCTGCTCGGAGGCAGATTTGGGGTATAGTCAAGTTTGGTGCTGGTATGTCTTTCCCTTCCATAATCCGTTAACATGTTAAACGCAAGACAGTGATATTCAACGTCGGATATATCGTCTGGCTGCTCGATGGTTGGGCATGCGAATTCTTGAAAAGCTCAAGAGCGGTAGTTGGACTTCCATGGGCGTTTTTGTTGGAGCTTCATGGATGGTATGTTCACATCTCTGACGATTCGATAATAATCGAGACTGACAAAACAGGTGGCATATTTGCACTGGTATTGGCGCTTATATCTTCATCGCCGTAGTAGATCATCTGGCTTCCGGTGAGGACCACCAGGACATCGACAAGTCATTTGCGTGGCCGGCACCATGGGCTTCTCGCTCACTCTTCGCTGGGAAAGAGAATGATGTGAATCGTAAGCAAAAGTAGGCAGTGATACGTTCTACTGTCCGTGAATCAGTCTGGTAAAGTCTCATAGTGATTAATCGATATTCGTTGTGAAGTATTTTTAATACAGAAATACACGAGTAGAGATACAATTATAGGTATACCCGTCTACGCCATCTATGGATATGGTAAAAGCCTGAAGGTCAAATAAAAAATGCACATGATAATCTCATGACAACATCCCTTCGATTCCTAGTCAGATCAATTTTTGATCTATTTACTATTTGCATACCGAGCAGTCTTTACATTATTAAAAGATCTAGCTCTTATAAGGCTTCGACAATTTACACAGAGCGTGCCATCCCAGAAATAAGCATGCCAAAATCTTGGGACTTTACTCCCTGCAAGCCTGCTCTCAGAAATCCAGGGTCAGCCTCAAACTTATCCTTCATGGAGATCAGCTCCTCGACATCCCAGTTCGCCCACACAAAACGCCCATGCAGGAACGCAGCTTTTTTCGTGGCAGCCCAAACGAAAAAATTGCCAGGCAGGCTCGCCTCGTCGAATGGAACCCCCAGGCTGTCTGCTTTGTAGCCATGTTTCATGTTTTCAGGAGTAAGGACAAAGCCGGGGTGCTAGAAGATGGCAGATATAAGAATTATCCCGTAATCTAAGATGGTTTTGATAGTTTACTTACGATGCTCAGGATCTGCACTTGTTCTACAGGGGTATTGGCTGCCAGATCTGACAGCATACGATTGAATGCAAGACGTGGGGAGCTTGCGGCCGTGTAATGAAGGGGAAGGCCGTGGAAATGAGTCGCGTTCGTAGACACGTATATAAGTGCCTATACTGTCAGTAACCACTCTAGGCATTAGCTAGTTGGCATGACATGAATTACCTTGCCTTCCTTAGCCCCCTGTCGCTGGAACCGGTCAACGTTCACTGATTGGTTTCTCACTCCGGACTCGAAAAATTTGAACAATCCGAACAAAGTTTGGTCAGCTAAAAAGCAAGTCAGCTCTGTTGACACACTGCTACAGATAGGCATGCCTACGCTCCGGGGAAGACGGAGTAAGATCCGTTGTATTCAACACTAGAACATCAATCTGAATACCGTCGAGTTCCAGCTGGTCCCAGAGTGCTTTCACCGAGTCGATATCTTTGATCTCATACTGGTACCCAACCACTTTGGTGCTGCCGTTCCCTGCAGTCTCAATCTCCTTGGCAACACTCTTCGCCTTCTCGGCAGACCTGGAGGTAATAACGACGGTGTCTGCACCCGCGGTGACGAAGGCTTCGGCAGCAGCTCGCCCAATGACTGCAGATCCGCCGGTAATGAGGATCTTGCGGCCAGCTTGTGATTGCTCCGGCGAAGCTGCATCTATAGCCGGGTAAACCTTTCGGTGGAGGGTTTTGGTGACTTCTGACATGGTGACAGTATGCAAGTTTGCTAGAGAAGGCTATTTGAGGTTATTCGGCGATTATGTTTAACACCTGGATGAATATTTACAGTTGTGAGATGCCTGCCTGTCAGCTGAAGCGATGGAGGAAGTATATAGCACCATCTTTCAGCTGATAGACCCACTATTGAGTCATGGTACTTTCGCAACCATTTTCTTAGCGAGGATAATTAATTAGTATCTGAGAGTAAGCCTAAATCGAGAATGGATTGCCGTAGTGAGTAAAGGTAGTCTGCTTACCCATTATGGAAGCTTGGACGCAATGAAGTCACGTGACCGAACATGATGTTACCGCCCAGCAGCTTCCATAGCTTGCCCGGCCAGACAGCTTCACCATCTCACCATCTACCTCCAACCTCTGGCGCGCCTGTTCCGCTTTCACATCCATCATTTTTAATTTAAATTCTACGAATCAGAAAATACATTCATCTCAATATACAACCAATAGTTGAGACGACGACAGATCGTCAGTCGTCATCATGTCCGGAGAACTGCTCAAGCCAGAGAAGGATTTCAGCAAGGATGCAGACAAGATAATTCCAGAGGCGCAAGAGCTTGCCAAGGTTTGATATTTGAGCTCTGAATAGTGCCCATATTCTAATGTCGATGACAGAGCAATGTTCAAGCGGCCATTGATAAGCTGTCCTTGTTAGAGAAGCAAGCTCGTCAGGTAAGCTTACGTTGTCAACAAGCACATTCGATGAAAGAAATGTACTAATTGATGAACGTCCAGGCATCCGACCTCGCAACCACCTCCCGAACCATCGTAGCCATCGTCACGATTAGCAAGGAGTCCGGCGACTGGAGCTTACTAAACGACCAAGTGCTGTTACTGTCGAAGAAACATGGCCAACTCAAGCAAGCAACAACGAAGATGGTGCAGAAGGTTATGGAATTTTTAGAAGATACACCCGATGAGGAAACAAAGTTGTCCGTGATTGAGACTCTACGCACCGTGACCGAAGGAAAGATCTTCGTCGAAGTCGAGAGAGCTCGCATCACCCGTTATCTATCACACATCAAGAAATCCCAGGGCGACCTCAACTCGGCCACCGATATTCTTTGCGAGCTTCAAGTCGAGACATTTGGCTCGATGTCCAGGAGAGAAAAGACGGAATTCATTCTCGAACAAGTCGCTTTGTGTATTGAGAAGGGCGACTGGACCCAGGCGGCTATCCTCAGCCGCAAGATCAATAAGCGCTACTTTGCGCGCAAACCCAAGAAGACACCTGAACAGTTGGAGAAGGAGCAGAAGGAATACGAGGAGCGAGTGAAGACCCGCGCTTCGGATGAGCCGATGCCGGAGAAGGATGAGTCTGTTGAGGATTTGAAGCTCCGTTATTACGAGCAGCAGATCATCCTTGCCAAGCATGACCACAACTATCTCGATACTTGCAAGCACTACCGAGATGTTCTCGATACTGAGTCGGTCGAAGAGGACGCTGAGCGGCTCAGAGCTGTGAGTTTTCTCCCTTCGAATGTTAGACAAAAACTAATTCTGTTCGTTTTTAGGTACTTGCACGAATCGTCTACTACGTTGTTCTCGCCCCATACGATAATGAGCAATCGGATCTGCTTCATCGCATACAACAGGATAGCCGTTTGTCGCAAGTGCCAACGGAAGCCCGTCTTTTGAAATTGTTTACTGTGCACGAATTAATGCGCTGGCCTGAAATCGCAGAGACCTTTGGCCCTCATCTTACTAGCACCGATGTCTTTGACAAGGAGCAGAACCCGAACGACGCCGATGCACACACACGATGGCAAGATCTGCGCAAGCGCGTGATTGAGCACAACGTGCGCGTTATTGCCAAGTACTACACACGCATCCAGACCAGCCGCTTGACGCAATTGCTAGACTTGACCGAGGACGAGACGGAGAAGTACATCAGCGACTTGGTAACGTCAAAGACTATCTACGCAAAGATTGATCGTCCGGCTCGTGTCATCAACTTTGCCAAGCCCCGTGATGCCGACGATGTCTTGAACGAATGGAGCGGCAACATGAGGAGTCTGCTGGGTCTGTTGGAGCGAATCGACCATTTGATCACCAAGGAGGAGATGATGGCTCGTATCCAGCCTACCAAGTCTGAGAAGGTGAAAGCATAGTCAAGTCAAGAGCCGCTTAGATAGATATGTATAGTACGGCGATGAATGCATCGATCTATTCTAATTTATCTATAATCTATTCTATATTAAAACGGCACATCCATATCCTCGACCCTCTCATCCTCTTCTTCTTTCTTTGCCTCTCCCTCCAACGACCTCTTGATAAACCCCACCGCAGCTTCAAGATACGTCCTCTGACTCGGCACAAAATGCCCACCGGGATGAAACACGACTTTCCCTTCACTCTCTGGATCCCCCGCACAAGCACCTATCAACTCTCTCGACCTCGCCTCTATCACAAGCGCATCCAATGTACCCATGACATGTAACACAGGCGTCGTAACAGGCCTCGAAACATCATACACCGCGCCCCATCTCGGATCCGCGGCTTTGAAGCCGCTATACACAATCGCAAATTTGAGCGGGGGATGATTTCCCGTGTTTTCGGGCAGAAATGACTCCGGAAATTCCACCCCATCACCTTTAGTGGCTGCAGCATCAAAAGACGCCTTTCTGTCAGCTTCCAGGAGACTGGCGACCATAAATGTAAGACAGGCACCCTGTGAAAACCCGACGACACCATCAAACGGCCCTTCTGTCTTGAGGAGAGCGGCAACACTCGCCAGTCCGTCTTCTAGACCTTTATAAGTCGGCGGTTCTGTAGCGGGTCTTCTGAACCATCCATACGCCTCGGTTTCTTCTTTATCATTGTCCGTGCCGTTGCCGTTGTTATAGCCGGGGACATCAAACGGGTTGAGGCGCAAAGGACCGGTCGGGTAGGAAAAGGAGACGCTGTGTAGGGGAAACGCTTTTGTGATTGCTTTTGTGAGGGCGCCTGTTTTGGCTCGGAAGAGAGTGCCGGATTGTGTGAAGCCGTGGAGCATGAGGATTTTGAGGGGGGGTTTGTTTGCTGTTGATGAGGGGGCCATAGTGGCAGGCTGTAGATATGAGCGTCTGTTGAGGGCGCAGTAGGTTGATGATGATGGTTTCGATATTTTCTTGAAAACGAGCGCTGTCTTGGAAGAGAGTCTGGTGTGGTATACGATTGTCATTGACCTTAACTTGAAGTTGTATACCAGCCAATATCAACTAAATTAGAGTCTCGAGTTGATCTGATTACTCAATCAGCGATAAGATAAGCATAAATTACCGCCGCCCCGTAATCCCACTTACAATACATATGAACGGCAACGTCATGATTGAATCGGTGCCAACTTTTGTCCTCAATCCACGATCTCCTGTCAAGAGTCCATACGATTGATCAATTCCTCTTTCTCCAGGAACACCCTCCGAACCAATCGAGTACTCGTGCCTTGCTAAGCGCCTAGACTGGAGACCGACGACGTCACCGTCGGGTGACGAGGGTTGTCTGATCGTCATACATCGTTACTTTCTTTGTACAATTATTTATATATTTACATGTGAAGCGCTGCCTTTTCAAGAGGGACTATGTACTTGGTGGCGAATTGATTTCTCTGGAACATTCGAATCGCTCTATCAGACTGATACAATTGATCTTCGTCTGCAACTAAGCTGATTTTTTCTTTCAAGCGAAAAACGAGAAGAGAACATCAGACACGATGGCGGCCGAGGGCCAGGAAGACATGCTCGACTTCAACACGCAAAAGATGGACGAGCAGATGGGCGACTTGCTCGAGTGCGTGTCGTCCCTCTCCCCTCCTAGTCTATAATAGTTATGATTGACAAGTAGAACCCCGGAATGGAATAGCTCCTTCGAAAACCACCCCCTCATGCAACCCCCCGACACCCATCCCACCCTCTTCTTCCTCTTCGACTTCATCCGCAACACACGCAAAGAGCTACGCGCAATCGACGTCCAAAAGCTCCGAGAAGGTGACGCCGAAGCCAAGAAACAAATCATCGACGTTATCGGTCGCAACGGGTTTGCCTCTGCGCTGATCAATGATACGTCGGGGAGATTGGCGATTATGACGGGTGGTGATCCGGGGAATCCAGTGGATTTTGGGCCAGACATCAAGGAGAAGATTAAGGTGTTGGCGGCGGAGAAGAGACCCTTCTAGATTTCTCCTCCCATCCCGTCTGCGCATCTGGTTGAGGGGAAAATTGATGATGGTTGGGGAAAGCGCTATGAATTATGATAATGTCTTCATGTGATATTGCCGGGGGAGGAAAGAAGAGAGTAGTATGATATTAGCATGGACGGACTTGTTTTTCGGGTTCGATTAGTTTAATGTATAAGACTGTACAAGATTGTATAACACTATTGATGAGAGTCTCCGATATGTATGTATCAGAAGAGTAGAATGGATACCTTTTTGTCACTACTTGCATACTTCCATATTTGGAAATTGAGTCTAGACCACATGCACCTTCAACTACGACTACGAAGTACAACTGAGCAGAACACAAGAAAGTGAGGACCTGGCAGACACCCATAGAGCTACGCATGCTACAAAAATCTGAGAAGCAAAATGCAAACATCCACCGTCCTAGCATTAACTCGTACCCTAAACTATGCTCATGCTCATGTAGATGCAGTATATCCTAACAACGATGACGGATTGAAACTCGACCAGATATCCGGAACTCCGCTCCATAATATGTATATGATCAAAAGAAGGGGAAAGAGAGATCTTTTTTTAACATTTTTGTATTTGTAGATTTTTGTGTGGTATAAAAAAGTGATCGTTTTCCAGTTCTCCAGTAAAGGAAAAAGGTATCGTGTAGTTGCGTGAGTGAGTGAGTTTTTGGAGGCGAAACCAAGAGTCCATCTTCTATCTGTTCTTTTGTTCTTTGAAGTGTCCGAATAGCAAGTAAGAAGAGCAGGCAAAGTAAACAAAACATATGGGCATGACAACAATCATATTCCGTTCCAATCGATATGACACATGACCGGGTCGTGATGATTGTTGACATTGGCGTAGACACGACAGAAAAAAGAAAAGAAAGGAAGACGAGAAAACGAGATTTCGAGAAACGTCATATCACTTGATCAATGAATCAGACTGTGTGTCTCTGATCTCAAATCATTTCTGATAGAGATAGCGAAACATAAACCGAATCATAATCAATCCCACTGATGAGAAGAAAAGGGTCGTCGTATCGGAAGATGCAGGAAAACTTCTTCATCCTATTCGTTTCAAACTTTTCTTTTCGTCCACTTTTTTTCGTTCGTCGCTCCCCGTCTACTTGCGACGGAAAGAGCAGCCCTCGGTGAGACGGGCCTTACCACCGGTGGGTTGGCAGAGAACGGTCGAGCAGCCGGCGCAGATGACGACGGTCTGGGCGTGTGAGAAGACGGTGGTGATTGTGAAGCAGCCGGGGCACTTGACATCCATAAAGAAAGAGCGAGGAGCAGGCACAAGGGTCTGTTATTATCCATCAGTTGGGTCCTTCGTTTTGCGTCTGGTTTTAATCGGGTTTTATCGAATTATCGTACCTTGAGCTTGTGCTTGCGAGCCTCAGACTGAGGGGTAGGGTTGAGGAGATCGACCGCGAGAACCTGGCGAGAAACAGTCAGTCAGAGATTTCTTCATTATCGCCTTTCCGTATTCCTCCTTCATTTCATCGTTGGAAGAGAAGAGAGAAAACGCACCATCTTGACGAATTTTCAATGCAATCAGCGATGACTTTTGTCGGGTTGATTGGGCGTTGATGGAAATGAAAATTGGCGACGCTGAAAGAACGGTGGTCGATGGGTTTGGGGGTGAGGAGTCAAAGTGTCGTGTGGAATCTTCGTGCTTTAGCGGAGCCTGGCACACAAAATGCCAAGCGCACAACTTCCTGATTGGGGCGGCTGGCTTATGTGTGGTCTCGCTTAGCTTTGCCACTGGGCTGGAATGGAGAATGGTTGTTCCGGTAGACGAGATGCCGCCAATCAGATTATTACTTACGAGTCTACTTACTTCTTAGTCATCTCGACTCATACTGATTCATATCATGAACAGCTCAATTATCGCATATGCTATGACTAACTAAATGGGAATATGCGCATTATTCTAGAAAGTAATCATCAAAAAGACGCCCCAAACATCTTCTCATCATCTATAATCCCAATACACCACGTCCGCCTGATAAGATTATAGAGTCTTCTTGACAGCAACGCTGTCGCCATTAGCGTGTCCGTTGATCTTGTCCTGTCCCTCGACGTACGGATGTTTGATGGTTAGGCACCAAATGTCGAGGTAATCGCAAATCGTGACAATAACGGTGTGCTAAACCAGTCAGCAAGCTGTCTTAAAACTCGAGAATGCATAAACTTACCACAAAACTAGCATACACACCAACCGCAAGACCAAGCGCTGTGAAAATAAACGGAACATGATAAGTACTATATCCCAAAACCGGGTACCACAGTCTCAAGTGGGCTCCCACACTGTCAACCACAGCAACAGCAAGCGGCAAGATGAGCACATTGCTTCGCGGGAACGAAGTCTTGAGCAAATGCGCGACAATCATCTGTCCGACGGAGTAGGCATTCACAATGCCGACATAGATCAGGAACGGGACTAGATGGTTCTGGCGAATCTCGGGTTGCAGATACAAGTACGCCGGCGTCAAGATCCACATGTAGGTGAACGGCAATAATCCGAATAACGGCGTAATGGGATTCTCAAGGCGTGCGCGGCGAGCTCTCATCACGTTGATGATACTGCTACCCGTTGCGAAGAAGAGCATGAATGCACCGTAGATCATGTACCAAGAAGTAAACGGTAATTTGTAGAGATTATCTGGCAGAAAAGACGGTTGCGAAACACCGATCGTCGCGAGCATGGGACGATGCCAGAAGCTGCCGCCGCCCATGTATGCGGTGAATGAGAAGACAGCACAGAGAGTCAGGATACCTTCGACAGGGCCGGAGACGATGCCGAGAGTGAGGACGTGGGTATAGTACTCGTCCCAGGTTTGGACATAGAAGGTCATGACGGCTACATTATTAGCATGTCTTCAGTTTATGAAAATTTGCAGTAGCAACATACCTCCCCACAGAGTCAAAACAGTAGCCCATGATTGACCGAGGTTCATCGTAGCAGCGAAGATGAACACGCCGAGAACGGTATTGCAAGCGTCGACGCCTACTCTTATTAGTCTTTTAAATCCACAGTTCCAGGCCGTGGAACATACCGTGATCAAACAACTCTCCAAGCGGACCACTCTGTCTTGTCCTGCGACTGCACCCCTACCATATCAGCATATACCCCTCAATCTTCGAGAGAATAAGACATACGCCTGCATCCCATCCACAGCATCAAAAGTCTGATACAAAAACAATCCAATCGCCCAACTAAGATATACCCATGACGGACAATCCTTATCCAACGTCGGATTATAATACAGCATCGTCAGAAAATTGATAACCACAAAACTGAAGCCCGTTAAAGTAATCTATTCGTCTCAGCATTTTCACAAACAGCATTTTTCGATCTATAAGGAAAGGCTCACGAGATTCGGCCTGTAGCACAATAAGGATTAGTATTTGTTGGTACTCAGGGGAAAGGAAAACTTACGCCATGTTCATGGGAAACAGGTGAATGACCACATTGCTATAGAACGGTTTCATGATGTAGCGACTGACCAGCGAATGGTCGACGCCAGAGTATTTGTACTCCCGCAGCGCGGGGAGGTCATATTGTCGTATCCAAGTCATGTTGTTGTTTTGTTTGACGGATTTGAGATGAGGTTCAAGTCAGGGGGAAAAGAGAGAAAGAACAATAGGGGGAGGAGAGGATAGGGGAAGCAGCCAACTGGCTGAGATGATTGACGGGAGAAGTCAGAGAAATAGAGTGGTGTCCTGTAGATTAAGGGTCAGTGTCATAAATTGACGTCTGTCGCGGCGTCTGGGCCGATGATTTGGCAACTTTTTCTCGCTCGCGCAAGGTGGAGACGCGCCGAGCACCGGACGGCCCGTACGTCATTCCCTCTTTCACGTGGGGAAGGGAATACACTCCAACATTATTATTAGACGTATTTTATTGAACACCGTATTATTGATACTGTCAACATGTAGATATGTCTATGGCTACATGACTAGTGTAATAAAAAGTCCGATATGATGAGGTCGTCATACCTCATAGGTATGACTGTAGAAACAACGAAGTCCTCGGATAGGGTTGTGCTCACGCACAGAAGAGCGATGACTCAAACACAGTGTGTCAATCATAATGGAGATCAACCAACTGGGCTCCATGGCATGGGAATCAAGATCCTGCTCTTCATCGACTGAATAAGAGGTACCGTTCGATGAACCGTGTCCGCCCAGCCTTCAATACCCCAGGATTGCTCACGACGAATCTTGCGTTCCTCCAAATTAGCAAACTGCCAGAGATGGTGCACCGTGTTGAGATCGCCAATCTGCACAAACCAAGCACCGACACCCTCCATAACCTCGCGGCGAGCCTGTAGTCCTTGGCGCCAGTGTGTCTCCCATTCCAAAAGATTGCCTGGGTGAAGGGTGTAGGATCGTAGTTCGAACAAACCACCGAGACGACGAGGAGGAGTGGTCGGCCAGAAGGAGAATTCTTGCATGAGCGATGTCTCCTTGCTCTTGATCAGGGATTTTAGTTGTTTGTCAAACTCTCGGAATTCGGGGTGCTGAGAAATGTTGTGAAGGGAGTCGTGATAACCCGTGTAGCGCTGGTACTCCCAGATATGCACTAGCCAAATCAGCATTCTGGTCCATGATCACTCTCTTGCAACAACCTACCAAATGTGTCGTTGTCTCCAACCTGGGTGCGCCAGCTGCCGACCAGGTTCACCTTGTTTTCTTCTAGGGATGCCATGCGAGGGTACCATTTGCCGACCAGGTCCACGTACTCATCAACCTTGTCGGGCTTGACGTCGTGAAAGACAATTGAGTGAACGTATTTACCACGAGCAATAACCTGCGAGAATGATCGCTCAATGCTCTTGTCGAAATGCTGGCCTTCTCGTGTCCCGTAGATGAGCGATGACAGAGGTCCTCGCTTTGTGCCATTCTCAGCCGCGATATCTAATTGTTCTTGCTCTTCTATATGTTAGTCAGTCAGCACAGCTTCACCAAACTTTCGAAGGTAGGCACAAGTTAATCATGGCGTAACGCCCTCGCATTGCTCACAGACGGAGCAGTGGGAGTAAGACAAACTCACGGGCACGATCACGAAGGGTGTTTGCGACAGACTGACTCTCTTGCTCTTGTCTCTTCTTGCGGGCCTGCTCTAGACTCTCGCGGAATTCCTTCTGGCGCGCGTCAAATTCGGAGGCATTGGTAGGGGTAATGTCACGGATGGATGGGGCACGGTTCTGGGCGGAGGAGGTGCTGAAGGAGCGAAGGGCAGAGAATGCGGGGGAGGCGCGGAGCACCTTGGAGGTTTGCATGTTGTTGTTGTTGCTGTTGTTGTCGTTGTTCGTAATTCAGAAGACAGGGATGAACGACAATTAAAAAGAGAGAAAACAAAGAGACAGTGGAGAAGGAGAGGAAATCGGGATGGTGGCAGTGAAGGATAGGATGGTTGGGTATTGGGTAGGATAATGTCAGAGGAAGTCGCGAGAGACCCGTGTGGTAGAGAACGAGACCGAGACAGAGACAGAGACAGAGGCAGCTGCGAGTGGCGGAAATTGGAAGCTACCACTAAGCAAAGTCCGGGGTAGAAGCAGCTGGCTCGGATTGGGTGATCCGACTGCTCAGATCCAATGGGATGAGACAAGCGCTGGCCAATGATGGACAGAGTATTTAATATAATGGTGTGTATGCTTGAGAATAATATGATATGAGTTGCGTGGTGCAACGGTGGACGGATAAATGAGTCGGGGTAAAGAAGAGGAGAAGAGAGAAGGGGCGTGCATTGGCTAGTTATGTATGGCTAGGCTTAGTAGACTCGCAGTGTTCGGTGTTAGAGCACGGAGGCGGGAGCACGTAAACAGGTGTCTAAACAGTCCACTAACGTGGGGTGCATTAGGTGTTACTTAGCACCTGCTAGTAGACATCGGGAATGATCTCGGCATGTACTTTTCACTAGTACGAGGACTTGCCGATCGACGACTGTTGATTTATTATTGCTATGAAAACCACCCTTCATCCTCCTTCAGAAGCGTCTGGGGAAGTAATGACGTCGGGGCGGAGGCCAACTGGGGAAGCTGGCGGATCATGTGATGTCTTCAAGCAATTAGGATGCGCTAGCCATTTATGGTAACTGGCAGCATGGAAGCTCTCTGGTTGGCTGTGTGGCAGCCCACTTCTATCCGATGTTCACTGATCGATCTGATCGTCATATCATTCTTCGCAGTTTCGACAGGCATTACTTGAACACCTTCAGTACTTGGAGTAACACAGTCAACGAATTGAGAGGGTACATCGAAGAAAAAGCCATAACACTCTACAATCATCACACTTCATCATATCATCATCATGGCCGACAGACCGAATCCCCCATTAAGCTACGAGGCATCAGCCACCACCACCCATCCTCACGTCGGCTCATCATTGCTACCTGAAGTAGTAGCCTGTCTGAAGAACTCTCGATACGTACGTTGCCATATATCGTTTCTTATTTGATCTGATATCTCGGTGACTTAGATCCTAAACGACCGCTAACGATCGCAGCTCCATCTCGCAACATCCGACGGCCTCACCCCCCACGTCTCGCTCATGTCCTACACCTACCTTTCCTCCACGCCCTTCGACGCCTACCCCGTGATTATTATGACCACAAACCCCTCCTCTAAAAAGACTCTCAACCTTTCCGCGAACCCGCGTGTGTCGTTGCTGGTGCACGACTGGGTGTCGCATCGACCACCCACCCGCGCACCCAACGGCCGAGACGGCTCTCCACCACCCGCCGCAACCCGCTCTTCTTTGGCAAACCTACTCTTGAATCTAAATACAAGCGCGCTGTCGAGTATATCAACTACCATCACGGGCAGCGCACGATTCCTCGAGGTGGGCTCGGAAGAGGAGAAATGGTGCAAAACCCAACATCTGGAGAATAATACATTCGTAGCTGCGCCTGGAGAAGAGATTCCGTTTGGGCAGCTGCGAAGAGGCAGTGGAGTTGCCGAGACGCCTATGATTGATGACGATAGCCGGGTGGTGATTGTGCAGGTGCGAGAGGGAAGGATTGCGGATTGGAAGGGTGGTGTGAGGGATTGGCAGTTGGTTCGGGAGGCGCCGCAGATCAACGGAGTATAATACGTAGGCTGTATAAGTAAATAGATTGTCCAAAATCAACATTTATGTAGAGTTGTATTCTTGCTTGTATCAATATTCAGGAAAATGAGATCACGTGTTGGAGATTGAGCTATCGTCCTGCGGAGCCGCAAGCTCCTCTCCGACTATCACAATTCCGATTTCCCAAACGACACGACTCGCAAAACATAAAAAGCAAGCATACAGTTGCAAGAACATAAAAATTGCCAACAGAGCGTATAGTACGCTCACTCTCCATCATGCGCCTCGCCCACCTGCACCTCCCAAATATAACACCGTTCAATACGGTATCCCAGCTCCAACAAACGCTCACCCTCCGCCACCTCGCCTACAAAAAAGCCATCTCCCTTTCATCCTCTTCAAGCTCACCCTCAGAACCACAACCCGACCCTACAATAATTACATTCACGCCGAACCCCGTCTACACTACCGGGCGGCGCGACCTACCGCCTTCAAACACATCGTCACCCTCCGACCAACTCCCGAGCTTGGAACTATCATTACCGCCGTCATTGGAGCCTATTAGGCATATACTTGACCCAAACGTACCATCTACAGCAGAAGGCGGAAGGAAAGCGGAATATCATCCCACCCTCCGCGGTGGACAGACTACATACCACGGCCCCGGACAATTGGTCGCATACACAGTCCTCGATTTGAGGCGGATGGGATTATCGCCGAGATGTCATATTAGTTTGCTGGAGAAAAGTGTCATTGATTTACTGGCGCGGTACGGTGTGACGGGGTTTACGACAAGGGATCCGGGGGTATGGGTCAATCCCCCCATACCGGCCCGGAATGAGGGCAACGGAGGGAAAGAGGCGAGAAAGATTACGGCTGTAGGCGTACATCTGCGTCGACACATAAGCTCCTTTGGCGTCGGGCTCAATGTCACGGATGAACCGATGTGGTATTTTAAGCAGATTGTTGCGTGCGGACTGGAAGGGAAGGAGGCTACTAGTCTTGCGGGACAGGGCGTGAGGTTTGATTCTCAGAAAAATGAGGAGGTAATGAGAGAGGTTGCGGAGGGGTTTGTGGATGCGTTTGTGAAGAGGTTCGAGGTTGATTTTCCGGCTGATAAAGACGGCAAGAGGAGGGAGGGGATTGAGGAGGTGTACAATATTGGGGTTGAGGATGTAATTTCATGAGAAATGATGACGATTATGATAGATAAAAGTAAGTATAGATTGTATAATAGCAGAGACAAAGGACATTAGCCACCAAGGTTGGAATATCATGACACGCCTAATCGAGCATATAAAATGACAGTAACAAACATATTAGTATATTAGTAGTAGAAGAGAAAAGTAGTTCGTCGTCAAGAAGGTATCACCAGATAAAAAAAAAGATGCTTGAGCCGATGACACTAGCCACTCGGTCCGCGCTCTTTGTTGGGTATGAAAAGGCTCCTGTGGGGATAAGCCATGCATACATCGCATCTGCATGCATGCAGGCAGGCATGAATCGTATCATACGTATTCGCGACAAGGACAACGCCGTTTATCAATGCCAACTGAACTCCGTAAATGGTAACCCTGTAGAAAAGGGTGTAAAGTCGATGTCGAAGCCGAAGTCGAAAGTTGAAGTAAAAAGAAAAATGTGCATGAATCGAAAATCGAAAGGTAGATGCGAAAGTAGCCGAAACTGCGAGCCATGTTGAATCATATATAGTGATCAAAGCCGAAGAGACTCAAAATTAAAGAATAACGCATCCGCCACTAGAGCTGCCACTAGCTGGCTTCACTTCTAAAGCCACCTTGGCAGCTTCATAGAACGTCTCGCGAATACCACGATTCTGAACAGCCGAGCACTCTACTCATTGTCAGCATAGCCCTCTCAAAGGAGGGAAAGGAGAACAAACCCAGGTACTTAACAGCCCCGACCTCTTTGGCCTTTGCCAGTCCTTCATCGAATGTAACCGCCTCCGGATTCTCATTCTGTTCTTCGTCCTTGCGCAAATCGCATTTGAGTGCTGTTAGAACCATCTTTACGCCAGGACAGTTTTCATGGATTTCGGCCATCCATTTGGTGGATACGTTTTCGAAGGAATCTCGATTGTCGACCTAAACACTATCAATGAGAGAGCTTCGAGAGGAGACAGGGGGACATACGCTGAAACAGAGCATGATCACGTGTGTATCTTCATAGGAAAGTGCGCGCAAACGGTCGAATTCTTCTTGTCCGGCTGTGTCCCATAGAGATAGTTCCATATGTGTGTTGTCGACGAAGATGTCTGTATGTACGGTCAGCGTGTGCGCGCAGCGCGTGGCGAGTCATAAATACCATGAACATAGTTTTCTAATGAGCGATGGATTAGCTAATAAATTTTCGATTTCACCAAGGACAAAACTCACCAAAAACCGTCGGTTCGCTTCACATCGGTTATGTTAGTATAATGACCACCAGATCAATGCACAGAGTCTACATACTAAACAGTTGGGAAGAACCTATAAGATGGTTAGTGACTTCACTCAAGAACAGACAAAAATACCAACCCTCTAGTAAACACATTCAAAGCCGATGTCTTTCCGCAAGCTCCATCTCCACTATCCATCAATAGCATTATTAGCACTGTGTATCGAGCTGTTAATGCGATTCTCAAACTGTCTACTCACAGAAGCACCATCTTCCGCTGAACAACCTTTTGCCGGCCACAGAGATTCATCTTGATGGTATGCGATACCCCTCGTCTAATCGGATATCCAGTCAAATATGGGAGGGTAATGGACGGGGTGAACGACAAGCTGGAACGAATCGCGACTGAAGGTCAAGCGAAGAACGTAGTGCGTAGTGACGAAAGAGAGCGATCAGATGACAGCGCAGGGATTTCGCAGGATCGATTGGAGGCAGACTATGCCTCCACCGGTATGTACGGGAACCAGGGGGCGGCGCTTGGAATCAAAACACGGGGGAGAATGCGGGTTTGGCCAATATAAGCCTCAATATGTTCGACGATCGGTATACCAAAAACAAGTATATAGGCGATTGTCGCAACAAATTTTCTGTTGTAGAACGAGCGGTTTGTACGAGTCAAGATTGCGAACAGGGAAGCGCTGTTAGGATGAGAGCTTGAGATGTTAATTAGCAAGTAGCCCGGGCTAGACTCGACTGGGAATAGTTGGGGCATAGAAGATGTCATAGTCTAGCCTCAGGCCGGTTAGCGCAGAAAACAATGACATTTGCGCCCCACGATGCGGGACGTGCCGAATAGCTTCACTTGACAAAAGAGATGAGTAGTATGATTTTGAATAGTTTTGGATGCGGGAGGTGTCATACAAGTAGAATCGAACTTGAGTAATTTACACCTGGGTTTGTTGTGATGCATCATGGAATGTCATATTCCGCTTAGAAAGCATGTCTCAATTGCAAAGATAACTAAGCGGATTCTTATAATCCGTGTAACTACCATCTATACTATATATGCGGTTTCATTCATCACAAATTGTATGATCTAGTTGTAGCCATTTTACCTATTTCTTTCTAAGCTAAATATCAAAATGCACCTCTCTGCACATACCTGGATGCGCCCCGAGCCGCTCGAAACAACTCTCCAACGCCTCAGCACTCTCGGCTACACAAGCATCGAACTCGAAGGCGAACCATCCCTTTACCCCATTGAGCCCACCCGCCGTCTCCTCGCAAAATACAACATCAAATGCTGGGGCACCGTCACCATCATGCAAGGCACTCGTGACCTGACCGCCGCCGATCCGCAACAGCGCCGTGACACTATCCGATACATCAAAGATGTAATCTCCTTTTCGTCAGCTCTAGGAGGCGAGATTGTAACCATCGTACCCGCCCTCGTCGGCAAATTGGTTCCAACAGCCTCTCCGGAAGAGGAGTGGACATGGGTCGTTGAAGCACTACGTGAAATAGCTCTCTTCACGAGCACGAACCATCCACGTATCAAGCTTGGTATCGAGCCCCTCAACCGCTTTGAGACGTACTTTTTGAACCGCACCGATCAGGCTCTTGCACTCATCGACCAAGTTGACAGTGACCGCTACGGAATTGCATTTGATCCGTTCCATCTCGCCCTCGAAGAGAAGGATATGCTATCCGCAATCCGGAAATGCACATCCCGAATCACAGACTTTCATGCCGCGGATCACAATAGACTGGCCGCTGGAGATGGGAGATTTGATTGGAATGAGATTGTGCAGACCCTGAAACATAGTGGGTATGATGGTGCTCTTGCGGTTGAGTGCATGCCGCCCGTCGATCGTTCCCCGGTTGGCAGATATGGTTTGGAACAAACGGAGAGCCTGAAAATGAGTACTGAGGTGTCACCGGAACGATTGCAGTTTATCATTGATCATGGATCTGCGTTGCTTTCGGATGAGTATTATACTTATTTGATGAGAAAGTCTGCAGAAACACTGAAGCCTTTTGTCTGAAGACTTATGCGTAATGAGCAGTCGTGTATAAATTTTGTTAGAAAATATAGATTTCAACCCCACGACTAGGAACATGCTTTTCATAGTAAATAATCGCTTGCTAATGTAGAACGTGCACATAATTAGTACGCCTCTTGCTCCTTTTCGACATTTCGTCGCCCCCGCTGAAGCCGTTCAGACAGATCCAGTTCACCAGCACGTTTGTTAATATTCGACAAGAAAGCTCCTTTACCACCTTCTTTGCTCGACCGAGCGCGAGCTGCTTCGTCTGCTTCACGCTCGGCTTTCTCTCGCGCATCTGCAGCTGCTAGACGACCAGCTCGCACTTGATCCAAGTCATTTGCGTTTTGTTGCATAGCTGCCAGTTTGGCTGCTCGCTCCTCTTCTGCAGATTTAGAAGATGCTTGTGTTTCGCGCTGTGTAGGCGCCGGCCGTGAGTTGTGGTGCCATGTCCGTCGTCTGTCGTTTCGCTCATGGTCTCTGTCCCGATCCTGCCGGGGAGAGCGATCGCGTCTTCGCGGCGGTGGGGAATATGATCTTTCGCGGTGTACACGGTGCTCGTGACGAGGCGACCGAGAGCGTCGAGATGCGTGTCTGGATGGAGAGGGAGAACGTCGGGAGCGCGACTGTCTCACTGGCGACCGAGACCGAGAGCCTGATACGCTATCTTCACGTCGTCGCCTATGTGTTCGGTCGTCGTCATAATCATGTCGCCTTGAACGATGTCGCGATCGTTTATCTTCGTCATCTCGATGTCGGTGTCTGTGACGATGATGTCTGCGTTCCTTCTCTGCAGATCCAGTCTCTTTCTCCGCAGCCTGCATCAACTGTCTCCTCCGCACGGGGTCATTCATCATTGCTTCGTATGCAGCCTGCTCCTGTTTCTTAATCGCCAGCATAGGGTCCTCCCTGATCTTTGCAGCCGTATCCCTCGCCGTATTCGCATGCTGCAAAGCCATAAAAGAATCCTCCGCCGCAGCCTTTTCCAGTTTCTGATTCTCTGATCCTTTGATCAACCCATCAATCCTGCGCTTTCCCAATAGATATCCTTCCATCTCCTCAGTCGTTCCGAGTTGTCCGCTGGAAGGACCCGAATACATCCAGTCGACCCGATTTAAACGCTTTTTACCGCCAGCGGCCTCTTGGAGTTGTTGAATCTCGAGCATTTGTCGCTCTTCCTGACGCTCGCGCATCATCTGGTCGATGCGTTTGCGCTCTTCGAGCGCTTTCTTTTCGGCCAGCCATGTTCGTTCCTGGTTCTTTTGCAGAACGGGATTCCAGCTTTTCTTCAAGTTGAGATCGCCACCCATGATGAGAGATGTCGAGTCAAAGAAAAGTGAGTTAGTTTGATGTGTGTTGCGTTGTGAAGTTTTGGCTCTGCACTGGAAGGTAAAAGTAGTGAGTGGCGCAAATGTTGGTGGCTTGGGTGGGGACCATTATCGACCGCTAGTCTATATCAGGCTAATACAATAACCCTACGCATAAAATTATAACCCTAAAATATGTCCTTGTTCGGTGTTTACATCCTCGAATCAACCGGCTACAATCTCTTCATTATTGGATTTAAGAGTTCCCGGATCTGTATGCGGAGCTAGAAGAATCGGTATAATGTGTGTTGGCTGCAACTACTCTGTCAAGGTAGTCATAGCTAGGTATTAATACTGTATGACTCTGACTAAACCTAGTCATCTCGACCTTGGTGAATACATATCGACTCGTCTGCCATACGCCAAAGCTACAGCGGATTACATACTTCAAACCAATCGAGGCGCCCCGGCGTACGAAACTGGTTTTTGCAGTCAATACGAGGAGACTTGATTCTTATCCGAAAACACGCGTCACGGAAATGAACCCACTGCTACTGAAACATTTGGGAAAACTCTTCTTCGGGACTGGAAAGTGACCGTATTCCTGGAGCATGAATCAGTACTCTTAGAGCATTTTCGAGATCAGCTACCATGGTCAGGCTATGAGCTAGATAAAAACGCAAACCAGAACGCGCAAGCTATACGAAGCCTTCACAAATCCGCACGTTATGTGAGAGATGCTCAGGCTTTGTTTGTATTAGTAGCAAGAATTAAAATTTTGATATACTCTTTGAAAGGTGTTGTAAAGTGTAGACGGCCGGATTAACAATCCGAAGCATGCGTGGTCCGTGCGTATCGAGCTGCGGAGTAACAGCAAGAGCCACTCACATGCCGTCACTTCACAGTCTTTATTTATCGAAGCTCTTCACTCTGGACATCACACTTATCTTTTTATTGGTATCTTGTCGCCAGAAGAGCATCTATTTTGACATCACGCTGAACATTTCACACTCGGCTGGCCATGTCGGACGACGATGATTTCATGCAGGACTCTGGGGAAGAGGAGTAAGCTCTACTACTCATGTTGACAACCACAGCTAAACGGTCAGGTACGACTTCGAGTACGAAGGCTCCGATGAGGACGACTCTGGCGACATCGGTATCGAAAACAAATACTACAACGCGAAACAGATCAAGGCAGACAGCCCAGAAGAAGCTATCGATGAGTTCTTAGGCGTACCAGCACTGGAACAAGACAAGGGTGACTGGTAGGTTATGCACGCGGCTTTTTCATGACCCAAATATTGACCATTGATTAGGGGATTCAAAGGTTTAAAACAAGCTATCAAGCTTGAGTTCAAACTGGGGCGATATGATGATGCGAGTTTGCAGATACCAAGATTGTGTAGTGACGATTCTGACAAAGTAATTTACAGGCAATCGAACACTACCGCGAACTCTTGACCTACGTCAAATCGGCCGTCACACGGAACTACTCGGACAAGTCGATAAACAACATGCTCGATTTTATTGAAAAAGGCTCGGATGATGAAAAAGCATACCATTGCATGGAGGAGTTTTATCGTTTGACACTCAAGACATTCCAAAACACAAACAATGAACGACTGTGGCTCAAGACAAATATCAAACTCGCAAAGCTGTGGCTGGATCGTAGAGAATTCACACAACTTACTAAGAAGCTGCGAGAGTTACACCGGGCCTGTCAGCGTGAGGACGGTACAGATGACCCCAGCAAAGGAACATATTCGCTTGAAGTATATGCTCTCGAAATTCAGATGTACGCCGAGACGAAAAATAACAAACGACTCAAAGCGCTCTACGAGCGAGCTTTGCGGGTTCGGTCGGCTGTTCCACATCCGAAAATTATGGGCATCATTCGCGAATGTGGAGGAAAAATGCACATGAGCGAGGAGAATTGGGAACAGGCACAGAGCGACTTTTTTGAGTCATTCCGCAACTACGACGAAGCCGGGTCGATGCAGCGAATCCAAGTTTTGAAGTACCTGGTGTTGACTACAATGCTTATGAAATCGGACATCAACCCATTCGACTCTCAGGAGACGAAACCATACAAGAACGATCCACGGATATCGGCCATGACAGATCTGGTTGATGCGTATCAACGAGATGATATACACACTTACGAAGAGATTCTACAGAATAATCAGGACGTACTGGCAGACCCGTTTATTGCCGAGAATATTGACGAAGTCAGCCGCAACATGCGCACTAAAGCTGTCATCAAACTCATTGCACCTTACACCCGGTTCACGCTTAGCTTTATTTCAAGACAGATCAAGATTTCTGTATCAGAGGTTCAAGAAATTCTCGGGTTCTTGATCATGGACAAAAAACTCAACGCCAAGATCGATCAAGAAAATGGCACAGTCGTAGTCGAAAGCTCAAGCGACTCAGAACGTCTACAGGCTGTCCGCGAATGGTCCTCATCGCTCAAATCCCTCTGGCGCGCGGCACTCAATGACGGCGAAGGCTTCAAGGTCGACGAATCATCCCTCTCGCAAATGGGGACCATGCAATCCTCATTCCAGGCGGCGGTGGCAGGATTTGGCGAGGAGAGTCGCTCGGTGGGTAGAGGCCGAGGGGGATGGAGGGGTAGAGGAGGATTATCAGGCAGAGTGGGAGTAGCTTAGCTGAAGCTTAGCATGCTACATCATAGAGACAGTGCGGTGCGATGAAACGCGTTAATGCAGCATGATAGACGAATGAACGAAATGACACACTTATGTCACGACACCATATGTAAAACTACTATCCAAGAAGCACGTAGACTCGAATCCTAGTGTCCAAGAATATCAACCGTCAGGTACATGTACCTAGGTACATGATTCACTAGTACCATATCAGTCTCATTAGGTATGTATACATCTACAACTCATCAGCCATTCAATAATCGGGCCGTAAGCGAGTCTTTCATCGCTTCGATACTTCCGTATTACGTGGATTCGAGTAACGTGCCGCTCAAGATTCAGGGAACAAGCCTGAACGATATGCATTCTCCACAAATTCCGAGCTTCTTGACAAGTCATAATATCGTACTTCATAAGCCCCACTGAACTCAAGATCGACTGGACAGGGTTACAAGGCACTTGAGTTGGTCATCGTACTACTACGGAAAATTATCTACGGAGCACGTAGATACATAGATTGTCCCCACTCCGTGGTAAAAGGTACATAGCCCTAGCCCTAGTTGACCTAGTTTGACTGACGTGGCTCTATGTACTGTAAGTAACTATGGAGTACATGTACATGAAGTGTTACTCTAGCTTTTTAGTCTGATATAAAGTTTTCCTCGGCGGTTAGAAGATTGTTAGTTGTGTATGCATGAGATTGGTGATTGTCACGTAGTTATATATTTTGTCTCGGATCGATGACGCACTGATCAACCTTCGAAGTTGGAATGGGTGACAATGTCTTTTATGTTGGGCTGTCTACGAATATTGATGTTTTATCCTGTATGTACACGGCTATTCTTGAAGTTGTCTTCTCAGCTTCACGATTGTCTTTCAAGGCGACTGATAATTGAAGATTACTCGGTGTAGTAAAGATCTGAAATACCTAGGCAGAAGGCAGATCTCGGTCTTTCTTGAGACATTGATCTCTTCTCGGCATGCGGTGAGAGCAAGAGCATGTAAACTAAGACAAGGTAACTATCGGTTAAGTCGATTCTGCACGATACAACAGCAAAGAACCTCCATTCCCATCACCATCTCGGGACCTATGTTTCACCTGGATGAATACGTGTAAGTCCTTACTTCAGATCTTGCTTATTTCAATTCATTGAAGACGAAATCATTAACAACTCAAGTGAAAAGAGTCAATATATAACTGCACGCACTTCAAACATAGTACCCTCGAATCGGATGTATCATGTAGTCCATTTCGCAATCGTCGAATGGGAACACCCATCTCTCCGTTCCGATATCTAACATTCGTTCCGATATCTAAAATTCATTCCAACGTCACCTACATGTAAATGACATACATTTGGTATGTAGTAGTAAATAGATCTCGGTGAAAAGTTCAAAAACTTACTATGTACAGAGACAATTCGAAGATTAGCTATCTCTCCCCTGTCTGCAGCTAATTTATATTCGGCCCAGACGAATCCGAAACCCGGATTTAGCCTACATCCATGGATGCAAGTATACAAGAATATTCATTTCGAATTACTTCTTTGTTATTACGATCCGGGCGATCGCACAACCAATTCATCGCCAAGCTCAGGGCCCAGGCGTGACAGTTATTGGTCTGTATAGAAATCATGTGCAACCGCGGTAGGACCGATTAATCATCTTGATTTCTTGGGGAACGGTCTTTGCTCATTTTGTATCACCAGTCAGGCTTGTCGGTTGTGTCAGATATAGAGTCCGGTATGATAAAGATATTCTGAGTCATCGATGGCTTAATATATCTAGTTTCTTGAATTAAATAGGGATCAGACTCTGACTAGAATTACGAGACCACTGGTGATGTCCTGGATTCGATAGGATGGGTCGTAGGACAGGTGTGATAACACACGTACCAGGATCATCTGTGAGAATCCGGAGTCTACTCGCCAGACAAGAATTGCCGGCATTGCAGTCCCCAGGTTTGAGGATCGCGAAGACGCCATTTGTAGGGTCCTGTATCCGTATGTGCTGGAGGAGCTATGACTCTCGCCCAAGTGGCCTTCATCGGTGAACTTCGATAGAATATTGCATATTACATGTTCATGCAGGCTGGATTGCGATAGTTACCGAGTATGTCACTGGGGAGGTTCTTGATCAGAGCAGCTTGATCATACGGTGTTTCTGAAGTGATTCACGAAGACGAAAAATAATGTTCAGAGATGTCCGCATCAGATTAATTTGTTCGGCACTCTCGCCCGAATGGATCGTATAATACTCGTAATTACAGCGTAACGCATACGCTAGATGAGTTTCCCCGCCATGGGCTCCTTCCGTCCTTCCTCCGTTTCCCCTCAGATGGATGAAGTGTCTATTTTCTTTCCAATCCTTCTTTTCTTCCCTGTAGTCTGGTAGGGCCGTCTGGGTTGAAATTTATACTGAACCCTGGTCGGAAATGCAATACTGAAATCTCGGCATCGACGCGGCTGGCAGCATCTACAGTATTTTTCAGAGGACCGTGTCTGTACTGTAGCATTGACCTTCGAGCGCGTATCTCAGCTGCGTCCGAGCTACCCTTCTGCTACGTACGTACGTATACTTCCTTGCTGTGTGATATTGAAGAAAAAGCAACGACAACGTTCATCAAGTAAGTCTGTTCTTTCATTGATTCTCATCGTCCTTATTTCTTTTTCCGTGTTCAACTTGCCAGCTATCAAGAGTCAACATCTTTCACATCACCCCCGCACTCATCACGGGCCTTGCTGTCTCGGAACTGTCGCGATCTCCAATTCTGCTATCCTTGTCGATTCCACACACACCACACAGAACTACGTCAGACTGCCCGTTCAGCCTTGTTCGTCTTCACGTATCTTGACATTGTCTCTCCTTGAGTCTATCTACAGCGTCGCACTTGTGTATCTCGAAGTTGTGGGGAAGAACTTCCTCCGGCTGTGCGGTTACCTGCATGACATACCGAGCACTCTCTGGTCAACAGTTGGGAAGACGTTGGAAAATTAGAACCAAACAGATCGACCAGGCCCGTAAAGCTAATAATTGATTCGTGTCTTGCAGAACCTCGAAAGTGCAACAAAAAGCACCACCATCACGGCGAATGTTATTTCTGACTCGGCGCCGATATAATTGCGGTGGAATTACGGAGATACAACAGCAAATCAAAGCGAGAAAGACCATATCAATTGACAGTACTGTTTTCAACGGTGAATCGTGTGCTGCATGAAATTTTTAGTTGCGTTTACAACAATCCAATCCTCTCCGACCAAGTGCCGAGTGCCGCCGCTGCGTTTGGGGCTCGAAGCTACGACCAAGCAGGGATACAGTTACTCTATTTGAGGGACCGTCCTGCAAAATTGTTGGCTTGATCAGCAGTTCTAGATTCCGATCTTCCAACGCCTCCGCACCACGGTCCGGCCCAGTCCCACACCGGTTCGCCATTATTTATTGTTTAAACACCCTTGAACTTGATGATGCTTATTTGAGGTGGGCATTCCCCACTACCGTATCGTTTTCTTCAAAATGAAAGAAATGAACTGTCTGACAGAACATCATGTCGTTTGTAGTCGCTTCTCGGTTCAGATCACCGTGGCCGACAAAGAACGAAATCAGTACTAATGCGATGCAAATCTCTGACACATCTTTCGCTCGAAATACTTTAGAAAACCAGTTTTTCCGTGGAGGATACAAATCGCCTTCCGTCGGACAACCCTCAACGTACGACACCCGTTGCAGTTCGGTCTCGTATCCTTTCTTCAACATTCCTGTCTATTCCAATCCTCGTAGATACGCCATGGAGCCGTTGTCCCGGGAAGAGCTGGAGCGTTTCCAGAAATTGTCAAACGATTATGAACCCGAAGTACAGGTTAGGCTCTTTAGAACAACTTATGCTGTGTTCGTCATTGACATGATTGATATCGCAGGGCTCACTGGTATCACCCAAGCAATCAAGTCAAATCATCTCCGCCGAGTACTCGAATGCAGACCCTACCTTTGTAACAAAGACCAATGTGCGTATCGCCATTTGCTTGTAGTGTCGTTCGACTGACCGAGTTTACATAATAGGCCCTCGCCGTGACGCATCCTTTTACGCGAACCATGAAAGGAGATGGGAATTGTGGCTGGCGAGGKAGGCTAAATTTCCTTCAGCTTGAATGTTAATCTGATTGGTGTTGGCCAGCGGTTGCTTTCGGATACTTCGAGAACCTCTTCTTCCTTCGCGACACCATAAAAGTCCAGTCAGAGCTTGCGCGAATCAAGTCGATGAGCGCTCTGCTCGATCAAGTCGGCCATCAAGAGTATCTGTACGAGACGTTTGTTGACGCCACAGAAGAGACGTTTGGTCAAGTGATTGATGCGATTCAAAAGGGCGTTCCGGATGAAGGCTTTCTCGTGGAGATTTTCAACGACTTTAGTCAATCCATGTCCATAATCACCCATTTCAGAGTGAGACCGCCTTCTCATTGGTGAAGAGCGCTTACTAATAGCTGCAGCTTCTTACCGGTGCATGGATGAAACTGAATCAAATGCGTTATCAAGCATTTTTATCCACGCCCGTCGACCAATATTGCGCCACACGGATCGAACCCGCCAAAACCGAAATTGATGAAGTCGGCCTTCAAGCTTTGGTGGACAGTGTTATTGAGGGTTCCGGCATTGCCGTTGAGATTCTCTACCTCGACCGAAGTCAGGGCGATGCGGTCACCCCACATCTTTTGACGCCGAACCGACAGAGCTTGGCTACAATCAAACTTCTATATCGTCCGTAAGTGTCGCTATGTCGCATTTGCAGGCTAAGTGTTAGTACTGAGAATTGATAGTGGACATTATGATATTTTGTACTCGGCGGAACCTACTGTTCACATGTCACCGATAGTCAACCTACAATACGGCCTGTCGACAGATTTCAGCTCTTGGGATAACAGCGCTCTCGGCTTCGATGCTAACCCGAGTTTAATGGCGATACCAGGTCTCATGATGGACCCATCTGCATTTCCCTCAGTGTCCAGTCCGATGATGGCTTCTCAGCCGCCTCAATTCTTCCCGTCTCCTCCACAACATGAATTCTATTCTCCATCTATCAGCCCTCCGGTACCTTCTACCGTCTCCTCCCCTGCTCCTCCGAGCCTACCACTTAGTCTACCTACGACGAAATCATCGGATGGCCCACAGATCCGGCTAAATCCGTTGGTGATGAAACCGAATTTGAGCCATTCACTTCCGGTGACTACTCCATTCAAGAAGTGCGTATTGTATATGATCTTGTATTGTTTTATGATAGTCCGAGCTAATATGTCACAGCTCACCATACAATCAAGCTCATTTCCTCAACTCGGACTTCGAGCCTATCCATTGGGAACCGAACGAGGGACGGAAATAGACGACACACTATATACTTTGATTCGGAAAACGGAATAGAAAAAAGGGACTATAGTAATGTCACAGCCAACTCAACATCGAGACAAATGGCCGTCAGCAGGCTACTCCGGGACTCTGTTCGACTACTCTTACGACGAACAAACGAATTATGCTTTGATTTATGTGACAGCGCTTCAGCATTTGTAGTCTTCATCCATTCTGACGCAATCGAGAGATAGTCCTCCTAGTTTTGTTAGATGTACTCTCGCATTTCTCATTATTTTCAATGCAGTCGACAATCTTATTCTCTTCCTACTGTCGCGTACCTGATGTTATGAAATCGCATCCTGCTCGGTATTTCATCGGTGGCTTATGTCTTTTCTTCGTCAAATATGATTTCTTCTATGGATATCTAATTTTAAATAATAAGGAATGCAATTTTTTAGTTTCTCCTGATGATGATATTCTAGAAGGTGTGGACCCTGGTCGACGGGACCCACCAGTCAGCTAGCTAACTTTACGCGCTTCTCCTGAGCTTACGCAGCCTCAGCGCATGTGATTTGTACGTACTCCTTTTGTAGCCTTACGAACACTGCCTGGAGTTCTTCATACAATCTACACAATATTTTCGATTATCAATCATACCTTTTCAGTCTGACTATGGACTGCGTATGACTTTACCTGTCCCAACCCGGAAGATATGGAAGCTGAGATGCAATGTTAGTACATACTCCCGACCGGGTCCCCCGCAAATTCCATCATTGTTTACATTCTTTGTTGACTTGCTGTCTACAGGACTGAGATCGATGTCCCAGCACGTCTTCGACGCGCAATACTACAAAACGATGTCTTGCTGGTCAAGCGCATCATAAAGAACAATCCGGCTTTTTTGGTGAATCCGGATTTTGAGGATGGGAGTAATACGTCGCTGCATTTGGCGGCCATTAAGGGGCATTTTGAAATCTTGGTTCGTCTTTACCCGGGCGAAAGAGTACTTGACTGGTTGTTAATGATTAACACTTATTGTTGGTGAAGAGATTATTATTGTCACTTGGTCATGATTCCTGTACACCCAACATCGATCGCACAGGCTATGATTCAGCGCCCGGCATCAGCCTCAACGTCGACTGTTCGACAGCTCTACATCTCGCAGCCGCCCATTCTCATCCGAGCTGCGTCGAGTTACTCTGTCGTATGTTCCCACATACAATCGACTGGAAGGACAACGAAGGTCGCACACCGCTCATGTTAGCCGCGCAAAGCTCAAACCCCAGCCATGCGCCCGTCAGCACGAATAGTTCCGCCCATATCCCTCCTCCAACGGGCCGGCGACCCCGCGCAGTGTCTACGAATTCGGCAATGGCGTCTGAAGATATCGCTACTATTACGATATTACTTTCGTACGCTGCCTCGGTGATCGCGACGGATAATCTGGGGAATACAGCGCTACATTATGCTTCTGCTTGGGGAAACCTCAAGGCTGTCCGGGCTCTACTTGCTGCTGGAACACCGCCGTTGTCGCCAAACAAAGCGATGCATACACCACTCGACTACTCAGTCACGAAACAGGCGGCACAATATTTCCAGAGTATCGTGAATGAGTTTGAAAGCAGCACCAGATCGGATGATACGAGAAAGAGCTGGTCGTCGGATCACCAACAACAAAAAAAACAACAACCTAGCCTAAAGCTGAATACAGCAGCGGTACGAGCCATCGCGACACCGCCGGATGAATCCAGAGCGGGCGGGACTCGAATGCTGGGATCGCCCATGTCGTCGCCCATCAAGAGTAATCGGAGTGTAGAGCAGAGACAGCAGATGCAATACCCATCTCACCACCAGCATCAGTCAAGTAATACGTCGCCTGTGAAGAAGAATTTCGGTGGGTTGAGGCTGGTGATTGATACAGAAAGTGCGGAGTACGCGGACTTGGATGATGTGCCTTCGACAGCGAAGAGGATTGAGAGGCCGTCTATTGATGAGCCGCGGATGGTGCAGTCGTGATGTTTCTCTACTTTGCGCATGGACATATCGTTTCGAATTATAGCGTGAGTTCGTACATACTGAATATACAACATAGAGAGAGTGTACTGAGTTGTAAACTATTTTTGACTGCAAAGTGGATCAGCGAATGGCGGGACTCCGTTTGAGCACCGTGACGGCGTCATCGTCTCCGGATCGACGTTACAATACGTGACGCGTACGGCTAGCCCCGTGTAGACAGATCCCCGCCCCGATCATCGCCCAAGTCCAGCCATGATGACAGTACCTTACAGCGTAGTAACTCCGTAGTTACACTTACACATGCTCTTACAATGACTAGCAGTTGCAGATGCCAACCTGGAACTTCCTTCAATAACTCCACTAGTCAGAAACACTCATCTTTATCTCTCCTTGTTTCTTCCTGTTAGCACTTCGATCTGTTCTTCTGCGTGTAGAACACTCGCGTTCTGTTCTTCGCGTCTTGTTTTGTTTGGTCCCTCCATGGAGTCGTCATTGCATCATACCCGTCCTCTGCCATTACCGTCGCTGTGAAGGAAGACCGATCGACAGACACAGATGGGTTCATTCACCGGCTATGTTGTCATCTACATTCTCGGCGGCGTCACATTTCTCCCTCTCCTCGTCGTCCTGCTATTTCTGCATGCCTATCTCACACTCAAACCGCCCGTGAACCAGGACGATTCGTTATCATCATCGTCAGCTGCGGCTACCGCGGTATCTAATCAGCAAACCGGCACGACCGATAACAATGGTAACGATATCAACACCGACGAAAATAAATTACATGGCCGAAGACTGAGTCTAATATCGCGACCGAACGATGACCAATTCAGCCTCAAAAGCGGCACCGACGTCCTCGCGGAAAAGTTTCAGCGTGTCCACGAAAACGATGTTGCCGCCGGCTACTTTGCAGTATGTCGTGAATATGTACCTGGAGGCGTGAATGGGAAACCACCCGAGAGGACAACACCTGCTGGGGAAGTGGTGGGTACAGAGTCTCAGAGTCCGAGTGTGTATCAGAGCATGTATCGGAGTATCTTTGAGCGCAAGACGGCTTCTGCGAGTATTGAGCCGGGGAATAATAATGGAGGCAGGAATTTTAGGAAGGCCAGGAATGTGTTTTATATTGTTCTCAGGTTTGTTCTTATCCAGTCTCGTCTCAGTGGGTAAAAGGGAAAAGCTGACGGATTAGACATGGTCATTTGATGCTGTACGACGACGAGCAGCAGATTGAGGTCCGCCATGTGATTTCTCTGGCACACCATGATGTGACAATTTACGGCGGCGGAGAGGATATCCCTGAAGGAGAGTTATACGCCAAACGCAATGCCATCTGTCTAAGTCGAAGGGAGGATTCAATTGCCGATCTACGGGGACTTACGCCGCCATTCTTCTTGTTCTGTCAAAGTCAATCTGCCAAGGAAGATTTCTACCATGCGTTGTTGAAGAATCAGGAGAAGATTCCGAACTCGCCGAATTCTCCGCCGTCGCCGCAGTTGTATGATGCCAAGGATATTGTCAAGTTGGTGCAGGATCTTCACGCGTCTGAAGATCATCTACAGACTCGATGGATTAATGCGTTAATTGGAAGATTATTCTTGGCGATGTACAAGACTCCAGAGATGCATGAGTTTGTTCGGACGAAGATTACGAAAAAGATCTCACGAGTCCCGAAGCCGAATTTCATCTCGAACATTGCATTGCGAAAGATAGACATGGGCCAGGGCGCGCCTTCAATCACGAACCCGCGACTCAAAGATCTGACAGTTGATGGGGACTGTACCGTGGAGACCGATGTAAATTACAGCGGCAACTTTCGTATCGAGGTTTCGGCAACCGCTCGTATTGATTTAGGCCCTCGAATCAAAGCTAGATCGGTTGATCTTGTTCTTGCAGTTGTACTCAAAAAGCTGTCCGGCCATATGCTAATACGCTTCAAACCACCGCCCAGTAATCGAATCTGGTTCTGTTTCGCTACTAAGCCTGACATGACCATGACTATCGAACCCGTTGTTAGCACCAGACAAATCACCTACGGCATTATCCTTCGTGGTATCGAAAGTCGGATTCGAGAAGTGGTCGAAGAGACGTTGGTATTTCCTTACTGGGATGATGTTCCATTCTTGGATACGGCATCTTTCCCATTCCGAGGTGGTGTCTGGCAACGAGATATTCCCAAGAATCAGGACAGAGTCGAGATTCCTGATGAGTCGGAGGCGCGCGATGATTCTGAAGAGTCTGCAGACGCTATACCAATTGACACATTGAAGACCAAGGATGAGCGGAGTTGGAGTACGCCTGATTTCGTCAAGTCGAATCCCCCGTCTCTCAGGTCTAGTAAAAGTTTCAAGTCTATGCCTGTCGACTCTCCGATCGATGAGGTTACTGGTGCTTCTTCATCGGTAGACAAACGAAGCAATACCTCGCCAATAGATAGTATTCGAACGCGGACCTTCTCGAACGTTGCAGAGCCCGTCGTGACAGCCGATCATGGAAAGGCTGATAAGGCCGAGGGCGATTCTCCCAGGGCTCACAGGCGGAATCGGTCGAAACGAGATGCAACAAGTTCGATGATTGAGATTAAATCCCGCTCGCAGTCTAACTCAGTATCAAGTACACCGTACGGATCACCACCGAAAGGAGGTTCTTTGGATGCCGCTACGTTCGACGAGCCAACAGACTCGATATTTAATGAAACACTATCGACCCGCGAACTTGGAAAATCAACGCGGCCTAGTTCGTCTAATTCAGATGCCATGGCTAGCAACGTTTCTTTGACTCCCTCCACGACTAGCGAAGGAACCAATTTTAAAGGAAAATTCGAGAGCATCAATCGATCATTCAGCTCGGTATCTTCTGACAAACGAACTACAACTATCGCCGCCATCGGAACGGCCACTGCAGCAGCTAAGAAATGGGGCTGGAATGTGTTGAACAAGGCTGACCAACGAAGACAGCCAGGTGATTCAGGCCCTAAGCCAGGAACACCGGAACATCCCATCGGGCGGGGAAGACCGCTTCCTCCTCCAGGAACACCACTGCCACCACCAGAGCGTAACAGTTTTATGTCGAATTCGATCAGCATGCCACGAAGGAAACCCGTCCCACCACTTCCGGGACAGATGTCAGAAGAGAGAAAGGAGGATAAGCGACCCGTACCGCCACCGCCTTTGCCGAAGCGAAAGAGCGTACCGTTGAAAGATGCCGATAACGTCGGCTTCAGTGACGAAATTCTTGTCGTCGAAGCGCCGCTAGATTCAGAACCGAATAGTCCTGCAGTAGCAATTGCTCCCCCTTTGCCGCCAAAGATACCAGTGACGCTACCAGCGGATTTGCTCGTGTCCTCTTCGAAGTCGGAGGATGCCCAGGTCGATAGCCAAGATAAGACGACTGACAATAACGTGGACGAAGACGATGATACTCCCTGGGACTCGGGCTTTGAGCAAATATCCGGCTCTTCCGAAGACATCGACACCTCCTCAATAGCATCAAAGACCCAGACTAAGCCCGCATCTACTACACCGGATACCGAAACGATCGAAAACCCCGATAACAGCCGCACGCAGTCTCATGAAGACCTTCTCCTATAACGACGAACAATACCCTACTGACGAGCATGTCAAATTACTCACACTCTACTGTCCTTTTCTTAATGCATTCATTTGATCCAAGCACATAGCAGACCAGGTCATCTGCAGCGGGCGTTTTAGGTGGATGGAAGAGCTTTGCGGCGTTTGTACGGCTTAGTTCTTTGCCTGATACAATCAAATTATCAACTCTATAATCTGTAAATATCTAATGGATATATAGGTGGTAAAGAGAGTACGTAGTACATAGAGCATAGCCCATGCCAAGACCGGGTTAAAGCACTGTGATTGGCTCCCCAGCGGAGCAACGGCAACCCAGGAACGTCATTTCTGCTGGGAATCTGTCTGCCTGTCTATTATCTTCTATATCCATTATCGTTCTCTTGACAGGCGTCAATCTCACTCATTGCTTTGGTTGCACTGCGACGTTGTTTTGTTTTGTTCTCTCTTTTGACAATTCACATTTTAAGGAGGCAGCTATTGTGGCGGCGGCGGCACTAGACCCGTCTATCTATCTAGGTCGATCGAAGCTTGCTTTGCTCTCCCGGACCAGAGACGACAACGCTCAACCCCGCGCTTGTGCACCTTTCCCTTTTTTTCCCTTTCAGATCGCAAGGTTCGAGGGATTGAGTATTCAAGATGAGCAGGTATGTTCATCTCTCCATTTTGCTAACATGGTCGTTCTTTAGAGGAGAGCAATTGCTGATTTGTTGTTTGTTATCGTTGACAGAACCGAGGCCGATCTGGCGGTTAATATTCGCAAGGCGACGAGTATTGGTATGTCCTTTCTATCTCTGTGATTATTGGCAAGTGAATAAGAATATGTGCTAATGGATTTTGTGTGTAGAGGAAACCGCGCCGAAGAGTACGTTAACTCCTGCGTATCGAGTCTATTTCCGCGCCTGTCCGGTCTGACTGACGTGCTTTGGTTTGGGTGAATAGGAAAACATGTGCGAAGCTGTATTGTGTATACATGGGACCATAAATCATCAGCCGCTTTTTGGGCGGGTATGAAAGTGTACGCCTACACTCACCCCCTGATGCGAATGCTTGTCAAAGTGAAGGCTAATGAATGCAGACAACCGATCCTTGCAGACGAAGTGCAGACTTTCAAAGCCCTAATTACGATACACAAAGTCCTCCAGGAGGGTCATCCGATTGCGATTCGCGAGGCACAGACGCATGTCAATTGGCTGGATAGTTTGATGAGAGGTGTGGCTGGGGAGGGATTGCGAGGTTCGTTTATACCAATACAGGATGCATTCAAGGGTGCGGCGCATTGCTGACGAGGATGTGGTGATAGGATACGGCCCGCTGATTCATGACTATGTCATGTTCCTAGAGTCGAAGCTCCACTTCCATCGCAATCACCCCGAGTTTAACGGTTAGTGTTTGGTCATGTCTGGTCGATTGAAAAACATGCTGAGTTTCCACGAAACAGGTCTTTTCGAATATGAGGAATATATCAGTTTGAAGACGATCAATGACCCGAATGAGGGGTATGTCTGCCGAATTGTCCGATTGCGTTGATATTGAGACTGACCAATACAGTTACGAGGCTATTATGGATCTTATGAACCTCCAGGATCAAATTGACTCGTTTCAGAAATTGATTTTCTCGCATTTCCAGAATGGAACGAACAATGAATGTAGGATATCGGCCTTGGTGCCTCTGGTTCAGGAGAGTTATGGAATCTATAAGTTCATTACCAGCATGCTGCGAGCAATGCACACGAGTGAGTATGCCCCAAAATGTGTGTGGACATGGTAGCTGATGTTATTCAAGCAACCGGTGATGACGAGGCTCTCGAGCCGCTCCGGAGTCGTTATGATGCCCAACACCATCGCCTTGTCCGATTCTACTACGAGTGCTCAAACCTGCGCTATCTTACAAGTTTGATCACCGTACCAAAGCTCCCGCAGGATCCTCCCAGCCTTTTGTCCGAAGAAGACGAACGACCGGCACTCCCAAAGCGGCCAACCAACGAGGTTGAGCGCGAATTTTCACCMCCGCCTAAGCCCGCCGCTCCGGAGCCGGAACCCATAAACGACTTTTGGAACAATGAGGCTCGACGCCAGCAAGAGGAGTTTGAGGCGGAGCAGCGACGGTTGCAGCAGCAATGGGAAGACCAGCAACGCCAACAGATGCAGGCTCAACAGCAGGCGCAGCGCGACTTTGAGGAACAGCAGAGACTTCAAGCGGAGCAGCAACGACTCGCTCAAGAGGCGCTTCTTCGTGACCAGTATGCGCAGCACACTCAGGGTCGAATGGCGGAGTTGGAGCAGGAGAATCTCAATGCCCGTGCACAATACGAGCGGGACCAACTCCTGCTTCAGCAGTATGATAAGCGAATGAAAGATCTCGAGGAGCAGCTGAACAACCTCAACAACAACTTCAATCTCCAGGTCAATTCCAAGGACGACCAGATCAAAGCACTCCAGGAACAGGTCAACACGTGGCGTTCGAAGTACGAGGCTTTGGCCAAGCTGTACTCGCAGCTGCGACAAGAACATCTTGACCTGCTACAGACCACCAAAGCTCTGAAACTCAAGGCTGCATCTGCCCAGGAGGCCATCGACAAGCGTGAGAAACTCGAGCGTGAAATGAAGACCAAGAATCTGGAGCTTGCGGACATGATCCGCGAACGGGACCGTGCCTTGCATGAGCGTGACCGTACAACCGGCACCAACAAGGAAGAACTAGAAAAGTTGAAGCGTGAGCTGCGGCTTGCTATTGAGCGTGCAGAGAACGCAGAGAGACAAAAGGGATCGGAAATTTCGTCCATGTTGTCCAAGTACAATCGTGAGATGGCGGATCTCGAGGAGGCATTACGCGTATGTCTTCCCTTGGATATGACGATAACTTTATCCGACGGGATGCTAACTGATATAGAACAAAACGCGTGCTTTGGAAGAATATACCTCCAAGCGCGGCGAGCTTAGTGAAGATCACGAACTTGCTCTGCGTGAGAAGGATGAGGAAATTGAAGTGTACAAGTCTGGCATGGAGCAGGCTTTGATGGAACTTGAGGAGTTGAGATTGGTATGTCTTTCCTTCTAATACGAAAGCCTAAACTAATTTCAGCAGAGCCAAGGAGACGTGGATCACGCGCTCGACTCTCAAATCGACGAAGTCCTTCACGGAACAGTGGCCAAGATCAACGACATTATCGACTCGGTGCTGCAAAGCGGTGTCCAGCGTGTAGACGATGCCTTGTACGAATTAGAGTCTTCGATGCAAGCCGGTAACCAGAGCGCTTCTCCTGCCTACGTGCTGTCACAGGTCGAAAAAGCTTCTGCCTCTGCTACGGAATTCTCTACTGCTTTCAACAACTTTATCGCCGATGGACCGAACAGTTCGCACGCGGAGATCATTCGCACAGTTTCTGTATTCTCTGGCTCGATTGCCGACGTACTGAGCAACACTAAGGGTCTAACACGTTTCGCAACTGATGATAAGAATTCTGATCAGCTAGTCAACGCTGCCCGCAAGCCTGCCCAGGCCACCATTCGATTCCTCCGTGGCCTGCAATCATTCCGTCTCGAAGGCCTTGAGCCCTTACAAAAGACCGACGTCGTCATTAACAACAACCTCGAAGTCCAGCGCGACCTCCAGACCCTCTCCAAGTTTGTCGACACCTTCGCCCCCAAGGGCAGTAAGCTCAGCACCTCCGGCGACCTGGGCGATCTCGTCGACCAGGAACTCGAAAAAGCCGCCAACGCCATCGACGCTGCTGTCGAACGCCTCGCCCGTCTCCGCAAGAAGCCTCGCGATGGGTACACCACCTACGAACTCCGCGTCAACGATACCATCCTGGAAGCCGCGCTGGCCATCACCAACGCCATCGCCGAACTCATTAAAGCCGCCACCGAATCCCAGCAAGAAATCGTCCGCGAAGGCCGCGGCTCCTCGTCACGAACAGCATTCTACAAAAAGAACAACCGCTGGACCGAAGGCCTAATTTCAGCCGCCAAAGCAGTCGCCACATCCACAAACCGTTTGATCGAGACCGCCGATGGCGTTATTTCAGGCCGCAACTCCCCCGAACAACTCATCGTGGCCAGTAATGACGTAGCAGCCAGCACGGCCCAATTGGTGGCCGCATCACGCGTCAAAGCGACATTCATGAGCAAGACACAGGAACGCCTCGAGACAGCCAGCAAAGCCGTCGGGGCCGCCTGCAGGAGTCTCGTGCGCCAGGTCCAAGCCATCATTGCAGAGAAGAACAAGGACGAAGGCGAGTCCGTCGATTACGCTAAATTGAGTGGCCACGAATTCAAAGTCCGCGAGATGGAGCAGCAGGTTTGTCCCCTTTTCCTAATTCAAGATGTTATAGATAGACAGTGGCTAACTAGTACAGGTCGAAATCCTTCAACTCGAAAACGCGCTTTCGCGCGCAAGAACGAGACTGGGAGAAATGCGCAAGATTTCGTACCAGGAGGACTAATCCAACCCATCCCCTTATCCTCTCTTCATTTGGATGTTTTGTTGTTGCGTCTCAGCTCTCTGTATTTGCGTCCTCTCGTTTCGTTCTCTTTCTATGGTTTCTATATGTACAGGAGATACTTTTTGTCTATCGTTTATATTGAGTCTCAATGTTTCATTTTCTTCGTCGAAGGGTATGTTGTATGTTTGATTGCGTAAAAGTATCTATAACCATACCTGCCTATGGTATGGAACTTCCAGATTGTATTTGTGAGTATCTTCTTGCTTCAATTCTAGCTATTGGACTAGGTCAAACTATCATACCACCATACGATGTTATAATTTCATCTATTCTATGTACTATGGACTTTCGGGTATGCTCTTCGTGTATGATTGCGAGATATCTGTCCATGGTAACGGGGTTCAGGGGTTCTTCATGGCCGGGCTGTCTTATAAGCATCTACTGGATCAATAGTACTGTGACTACCTGACTGCTATCAGGGTACATAGATCAGATAGGCATCTACATACACAACACAGGTACACACCTCCTACGTAGCAGCACATCTCAGCAGACAGCTTTACACTTGGCAACGACAACAGCGTATTCGCAGCACAGCCTAACCTACCCTACCCTGAAGGGCCTAAACTTGCAGACGATCACCCAGCCCCGATCTCGATAATTTCCTTCAGGACCTCGTGATCAGTCACAGACAAGCATTGCACGGATACTCTACATACCCGTTCGTATTCCCAACCGGCCCGGTCCGTTCAACTTGCATTGCAGTCTTGCAGAACGAAGCATATTCGGTGGAAACACGGGGTTTCCCTAGCCATGAACGCATATAAAATTCCTCATGCTATAGATCCACAAATGCAAGATGGGACCAGGATAGGACCAGCACGGACAGACATGTGCCAAGTCGCTGAATCGGATGCAAAGCCTGCCACGCCGGAGGCCTAATTCATGGAAGTGTTCGTGTTGCTGATATCGAGGCTTGACGACTTCGTAACCATAAGAGAGCCTGGCAGATATGTGCCTTATGCAAGATTCAGAATTGAGTATGTCATTTCTAAAACCCAGTCCGGATTCGAGCTATGAGCCAACGCCTGCAGCCACAATGAGCGCGCATTTCGGTACCAAAGCATAGACTAATCTAAACTCCAGCTCATAAATCCCTTGGTCCGTATCAGGTTGCATGCCAGTACGTGGCGGCTATAGTTTCCAGTCCAATGGAACGCCGATTCATTTCGTTGATGGCCAATGTGGCTTGTATTTCCTTTTGCGGGGAACTACGTATGGGTCATGCACTGTCAATTTCGCTTCAGCCCATGAAGGCTGCCCTGGTGGCTTGAAGAAATTCGCTACGTACCACGTAGTCTACAGGTTCTTGGTCAGCCATGTCGACTGATTTGCCGCCATAATCGCTCGGAGTCAGAAGAAGAGAACTTGCATCCAGTAGTGTCAAGCATGCATTAATCTCCGTCTGCAGCCATCCATTTTCAATCCGACGCTTCTTGTGCACGGTCCACTTTACCCGACAACTTTACCACGACGTTCTTTGCTTGCTATGTCTCTCCATAAGCCCTCCTCACCAGCTAGGGCTTGTTACACGTCGTGTCACGGTGTCACCAGACCGTTGAAGAGTTTGTGACCAGTTGAGTAGGTTACACCTCGATACCCGTCCGCTTTGAGTAACGTCGAAGGATCAGATTGATGATTTGCACGATGCACAATCATTGGCGAATATTGGTGCATATGACCACCCTCGTGAAGTAGCGCTTTCGACTCTCGGAACTTTCATTCATCTCGCATAATTTCGAGAAATAATTGGCAGCCATGATCTCAGCCTGGCCATAGCTTGGTATTGTTGCAACCCCTTTCAGTTTCATCAGAGAAAACTGCAGATGGCTGCAGATGCAAAGTATCTCATTCGACGCAAGTTCTCGGACCGACCTCTGCATCCTGCAGCTCTCGCGTGGCTTTGTGATACTAGCATCTATATTCGGTAATCACGGGATGTAGCATTTCTTTGTTCCCTTTCGCCTAAACCCCAATCGCGTAGGCCTAGTGGCGTTGACTACAAAGAGAGTGGCAATAAAAGACAAAGAAAGGGAGCATAAGCAGCGTTCCAATCTGTAATACTCCGAATCGCACAAGTTTGGACTTGTTTAGGGAGCGAGCAGATTATTGCGTCGTAAATTATGGTGCGTAAATAATTTCGAATCAAGGTGCCGGAAGACGATGGACACGTCAAATTCGAGGCGCTTTCTTCTCTGGAAATGATTATCGATTCGGTTAATTGAAATTAGACGCCACAGCCGCCGTTGAAACAGTCTGTGTTCCTGAAGGAGCTACCTGCGCTAGATGAGCAGATTCTTTCTGTCGATCGGCCGCGTTGTTTCCGGCTTGCAATATCGAGTTTGACGTTCTTTCTGGACTAGGTTCTTTCGAGCTCTAATTTACATGTCCTGTGCAGAAAGATAATCCAAAATTAGCAATACACAAAATCTAAGTAGCCAGTAGAGAATGAGGCTTGCGTAGCTATAACTGTAGAGTGAAGAGCATCGATCGACGTTGGTGATAGACGGGACGTGCCTCTATTCAAGAACAGACATGACGCCGACCTCCGACATACTTGTTGCATGATATGAAGGCAGGCGACATAGTTGACGACTCGAGATGACGGCGGAAGTATTGGTTGAGGTCGGAGATTGGAGAGGTGCAAGAAGGAAGTTGCATACGTGCCGCCATCCACGGCAAGAAGATGGATGAATCGAGGCAGCTGCGGTCCGACTGCCTTGTACTGCATGCTTAGAAAAGAAAATGTATCGCTCGCTAATTGTTTCCATTCGCATTACTGTTGCTAGAGCTAGACTAGTTGAAGCCATCGTCATCGTCAAGTCATGATCATGGGTAGCTGTTTGGAAATAAAAGCATAAGAAAAGAAATGAAAGCCATCCCAGGCTCCGTAGAGAGCCATCACCATTGACCATAGTCTTGATTATACGCAATTGCCCTTATCATCACTCATGATTCATCATCATGTAAACTACGCCTAAACTTGCGCCTTTTGACCTAACTACCGTGTAAAGAAGTATGATTCGTTTCGCCATCTATGCAGTAGCCCGCGCGCCCTTGTCTTTCTTTTTCCGACTTTTTATTTGCTTTTGTTTTTGAATTTTTCGAATGTCTGTGCGGTCGAGAATAGAGGGCTTGCGGACACAGAGAAAAAAGAAAGAAAACTCATATTAGATTCCATGAAGATGAGAATCGAAGTAAGACTCGCAGAATGATCACCAATAATCGACCTCGGCTTCGTAGTAGACAGAAGGCATTCGCTGATTGATGTGCTGACAGATCACGGCCCGTGAGTTGCGAGAGTAGTGAAACTGAATCGAGAAGTGTTCGTGTAGGAGGACGACGATGAGCAGCAGCGTTCTCGAAATACACAATTTCTGTACTTTGGTAACCATGGCTTGCATAGATATTCGTACTACCATCTCAAATCAGGCATTCTGAGCGATCATTCACATTTCAACTGAAAGAGATTAGTAAATTCAGATATGATGTGATCAAATAACTTACAAGCTTCATCCGTCATGATAGAGATGCAGGCGCGCATTGCGTGGTACGTTCTGCGGCTTTTGATCAACCAGTTGCCTGACAGATGTTAGCAGAATTCCAATGATCACATTATTTGCGTTCACTTCGACTTACGGAAGAGAAGTATGTCGTAGGGATATGCTCGAGTGCTTCTGATGACAACTCTAAGCTCTTCCAATGTCATGTTTGGTTGCTTGTCTAGAAGGTCATAGAAGATCTTCTGAGTGCGACGACGCCATTCATGACTGCGATGATCCACTCTCAAAAAGTTATAGTGCTCAGCAATGAGCTTTCTGGGATATTGGTTAAACTTAATAATTGAAGAACTCTTAGGCGGTGCTTACGTTAGATAGTATTCCCGTAGCCCACCTCGAAAGATGTGGTGATAGCCGAAGCGTTTGGCGTATGCCATAAGCTGAACATGGCCGAGTCGTTCATATTCCAGCATCTTATTGTGGGCTTCAAGATTGGTTTTGGCATCCACTCTCCCTTCAAAGTCCTTAGGCAAGAAAGTAAAGATCTCAAAGGGATGAGCTTCAAAGTCAGAAATGGCTGGTACAATGTGAAACTCGATGACTGCATCCTCGATCTGCTTTCCCCAACGCTCGACGAGAGTCGAAGGCTCAGGATTAGAACTGATGATAGAGGGCTGAGGGCAGACCAGCTCGCCTCGACACATAGCAGTGGTCTGTGCCATAAGGCGATAGGGATTGTGGTGCTGGCCGTAGAAATTGATGATATAGTAGGCCTGAAGGCGACGCGAAGGAGGGGTGGATGAATTCAATTGCATCTGACGAAGCCACACGAGCAACATTGTGATGTTGTCCTCCATCTTGTCCGGTGGCGGTGGTGGGAGGAAGGGGCCTTGATGATTTGAGGACATGATTCTTTGAGGCACGAGTGAGGGTTCGATAATGACAAAGAAGATAAAAGTAAGAAGATGAAAGGAGGAGATAAGTGAAGAGAAGAAAAGGGGAGGTGGGTGAAGAAAAGATGAGGGGAGGGTAAGCTAGTGAGTGGATGAATGGGTAAGGGTCAAGTGAAAGCTGGGCAGAGAGAATAGTCTCAATAGACTCAATAGGATGCCTCGGTGGCTGGGAAAAGACTAATGAAACTGAGCGGGCGTTTGTAGAGGAAGGGTCCGTTGGAGAGGAGGAGGCGTTGAATTACAGGCGTTTGATCAACAAAGAAACCGGCATGCCTATCCGGATTTAAGAACCACTCCAGATCCTCCACCTCCTGTCAAGTCTTCTGGCTGAATAATATCCTTGCCCACCTTCAATAATTTCTTTTTATCCCAAGTTCTTCCTCTTGTTCAACATCGCCATCTCATCACACTTGAATATCTTCATTTCGCCCCCCGGATCGCCAGAATTTAGCCAAGAACAATAACCACTCTTCTCATTCATACAAGGCTCCATCATTTGTCAGAATGGAGTCATACGCTGTTGAACCTGAAGCCGGGATGGCTAATAGTGCAGCAGACCTCATTTGGACTCAAGCCATCATGAATTTCCATTTGACTGACAACGAGATCCTCATTCCACTCAATATCACTGCCGTTATTGGATCTTCGAGTATTGATCAACTCAAATCGCAACTATCGTGAGTATATCCGCCTGAGCATACATATACGTGAGCTAACCTCTGTCTCAGGACTTTTCTGGGCCGTGCTTGCGTGGCTTTCGTTGATGAGTCCCTGGGATGTGTTCGAATTCTAGCCCGGCCGGAATTCCATGGTCTAGGATCGGCTACTGATAACATGGTGATGGCTCAAACGTCGACTGAAAGACAATTTGAACTTAGCGATTGTCCAGTCAGATCTCCTGAAAAGATAAACAAGAAGATAGAAAAGCGCAACAAAGTTCCTCGACCCCCTAATGCTTTCATTCTCTATCGCAAGCATTATCACTCTATTCTCAAAGAACAAGATCCAAACATGCATAACAATGACATTTGTGAGTAAACTCCATCACTTCAACACAGTTTACTGATAACTCCAGCTGTCACTGTCGGATCGCTCTGGAACAACGAGTCGGAGGAGATCAAGGCTCACTTCAGAGAACTCGCTGCTGAGGCCAAGCGTGAACATGCTCTGAAATATCCAGACTATCAATACGCTCCACGCAAGCCCTGTGAGAAAAAGCGTCGAAACTCTCGCAAACCCTCTGGAAATTCCGATTTCGATGCACTTACCGAAGACGAAGAGGACCATGAGGATCATTCCCTTCAAACCCCATGCGAATCTCCTTTGAATTCCAGCCCCTCTACCGTGGCCAGCGGACAGGATCAGGACTATTTCGCCGACCACACAATTGAAGAACTGATGGCTTTCGTTGCTGTTCCCTCTCCCCCTCCTGAATCCTACAGCTATTCAGACTTTGATGGTACTGAGTACACCGGCTGGGTCAACACTGCCAATACCGCACAAAGAATGGCAGCGGTCGCTCAGTACAATGCGCGAAATCAGGCTCAGGCCCATATCCAAGCTCGAGCTCTAAAGAACAATACACCCAAGTTTCGATAGGGGTTGCTCATGGTTCTAACTGGAACTGTCATAATCGTTGGGCTTGCTACATGAATCTTGACATGTCGCTGTCTTTACGCCATCTATCATCACGATCAGGAATTTCAGATGGAAATCAGTCGCTGTTGGTTCGAGCTATCTCTATCAGTACTCATCGTCTTCTTTCATCTCGACTTTGATCACCACGTTTCATCTCTAAAGCTCAAAACTCAAACCAGAGGTTGCCTTCCACCATTCACCACCCGAATCTCAACAAGCAAACCCTCACAAAAAAAACTTCGAAAACCCCATCAAAAGCCTCGACTCAAAAGACAGACAGAAAACCCATCAGAAACCAACAAATCGCATGATACCACATTTTCTGTTTCGACTTTTTCTGTCTCGTCTACATCCATCTCCCTGGCATCCATATCACCAGTCTGGCAATGTATCCGAACCAAAAAAAGGGGGGGTATGGGAAATGAAAGGGCATCTCAACAACTCGACGACAAGCACAGTCTGAAGCCGGATATCATCTATTTGCTCCAAAATAGATCAACTATTCTTCACACTTTTTTTTCAATTCGGTTATCCGGTCATTCTCGCAAGCGTTCGCTCAGTTTTTTTTGGGTCCATCCACTTCTTCGATCCGCGTTTCGTTCGTTCTTCGACTTACATGCATGTTCTTCGTTCTCGATACATTTCATTACACTTTTAAAATTTACTCGTTTACTCGTTTTCGCGCAATTATCATGGCCTCCGGACGGGCCTTACGACTTGTGATTCCAACGAACTTACGCCACTGTCGAGCCTCTCTCTCCTTTTCGGGTTCAATGGGCAATGGGCAATGGCTTACGACTTTCTCTACATGATATTACAATCGATCGCTAAGATACCCCAACCATCTTTTACAGCAAACGAAGACTTTTCTCTATTCGATAAAGCACCAGTTTCGGCGAATGGGGGGACGGACGGCGACGGGAGATATAAGTTGCTTTTTACACACTTTGGGGACGGAAAACACTGTCGAGTAGACAAGGGTGTGGAAAGGAGTTGAGGACAGAAAGGAGGAGAGACTGGGGGGTTTTTTTTATGGACATGATGATGCTTATGGGTTTATGCTTATGGTCACTACGTTTCTAGTGGGTGGAGGAAGAAAAGGGGATGATCAGCAGGGGAGATAGGAGTGCTTGGCTTTAAGGGGAGAAGTAGTTCTAGATTGAGATAGTCAATGGGACGGTACTCTTTGAAAATTGTGTGCCTTCTTTTTGGTCCATGTAGAAGTATGTTGTAGACGTGTAAGTACAGTGGATGCCTTGGAATCTAGGTGTAGATGGGATTGCTGCCTGAACGGATTGAGGTTCCTGGGTAGACTGTTCAGAGCCTTGTCAAGATGAGTTTTCTATCCTATGCACCACTTTCTCCTTGCCTATGTACAGATCCTGAAGGGACATGATGTATCGAAAATCAGGAGGTTGGGAGAAAGATTCTCATGGCTCTCTGCACACAATGACGTTGTGAGACAAACGAGTCACGAGGGCGAACATGAAACAAGACCTGAAGAATTTTACTGCGATGCTTCGGCGAGCTATCGTGTCGGGATGGCCTGTCACCTTAACAGTTTCCTGATGGGTTTCACAAGGCTGACAATGTGGTTGTATTATTGTTCGATAGTGAGACACGAGGCAGGAAGAAGGCGATGGAAATCAGGGGGCTGGTTGATTGGTCGTGCGGGCGAGTCAATAGGCAGCAAGCTATTGTGGCTGGGAAGAGAATAGTGGGATTGTTCGATTAAAGTCGGCGGGAAACGGTGGAGGAGTCGAGAATTACTGTCTGCCTAGATATAGAAGCGATTGTATGATTGCTAGGGAAGCCTTGTGGTTCGGAGACAGAGAACAAAACGAGAGGGTCAGCTGACCAGTGTTTCAGATTCATTCCATAAGAGAGAAAATTCCCTCATCTATTGACGCATTTGGAGTTGAATGGGAACGAAGAGGCTGGTCCCTACTTATTTGGCTTGGGGTGGCCGGGGAGAACCGCTGGTCTTGAGGCACGTGCCCTGGAAGAAAATTCTTGATATTAACGAGATCTGGTCAAGTCTTCAAGGGCAGCCGTTTAACACCAGTCTCCAGGATGGAGGATTCTCAGATATCAGCCATCGTCGTGGCGCAGGCTCAGTGAGCGCGACAGAGAACCTGATGTCACGTGGAGAGATTTTTTGATGCAAGCCCTTTTGGTGTTTGCCCTACTCGTGTGTCTGTTGATAAGAAAGTCCTACGGCCAAGAATTTGATGCCATTATATTCAGTTGTCCTTCCAATGCGAGACATCGTTCATCGCTCACATCGCGATAGCTTCATATACGTCCTCCGAACAGCCCAAGCATTATGCGCCTGAATCCTGTCCATTCCAATCACTCGCCCAGATGAACGTCTTGCATCGCCATTGCGTTCCCTTTTCCTTTTGGCCAGTCGGACCCAGCGGTCGTGAGCACATCCAGAAAGATCGACCACAATTGATACCTGATTTTTTTGTCGTGAGCATGATACAGGGCTCCTGGTGTTCTTCACATCTTGGTGTCGCTTTCTTGGTGAATAGCTTCGACCATGACTCCTTGCTAACTATTGGATCGATTATAGTCTCTTCCGTTGATTCTGTCCTTGCGCCGTAATCAGTCGCTGTTGCCTGCGAGGTTTGACTTGGTTTTGGTGGTGATATAGATACAGGGAGTACGGACTTTGAAGGACTGGAACCCACAGTATCATCAAAGTCTGAGATACTGACTTCTTGCGCGTTTTTCGCATCCTGGCTATCTTTCGTTTTCTTCGGTTTGAAGAAGCCCATCAGGCTTTGCTGCCCCTTCACTGAAGTGGTTGGATCTGACCTGCCTCCGGATTTACTTTTCTTTGAAGGTGGTGCAGGCGCGCTTTCTTTGCGTGCTCGTTTAGATACGCTATTTGCCGGAGAATTGGAAGTTCGTTCAGAATTAGATTGTGATTGGCACAACTCCGACCTGGACGGGCTCTTGAAAGGCTCGACCGAGTCTGTCGAGGCAGATTCAGACAGAACGGGAACAAATGTTTCAGTTACAGCATTGCCGATGGCCATGCTATTCTCCTTAAAAGATGATGATGGCTTGCGAGTGAACATGTCTTTGATGCTTCGTCGCTGGGTAAACTCCGGAATGAGACGACCAGATAGAGCCAATTGGTCCTTTGCCGAGTATTCACGCTTTCGAATGCCATTTTCAAACACACCAGGAGGGTTGACAATGTCTTTGATATCAACTTCATTGCCGTTCAAGAACACCTTCTCCTTGAATATCGCATACACGGGACAATGATCAGAGCCCTGGGCGAGTTAGTACAAACTCGTAGAACATACAACAAACATACCATGAGACCCTCTTGTATGTTACCCTCGCTCCACCAATCTTTCATATCCAAACTACTCAAGATGTAATCTATTCTCGCGCCATAGTTTCCCGGCCGTGCATTTACTCGCGTTTCCCAGCAAGTATACATCCCTCTTCGATCAGGGTGAAACGAACGACAAACATCATGGAGCACCGGCATTTCTCTTCCCGAGTCGCGTTCGCCCCCCACCTTGGCGCCTTCGACCAACTGGTTGAAGACTCGTCGTACAGGGCTTGAGACAAATTCATCTTCGCTTCCGGTTCCTTTACGTATAGCTTCCGTGAGGTGGGCGGAATCTATCTCGCCGGCGGAAATGTTGAGGTCACCAGTAACAATAACCTTCTTGCCCATGGCAACGAGATTCCGTACGCGAGCATCTAGTAGAGTAATAAAGCCTTGGCGAAAATCATCCCGTGTCTCGTCGCGGGCAGCAGGGCAGTACAGTCCGAGAAGAACGAAGGCGGGAAATTCCAATATAACACAGCGCCCTTCACAATCGAGCACTTCTGGGTCAACTTGCAATTCTGAAAGCTGTTCCATGGATGGATATCCGCCAATTTGTTGATCATCCGGTAAATGGCGGAATGAAGTCGTAGAGTTTGGAGGACATAACAGCCCGGTGATGCCTTCTTCTGCCCGAATGGGTGTACATGTTTCGTTGCGTGTGTAAATCACCACTCCGGAATAGCCTATACATATAAGTTTGTGAGATAGAGCACAGGTCTTGGCAAGACGTACCTTTCTTGTGCCTGGGAAGACTAAAATAGCAGTCCCAACCTGGCACAAGGACCATGTCATCCCGGAGGTCTTTTCTCTGAATTTTGGTTTCCTGGAAGATAACAATGTCCGCTTCCAAAATATCAAACATGGCCTAGATAAGTATCAGTATATGATCGCCTGACAGTGACGGATAGTGCTCACATTGAATGATCGATTATCTCTCCAAGGGTGGTACCCGAAAGGATTTCTGTAACAGATAGCATGTAAGTATCTATTAGGAGCTGCCATAGTGTGAATCTATACTTGCCGTATTCCATTGACTGTTCTATGTATTAGCTTGTCAAGATCCAAAATTGAACACATTCAAAACATACCGTTCCATGTCGTTATCCGGAAGCCCATGGCGACGATCCACTTCGTCTCACATGCTAGACCGGGAGATAGTGTACTCTTCTCAGTCGCCTTAGTGAAGTTCAATAATACAAGTATTTCAGAGTAATCGCGTACGACATGTCGTCAACGCGGCAGTTGGCACGAGATCCCGTGACTTGTCTGCATGTTGCGATCGAATCACTGCCTCAGGCCGCAAGTCTGAGTGATGTCACTCTTGGCAGCTGACATAAGCATTTGATGTCTTGGCGTGGCCGCATGAAGCTCGGCTCCGGCTCTCCGGCGAATCACGGGGCCAGCCTAACGGATTTCGTCAGACCACCCGAACCTTCATCACACTTCGACTTCAATAGACCTCTACTTCAGTTGTGTGCACCATCAATCGCCAATTGATCCTCCCAACCATGCTTTCTCAACGCAACATGCAGCGCCTCGGCCTCCGCTTGGCCAAGCAGGCTCGTCCTACTCCTGCTCGCAACGTCGTCCAGCGCCGTTTCAACAGCACCCAGAACAAGCCCGACTGGATTGTCGACAACGCGTTCAACCGTGAGCGTGAGAATGTCAAGCACCACGCCGCTTCTACCAGCAGTATGTCTCTCGATCGTGCCGGAAATAATGTTTCGGATTATTTGGTTTCACATGGTCAATTGCTAATAATCGCGCAGCTCTCTGGTTGAGACTTTCCATCTTGTTTGTACCCGATCGACATATCGTATGACATTGCTTTATTTGGCTGATATACTTCGGTAGTGCTGTTATTCCCTTCCTCATCGGTGGTAGTATCAACGCCTATAACTTGTGGAACGAGCACTGGGAGCACTGGAACCACATGCCCCCTCTTGAGGAGCGTACCGAGTACGCCTACCAGAACATTCGCTCCAAGAACTTCCCCTGGGGTGACGGTGACAAGGTATGTACTGGTCCTATCATTTACGAGAATATAGCTAACATTTTATGTAGACAATCTTGTAAGTTACAAGTTCAATTAATGCAGAAAGCATCAACGCCGCACTGCGGCAGATACTGACCCTCCAACAGCTGGAACAGCGACGTCAACTACCACAACCCCGACAAGGCCTAAACGTCTACTCTTGACTGACTGTCTGAGAGATTACCCGATACCTTTCGACATGCCAGCGGTCTCAGACAATTCCTCTATAAACTGGCTTGAATCGGGCACCGGTTTGTAATTAAAAAGAGAAACGGGCCGGCCCAAAATCCAAAGTTGATGGCTTTACAAGGCTGTCGTTGTGCTTTGCTGTCATTCCATGTTCATTTCCTTTGTATGTAACTTAGATTCAATGAAAGGGATGATTTCCTGTCAAAACGTTCAAACTCTGGCTATTTCGTATGGCTACGGTGAGAGTGACCGACATTGATCGGGTTTGGTGAGACTTGTATGGAAGTGGAGAGTTGACAAGGATGGGCGATATTTGGTATCTGTGAGCTGACGCCACGAATAGAGATGATGATAATTATTTGACCGACAGCACAATTTTTTGCATCCCCAGCAATCATTTCACCAAGGCACCAAACCTACAAGATAGGCCCGCGCGAAGGCACAACATACTAGTTCACACTAGCAGCGTACTTCAACGGTCGATCACCGACTTCTGCCATTGAACATACTATTTCTGCCACCGCAGTTGGAAAGCTCGCCTTCACATAAGCAGCCACAAGATCGATACCATTCGTGATACCACCTGCAGCACGTCAGATCCAAACATCATCATTCTAGATTGGAGAAGGAATAGTACATACCACCAGTCCAGATATGCCCGTCCTGCACCACTCTCACCGAATCATCCCACGTCGCATTCGGAAACTCCTTCTTCAGAACAGGTAAGAACACCCGTGGTCCCGTCACATGTCTCCCTTCGTATATCCCCGAGCGCGCCGTTACAAAAGCGCCACTACAAATCACCAAAAACGTCGTTTTATTCTCATTATGTGCCCGCACAAACGCTTGAGTCTTCCCATCCGGGATTGTGGTAGGCTCCGGACCGGGTATGACCAAGATATCAAGGTTCCCAGGACTAACTTCGCTATCTTCGATGGTGTGCGTAAGACATACGCCGGCTGTGGAGGTGACTTGTACTACGTTCGAAACGTTGTTGGTTTGTAGTGCGGTAGCTGATGGGCAGCCGATGTAGAAGAGTTTGAGCGGTCGGGCCAAGTCGACGATTTCTTGGGGGAGTCCGCAGATGGTGAGGTATTCGGGTGTGGTCATGCCGAAGATGTCGACGGCGGCCAGGTCGAGGAGTTGGACTATGCCGGTGAAGAGCACGCCGACGCGGAGTTCTTTGGACATGTTGGCTATTTGTTACGTATACTTAGGTAGCGAACCTTGTGTTTAATCGAAGACCGAGTGAAAGTCTTTCATTTGCGATCGAGACGCTGCAATCTATATTATATACTGACAAGCTAAGCCCAGAGGCGTCAAAATTGAGACGGCACCGCATCCCGCGCCCTAGAGAAGACTGCGCTCAGTTTATTCAACGAGCGGAGCGACGGTAGAGGAAAGCCGCACTGGCATGAGCTGAGACTGCACGATCAAGAGATTAAGCTACCCAGTTGGGAAATAGAGGGGAGCGTAATATTACACCGTAATAACGGTGATATTACCCACCATTTTTCCGGAAATACTCTACTCCGAAGTGGCAAGAAAGGAAGGTGGGCTGCTTCGGTAAGGAAAGAGTAACAAAGCAGTCTGGTTGGCTGTCCGCTGCCATCACGTGGTTCCTGACCCCGATCAATTCGATGCTCTTCGACGCTCATGCCTCATGTCTGTCTGCAATATAACATATGATCAGAGACGATTGCTTGAGTGGACGCCGATGTTGGTCAAGCATAAGCATTCGGATGTATGGGATGCTTGCATGAAATACGATCATCTTGTCTCTTGGTTTGGCAAAGTGTGAGTGCCGACCCTTTCCGTTTTTCAGGCCGGTTTAGTACGCTTCGAATCCGGCTATCAGTGTGCATGCTGCGCGACACAATTTTTCGTCGGGTTTCAGCATCTGCGTCACTCTGTTTCACTAAGCTATGGAATTGGCGAGTGTTGAAGGAAAAATGGAAAATGCACAATTGATTACAACTCGGACTACATAGTTCGTACATTAGCTAACTCGTCTAGATGATTACAGATGATCTTGTCTATACGAAAGTCACTCACTTCGGCTTGCTTTGCGGGCCGAATACTACAAGATGAGCAGTGCTCGTGATGCGCAAAACTTTGCAGTACGTTTGACAGCCGAGCCACTTGTTGTGTTATACTGACATCGTTTAGTGTGATGAATGCAGAGCGAGAAAGTCAAGGGTAAAGCACCTATTCAGATACAGCCGGTTATCAACTAACTTTGCTCAAGTGCTCCAAAGGAAAGCCAAAATGTCTCCAATGTCTGAAACTCGGGAAAGAATGTATCTACAGTCCGAAGATCGTTCGGAGTCCATTGACACGACAGTGAGTTTGTTCTTATTGCGGCTTATCACGTTCTAACACCTCGTGCAGACATCTTACATATGTGGAAGACCGGCTGAATGCCGTGGAGACGGCGCTGAGTAAATTGTTTCCAGGAGGCGATTTGGATAGTGTTGTAGGCTCTCTACTCCAGGATCAGGATCCTCATCAGCGGAAATCATTGTCGCCATCTGTTTCGTCAAAAGACTCTCCACGTCCTCGGCCAGAGAGCAAGCATTCCGAGCCCGCTTTGGAAGCAGTTCCACAGCAAGCTGATGGATTTGACTGGGCTGAGCGAGAGATCTCACTCGGTGATCTCTCTGATGGTATGGCGGCCTTGTCTATCAGACCCGAAGGAGCTGGGTATTTTGGGGCATCTTCTAGCGTTGTCCCGCTACGAGCCATTACAGAGCATGGCTTCGATTTGAATATTCCATCGCCGGGTGGATCAGGCTATCACAGAACAGCACCACTCAAGTCCCAGTTGATCAGTTCAGCTCCGTCGGGTTTGGTGGAGCAGGCGTTTATCGACTCTTATTTCATGAATTATCACAGCAGTTACCCGTTCATCCATGAAAGTACGTTTAGGGCACAATATCACGAGCAGATACCCCGGCCTCATGGGCCAGTATGGCACATTCTCCTCAACACGATTCTTGCTCTTGGTGCGTGGTGTATCGGGGATGATAGTTCAGATTTGGATATTACCTTTTATCAAGAAGCCAGAAGTTACTTGCAGCAAACATCGGTATTTGAGATGGGAAATATCACCCTTGTGCAAGCATTGGTTCTTCTCAGCAACTACACACAGAAGCGGAATAAACCTAATACCGGCTGGAATTATTTGGGTCTGGCTGTACGAATGTCAATGAGTCTTGGAATACACAAAGAATTTCCAGGCTGGAAGATTAGCCTGCTGCAACGGGAGATCCGCAGGCGGCTGTGGTGGGGAGTCTTCATGTTCGACAGCGGTGCAGCCAAAACGTTTGGACGCCCGATTCTACTTCCAGACGAGACCATAATGGATGCGCATCATGTGTTGAATATTCACGAAGAATCGCTTACACCGGCCACGACGGCAATACCACCCGAAGTCAACGGGCCAACCATATATTCTGGTCTAATTGCACAGGCCAATTTTCATTTAAAGACCAACCACGTCTATCAGCAATTACTCGTCTCCAGCCCGAGTATCACTACAGCAGAGGCACAAGAATTGCAGAAGCCTATGGAGGAGTGGTCCAACGAACTGCCTTATTATCTAAAAAATGCTATCCCTGACGAGCCGGACTGGTTGGCGCTAATGCGTAATCGATTGATGTGGCGAGATATGAACATGAGAATGCTTATATATAGACCTATTGTCCTTCGATGGGCCTCGGAACGCTGGAAAGCCACAGAAAATGCCGTTGAGCCTGAAGACGAAGCAGAAAAGGAATGCAGACTCCGCTGTCTTCAATATGCCCGAGCCACGATTTCGTGTATGATGGAGTATATGGAAACCCACATGTGCACTCGACTTGGCGCTTGGTACATTCTGTACTTTCTGTTTCAGGCCGCTCTTATTCCAATCATCTTTCTCATGACTGATCCTGCTTCACCTGATGCTGCATCATGGTACCAAGACGTGGAGACCACAAAGACTATACTGAGTCACCCAACCCTAAGCAATAATTGGGTAGCTTTGCGCTGTCTCGATGTGATCACCCGTCTCTGTTCACCTGCATCGCTGGCTGAAAGCCAATCCAACATGCAAACTCAATTCATGATGCAACCGCAGGGTCATCTCTTCACTGATCAGGCATTTGGACTCTTTCAGAGTGAGATGAGCGGTCAGGGTGGTGTCGGAATTGGACCGCCCAATGCTGGCTTGGACTTTACGGAATGGGTAAACTATCCAGGGCAAGAAAACAACTATACTTGAAGTCTTACGCTTACCATACGACCTAAGACTGGGGTGGTTGATGTGAATATTCATTCTGATATTTACTTTTGGAGGATCTGTTGTTCCCACCCGGAGACGTACAGAGTCGTATATAACAGTTCGGTCCAGAAGTATATACTTAGGTCCCAGTACCCGACGTGAATGAACAAGCAGGTCATATCAATGCGCGTGATCTGACGAGGTCACATCAAGTCGCCTTTTAAGGCATCAGCGTACGCAACAGGGGTGCACTAGTTCAATCCGTGGGCATGTTCCTGCTGCACAATATCATCCTTGAGCACCTCCTGGCTAACAAGCGGAACACCGCGTAACTGAGCCTCGATATGGACAATACGCTGCTTTTCCTCGTGGGCCGCGGTATCACCAAAGATGAGATCCATATCTTCGAGAGTCTGCGGGACATTACAATTAGTCAATGACATGATGAAATAGCAAAATGTACATACCTTTCCTCTTGTTTCTGGAATCACGAAGAATGTGAATGCGAAAGCAAGCAGACAAAACACTGCAAAGAAGAGATATGTGCCCCAAGTAATGGACGAAAGCATGTCGGGCGTAACCAAGCCGATGATACTATTTCTTATCAGTATCATTCGAGTAAAGGAGTAAGACGACTGTAGACTCACAAATTGCACATCCACGTAGCCGAAGTCGTAATCGAAATAGCCTTTGACCGAATTGAAAGATTGAAAATCTCCGAGGGCAGAACCCATCCAATCGGTGCTATATCCTGTCAGCAAGACAGTAAACCCGAGAAACGAAAGGGGAACATACCAAAAGAATACGAAAAATTAATATCATAAATATAAATAAACGCAATGCCCGCCCAACCCGCACTCTTGTGGTTCACGAGTGAGCTTCCATACGCGCCGATGATACCAGCCACAATTACCAGCGAAACGCAGGTACCGATTGCGCCGCACATGAGCAAAGGGCGACGACCAACTCTGTCGATGAGGAACAGAGCTGGGAGCGTACTGAGGCAGTTTACGATACCGTATACGCCTGTGGCGAGGAGGGAGGTTGTGTTTCCGTCGAGTCCGAGTTGGGAGAAGATTGTGGGGGCGTAGTATATCATTGCTTTGGGCGTCGATCAGCCAGAGTAATTTGAAAGTATAGATTATGAGAAAGAGACAAGGGGCATACCGTTACAACCCATAAACTGTTGAAAGAACATCACCACACAGCCAATCGCCAACCTTTTGAAGCGAGGCCAGGAAGTCACCAACGACAGATACTGCGCAATCTCAAGTCTGATACCAGAGAGCTCGGGCCATTTTTCCTTTGCGAATGAATTCTCGAGCATGATGGATGCCTTGATCTCGAGATACTCCTTTACGACGTCCGGATCATCCCGCGCAGGCTTGCGACGTAACTGACACAATGTGGCAAGCGCGTCGTCGTCACGCTCATACATGAGTAACCATCGCGGCGAGTCCGGGAAGAATAACATTCCGATCCCCAAAGCCAAGGCTGGGATGATCTGAAGCGCAAAGGGGAGACGCCAAGATGCTTCGGATTGACCGGTACATTTGCCATCAGCGGGGATGTCGGTGTATGGGTTGAAAGTGCGTTTGGATGGTGTGCCGCCCGTGTAAGGGATTGAAGGGGCGCAGCGGGTGCCGCCGATGTAGTTTGTGCCGTAGTCGATCCAGAAGCTAATTAGGATGCCGATTGTGATTGATACTGGTCGTTGTCAGTCTGAATGTCAAAGTAGGGAGGAAAAGGGGGTATACGTTGCTGAAGCACGACGAGACTTCCTCTAATCTCCGGTATGGAAATCTAGACATCAATTGATCGTCAGAAACACTCCATACCGTCTCATTGAGGTGGAAGTCACCTCAGAAATAAACAAAGGCACAATCTGCGTCAATTGTCCAATTGCAAGMCCAGCCACAGCCCTGCCGGCAAACAGCATCGGAATATTCTGAGCACCGCACTGGATCGCCGAACCAATAGTGAAAATCACCACTGCAATCAACATGGACGCTTTGCGGCCGAAGCGATCACCAATGGGACCGTTGCAGAGGGAACCGAACCATGCCGCTGTCAAATGTTAGCAGCCCGTCTGTACCTAGGAAAACTTGCAAGAAGGGAAGGGGAAGTACCGAGTAGAAGCGTAGAAACGAACCAGCCCTCAAAGTTGCTGTCGGTGTAGATACGAGGGAAGCGGGCTCCGAACGACTGCATGGTCAGGATGCCGGAGACGACGCCTTGATCATAGCCGAAAAGGAGACCGCCGAGAGTTGAGAACTAATATGTGTCAGTATACTTGCTCAATGCATCACGGAAAGGGAAAAGATGTACCAGCGCAACGCCGAAGAGATAGGGGTTCTTGACGAGATATTGGAAACCGCCTTCTGCTGGCGGTTCGCCAGTCGTCTGCTCTGGGGAAGACATTGTGACTGTCACTCGGGTTTGATACAAGACAAGAAAAAATCCTCACTTAGAGCAAGTCACCTAAGAGAGATGTTAAGGTAACATCAGCATCAGCAAAGGAGCACATTTTATATCTATCCGATACCCTCAACCAAGTGAGCCGAAAATTAAACAGATAATCGGATCGGGAAGCCGTCTTCCTCCCTCTTCTCCAGCATCGATCCACTTTCCCTCCAGGGCTTCCCCATATACGGAGTAGACAGACGTCGTTGAGCTAAACTCCGGACCACAGTACTCCGATATATCAACCCAGCAGCTCTCAACAAAGCGGGGAATCTGCCTCAAAAGGGGGAGTAGAGCAAGATCCAGAAGCAGATTCTTGTGGAGAATGCCCAAGTGGGCTCCACTTTAGCAGGCTTAAGTTTTGAACCTTACGAGGTTATACGTACTACAGCCAGGAACTAGGTACGCAGTGCTCCGAGAAGACCTGCTTCTAAAGAGATGGATATTTCGTGGCTTCTTTTTGTTGATTTCTTTCAAGTCGTGTGATCTCGTAGTCGGAGGCCCGTGGGGTTTTGTCGGGGAATGTTCCGTGGGGAGTGCGAAAACGGCGATCCTTTTCTTTCTTCAGTAACCTCGTCGACGAAAACGGATATATCTGGTGTCTACGGAGTATACTTCAAAAATCACGTGCGAACAATTTTGTTACTCAAAGCTTTCAGACTAACCAGATAGGATACAAGACTCCGTATACTGCAAAAAGTGCCAACTATGCAAAGTGGTAAAATGTACAAGGGTATAACTTTCAAAACGCCAGTCCAGCCTACCAATCCAATCGCTCATCACGCCTTTCCAACTCCCTAATAACAGGCTCCAAAACAGATGTTGAGCTCTTCCAATTACTCATCTCTCGCGTCCGGGTGTAGAAAAGCGGACAATCCTTGCTGTCGCAACTAACGTCATCGCCAAAGGGGATGCCCATACACGACCGACAGATTTTGTGCAAATTACTCGTACGTCGTTCGACTTGTTGGAGTTGCGATGTCAAATTGAAGAGAGAAATATGAGGTTGACTGGCACAAGTGTTACAGAGCGGGAGGTCGTTGTCGTTGTTGTTGTTGTTGTTGTTGTCCTGGAGTTTTTCTTTGCAGATCAGACATGTTGATGATTTCATGTATGATTCGAGGGTCTTCTTGGAGATTGCAGTGTTGGTGTTGCCGCCTCCTAGCCCTGTGAATGCTCCTTCAATACGACGAATTCGTTGTATTTTAGGCATCTCATCATACCACTGTCGGACATTAGCACCAACAAGGTTAAAGATTCGCTCTAATGGAGGAATGAGGTTTTTCGTAATGTAGTACTCGGCATCCAGCTCGAGATGTGCATTATTGAGTAGCACTTCAGGAGCCACGCAACGATCAATGAGCCTTGCTCCAGGAGCACCAGTGACAACGACGTATGGAACGCGCTCGCCGTATTGCGGCTCAAGTCGCGGGTCTTCAAGCATCTTCTTTGTGCTGATCAATGCTCCGGCAGGAAGTGTGCCCTTTTCACTGTACGTCCCGAGTCTTACTTCACGCGCAAAGCAGAAATCCTGAACCGATACCCTGCCTTGCATGATCTTGAGGCACTGTTTTTGAAAGTAATATTTGACTCGACTTAGGTCCGCTGTTCGAAACAATATCTTCAATGCCTTCTCCTCAATCTTCTGCTCGGCAGGCGTGCCGTCCCGTCGAACCGTCTCAATTCCTTTTGCGTCAAAGTCAGGTTCGACTTGATCTCGATGCTCGTACTTGAATCCAACGTATCGCTTCTTTGCAAGCAGCACGCACGGATGATAGACTTTCTCAAACTTGAGCTTGACCGGACGCGGATTCATCTTCGTCACTGCCTTGGAAATTTCCTCGCCAATTGTAAAAGCTTCGTCACGTGTTCGTCCTTTCAAGGAAATAAAGAGGCTGTCGGTATCTCCATACACTACTTCAGCTCCCCATCGATCGACCGAGTGGATGAACGCAATTGCCCTTTCGAGTGTTTCGCGCGCTGTCTGGACAATACTGTCCGCAATTTCCGAGCAAGGCATTCGGCCAGAGAAGGATGCCGATGTATAGCCATAGGTAACATTCGCAATCATCTTCAAGGCGAACTGGCGGTGATTCAGAAGCTGCTGCAAGGTTTTGTCATGCTTGTCCGCTTTCATGCCACTCTTCACCATCACTCGAGTTTCCAGAAGTTCGCTCAACATTCGAGCAAGCAAAGATTTGCGAATCTGKGGTTTGGCATAAATCATGCCGTTGGGAGCGATGTTGACGTCATCTTTCAGCAACTCGAGGATTCGCTCCTGTCGTTCATACTCCGTAAACCCCATCTTGCCTCGTCCTCGCCAGTTATCAAGTCGGCCAAGAAAAGTCGAGTAGCAGTAGTTGTATGCTATGATGATACTCGGATATAGTGACTGAAAGTCCAACACGAGCAACGGACTTGTATAAAAGTCGCTTTGAGGTTCCATCACAAGCGGCAGACATTCAAGGGCATTCTGTTGGCCGACTTGTTTCCGGCTAGGACTTATCAATATGAAGTTCTCTGGTTTGGCGATTCGAAACATCAATGATTCTACTTTAAATTGTGATCCGCGAGAAAATACCGAGAAAAAGTCAACACCAAGTAAGCGAGCCTGTTCGCTGGTCCGTGGTATCAATTCGTTGGTGTCGAGGATTTCCAAATCCAATTGTACACGTGAGAGATAGTATTCCATGACCTTCATAACGTCGCGAGGCTTACTTCTGGTGAACCAACGCGTCAGATCTTTGAATGGATAATGAGGGATCCGTCTATTCAGTAGATGAAATACAACATTCTCCATGGTATAACCCAGAAGATTCAATTCGCTTCTCATCGCTCGCCAAATATTGATCATATGTCGGCCCGTAACAGAGATAGAGGACGTATTGTTGAACCCCCATCTGTCGCTATCCTTGCCGAATCTACCGTGTGCAGAGGTCTTGACTCGCGATAACTCGTTGCACAGATCATACTCGTATTTCAGCCGAGCTCTTTCGATGATATAGCCCCAAGATCCATTGTGGACTTCATAACCTGTAATAATATCCGGATCATGAGATCGTACAACATCAACCAGACTCGTAATTAGATCGAGCTCAGAAGCTTCAGTTTGCAGTTCAACGGACAAGGATGCAGCGACAGGTACTAGGATGTCTGCCGGTTGTGCCAGAATACCCAAATGCACTCCTTCGAGGTGGCTGTTAACATCTACATCCTCGTCATCCGACCGAAGACTCCAAAACACGCAGCTAATTTCGTCCTCTTCTGGATTCGGAGCGAAGCCCTCTCGTGTATTGACATGAACTTCCAAGCTCATCACGCTCATGTACTGAGTTTGATGTTCCACGCTAACTGATTGTTGTTTTTGAGAGTACTTGAAACCATACGGATTTTTCTGCGTGGCACCCTCAATCTGTGACATGACATTCGGCTTTGATGAAGGCAACGAGATTCCCGGGGCTGTGGGCTGCTTTTCTTGAGCCTTTCCCTCCTCTTTGAACCATTCAACAACCTCACTGCGAGTTGGAGGAAGCCGAGCAAACTCCCAGACGCGTGCCGAAGACAATTCACGAAGCTTTTGATCCTCTCTCCGCTGTTCATCAAGACTTGGGATGGGTGGCAAGTTCTCGGTGTACATATGCAAGTTTCGACCTCGTCGATCAAATTCGGGCAAATAGCGTATGGAGTTGCTAACTAAACGAAAATCACGTCCAGCGTACTCGCGTGATCGTTCTGGCACGTCACTGTCGTCACTATAGAATGCTTTTTGATAAACAACTGCCGGCCGTCCGTCGTCTTGAATACTTGACTTTACGTCAGCTGCCGTCGGGCATGGAAAACGATAGAAAAGCAGTTTGCGATTAGCAGGGATATCAGAGGCATCACAGACACCGGAACACTGGCCAGCCATGTGCAGAAGTGTGTCTGTACTACCACTATTTTCCGAAGTAGGCTCCGAGGAAGACTTTTCCGGTGCGTGGCTCTCTTGAGGATCAAGTTCTGCCGAGACCTGGGATAGCTGCGAATTTTCTTTGGACAGTCCACTTCTCTGGCTGAAACGTAGAACAGTCATGGGGTCGTTTGGATCTTTGACAACAGGAAATTGTAGTCGTTGATTTTGGCTGGCGAGTACAGTTTTATGAGAAGAGTCAGGTCCATTTTGGGGATGCAAAGACGGAGTATCGTCGGGCCCAATGCGTTCGCCATACTCTTCGGCTTCTTGTAGAATTGCAGCTACGTCGAATGATGAGAAGCTTTCATCTTGTCCTTTCGACGTTGGGTCATCTTTTGAAGTATCGTCAGATACAACTTTTGGACGCTTCTTGAGGCGTTCTTCTGGGGAGTTCACCACTCCGGTCCGCGTCCGTTTGGACATGCGAGACTGGCTTGCATCCAAGGATCCTCGATGTGAGTCCTCTTGGTCTACCTTCTTGTCGTGTTGTCTTCTCGTAGCATTCATCTCTCCAGCGAGGGCATCCAATACCTCATCATCAATGGGAAAGGAACTAGGTAGACCGTCATTGTCATCATCGTATGCATCTTCCGGATCAGAGTAGTCGTCTTCAAGTTCATTATCGATATCGAATCCATCAGAAAAAATCGTGGTATCATAAGCTTTCGTACCCGCGGCGTTATCAGTATCCGCAAGAGCAATTTGTGTCATTAACGGTTCCAATTTCTGTGGATAAAGATCCTCCACGCTGTCCATGGCTGATTGAATGGTTTCTTCTATGATGTCATGCTTGACATAATTATCGAAAGATATCGTTGCAGCATCAGTAGCCCTTTTCTCCTCGTCAACCACCTTGAGTAAATGCTCTCTAAATTCCTCCTCGTGTATCCAGCCAGCTTTCTTCTGATCCCGAGGACTTGCTGACATAGAAACTAGTTCTTCAGCTGTAAATGGACTACTACCTGGATCCTTTATTCCGAGCCTCTTCTTGCGCCTGCGTGTCTCGTCCTGCCAAAGACCCGCCATACTCTGGACGAGTTTTCCGTCTGCCGATATTGGATGCTTCCGCTCGATAAAATCATGGTGTAGCGGCCGTTCCTTGATTGCATTTCGATTAAGGATATCCTGCACACAAACATCGACTTCCAATGTGCAATGACTCTGCTTTGGTAGGACGTCGGCGCTAGTGATGCTCTCCGGAGGTATGGTTCGATCATGCCACCGGTGATCCAAATTCGATAACTCGAGATATTCGGGAACCGGGGACCGGAACTTGACCTTGGCACAATCCAAATAGGCGCAGCCGTATAGGTTATAATCGCACATCCACTGCGGGACAAATTGGAGATGGCTTTCATAAGGTTGTAGCGAGGCTTTCATCACTGCTCCCTGACGCAAAAGATCCGCCAGCCGAGTAATGTTCATTGGATTCAAAAGGTATATTTTCAGGTAGTACCGATAGCCGACATGATACCCATAGAATGGTATGCCCTTGACTAGGGAGATATGAGCTACATAGGCAATCCTTCCGTCGTATGCGTTCTGGCGATAACTGTTCGCCAAAGCGTGGTCGATGGATGCATGTAAGTTGCGGATCGCGCTGTTCACTAGTTTCCGAAACGTAAGCCCCAGTCCTCGCGTTCGGGGTTCGCAGACTTACCTTCATCCCGCCCTAGGCCGCCTCTATATTCGATATATAGATATGGGAAAGCTCCATGGACATGAACGCAGACCTTCTGTCCGGTCTCCGTAGCGCCAAAAGCTCGAATCACCGGGACCTTGGGTCGCGCAGTCCGTTGTGAAGCTCCATTCGTAACAGGAACTGGTGGATCGAATTCAGACGGGAGCGCCTGATAATGGTCGATACAATTCAAGCGGACGCGAAAGATGTCCATCGTTCGTAAGGAAACAGTGTACGTAGGCGCAAACCATGATGTTGTACATTATACCAGTCAAGAAGCAAAAGAGCAAGGCAAAACACTCATCTTTGAAGTTTTAAAACGCGTTGATTCGACGTTGAAACATTCCCAAGATGCAATCAACAATGCATGACGTGCATTAGTATGCCTGAGGCTCAAAATATCGGGCTAGACTGTTTTTAGTTAGTCTGATAACAGTCTTGGCGAGCGTCCTGATCGACACCTGAGGCAACTAACACTAAGTCAACCGCGACTTCAGTCTATCAGAAGATTCAATCTCACCTGGACTTCAGGAGCTCTCCCGCTCCCTTTCTTACTTTCTATTCCTCCCGTATATCTTTGTCACGAGAAAATCAACCTAGATTCATATTCGTCATGTCTCGCAAACCCACCGATGTTGCCTCAAAAGAGCGCAACGAGTACATTCCATCCTTCATCGCAAAGAAACCATTTTATATCGACGACGAATCCTCTGATGCCGATTACCTCGAGCATCAGCGTCTCCAGAAACAAGCCGCGGACTCGAAATGGTACGAGCGAGGCAAGCGCGCCGGTCCCGCTGCCACCAAATACCGCAAAGGTGCCTGCGAAAACTGTGGCGCCATGACACACAAAACCAAGGAATGCCTCAGCCGGCCGAGGAAACATGGCGCAAAGTGGACTGGAAAGGATATTCAAGCGGATGAGATTGTTCAGGATGTTGATCTTGGTTGGGACGCCAAGCGAGATCGGTGGAACGGTTACGATGCGAAGGAATATCGAAACGTGGTTGAGGAATACGAGGAGCTTGAGAGTCTTAAAAAGCGCGCAAAGAAAGCGACCGATGGCGAAGACGATGATGAGGAAGAAGAGCAAGAAGAAGCACGATATGCTGAGGAATCGGATATGGGTCGGCAACAAAGCACGGCTACGAGGAACTTACGACTGCGTGAAGACACGGCGAAATATCTATTGAATTTGGACCTTGATTCGGCGAAATACGATCCGAAAACACGCTCGATGATGGGCCTAGGCGCGCAGGCAGATCAGACATCGGCGCTGGTTGCCGAAGAGAATTTCATTCGAGCTTCTGGAGACGCTGCAGAATTCGAAAGAGCTCAAAAATACGCATGGGAATCACAGGAAAGAGGCGACACGCAAATCCATCTACAGGCCAATCCTACTTCTGGCGAAATACTCCGGAAACGAGAGCAAGCCGAATCAGAAGCCAAACGTGAAGCGCAACGAAAAGCGCTCCTGGAAAAGTATGGTGGCGAAGAGCACATGAAAGCAGCTCCCTTGCGCGAAGCTGCAGTCATTGAAAACGAGCGATTTGTCGAGTACGATGAGACTGGTGCAATCAAAGGAGCCCCGAAGAAGGCTGTCAAATCGAAATACGCCGAAGATGTGCTCATCAATAACCACAAATCGGTATGGGGTAGTTGGTGGTTTAATTTTCAATGGGGTTACGCATGCTGTCACTCTACTGTTAAGAATAGTTATTGCACGGGCGAAGATGGCAAACGGGCTTTTGAAAATACACAGAAGCTGGCTATTCTTGATACATTAGACCACGAGGTAGAGCCAGAAGAGGAGCCGACCAAAGAAGAGGAGGAAGCTGCCAAGAAAATGGATATCGAGAAGAGGAAACGAGATCTGCATGCGCTCCAGCAGGGTGTTGATGAAGAAGAACTCGAGTCGTATAAGCGGAGTCGCGTGGCTGCAGCAGATCCTATGGCTGCATTTTTAGGAAAGGACGAGTTGATACAGTAGTGATTGCTTGATTAAGATTGTATTTGGTACTTGTGTATGGATACTTGCGCATAGTAGCATAGGCGGCGTTTTGATATATACCCAAATAGGAAATTTGACAGTGAGCATTACACCTTCTCCATTTATAATTCTCTTTACCTAGCATTTAATACGACCGGAGTATCGTTTTTAAGATGCCTGTCCGGTTTCTTGATGCCATTGGTGTCTTAATACGCAAACCAACAACCAACAAAAGTGGAAAGCCCAGCGAGCCTCCTCATTCGACATATATATAAACCCCGCGTACCGATCATCACCCCATAGACATCTCACATGAAATTTCCAACATTGCAATTTCAATGTTGTAACCGTCCATGTCTCAGGTCCGATTTTCATCATAAAATACCGAGCAAGCCTTACTATCTTTGATTGTACTCATCTTTTTTTCCCTACGTGGTCTACTCAACACCAAAATGTCGGTCCGAGTCTTCATCTACGCCTACAGAAAACCCGGCCTCTCCCTCGAGGACTTTAGAAAGCACTACGAAGAACACGTCAACCTCATCAAGGGTCTTACTGGAGACGACTTTCCTCTATCTCATAAACGTCACTACATCGCCCGGAACGTCGTAAGCAGTGAAGACAGCAAACACATCACGGCAACCGAGCGCAACCCAACTACACCAGCTATCGTGTTCGCGGGTCAACAATCGGATTTCGACTTCGATGCATATGCTGAATTGACGTTTGCGAGCCAAGAGGCTCTTCAAATATTTACCGCCAAAGTACAGGCCCCGGAAGCTGCGGCTCAGCTTGCGGCTGATGAGGAGAAATTTTTGGATCGGTCGAAGCTGGGTATTGCTATGTTGGGGGATGTCATTGAGACGACCAAGTCGTGATGTATGAGCTTATTCGAGTCAGAACTGTATATAAAAGCCATCAGTGTAAGCAGTGAACTGCTCCGTACATAAACAATTATCCTGTTGCGGCTCSYGRAACTTTKCTTTTKGTCTGGCTTGACATCTTCAACTTTAGTTCCCATCAATCCGGGATGGTAAAACGTCACCGGCTTTGCAGGTGCAACACTTAGCAGCGACAGAAATTGCGGCATTAGCACATACTGTCTTCTCGTATACAGTCCTGACTCTGGCTCAGTCACTCTAGCACAGGCCATCCATACTTTCGCGGGGGAGACATATTCGGTCTCCTTCGAGTACCACACCTGGGCCTCGCCCACGACAGGGACGTCATTTACGAGCAGCATGAATAACGCAGTGGCGACGGGCTGGTCACCATCGCTGAGTGTATCGACGGCTTCTTGGTATTCGTTCAGTGGCAGTTGTGTTGCGTCAGGCCTTCAGACTACATGTACATGCTTTGCTACAGCCACTATTTCTATGATGTTGAACCTGGATGCGTTTGACATCCTGTGTTAGTCTGATGATCGAGTATTGGAGCATTGATAGGGCTAATTAGCTATCCAAATTAGTAAGAATCTACCTTAAAATTATAAATCAAAAGTAGGTAGACAAAATCACGAAATCTATAAATATAAGCGAGCAGCCAATCATATCGCTGAGATGATCGACCAATTATGTCCCGTTGTACGGCCCGCACGCTAGACCTGAAGAAGGTGCAAAGTAGGGCTAAACCTAGCCGGCAACCACACACGCTAAGCGACCAAATTGGTGCGGCCCCAGCGAACTTCGCGATTGCTGCGACGACTGAACGACGACGACATCGACAAACACCCTTCAGCGGAATCCGGTATGTTTATCTCAATACCTTTGAAATCACTTCTAAGGATATATATTTACTGACTTTATTTGTTCTCGACAGATCCCTTGATTCAAAATGAGTACGTCGATATACCTCTCGCTCCACCTTGACACCGACCGATCATGAACAACGCAAAAGGATAAAACTGACAATGGGCTATAGCGAAGGGTACCTCCAGCTTTGGTAAGCGTCACAACAAGACGCACACGCTCTGCCGACGATGCGGTTAGTACTTCAATCCTGTGATATGCAAATACAGTTCGATCGGAAGGGAACTTGAAGTCGGATCTGGAGGATATCATTGAACAATCGAAAATCAATCGAACGATCGAAGGACATGAACGATGACAATTGATTGGAATGGATATCCTCGCAGACGAGACGGAGGGACTTTCACGATCGAAATGGATTTTGGAGAGATAGCAGCTAACATGAATTCGACAACAGGAAAGCGTTCTTTCCACATCCAGAAGAGCACCTGCGCCAACTGCGGCTACCCTGCTGCTAAGGTCCGAAAGTGTACGACTCGCCTTTACCTCCTTTCTTCAAGTATGTCTAGATTCTGACTTTAACAGACAACTGGAGCGAAAAGGCCAAGCGCCGCAAGACCACCGGCACCGGCCGCATGCGTCACCTCAAGACCGTCGACCGCAAATTCCAAAATGGTTTCCAGACCGGCACTCCCAAGGGTGCCCGTGGCCCTTCCACTGCTTAAACTATTCCACTCGACACGACGCATGAAAATAGTTTAGTCTGTTGTTTCGCTTAATGAAAACCTTTTTTCTCTCTTCCTTTTTTTAAAGACTCGGTTTTACATATCCGCCATGCTTTTTTTCGCGCGAACAAGTTTGAAACGGAGTTGGGCAAAAATATTCATTCTGTGATGGAAGAGAAAAGGAATCATTCCCGTGGTGTGCATACTGGATGGACGAGGGGTTTGTGTCCGGATATGACAGGCTTTTTTATTTGTCTGTCAGAACTAACGGCCGCGAAAAGGTTGCTCAGTTCTATGATTCCTGTTGGTAGCTAGAACCGACCGATATGGAATTCATTCATGTCAATCCCAAAAAAAACAAATTATGGCATTTCTTATGATTTGCGGAAATGAACTGAGAATTTCTACAACAAAAGACTGACTCCGCTAGAACTGATTTGGTTGGTATTTCTATACTTTATCAGCGCTGGCAAGAGTGATTATACCTCCCCCCTCCCGAAAACCCTGACACCCCCATCCCTCTGCACAAAATACAACACCTCTTTCTCCACAATCTCTCCCTCCTCTTTGCCCCCTTCCGATTCGGGCTCGTATCCTGCACCACGACTCATCCTCAAAACACCACTCACATCCTTCGCAGCCCCGGTATCCAGCGTCCGTAACTGTAGTACCATATCCGCTCGATGCGCCAATCCAACCACAAAAGAGGCATGATTCCTCTCCAGCGGAGTGGAACCTTCTGTAAGAGTATACGGATTCGCGTTGTGGATGAGCGGGGAGTCGGCGGATGTGGTTATTATCGTTGAATGGACATTCTATTGTTTTCACGATTGCGTTAAGTAAGCCTTGTTCCGTGAAGTAGAAGTAAAAGAAGGAAAAGTACCTGTTGTAAGCCCATAATCCAATCCGATAAATCGTTTGCATCGATGCCTGGTGTCGTGGCGAGGATGAGGTCTGGTTGGTCGAGTATTAGGAGTACATCATCTTCATCATCCCCGTCTTCTTCTGCGTCGCCGGTCTCGTTTGTGCTCGTTCTTGGGAGCGATTGTATGACGGATTGGATGTCGGTCTCTAATTGATTCAAAGCGTTGATACCCTGACTAGAGATGTGTAATTGTTTTTGCTGCTGCTGTTGCTGCGGTGGTGTTGAGTTCTTCGCCTGCGAAGGTGATGATGCTGTCGATGATGTAGAAGGAGGAGCTCGAGGACTCGCCGGCCCGCGCATTGGAATTGATCGTGCAGAGCCCATCGTTGTTCCCGATCTCATACTTCCTTGCTGCTGCTGCTGTTGCTGTTGTGGCTGTGGTTGTTGCTGTCGCGATACATCAAACAATTCACTCAACCCATCCACAAACCTGAGTCTATCCCCCTCCACAAATCGCTGCAAATCCAGACCCTGCTCGAAATAATGTAGTTAGCAAACCCCTGCACCCCGATAAGAAGGGAAAAGCCGAACCAATCTCTTCCCTTCCCCCCTCCAGAACAGCCACTCTCTCAAAAAGCTGACGAGCACCACGCGTTTCGCTCTCCTTCTCCTCCTTTTCTTGCCACTTCCGCTTTGCAAGTCATTGTGTTCGATGGCGGATGATAGAACGAAATGAAGATATCGTAGTACCAACCAATTGGGCGTTGCTGCGAGAACAGATGTGATTATAGTGAGTGATTGGGCGGAGCGCGTCGAGTGCGTGAGGTAGGGCGATAGAATGTGTGGGATTGGGGGTTGGGAGGGCATTTCCTTTTTCGCACTTCGTCTCAACTGTAGTTATATGCTTTGTCTTTTGTGATACTTGTTCACGATAATTGTACGTATGTTATCTGTCGAGATAGAAAATGACGTTGATAGAAAAAAAGTTCGGCGGGGAATTTAATTGGTCCATGCGGGGTAGCTCCAACTCTGGTATATCTGCCATATCAAAGTGTACAAGTCTTATTCATTTGTAATTGCAACTACCTATCATGAAATCAATGATATGCTAGAAATACATCGCTAATCTTCTTCCGAATCAAAAAGCATATCTTCCAGATTGTCAATAGCACCTGGCTTGATCTGACCTCCGTCTTCGATGATTTCAACCTCTTCGTCGGGGATAGCCTCAGATAGAACCGTGACATCTTCGGCGTTGTCATCTTTGTCCCAAATGGAGTACCAGTCAGTCGTGTCCGAGTTTGACTTCTCCGCATCTGATGAAACTTGCACCGCTTCTCTTTCCTGCTCCGATACCACACGTTCTTCTCCCTCCTGCTTCATGGCTTTTTGAGACATACCCGGTTCAACAGCGGCGGGAGTTCTCTCACCCTTGCCGGCAGAATCATCAAAATAGCGAAGAGCAATCCGCCCCAGAACATCCGGAAACAGCCACGCAAAACTAATCATAGGAAGATCTTGCGGCTTCGGTTTGACACTCGTATCCGGATTGTTCTTTCGAAACTCAGCCTGCGCTACCATTACTTCGTCGCTAGTGACCTTGTAAATCGCAACCACCACCGGCTTGATGTAGTCAAAGTCACGGCTGCCGACCTTGTCATAGCATTCCCTTTGGAATCTATCCTTTAGAGCTTTGATGACTCCACCAAGTTCTTCATGAAATTTGTAGTCCTTGCTCAGATTAGCATGGCTAAGGACGAATGTAGACCAGACTTCGAACTCGGTGCGGATTTCATGCTGTGCCATGATACGTTTCAGGGAGAGATCATAATCGACTTTCAACTCTCTAGCGAACTGCATTATGTCGTCAGATACTTCAATACCGGCGTCAAGCACACGCTTATCAAACGGCATATCCAAATCTGGATGGAAGTCAACTCGGTCGACGGCGTCATAGAGCTGCCCAAGAATCTTCTTCGACTGGTAGATGTGATCTTTTGGCTTGTATTTCTTCTCCATAAAATGAGGCCACTTCCTTGGCCGCAAGTCACGAGGAAGATATGCCGGCTCACCTGTCTTGTTGTAGTCGACAGCGTTTGAATGTAGTTGCGCTAGACGGATGCATTTCGCAGACTCTACCCCATCCATCAAAAAGTCAGACCACGCCAGATGCGCATGAGCAATCTTGGGCAAAGAGTCGTTCTTCATGTAATTCACAAAGAAAGTAGTGACATCGTTGACAGTGACAGGTCGTTCGAGGTTGACGCCTTTGATAGGAGCATAGTCCATGGGTGTTCGAAACCATTCATCTGGAACAAGATCCTCATCCCAGATCACCAAGTAATCATCGCCATCCAAGTCGCCTCCAGAACACATACTTGCAACATCTCGGTCCCCAAGCTGTGGAAGCACAACGACGTCTTTAAGATGAGCGAGCTCAGGGCGATCAACTGCTCTGACGACTCGTATATCGCCAGGATGTAGTGACGGATTGCGAGCGAGTATACAGACGCCTTCAACCACTCGATATTTCTTTTCATCGACTCGATAAACCTGGAGAAATATTTCCGGCAAAGCAGCAAGTCTAGACTCTCGGGACGAATGCGAACACTTCGTCTTTTCGTGGAAGAAACCCTGCAACGTAGCCGTCTCGTCCATAACACCAAGTAGACATGCCCCGTCTTCGATCGTGATCTTTGCCTTTTCTTTCAAATATTTGATCGACCACGCCTTCCAGAGCTTGATGACTGAAGTCATGAATGGATCTTTGGCTTGCAGGAACCCGTCAGATACCATCTTTGACATAACAAGCGTCATTTCATTGGGATCGATGTACTTCTGCAGTAACTGCATAGCTGTCCTATCGTCATGGGTAGCCTCTTCTAGGTTTGAGACCATCCTTCGAAGTTTGTCATGGAACACTTCGTCCTGCACACCAAGGGACGAAAGAACTGCAATTAGCTGACGGTTCAATGTGGCCGAGGAGAATTGAGACCAGCGAATGATTTCCAGGCCTTGATGGTTAGCAGGGAACTTCTCCTGGCTGGGACGAATCTGGATTTCGCGTCCACGCGGTTCATCTGATAGAACCAGCATGCCTTTGCACCCCCCAAGGCGAAACTGGTAGGCTGACGGGGGCTGTTTGTCGGGAGTCCTAATCTTCAGCTCTTGCTGTGTCATCTGGGCTAAGAATCTCGAGATTCTGCCCACGCCGTCTGAAAAAGTGTATCCTCCACGCTCCACATCAGGTATCCGCGTCAAGTCGACCGTACACGTGTTGATAGCTCTTGTGGTCGAGAAACATTGACCTAATCTCGCAGCATATTTGGCAATATTCCTAATATCCGAAAACTCCCCCATCCATGCACGAATATTGGCGGCGGTAACATGTGCGTCAGATGCGAAAAAGTATGCACCATGTTCTCGGAATTGAGAATTGCCAAATGCAAGAAACTCGTATTTCCGATTACCTAGTAGGATTCCATTGGACATGGTACGCTTGATGCGATGAAAAATCTCATCCATGGTGTCTTGGTGAGTAGAGTTGATCCGGCCCTCGAACTTTTCATCTTTGAATCGCACACGCAAGAAACGATCAGCGTGTTCTGAATATCGACGAAGAACGCGGTTCGTAATCTCCATTGAGGGGGTATTCCAGTATATCATCGATGGAGTCACCGTAGCAGTCCGGACCATGCAACAGTAACTGGGGACATTCCTTCTTGTGGTCCCCTTTGGGAAGAGGATATCAAAGATCTTCATGGCATCCCAGTAAACTCTCTTGTCCGTGGCCACATGTTCCAACAAGATGAGAGCTTTCCTTTCGTCCATGTCTTTGAGTCTTTGAACGAATTCTGGTTTGGCGGCAGTGTACTCGCTGATATAGCCATGGGAAATGCACACTTCAAGCTGGTAACGAATTGCAAATGGGAGGTGAATGAATGAGTTGCCAAACAAATCATTTAGTGTGGAAGAACTTGAGCTTTCAGGTTCATCGCAAATGTCCCATACCACAGGCACTGGCAGAGTGCGTGGCATCTCCACTTTGAATTCGTCATCGATTTTGATTTCAATATTGAAATCTCTCAAGGCCTTGCACAGAAGTCTATATGATTTGGAATGAATAGAGTCCTGCGCGTAGTTGATTCTGATCGCATTCCAACGCCCAATATCAATAACTGGGTTCCTTTTGCGCAGACTGATTGGAAGAACCGACCAAAGCCCATTTCGATGGACAATATCAGTCTGACGGTACCAGCAATCCATTGACCTCCATCCATTCTTCGAGTCGCGGCCACCGAAACTAGACTCCACATTGTATAGATGGCGATGGTACAACGGAGGACTCTCGAACCGCAGAATATGCGACACCGAATCCGAGGCATTGTCGCTGTCAATGTATTGGTACAGAGTCGACAACTGCGCAAAGGGAACCTTTAGACGATAATGAGACAAGGCGGAAACTCCCTGGGTTGATTGAATCGGAGTCTGGAAAAATACGAGCAACTGTCGCTGTTTCAGGTCTACCGTCAATCGGGGATGTTCGTCCGGCGTCTTTTGAAGATGGCGCATCAGCAGCATGGAGTTAGGTCCTATCATCGGACCAAAGTCGATTGTTGTGATGGGAATGTCCTAGCCCTAATCAGTTTTTGCCCCTACAACACCATAGGGGAAAAGCATACGAATTCAGCCGGATACAACTCATTTGGATCCACAGGACTCGGAATCCGCGTATCCCTCTCTTCAAAGTGAGGAAGGACTCTAATCCTCGCCTCCCGTCCTCCGGATAAATCGACTTGCCAATGCGCATTTCTCCAAAAGTCCGTCTGCGGAGGCGGTCTACAACCAACATCAGCCACAACCCTTTCTACAGCCGATTACCATAAGTAACAAGAAGACAGACCTAAACCGTATCCTCCCCTTCCCATTTCTTCTCCCGGAGTCATCCTCATACAAATCAATCGCAAAGATATTCCCCTGCCGATTAAATGCCGTCCAGATGGTGAACGCAGTTGCTTCATTGGGGACACTGAACAGATTGACCGCAAAGGAGTCCCAGGTCTGCCAGATTGGTCTTATGGCTCTGTGAGTTTGGTTTTCTTCTAGTTTCATTGCCATTGCCATCGGTGATGCTGATTTTGCTGATAGGGTAGAAGAGTAAGACTTGTTGGGAGAGGAGTTGTTGCTGTTGCTGTTGCTGCTGCTGTTGTTACTCCTGTAGCCGCTGTAGCTGTTGTTCTTGTTTGTTGAGCGGTTCTTGTAGTACGGGCGTCGACGAGAAGACGTTGTAGTTGGAGCAATGGGGGGAGTTGATGCTCCTGCCATGATTTCTTCAGGAAGGAGCGACCCCGGCTCGGGTCAGGTAAGGTGTGTATCCCTAAACCTATCAAGAAGATATGACTATCTGATGAGAGGAAAGATGATAGAAAGTCAAGTTAATCTCAGGCTGGGAGCGAGAAGAAGACCTCAGTACGACATCAAGCCCGAGAAATCCTCTCGATGAGAGAGATGTAAGAAAAAGATCCAAATCACCAGCGCATTCGACGAAGTGTATGCTTGAGTATCTCTTCACCCGAAGAGAATAAGAATTAGAAGAAGAATAATGACAAACTAAAGCAAGTATGATTATATGCTTTCATTGTCAAACCATCTCTTCATGTAACTATTTTGAGCTCATCGGAGGCCCAATCGGGTATCCGGATGAGACACTTCTATCGGAATGTTCCTTCAAGACTGGGGCTGGATCAATGAGAAGGAGTCTTCTGTTATAATAAAGATAGTCATATGATCTGCATTGGACATGTAGATTGTGCTATAATAAGATCTGTTGATCTTTGTGGATTCTTTTAGACTGAATGGTGGACGGAGAATAAAGACAAACACGCGATGTTTGGATATGACGTGTGCTTGTGAGTTGCCTCAGGGCGGACAAAGTCAGCCATTGACAATCTGTTTCAGGATAGTGAACAAAGGCAGTGTTTATAACTGTATTCCACTGAGGATTCGTTGGCCTTGAGTCATTCTATTGTTTTTGACAAGGCGTGTTTTAGTAGTGTAACTGTGTGGTGTCTGATATCAGATGGAAAAAAGGGTTGTCTGGGTATCATATAATCAATCAAGTAACCACCCATCTGAGGTATGGAAGTGTCTATTCTAGACAGGTAAAATTTTGATACAAGATAACAAAAGGAAACAAATCATGGGGTATCTTCTTCAAAAATGGTCATCACTCATCACGTCATAGTACTCGTCAAAAGATCCTCATCCTCAAAATCCAAGTCCAAATCCAAATCCGTGATATTGATATGTGTCTGAGATTCATTCTGCATTTGTTGTCCAAGTTCGCCATGCTCGGCATCCTTGGGATTAGTCGAAGGAGGTGACTTTTTAGGGCTATTCCTGTCAAGACTGCCAAGTGGTTGTCGTCTGACTCCAGAGAGACCTTCAGCCGGTCCTTGTTGTGTGCTGGAATAATACGTGGTATTCTCATCACTTACAAAGCTCGTTCCATGGGAAAAGCGATGACTGCGTCTACGTGTCATTATTGTCGCATCTTGATTGATAAATGAGTTTATACTTGGCATGGGAATAGCCAGGTTCGACGACTGTGTTTGTATCGTAGTCATCTCGGCTTGTGAAGGKGATTGAGCCTGTTGCAAACTTAGACGAGTCGATCGGCGAACAGATTCTTTAGCCTTTGAAGGACCAGCTGCTGGTTGCTTTTTGATGCTGTCATCTTTGTCTTTGGAAAATCCCATCACACCCATCAAGCGACTGATATATTCTTGGGCTTCACTGAATTCTCGAGCCTTTGCTGCCCGTTCGTTTCGAAGCGCGTCCACCTTGAATTTATCAGTATCTCAAAAACTGATCGTGAGCCGAGAGGAATACCTTCTTTTCCAAGTATTGTATCTTTTGTTCCTGGCGCGAAGCTCTTTTTCGGTTTTGGCGGATGTGTTTGCAGCGTCGTGTCGCAGACTAGAAATTTCGAGCTGATGTTGCTCGGTCATTTGCTGAGCCTGAGATGAGTTAGTATCCATTTCTCAGCACAATTATGAATGTACTTACCCGGTTTTTGGCTTCAGACATTTGATTCTTGCATTTCGTTTCCATATCAGCTATGCCGCTCTTGTACTTGTGACGTGCTTCATCTAGTGCCGACATTGATTTTTCCCAATTGAAGTGTGCCTGGTCCAGCTATTCAGGGTTAGAAAGCCCTAACCAACGTTGATGGAACACTTACCTTGTCTCTCAGCATCTGATTCTCGTTCTGAAGATCTTTGTTGGTCTCCCCCAAAGTGATAATCCGATTATCCTTCTCGGCATTTGTCGACTCGCGTATCTCGATAACTTGCTGCATTTTTGTGATCTCATGTCGAAGCGTGTCACAGTCTTGGGACGCATTTTTCTGTACTCGCGCCAATTCTTGCCGTAGATTCTCGTAGTCTCGGGAGACAGCCTGATGACGCTCTGCATTGGCATCCACGGCTTCCTGTAGTTGTGCCCTTTCCTTGGACACAGCCTCTATTTCAACTTGCTGCTCTTCAAGCAGATCGTCTCTCTCGGCGACCGTAGCCATGAGATCTAGTTCACGATCGCGTGCTTTCGACTTAACTATTTCTATACCATCTCGCGCCTTCGTCCGGGTTATGTCAAGCTCTGTTTGTAGTGCATCCACTTGATCGGTCAAATGTACTATTTGAAATGAATAATCCCTAACCTGCGCAACGGATTCGTCGAGTTGTTTCCTTAGAGCATTCACCATCTCTGCAGACTGCCGGGCCTGCTCCTCTAGTTGCTGATTCAGATACTTAGAGGCCTCCAGCTGTTGTTTCAAGTCTTCTCTTTCCCGTACCGCAGCTGCCAGAGGCTCTTCAACTTTACTGCAGCGATTTTCAAAGTCCTGTAAAATTGCTTCCATCTGTTGAATGATTGTTTCGTGAGAAGTCCTAGCATTATCCACAAGAAGATTGGCAATTTTGGACCTCCATTCATAGCTCGAACCGTCTGACTTTTCCATTACAACCGTTTTCATTCGCCTCTGCGGGAAAAAATCATTCCTTTCAGGCTCTTTCAATTGCAAAAAAGAACAGTGGTCGAACGTTGGCACATTCTCTCTTAGGGAATTAGTGAAGCATTGGAGCAGTCCATGATAGCAGGAAAATATTTCTGAACTTTCAGCGCCATTGGCATTAGTTGACGAGTGAATGCAACCCAGCAGTTCGAGGAAAAGCTTGTCTTGTTGTGAGGAGATAGCAGTGCAGCATAAGTTAGACTCTTCACAGCGAGAAAATTCGCTGCAGATCGAGAACTCTTGGGCATAATCACGCAGAATTCTCATGCTCACTTGAGATTCAGACAGTTTTTTCAAGAAGGCACGACGAAAGTTCCCAGCCTGTTCCGAATTTCTCAATGTGGAAATGAGTAGCTGGCCGATCTTGAGATCCTTCAAGCCGTTGAAACCTGTAGCATCTTGTAATCTGTGAAGACTCACGAAGCAGAGACCTAGATACTTGCTTTCGCAGTGAACCAGCAATCGCTCAAGGAGAATGTCCCTTACCAACTCTGGTATAGCATTCATCACAAGATATGTAGTTTGGGTAAGTAGTTGCTGGTACATAGAATCGTAGACATCTGGTGGCAATGCCAACCATTGTGAAAATGTAATGAGTAAAGTCAAGCCCTATCTTTAATCAGTAAAGTCCTCGTGCCGGGTATTGCTTAACGTACAGTCACTTGCAGCTCAGCATTTATATCTGGCTGTTTCAACTTTTCGCATAGTTTGGCAAGTTTCGATGAATTAGCACTCAGCCAGGTCTTTCGCAGGTCCTCATCAATCTCATGACATATCTCCATTGCCAGCCTTACTAGCAGGATACGCTCATTTAGCGTATATCCGTTTGAAGAGGTGGAACAGGCCATCACGGCTGATATGACGACCAAGTCGAGTGTCTTGTTAGAGCTCTTGGGGCCGAAGATTTGGCAGATATTCCCTAACCACTGGGGTTTTTCTTGTGTACTATTTGAAGGCTTCCACAATTTGCGTATGCGTGCAAAGGTAGCCAAGGACAACAGTGTCCCGAGAGGATCATTCAGATTCTTCAATATCTTGGTCCCTTCGCGCTGGAAAGCCTCCATCAAGTTGTGTGGTATAAGCTGAATCAGGTCTGCGTTGCTGAGGAGTCCTTGCATAACGTCACATAGCGGCTTGAGCTTGGCCGCACAAGGATTCTGCGCGACATCGCTTAGCAGTTTGTTCAAGAAGACGGGAACTTGTGCTGGGACAGCTATGTTCTCAGGCAAGGGATTTGAAAGCATGGACACGCATATGTTGAGATCCTATCAGGTCAGCCCGGCTGTTGGCATATCGGCCAAAGTAAACTTACCTCCTCGTTTCCATTCTCAATGGCGTGATGAAGCGATAGATTCAAATAGGCTGGACTACATTCAAGCAGGGCGTCCCGAACACTCTCAATACAGCCTATATTGTCACTCAGTTTCTCCCCTCGACCACCATGGAACGGTCATACCAAATCTTGCTAAAAGTTTATTTGCAGTTGGTCGTTGTTCAAGAAGCACTGCTGCAAAAAGCGACACTTGACAAGGCTTGCAATTTACCCATTGGCGAAGGGTTCCATCTGAAGCTTGCTCCACTTTAAGATCGAGGGCCTAGTGCGATTAGTATCATGTCAGGTTCTTTATCTTTCTCATCGGACTACTCACATGTAGATCAGGAGTGTACGGCGCGGTGACAGCACGCTCTATCATCCTAATGATGACTCGTATATCAGTCTGGTCGTCAGTCTCCATTGCTGTCGGCCGATATCAAACTGGGTGTCGGTGGATGTGGTCGGGCAAATCAATGACCTTTGGCCGATATGTCGGCGTAAACAACTAGTACTCCGAGGTATAGTTTGGTTGCAAGCATGTGGTCGAGTGGCTCCAAGAATTTGTCTCAACCAGATCTTGTCGAACCCATCAAAAACGTGGTCAAGTTGTTCAGGGATGTGAATTGTCGGATGATAGGCTTGTAGTGGTGGTGGTGAGGGCAGAGAATAACTTCTTTCTTCTCGTCCCCCGCGGTTGCCCCGTCAACCGTTATGCACATAGACACCTCAGGCCGGAACTGCACAACTCGATATGCGCACATCTTGGAGTCGAGATTCCAATGGAAACTTATACTACTAATCATTAAGCATAGTCAAAAAACATACAATTTCTCGCAAAACAGGAACAACGGGGAACAACTACAACGCTGCTAGTAATTACTCCGCGCGGACACAATGCCGAGTCTGAGATGCGTGGGGTAACTGAAGAAGTCAATCAAAGACGCCACGCAGATCCTGCACTGCTTAGCGAGATCACGGCACATGATCATACGAGATCACGCTATTTTCTAATCGTACTTCAGAACGGTACAATTCCGCGTTAGATTCATTTCATCGAGGACCTTTTGGGGCGTTGCAAGTCCAAGCGGCATCTCGGCCGAACATTTCTATGGTGGGAGGGCATCCCACGCCGACTCCAGCCAGTTTGGGGTAGATATAAGCTCTCCTATGCGCCCATTTTCTGTGCAAGCTCTCTCTTGCTTTGTTTCTTCTTTCTGTTTATTACTACTATTTGATAACCTCTCGTGGCATGTATACCAAATTGCTTTCTTGGTGTATAGAGATCAATTGACGACAGCATGAGGGCCAGTTTTTCTCTGCGGAGCTTCTCCGCATCTTGTCGCGGCCAGGTCCGCCCCACGCTCACCAAGTCTCTCCGGACGAGAAATACTCAGACAGCACACTGGACGAGAAGATGGAATAGTAGCAATAATTCTTCGGCAAATTCATCCTGGACTACCACTCGTGCATTGGCTCTAGCTGCGGTCGTCGGCGCGGGTGCTTACATCGCTGCCTCTTCACGCTCGACGTCTCCGGTCACAGTAGCGGCGACTGCATCCGCAAAAGATCCTACTTATGGGGACATTACACTGTTTGAAAAGGTGAAAAGCTTTTTATATAAATTCATGCGCAGTGTTTGCATAAAATTAACAGTACTAGGCAATTGCCGAGCTTCGGGCTGAACTTGGAGAAGATGCCATTAGCACTGACGACGACGACCTCCACGAACATGGCTACTCAGAATGGTCAACCGTCAACGCCGAACGCTTACCAGTGGCAATCGCATATCCCAGATCCACTGAGGAAGTTTCCAAAATTGCCAAAGTCTGCCACAAATACCGAATGCCCATGGTCCCCTACTCCGGTGGCTCTAGTCTCGAGGCCAATTTCTCTGCTCCTTATGGCGGAATGACTATCGACTTTGCCTTTATGGACAAGATTTTAGAAGTGCATGCCGATGATTTGGATGTTGTGGTACAGCCGTCCATTCCCTGGATGCAGCTGAATAGCGACTTGGCTCACACTGGCCTCTTCTTCCCCGTGGATCCTGGCCCATCGGCCAAGATTGGTGGTATGGTTGGAACTAATTGCAGTGGTACCAATGCAGTTCGCTATGGTACTATGAAAGACTGGGTGATTAACTTGACCGTGGTGTTGGCCGATGGACGCGTTATCAAGACGAGAAGACGACCCCGCAAGACTTCTGCGGGCTACAACTTGACTGGAATGTTCGTTGGGTCAGAAGGTACGTTGGGTATTGTGACCGAAATCACACTCAAACTTGCCCCTATCCCGGATGAGCTGCGTGTCGGTATCGTGACTTTTCCCACCGTTCGTGATGCTGCCGCCGCTGCTATGCAGGTCATTCGCAAGTCTATACCTGTACAGGCAATGGAGATCATGGACGAAGTGCAAATGAACGTTATTAACCGTGCCGGCGGTACGGGACGAACATGGAGAGAAGAACCAACCCTGTTTTTCAAATTCTCTGGCACAACCGCCCAGGTCGCAGACAGTATCCAGAACACCAAGAATATTGCACAAAACAACAAGTCCACCTCTTTCGAGTTTGCCAAGGACGATCAAGAAGCGCATGCACTTTGGTCGGCACGCAAGGAGTCTTTATGGTCTAATCTAGCTATGCGTCCAGAGGGAGGTGAAGTTTGGTCTACTGATGTGGCGGTGCCTTTGTCACGACTTCCGGACATTATCGGTGCGTTCTGTCCTCTCATCGTGTCCTCTCATCGTGTGTGGTTGATACTGACCAAACCAGAAAAATCCAAGGAGCAGCTTAATGATTTGAATCTCTTTGCCAGTATCTTGGGACACATTGGCGACGGAAACTTTCACAGCAGCATCCTGTACAGCCGCAAAAACCGCGAGGAGACAGCGCGCGTGGAAAAGGTGGTTCACGACATGGTCGATCTCGCCATTGAGATGGACGGGTCCTGCACAGTACACCTCCCCCCTTTAGCTTCGAGGATAATGCTAACATTACTTATCAGGGCGAACACGGCGTTGGTCTAGGCAAAAAAGAATACCTCGTCAAAGAACTCGGCCCTGACACAATCGACATCATGCGAAGCGTCAAACGAGCCCTTGATCCGCACTGGCTGATGAACCCAGGCAAAATCTTCGAGTACTCCCGTGACAGTAAACCTGCTGACACGACTGACATCGAGTCAGCGCGTTTGGTGGGTGCTGAGAAGAAGAAAAGTGCTTGAGAAAGTATGTCAAGTGTACATCATGTTGATTTCGTGCAATGATTCTGGTATATTGAAAAGTCTTGAATAGTAATTTACGGCATAGCATGTACATACATTGACTGATTTCCATTTTATCGAGTATTTGTTATTTTCCAGCATACTAGTCTGAATGGTAGGGCAAAAAAGTGAGTCAGTGGAACGGGTGGGGGTCTAGGTATGACTCCCCGCAGATGCGATATCGCAATTCTTCGACTTTAAAAATTTCAGTCAAGTCTCTATTAAGTATACATCTCATACAATTGCTGTCGGCACAATATCAATTCGCGTGTAACATTGAACCTGTGAGTATAAACGAGATTTTCGAATTCATGTCCTCCCATTGCAGTGAATCCGTGTCTTCCTTAGAGATGCCGAAACCGGCACAGATACAACTGATTGTCCTGGACAACCAGCGTCTCTACGTTGAACATGCCACTTTTGTTATGCCTACGTGCCGGATACATCATTCTCGTTTCTTCATTAGTTTTGGAGAGTGAATTCTAACAGAATAATACAACAGACATCACTCAATCGAAAGAATAGAACGAGGCAACGCGGGGTCGCTAATCAAAATGTCCATCACAACCACAGTCACAAAAAAGAAATGCGGTGTCCTCGGAGCCACAGGCTCAGTCGGCCAACGATTCATTCTGCTCCTCGCTGACCACCCAAACTTGGTCCTCCACAAAGTCGGCGCCTCGTCTCGTTCCGCCGGAAAGAAATACAAGGATGCCGTGAAATGGAAGCAGGCCATGCCCATGTCCAAGGATCTCAGCGAGCTGATCGTTCAAGACTGCACGGCGGACAAGTTTGCGGACTGCGATCTTGTATTTTCTGGATTGGATAGCGACATTGCCGGTGATGTTGGTGAGTGCTTATTTTTCTTTGCGTTACCTTTAAAATCAGCTGCTGATAAATGTAGAAATGCAATTCATTAAAGCCGAAATTCCCATCTTCTCCAACGCCAAAAACTACCGCAAACACCCTCTGGTCCCCCTCGTCGTCCCCACCGTCAATCCGTCGCATCTCGAACTCATTCCCCATCAGCGCAAAGAATTCGGCCTTAAAAAAGGTTTCCTAGTGTGTAACTCCAACTGCGCCGTTATTGGAATCGTCATTCCCTTTGCCGCTCTACAAGCCAAGTTCGGCGCCGTTGAAGAAGTCGAGATATTTACAGAGCAAGCCGTTTCGGGAGCTGGATACCCCGGTGTTCCCTCGATGGATATTGTGGATAATGTGATCCCATTCATAAGTGGAGAAGAGGATAAACTTGAGAACGAGGCACAGAAGATTCTCGGTGGACTCAATACCGAGGCAACGGCTTTCCAGGAACAATCCGGTCTACGTGTAGGCGCTACATGTACCCGTGTCGGTGTGACAGACGGCCACATGGCATTCGTCTCGCTACGATTCAAGAACAGAGATTCCATCCCCAGTGCGGAACAGGTCAAGCAGGCTCTGCGGGAATACCAGTCAGAAGCCCAGAAATTGGGCGCTCATTCAGCGCCCGAAAATGCGATTGTCGTCTTTGATGAACCTGATCGTCCTCAACCGAGACTCGACCGTAATATCTCTGGTGGATATGCGGTCAGCGTTGGACGTGTGCGCGAGGGTGCGCCGGGAGGGCATTTTGATATTCGGTTTGCTTGTTTGTCGCACAATACTGTCATTGGGGCTGCGGGATCGTCTATTTTGAATGCGGAGGTTGCTATCATCAAGGGATACCTTTAAACATACTTCGTACATAGCAAAATTTTACTGGCTGTTTAATTTACATTCAATGTTCCTCTACAAATCAAGAAATATAAGGCGGCACTGAGCGGCAGTAAAACGCGACTGACAGCACGTGACTCACACACCCTAAGCGGCCCCGATCCGGCTAGTCAGCCCACACGGCCCACTCGCTTAGCGAAGACTCCTGCTTTAGTCCAACATCAAATTCTCATCAACTTCTTCTTTCCGCGACAGACACTTCGACAATTATCAACGGCAAAGTCGACAAACCGTCAAGATGCCTCGTGGACCGTACGTTGCTACTTACCTTTGAGTTATGAGATTGTGATGGACCACAATTTCATTCTCATATTCGACAATTGGAATGATGACTGACTCTTCGCAGTAAGAAACACCAGAAGCGCTTGAGCGCCCCGGCGCACTGGCTGTTGGACAAAATGTCCGGCACCTATGCTCCTCGCGCCTCTGCCGGTCCTCACAAGCTCCGTGACTGCCTTCCCTTGATCGTCTTCATCCGCAACCGGTTCGTCCTCAGTCGAAAATGAATATCTGCAAGTGAAGACCCAAACTGACCTGGCACAGTCTCAAGTACGCCTTGAACGGCCGCGAAACCAAGGCCATCCTCATGCAGCGTCTCGTCCAGGTCGATGGCAAGGTCCGCACCGACCCTACCTTCCCCGCTGGCTTCATGGACGTCATCTCCATCGAAAAGACCGGCGAGAACTTCCGTCTCATCTACGATACCAAGGGCCGCTTCACCGTGCACCGCATCCAGGCCGAGGAGGCTGAATACAAGCTCGGCAAGGTCAAGCGTGTTCAGCTTGGCAAGGGCGGGATCCCATTCTTGGTTACGCACGATGCGAGAACGTGAGTCTTGACTCTCCATGAAAGTTCTCTGTGTCATTCAGTCGTTGGACCAAGCTTTGGTTGATCGGCGGAGGACGATATCAGAACTTGTAAGAAATGGCTGCAATTGAACAAAGTTTGCTAATTTTTCTCATAGCATCCGCTACCCTGATCCCTTGATCAAGGTCAACGACACTGTCAAGATCGACCTTGCCTCCGGCAAGATCACTGACTTCGTCAAGTTTGACACTGGTGTCATCGCCATGGTTACCGGTGGTCGCAACATGGGTCGTGTCGGTGTCATCACCCACCGTGAGCGCCACGATGGTGGTTTCAACATCGTCCACATCAAGGATGCCGTTGACAACACCTTCGCTACCCGTGAATCCAACGTTTTCGTCATTGGCCAGGACAAGCCCTGGATCTCCCTCCCCAAGGGCAAAGGTGTCAAGCTCTCCATTGCCGAGGAGCGTGACCGCCGCCGTGCTTATGCCATTGCTCAGTAAACTTTTTCAAGTCTGGCATAAAAAACAAAAAAAAGGACGAACTTGGATGATACCATTACCTAGTTTCCAAGATTCGGTCGAAAAGTATTGCATGCAATCTGTATCGAATTGGACAGATTGTATGTCAAGGTCGGTTCAGGAAGATTGTTTTTCTTGAGAAATAGAAGAATTTATCGAATTGACGAGTTAATGACACCCCCCCACCGAGACAGTTAAGTCGCGGACTGTTTGTAGCGTGACAATGATATAATAGTTTCTTCAAATATTCAGCTTCCCATGTAGAAGAAGATAAAAGCCTACCAGTACTCATCCAGATTATCATGATCACTCACCCTCCCATCTTCCTGCTCATCCAAATACATATTACGCTTGTCATCCGCAAGCCTATTCCTTTCCTTAGAGAACCCAGGGATAAGTCACCTTTCCTTCTCGCACCACATCTTCCAGCCCCAACGCTTCCCTGTTCAAATCCTGATTCATACCGGGCTCTCCCTTTAGAATTTGGTTTCTGGAGATGTGTTGGATGCTTGCTGCTGCGGCGTTGAGGGGGTACGGGGAACCGCCGTCGACGTAGATTTTTCATGATGTAGACCATTGTCGCTGTGACCGTCCGGATGTGGACAGTGATATTTCCAGAGATGTCAATATTGAAATACATAGAAGAAAACTGGGGAACAACTAATCTGAAATTGACTCTGAGATAGACGACTGATACCAAGAGCCGGAATCCGAGTGGAGGCACACTATGAGCAATATTGACAATGTTCAGGCTAGATGATCCGCTATCTTTTCGATGGACATCCATGGATGGATCTCAACTTTGTGCTATGTGGGAATAGCCTCGTGCTATCTTTAATAGAGAGTACAATCATATCACTAACACCTAATGATATCTAAACACCACATGGCATAGAATCAAGGATACATATGATTAACAACAAACACAAAGATTCCTCATGGTGCTAATGAGATCTTTCTCTCTCTCCTCATTGATTCCTTCTCCCTGGCTTCAAATGTTGTACATCGCCATACTACAATATTGACTCGCTATCCCTAGAGCATAGTTCCGAAGAGGTGATCAAAATGTACGCCACGCGCTGGAGATAAATCAGCCCATGCCAGTTGGTCTTCAGCAAGCAGATTAATAATAATCGTAAACGATCTTATCACGCAAATTGTTAGCATGACCAAAAGGTACAGCACGACAAAATGTACATTTACAATGAAGCCTCTCTCTTCTGCTATTTCCCTGGTATTCTCCTCCCTAATAGTCCGCAGACGCTCTTCTCTGGCGCACTGTACAGCAGCAGCAGTGTCTGCCCTTCGTGCGGCTTCTTCGCTCCTTCATTGAGCGTCTCTTGTTTATCCATTGCCTGATTGCACAATCAATCCGCAATCACGTTCTCTGATCTGGGGGTCCAAGTATATCTGACATCAGCGAAATCGCGAAACTTGTCCTCCAAATCAAGCGTTCGCTGTATCAATTGTCGATTCGCCACTAGAGCACCGTTCGAAAGCCTCCATCCATTAGACTCCCACCTGTCCGCCCATTCTGTTATATATCCAATCGCATATCGCGAATCCGAGAAAATCTCAATATCGAGGTGCGGAACGCAATCGTTGCCCCCACTCAATTTTTGATCGAGCAGTCTGAACGTGTTAACGATTGTGGTGAGCTCTGCTCGTTGGTTGGTGGGCGCAAATCCATCCTTGTCGCGCCTTGGTAGTTTGGTCACATAGACTTTTCGTTTTCCTCATCTTCTGGTAAGCCAGGCTGCCGCTGCGCCGATGGTCTCCATTGCCTCTGCACCTGCCATCGACGTAGATCTTTCTGGAGAGGACCATGGCGAACTCTGGTAACGAGATATCATAATGGTGCCTCCTAAAGCAGGACGAGAAAGGTGAAAGTGGTGATGGTAATATATCAACCAATTTGGTAGAACAAAAGATGTCAGTCTGAAGAAGTTTCGAAAATGTTGAGAGACAATGGAAGAAAACAAAGAGCAAAGAAAGAACCGGTGTTTGATATATGGAAGGTGAAGGGTCACGGGGAAGGTACAAAATGTAAATCTGGAAGGCAGCAATCAAAAATACGGCAGGCGCTGCTTCCAGCCTGCTCTCACTCTAGTAGCTTCTCTCTTCTCTAGCTGTCGATGTTTTTGGTATCATCACCTACCAATCACTATCAGAAGAAGAATCCCAGTACCTGCTCCTTCGCTCCTCCTCCTCTCTCCTTTCTCTCTCCATCTCCCTCTGCTCCTCCTCCTGCCTGTCCATCGCAATATTGCAATATCGATCCGCAACCTCATTTTCAGACCTGGGAATCCAGGTATATTCCACCAAACCAATCTCCTTGATATCATCATCTAGATTCGATGCCCGTCTTATCAGGTCCTGGTTCGCGACTGGATTACCCGCAGCATTCGTCCATCCGTTCCGACACCACTTGTATATCCATTCATTCATACAATTCACCGCATATTTCGAATCCGAGAATATTTCCACGTCCATTAATGGMATTTCATTGAGATCATTTTTGTATTTTTCCAGCGCAAATTCGAGCGCCAGGATGATTGCCGATATCTCCGCGCGTTGGTTGGTCACTGTGCCCTTCATGTTGCGCATCCAAATTTTGTACTTGCCCCATTTGGTTTTGTGACAGGCGGCTGCTGCGCCGATGGCGTTGGAGTAGCCGTTCCTGCGACAGCCGCCGTCGACGTAGAGCTTCATAGTGTAGACCATTTTGAAATGGTACCGAGCATGAGTTGGTGTGGTGTGCGATGTATATGAAAACAAGACGAATGTGTAAGATAGGCTCGGACGCGAAGGTATCAAGCGGCAAAAGTCGGTTTGCTTCTTCCTAGAAGTTCAGATGGGCGATATCAATTAATGCTCTACCATATCTTGAGAGAGTTTCAGATGTGAGACTTTAAAGAAAGGAATAAGGGGCGCGATATCCGACCGAGGCAAATTAGGTACAACTTGATAGGTCACTTTTGGATGGTACAATCCGCCAGTTCCTCCGAAATCCACTCGGTTCCTGAACCTTTCTTTTGTATACATGGGAATAGCCTCATATTTCTCACTCTACACAATCTTTGTCATATATAGAAGATATCGCCTCTTTGTATGTATGTATGGAAGTAGCTTCACATTCTCTACCTTGCTCCGTTTCTGTTCCAGGTGATTTTACCAATACCGAGCTGTCTCAGGCATACAACAATACTTTTACTACTCCTTGGCAGCGTCATATTTCCATGCGTATAAAAACAGGAAGTTTGAATATTGACCAGACACGTATGTAAAACAATTACGTACATTGAGGGCTTTCGACTCCATGCAAGCTGTGTCTTACATAGACGAACAATGCCATTGTCATCGTCATCACTTACAAGGTATGACCATGATTGCCGGAAATGACATACGTCCTAGCCATATTTGAGGATAGTGCTTGACATCTTGTTGAAGTTTAATAGACCCGTTGGCTCCACTGACTGTATGTTAGGCGCACGCTACGTATGTTAGTTCTTTTCTGTTGATGTCCAATGTAAGTGATACCTACTAAGCATAAGTATGTAGAGCAAATTCTAGGTACCAGGTACATAATCATGTATCTAAAGGTCTGGACTGATCTATTGGTAGATCCCTGTCAACATTGTGTCAATCCAGTTGTAAAACACATACATGCATAAAGGTCCCGATGTCACACATACCACACTTATTTGTACATCGAACCAATCCGAGGAACATATGTGAACCAATCCCTTTCCATCTATCATACAGGGTTCACCGCGGACAAATCAAATGCATCAATTCATAAATTCCTACGTGCCCGAACAACACTGCAATTATCAATCGATTCGAGCCATCTGCCGGCCAAGTGTCCAATGGCATTAGAGTACAACGACAGGGCTTAGAACAATTTCATCGAATAGGGCTCGACCGATTTCGAGAGGTCAATTAATTTTCAGATTTAGTATCAACTAAAACTTGACATAAAACTAGAATCAGAAAAAGACTTGGTTAGGTTCTCAGTAATGCAAGTAGTGGTGCCTAAAACCTGATCTCTCGTGGAGCCCGATGCGCTAAAGAATCGTGTCTGGCAGCTTGTCAGTACACAGACATACAGACCTTGGTTTTTAGCAGATCTCATATGCGTGGCTTTGAACACATTGCATCCGCCCAAAGTCTGAGGGCAGGTATGTAAGGTATCGGGCATGTCAGATGCAAGAAATCATCAGCGTTGAGCATTAATCTATTCGCGCTCGTAGCGGTGTCCTGGGAGGAGAAAAATACTATGAAAATATGATCAGATGAATAATATCGAAAGAAAAAGATGTCAAGTGACCCCAAAACCGGGTAGCTTTCTAAATATCAAATACTGAATGCATCGCTGCATGTATGTCTCTAATAAAATTAAACCGATAAAATGCGACAACGCGAACAAATGTATGATTGTGCAGGGATATATGATAAAACAAACATGGTATAATCGAAGCAAGTAAGCAATATAACTCTCAAAAGCAACATTCTACATCTCGTGATTCGCATCTTGTCCTCTTCTCTATATTGGCGTATAATGATACTGCGCACAACACCCAAGCAATGACTTTGTAAAAACCACATAAGCGTAGATAATCAACGCAAAACCATGATAAGCCACAGATCAGAGACAGGCAGACAAAAGAACAGAAACCGGAACACAAAAATCAATCTCCAGAAAATGCGTTGTATATCGGACAGATCGAAAATAGCAGAACCCTAAAACAAGAATTCGGTAGTATCAGTTAGGTTGGACGGCAGCAAGCGATCACAGATCAAGCTAGTTGGGTTTAAATATGTGGTTATACATGAAAAGAATTGAAGGAAAAGAAACATAAAATCGTGCTTAGAGAAAAATGGTTAGGTCATGGTGAACAACTCATCAAGAGCTGCTTCACCGCGTTGGCGATATTCGATGATGTGTGGAAGCAGGAAGGGTATGCCGGGCGTAACTTTCATTGCGTGTCGGTATGAGGCGTAGTTGTTGGAGGAGTCTAATAGGTATGATACGTTTTGTGGTGTGAGGGAATAGACGTTGACTGCTTGAGCGTCCGCAGTGTTGGATGTGGTGGTTGAATTGACCCAGAGAAAGCTTATGCTGATGTGTTGGAGGCCGTGAATCAGAGCGAGAGTTGAGTTATAGTTTCGCATGTTATGAAGGATCTATATCTGTCAGCTGGTATCCTCATCAGGCGAGGAGCCGATACTCACCTGAATACATTCCTGAATGAATTGCACAAACTCCGGCATGGCAGTACAGCACTCCCTAACAGCCATGACTAGATCGCACCAGCGCGTATGCAAGACCTCAGTAATCGAGTTCTGTTCGTCCATGAGCTGTTCACGCGACAATTGAGCAAACCTTGCCTGATCAGAGCGAGTCAATGATCTTGCCAAATCTGTTGGTGAAAGAGCCGCCAATAGATCGTCCAGATATTTCACTCGGGTGTCCAGTCTTTTGCGCCAGTCTACATTTGGTACATGTATGTATGTCTGACGGAATCGGATAGCGATGACACTGAGCTTTTTCAGTATGGATATCAGGTTGGCGGGATATTTCTGAAACAAGTCTTGTATAGGGCCGGCAATAAAATCAAGACTTGACTTGCTACTTTGCTGGAGTTCCTTTCCATCTGAAAAGTGATTGAGACATTGCACAATAGCCTTGTGGGCAAATGGACTTTTTTGTCGAAGCAACTGCATGCTATCATCAGCAACGAACGCCTGGAGGAAGAAAGGACAAGGCTTACCTTCTCGACTTCCCGGTACTTGGGAAGCTCGTATCGATGAGCCTGCAAATGGCTCAAAAGAATGATATACAATGCATTATGCTGCAAAAAGAACCAGTCTACTTCAGCCGCGGGGAATCCCAACGAACATCTCACCCACGCTTCGAACGGAACCGCCTTGAAATGCATCTGACTCTCGGTCTCAATCTCATCCGCAATGATCGAAGGCTCGGGGCCCCGAAGAGCTTGCGACGGATACCAAGTCCACTGCAAGTTCATGGGCATCGTTGTCTGACACCTTCGCAAGATCTCTTCGACTTTCTGGCTCTGCGTCAAGGTAGGAATAAATTGTAACTCGTAAGGAGGCAACAAAGAGTTCAAAAACGTCTCGAGAACGTTGCCGTTCCGGCGATGCAGAATTGTGCGAGGTTCGTTACTGTCATGGAAGAAGCCGAATCGAATGACGAGACTGATTTGGCGAACGTCGAAACTCCACAGCACGGTTTGAGCATCGTCTTCCCACCATCGCTGATAGAGATGTTGGAAGCTTGGGGTCTCCGATGCAGTATTGAATAGTAAGGGATAAGGTTGTACTTGACTGTTTTGTGTCATGTCCATGTTCATGTTTGTGAGCTGGCTCTCATTTCCGACCTCTTGCCCTCTATAGGAAGAAGATGATGCTCTGGCAGTGTCAAAAGAAGGATCGTAATGACCTGCTGCGGAATTCGTCGACGTCATATAGTTTCCAGACATTTCGGGAGCGAAAGAAGAACCAGAATAATAAGACATATCCCCTATATCTGAGGTCGAAGTCGGGATCGACATTGGATGATATACCCACGAATCATCGGGGGCCGCGGTCATCATACTTGCAAAACCGCCAATTGAATACTCAACCGTTGAAAGCGTTTTCTGATTTGAGACGTTTCTATTTCTGTCTGACGGATGTTCAACACAATAGCAGTGTTGCCGAAATGCCCATTGCGTCACCTACTCAAGAATTTGTGGGTAGGGCATGACATGACATGACCGGCTTTGATTGAAATTGCTGAAAGGTAGGCGATCCCCTCGCGTGTATTGTCTGTGGTGGCCCGTCTTGGCTGGATTTCAACGTATATGTATGTATGTATTGGTGTCTAGTGTCAGGATAAGGCGACGAACCGGTGAGCGAGTCAAGAACACGGATGAAATGCGTTGTGCAGTGGCCAGTCCGTGGTGGCGGCTAGGTTCTAGACGCTCGCTGGCTTTGAAATAAGTAGTGACTTACTTGTTACCAGGGGCGGTGCAGCCAGCTGCATGTATATGAACCCTGGCAAGAAGAAAATAGAATCTGCTGGACAGCTGTTAGACCTAGCACAGCATATGTCGGAGGTGCCGTTGAGTCTGTACAATGGTCCGTAGTCGATTTGACGAATACGAAAAAAGAAAGCTGCAGTCAGAGAAGCAATAGCTGGGTTTGCCACACGTAGTCTCCTGGATTCTGACGAAAGGCGACAGACGGGTTCTATGTCTTCCCGTCTCTCTCTTTTCTCCTCGTAACGTCTTGGCCAGTCAGATGCCAAAACAAAGTATGAATGGAATGGTTGGATCGAGGAGGGGTGGGCGCGTACCTTATCTTGTTTAGTCTAGCTCCACTAAACGGCAGTCTGTGTACGTATGTACTGCGCTGTATGTACTGTACCTCAAATATCGACACCGCATCAAGTCATAGACTGGACACTGAAAAGCCATTCGGGGAGACCGTCGGAGGTATTAAAAAGGGCAATATTCAAAAGACAGAGCCAAGGCGAGAAGAGGGGTGGGACATTTTTCCAGTGGTGGGTACAAACTAGGGCAGCTCGGTATATGTACGGACTAACACCTAGTTTTAGGGCTAGTATTTATGTTATGGTATGGATTCTGGTTTCTGGGTTAGCCAGATTTAGCCCTTCGAGATTAGTACGTAGGATCAGTGAAGTGCATTTCTGCCTGCGACGTGGTTTGCCTGTCAGTCCGGAAATCGCAACATGTATCGTTCTACTAGGACTATGTGGGTAGGATGTACCGGTATGGTATTTACAGTAAATTACGTATGGGTCTGCGGACGTACGTATGACCCGAGACGCTGGATCAAAAGCCCTCTGTTGGGTTTGACCCACCAACTATCAGTGTGCGTGGATTCATGACTTCATAGGAAGTGGAAATGGACGATAGATGTTTAGATTCGGTTAGTCCTTGACCGACCTGCTTATGATTACTCTGTACAGCCTAGATTAGCCAGACTGACGGAATACTATTCCAACTCAAGTAAGTAGTCTACTTCAATACATCGAACATTTCAACTGTTGTCCTCAGTTTACGATACTTAGACCGGTCTGCAAGCACTCTGTTCTAAGCGTGGTATTGTACGTATGGGGGTTCTGTCGAATGACCCGCGTGCAACAATTCAGTACCACATACACATTACCGCCTGACCCGCCTTTTATAAATTTGACAAGTATTGTCGTATCATGGTCTGGGATCCTTTTTTAGATGAGACCGTATCTCATGCACTACCGCCAATGCTTAATCTCTAGTGGTCGCTGTTCCCTTGTTTAAACGGCCTGCTTGAATCCATGAATGTCATTCGGCCCAAATGTATTTTACAATTCGACCGCTTCCAGGCCATCTAGAAGAATTAATAAACGTCACCAATAACAAGACAATCTAAAGACTTATTTTAAACTTGCCCCATCTTCAACGAATCGATTCTTTGTGTGAAGTACTTGAGAAGCGGACCTGCGCAAACCCGGAGAGGGTCAAGAAACGGCTGGKCGTCGCCCACCATGATTAAGAAAAAGAAACGAGAGTCATGAACGTCAGAGGTGGAGAGAGGCGGTCAGAGAGAAAAGCAAAAATGGCGACTGAATAAACACGTAATGTTGCCTGGATGCAAGCAACCATCTAACCCCGGTTGCTGCGCGCACATCGTAGTTGGGAGAGCAGACAGACCGCCATTGTGAAAAGTGACATGACTTGCCTCTTTCTTGAAGACGAGGAACACAACACGCTTCGACGAACAATCGGTGAACTGACAGAGAAAGACCATTGTGTCGTCATACCGGCCATTCCTGGTCTTTTGTGATGTAGATTGATTGTAAGAACCGGGATGAGCTCACTATTATAGCATCTTCTTTGTCTCTATTCCAAGCTTGTACCAGAGTGTTTCAAGATTGTACTTGAGTTGACTATTCTAGAAGTCATCAAAGAAGATCCGGATGCTGCCTTACAGGAAAAATAAATTAATCTCCCAGCGGATGTGGCTGCCACTGTCTCAGCGATATATGTATGTGCCGGAAAACCGAATACCCACTCCATACGGAGCACAGAGTTTTACTAGTCGACGTTTTCGACCTTTTTTTCTCTTTTCTTCTTTCTTTCCCACATCAGTCACTTGTCTGGCGCACGTGGCTATGTTTGCTTACATTTATGCATATAAATGGTTGTGCTGTGTATCATGATTGCGTGCTAGAACTCGAGACTTGAGACTCGAGAACTGCTACTACGGTCGTACGGATCATTATGTGACAGGTCTGCTGCCCAAAAGTATAAATTTTCACATTGATTGTTGATCATCGGATCTGGCTTTGAGTTCATAGTCTAGTGAATTAATAACTCTTTTTGACGCCTAACGGAAGCGAGTGAAGCATGATTGGTTTGATCAACGTCGTGTCAGACTCAAATATTCAATGCATAATCATAACTGCGAAGAAGAGGACGATTCATCGTTCCGTACTGGGTCAATCAATGTCTAAAACGGTGGAAAACCAGGCAGATACTGAGGTCCGGCAAGAGAATGATTCGAAATACAAATTCCCCGAATTCCCGGCTTCCAACTAGTTTTGTTCGATACATCCATTTTCGGGACGTTGCATTTCTTCAACCCTAAGTGACGAACTACTATGTAGTGTGTACGGAGCGTTTGAACCTTCCAGGCTCTGAGACGCCGTTAATCTCTCTTGGGTTCTGTTTCAAATTTCCGGCATCTCTCAAGTACGTAAAATGTGTTAGATTAACTTCCGCTTCACTTTTTAGAGTTTTCGCTCCAAAAATGTTATCGAATACGCAAACTCTTAAAAGGCGCAAAAAAGGGGCCGGGGGGAGGGGCAGAAGTGACATGGGAGAGTGAATCGGCGAGCTATCCGTCCCAAGGACTCGGGTAGGAGCCTCGTCGGCTCCCTCCGGAATGATCAAAAGGATTCAATTGAGATCTTGTAATTCTCATCAGCACGCTTTGAGTGTCGTTGAAGACGACTGAAGTGCTCCTGTGAGTAGTTCGTTAATTGATGAGCGAGTCATGGTATCGCAACATTGTAAAGAGGTGTTTAATGTCCACGCAATCAACATGAACACTATTTTTCTTGGAAAGGAAGGATATCAGCTAGTAGTCGAGCAGGGATTTTTCGATCACAAGGTGCCGTCCGTTACAGCGATACGCTTGCCGGATGAGGAAGGAGATAGATAAGCATGAGATGCTGTTTCAGTGTTCCTATCCGGAGATCACTAGAGAGATGCAGTTATCATATGCGTCTTGTGCATTATATTGGCCTTTAGACTCTATATGTAGCGGACATCACTGCGGCTAGTCAAGACTGGATGAGGAGGGAAGTTGTCTTGACTCATGAAGTGAGAATATCGTCCCCTCATCTTCAAAAGTTGCATGCAAGATGGGACGATTTCCGATTTCTGGTACCGAAGGAACGGACCGTCGTTAGCCGCTCTGTACCATACTGTACCGTACCATGGAGAGCAGGTTACCTTCATTATGGAAATATTGTATCGTGTCGTAATGGCCTCAAAAGGGCCAAACTATAATAGAAGTCTACTTTTAATCCCAACTATGAGATGGAGCCACCCAAACCGACCCGTATACAAAGTTCGCAGCCCATATGCATAGAGTCATACGGCCCATAAATACCCAATAGCTTGTCACCGTGGCAGCTGAGATAGTACCCAGAACACTGAGTTTTGTTCTTAGCTGTCAGGCGCCACTCTTCCTGTATTTGCCGTCATTGAGGTACCAAGCGAGGCGCATGTTTCAAAACCCGAAGCGCAGCGACTCAGGAACAGGCTTAGCGGGTGGCAAGGACAGCCACTTCCTTTCTGCTTTGTGCTTCCATAGACTCCCATACCACGAAATACTCCGTTTCCCGGAAATCTTTATTGGAGAATAAAGAGGCTGGTGGAAGCCTGGATGGCAAATTTTGCGGTCAATGATATATTGCAGAGCCCCATCTCAGCTCTCACCGTTCCTTTGATGTCCACAACTACCGAAGCGATGTTTCCGGACGATGGCCACTAACATCCCGTTATATCGTGTCATGATCCTTTGTCTTTTGGAATTATCTCATACGTAGCATTGTATTCAATTTACATGTGAATTTGCAACTATGTTTTTACACAGAAACTACCTAGGCAAATCTGCATGCTAGTACGTTCGGACGTACGGAGTACCAACAATGATTTTCAGAGCCGAGCTAAATGCTTACGCAGCTTGGAGCTGTTCGTTTCTGGTTGTCTGCACTACATTAGCCAACTGGCAAGAAGTATGTAGCATGAGAGTAGTAATACCTCAATAAGTATTAGGTACCCCCGACATGCGTAAAGCTAGTGGTTGGCACTCATTCCCTCGGTAGTTGATCTTCGCGTAGATTCTCCACGGAGGTGCGGAGTTTACTCCGAAATGTCTGGAGTAAATGACTTTTTTGTTGATCAGCGGGACTCAATGTTTGCAAAATGCATCAAAGGACTACGTAGCAATTGCAACGTTTGGCTGCATATGCGTAGACTCAGGATTGTACCTCGTATTCTCGTCTCTTTTGACTACCGTAGATAGACCTTCGGTGCCTCCATTGCCGAAAGATGGTGGATACCTCAATAAATGGCCACGCAGCACGCAGATCTATTTCTGTGTGGTACGTATGACTGCCTTACATCAAAAAGACTCAGATATCATGTATTATTGTTTTTTGCCTTTCACCAACCCCAAATTATGCCGAATTTCCGTCGCCAATTAGCCTTTTTAACTACGGGATTAGTGTGTTCCCAGAGAGTCGGTTGCTGGAATTCGACCCCAGTTACGGAAGTTCAAAGCACGCTTTTTCTTTTTCTCCTGTGCTCAATTATATTACATTACGTACGACTACGCCGTGATCTCAGCCCAACCCCACTCGATATTTGAGTTTGATCGGTATCCTTGGGATATCTAAGCTGCGTTCTTAAAGACGGCGATTTGCAATTACCAAAGAATCGGGATTGCTTAGGTAGGGGCTAGTTATTTAGTGGCCACTTAATGATTTTTAGCTTGGGATCGATGGTACCTTAGTAGAGACTTGTTACTACAATGATAAGAATTTTCGCTTAAAGACTGAACGACTGGATGAATCTATAGAAAATAACTCAATTGAAATAAACCTCGTCCATTGCGCTCATTCGTTAGTACAAATAGCCATGATCATAATGAGAGGCAATATCTAGTGATTTGCTGATATCCCAAAAAGTGATACCTCACATTTCTTCCCAGAATTCGACGTCTCCTCAAAAWTTTCCCGCCACTACATTTCTCCAAGGCTAAATACTCCTTGATTCGTTGGAGATACATTCACACTTGAAGTGACTGGTTAATAGTGCTTGGCCACACTCATTCCTTTCTGGTTCGCGTGGCAACTGATCCATTCTATTCCTGCTTGGCTGCTACGTCCCTAAGGGGGTAAGGCTGTCGATTGCCTTTACCTTCTCGCGTACAAACAGTCTCCCTTGTGATCAACATGCAAAGCACGACCCCTTCCCGTTCTTTGTGTTCATTCCTTTTTCTGGAGTTTGGGGGATGGAGATTCTGGGGTTGTATTGTAAAATGTCACTTTGTGTATGTTTGTAATTGAGCTGTTATTTCAGTATTGATACATGCTAATATACTGTCGAAGAAAATGGTTATAAATAGTTCGGACATCCTCGGGTCTTGAAGCAAAGTGCCATCCCAAATATACATGGTGACTCTGATCGGCTTTTCTGCACGTGGCAATTCGATGATTGTCGAGGCTCCAGGAAGGCATGGATTTATCATTTTGGTGAATACAAGAGAAAAACTCCATAACAATGCGCATCTTCGTCGCTGTAGATCAGATTACATGTATACCCGAAAAGAAATCTGTACAAGTCGTGCTAACAAATCAAATCAGACACATCCAGTCTATGTGAATAGGAAGCGTGGACGTGGGTATAGGGAAACATTTCAGTATATGTACGTGCCAGCCATGATCAAACGTCTTGATGGCGTTTGATGAACGCAACTAAAATAGCGACAATCAAAACCAAAACTACAGTAGCAATTTTCGGGAAATATGTCTGCGATGCAACGCCTTCCTTTGAGGGTGTCGTCGTAACCGCTGGTGAGGGCATTGCGATGGCCTCCGATTCAACCGGCTTAACTGAAACTGCCATTTCAGACGGTTCTTTGATGTCTTTATTGACTTCTGGATTGACGGGATCATCTGTAGTTTCCATCAAAGATGTCTGGTCGGTATCGGCAGTCGCAGTCGTCGAGCTACTGTCATCCGTCGACCCCGACCTCAGAGATGCATTCGAAGAACCAGCCGACCGACCCAGCTCCAACAACAAATTTGCAATGTCCTCATGCTCATAAGTCCTAGCTATCATAAACGGGGTCCTTCCATACCAGTCCTTCCTCCAGAGCTCCGCCCCAGCATCTACCAGTCGACGAACTGCGTCGGCACTGCCATTAACGACGGCCAGTTCAAGGTAAGCATTCAAAGCTTCTGTCTCCTCCGGCAATTTCGCACCACGCTCAATCAGAAGGACATTGAGCGATCTGTAATTTCTCGAACCACGCAACTCGAGAGGTGTAGCACCCCACTGATCAAGAGCGTCTACGTTGGCACCAGCATCAAGGAGGATTTCCCCGGCTTCGGGGCAGACATACAAAGCCGCCAGGTGCAACGGTGTTCGTCCGTAGTTGTTTGTGGCGTTGATATCGGCGCCATGAGATATTAATTGACGTATAATCGTTTCATTGTTATTCGCAACAGCATGATGAAGAGCTGTCTCCCCCATATCTGGGTCTTTGCCATTGATATCTTCGTTTAGATCTTGGGAAAGGCGTTCTGTGACTTCGTCAATCGAATCGGCGTTAGCCAGTGCCCAGAGGGGAAGAGGCTCGTTATCAACAGACATTCCAGTGTCCGTGCGGCGAGGGGGTAAGATTATTGTGCCAGTATCAGTTCGTTTTGGCGGGAGGAAGTCAACTTCATCATGGCCATGTCTCTTCTGCTCTTCTCGCAGTCGTCTAGCATCTCGGAGCAGTTGCAGGATTTCGGTATGGTTTACCTCTCGAGCAATACGGATTGGTGTTCGGCCGAATCTATCCTTGATGGTTGGATCAGCACCATGATCTAAGAGTACTTTGGCTGTATCCATGTATCCATTTCGAGCGACATCGTGTAATGTCGTTTTACCGTTTACATCCTGCATGTTGATATCCAATGTAGGGTCGAACTCGAGCAGAATCTCTATAATTTCCGATTGACCATTACATGCTGCACCATGGAGCATGCCTCGGTCAAAGCAATCTTTGTGGTGTACGTTCGCGCCGTGTTGAAGTAGTAATTTCACGACAGGGATGGCGTTGTAGTCGATTGCCCGCATGAGCGCCGTGCCTCTGGTGCCAACTTCAAGCGCTTCAGTGTTTGCGTCTCTCTCTAATAATGCTTGGACAATTTCTGTATATCCATTCTCTGCGGCATATATCAGAGCGGTTGCACCTCTCTCATCCTGCAGATCAATATCGATTCCGGGTTGAGAAAGAAGAACATTGACACAATCAAGCGTTCCTGCAATGGCTGCATAGATCAACGCAGTCGCACCTGCAGGTTCGGAACAGGTTTTGTTGATTTCCAATTGCGGCACAGATACCAGCAATTTGACAATATCCGTATACCCATCCAAGGCCGCACGGATTAATGGAGTAAAGTTATTATGTCTTGGATGTGCGATATTCACATTCAAATCTTTCTGTTCAACCAGCAATGAAACAAAGGCAACTTGATATCTGTCCGTGGCCTTGTAAAGCAGAGAGGAACCCGTATTATCAACGCTATTGACGGAGGCACCGGCTTCGATAAGGACTTTTGCAACATCCACGTTGCCCTGCATTGCCGCGAGCACAAGCGGTGTTACTCCGTTCACATCTTTGATATCAGGATTAATGCCCTCTGAAACGAGTTCGGCTACAAGTTTGGTCAGGCCCAAATGAGAAGCCAAATGTAATTCAGAACTACCATCCTTGCCAGTCCAACTCGATTGGTCGTCATTGTCCACGTACCACAAGGCTTGCGTCAAAGCTGCAAAACAACCTTGATCATGAAGCAGGTTTCGGGCACGTTCCCAAAGGTCATCCCGAGAGGTTTGAACGAGATGCTTACCCCAATGCTTAGCCGCATAGCCAAATAATGGATACTTTTCAAGGCGTTCATCAAAATCAGTCAATTCGCTGGGCCCAGAGCAAGCACCCATTCTGAATGGCTGGAATAAAAGGTAGGTTAAGCAAACAGACGCCAATTTATCTCGTCCTTCGGGGAAATATTGCTCCCAATTGCGACGGAAAAAGTCCTGTGCTGAATAATGTACGAGCCGCACACAATCCGATTCGTCAAACTGAACCAACCCAGCGCACATCGAGGCGAGAACAGGCGCCTGGATAATATAGTCTTGATTTATATCATCATCCGTCTCTGTTACCGCAATCGCATGCTCGATAGCCCCAACATGTAATGGCTCCTCAGCAAAGACTACCCATCTCAAAAAGTCCATTGTAATTTCTCGATGATTCATAGATAGATCGGCAATGCGGCTCATCGCATCTGTGAATGTCCCATCAAGCTCATTTGGAAGTACCTCGAGTGCCGCCATGACGTCTCCGGGTCTCAATTTCGATGTCAATGTATCCATGTTGAATTTTGCCAGAAGGAACATTCCACCATTGTCGTTCACAACTGTTTGTATTATCTTCTCTCTCAATCCTTCCTTAAGCGCTACACATTTCTGTAAAAATGCAGAAGTTGTAATACGCCATTCCACGTAGGTGAGCAAATCTTCCTCGACGGCAGCGACTTCGATTCGGAAGCTGTTGAATTGTTTAATAAGAGAATGTCCTTGGCCTTTGCACTGCTTGCCATTATCAATGCAGGACTGGCAGAGGTCATAATCGGAATTATCGCATACGTAGCAATGATAATGATACGGCTGGCTACCTTTGAGGCATACATCGCAGTAAATTTGACGATTCACATGACTGAAATGTCTCACGATGTTTTCCAAAGGCCGTGATGTCACCATCAAGTTGACTTTGGCTTCTAGTGAGTACAGAATCTCGAGCAAAGTCAAGCGGTCATCTTCTTCTCGCAACTCGTCGAGCCCATCAATGACGATGAATGAACGTGGAAATTTTAGCAACTCCTTGTCCAGCACAGACAGCAATTCTTCGCGACCCGGCTTCGTTCGGACTCGGTCGTGTTTGGTGAACATTTCCAATGTATCCTTCGATTTGACTCCATATCGCTGAGCAACCTGCTTGAGAAGACTACCAAGTAATGAGTCTATAGACTGCGAATGTACATCGTCCCACTTGCAGTACAGCATCAGAATTGCAGCATCTTTCATTGGCTTTTCATTACTTCGACGTAGTTTGTCCAGTTCATCTATCACAATTGCTGATAGGTAGGTTTTTCCAGCGCCAGGAATACCTGGGCAGATGAGAATCCCTTTTTCACGTTCAATCCATTCACGAAAGTCTTCATCGTCAAGGAACCATTTACAGGTGCCCTCGTGGTGTTCCCGGAAAAGCAATTGTTGTTTGGCAATGAAATTTAGCGGCGATAACCAATCAATCATCTCTTTCACTTGAGCTTCATCCATCACATCCTTTACCGCTTGAGTGGTCTGATAGATCTCCTGGGTCATGGAATGATTAATCTGCGATAGTGCAAACTGTATAGTCTGCTGCATTCGGTGGACTTTTTCAACCACTTTCAAAACATCGGTCTCAGTGAGTGGCCATGTTAGCGTCTGTCTAATTTTCCCATAGCCGGACCTCGACTTGAGTTTGGCATCGAGATCATTCACAAGATCTTCAATTTCTTTGATAATCCCGGTGTCGGCAGCGAATAATGACTGCAGCTCTTTAGGTATCGCTTCTTGTCCCTGAGTGTTGGTGATTTGGGCCTGGAGAGCCGTGATCGTCAACCATAAATGTGTGATCTCGTTCAACAGCGACAAACGGTCTTTCCCTCCTGATGCAACCGAGCTCAAATAGCCTATAATTTGAAAGGCCGCTGTAGCAACTGCCGTGATGCTTGCTGAGAGGCTCAGGGGATCCATGACTGCCACCTCTGGTACGGCAATACATGTTCCACAATGTATTCAGGATCTGGATTGAAAAGTCGAGAAAAATCAACAACAGATAAAAAGCCGCATAACACCACTACTTAACGAGAAGGAAGCTAAATCATCAAGCTGAAGTCCGGCCCCAACAACGTGCATAAGTGCCATGAGCCTGGCGTTCCGTTGCCAATCATTGTCGCAAAACCCCCGCGAGATAGTGCTTAGTTCCGCACGGCCTAGTCTCATTCTCAATTCTCCAAGGATTCGCGAAATCATGCTTCGTATTCATTTGTTGATGTGGCAAGTTCTTTCCATGGTGGTGTCGAAGGTACATTCAGCATTGGATACAAAACGAAGAAACCATCCGAGTGTGACGATCGGCCAAATTATTTGCCTAAGTGACGAGGCTTTCCTCGTTACAAGATCGCCTATCTACAGCAGAGCGACTTATTACATACGCAGATACTATTTAATAGCACCGCAACGTCTTTTGCAAAAGTATATCGCATATGTTCATGCGAAATTTGTAGAAAACCAGACCTACGGCGCGGTGCGTCTACTGCAGGTCCCCATGCCCGTCATGCCATGGTCGCATCGGTAGGGCCCGTATATACGTTAAGCGTATGTGTGCGTAGGCGATAACTTCGAAACCGATTCGAGAAAGTCATATACCTTACTGCCGATTATTATGAACCATTAATCCTGCTTCCTCGACTTGGATGTTTTGGACCCAAAGTATCCCAGGAGATAGGCGACGCGATTCACAAACAAGAATGCTGTGAAGCCAATATTACCCCAGCTGACGGGTGACCATGATGCGACATCAAAGTACAGATCCGGGCCCATTGCGACGTAAGTCGCATATAGATGGCCAACGTCTGCAATTGCTAGGGCAATGACGGCATTGCGCAGTACGTGAATCTCAGAGGTACCGTAAATGACTCCAAAAGCAAGCATGCCTACGAGGCCATATATATTTGCTAGCTGGTAGTTCAACGCGAGAACGCTGGGATGGTGCGGCAATGTAGGAGGATGGGCAAGAGAGGTTTGGCCGGCGATGAAGTTATCCCTGTCAATTATAGGAGCGAGAGTACCGGCGACCCTGATAGAATGTAAGCATTCGTTGGTACTTCACATAAGTTTGACGTATCTCCAGCATCTGGTAGAAGAGGCATTGTTCACTACTCACATGGAGAGTGGCTCCACGATCGCAAAGAGGATGAACGGCCATGTCGGGAACAGAGTTGGCATTTTCGGGAGCTGAGTTTTGAATGGCTATCTCACATTGGAAGAGGCCCGAGATACTGATTGTCGATATCACGAATTCTCATGTCTGAGTTTGTGTAGATCAAAGTCATGATTGCGATAATGATAGCCTCAGGTTTCACCCTAAGCCGTAATAGACAAAGTGCCGGAACAACTATTTACCGTCAATAACCCTCAGGGTTAGGACTTTGATTATTGATTATAACACACCTAGATATTGGTGCTTGCTATGTTGTAAATCACAGCTAGGGAGCCTTACTGCGACTTAATGGCACAATTATACTACAAGTGGAAACTTCCTAAAGGACTTCATCGCAACCGAAAGCCGGAGAAGGCTGGTTATGAAACGCACATCTTCAAGTATAAAGGAGCGACTGACTACAAACATAAATTGAAAAGCAGAAAGTAGACATCAATTCCAAGGTTTTCCCAGCAAATGATCCAACTGAAATTTTCAGAAAAAAGAAGTGAACAGAAATCTACTCCACATACATCGTCTGAGCGACATACAGGGGTGATCAGATTATTCAAAGACCACCAACAACAGCTGCAACGTTTTCTGATCATTCTCGAACTCCAGATGATTGACCTCGATAAATTTGCACATTGAAAGTGACCCATCCTTTTCCTGAGTCATATCGATTTTCTCAATTGTCAGGAGCAACATATCCATGAATTTTAGGGGTATTCCCAGCTACCTATCACGAGTGCCCAATGTCAGTAGCCATTGACCTAGTGAATGGTATTCTAGGGCAGAGATAATTGTACCGCATTGATAGCACATCGTGGGAGAGACCTAGACCAGAATTCGCTCGAACTGAGCTGCAGGCGTAGTTGCTTGCTCGCCTATACAAAAGAACAATATGTTAGCGTATATATTTAAAAAGATGAGTTATTCTAAATACAGGTCAGAGAAACAAAGTCAGCCTGTGCGGAGTAGGGCTGAGCAAAGGTGACACTATCACTGGTGCAGCAGTATGCTGGCGCAATGAAATTGTTGGCGCAGATAGAAGCCTCAGTAGTGCCAGCGATAGTCATCAAAGTGTTCAGATATACTATACTTCCCCAGACTGATTGAAATCTAAGTCACACCTAGTTGCCGTAGCTAAAATCGGAATAGATGGTTTGGTTGAGAGAGAACGTTGTGGCGTTCTGTCGAGTCCTCAGGGGAGGTTGGAAAATGGCCCTGCGACCTTGCAATTAATTCCTCAAAGAATCCAAACCCAGTGGCGCGGCTTACTAGATAGCTCATACCATAGTTGCCATAAAGATTCAAATCATTGACATACTGGAACCTTTCCCATTTCTCCAAAGTGAACAAAGTGCAAAAAGGACTATAACCAAGAGCCACAGTCTCGTATGGACATATCGACTGTACATTGTAGATGTCTTCATCAGTCTTCATCAGTCCTGTTCGGACTTTTGCGCAGATGTACTATAGATACCTCAAAGTTCCCATCCAGTAAAATATGTCCCCATTATAGGGCTCACCAGATATGGGAAAAGTAGTCACTAATGGCGTGTTTGAAATGCAGGGTCGGCTGGGAGTAGATCGAATTGGTTTGCGCAAGGAACGGAGCATTTCCCGCTTTAGTAGCACTTGTAGACTGTTGAGTCCTTTTACTTATTGACATGATACACATATTGCCCATACCCACATATGGCCTCCATATTTAGTTTGGAAATAATCCAGGACCTGGGGCACGGTAGGCCCTATTGGGATAGAAACACCAGCCACCACCAAACAAGCAGCTACAAATAGCTTGAGCAATGTGCTAATCAGAAAAGACTTTTCTCTTTCCTTATAGAATATCAATAGATGGAAAATGTGCGTGAATGCTAAACAGAATTCAGTGCGATTTAATATCTATACACTATGAAAATATCTAAGCCTCGGTATACCTAAAATCTCTGTCACACGATCTGCTGCCGAAAGAGGCAACATACTGTGGGTAGCCTACCCCGGCTTTTGACAGTCTGGGATATCTACATATTTTAGATTTGGGACTTCAATAATGAATCATATCCAAGAAAATTACATTTGCCGACAAAACCTGACCCATCCGCCTTCGAAGATCCATGGCCGGCTACTAAACTAAGAAGTAGAAAGTAAGGCGCTCTAATGTATTACACTTTGTTGGCTTACTTTTTTATCTAATGAGGCAAATATGTCGGCTCACTTCGCGTTGATTTATCGAAAATAGACAGCATCATCGATCTCAGGAAGTTAAATGAAATTTAGCAACTGCAATTGGGTGCTAGGTATAGTGGGCATTGCAATCTATCGGAAAGTGGATTCCACCCTTCCAGACGTAAGTAGAGAAGCAAGCTCTTGATGTAGAGTTTGCTTCAATAAAATTACAAAGGTTACAATTGTGGATTTACAACGGCTCGATCCGATCTATCCTTACAGCCAACCAAGGTGGTCTTTCAACGCGATGCCTCTGGACACAATATATCTCGTTCGCCATGGAGTAAGCATGCGCCTGAAGCTTTGTTTGAGAACTACCTGTATTAATCTTACTGGCTAGAATCGTAACAATTGGGAAATCGATTTCGACAAAAAGCAATATATTCCAGAATTCCCTACTCCAACCGGCAATGGCGCAGACCCAACCTTGAATTCAAGCGGTGTCCAGCAATCCTATGAGCTCGCATCGCATATTAGTAGCCCTAGCTTCACACCAAAGCCATTTCGGATCTATTCCAGCCCGTTCTATCGATGCATACAGACAATTCAACCCACTGTGGAGGAGTTGGCGAAGAAGAAGCAGTTAGGCGAGATAGATCTTGACATTGGAACAGATCTCAACGTTCGAGTTGAGAATGGATTAGGGTAAGGCAAGGCAGAAGTTCGTTTTCAAGAACTGGAAGAAAAAGAAGATTGACGAGTCAAATACAGTGAATGGTTCGGAGGCATCATATTTGAGCCTCCAGCTCCCGTTTCAGCAAATGTTCTGTACACCCATTTCCCAACATGCCTTGCCACAAATCCTGAGAGTCTCTACAAACCATTCGTGATTCCACCGCGATGTGGTGAGACTCTCGCACAGCTCCATGACCGAGTCGCAGCCACTCTTGCGTCCATCATAGCCCAAGCTGACGCTGAAATCGCGGCAGCAGAAGCGGGACAAGTAACAGATTCACCCCGCACCAGCAAAGCCATATTGATCTCCTCCCACGCGGCACCGCTTATTGCCATGGGCCGCGCGTTAACAGGGTGCATGCCGACAGAGTTTGGGGAGAAAGATTTCAATGTCTTCACGGCGGGATTGAGCACATTCATTCGGAGAAAGCCGGTTTCGGAAGATGACCAAATTGTGTTAGGTGCAGTGCCTGATTGGAAGAATGGGAAGGGAGTTGGAGGGGACTGGGAATGTGTGAAAAATAGCGACACAAATTTCTTGAGCGGCGGTGCCGAGAGTGGTTGGTATGTTCTTTCCGGACCTAATCTCTGCTTTTACCAAAAGCACTAAAACTGATTGATTGCTTTAGGCACTTTGAAGGCGAGGCGTCGTTTGATACGTCGACTACTATGGCCAAAACTGCGGACAGTGACACTTGTGTGATTGCTACAGCTACAGCTGTTGTCTAGTTGGAAGTTTGAAGTATGACCGTCAATCATCTCTCGAATTATACCTTGTAGATGGAGTGTTCGTGTTGGATATGTTATATGTACAGTCCATTGATTAAGTAGATAGTATCTAGACCGAGGGCCTAAGGAACTTCAATCTAAAGTATCAGTTTTCGAGACTAGAGATTGTTTGAAAATACGCTGGGCATATCCAATAGAATTGCTTTGTCCATCGATGATAGTTGACTTGTAATTGAAAAGCGAGAGTAGTAAGACCACAGCTAAGTATCTGAGCATCTGAGCTACAGAATCCGAGTCCAAGTGATTCTTAATATCAATGCAGTGTCTACATTACAAAACGAGTTATGATTCCTGGGGAAAACCCTATGGAAGTACGCTTCCAACATCACGTCACGCTTTAATCTTGGACGAATGGTTGGGGTAACTACCATAAGTCGATATATCCCGCACTTAACCGAGTCTACATTTGCCGACAACCTTGGAAGATGTTGGTAGAACCCCGACATCGTATTCCGGAATCTAGTTTCCGAGCTACCTACATGCTTGAGGCTAAAATCTACAAAGTTCACAAAGTGCTTCCAGTGCTCACGCGAGCGATTGCCGATTGCAGAGAATCCGGGGATAAAATGTGGAGGAGGGGAATTCTTAGTCCGGGGTAAGATCTAGATACATATATTTAGACCATTCTTCGCATTTTATCTAGGTATCTAGGTACAAATCAGTGCACTGGTCTTCAGTTAGGACACCATTTTTCTTCTCTCATACGAAATAAAACCATGAAAACTGTCGCAGAGCCTGAGAAGGATATCGGGGTGATCCCGGCCCAAGCCGGAATAGTCGACGACATCGCAGTCTTAAAAAGAGACGCCGTATTACTCAGCAATGCAAAGAAAGCCACCGAGAATGAACACAACATGAGTGTCTGGGACTGTGTGAGGCTGTATCCAAAGGCTATTGCGTGGAGCATTGTCATCTCAACCTGCATCGTGATGGAAGCGTACGACGTGAGCCTCCTCTCAAACTTCTATGCCTTCCCGCAGTTCAATGAAAAGTACGGCCGACGACTACCAAATGGGACGTACCAGGTGTCTGCCCCTTGGCAGGCGGCATTAAGCAACGGAGTCAATGTTGGCGAAATCTTCGGGCTGTTGCTGAACGGACTAATCTCGGAGCGTATCGGATATAGAAAAACAGTGATGATATTTCTAACGGTGCTTATCGGATTTATCGCAATATTTTTCACAGCACCGAATGTCAAGGTACTTCTTGTCGCTGAAATCCTCTGTGGTATTCCATGGGGCGTATTCCAGACTCTTACGGTTAGCTACGCAGCGGAAGTTTGTCCAGTTGCGCTGCGTGGTTATTTGACTACCTACGTGAACTTCTGCTGGGGACTTGGTCACACTGTCGCTCTCGGGGTGATTCGAGGGATGCTTCACCGTCATGATGAGTGGGCTTATAGAATTCCTTACGCGTTACAGTGGATGTGGCCTGTGCCATTGCTGGTTGCCATAGCGTTCGCACCGGACTCGCCTTGGTGGCTCGTTCGTAAAGGGCGGCTTGAAGACGCAAAGAAAGCCTTACTTCGACTGACTCGGCAGGATCAGCGAGAACGTACAGGCTTTGATGCTGATGAGACCGTCGCCATGATGGTTCATACAAACTCACTCGAAAATTCCATCAACAACGGCGCTACGTATCTCGATTGTTTCAAAGGCACCGATCTGCGTCGCACCGAAATCGTTTGCATGGTATGGGCGATCCAAAACCTAAGTGGGAACTCCTTCTCAAACTACTCGACGTACTTCCTCGAACAGGCTGGCTTKAGTGCTGACAATTCCTACAATTTTGCCCTCGGCCAATATAGCATTAATATGGCCGGTGTTCTAGGCGCTTGGTTTCTTATGTCCCGAGGCATTGGTCGTCGATCCCTTTATTTATTTGGTCTCTGTGGGCTATTCTGCATGTTACTGATAATGGGGTTTCTAGGGCTGGTGCCTGCAGATCACAAACGTGAGGCATCCCTAGCAACAGGTTCTTTCATGCTGGGGTGGGCATTGTGCTATCAACTCACTGTTGGTACCGTTTGCTACTCGCTTGTTGCGGAATTACCCACACGCAGATTACAAATTAAGACCGTTGTCCTCGGCCGATCCCTTTTCATCACTGTTAATATTGCATGTAGTGTTTTGACTCCATATATGCTAAATCCGACGGCATGGAACTGGCGCAACTTCGCGGGATTTTTTTGGGCAGCAAGCTGTGGGCTATGTATCATTTATGTGTTCTTTCGGGTTCCTGAGCCATCTGGAAGGACTTTTGCTGAGTTGGATCTGCTGTTTCAGAACCGTGTAAGCGCGAGGAAATTTGAGTCAACGGAAGTCGATGTCTTTGGAAATGGGGACGCTCATGCCGATAACGAGAAAGGGATTACTGTTCATGTGGAGGTGACAGAAACTTAAATGTCGTGTAGAAAGACTACATCTATTCAAGAATTATGCCTATCGACGGCACTCACTAGAATGAATTTGTATCAACCACTTCCAAAGCTAAAAACTTAACACAAAAAATGGCCGATTAGAAAGGCGAAATACTGACCAAGGAAGTAAGCCACCATGCTCTTAGGGAGCCTCAACTGGAAAATTTATCACTCTATGTACAGATTTAGGTAGTTGAGCAAAACATTCAACTAGGTCCTGAATTATTCTCACTAGATGCAAGACTAGGGCTAGGGCTAAGCGTTAAAGCCGGTATCTCCGGCGCATGCATTGTGATGATTTTACCCAGCTCTTACGGCCTATCTACATATATAGGGGATCAGGAAGACCGGAGTTTTGTTATTGTCAATTTAATGTTCCTTCTACAAAGATAGAAGACGACAAATCGTCACGATAAAGCGACGAACGAAAACATGAAGCAATGTTTTGAGGCTCTCTCTAGCGGCCCGTGCCTGTCCCGCCCAATAGAAATGTGCCTGAGGGCCTCAGGCAGCCATCTCTTGCTGACTCACGAGCCAGAGTCAACCTCCTCCAACTCTTTCTCCGACGAACACAACCTGTACCCCGTCTATAGCAACTCTTTTCATATTCAGATGGAAGGCAATCATCATCGCTACTTCCATCACTCTACGTGTGACTCAAATTCTGCTCTCAGAGGACTGCATACTTGCTTTCCCTCTTCGCCCACGTCAATCCCAATGTCCAACCTGTTACTCCGCAAAACCGATTGCCGCGGTCTGGAATCCTAACACAACCAGAAATGCGGAAACCCGGGGATCTTCCGCCCTCATCCCCTTCCGATGAAACATCTTTACCTCAGATTCGCGATGTGCATTCCCATCTGCCGGGGCTACGGATCGCTCCGTTGCGGCAGCCTGTATCGCGCCGACTGTGGAACACGCCCTTTCCTCAAAATCCGGAGATAACAGCGCATGCAGCAGCAACAACGGCCCCGAAGGGGGGTTTGTCAACCATAACGACTGGTCCTCAGCTTCCGGAGAGGCTTCCTACTTTAGAAGAGTTTGTGAATGCTGCTCGCACGTCGGATGCCGATCTAGGCGACAGCCATCTCAATCCAAACATCCCGCCACCTCCGAAGACTATATTACCAGATTTTATCAACCTTCAAACCGTGGAGAAGCTACCATATTTATTTGAGGATAACAATGCATCAAAGCGTCGCCGTATAGATCTACTTAATGATCACTTCTCTAGCGAGCATCTCCAACTTCCCGTTCCGCAGACACAGAATGAAAAGAAGCCACGACCATTCGGCCCGTTTGCCATCTTGAATGGATTGAATGAGCCGCCTCCGAATGCTGCATTATTTCCACCCATTGAACCGGGATCATTACCGCCGATCTTGACAAGACCTATGATAGATTCTGAATTGGTAGTACCTGATAGACACACCGAGAAACAAGTGGATAAACGAGAGCTGCGATTAGAGGAAATCCTAGACCCGAATAGCCTGGAACGATCGAATGTCGATTATGCCGAAGAGCCCAAGCTTGACCAATCACCAGCGAATGATCATAGTCAAAGTGCGAGTCAATTTCCTGCTGACAACAATGAGAATACGGTAGACAAGCTAGTTGACGCAAATGAGCCACTGTCGCCCAAGACTCGGGGCCGCTCGCGCAAGAATCTTAGGCGGTGGACAGAACAAGAGACTACTGATCTACTCAAAGGCGTGGTAAAATGCGGCATCGGGAATTGGACGGCTATCCTGCAACAGCCGGAATTGAAATTCAACAAGCGCAGTGCTGCTAATCTAAAGGACCGCTTTAGAGTCTGTTGCCCATGGGCTTACGGAGCAGCTGACCCAAACGAAGCAACAAAGCAAGTTCAAGACACTCTTGCGAATGCATTGATGAATGCGGAGTCCCTGACGTCAGGGGCTGGTGGTAAAATCTTATTACCTGATCCTAGACCCAAGGAAAGCAACACGTCGGCTTCTGCGGAGGTGATTGAGCCTGCTTCAACCAAGCTAGGCGATCAATCACTGACACCATCCTCGCGATCTAAACAACCACCTCCCCCGACACCCGCACCAGTACCTGCACTCGAATCTCCCCAACCTTTTTTGTCGGTCAAATCAACACCTACACAGTCCACTAAATCCAAGTCCACCCTCTCGTCGCTAGGAATTTCGGAGCCCTACTTCACGATCAAATCAAAACGCCGTTCGCGTAGGCCATTTACGCCCGCTGAAGATGAAGCTCTCCTCAAAGGTTACGCAGTTCACGGCTTTCAATGGACACTAATCCAGCAAGACAAACATTTGAATCTGTCACATCGGCGTGCAACCGATCTAAGAGATCGGTTTAGAACCAAGTTTCCTAATGCGTACCGTGAGGGTGGAAGTGTCAGTGGTGGGAGTATAGGCTCGCTGCAACGTGAGAATAGCAACGAATCTACGCAAACTCTCGCAAATAACAGGCAGGAAAAGACTGCGACCCCATCATCACAGAGATTAAAGGACGTTCCACAGTCGATATCATTACCACCGCCGTTGGTGTCACCGCCGCCATTAGGTAGTGCCAATTCAGCAGACAAGAAACGCAATCCACATTTGGGCGAGTCGACCAGTCTGACGTCTATCACCTCACTTCTGCCGCCATTGGCCCAGTCAGGCATGGGGCCCGAGTCTTCAAGTACAGCGGGAGGAGGACAAAGTACAAAATCATCGACTTATTCATTTTCTTCGGGCTCAGGTACGGGTAATCACAATACAAGTTTTACGTCTGTGTCCTCCGCTGCCAATGCAGCTACAAGTTCATGGGAAGATAATACGCTTCCACCGTTTAATTGGAACGATATGAACTGATGTAATTCATATCATTATCGCAAAATACATGCATTTTTTCGGGAAATTGTTCACTGGCGAATTTAGTCGGCATGTTTTCTTTTGACTGGATTATAGTGAACTATTAGACTGATTTTGACTTGGAACCTGGACTAAATATTGATGTTTCTGTTACTCGCCACTATCAACATGATTCAATTCCTAGATCGTAAACATACGCTAATCACAAGACAGACGAAAAACTATAAATGCAAAATCGACTCATGAAGAATAGAACAGGTATTTAAAAAACATTGACGCAGGGAAACGCACCACCAACTGCAAATGAAAGAGAGTAGGAAAGATGAGAAACACCATTGCACAGGTAAAATCCATCCCATTGGCCTGCTAGAAATGGTCGACGTGTACAGACATAGCAGAGTATCGTTTCAGACTTGATCAAACCACTCATTTACCAAGCATTTCGATCCCAATTCGGATCTAGCACCAATCATAATTAGCAACCCTCCCCGACAAACGATCCTTCATCCAACAGATAGACCGGAAACTCACCTTGTATAAAACTAGCCAGAACTTTGCTCCCCGTCTGCAGCAACGGATGACCCGCCACGATCTGCAAGAACCGCTGCAATCCTTCCCTCCTATGCTCAATCACCTCATCACTAAACCGATTCGTAAACACTTTTCCAGGCAATGGCGGAATTGTGACCCGTGAAGATTCGCGCTCGAGAATGTCGCGGAAGTATTCAAAGTCAGAGTATCGGCGTCGAACGACGGATTGCTTGAGTTTGAAGGCGGGAATGTTGGTTCGGCAGACTATTTCGTAGGATGTATACATTGAGCGGGATGTGCCGTGGGTTTGGGGGTTGCGGACCTTTTTTCATAACTTTAGAAAGGGACATTGATCAAGTAGTAGAAAGAGAGGACAAACCTCGATCTCGAGGAAATTCTCCGGTGGACCGTAGATCTCCTCAAAGGTCTGATGGCGCGCATCTGGGATGGACTGCATTATGTTCGTCGAGTGCGTTCGCAGTGAATAAAACAAAGACAGTATGTGTTGTTTTAGTCTGTATTCTCCGAGAAGCTTGAATTAGTGATCGCGTGCCGATAATGTACGTTCCAACAGCGCTGATGGATGACGAATATGGTTTGACTACCCACAGCTCGCGGGGTCACTGTTGGAAATGGCGTTGTCTGTCTGTTTGTCAATTCTGTAGACAAGCTCTATGAATAACGTAGTCTCCTTCTCGTGTCAAGAAAGCAAATATCAGCGAAAAAGCGATTGATAAACTGGAGCCAGCGATGGAAGCTGCGAGTGAGTCCTGACTGCCATAATCGACCACTCGTAAACGTACGGTCCGACGTATTCCATTATCTCACTCAGGCCGAGCACCCCACACAGGCGCACGGTCCAGTGCGTGATCGCGCAGCGTGTGTTGACAAGCAAAAGAGATCACGTGTAAGGCTCCAAGGCAGCCGTCAGGCATCCATCATTTAAGCAGCCACACCAAGTCCACAAACTCATACTTCGCGTTACCATGATCTAAAAACTCTCCTATCACTCTGGACTCTCTCATAGGGAAGCCTCCAAGGTTTCGACATTGGCATTGTCCTCTTTCTTGACGCATTCGTGTGTCCTACAATTGAATTCAGTCATGCCAGACGCCACGTCGTGGGATCTCACGAAGAGCATAATATCACAATGCTCCGATAAAATTGGTATAGACCTTTTGATGATGTGGTTCTTACAAGAGCTCATCTGTGATTCTTAGCCAACCCCGAGGCTTTAGTCTCACCTCCAGTCGCTCTAGTAAAACCCGGTATATTGACTGTGACTCTTCACGAAGGAAAGGGATTTTCGATACCCCCCTATTATCAACAAATATTCACCTCTTATTATCAGAATACGAACGATACTGTCCAGCCAAGTCCCGCTGCCTCACACTCCGCTCAGACCGCAGTGTCTCGACCTCAGTCTATCAGTAGTGACATTGATGCTGCACCTACGATTCACGTTCGCTACTTGAACAAGTATCTACCATATGCCCTTTTGGATTTTGATAAAAACCAGGTTTTCATCGATGCTGTGTCTGGTACTCCTGAAAATCCCTTGTGGGCAGGCGACAAAACTGCCTTTAAATTTGATGTCTCGCGACAAGCTGAATTGAGTATACAAATCTATCTCCGTAACCCAGCTGCCCAGCCAGGAGTAGAATATAATGAAGATATATTCCTCGGAGCTATAAAGATGCAACCTTGTTTGCAAGAACTCACGACCATTATAGAAGACCCTAGACTAAGAAAAAAGGAAAATCAAAGAGCAGTGGCTGAAGAAGAAAAGAATATTATCCAATCAGGAGCTGAATGGCAAGATATGCAATTTGGGACTGGCTCAATCAAAATTGAGCTCTCTTTTATGGAGAATAGGGCTCATAACATAAAATTAGAAGACTTTGAGTTCCTACAAAGTGAGTAGTCTTCTTTCTCTATTAAACAAGGATGCTGACTATATGTTAAACAGTTACTAGTAGAGTGAATACACCCAGAAACACTTATTTAAAAATAGGTGTCTAATTACATCTTTTCTAGAGATCATTTGGAAGGATTGTGCAAGTGATGTAAGTTCTATTGATGTCTACTCGATTGCATTCACATAATAATAATCTTGATAGAAAGAAAGATACCAGACGTGTCTATGCGCTAAAAACACTCCGTAAGGCACATATATCATCCAGATCTGAAATCGCACAAACTCTCATGGGGCAATCAGTGTTGGCCCAAATCAACAACCCATTCATCGTACCATTGAAGTTTTCATTCCAGTCTTCTGAGAAGCTATATCTTGTTCTCGCATTTATAAATGGGGGTGAATTGTTTTATTATCTACAAAAAGAGCAGCGTTTCGACATAAACCGAGCACGTTTCTATACCGCAGAGTTACTATGTGCTCTTGAATATTTACACAGGTTCAAGATGATTTACTGTGATCTAAGGCCAGAGAATATTCTTTTGGATTTAACTGGTCATATTGCATTATGTGATTTCGGCCTTTGCAAGATTGACATAAAGGACGAAGATAGGACTAGTAGGGAGCATTTATCTTGGGATACAATATGTTGAAAGTAACTAACACTTTATAAAGAATTTTACAGGACACCGGAATACCTTGCTCCAGAATTGCTGTTGGGCCATGAATATACAAAGAGTGTGGACTTTTGGACACTTGGGATTCTACTCTACGAAATGTACGTATGTATATACATTATTAGACTATAAGCTACAATCACTAACTGGAGATAGGTTGACTGGTTTACCACCATTCTACGATAAAGAGGCGAACGACATGTGTGAGAAAATTATCCAAGAGCCACTAGAATTTCCAAGCCATGAAATCGTCCCTACAGCAGCTCGTGACCTTTTAACCCGCCTTCTTGACCGAGATCCTCAAAGCCGTCTAGGCGCTAATGGGGCTGATGAAATCAAGGCACACTATTTCTTCTCGAATATCGACTGGTGCAGACTTCTGCAGAAAGAGTATGAGCCTGCATTTAAACCAAGCATGGTATAGATATATATCTTTTATTCATCTAGGTATAGCTTGCTGATCGATTTACATAAGATCGACGTGCTGGATACGAGCAATTTCGACAAGAAACGGAGAAGACTCGAAGACTCCTTGGTCAAGGATAAAGCCCTATCCCAGCCCATGCAGGACCAATTCGCAGGCTGGTCTTACAACCAACCCGTTGCTGGATTTGGTGACACTGTCACATATTCATCTTTTCCCCGCACTATTCCGGAATGAACTTTGACCTTCTGTCTAGCTATCTCAGCGTTCATTGACAACGAAACACAACAGATGATACATCGATGATTTTCCTTCTCTGTTCATCGTTGAAATTTAGACAAATACGGGGAGATCAGTATGATGATTCTTGAAAGGGAATTATACCACTGCCCCAGCTCTCTCTTATTTCTATTTGTAAATCATTCATTTTATCGCCTAGTCAACTGATTTTCTTTTCTTTCCTTCTCTTTATCTTTCTGGCGTGATGTTTTCCATATCTCATATCAAACTAAACCTTTGCTCATTTGCATATAAATCGAGAGTGAGAGAAAGGCCTTTTCCTCTCGTTCGAAATCAACATTCATTATTGTGGTATGACTTCTCTGGGAGATTTTAGGCGGCACCAAGTGTAACGATTCAAGTGCGTGAACAAACATGTTACGCATCTAGTGCCTTAACCATTAGCACCTGAGAGCAATACCAGACTCAACGGTACTGGGTAAGATATCCCCTTTTGTCAGCCAAGTCAAGCAGATACACATTCCTGACTTGTGATCTCTATAATAATAGCAAAAGAGACAGGTTTCTGTTGCCCTCTTCTGACTAATTTCCACTGAACAGAAAGGAACATATCACGATAATAGGGCACCAAGATACGCATTATCCAAAGTTCAACTGTTATATAAATTAAAATGCTTTCTCGAAGATCTAAATCTACACAATATTGCAGTAAGACGGCGCTAAAGATACCATAGTGCTGCCGGCCATACAGGAAGATGGAAGCCCATCTCAGCCTCCCACCCCTTCCCAGATATTGAAGATTCAGATGATGATTATAAGGTGCCGTTATACATGTCGAAAGCGCTGTACTGATATGCTGCACTGATATGCTGCGCCGCATCAGTTGGGTATTAAAGCAGGTATCGGTCTAGATAAACCGAACTTCACCCTTGAAACATACTGGGGCTTAAAATTACGGAGTATTGTCTGAAAGCATGGAAGTTGATTAACCAGCGATTATAACTCAGCATCGTCACAAATCTGATCATATCGTACATGCTGAACCCAACAGCATGAAAATGGAGCGCAAAATCAGGCCTGTTATTCGCGGGATTATCATTTGCGTCGTTGATTTGGAGTTGTTTCCGTCTACCAGAACCAAAGTGTCGCTCGTTTGCGGAGTTAGATTCGTTGTTTGCGCAGGGTGTGCCGGCGAGGAAGTTTAAGAGTACGGTATCAATGTCTTTGAGGTGGGCGCTGATGTGAAGGTGGCTGTGCAGCATTTGGAGGTCACAGATAATAAATGATTGATGACTGGTTATGTATATAGAGTCGGGAAAAGGGCTTGACCTTGACCTGATTCAGTCAAAAAAAGTTGGATTCATCATCATGTGCACCATCTATAGTCAGATAAAGCCCCCCTGTAGATGCTTGATCTGGTTCCTCTCACTTTTGATAGACAGCAAGATACAAGAATGACACAAATATCGACTTCGTTTTTCGATGATAGCAAGCAGGTACTCTAGTGTCCGGGCGCAAAGCCCAGCTATGTCCATCCAAGCCCCCCGCATGTCAAATTTTTCCAATCATTTAGCGTCGGACGCACTCCGCAGCCACAGTTTCATGTTCTATAATTTTTGGGTGCAGTTGTGTATTTTCTACACCTCAGAATCTACATCCGGTACCAGATATGATGTCAAAGTGGCTTGAATGCTTAGTGATTTCAGAATCAAAAATTCGAATCGGAAAGTAGGCCGGATGAACCGGACTTAAGGCGTTAGTTAACACCGTCGAGTGAGGTCTAATGGCCATTGGGATGAAACCGCCGCTGATTACTTACAAGATTCAATCATGCAAAAATTAAAGAATCATAACATATTTGAACATTCAATCTTTCCATCGTCGTGACATCCACGTTGGGAGACTGAGGTGTAGCGTATTGCGACCGCTGATAACTACCTAAATGACAGAGATAATGTTGCTGGCCTGGATGGATATATAGCCCTAACTTACGCTTAGACGACATCCTCTATTCGAATTCATGGCTGTCGGGGGTGCTCCGACAGGCATTACAAATACAGCCCTAATAATCACCGTGCACCTAAACCATGCCGGCCCTACAGTAACCACTTGGTCAGCGGCGCTGACTCAACACCATGTAAACCTTGCCACATTGAGAAGTATTTCCATACCACTCTAGGTGCTTTTCGAGATTTCTTTACATCATTCGCCATTAAGGATGATTATCACCGACAATATCCGGAGATGAAGACAGGCAGAAATTATAGAACAATGTAAGCATGATGGCAGCGAGGGGGTATAAATACATGAGAGCGTAGCCTTCGTTGATATCCTTCTCATATCATACCTAAGGGTACTGGCAAAATCCGGAAGCTCAAGTGTACTGTCTATAAAAAAAATCAATATGTCTGAACTTAACGTACCTCTCCGCCGACTCGGCAAGAATGGACCTCAAATCCCAGCGTTGGGCCTTGGTCTCATGGGTATGTCCTGGACATTCTACGGAAACACTCCAAGTGATGAAGAACGATTTGCGGTGCTCGATCGAGCAGTGGAAATAGGAGCTACCAACTGGGACACCTCTGAGTGAGCAATTGAACCCCTGTTATGTCAACAGTATTTGGTATGGTTGACTAATAAATGCTCAGCATGTATGGCGACGGTGAAGAACTGCTTGGAAAATGGTTCAAGAGAACTGGAAAGCGGGACAAGATATTCCTGGCAACCAAATTCGCCTTTTTGAAAGGGTCACCCAAATTTGAGGTCGATAGTTCTGCTGCTTATTGCAAGAAGGCTTGTGCAGAGAGTTTGAAGCTACTGGGCACTGATTATATTGACCTTTACTACGCGCATCGTGTCAATCCGAATACGCCCATTGAAGAGACAGTTCGAGCTATGGCTGAACTTAAAGCGTACGCAATATCCACTATCATAGCTTAAACACGAAACCACGAGCTGACAGGGTTTATTTACCAGTGAGGGCAAAATCAAATACTTGGGTCTCTCGGAAGTGACCTCAACAACACTGCGTCGCGCTTGCAAAGTTGCACATATCGACGCCGTACAGGTCGAATACTCGGCCTTCGTGACAGATATAGAAGGAGAAAAGGGCACGAATCTGCTTGCAACGGCCCGCGAATTAGGTGTCACAGTTGTTGCTTATTCGCCATTGGGTCGTGGAATCCTTACCGGTGCCTATAACAAGAAGGACGCTGTTTCAGCCGAAGGCGATCAACGTACTGGGATGGGGTTCCCGATGTTTGCGGAAGAAAACCTTGAAGCCAATGCGAAGCTCATTGGCAAACTCAAAGACATTGCCGACAGAAAGAATTGCACGCTAGGTCAATTGGCAATTGCCTGGCTTCTCAAACAGGGCGATCATATAATCCCGATTCCGGGGACGAAGAGGATTCGCTATCTTGAGGAGAATTGGGGCTCTCTTAAAGTGGAACTGACAGATGAAGAAGAGGCCGAAATTAGAAAGTTGATAAAGGATACAGGGGTTGCAGGTGGAAGGCTTCCGGATTGGGCTGGCGAAGGTCATCTTGGTGAAACTAGAGAAGAGTAATCGTTCTCTGTACGAAAATATTGTAGTCCGATTTGTGTAATTTTGCGAAGCCAGTCACATTGATAGAATATAAATCTTGGTTGCTCAACAAGAGTTTATCTAGACAGCCACTGGAATTTCGTGAAAAGTAACTGCATACCTGGAATTTCAAGGAGGTGATAGTTATAATGTACCGCAGTGCCTCGAATCTTAAAAGATCATTATAGTTTTTAATCGAACACTTTCTAAAATTGAGTTTTGGCCAACCCTAAAAATATACCCAATAGATTTGGGATACTCATCACCTCGGCTGAACACCATTACTTATCATTTTCATAGAATATAAACTCATCTAGACCTTTCCCCGAGGGGACCATAGGCAAGACTGGCAAGCCACTTTCAATCTTAAGTCAAGGAGTGCAGGTGCGTCCGAGTGTATCAACCACTGTAGACACTCTTCCATCTGTTCTAGCGAATGACATCTTCGAGCTTGAATACTCATCGCTTCCGCCATGTCCGTGTATTCTGCATTTGTATGATAGCATTGCGTATCTCGTTGGTCGTAATAGACATGTTGTAGCTATTTAGTCATTCCCTGCTCTTTATTATACAGGAAAATCACCTAGACACCAATATTGCACTGAGATGCGTTGATAACTCATTGAAAGTCATATTGAATGATGCATCGCCGTCAATATCAATCACCAATGCATCCGTACACGGGAGTTTTGTGCCGATAGCTGCTGAAAGACGTCTCCCATTGTCCCGAGACCACCGGATGTAATGATTGTCCGCGGATGTTTCCATCGAGAATGTTGCGCAACCGTGGTAATGACCTTTCTCCGAGAGCGATGATCAGATCGGCGTTTTGCATGACCATTCTGACATACCCTGGACCGTGTAGTCTGAGCATATGAATGGTCTTTGAATCAGTCTCATCATATGCGTCAAGGCCCTGGAGACTATTTGTAACTGGGATAATTGCATTTTCTGATAGAGTTTCAGGATGTTAGGCTCATTTGGGTGGCCCAATATTCCCTGTCCAGAATACAAAATTAATCACCGAGATTGGTAAGTAAGCTCAGCCACACGGCGCAAGCTATCCTCATAATGCATGTAATTGATTATGCGCGTTGCTACGCTAGTCATGTTGCCGATCGCCTCAGCTTTGCTGGTTGTCTTCGCCGTTGCTTTCAGTTCGATGAACGCATTTCCAGCCATCACTTCTGCAGGCAAACTAACATCAACGGGACTAGGTCTCCCACTGGTAGCAATTTCCAAGGCCTCCGGAATACGCTTAGGTATTTTCTCGGTCATTTTCACTTGCACGCACCACTTCGTGCAGGACAGCGACATGCCCAGGGTATCAGCCCCCTGGAACAAATCCAGCCCAATATTACTTGCAGCGATCTGTCCACAAAATACCACGAGGGAAGTTCCATGTGCGAAAGCGTCGGCGACGAGTGTAATAAAATTTGAGAAATCGTATCCGGAGGCTACTAGCACGACTCCAGGTTTGCCTGATGCTCTAGCATACCCCTCGGTCATATGTCCTGCGCCTTTTTCATGTCTCGGGGAAACGAAATTTATCTTTTTAGATTCGTAAATAGCGTCAAATACGGGAAGAATTGCACCTCCGGGATACCCAATTGCAGCAAACCACATCAGCAATTCCTATGTTGGTAAAACAGCCACCGTATGCAATGGTGTTAGACCAATCACAATTCACGAAGACTTATACAGGACCTGGTACTTACCAGGATTAGGGCAATTGGCTTACAAATTTTGTATTTCCGGAAGTGTCCAAGAGATTGCGAAATTTGCACGCGAGGTCCAATATTTTGCAAGCTAATACTTACAGAGTACCAATAAAAAGGGTCATTTGACTGCCACTCTAGGATGACCAATCAATAGTGCGACTGAGTTGGACTGACTTTCCCGTCTTCGTTTCGAAATCGCCTTCGTTATTTTTGTTTGCGCAACAAAGCTCTTTGAGATTCAAAAAACGTTTTATCTCCAGCTTATTAGCTTCTCGATCACACAATGAGTTCTCCTTCTTTGTTGTTCGGATCTAGTTTTAAGTCTATCAAGTCTGAGATGCCATATGCTGAGTATGTTCCATGGCTGGAATCAAGTTTTTAGATTCTGATATTAGTGAAAGGTTCTTGACCTCAGATGTGATAGCGCTTGCCACAGAGCATTCTCAACGAACATTCAAGATTCACAAGGCTTTACTTGAGTCGAAGAGCATAGGTCTTTTCTCCAGACTGGAAAATTTCAAGGAAGGCGCAGAAAACAGCTACCGATTCCATGATACGTCTGAGAACACAGTTGTGCGCTTCATTGAATGGGCGTACCGCCGTGATTACTCTGAAGCGGTCATAAATGTCAGCCCAGCGAATGTAGAAGAAGGCGTCGCAGCTAGCGAGGGGCCATTGAACTGCCATATGCAGATGTACATTTTCGCCCATGTCTATGGAATATTAGGGCTCGGAGCAACGGCATACGTTCATATCACGAGTTACCTCAAGACAAAAGGCAAACCTGCAGATGAGAGGACCAAACTAGAGGTGATATCAGCGTTGAAAATAGGCTTTAAAAAAATTATTCGAACGGATACACTTCTGGACTGGTTGGGACACTATGTTTCATTTTATCTGAACGAAATGAAGGAGAGCGATGCATTTCAGGAACTAATTGAGGAAGTACCGTCTTTGAGCTTGGCTATGTTGAAGCATCTAAATTCAGCATCGGCCCCGCCTTGGCCAAATACTTCTGTTTTTGCATCGACTGTCCCAATGCCAAATTCAGGGATGTTTGGTAGCACAAGACCAGTTGTTGAGCGACCTCCCTTTAGCTCGTTTGGCCGGTGAGATGGCTCCCACGGATGCCTTTGGTCCATGATAGGAAATGGGCGCGAAGTGAAATATACCTTGCTGGCGACTAGTGACGAGTTTGTCGGAGATTCAGGGATAGGGCAGGAATCCTGGCTAATGCTTCTAGTGAAAGGTTTTCCATCGGGTTGATACTTCACTACTGTGCATCATATTGATTCACAGCTTGAATCCTATCTTCAATCACATCTATGTCCCATAACCCTGATATGTAAACGTAACCCTAGAGTAAATCGCTTAAACCCGACAGCGCCGTCTTATCTCCGATCTCTAGAACGTCAACTTGCCAACCTTCACAGTATTTAGACAACGTCGCTTTCGGTCGAATATACGACACAAGATGTAATATTAACCTAGGGTTACATGAAAATGGGCCAGGAATTTCTCTTCGTCGACGGCGTTGAAACCGGTAAGGCTGCAAGGCAACAAATAAGGCGCCATGTGATGAATGGCAAGAATGTGGGCAAGAAAGTCCACCGGCGCTCAAGGCTGGACCTTATCCGCCCGACTCCTTATTATCAGAAGCAGAAGGATTATCAGCAATGCGAGTCTCAAATCATCGAGGCAGAGTATTGTAGCAAGGATCAAAGTCTTGCTTGCCCCATCATGACCCATCGCAGTCTTGGTAACCCGTTCCTCACTTTGTCGTATCCTGTGCAAACGACCTCTTACACGATAAATGTTTTCAATCAATGTAAGCAAATATAACTGGGTCATAATGTTTTGAAAGTCTCCAGCTAATCGGTGACTATAAAGTTTTCTCCCATGTGGTCAATAGATTCTACCCTTGTCGACTGGGGATCTCACCCGACGACGCGAAATATTGGTGGCTGCGATTTGTCCTTTCGGACGAGGCTGGTAATTTTTCTCGAGCCAGGTTGAAAATTTGAAGCTCATCAAATATACACAGCATATCATGTAATTATTGCCGTCGCAGAAGCGTGCAATAGCTATTTAAACGGAGGGGGTGACAGCTCACCAAAAGCCCTCTATCATCGGCAACGAACATTGACTCTAGTTGCTGAGAGACTAGCGGGCAAAGATGCTCTATCTGATTCTACGCTAGGAGTTATAGTCATGATGATAGTCCAGGAGCAGCTGAGAAAAGTGGTGCCCGAAGCGCACATTCACTATGAAGGATTGAGGAGGTTGGTTGAGGCCCGGGGCGGACTTGAGCAGTTGGAGCAAAGTCCGACATTGTTGCTGAAGATTTGCAAGTGAGTGAGTAACTTATCCATATCCTTTGGCATTTTGCGTTAACATCCGTGTCAGGATGGACAATTTGTACGCCTGGCAGTATGGTCGACCTATGTCTTTCTTTCGAGATCGTATGTCCTACGCTCGAGCGATGCTAGAAGCCGAAGGGTACTCTTTCAACCGATTTGTGGCAGAATCAGCTATCCGCCACCATAATTTGAACCCATATCTCCATGAAATCCTGCTTGACGTGACAAATGTTTCCATGCTTTTCAACAAGATCCCACCCAAGACCAGATTGAACTATCTTACCTTCGCAGAAGTAGTGCATTCTATCTGCTACCGCCTATATCGGTTTCAACCTCTGCACGAGCCTTCATCTCTATCTGATTTGGAGGACGTTTATTATATAGGATTAACTATGTTTATGATCACATTATTTATGCAGTTCGACCATTCTCAGAGGGTATTGAAATGCGATGCGGTATTTTTACGGCTACGGAGTATTCTTTATCGCGATCTGACTATGCTTGATGATGATCTGGTGCTGTGGATATTGTTCATGGGCGGTATATGGATTACCGATGGGCCTGATGATTCGTGGCTCCACTGGAAGATAAAAAGGATGACACTATCAATGTGTATTCATAGCTGGGCGGAGATATACTCCGTGATTAGCTCCTTTCCATGGATCAAAAATTTGCACAATGAGCCGGGTATCGCGCTTTGGGAGTCGGTTGGTAAAAGCTGTCAAGTTTATTGAAATGATGGAAATCTTTCGAGTTCATGCATGCCATAATATACTTGTGTAGACTCTTGTAATATTTCTCCGAACACATACCATACCATTTCGATTGCCTAGAAAACGTCATACTAACTGAATTGACTTGATTAGTGAGGAAGTAGAGGATTTATATCGTAGACTACGTACTGACAAGGGTTCTGAAAACCACAATCACTACTTCTAGGGTTTACTCATATCCATAATCAGATGCCAGCAAATATGTGGATCCATTACCAGTCAAATTTCTGCTTGACAACTTCCTCAGAATACTTCCACAACTTGTCAGCTTCACTGCTCGAAACCGTCAATGGCAGAGCATCACCAGAGATCTGACAATCAGACAAGAATGCACCCCAATTCTCTTTTCCATTCTTGGTCTCTCCCGGTCCCAATTTCGGATCCAAGGCCGCAACCATAGTTGTCGATGCCCCTGCACCCAGGCTTCTGTAGGAATAATAACCCTTTTCCCGCAACTTATCTACCGCAGTAAGAATTTCAGGTTGAGCGCTTCTGCCAAGCTCAGTTCTGATAACACCTGGATGTAACGCCAGACTCAAGATCCCGTACTTTTCGTATAATCTGTTAGTAGCACCGACGCCGAACAGAACATTTGCTACTTTGCTCATGTTGTAAGCTTCCAAGGGTGTATATGACTTGTTCTCAGGATCTTGGATTCCCCACCCCTTCTGCAAGTCATAGTTTGGTTGTTCCTCTTCTGGTAGGTCTTTGTTCAATTTTTCGAAGTTCATATCACTCCAACGCAGTTGTCTTGTCACTGTTGGAGAGCCAGAGCTGACGTTGATGATTCTGGTACGTCCCTTGGGAGAGTTTTCGGCGGCTTTGATGAGCTTCGGCATGATCAAATTGGCGAACAGGAAGTGTCCGATGTGGTTGGTAGCGAAAATGATCTCGTGACCATCGACACTAAGAGTGCGTTCTGGTAAGAGGGCAATGCCAGCGCTATTTACGAGGATATCGATGGTTGGAATGTCGGACCAAGACAAAAGCTCGGCAGCCGCGGTGCGTACAGCTTGCTGACTGGAAAGATCGATGTGAAGGGCGCGGTAGTCGACCTTGGGGTATTTGGCCTTCATAGCGTCGATGCTCTCTTGAAGTTTGGATACTGTTCGACCCGTGATGATGAGATGAGCAGGACCTTGGGACGCCTTTTTATCGTCAGATACTGTCATTAGACAGATAAAGTCCCGTTCGACAAAAGTACTTACGAAGGACTCGGCAGCGGCATATCCGATACCGTTACGATTCACACCTGTGATGACTATTGTCTTACCGCGGATATTCTCAGCAAAGGCTTGTGCAACCTCTAAGCCTTCGGTCTGATCGTTGAATTCGGGGTAAGTTGTAGCAGTCATCTTGTTGGCATGTAAAGCTGTTTCTTGAGACTGATGAAGAAGTCGAAAGGTGAGTGTTTTAATAAAATAGTACTTTCTAATTTTGAGAGTATCGATGACGGAAAGAAATGCCGTTCTGCTGTGGAAAGTCGAGCTATTTATGTCTATGGTCGCCAGGCCCGAGATCTCTCCCATCTCCTTCGAAATGAGGCTTGCCTTGGCTGCTCAATCTTTGTCTGGGAGCTTCATCATGGACATACCGGATATAATCACAAATTCCGGTACATATACACATCTTGATGATGATATTGGGTGTCAAGAAGCCGATTTCCAACAGGATCTTCTCGCATACCTCGAGATAGCCAATCAGAGATTGACTACTTGTTTTGGTAAAGCGCCATTTTTGAAGCTAGCCCTAATTCTGGAGTGCGGGTCACCAATGAGAGATTTACTACCTATTTGGGTAAGGAGTAAACCCAACTATCACAGCTAGGTACGCAATATGCAGTTTCAAATAACAATAGAAAGACAATAATGTCCTGTCATTGAAAGTCGCTTTGCGGAAGAGTTCTACCTATCTCCGGACTTGCAATCATGTCTCAATTCCATGAACCTTAGCTGGCTGATTATGACTTCTCTAGTCTTTGCAAATATCCCATCACCCTCCGGACCAGATCTTTCCGTGGCTCAGCTTGATCATCGTTACTCAACGCATGAGAAGCACCCGGAATAATTCCACTATGTTCCCGGTCCCAAACTTGAAACCTTCCGTTATGATCAGCGGCATCCCTCCACTTCGACAACAACTTCTCCTTATCAACCCAATCCGGAACCGATTGATCTGCTCCAGAATATAGCACCAACAGCTTGTCTTTCAATAGACCCTGATGCTTGATCATTCCAAAAGTCTTTGCAAGCTGTTCTTCGCCAATATCCGAACTGAATAAATCGTCTTCTCGCGGCGATTGCGGACTCTCGGGACTGACAAGACTCAGAAACCTTCGCGCACTAAGCGGGGTATTTGCCGGGTAAATTTGAGACGTCAATGATAGAGGTAGCATTGTATCAAACGGAGTCTGCGTTTCTTTATTCCGCCGATCCGCTTCTTTCGCTATCTTCTCTAGTTCTCCGTACATTTCTCGTATTTCCCTAGGCGTTTTGCCTCCGATGCCTTCCGTGAGGACCCAGAGAATTGCCTCGCGGTCGGATACTGGTGCTTGCATGATGGCGCCGTCGAGGATTTGGCGCTTGACATGCTCAAGGCCAGAATCGAAAACTGGTGTTGTTGTGTGTGGGTTCGGGCGGTAAAGATAATGCATCACGCATTGGCTTCCCGTGGAGTGTCCCATGAGGACGATTTTGCCACTATCGTGCCCGAATTTGTGGGTTTTGTATTCATTGATATATTGCAAACATTGAGCTATCTCATCAGTATCTCTATCGAGATGCCCGAGACCCCAGGATTGGTAGGATGACGTGAGGTTTAGTGTGAATAGCGACCATTGTGTTGGTTGTAACGCGCGAACGAGATCGGAAGTGTATGATGTTGTAGCAAGACCGTCACCTAGACCTCCGACGAAGAGAATACTATGAGGTTGTTGCACAGCGCTAGAGGTGTATTCGAATGTGACGAGTGTTTCTGTCTACGAGCTCGCAATCATGAAAGTTAGTTAAATGCTCAAAATAACCAGTGGGAGATAGACAAAGGGAACATACGTAATGATGGAGAATGCCTGGCAGTCCGCCTTTGGGCCAGAATTTGGAGTACATGATATAGAGTATATAGATCTAATGGAGTCAGTGATAGCTTTGAGAAGACTTTAGAAATATTTTTGAACGTAGATAGTTCTCAATTGGACTGTTTTGCGCTGTTTCTCTCACCGTCTTGCCAAATGGTAATCCGATATCCGAGCAAATTTCCGAAATCGGCTACAACACGTGAAGGTTGGGAGCAGGAATACCCCTCCATGTCTAAGTCTACACTAATCTTTGATTTCGTGCTCAAAGTGCTTGCCGTACTAAGCAAGCACCCACTCTGGTCTAATGAACAGACCCATATTGTCTCATGCTATATAAGATGTAACTAAGCGGATACAGGTACCGTACAATACTGTCAAGTATGCTTACGCGTAATGAAATACAGTGTAATCTCCACATCTGTAAGACCGCGTAACGGTATCCGCCCTCAACCATGCTTTTATGTTCTCAGATTCATATCATGAATTGATCAATCAACGGCAATAACTCACCAAAATTGTCTCATCGACGTTTTTTCATCAATGATTGAGTTGTAAGATTGGACTCAATGACGAGGATTTTATGGGTTTGTTGGCCCACCTCAAGGAGAACGGTAATCGTACTGTAAACCAATACGTCCGAACGAATACGGATCCACCACACTAAAAATCACGGATCAGATAAAAGTTTTCCATTCGGATCAGATAACTTTACTCAAGATCAACTGTAAGCGAGTTGATGTGACGTCCGACTTTTATTCGCCCCCGCTTCACGATCCTCGTGTTTTATCCGCATGACCTGTGTTTGTTACAGACATTTGCATTGCATAATGCATCTGTTCGGGAAATTTTCTCGCCAGCGATGGGCGTCGAAAATGACCGGATGCCACACGTGTGACATTTGGATCGTCGTCCGAGTTGGTCCCACTACTGCCCGACGCCAGGCCGATCTCGCAAAAAGCATCTGTGATGAGACTATTGCACCGAGTGGGTGAATTGATGCTGTTTATACTGGGCCTTGGCTGTAGCTGCCGGAAGCTTTAGGACTAGACTTTGTTCTAGCTACGTAATTGAATCTCGACGTATACTCTGAATTTCAAGTTGCATGATCTTTATCGCTGCTTCAAGTCATTTCGTCATGCCTCATAGACCTGAAAAGAGTAAACCTCACTGACAAAACGAAAATTCAGCATTATCACCAGAATGGGGTCCATACAGGACATCGAGTCCATTGCGTTGCCGAATGGAAAGAGTTCAAAGCAAGCTCAGGATCCAGTCGTTGAATTGACAACACAAACCGATCAAAAATCATCCAGGTTCTTCAAGGTAGATGGTCTTGCGACAAAAAGAGAGTCATGTCTGACAGGTATGAGAGATGAGCTCGTGCTGCTATCCTGGTGCATGGTGCTTCTACGAACTTCCGAAGAGGGCCAGGCTTCCTTCGAGTGGGCATACAGTGAAAAATCAGAGAGTCTCCAGAGCCACTGTTTGAATACAGCCCAAGTCATTTCAAGTTTACAGGGAAGTGTTGAGCAAGCTGGAAGCGAGATTCTGCGACACATCAGCAGAAGCTCTGTAGATCAGAGTAGTCCTATTTGCACATCAACTTCCCTCATTTTAAGCAATAGCCTTTTATCCCAAAGTACCAGCGAAATCGACGGCAAGGTAAGTCAATAGCTCCACAATTGGAATCTCTTGATACCAGCTGACTGTATGATTGCAAGGACGTACTCCATCTCGAACTGCGTTTCAATAATGGCTCCCTCGAAATCCACCCATTATGGCATACAGGCAACATGCTACCATTTACCCTTACGCGTTATATAAATACATTGGTGGATACAATCAATATATGCATATTTGAACCGACAAAACAAGTACAAGACTGCATTGTGCCGACCACGCATGATCTCAACGAAATATGGGGTTGGAATCACGAGTTGCCATCATCATACAACTTTTGCATGCAGGAATTGATATCCGCACGCGCTCGAGCAACCCCTGAGAAAACGGCAATCGACTCCTGGGATGGGACCCTGACTTATAATCAAGTTGACCGATATTCGACATCCTTTGCAAATTTATTGAAGAGTAAGGGCGTCAAATTAAACGAATTTTTGCCTCTTTGCTTTGAAAAATCGAGATGGACAATTGTGGCTGTTCTTGCCGCGATGAAAATTGGCGCAACCTTTGTGATGATGGACCCGTCAATTCCACATGCTCGCCTCCAAAACATGAAGGAGCAAGTGGGTGCGAAGACAATTGTTTCGTCTCGGAAGCAGCATGACTTGGCAAAGTCCATAATATCCGAGGGGGAGCTTCTTGTCGTCGAAGAAGACACGTTCATCAACATAAACAGTGGAGACCCCGATCCAGATTTGCCATCAGTGCCGTCAGATACCTTGATGTATCTCATCTTCACATCTGGCAGTACAGGAACCCCTAAAGGAGTAAAGATTTCGCACGGAACATATACCAGCAGCGCCATTCCGCGGGCGAAAGCAGTTGGATATACCAAGGACTCTAGAGTCCTTGATTTTGCATCTTACGCGTTTGACGTTAGCATCGATAGTATGCTTTTGACATTAGCAAATGGTGGCTGCCTCTGCATTCCGTCTGATGAAGATAGGATGAACGATATAAACGGGGTGATACGGAAGATGAAAGTTAACTATGCTGGTATAACCCCATCGGTTGCCCGTATCCTAGAACCGGATGTCATAGCATCTCTCAGTGGCCTTGGTCTAGGTGGAGAAGCAGCATCTGCTAGAGACGTCACAATCTGGGGTCAAGAGACCAGAATCATAATAGGTTACGGCCCATGTGAGTGTACGATAGGATGCACGGTTAATAGCAATACGGCTACGGGAAGAAATTACATCTCTATTGGAACGGGCAATGGAGCTGCTATTTGGATTGTTGATCCGAACGACCACGAGAAACTCATGCCGGTAGGCGCCGTGGGCGAGTTGCTCGTCGAGGGGCCAATTGTAGGCCAAGGCTACTTGAACGATCCAGAGAAGACTGCAGCTGCTTTTATTGAAGATCCGCAATGGCTCGTAGCTGGGCACAATGACTATGCAGGTCGTCGAGGCCGCTTGTACAAGACTGGAGATCTTGGAAAATATGATCCTGATGGTTCCGGAGGCATTGTCTTTGCGGGAAGAAAGGATACCCAGGTCAAGCTTCGTGGACAACGTGTCGAGCTTGGAGAAATTGAAAGTCAACTAAAAGCCAGGCTACCTTCTGACACGAATATTATTGCTGAAGTAATCGTGCCTCAGGGCTCTGGTAGCCAAGCCACGTTGGTTGCATTTGTTTCGTATCAATCTACAAGTAGCGCTGGGAATAACGCCGATATTGAGTCGATACAGCTACCTGATGATCTGCAAGCCAAACTGTCGAAAGCTAATATAGAATTGACTCAAGTTCTCCCACGATACATGGTGCCAACTGCATACATACCGATAAACTATATTCCTGTCCTCATATCGGGAAAAACAGATCGAAGACGACTTCGACAATTCGGCGCGACTGTAGATCTGCGACAGCTAGACGAAGGCCAAGTCAACAAGACTGAACGTGAGTTGAATGACTTTGAGCAACGTTTGCGACAAGCTTGGGGTCAGGCATTGAAAGTCGATGCCGAATCAATCCGGCTGGAAGACAACTTTTTCGTGTTGGGAGGTGACTCTTTGGCAGCAATGAGGTTGGTGTCTGTATGTCGTGAGCAGAATTTGGAAGTCACAGTTGCCAATACTTTTGATCATCCGACACTCGCGGCAATGGCAAGTGTTGTTCGCATCCATGACTCGCAAACCCAGGCGGAAACATCGCCCTTCTCCATGCTGTCTCAGACTGCTGATAGTGCATGTCACGAGGCGAATGTAATCTACGGATTCGATCAAGCCGCTATCGAGGACATCTATCCATGCACACCCACACAAGAGTCTTTATTCACGTTTTCTCTCAAGTCAATCGAGCCTTACATTGCACAAAGGGTCGCTTGCATCCCCTCTTCGATTAGCACGGTATCTTGGAAAAAGGCGTGGGAAGACGTCGTCGCGTGTTGTCCTATCTTACGCACACGCTTAGCCCAGCTCCAAGAACCTGGCCTCCAGCAGGTCGTGTTGAAAGAAAACATTTCCTGGAACGAGTCGACCGATCTAGAGCAATACCTTACTAATGACAAACAAAAGAGAATGGACCTCGGACAAGGCTTGGCCCGGTACGCAATTGTGGATGATTCCAAAGATGGCAATAGATACATGGTATGGACGGTTCATCACGTACTCTACGATGGCTGGTCAGAACCAATCATACTCAGAAAAGTGAGTGATGCTTTGAAAGGTCTTGGTATCTCATTCCAAACACAAATGAGAGAATTTGTCAATTACGTGCGTGACACCGATGAAGTGGAGATGCAAGCATACTGGAAACGGGAATTGAAAGACGCCGTTGGACCTCAGTTTCCGCGCTTGCCTTCAAGAGACTACGTGCCAAGGCCAGATGCCATGGCTGAACACCACATATCCATCGCGACAGGCAAAGGATCGCAATTCACCATGGCCACTTTGATTCGTGGTGCCTGGGCACTTGTCGCATCACAATATACGAGAAGCGATGATGTCGTTTTTGGCGAGACACTCACGGGCCGAGATATTGCACTTGCTGGAGTGGAGAACATTGTAGGACCGCTTATTGCAACTGTGCCTATCCGGATATACGTTGATAGAGCCAGCAGTATTGAAGTGTATCTACAAGCTATACAACAAGGCATGATGAGCCGTACACGCTATCAACACATGGGAATGCAGAACATCAGAAAAGTTAGTCGTGATGCTCAACATGCATGTGAGGCAAGCACAGGATTGGTCATTCAGCCAGAACCCGAATATACGGGTAATGAGCTTGGCTTTTTTCAAGGCGATGTTGTCCGTGAGGCGCTTCATTTCAACCCATATCCTCTCATGATCGCCTGTGGGATACGAAATGGTGGATTCCGGGTCTGCGCGAATTTCGATAGCAGCCTTATTAAAGTCACACAAATGCAACGAATACTATTACAACTTGAAGTGGTTTGTACAGAATTGACCAAGGATAAAACCAGGAGATTGGGAGACATATCATGTCTTCCTGAGGCTGAGTTGAATCAGATATGGAAGTGGAATGAAGCTCCACCGTGTTCTCTTGATCTCTCGTCTGGACAACTACGAGCAGATGCTAGCATGAAGCAGGGCTCTACGTATCCTCGAGTCCTTGTGCCTTGGGTATGTGATCCACGTGACTCATCTCTACTATCACCTATAGGTTGCATGGGGGAGTTGTGGTGGGAAGGTGACCTTCTTTCTGGAGACGTTGTTGATTCTCCTATATGGCTCACTACAGGAAATTCTGAAGTCACTGGTCGAACCGGAAAAGTCCAAGCCACCGGAGACATTGTCCAATTACAAGAAGATGGCAGTTTGATATACGTTGGTCGAAAGGAGGATGTCGTACCAGCCCAGGGACATGCTGTAAATATCACCGAGCTTGAATCTCATCTTGCAAAATACCTTCCGTCGACGATTCGAGCTACCGCTGTGACATTTAGCAGGTCAAAGGAGTCCACCTTTGAATTGCATGAGCAAGAGCTACTTGTTTTCGTAGAGCAAGAAACCTCAATTGAAGATAGCTTTGAGCTCATGTGGATGCAACACAGAGTCAATTGCGAGGTTTCAGACTTGGACACGTTGGAGATTACAGTCTGCAACATTGTCTCCAAGAGCCTCGCTGCAGCCCTGCAGAAATTTAACAAGTTTGCCACGGACTCTCTTCCGTCATACATGATACCAACTGCGTATGTCATTGTCGACAGACTGCAGAATTCTGCGGGGCGACTTAACCACGACTTGGTCAATAATTTAGGACCGAGTATACCTGCCCACGTACTGAAACAGGTTCAAGAAGGCTTTAACAATATTTGGACGAAAAATCTCTCGCAAACTCAGCTCACGGTTCCCGAGGAGATTCTTCAAACCGCTTGGGCGAAAGTACTGGGTATTAGCATTGAGAAGATTGACGTTGATGACAACTTCTTTCGCCTTGGTGGTGATTCTGTACTAGCAATGAAGTTGGTGTCAAATGTTCGAGCACAAGGTCATGGCCTTACCGTGGCCGACATCTTCCAACACATGCGTCTCGGTGATGCTGCCAAGGTGTTGAAGGTTAACCGAGAGCAAAAGAGAGAAAAGGCACCATCTTACAAACCCTTCTCGACCTTAGGAAATCTAGACACCGCGAAATTCTTGTCTGACGTCGTTCAACCAAAATTGGCGGATTTGCAATGGACTGTTCAAGACGTGGCTCCAGTGACAGATTCCCAAGCGCTCGATATTCGAGGCACTGTCCAAACGCCGCGGTCATCTGTACAATACACTATGCTTTACTTTGCCAAGGACATCGATCAGGTAGAGTTGTTGAATGCTTGCCATAATCTGGTCAAAACTCACGATATCCTGCGCACTGTATTCATTGAGCATGACTCGAGCTATTTTCAGGTTGTTTTGAGTAATCTTGCGAACGTGATAAGCTCACAAAAAACTGACCAAAACCTTGAACAATACGTGACTGGTCTAAGTAAACAGGATATTGAGTCACCGCTTGAACTCGGATCCCCTTTCACAAAGTTACTGCATGTTGAGGGTCCTTATGGCCAGCATTGCCTTGTTATCCGCCTATCTCATGCGCAATACGATGGCGTATCCCTGCCTCGACTACTTCGTGATCTGGAGACACTTTACAAAGGAAAAAATATCACAGATTTCACGCCATTCTCCGCTTACGTTGCACATATCCGTGATGGAACTGTTCAATCCAAAGCGATCGACTACTGGACAACCCTCTTAGGGGACTCGTCGCTATCCGTACTAGAACTAAATTCATCGCCGGCAGCGACAAAGTCAATATTCCACACCAAAACTGTCGATGGCATATCTCTACCATTAGGAGACATCACCACAGCAAGTTTGCTCACCGCTGCATGGGCCCTGGTGCTAGCCCGCCGTCTCAAAACAACCGACGTCATATTCGGTGGCGTCACTTCAGGTCGAGTCATTGATCTCGCAAACGGGGATAATGTCATCGGTCCATGCTATCAATTCACTCCAATAAGAGTGCAATTGCAGAGCGGATGGACCGGAATGGAACTCCTAAAATCCATCCAACGGCAGAGCGCAGAATCGGCTGCGTACGACTTCCTCGGCTTCGAAAAGATCTCAAAAGTTTGCACGCAGTGGTCCTCATCATCTTTGCCAGAGGAACAAATATTCTTCAATTCTCTGGTTCATCATCAAGACTTTGAAGATTTCGATACCATGCCATTTGCCAGCGGAACTTGCAGGGTGGAGATTTCTAATCCGCATGGAGACTCAGCCGATCCGTTGAAAGTAGTGTCTTTCATTAGAGAAGATCGATTGAATGTTGGAATCGTCGGCTACGAACAAGACGTTGAATTCGTGGATACCGTTTTGGGAGAGTTAGCAGAGGCTGTGAAAGAAGTGGTTGCACGTCAGTCAAAGCTGATATTGCTTTGATACGGTTTTGTGTTGAAGCTATGTCTAACAACGGTGTATGGTGATTTGAAAAGCCTCCAAATTGCATGAAGAAAATATTTAGTCAGCTAGGTAGTAGAATACATGTATTGGCAATGGTTTGAATTGTGTATATAATTTCGAATATAATAATGTACATTATGAGTGAGCATCGGGCCAATTTCCATTATTCGTTAGGAAGATAATTCAAGAAAAACGAAAATGATTACACATTTCTAAATGATTACTAAAAATCGTCTTCCCATAAGGTACATATTCATTCCGAACACTCGCAGAACGTTTAAATAGTAGCGTTGTGCCCATTATAGAGTAACGTACAAATCGCGGTTCGTGGCCAGCAGAAGCCAGCTATAGCCGTAATCGAGTAAACGATAGACTTAGTACACAATTACAGAGGTAGTGTGCGAGGTATAAATTCATATTCCTCCTAAAACACCGTACCCTTGACTTGGTTCCTCTTGGAAACATCGATGTTTCTAATAAAGAACATCCAAATGAACGCAAGCGCCATGATACCAGTGCCAGCAGCAAGCATTCTGGTCTGAGCATAGCCGTAAGCGTCCTGGATCGCAATTCTGGTGTCGCTTCCAACAGGATAGCTAAGCTGAGTATCTATGTTTTCATAGATATCATCAAAGTCATCCATAGCCGAGTCGGGCAAGTACCGTGCTAGTGCAATTGGGAATGTGTTGGACCAGATTGCGCCGGAGATGGTGGAACCGATAGCACCGCCAACGGTTCCAACAACATTCAAGAGAGCTAGAACTGCAGCGACGTGTTGGTGGTCCACAGCAGACTCGATGGCGACCTGCTGAAGGATGATGAAGATACTGCCACCGATGGAGATGAAGATTTGGCACATGACGAGATACCCGACAGTCTGGTTGGGGCGACGGAAATAGATCATGAGACCCTGGGCGAAGACATATAGAGGAACGGCAATATATAAAAGCCACTTGAMCCTGCCAGTACGTCGAATAGACCATCCGATTAGCAGCAACAGGACACCGGAGACAACATTGAATGTGTTATTCACGTAACCGGAAGTGTCAATCGAGAGATCATTGACAACCTGCAGGAAGGACGTGAAGTAGTTGTTCCAACAATAGTAGGAGATCTGGTATGTAGCGTCCAACAGACAGGCACCGATAACAGTTCGATCGGAAAGGAAGGAAAAGTTAAACATTGGCTTGGGGGCTACTCGCCACTCGTAAATGGCGAAGATAAAGAGCAAAACAAATCCGACGACGATCATGGCGATGATGTATCCAGATGCCCAACCATTGGGGGCGTAACTAGATAGATCGAATGGAAGGAAGAACACGGTGAGACCGACGGAGAACAGAACGACTCCAATTGCTTTACGTGACGTTGTCAGTTTCAACGCTTCCTGTTGATCGTTGAAAAGGATCTTTGACTCACCATCAAACTCCAACACATAGTACCAGATGCTTTGCAGCAACGTGCGACCGCTCTTTTCTCTCTTCAAAAGACCCAGTTTGCGAGCATTGTTCATACTCCTTTGCAAGACAAAGTATAGAGGCGAAGCCACAATGGGAAAAATAATTGCAAAGCAGCCAAAACCCCATCGCCAGCTGATGTTGTAGTAGAAATCGTCGGATGCCTTGGGACCAGCAAAGGCTGTAATGATGTATGGCGAGGATGTGAAAGCATAGGCCAAACCACGATTTCTCAGTTTGGATGCATCCGCTGTTATCACATCAACACAGTATGTGATGCCCGAGAAGCCGATTGTGTAAAAGACCTGGAAGAAAAATTCAAAATTAGAATTTCAGAATTTTAAAGAGGGAAGATGAGAGTTGTCTCACATAGGCAGCACAGAATGTAGACAGGTCCTGACAAGACGCCATAAGGATCAGACCTAGAGTACAGCAGATGGTCATGAACAGATAACCATGGGCTCGACCCCAAACGTCCAAGACTTTTGCCAAGGGGATGAAGACAGCGGCTGACATAGCGTCGCCAACGATGTAGATGACATTCAAGAGTGAATGAGATTCAAAGTTACTCGTCACGAAAGGGAGCAGACTAGAGAGAATAGAGGATTGGAATGCATTGACAAAGTAAAGCAACCAGATGCTGTTGGAGGCTGTTTAGCAATAGAATATCTACTAGCCATATAGGAAAAGCGTACTTAGCGAAGACGGCAATAAGCGAGGCTTTTGACCAGGATAGTGTCACAGCCTCGACATCTTGAACACCGCGTTGGAGGTCATCGCCTGGAAGTTCCTCCTGAAGATCGCGGGCTTCTTTATTCACAGGGCCACCCTCTACAGTGGCCGGATCAGTCTTATCGTCTCCGGCAGGAACCGTTGCGACATTATTGATAGTGTCATCAGTCGTTGTCCGACGGAAGGTGTTCCTGAAATTAGGAAGCTTCCCCATTTTTGCGAATGTGCTGGAATGAGAGATCGACAAGACAATGGCGAGCACGACGAAATATGCGCCAAGATGAACAGACGAGGAAAGATCTTACGGAATCAAGAGCGAAATCCTTTCTTAAACAACAATCACCTCGTTTGGCGCTATTTCGGGGAGATTGAGATACTGATACTCGCGCCCCGAAGTCGGCTAGAAACTGGCGCCATATTGCAAGATGTCTGACACTGACTAACAGCAAGTGTGCATCTTAGTATCGTAAAAACTAACAGCTCCCCACCCTGAGTACGTAGCATGATCCGGGTAAATCAGGGAAGAAATCTAATCAGATAATCTAATCAATCAATAGCACCCACACGGGCCCAATGAGCGGTCGAACTGTTACCTAAGTCAAGTCGAAAGGAGCGCGTAGTTGACTAGCGGTGATTGATACGACATGCCAAGCAGCAATGGAACCAATGAAAATTTTTCTTCCGAGGTCAATGGAGATTTTATCAGATTCTTTTGAGTTTTGTTTACGTCGTGGCTAGGCTGGACTAAGTGGGCGGGCGTCTGGGACAGTTTGTTACAGTATGTGATAATACAACTTCTGTATCTTACTAGTTTGATACATACCCAATGTAAATACTGTACAATCCATACACGGTGATCAAATAGCGATAGAATGATCTAATAGAAGTGAAGCAAATTGAATCTACATCAATAGAATTGCATATACCTGGACATTGACATGCAAAATTTCCCGTCCTAAACATACTAAAGAAGTGGTGTTTCATTGTAGGTGGACAATGTTACCATGTAGGATGATCAGTAACAATACCTGGATACTTACCGCTAGGCGTAATATACAAACAAATTAAGTTTATCAATCTTATCTGATTCTCTGAGATGAATCTAAAGTGGGCCATGCTCGCTTAGTCTTTTCCACTTCGAATATTTTACTAATTATTCGCTCATGCAAAAAGCACTAAGGTGAAGAAAAACCATGTTATTGGCTATGCAACGCCAAGCCAGAGCTTTCTGTGTAAAAGGAAGTCCGATTGTTACAGCTTCGAGTTCACCCAAACTGGCGATCTCTTTTCCACAAACGCCTGAATACCCTCGGCAAAGTTGGACCCAGCCACCAAGCTGGGATACGACTCAGCGGCTACGGCCGACACAGCTTCCTCCACACTATTAGTCTCCCAGCTCAGCCGGATTGCCTGTCGACCAACAATCAGCGCGTCTGGACTGTTTCTGCACATTTCTTCAGCCACTTGCACTGCAGCGTGGACCACATCGTCATTCAAGTCAATGACTCGGGACACAAGTCCCCATTCGAAAAGTGTTTGAGCCGTCACGTTCCTGCCAGTGAGGACTAGATCCATAGTCCGCTGTAGGCCAATAGTCCGAGTTAATCGGGGCAGACATCCGGCCACGGGCACTATTCCGCGCTTCACTTCTGGTAAGGCGAAGATGGCTGATGCAGAAGCTAGGACCATGTCGCAGTTGGCGACCATCTCGAATCCGCCGCCCATACAGATACCGTTGACGGCGGCGATTATCGGCTTTTTGCCAGAGCGGCGTGGGAGACCGGCTAGACCGGGTGCCTCCATGCTATTTACCACGCCGGCTTTGTTCATCTCGTTCCATTCTGCTCATGTTGAATGATACTTAGCTCCATAAACCTGAGGTAGAATAGGATGATGAGATCACCTTGTAAGTCTGCTCCCGTACAAAATGCTCTTCCGGAGCCTGTAATAATGCCAACCCAGAGGTTTTCGTCCTGGTCAAACAGGTCCCAGACTGCCTGTATGTCGCGGCTCATAGATTGATTTATACTATTCAGCTTTTTGGGTCGATTCAACGTAATTTGTATAATTCTGTTGTTTGGAAACGAGACGACAAAATTCTCATATTGTAAAGGTTTTGATCTCTCGATGCTTTGTACAGTCATTTTGAATATGTATACCGATTAGTCGCTGTCTGGGGATTTTTTTCCATTTCACCACGGATATTGTATTCTAATATTGTTGTACAGCTGTATCAAAAGATTTAGAATATATTAAATACAGCCTCGGCTGAGTGAACCGCTTTTTTTACGAGATCATCTATGCCGTCAGTGTATGGGGCTCTACAACACGGAACGCGATATCGGTGTCTCTTCAGAGATATGGTATTGGCTTAGTATCGACTAAGATTCCGACAAGCTCCAACTATGATCTTTACCAATACAGGAGATTTTCCCAGATTTTTTTAATTAGTAAAGATACAATGAAGTGCTCTTTCTTCTCTAACGTTTCATGCATTTTGTTGCAATTCTTCTAAAGACATATCTCGTTTCTTCTACACATACAGTAAAAATGGAGTTGACAGGGCTACAAGCCCAGCCTTTGGCTACGTCTAAAATTACAGATACCAACACGATGACGTCCGGATCAGTGTTACACCAGTATCCTCTTGTGAAGCTTCCACACCCATTCCTCACCTCATACCGAGTGAACGTTGTTCGCGAAACGTCGCCCGCCAGTCTCAAATTGTCATTCGATGAGCAGCCGTGGGCTGGAAAACCTTTGTCGCAACCACTACATAACGACTCACTTTCATGGCTTGATCTAGATTTCCTGCCACAAAATGAGCGACCGCCCATCTCGAACAATAGTTCCTGGGCGAGAGCGCGAAGAAGCCCTCAAACTACCTTCGAATGGACTCAAAATACTGCGCCTTCGCTGGGTCAAATATGGAACGTCATTCATGCAATTTACCTGGCTTACCCTACTCACGAATACTTCCGACTTTCACTAGTCGGAGCAAAAAAGGAAATCGTCCGCCAGGAACTACTTTCTACAGGCCTAGGAATTGAACACCCAAAGCCATGGAGACCCAAGGATGATCTCGCTTTTACAACAGACGAGATCCTCATCCTTAGAAGTGCCTTCTGGCAAGGAGCAGCTTCCCCAATGGGACCCCGTCCGATATGGGTAGTCGGAGATGGAACGGATGGCATATTGCGCGAATCACTATCCCAGTATCCAATCATGCCTGAAAATCATCACTTCACAATGAAATTCCCAGAAGAACCTATCTACACTCGTCACCCAATACGCCGCCCAAAACCACATCCCGGATCAATTGCCTACAGTCGATACATACCTGATCTAGATGAATACTTCTCGCTTGAAGTCGTTGATTGGCAGGATGATGAGCATTTGAAAATATTTAATAGATGGCAAAACGATCCGCGCGTGGCCAAAGGCTGGAACGAGACCGGGACATTGGAGCAGCATCGCGAATATTTAAGAAAATTGCATTTTGATCCTCATGTTCTGTGCTTATTTGGACGGTTCAATGAGACGAGATTTTCTTATTTTGAACTTTATTGGGCAAAGGTGTGTATATTCATTTCTATCATGTTTTCGTGTACTAATTTCGCATCGCGATTTAGGAGGATCATTACGGCGCCCATTACGCAGCCGGCGACTACGATCGAGGACGCCATTCTCTCGTCGGCGACGCGTCATTCCGGGGCTCACAGCGCGTAAACGTATGGTATTCCAGCTGTATCCATTATTGCTTCCTGGACGATCCACGCACCGCCAACGTAGTGGGCGAGCCGAAAGCTTCGGGTGGAACCATTCTGTCATACGAGAACTCCCAAGGCCTCGTCATCGATAAGTATGTCGATCTGGGCCATAAGCGATCGGTGCATTCGATTGCTAGTAGAGAGAAGTGGTTTCAATTATGTCCCTTGTTTTGGGATGGGAGAGAACGGCCATTGGAGTCGGCGGATCGAGCGGCATGGAATGCGAAGCTATAGTTTGTATAACTTAGATTTATTTTGTAACAAAATGCGCTACTAAAAAGTACATTTGTACTGCGTACTGGAGACTCGCATCTTATCAGATTCTTTTCCTACCGCCGATAGCCGTTCGGAACATAGAATGAGGGGTCAATTGAGCCATTTACTCTATTTTTCAGCCACCCTCGAATCATAAAGGTGGCATGATTCGGTTTCTCGAAATGGACACCAGCAGCGAGGTGGAGTGTGTATTGTAGTTTGTAATATATCATGGATACTTCTCATATTACCATACAGCTAGTATGGAGGTAATTTTGACCCACATCGTACGGACGGTTTAATTACCGCTTTCAGTGTGGGACGTTGATTGATGGTCGTCGCCATGGATGATGACAAGCTGGAAAGAGTTTCTCGAAAAACGCTGCGTGGGCTCTTGAGCTCGAGTCGGACCCGGGAGCTGTCGATCAGAAGCGATGTCGGCAAAGCATTGATTTTTTTTGCTCTCGTTGTGTAGCTACTCTATCGGACATGGACCAGTCAAGTGTTGGCGGGCTCTTGTCTTTAGCTGCTCCGAACAATTTATACTGAGGTTTTCAACACCATTGACGAACATCTTGACTGCCATGCAAAAAGCTGCTAGACCTTTCATACGGTAATGAAGTTTGTCAAGAAACTCGCGGGTTACCCTCGCCTGCTTCTGGCCGGTAACCCCTCAAGCAGAGACCTGGTCACACTCTTGGTAGGAATCATATCTGCAATTGCATCCGGCGTACCATTCCCCATCATCGGAATTATATTCGGTCAGCTCCTCAACGACTTCAATGCAGTTACCTGCGATGCATCTTCCGATTCATCGTCTGATTCTGAAAGCCAACACGATATCAACAACGAAATATTGCTGATTGTATATCTGGCTATTGCTCAGTTCGTTTTGATATATGCCCATCTTTCGTGTTGGAGTTTATATGGTGCTCGACTTGCGCAGCGCCTGCGGGAAACATATCTACAGAACCTGCTCCAACAAGAACCATCGTACTTCGACAATCTACCACCCGGAGAAGTTGCTTCTCGACTTAGCGGTGACATACAAACAATTCGTTCCGGCACTTCAGAGAAAGTAGGAATATGTCTCGCAAGCGTCTCATTCTTCGTCACGGCATATATCGTCGCTTTCATCAAAGATTACATACTAGCAGCGGAATTGATTTCTTTGATCCCGGCATACTTCTTAATGTCATTCGTCGGCAGTCACTATATCGAAAAGTATTCTGGACTGATGTCGGACTACGCTGCTACAGCTGCATCAATCGCGTCGGAAGCACTTTCGAATATTCTCGTTGTGCAGGCGTTTGGTGCTAATCGACGATTGGAGAAGAAGTTCGCCAATGCTCTCAAATCGTCGGAACGGGAAGGGCTCAAGAAAGCCACAGCGGTGGGCATACAGTCTGGAGTTTTGTACTTCATTGCCTATTCGGCGAACGGCCTGGCTTTTTGGCAAGGAAGTAGACGAATTGCTGATGCGGTGCGTGATGGTACTGGTGGTGCTACTGTGGGCTCTACATTCACAGTTATCTTTATTCTTATCGAAGGTTTGTCAGGAGCATTTGTGTAATTAAAAGGCGATATTGCTAACATACTGAATAGCAACCTTACTGCTGAGTCAAGTTGCCCCTTTTCTGCACTTGTTTGTTGCAGCTGTTGCTTCCTTCGAAAAGTTGCGTGGAGATATTGATCGCCAGTCTTTGATCAATGGCACCACTGCTTCTGGCATTCGCCTTTCACAAGCACAAGGTGGTTTTGAGTTCAAGAATGTCTCTTTTACCTATCCGGCCAGACCAGAAGTCACAGTCCTCAATGAAATCGATCTTTCTATTCCGCCCAACAAGCATACGGCTATCGTTGGTCTTTCTGGTAGTGGTAAATCAACCATCGCAGGTTTGGTCACTCGACTCTATGACCCGACAGAGGGACAAATACTGTTTGACGGCAAGGATATTCATGAAATCAACGTGCGAGACCTTCGAGGCTTCTTGAGTCTCGTGCAGCAAGAACCTTCTCTTCTCAATCGTTCCCTACTAGAGAATATCGCACATGGCTTGATAAATTCTAGTGATCCCAAATTCACACACCTGAAGCAAAAGTTGTTAAGCTCAGAGCTTACTGATTTGGCAAGATTGGTCAGAGAAGGCATGGATTTAAAGACTGCCGCAGAGCAACGAGGCGCTGAGATTGCTGAGATTGTCCGCTTGGTGCAGCACGCCGCGGTACTTGCTGATGCGGAACCTTTTATTACCAGATTGCAACACGGATATGGCACACTTGTAGGCTCGAGTGGACGTCTCATTAGCGGTGGTCAGAAGCAGCGGGTTGCGCTAGCTAGAGCTCTCGTCAAAGACCCCGCTGTTCTTATTCTAGATGAAGCTACAGCCTCGCTCGACTCCCAAAGCGAGCAGCGTATCCAACGGGCCATCAACAACATCGCTACCGGCAGGACTATGATAACAATTGCACACCGACTGTCGACTATCACCTCCGCCGACAATATTGTCGTCATGCAAAAAGGGCGTATTTTAGAGCAGGGAACTCACTTGGAATTAATGGCCAAAAATGGAGCGTACGCTGACCTTGTCAAACTACAAACTCTTGGGTCCTCTTCTCAAAGGCCAAATGAAAAATCAGCCAAGACTGAAATTGATGAAGTTTCAGAACGCACCTCGTTGACATATACCGAAAACGAAGTTGGCAGTTTTTCGAACAATGACCCTGAGAAGGCAGATAACATCATCTCCGAAGATCCAATCACCGAAAACTCATCAGCGGACGAAGAGAAAGAACAAGAGACCCCGTCCAAGTCGTTGTGGGCACTTGTTCGAGGCTACGCACCAGCTGTCAGGCCGCATCTACTCATGGTACTCTTCGCACTGCTCGGATCAAGCGTTGTTGGCGGAGCCTTCTCTGGTGAAGCGGTGATCTTCGGAAACACCGTCGGAAGTTTGAATCCCTGCAAAAGTCCCAGTAGCATAGACTCTCGTGGAAACTTTTTCGGCCTTATGTTCTTCGTTCTTGCAATTATCGAGTTCTTTGCAAATCTGGTCAGTTGGTCCGGATTCGGCTGGGTGTCTGAAAAGATGGTGTATACTGTGAGGGTGCTCTCTTTCCGATCCCTTTTTGAGCAGGACCTTGAATGGCATCAGTCAAAAGGGCGAACACCAGCCTTGCTCTTGTCTTATATCACCAGTGACGGTAATGCTCTCGCTGGCTTGAGTGGTTCTGTCATCGGATCCATGCTATCAATCACGATCAACCTCATTGCGGCAATCATATTGACTCATATTATTGCATGGAGAATTGCACTTGTCTGTCTGTCTCTGGTACCACTCCTTCTTGGTGCTGGACTGATGGAGCTTCGCGTTCTCGGAAAGTTTGAGGAGCGACACGAAAATGCATACACAACTTCTGTCGATATCGGTGTCGAGGCGATCACTTCTATCAAGACCATCGCATCTCTCTCCCTCGAAGAAGAGACATTGTCTACTTACCGAAAGTCCCTCCAGGGACCTCGTAAAGAAACACTCAGAGTAACTCTGGAAGCAAGTCTCTGGCAAGCAACGACATACTTCCTCGGGAATTGCGTGAACGCGCTGGCATATTGGTGGGGCGCAAAACAGATCATAGCAGGAAACTACACACAGACACAGTTCTTAATTGTGGTCTTCTCACTACTTGTCAGCGCTCTTCTCTGGAGTCAAATGTTTGCTCTTGCACCGGAACTGTCCAACGCCAGGGCGGCAATGGCTCGGATCTTAGGTCTTATTGAACTAGGGTCGGATAAGATGCAAGGCCATATACCGGACTATTCGCTGCCCTTGTCATCTCCTGCCGAAGATCCAAAAGAGAAAGATGTTGAAGCAATGGCGACGACATCATCTCGTCATCCAGGAGGTCAAGCGGCGAGCGTACAGCTTCGTGACGTCCACTTCTCATACCCAGCGAGACCAGACATCAAAGTTCTAAACGGGTTAAGCATTGACATACAACCTGGAAAGTTTTGTGCCCTTGTAGGCCCCAGTGGTGCCGGAAAGTCTACCATCATCTCTCTAGTTGAGCGACTATACGCTCCGCAATCCGGCTCAATACTAATCGATGGTGCCGACGTATCAAAATCGCGCGATGTGACTTTCCGAGACACGATAGCACTAGTACCTCAGGAGAGTGTACTATTTGAGGGCAGTATCGAATTCAATATCAGCCTAGGCGCCAAACCAGGCCATGAAGCTTCCTTGGATGAGATCATAGAAGCGTGCAAACTTGCTAACATCCATGATACAATCGAAGCATTGCCGAACGGGTATCAGACTCTCTGCGGACCGAATGGAAGCCAGTTCTCTGGAGGTCAAAAGCAGCGGTTATCCATCGCCCGAGCGCTGGTACGGAAACCGCGATTGTTGATTCTGGATGAGTCAACAAGTGCATTGGATGCGGAATCGGAAAAGCTGCTGCAAGATGGACTTGAAAAGGCTGCGAGGGGCATCACTGTCATTGCGATAGCGCATCGATTGCATACTATAAGGAAAGCGGATATTATATTCTTGATTGAGGCGGGAAAGTGTGTGGATCATGGATCCCATGATGAGCTGCTGGAACGATCGGAGAGTTATAGGTTGAATGTTATGCACCAAACGGTGGGAGAATAGCCATATTTATATGAATGTCGTGTTTCCAGACTTATTGTGCATATGGAACAAAGTGATATCCCGTAGTTATTCCAATGAAACTATATTCGGCCAGTGAAATGTTATTAACGGAAAACATAAAAGTTAAATCTAGTAGTAACGAAAGAATAAGATATGGTTGTAACATGAAATTAGAATTAAGTGTTATACCTATATGACAAAACTTTCTTATATCTCGCTAAGCACCAAGGAGTCTATGTATATGGGTACAAAGAATGTCGACGGACACAAGAAAATAACAAATCTAGCCACCCAAGCTTCACCCCTAACACGTCAAGAAATTTATCTAAAGGTGATAGGCAACCTCATCGACGACCTCACCGAGAGGAACACCGAGAGCAGGAAGGCCAAGTCCGGAAAGGAGACCGGACACAACGGGCGAAAGCTGGATAAGAAGGTATTCGACACCGTTCTCAACAACGATGAGAAGACCATCAAGACCGGGACCGAGCTCGGTGACGAGGGCACCAACAGAGCTGGCAGAGGCAACGACGGAACCAACAAGGGTGCCGACGGGAGGAAGACCAAGACCGCTGACGAGAGCAGTGAGCTCAGGAGAAAGCTGGACGAGAAGAGTGGAAGTAGCGGGGCCAGCGATGGTGAGAGCACCGTCAACCTGGGTACCAATGTCGGCGAGGAGCTTGCCAGTTCCGGTGGCGCGCTTGACGTGGTTGCCGACTGTGGTGACAACTGCACCGACGGGGACAGCGAGGGGAGGCAGAAGGCCAGCAACGAGAGAAGCGACGGAAGGGCTGAGTTGGACGAGGAGGATCTTGGCGTCTTCGCCAGTGACGACGACGACACCCTCGGTGTTGGGACCGAGTTCCTTAAGGAGGTCACCCACGCTGGAGGCAGTGGCGACGACGGAGCCGAGGGGCTCGCCAACGCTGGCGAGACCAAGGCTGTCAACGAGAGCGGCAACCTCAGGGGAAAGCTGGATGAGGAGTTGCTGTGCGTCGGTGCCAGTGACGGCGAGGGTCTGGTTGACCTCTGGGCCGAGATCAGTGACGATTTCACCGGTGTTAGGGGGGTTGGCCGGGGCGGCGAAGATGGGAGCCGCGAAGAGGGCGAGAGTAGCAAGAGAGAACTTCATTTTGAATTATTGTATTAGTGTAAGGAGAGCACGGTTGAATTAGGGTATTAGGAAATAGGTAAAATTTGGTAGCGAGTGAATGAGGAAAAGAAAGAGAATCCTCTAGAGACAGAGGGATAGCCGTCTTTTTATATCAGTTTGAGAGGTGATTGATCTGCAATGGAAGTTCCTATAGTACCTCAATTAGGCAGTCCTGGAATCAATACGGATACCGAGTACCACAAAATGGGTCAACCTAATCAAAGCCTCCTACGCAAAGACAGTATATGGATACAGACAAAAGTAGACCAAAAAGAGCCCATCAATCTAGCGGCAAGACTAATGGCATGGCTAAGCTGACAAGGACCCGCGATGTTCAACTGAACTTAGAAGGTAATAGCCATGTACCCTATGTTTCTGGAACGACTCTGGCATTGGAAAAAAGTTTGCTCCGCTAATGCCAGATAGAAGTATAGTCTCCGCCCTGGAAGGTGAGTAGAAATTACCTCGTATGGTAGTTCAATTTTGTCCGTGGTACCTCTTATGATATCCACTGAATGATGCCTGGATGAGGTCTGAATGGAAATTCCTCAAAGCACTTGTGCCTCCTTTTTCCGTAATCATTGCGTTCATCCAAGCCTTTTCAATGTGAGAATATGCCCATGGTCACAAGCATTGAGAGCACTGGTCTAAAGTTTGCTGTATCAGCACGTTCTCTAGCGTTTGGACGTATATTCCAGTTGATGGACCTAGGGCTGGCTGAAAAACATGATAAGCCTATTGTACGTCCAGTCACGGACGCGCCGGATACAGCATAACAGAGAAAACATGTTCAACGCCGCTTACTACTACCTTGATATTCACAAATTATACCATATCAGGAAATTAGTAACCAATCAATCAAGCCGAATTTATGGGGGACTTGGTCCGCGATACATAAAATCGACAAGCTTAAAAGCTAGACTCCACATGGCGCCAAAACATGGGCGTGGTGGATGCGCCGAAGAACAGGTTGTTAAGATTAGTTCCGGCGATCTTAATTATGTCCCTCATGCTATCGGCATAGTCCATGGAGTTCATTAGTCGAATTAAAAGAGCTAGGTACCTACCGGATGGAGTAAATCCATAATAGAGGACCTGATCTACTTGGACTAAGGGCTACAAAGAGAAATCCATGAGTCGAACAACGACATCATAGTTTCGTGTGAGGGATCGTGCAGGGAAGAAATGCACGAAATTTAACTACCAGATTAATGATACGTACTATGTAATTTCAATTGTTCGATAGAAAAAGTAGGAAAGTAGGAAATATCGATTCGAAGTAAACACCTAGGTACCGAGGAATACGTCTACTATATGTAGGAAGATGGCCACGATACTCGCACGCTGCATTTGAACGAATTCTCCGAATGACGAAAGGACAATCATGCGGAAATGACAGCATCTCGTAATCTCATTGGTAGCCATGAGCCTGTTGAAAGTACCGACACGGCTCAATCGTGTTCGTGCGCTGTCCTCTTTCTTTCAAACCTTTACATTTAGTTCTGACTTAGTGAAAACCTACATCGCAAGAGCCGAATATTTGAGCAATAATTGACCATACGGAGACTTTCTAGACCTTACAGTGGGACCGAGTCTAATATAGATCTACATTTACCACGATACAGAGCCATACTAAGCACTAGTGACTAAAGCTGCTGTCCGTGAGCCTCAAGTCAAGTACCTTGCTGCTGTTCCCGTTGTTTACCCTCCTGTAACTATCGTTGCTACGGGATCATTGAAACTCGATGGACTAGATGTGTTAAGAACACCGACAGTGAAGCGTTAGCCATTGATCATTACAAAGTTCGTGACATTAACTTATGCATTTCCGTAGTTTCCGTAGGTGTGGACAACAGGTATTAAGAGAAATAAGCTTGATTTTATTTGTGTGTGGCTAATTGCTGGATATAATAGATCTCGCCAGATCTCGGCGCAGAATACCCACAAAAGAATCCACTTCAAGGTACCAGTAAGCACACAAGCTTAAAAAGCCACCACCGTCAAGCTAGAGCCCCTATATCATGCCAAAAGTTACTTGGCAATTTGTCCGTACGTAGAAGACATGCACGAAGAGTGCCCATCTAGAAACGTGGACGAACTTCACGGCTCGGAATACGTACGAAGTGAAGCAGAAAACATAAAGCTTTCCCACTACCGGTATCTAACACGCAAAGTTTTTTCACTAGGATAAGTCCGAATAGGGCAAAAATCAAGATCGCTGTAATTCGCACGGGAACTCATTTAGCCCTTTCCCGCGTGCTGACAAGAACGAATCTCAACATGATGCAATGGTAGATCTCAATTACTTGGTGTGCCGAGATGGCCCGCTGAGTACCATGAACACGGTTCAGGTCCAACGCTAGAAGTCGACCTCAAGAAGCACAGACTAGCCGTAAGGATGTGCACAGCAATCACTCATTTTGGCGACAATCGTGATCAAGAGTTCATCGATAAGTGGCTACATTGGTTGAGGCTTAGGCTAGAGATTAGTGACTGCTTCCATATCGTAAAATTTGCCACGTCCAATTATACCTCCGGAGAATAATACTGCGCAGGCAGTCTCACAATCATGATCGTCGCCCCTGAACGTGTGCTTCGTCTACATTCTGTGCTGACCAGATCTATTGCTGGATTTGATTGATCTCGGTGCAAGCCTTTGGCTAGGTTTTGCTATACTGGTCGAGAATTCGACCTTCGCGTTCTAGTATGAAAGCGGCCCACTGAGTCGGCTCGTGTCTTGTGTCGGTCTGAAGCAGGTTTCTGCTTCGATCATATCTAGCGGATGAGCTTGTCATTATGCTAGTTCCTCTTCGAGCTTTGCGTTTACGAAGTAGTATAGTCAAATACATAAGAAAGATATCTGCCATTCCATACGCAGTTTTCGTATCCTGTCACGATGGAGAGAGATGGCCCAGCATGATTCGCAGCAGTTGGTCAAGTTACAGCCAATTTGGAAGAAAGTATCAAATTTTTCATCAAAAATGCCATGGCCCATGGTGTTTCACAACCTGTGGTCGAGATTCTGCTTGTGGGGGAAAGGGTAGTTGATTGTGATCTCGACTACTCTAGCCATTTCTTCCTGGACGCCGTTCACTAAAAAGAGCTATTTTCAGGTTTCGAGTCAACTGGTTCCAAAATCGGATCAGATTTCGCAGACAGTGTTCAAATATTTCATGCTTCAAACGTTCCAGGTTGGTGATGAGCTCAACATTTTAAATGAAGCGTATGAGACACAAAAGTACCTTCGCTTCCTTCTCTCGTTGCTTCGCGTGTGGATAATCGTCCCCATGGTCCAGAGAATGACTATCGACAATACTTTAGAATGTGTGACACATCGAGAGAATCCATCTGTTTCAATTACTCTCGCCATGCGAATTATTGCTGTTGGAATTTTGACATTCGTCGGTATTCCAAGGTTGTCATGACCAAGGGTTGCGTTGTGCTGTATGTGGTTGATTTTCATCCCGATTCGTTTCTTTCGTTCCGCAAAGAAACCCATGGGTTTGTTGATATATCAGCCAGAGTATACATTGTTCTTGGTTCTTATGGTTACAGATGGGGAAGAAAAGTCGAAGTGGAAAGAAGGTTGAGGGTTCGCCCGATGAGCGGCGCCTCCTTGCTGCAAACGGAAAGCACGATCGATCGCGCCTGCCAAAATCTATCGCACATTCAGCAATCACAAAAATGCATCATCACAATTTAAATACCTTTCTTCAGCTTCTCTACTTTAATACTAGGACTTCTTTTAGAGATTTTTGTTTAATCTATAGAGATGCCTCCTAAGCAATCCACGATAGTGCTGTTCTGGCACCGCACAGATCTGCGTCTACACGACTCCCCAGCACTACAAGCTGCACTAGACTTGAAGCCTTCTGTTTTCATTCCAGTCTGGACATGGGACCCTCACTACATCTATCATACACGAGTTGGACCTAATCGCTGGAAATTCCTGATTGAATGCCAACAGGATCTGTCCAAGGCGTACAGCTCCCTCAACTCCAAACAGAAGCTATGGGTTATGCGTGAAGCGCCGCAGTCAATTCTTCCAAAGCTGTGGAAAGCATGGGAGATTACGCATTTGGTATTTGAGAAAGACACAGATGCGTATGCACGACAGCGTGACGAGGAAGTCATCAGGCTGGCGGAAGACGCAGGGATTGAGGTAGTTGTTAGGAATGGAAGGAACTTATTCGATCCTGATGAGGTCGTGAGGAAGAATAATGGGGAGCCAACATTGAGCATGAATCAGTTGCAGAGAGCGTCGGAAAAGATCAATGGTGGTTCTCCGGATAAGCCAATTGATGCACCAAAAACAGTGCCTGATCCTTGGGATGAGGACAGAATGAATCTAGACAGCCTAGAACACGATGTGCCCAAGTCAAAGCCAGATCTCAATGCGGCTTATCGGAACATCGATGATGGAAAGAAGCAATATACCCAAATCATGGGGCCCAAGAAGGATTTTGCTGTTCCAACCCTGGAAGAGTTGGGTATGGATGCTGATCAAGCAAAGAGTCCTCATCGCGGTGGAGAGTCTGTTGCTTTGAAAATGCTCGCAGAATACATCAAGGACGAAGAGTATATTGGTACATTCGAGAAACCAAAGACCTCACCAGCTGCTTTTGAACCACAGGCCACAACCTTGCTATCACCGCATCTCCATTTTGGCTCTCTGTCTGTTCGCAAATTCTGGTGGGATGTAAAGGCCATAATGGATAAGCGGCATAGGGAAAAGCAGCCAACTGCAGATGCGCCTACGAATCTATTAGGACAACTTTTGTTCCGAGAAATGTTTTTTGCTGCTCAAGCTGTGTTGGGTCATACTTTTTCACAGACTTTTGGAAACAAAATTGCTCACTTCATTCCATGGCGGCTGCAATCCACTCATTCAAAGGCAGCAGATGGTAAGGTCATTCGCGATAGCACTTACGCAGTTGATTCTGAAGAAGCTGAGACCTGGTTTCGACGATGGAGAGAAGGACGAACCGGTTTTCCTTGGATTGATGCTCTAATGCGTCAGCTGAGACGAGAAGGCTGGATACATCATTTGGGCCGGCACAGTGTGGCTTGTTTTCTGACTCGTGGAGGCTGCTACGTAAGCTGGGAGCGAGGAGTCGATGTGTTTCAGGAGTGGTTGATCGATCGTACGTACTCAATAGCGAGCATTGTGCGTGATGTTTGACTAACTAAATCTAGATGAAGAAGCATCTAACGTTGGAAACTGGATGTGGCTGTCATGCACGGCTTTTTTCTCCCAGTACTACCGATGCTATTCACCCATAGCCTTTGGCAAAAAGTGGGATCCCGATGGTGCTTTCGTCCGTCGATATTGCCCAGAACTCAAAAACTTTGACAAGAAATATATATACGAGCCATGGCGTGCCCCAATACAGGATCAAAAGAAATGGGGATGTCGCGTGACGGGCGACGGGACTTCTGACAGGGAGGGTGGCTTGAAAACGTATCCAAAGCCTATATTTGATTTCGATAGACAGCGCCAGGTCTGTATTGATTCCATGAAGAAGGCTTATCACATCGGTCTACACGGCAATGATGCGGAGGTACTGGATGGCAGTTGGAAGGAGGTTTTTGAGTTTCATGATCAAAATGCCTCGCTGATGGACACGACGAATGGGCCGGTTGATGATAACATCGTGGATGAGCCGCCGAACAAGCGTCGGAAGATGCAGGAGCATGAAGAGGAGAACGAGCGACACATGGGTAATGAATGATGTAGACTATTCAAGCAATATATGACTACAATCTCAAAAATAGCGAATAAGTAGATTGCAGTAAATGTGACAGTAAAGGCCGGAGATAACGGAGCCGGGGTTATCGATAAGGGACTCACCGTCCCCCGTCGTCTCCGCTTTCCAACTGACGTCTTCATCTCCGATCTCTGTGTCGTTTTTCCTACATTTTTGATATTTAGACAACTAAATACTCTTTGTCTTCTATCAAACATCTCATCAATACTTTACACATATAGCTCCTGTCGTCAAGAATCGTCCCTGCTCAGATATCGCCACGCATGGCCGACCAGAGCTCCCCGCCCGGCAATCATTCCGGCTCGGATGACTTATTAGAGCAATTTCATCCAGCTTTCGAATTCCTCACCAACGCCGACGTAGACGATGACGATATGGATTTCGATCCTGAGACGGGTGCAACAAACCCATTGATATATTTCGACGTTGGTGTAGCCGACGATGACGACGTCGATGATGTTGATTATGAAGTTGAAGAGGACGAGGATGATGACGATGATTATGAAGACGAGGATGAGGGGCCAATTGTTGTTGGACGAGGGAGTGCCGAAGACGATGAGAGAATTCTGACGATGGGTGCTATGATTGCCCAACAAACGGCAGACCAGGAGGAGGATGAGGAGGACCAAGAAGAGGAAGAAGAGGAGGAGGAGGAGGAAGACCCCCGACAATCAGAAGGTACAATTCCAAGTGTCCCGCATCGCTCAAAATGCTTGCTAATTATGAAAACAGGAGCGAGAATGTTACGACTACTCAATGCCAGAGGTCTTCAAGCACTCCTTCGATCGCACGGTCTATTCGCCGGCGGTGCTTATCTAGTTCGTGGAGGGGGCGACGACGACGGATCCACTCGATTCCAACGGCGGCAACGTGCGGCGCGACATCCTCCTCCAAAGGTGCCCAGTGAGAATGGAATAGCATTGATGAATTCTGGCTTCTATGGCAACAGTCCGAGCTATGCGGACGAAAGGAGGAGGCGCAAGAAGAAATTGGCGACGAGGATTATGTGGCGTGAACTTGGAATTGGTGCGCTAGGAGAAAGAAGACGGGATGCACGATTGGTATTTCAGGTATGAGCATGTCTTCAGGGTTTGTGGTCTCGGGCGCTGACAAATTGCCTGCACAGGACTTGATACCCTCAACCAAGCCAGAAAAAATCATACACTTGGACGAACGGTGCTATTCCGGCCAGTTCTCAGACGACGGCAACTTCTACTTTTGTTGTACTCAGGATTTCAAAGTGTACATGTACGATACGTCCAATCCGCATGACTGGGAATACTACAAGACAGTCCGATTCATTGGAGGAAATTGGACGATAACAGACGCCTCGCTCAGCCCTGATAACAAATGGCTCGCCGTCAGCTCGATTCAGAGACAAGTGACACTTGCACCCACAGATCCCAATGACAAATCCGATCCTATAGTACTTGATTTTGCACCTCGTCGAAGACAACATCACAATCGATTTGGAGTATGTTTCACCCTTGGATTCAGAAGCGACTTCTCGCTGACATGTTATAGATATGGTCTCTCCGCTTTTCCGGTGACGGTCGAGAAATCGTCGCCGGTACAGGCGCTCCCAGCGTCATTGTGTATGATATCGAAAAGCAAACCCCAGTATTGGAATTGGAGAAACACGAAGATGATGTCAATGCAGTATGTTTTGGCGATTCTTCATCGCCGCATATCTTATATTCTGGTTCGGACGATACGACAATCCGAGTGTGGGATCGACGCTCTATGAATGACAGTCGCGAAGCCGGCGCCTTTGTAGGTCACACCGAAGGCTTAACCTACGTCGACAGCAAGGGAGACGGTCGGTACGTTCTCTCAAACGGTAAAGACCAGTCGATGAAACTATGGGACCTTCGTAAAATGGTCACAACCGAAGCATTTGACAAAATCAATCTCAGCAAATACTCCACTGGTTTCGACTACCGATACACACCCATTGGCGGTATCGACTATACACCACATCCGCACGACTGCTCCGTCGTGACCTATCGCGGTCACAAGGTGCTGAGGACTTTAATACGATGTCATTTTTCGCCGCCAGCTAGCACGAATTCCCGATATGTCTATAGTGGTAGCTACGACGGCAAAGTTTATGTATACAATATTGACGCCACGTTAGCTGGTGTCATAGACGTGGATGCTGCTGCAATGGCCGGTAGGGATCCACGCGAGAGAGACGCATTTTCGCAGTATGATATGGGCATGCTCGACGATGCTTATGGCACGGTTGTGCGGGATGTAAGCTGGCATCCGTCGGCGCCTATATTAGCCGGTACATACCTCCCTTGTTTTCCTTTCAAGTAACTTTGACTGACCTATTTTTGATTTTAGCATCGTGCTGGAATAGCAACGGAGAATCCGCCGGGTCCTGCTCAATTCATTCTTGGAACGATTCAGCCTCGGATGACGAAGGAGAGCCAGCCATGGGCTCGGAGTTTGATGTAAAGCTGCGTCCCTGGGCATCCCATCGGAATCGCAGATATCAACGATTCTAAACACTAGCGCTCTTTATTTGCTACCCTCGAGATATGATTGCATGATACATACACCCTTTCGAGCGCAACTGACATGACTTATTGACGAAATTGTCCATACCCATCATGGTGACTTTTGTATAGATTGACTAAAGAATGCTTTGAACTCTTTCAGTTTCTTCGATTATGATACATACATCTTCTCTCCTGCACGAATTGATGAATTGGGAATCGCATTAAACGAAAAGCAACTGGTTTAGGTATATAAGTAACTGCGTTTGCCCGCCATCCAGTAAGATAAACTTCTGACGTATTTAGATGTTTCCGTGGTGTATGAGTGTGTATGTGGTAGGTATGGTATGGTTGTTGTATGTAGTGTGGCGGTATCGAGATCGTATGGGGGTGACAGAATTCATGCGGTTTGATTATTGCGCTGATATCCGTCCTCGGCCCTCCGGTCCATTTAAGTCTCCTTTCTTCGTGCGAGTGTCGTATTATTGAGCGTCTATCCGACCAAGACGTTGTTGACGGGGATGTGGACTTTACGGAATGATTAGCCGCGCACAACAACGAGCGATTTAAAAGAGAAAGGGGTACTAACTCAGTTTAACGAAGTATCCGATAGCACCCTGAAGGTGTTGTGTTAGTATGTGTCAGGCACTAGAAGCATTCGCCGCGATCGTGTTCTCCGGGACGTACCATGATAACGAAGCCGACGCCTATTCAGAAGTTAATTAAGAACAAGCCCCTAGAAAGAACTGCATTGATGATACGTACCAACTGCCTGAGAAATCTTCAAGAATTCCCTCTTGTCTGCTGCGGAGGTTGTTAGACCATCAAGAAATATCCAGGGGCAAATCGAATCGAGTCGCAATTGTGTGCTAGGTGGGGAGAAACTGACGCTTAGTGCAGCGGTTGACGAATTGCATGCCATCGCGGACAAAGTCCTATAAGACATAAAGTTAGCGAATGTCGAGGTGACGTTCAATGATTGACCTAGGATAGGTATAAGCATGTGAGCAGGCGCGAGACGTACCTTGGGGATATCGGCGAGTTCTTGGAAGGTGTCAGACATTTTGATTATTGCCGTGGCGAGGTTATAATTAAAAGGAAAGTGATAAAGTGACGCGAATGCTAAAAGTAGAGTTGAGAAGAGAAGAGAGGAAATTCAAACGAGTGGTCTGGAAATGCATCGTAAGGGAATCTCCACGATGAATCCAGCTGGCCTCATGGCCGCAGAGCGCTAGGCTTAAAGAAGCTCAGTGTTCTTGGCGACAGCGGAGAAACATTATGCAGCTCCGAACCAATGGTTGCTATTGGCCAACCCCGTCCTTGCCGCAGCTTAACGATTCACCTCCAACTAACTTCTCCTCAGCTTCCGCGTCTGATCTACACAGGCAATTCGACTTATTGCACCGTGTGCTGTTCTTTCTGACTAGATATCTTTCGAGAAGCTTAGCCAGATCTACTGCTGACGAGGCATCAAAGTTTTAACTTCGTGTTCCTTGAAATATCAAGTCGGTAGTTACACGCGGCCAGCCTCGTACTCCGACCTCACCCTCACCTACGCCATACAGAATCTCCAATCGCTTCCTGGCACCTTCATAATTCTCCTTTTATTATCGTTTCTTGGCTTCTTGAAGGAGACATCACTACTATCGCCAATCTGCTTCTACTTATCTACTATTGAATCCTGCTGGTCTGTGGCAGTTTGCTACATCTTGTGGTTAGCCTTGGTCAGACAACTCCTGTCAAAACAACCCTGCACTTGTCATCAAGGACAGTCAGGTCAGAGCAAAGATCATATTCTCAGAGCTTATTCTGGTGGCTCATTTTTTGTTTCCAAAGAATACTAGCTTCCAGCTTGTACGTACCTTTCTTTCATGTCTCCTGTTGTCGGTCCTTGTCTGCAGTCTTCCTGGATGAAGCTATTTTCCAATGACTCGACCACTGTTCCTGCTTACTATCTTCAGGCCATGTTATTCCTGTTACTCCCATTCCCATGCTAATGTGTTGCCGTCATGAACAGACATGTATTCATATTGATTTCGTCGAGAGAAAGACATACACAGCGGGTCCTACTACCCCAGACTTGTGCATAACAGAAAAGAAAAATCAAGATTGAAAGTTATTCTCACGTGTCGATCGAACCCTTCCGCTCCACAAAGAAATCAATCACATAGCCATCGCAATGGCTGAAGAGGATAACTTTGACTTGGATATTTACGGAGATGGCGGATACAACGGACAAGAAGGACCAGAGCTGATCCTCGATGCGCCCGAGGCCAATGGTCATGAAGGCGGGGAAGGTCAGTTGGGTAACAATGATAATGCACAGGCAGCCAATGGTCAAGACACGCAACATCAGATTCAGAGCACTGCAGGTCAGGCTCCCCAGCAGCAGGCACTCGTGCAGCAAGGTCAGAAGCGCAAAACATCATCCTCTGAAGATCGACCTACAGACCCAGATGCTACTACTGCATTATTTATCTCAGAGTTGTTCTGGTGGACCACCGATGATGATATTCGCGGCTGGATCAACGAGGCTAATGCCGAGGATGAGCTAAAGGATGTCACTTTCAGCGAACACAAAGTCAACGGAAAGAGCAAGAGGTATGTAATATTTGATGGGTGCGTGTTGCGCGCCAGGAAATATGGCTGACACATGTGTAGCCAAGCATACGTTGAATTCACTACATTACAAGCCGCGACCGCAGTCAAGCACTTGATCGAGCATTACGCCAGTACCGGCCAACCGGGTCGCAAACACACCGCCAACTACACCAACCCGCACCAGAATCCATTCCGCACCCTTCCCAAGGACGCACCCACTCGTAAAGATGACCGCAACAACAGGCCCTTCAACCAACCCGGAACCCAAAACATGGGCTACGGTATGAACAACATGGGCGGCGGCAACACTGGCGGCGGCTTTCGAGGCGGACGTGGAGGCTTCAACCGTGGCGGTATGGGCTACAACAATCGCAATTTCTCTGGTGGCATGAACACCGGTTTCCAAGGTGCTGGCGGCCCCATGAGCGGTGGAGGCTTCAATAACCCAATGGGAGGCGGCGGCATGGGTAACTACGGGGGAGGCTTCAATAACCGCGGCGGAAACATGATGGGCGGTGGTATGCGTGGTGGTCCAAACATGCGTGGCCGTGGTGGCGGACCCAACATGGGCGGTGCACCCAATATGATGGGTATGGGCATGAACCCGATGGGAGGAATGGGTATGAATCCTGCCATGGCTGGCGGCATGAATCCTATGATGGGTAACATGGGTATGGGTTAGTCCTCCCACTTTGACTCTTTTACCCAGATTCTAACGGTTATTGAACAGGCTTCCAAGCAGGAAACTTCAACCCCAATTTCGGCGGCGGATTCCAGGGTAACCCTCAAATGGGTAATGACCAAGGATCATGGAATCCGCATGGCGCAAAAAGGACGAGACAGGAGTAAACATGATCTATTCCAACCCCTTCTCCACCAGAGCATAAACTCAACCCATCGCGCAAACTCCCAATTTCTCAACCTTCTCTCCAAGGAACCAGCAGCTCCATTTTCTTCTTATTATTCAGGTGCCAGCATAATCGTAACTATTTGGCGTTCTCACTTTTCTATTCACGCTTCTTCCGATTGTTTTACTTATTCAAATGGTGTTTTAGAAAAAAATTACCCTTTTTTTTTGCCAAGTCTGTATGTGTACTGAATACAATGGGAATAATCAATACCTTGATCTTCACTTCTTCTGTGTTCTTTTTGTGTTTGTAGCATGTAATACCTTCGGTGTTTGTTAGGAACTACTTGAGCGTTGGACAACGATTTTACGTTTTAGTCTGTCCATATTAGACTAGTGTTTTCCTTTTTTTCAGTCATTTATTTGATTTTTCTGAGGCAAGAAAATACAAAACCAAGTATGGAAAAAAGATTCACAAAAGAAATGCAATCACCTATCCTAAGCTCTAAAAGTCCTGATGCGAATACCTGTCCTTAATTCTAGTGATGAATATACATCATCAACCCAAAGATCCCTCCAAGCAGATAACGATCGTTGTTCCGAGCCCGCTGATGCCATCCCATTTCTCAAGTAAGTGTGCCTTCGTAGCAATGAGAGCAAGTCCATTCCCATTCCAACATTTGACTTCACTTCATAAGACATCCAACTCGTAATGACATAAGGAATTAAGGTATCTAGAAAAATATAATCTCACCTCGACACGAATTCAAGGTAACCCACGAGGGACATGACAGGCGAATAAATATTTCGAAATATAAAAGACAAAAAAGTGGGAGAGACAGAAGAAAGAATAAATCCAGGTCATATCTCCTCATTATATAGTCGTACCAAGGGTAAGTGATGGTAAAGGATCCTTTCATCGCTGGAAGATAATAAGAAACAAGAAAATGGCTGGGTCTTGACTGTCGTTATTCGCGATGCAGTCGTCATTTCAGACATGTCAGAAAGATGTTGTCGTCATATTCGTTATTGAACGATGCAATAGACCATACAAATCGGTCGTATCATACGAGTCCACCAGAGATGGTTGAGGGTTGGATATAAAAGCCGTCAAACTTTGTAGAAAACCAAACACGCCGAGCGGACTGTTGACGCTCGGAGACCTTGAACAGGACTTGAGATTGTCCTTCTTATGAGCTTCGTAAGTATCGTCGCCAAAGTCGATGGGAAGGTGCTTCTGTGCGAGGCTATACAGAGATCCTAGGGCTTCAGAGGTGAAAGACGACATCGTAGCTATCGGACGGCCATGTTTGGTTGACGTGAGTTGGTTCTTGTTGGAGGCATGTGGCGATGATGGCACATATTCCTCATCAACGGCTACCTCCTTCTGAAGCGAAAGAACGAAGCTGACTGCCCTCAGTCGGGCCCAAAGCGACGAGAGTCGCTTGCGGCGATCGATTTGCTGTTTCGTTGTCTCGACAGCTGCAGGAACCGTTGGGGCTGATGATAATTCCCGCTGAATTGCATTCAAGGAATTATGGCAGCGTCTCAGATGACGTGTTAATATACGATGTGAGATCGAGTGATCAAAATGTATGCGATATAACGTATTCTCACCAAGGACCAGAGGGTCGATGGCGACTTTGGCATGATTTTCGGACTTCATGCCTTGTACCTTCCCAGTCAGGCGAATGGAAATTTTGTTGATTGAGAAGACAAGTGTGGCTATTTCAAGTTCTTGGATGATCTCTGATATCAACATCATCTCTCTTGGAACCCATTCTGTAACTTCAAAGGAACCGATTCGACTCGAAGTTTTTGTTTCTGATGGATGATTATCCAAAGATAATCTGCCCAGCTTTTTCAAGATATCACTTGAATCGAGCCTTTTCTCGTTAGGCGATGTTTTCGAAATTAATCCTTTGCGACTTTTACTTTCGTCACCCAGCTTATGTGTCAGCCTGTTGAATGTCCATGACGTGAACACCGAATCGGAAGCCAAATTGCTGCCCTGGAAAAGAGACGCACTTCCAGCACTTGGCCCGGATGTAAATGTAAAATTTGGGAAAAGAAAACCGGAACTTCCACCTGCACTTCCGTCACCCTGATTCGGAGGACTTTCTGGTTCTTTTTTCGGTTCGTCCTCTGATGTGTCATCAATCCGGCAATGGGCTACGATTCCTGCAAACCATTCGTCCCAAGATGCAAACGGGGGTTTATGATCCATCCACGTATCGGTGTCGCATAGATCACATTTGCTGGGTTCAGCCATGACCAGTTCCATTTCGGTAAGATCTTGCTCGCGATCAAATTCATTGTAGTGTCTAGTCTTTAGATGATCCCGAAGCTTGTCTTTACGTGTACTTCTCCATTCGCAGTGCATGCAGAGAAACATTGACTTTGGTTGGTGTTTCTCGTTGACATGTCTTTTGAAAGCGCCTCGTGAAGTTATACGCACAGGTGATGGGCACAGTTTGCACAAATAACGTTGTCCGGTACTGTTAGCACGACGGATAGGAGAGATGGCAGACGGCATTGCAGGCGGTTGCGGTGATCTTGGGGGGACAATCCTCGGTGCGATGAGTCTTCGAATTGCATTGGTCCCTAGATGAGTCTGAGCCAAACTCAGTGCATACGTTGTCTGGTTTGGATGTGTGACATATTCCTGTCGCAACCTATCGATAACCAGCTCGAATAAAGCCCTAGGGTCATTGATGCTGGCTTCGATATTTTGTAGTGGATCGTTGGTGTCGGGGGTTGGGCGCGGCAAGGGAGTGTCTGGAGGTAACAGGGGCAGATCGGCCGCGACAAAAGGATCATGATCTTGCAGTTCTATCTCAGGCCTGCTCCAAAAGAAGGGCTCAGGCTCGCGTTGTATATACGAAGGATTCCGAGCTGTAAAAGAAGTCATCGAGTCACCGATATTCGAGTGTATGCTGCTTGCGGTTTGTGATGACTCAGTTACATGTGATGACTGAGATGGGAGTCGATGCATATCATTACTCATAGTATCGGTGAAGGACGCCGAAGAGCTGCGGGTCCTAGATGGGCGATTTTGGTGAGGATATCCTGGGCTCAGGTATGAGTTGTTGGGTTGGCTCCAGGACATGGCTGCTTCCAGTAGATGGAAATGCAAGTATCCGAGACAGCAACCGCAGAGAAAGTATATAGGTGGAGCAACTTGCTCAGTCCACAACTGGGGACTTGCTTCTAGGGGCGTATATAGAACCCAGCGGCTTGCTCACGGGCATAATCTAACTGTTCGTATCAGGCTCGATGAGGCATATTGGCGGATCTACTCGAAGCAACAAAATGAAGGATTCTAGTATATACTTATAAACATGATCAAAAAATGGAAAGTGAGCTAGACGCCACACGTCTTGTGAAAGGAAAAAGGTGAAAACGAGCGAGTGAAATAAAGAGAAGATGGAGGACGATTATGTTTTATAGGCGACGAGGGCGGTGCAGGCGGAGGCTCTTTTGGGAAACGGCCAGTCACGCCGAGTGGGGAAGGAGCGAGCCACGTCCGACATCATTGCTGCAGCTTCACCCGGGCAAAAGTCCAGGCCAAGGGGACAGGGCTTCGGGGTTGGGCAGCCTGACGATTAATTTTCTATTGCTGAGTAAAAAGATGTTTTGTTTCCACATAATAGACAGGTTCGGTAGTTCACCCTTGCTCCCCGGAATGGGTGGATGATATAATTCAGGCAAATTAATGTGGGACTGGTAGATGCAACCCTAATTCATAACCCTAAGCAAAACCGGTGATCTGCCCTAGTTCTTTTCTAGTACGGCACCCAATATGGATTAGCGCGCGACTCAATCTAGCCCAACGACCAAGTTGGCCTCCTCCTTCTTTCAGCCTGAATGACCAATGAGCACCTCCAACACTTCTTAAACAACAGAGGTACAGATAACCTTCCACATAACAGAAAAACTCAATTCCCCGTGACGGTGCGCGAGCCAGCCAGAATGCGGACCGTTCCGTCAGCACCAATAGTCTCAAAGCTGTCGAAAAGCGCATCTCCAGAGCTTATCATGTTGGCCTGTGGACCTATCGACGACTTTACATAGTACTCGTAGACAGGGTAGCCGGCTGCAGTGGTGTAATTGGTATTTGTGGGATTGGTTGCATTGCCGTACTTGGTCAACAGAACCTCGGAGTCGGCATTGCTTATAGCATCCCCGTTGGAGTCGCTGTTGCTCTCGGGCAGCAATGGTCAAGTGCCACTGCAGCAATTGGTGCTAAATCGCATCTTATTCTTTAGGGGACTTGTGCACTCGGCACTGTTCTTTTATATTTCTTTGTCAAGGCATCGATGGGACTGTCTATCGAGCGTATTGATGTAGTAAGTTTAATATTTCTCGGCGAATGAATTGAGATGCGCCAGCGATTCTGAAACAGCTCTCTGGAGAGAAAGACTACGTTGATGAGTTTCAAGAATTGTGCCAGGATGTCCAAGTGGATCACAATCTGGAAGGAACTAGGAGGCGAGAGGCTCGTAACCATGTAAAGAAGGATGACGATGCTTGTGTTGAGACTGTAGAGGTTGCTTGATTTCAACGGATATTTTCTCGGCAGTACTTTGATAGTGGCTGTGGAGCTCTTTGTATCAACTATGGGCACCTCTAATACTCGCAGTTCGGAATAATTCCTGTACAAAATTAAATGCACCGTTGGGCCAGCATATAGGAGGGCACAAAACCCAGTAGCTCAGGACAGTGTGGATGTGAATGTGATAATTGGACCTCAGGATGTTGCGGCTGATTACCAAATGAGGCAATCAATGAAGTGGCCTGGATACTGCTGGGCAGTGAGAATCGATTACCGGATTAGCTACCACCGTAGTACCAATATATTAGAAGAAAATACTCGTGAGAGCAGATATCCTACTTCTAGAATAAGTCCACATGCATGCGTTGCCCAACGAGCTATCCTGGACTGTAAGGATCTAACACTAAACTTCCAAGGTCCTCGGCCAGAAGTCGGACTTGTTCCAAGCGTTGACAAATAGTTAAAAACAAATCTTAGATTCACGACAGAAAGGGCCAATTTGTGAAATTCATGGACTTCTGTACTAATTAGCTAAGGTTAATCGAGGTGCTTATGGAGACCCCGTTTACCATCATCTTTCCACCCGGGTCAAAGCTGCGGGGCTAATGGATGGTCAGGGTAAGATCTGAGCTTGATACACTTAACGCGACACACCGCTCCTACAGTTTCGTCTATACCGTGCGATCGTACCTCATCTTATGGTAGTTTTGCCCAATAGTAAGAGTCTGACAGGTGACAGGTCAAGGTTAGAGTGTGGCTTAGGCTTGTTCCAAGCTCGAGAAGCTTTTCCAATGCAGATATCCCCGGGCTTTCTCGTCTAGCCTTCATGAAGGAAGGAGCGTCCAAATCAAGAAAACTTTTAGTGCATAGGCAATTGAACACTATTACGAGCGTCTCCACATTTATCACCTGCGTCATTCAACCACTGAGGCAGTGCAGGTGCATTACAACAGTGCATTACAACATCTCCATCCCAAGACAATTTTGATTTCCAGGTCCGATAGTGGACACATGTAATATGTGACTGGAAGCTGATTCGAACTCGGGGTGATGCTGAATCATGTCTGTTAAAATTCGCACAACCGGAAACCGGCGCCTTTATGATTGGGCGGCAAAGTGAGGCAAGAGGAGGACAATTAACATATCATAAAAGATATTAATTAGCGGACCTCCAAGTTGTCTCAAAATCATCTACTGTGTACTATATACGTTACAAACAATACATATTGCTATTGCTATTGCTATTCTCTTTTCACAATGTAGATTTCCAGTTCGAACGACAGCAACTGCCACTATTTGCGGGGACTGTGGAACGATCGCGATCGATAAGCTTCTGGGCCCAACGGCCCGCCATCCGTGCCCCATGTGGGCCTACCATGGTTCATGATCTATTCAATTACGCTCAATTTCGAGTTTATTAGATCATCATATATACATAGATACATAGTGGCGGATAAATCATTGCTTCCATCAGAATCTGCCGAATAAATTGCACAGTATTAGACTATGCCGTGGACCAGCAGATCGCTGAGCCGCGCAGTCTACATTCGGGAAATTCCACAGACTCTTTCTACGAGGAGTCTCCTCTGCTCACCTGTACCAATTGCCTATTCTGTCAATCGAACATTCCAATCGTCAGATTTCCAGCATGACTTAGATGCTCATACTGCTCAAGAGACCGCTGAAGAGAATGTCAGAATGGTCCCCAGTGTCCGTATTTGGTCATCTTCTCCTTACGGGACTAACATTAGCTCTCCATCAGACAGCAACTGAAGTTGCTCTGAAGAATAGAGCCCTAGCAGCATGTACTGTAGCTACTGCTGCTCAGTCTACTATTGGCAGTGTTTTTGCTGGCAGCACGGTTGCTTTGCTTCAAGGTGCTGGTGCTAGAGGCACTTCTTTGGGCACCCTTAATGGAGTCGTTCAGGGTGTGGGTACAACTGTACTGGGATCGACGGCATACCTTAAAACCTCTATTCTCAAAACCAGAAAATGATCTGCAAACTCTTAAGTGACACATCAACCTTTACATGAACACCTTTTTCCCGTGCTATACAAACAGCTCGGGCAGACTACTACTTTACATGGACAAAGGAAGGACCGTTACTTTTAAACAACTGGTGGCATAGTCACTGGATGTGCTTCTTGTCCAGGAAGTACGACTGATTTAAAATTTTTATCGTCGGCTCCATGTACCTAGGCAAATCGACACAAACCAGTAGCACTTCGTTTTGGACTGACCGCATAAAAACCACAGCAAATTCGATACTAAAGCCTTGCAGTTTGCTATGTACCAAAGCTCTAAGTTGTCTTCACCTACCGTTAGCCAGGTCCTTCCTATACTATATGAAAAGAAAATCTCGCCCGAGATATCATCTGGTCGACTTCGAAATTTGTCTTATGGACAATGTATTGCCATTACCGGCGACATAGCGAGTCAGTCGCCGTCTCATATTTGATTTTCTAGTCCTTTTACGTAACAGCTAAGTCGCTCTTGCCACGACACGTTCATTCCACAAACCCTTGCATATCACCCAGTTTACATGAAATCGAGACTAATCTCGGCGTAAATATCCGGTTCCGGTCCATTTATTAGCATAACAGTTCATAGAAGTTTTCTTCTGAAGTTCAACGTATGCAAGGATACACTATTGTACTAATTGGATTATTTTCCGTTGAAAATATCCCCTCATTTATTGGCTATTAGAGACCTCTGCAAAGTCGAGGCGTACATAAACTTTGATAAATTAAATTTGAGGAATCTACTCCAAGGAAGGAAACCGACTGGATGACAAGAAGTAAGGCAACCGGAGCTATGATTACTTCAGAACTAAGGAGGCCTGAGCGTTTCCATTCCTTCGGGTTTGAGGCTCAATGGCATATTCATGTGAAGATGACCGAAGGGTATTGATGATACGTGACGTAGAGAAATTACTATTAGAAATGTTGAACTTGCCCTCCCCTTCCCAAACTATTTGATTTCGATTTTCCAGGGGGGGAAAATAACAACCGAAAAAGAGACCATAACACGGCACTGAAAGAGATACCTCGTTTGCATTTTGACTGTCAATCATTTTTGTATTGATTCGAAATGGCCGACATGCAGATTCCTAATGTGGCTCCGTCTTTCTCTCGACATCAAGAAGATTTGCAGGGCTTGTCACTACAGCAGCACAGATTTGCTGATGTCGATAAAATCCTACCTAAATTGAGGTTTATCTATTCATACGAGCTTTGATCGTTCCAGATACTTACTAGAAATACAGTGATGTCTGCCTTTCAGACAAGGCCCTTGTCGGTACCCCTCCCGGTCAGCGCTCAATTTCGTCGTCAAGTTGGGGGCAGGAACTCACCGTCAAGGATGTGACTGCTATGCATCTATTTCGAAAAGGCAGTGGAAGTCTATCGGTTACTATGGGTTCTCAACCCAAACCTTAGCCAACAATGCAACGGTTTTTTTCGTCTATTTCATGTGGAAATCAGTACGAATAGGATTCGATGCGAACGTGAATAAGCGATCCGAACGCAAGAGTATTTGGTTATAATTACCAAATCTTGAACTCGACGAGAGAACGCGACTCCATTTGACATGGCTACCTAATAGCGTCACAAATTTGTGTTCGCAATGAGTGGTATAAGATGCATTGCAAGCTAGCCGACTATCTCGATATTCTAGCTCAAGCCAATAATCATCCGACATTTCAAAGCTGTGATGCTGTTAAGAGATGGTGGTTAATTTACAGGAATCAATATTCAAGGCTGACTTTCAATGGAGGAAAATGTGTTGATAGCCTGGAAGTAGGGTCATACAAATCAAAGGGATGATGGTTATAATTGTCAGAATGTATGGGGTTGACCGCACAATACCCTGGTATCTTACAAAGCAATATAGAAGTTCAATGTACGCTCCCGTACCTTAGGTAGTTGGATTTTAGCGAGAAAATTGTTTGTCTTTTCATTCAAACTGAATTCATTGCATACTTCACGACATACACATCTTAAAAGGATTCTGTATTGATATTCAGAGCCTCACGCGGTAAGTCAATGGCGCTCTCGTTTCATATGACATATAAGACAAAGAATCTCAAAACATACATGCCAGGAAGTGCTTTGTATTTGTTCCTTGTGTTAACATGTGTTGAGGGAAGAATATCGGTATGCTTCGGCTGTAATGTCTCTTTATCATGCCATATTGGGCCGAGGATGACCAGCTGCCACATTTCGTACAATCATAGTTGTACCGGGCGCTGAGTGAAAGCGTTGAATTATGTCGGTTGGCTTGGCCCAGTTTGATCGACAGAATTCGTTGCATTTATGTTTGCTGAAAAAGGTGCTCATACCTTTAACACCAAGATCAGTGACGCCATACTCGCGGGTTATAGATAGGATGACAGGGTCAGAGAGGACAGCTTCGTTTTGATGTATACCACCTTGAAGATCACACAGGACGTAATGTCCATCAGAGATGTGGAAGCTAAAATGACTAAGGGCTTGCATAACTTTTCCCCAAGATGTGGAATCGTTTTTCCACCCACTGTTGCTGTTCCACTTCTGATAGCTGTGGATGTAAGGCTCACATAGAGCCATTTGGCCTGCCCAGTTTCCCTCAGAATCGTCGTCAAAGCGCCATACTGCGGGTATATTGATTTTGATGACGTTGTTGATCATATTGAGCCGATTGAACCGCTCGACTATCTCCAAGGCCTTGTCAACAGCCTTGATATCGAGAGTGAAAAAGTCGTCAGAGAATACTGCACCAGTCTTGAACCATTTCGCAACACATCGCTGACCCTGACGAGGCCCTGAAACATAGTGTCCCTTGGCCACCCATCGGAAAGCACCTCGTCCAAAAGGGTGTTTAAGATGTCTATTCTTGAACATAGAAAGTTCGGATTGGTTATACCGACCACTATTGGATTGCACGGCAAAAAGGGTGTAAGAATCGCGATGGTGGACACAGTTTGCACAACGAGAGAGGCCAGGGCCCTTGGAGTATTGGTACTCTGTGTATGATGACTGAGGGAGGTTGCGGCCGCAACCGGCACACACGCGAGCCATTACGTCCTGTAACGACCGAGAATGGCAAGCTAAAAGAGAGTGTTTTTGTGTTGAATCAAGCACTGGAAAATCAGAGAGAGAATATCAGGTTGGTTGGGTATTCCAGGTTTGCTTGAGTGGCGGTTAAGTTCTAGCTGACACTTGAAGCTTTTGAAGCCTGTACAGGTTCGAAGTTCTCATATTCTTCATCTCTAATTCCCAACCGATATCATAAATAACGTCAAAGAATTAGATGATATTTCCTTCCATTAATATATTAATCAAAATCAGACATTTTTTGTCCAGCTAACGGCGCCAAATGTCATGCCCATCAATGGATCATACTGGGTGGTTCCCAATCAAGGCTTTGTATGAGAGTTGGACTCGTTGGAGGTTGTTTTTACTTGCGTAAAATTGAAATGCATTTCATGAACATATTTAGTCCATTGAATGGGATACTTCTTATTTGACGGCGATAGTCGATGAGTTGTTGTACGAGGTTGCCCACTTAGGGCTGTCCTTGTTCTAGCCCTGAGTACAATGCTTAGGGTCAGAGTGATGTCTTACTCTATATCGCCCAGCAATTTGACTACGTGTATCGCTAATCTGATTTCTAATTGAGCAAATCACCCATTATAAACATGCTCTAATTTGCCAATTAATGGTTCGACGTGCGAAGACAGGCTCTGTGAAATCTACCTAGTGCAAATGACCTTTCACGACGGGTTATGGAAGGACGACTCTTAGTAAAGACAGGAACTTCGCGACAAATCTCATGACAACCTATGATTGGATGGAAAAGCATAAATTCTAGGATCAGGGAATTGCCGATCTGGTACTTTGTTTACTTGGGCTACGAATTTCAGGCGGAGAGCGTAGTAATCGTACAAGTGCAAAACGAATAAAAACATGCGTCAATAAAGAAAATGCTTCATTGTCTTCTTAGGAGATATGAGATGAAAAACCAGAAGAGTGTACACAGAGTTTTTATGCCCCGCGATGTATGCTGAGAAACTATATACACAGGCCAGAAAGGTGTAAAATCAAATCTATAATGCAAATCTATGAATCATTCGGCACAATTTTCGACAGTTTTCGCAACCTTGGTCCATATCTCATAAACAAGAATGGCACAGGAAGCAAAATCGCTGCCACACCACCAATAATTGAGGTTGCTGGTCCAATTCCCAATGCTCTAACCATCGGCATTGCAGCCAGTGGAAGACCAGCAGCCATTAAACTGCGCAGAAAAGTGACTGCTGCCGTGGCACTAGCCGCATAAATTCTATACACATCAATCAGGAAATTAAGGCACTGCTGGAAGATGCAATTAAACCCTATTCCAATAAAGACTGCCGCTAGACAAGGCAAGATCCAGTGATGGGGAGGTTCTGCTGTCCAACCGAACCAGAAGAGTCCCACGACCATGAAGACTGCACCGAATGCCATGGGCGGAAGTCGTGCTTCTGGAACAGTAGCCCCGTTCGCTGCGCGCGAGATTCGGTTGTAGCGATACTGGTTCCAGATATTTAGGCCCACGGAGGATACAACACCAATCAAAAGGCCGAGGAATGGTAGAGAGCCAATCACAGGGTTCCACCCACGTTCTTTTTCGAACACAATCGGGAACAACTCGAGGGCCAGATACATGACTCCGTAGACAAACGCGGCATAGAATGCAATACAAGTGACTATAGGCTCAGTGACTAGCATCCTCAGCGGGCGAGCCAGTTGTTTGGTGAGTATTGAATGGAAGTCGAGTTGCATATGCTCATGAGGATGATAGTATCTCGGATCATTTGTCTCCTTTCGAATCTGTTGCGCCTTTCGTTTGAGTAAGACCAAAGGAAACACCTCTGGCAGACAAAAGAAGGTGAGCGTGAAGACGACAAAGCCCCAAATAGCTTGTATGTACGCAGCCCATCGCCAGCCCAAATCATCATTCAACACAAGCGCAGCACCAATGATAGGGCCCAAAGCCGGGCCACCGTTGACTGCTACAGCATACAGACTTACCGCAGTCCCCCGGGTTTCCTTGCTCCACATATCACCCAGAGCAGCAGTCACATTACTGATTGGTGCAGAGCCAAAGAATCCCGCAAAGAAACGCGTGACAAATACCGAAGCTGCATTCTTGCTACGTCCAGTCGCAATACAGAAAATAGCCTGGAGGAAGACGGCGGGCAAGATGCTGATTCTGCGACCCCAAATCTCGGAAATAGGAGCCCAAACGATGGGACCGAGCACAAAGCCAACACTATCACAAGATTAGCAAATAGTGGCACATTTTTTTCTATTTCCAACAAAACTTACACGTAAAGAGAGAGACTCAGAACGGAAACCTCATTGCTGACCCCAATATATGCCGCAATAGTGTCATCGGCTGGCGTGAGAATGCTAGAGCCGAGACTACCGACTAATGCCAACAGCCCGAGTTGGAAAGTAACCCACCATCTGTATCGATTGGACCAATTTTGGGGGTTTAGAGGGTCATCCGGTGCCCATTTGACGATATATTCTGTATCAAGAGGGAGAGGAGGACTATTTCCTTTTTCTATGTCTTTTTGCCGAATATTCAATATTGACCTCCAAGATTTTTTGTTCATGATTTGTTCTCGCGGTAGCGTGCCGATTACCCGGTCTATATTCTTTCTCTCAATGACGTGCGAGGCCTAGGTTCATCTTTTGGAAGTCTGTAACTCTGTAAACCTTCAATCAACAGCGAGGGTAGACCTGGCGATGCTGTATTCTCTTTCTTGGTCTTTGTATTAAAAGGTCGGTGAGAAACAGGTCTGTCTTGCTGAGAATTGAAAAAAAGTGCGGAGTCATGGTACCCACTTGGTCTACTCGGGGACTTTAGATTCTAGTGTGGCTAGATATTTGGATGCCGGTAAGCTGTCCGATACTAAGAAGAACATATTCTTCTCTCATGTTATCAGGTAATTGTGATAATCGACTTTGGGGTGGTTTGCTGCGCTATCGATATGTTCAGTATTGTAGAATAGATTGCCTAAATAGCCTGGTAGCTTGATAGAACCTTTGGAAGCTCAAGCCTCTTAGTTTATGCTTATCTGAGGCCCGAACCGGCCGGAGCCGACCACGAAAGATTACAGCTCAGGACTCCGTTTGACTTATGCTGGAAAAATACCGGGTAGGCACCATCACGGAACAGCTCCGAGATCGCTTCTGTTTGACCCGTTAATTATCCATCTAGCACTCCGTTCACTCAGCAATAGTATCCTTGCAACTGCATTAAATTGATAGGTTGATCTTATTGTATGAACCGCCATGTCAGGCTTATGAACCCGCCGAGCATCAATAGCAGAATCTGCTGAGAAACAAAGCATTAGATTACTGTATAAATGCTCTTTGTCAGCTCAAATAGTTTATTATACAATTATCTATTGCTGCTTAGGAAAGAATCCTTATCTGCAGGTTATTTCTGGGGTTTTTGTTGGAAAATATGCGTCTCTCGGGGCAGAAATATCTTCGAAGTTAAATCATACACTCGAAGGTATCCTGACTCCTTTGGAGCTATATGGTCCTGAATTTTCAAGGCGAACATACTTGTAGAGTCTCGATTTTTGACACCGGCTGGTAAGTCTTTTAGCTCGAAATGCTCTTTCACTTCTGGCTATTAGGGTAAGTCGCGTCCAACATTCTAATTATATACTTCTTCTATGTTATTACATGTTCGACTTGATGGTGTTTTTAGTTCCCGGATTTAGGGCATGTAGAACAATTTTGTGGAAAGATACTCAAATTGCGACAACTCGGGGTCTAATCACGAATACTCGGCAACGGGATAAGCCCTTGATGCGTGTCTGAGGATATAGCTCTTGTCCATTCTCTTATTTCAGTATGGATTTGATTTCTATTGACGCTGGTAGCCCTGTTGTATCTTTCTATAGCTAGCAGCGGCGACCACGAAATGGGTAAAGCCAGACCGAGAGATACAGAGTTCCTAAGATTAGTTTGATATTAATAGGATACTCCTCATTTGTGAGTGCTAGTAAATGATAAGCCCTTATACAAAATATTGATAGAATGCTATGAATTTAAAACTCTCGATCTGTAGATGCTGACTAGGATTTCCTAGTATTAGTGGCTCCTAGTTGGAGAGTGGTAGTCATATGACCTTTAGAAGCATTGGTATAGGAACTATACATACTAAATGTTAAATAATTATACGAAGTATAAACTTTACAGTTTACGGATGGATCTCAGATTAGCTACTACGTAACTACTAATTAAGGTACCTTATTTATTAAGCCACTGATTAGCCCCGACAACTAATTGTTGTTCTGGGGCTTGGGGCCTCCCGTCCTTGAATTTGGCACTTTAAACTCTAGCAATTGACCATTGAATTTGAGACGCTAAATGTAAACCCGTTCAGTATTTTAGCTCACATTACACGGTTACATCTCACCCTGTTTCATTCTGATATAAACTCAAAAGGACCCAATCGATGCTCTGAGGCTGTCTTGGGTAAACAGATCCTCAGTAGCAGACTAGTTGCGGGGTGTTCGGTGGCCACTCACTGCAAAACAAGAATCCTTCGCAAATTTGAGAAGCATAACATTTGGCTTCCACTTATTCTTAGATAATATTGAGAATTGACTTATTTATATCTTTTGATCATCACACTTTGTACTATCGCAAACTGAATGCCAGGGCCTTCATGGTGTACGAATAAGCAGTCTGTACACCTGTATGTGCATGAACAGGTTGCTCAACATTCAGGCAAGATGAGTATTAATTAAGAAAAGGGCCAAAACACATGTTTAGAACTGTTTTTTTGTTGATGAGTTGTTTAAATTCTATATTATGAATAGGTCCGGGCAGCGTAGCATCTTGATGACTGGACTCGGACCCTTTTGGGAAAGGCTCGGTTAGGGCTAACCAAGCCACCGAAGTGCCTAAGAAAGAGCCCCCTTCCCAGATCCACAGCGCTGATCCTTACTGTAGCCTGTAGCCTCTTAACTGTTCGCAGTGATCGTGTTGCCAAACCTTCCTAACTTTATCCACAATATAAATCAATTCTATGTAAGCGTGACAGATTATGCTTCCAGATTGACTCTCTGGTCGAGCTTATGATCACCCGACAACTTTGATTCCCGTTGACACCGCGTACGTATATAGAGTTAGAGATCGTTTGAACAGTTGATTAAGATAGATGAAAACGCCCCATTCGGCACATCAAACACGCTTAAACTTATTTACCGTTGGTGGTTGCAATCAAAAAACGCCACAAAACGAGCTGCTGGGCCGGAAGATCCGACCTACCAGCGAGACTCTCAGGTGTTTCAGGTACCTAATGCATAGGCTACGTAGCAGTGACAATTTAGGTGACCTGGAATATACAAGACAAGTATCAAGTGATGAATGCAAACCCCACCAATTGTGTGTACTGAATACGTTGATCGCGCWTTSGAGCCACTACATGTCATTTGAAGTTGAGGTCGAATTGCACTAGTGTTTGTGAACAGTAACTGCCGGTCAAACACACTAATACACAATATTACTCCTCTGCGACCTGTGCTAGTCCAATCCGGAAGCTGTTCAAAGAAAAGAGGCGTCTAAATATGCATTCCCTTGACGCCCAATCTTAGAGCATCTCATACCCACTTTTCAGATGTCACGCGCCTTCAAGGGATTTACAGTAGATCGGTAATGCCGTACTTAATTTGTGGCTTTGCACGTGGGTGTGGATTGAGTTGTCCATCGGCACTGTAAGGGTTGAAGTAACCTTGAGCAACAATTAGGTTAAGCGCACAATTTACGAAGCAATAGATGTGGAGTATGCAGATACGTACTTTACTTAAGCTCCTTTTGAGTCCTGTTTCGAGTCATTAGCTATTAGGCAACTAGCTACCTAGCCTACCCTGTATTACTCCATGGTATTCTCTTGGGGTCAGAATCAGCGTAACATCAGACAGCTGCATAGCCTATGATTCTTCGCAAATTCACTGGCTCCATCATAGAGAAATACAACCCTGATAATGATTACATGAGGTGGTTTCATAGGGCTTAAATATATAAATAAGGTCATTTCCTTTTCAAGATTTCGTTCATTTTACTAAGTACAGTGTGTTTACTGACAACAGTAACAAGTCTCAAGATCCACCACTATAATATTAGACAACAACTTTCACAGAGCAGGTTATATACACCATGAGTCGTAACATTCTTCCGTACGCCTCTTTTCTCGCCCTCGTAGGCGGGGCTATCGCGGAACCGTTTCTGGTACTCAATAGCGACTTTCCGGACCCAAGTCTCATAGAAACATCGAGCGGATACTATGCATTTGGTACCACCGGCAATGGCGTTAATGCACAGGTTGCTTCCTCACCAGACTTCAATACATGGACTCTACTTTCCGGAACAGATGCCCTCCCTGGGCCATTCCCATCATGGGTTGCCTCTTCTCCTCAAATATGGGCGCCTGATGTTCTAGTTAAGGTATGATCACATAAAGAATCACATCCAAATCTAGGTCTACCAGATATTCACAACAATACGATAGGCCGATGGCACCTATGTCATGTACTTTTCCGCAGCTGCCGCGAGCGACTCGAGCAAGCACTGCGTTGGTGCCGCAACCGCAACCTCACCAGAGGGACCTTACACCCCAGTCGACAGCGCTGTTGCCTGCCCATTAGACCAGGGAGGAGCCATTGATGCCGATGGATTCATTGACACCGACGGCACTATATATGTCGTATACAAGATCGATGGAAACAGTCTAGACGGTGATGGCACCACCCATTCTACTCCCATTATGCTGCAGCAGATGGAGGCAGACGGAACAACCCCAACCGGCAGCCCGATCCAGCTCATTGACCGATCTGATCTCGATGGACCTCTGATTGAGGCTCCTAGTTTGGTTCTCTCCAATGGGATCTACTACCTCAGCTTCTCTTCCAACTACTACAACACTAATTACTACGACACCTCATACGCCTATGCCTCGTCGATCACTGGTCCTTGGACCAAACAATCTGCGCCTTATGCGCCTTTGTTGGTTACTGGAACTGAGACGAGCAACGATGGCGCTTTAAGCGCTCCCGGTGGCGCTGATTTCTCTGTCGATGGCACCAAAATTTTGTTCCACGCAAACCTCAATGGACAAGATATTTCGGGCGGACGTGCTTTATTTGCTTCTTCGATTACCACCGCCAGCGATGTCGTCACATTGCAGTAAAAGTCGAAGTCACTGTTGACAATTCGTATCTCTGTTGTTTATAGCGAGGTACATATGGAGGAATTTTGTATATATCAATATCAATGTTGACGTCATCTATGCAAATTTTCATTATTACCTTAATAGGTAATTTTTGGTGAATTAGGGCTACGTGGCCAAAGACCTAAAACCATTCATTCCCTTGACTAAATGAGATCAAGAGCGTGGGACTAGCTCTGGATGTAATTGCTGATCAATTTTTGCACCAGATAATCATATCACTTTCTACTTCATCAATGAGGTTTCCCGCGGCAGTAAGCGGTTATTTCAAACTCGACTGAAAATGTGACTTGGTCGCTTGAATGAAACGAATGTTGCATTGCGATGTTCAATAGTAACAACATCATTGCCGTGCATATATTATATCTCAAGTTATATTCGCTAATTAAAAGATCACTTACGAAACGTGTCAAAAAAGGCATACGTACCACGTAGAGACATTGCCCTGACCCACCATTTCCTCGCTGAGAGTGGAGATATCATAGAAAGGGCAAGAAAACGAATGTAGGCTGCATAATGTGAACAAACTGAGACGAGGATGAACGATAGACTATACAGCGCGTAAGAAGCTGGTTGGCTCCCAGCCCACGCTCGATTTTGATACCAACCGGTGGGGAGATGGTAGTACATACCTAGGCATACGAAGTCGAGTACCCTACCTAATAACGGCTGGAGKGTGATCAATTATCCAAGGTTAGAGTTTCTACACCGTAGGTTCTTCGGTTTATCTTCTTAGCTCGTCCATGTCCTATTTCATTACTCTCTCGTCCTCAGCTGTCATCCGGCATCTCGCTTACAATCCAGCAACCTGATCCTGCAGCTATACACACAGTGGATGTATTTTTTTTTTTTTTTTTTTTTTTTTTTGAATTTTCACCCGCCAAATTTCAAATGTACATCCAGATCGATGGCTAGCGTAACGGCGGTGTTCGCGTATCGGCTGTTCTCGACAAATGGGATTTCTTCTCCGATAACCATTTACGGCCTGTTTCACCGAAAGATGAGGCGACCTCATGTTCAGCCTCATGAAAATGGTTGATAAGTAGCGTAAGCGGAATATCTTTGGTGACGTGTCATGGGGGAGAAATGCTAGCGAATTATGTGCCAGCCAGATCGACGGTCTTGTTCTATTCCATCTTTACGAATTTTGTAGTTGCTGTTCACTTGCTTGGCCTAGTTTCAAACAATTAATAGTTGATGCCTGCATAATTACTGCTTGACTGGCTCTCCTGCGCGGACTGGTATTCTCAAGGGATGATATTGAGAGCTCAAAGGCCATTCTACTTGCATGTCTTCAAGAGCCACCTATACTAAAACATTGTAAATAGTAATATAAAAGCAAATTCAAGAGATATTTTCACAAGATGTTTTCAGTCCCAAAGGCGACAACGTTCGTTTTCGTGATATACTATTGAACACAAAGGGTCATTATTAAGTAAAAATGTCATCATGGCATACGCCACACTCACCTCTTCAAAATTGGAATCTCCCAAATATCAAAAGTATCGATAGTTCTACTTGCGGTTTTCACTTGCCTTCCAGGGCTCTTCTGAACTTTGTTGCTCCAAATACATGTCTAGTATGCTACTAGTGCCAGCCTGATTGTGGTTTTGCGGGATCTCATCCATCATCTGAGGAATGTCTTCTTCCTGGGCGGGTACTTCATTGATATCGAGAACAAGCATTCCGTCTTCATGGATCTCATGATCAGGCTTCATTGAAGCCCCCATATATGAAAAGTCGATTGTTTGGCAATCGATCAACTGAGCTTGGCCCTCTCCATCAAGCTCGTTATCAAGCTTATCACGCCTATCACAAATCCAGCGTTAGCATTCCGGTCGTGGACATTCAGTAAGATAAAGCCCTGCTGATGATCTAATACTCGGGAGAAGTACAAATGAAACAACGATCCATTCAAAAGAAAGACTTACTGGCCCCATCTGTAATAATCACGGTCACTCTTGTCCGTTCCCGACATCATGAGAGATAGTATGTAGTAAACCCTCTGGGCAATATAAGTGGAACACGAATCTTCGCCCTTTTGGGAGTTCTACGTTTGTAAATCCCAAGAGAGCTCCCGAAAGGAGAAGGTTATCCACAACACTTTGTAACGCCGACAGTGAATGACAAAAACCGCTATCAGATCTTGAGGAGAAGTGAATGTAAAGGAAAGAGCTACTTTGATTTCACCTGTATTCGTCCCCGTCAATTTTTACTTCCGCCCGCGCTCAAGTTCAAATTCCTATTTGAGAACACATGGTTACTGAAAGAGGCAGCCCGGGCCGGGGGGCTGCCTTGGGCGACCCGACTCAAGGTGAATCAATACCTGCAGCGAAGCTAACTGGTGGGTACTGAGACAAACCTTGGGCGTTGATCAGGTATGAATCGAAACGAGTACTTTGACGACCGTAAATTATAGATGGGATCATTGTTATTCTTTGGTTATATGGCATCAGAGAACTGGGTGCGTTCGTGGTGTTATCCCGGCCGAGGAATTTCTTCTTGTAGGACCAAGAAATTGATGTTTCAAAAAACGTACAAGGTCCTAATAGGTCAATTTTTCTACTAGATAAACCAGCACATATTACGCACGGAGGTATAATCAAGACCAAGCAGCAGGTAGTCAATTGGATTCGCGAATATCCAGCTGCAGGGCTGAAACAACCTAGCTTCAACTTTAGACCTCCCACCTATCTCGACGAGGCGTCGGTTTTTAGAATCACAGAATGTAAGATCTCCAGCCTGGAATGACAGATGATGTTGGACCGGAACTACCCAAAAAGCAATGTTCACCTGCTCCAAGCATTATTCTTCAAACGGCAGGTTTTCAGTGTGCATTTTAATGTTCTCAAGGTGAATCGTGCGATCGTCAAGTTAAATATGTCAGCTCCTGGAATTAGTCAAGGGCCCCGCTAAAGGGTCAGGAACCAGTTGCATTACAACAGATGATGTTGAGTATATTCCGCCTCTTGCATAGGCGGGCTCATCAGATGTCGTACAGTCTTCTAATCTTTATGTTATGCAACGTCTAGATCGTATTATTACAATCTTGTCATTAGCTGCGATCGCGTATCGTAAAGTCTACCGCAGATAATGGCTTGCAATAGGTGGTGCTAACATTGATAGCCTTATGCATAAGCAAATCCGACGGGAAGCTCATCATCTTCTCGAAGGACTTGCGGCAAGCGCTGCCCAGATGATACAAAAGACACGCATCTTATGGGTAAAGAACGACATAAAGAAATTACAACAGCCACTTCTCTTCCTCTTGGCTCAAAATGTTTTATATGGAGTGGGCCTCGAAGTTGACTTGAGGTAGCCGGATATCCTTGATCATCGAACTGTCAATTCGGTCAGTTGGTGGGTTCTTCTAGCACTCTATATTCTATACATGATTCGACAATACTGTGAGTACCTAGTTTTTTAGGGATGATTGATAAAACGGAAGGACTCCAGATAGTCGACTTATTCAATATTGTATAGTGCTTTGAATCTTCAAATACGGCCAAATGTACGGTTTGCGACGACTGCCTCAGCAGTTAAGCCGTTTAATCTTAGTCAGGCGTCGTTTATGTCAGTTCAATCGCTCCCCTGATCATGAAAAGTCAGCTTACTAATTAGTACCGAATCATTACCAAGATCTGCTTTCTTTTCCGTGTTAATTCCAAGATGCGCGACAGCTCAAATCGTTTGCAAAAGTCTTGTGTCGATAGTGCAGCAACTCATTCAACTGGTTTCGCATGGCGCGGCAACTAAAGAATCGTCTACACTTGTGACCTACGGTTTTCATAAATGCCATGTTCAATTGGTGACAAGTATTAAGTGATTTGCCACAGATTTGATAGGCCAAAACTCGGCGATGTGATCTGTCGGGACAACGCACGCCATTCATAGTCTGCATCGGAACGGATCAGTGCATGTGCATTGCGACTCCTCCATACTATATAGAGTGGAATTCTCCTCAATCCCTGCATATGACAGACTCCTAGAGCGAACCTTAGTTCAATAACAAAGTTTTATTATAGCTATCAGACTTATCTACAGGCTACTCTGAATTCTATACGTAGATTCTGCCTATCAGTTTAATTAGTCGCCGGCTACTATAATATTGATGTCTTCACTCAAAGAGCGGTGTACCCTTGTAACTGACGATCGACCACTGACGATGATGGCATAGATACAAGGCTGAACTTCAACCAGTGTTCAAGAAATCTGATTTCAAATCGGACTGAAGTTATAGTGACTCCAAATAGCGGTCTACGCAGGCTGACAACAATTTCATAGATTCTTGTTCCATGTAGAGGCAGAAGAATACAATTGTTCTGATATATATCCAAGACACTGAATCGCATGCATAATATGGATCATTAACGGTTCAAGTTGCACACCTTGCCTAGAATCATGCAAGTCATTGAACTTGAATTGAGGTTCGGAGCGTGCCAATCTCTTCGAGCAAAGTCTGAATCCCGTAAAGCGTGGTTTGCCACCAGACCCACGGACAAGTCGTGGCTGATCGTTATTGAAAGGAAGCATGCAAACGCATCTAGACTAAATTCGAATTTGATGAGCCCTTGCATTGCCGTATGACTTGCGTTGAACGTGGCAGAAGGCCATACATCCATGAACACTGAAGAGTTTCTCATCATTTAGGAAGAGGTTCTCTACGGGAATCGGCACAGGTATTCAGAGTGAAAGGAAATGAAATAAAACAACTAAAAGGCTATGTCGAATGCGTTATTCACAAACAGTCTTGACCACTCAGGTAACAATATCAAAAGTCGGTAAAGAATGTATGACCCTTAATGCTAACCAGCACATCCTATCCAATAGATTTGCAACATTATCATCATCATCAACCCAAACTAGACCTCGAAATTAGTATCACTCGAGTCGACCTTCCAATGGGGATAACCATATACTTACCCATTCTTGACCACTGGCATAGGCCTAGGGCTATTAGCGTACAGCCATCTTGTTCAGGTCTATTTGCGTTGGACATGCAACGAGTTCCATGGCTCGTCTCGAACGCTTTGCTTCAGATAGCGCTCTGATGGAACCTGACCACCAATCTGAGTCTGGTCCGGTGGTGATGCTTCAGGCTCGTCAGGCTGGAAATCATTCTTCTGAGCGGTGTGATGGTTTTCAGAGCCGCCAGTATCATCGATACTCTGATAGTCGGGACCAGCCCAACTTCCCACATGTTGCAGGTCGGAATGGGAAGCTTGACGTCTTTCCTTAAAGCAACTTGCTCCGGATCTATAATATGTTCAGCACAACCCAGCCGGTTGATAAACGTATTAAGTCTGAAAACAGTGGATACATGAAATCGAAGCAAGCATCGGTCAAGTTATGTTACTGGACCAAACTGTACCGAAAGAATTACATGTAATTTTTTCGGCTCAATTTGGCCTAGCAAATTTCAGCGCAGAGGGCTAGCATGAAGGAAACTTGGTTGACTGACAGGCCCCATGTGTAACATTTCGTCTGAGTATCACCCATCTTCGAATAGGTCCTTGTTTCGTAAGTTCTAGTAGATGTTTCAATCCTCGGCGCGGGGAGAAGTAGGATGACTTCTCCTGTTACGAAGTAGGAACAGCTATGAATAAACAACTGAGAAGTATGTCTTGCAGGCTCTATCCTGAGAACGAAAGGAAATCTTGGATAATGAAAGACGTGCCCATGAACGGAAGATGCAGGGAGGAATGTGCTCCATTTTATAGTTCTGAAAGTACGCAAGAATAAATGGTACATCTCGCGATCTCACATCATTGGTGGTTGGTCTGGTGAGAAGGAAAGTGCTCGACACCACGATCGAGATAGGTGCTCGAACAGGTTTCCAATCTCCTTCTGTCACCGTTTTGCGAGATCATACATGTACACGTTACACATTTTCACCCATTATGGCTTAGAGGTTGCGTTTTAGTACCCAGTGTGGTTGCCTTTTGGTTCGCATCCATATTTCTGAAGCTCTAGAGTTAAAAGTGTCCACGGTAACCCTCAGATCGGTTGCCTTGTGGTTCGTATTCATATTTCTAGAGTTGTAGAGTAGAAAGTGTCTATAGTAATCCTCCAGATTAATTGCCTTGTGGTTCGCATCTATATTTCTATGGATCTAGAAAAGTGTCGACAGCATCCCTCTAAATTAGTTGCCTTGTGCTTATATCTATATTTTAAGAGCTTTAGAGTTAAAAATGTCCATAGTAACCCTTAGATTAGCTGCCTTATTGGTTTTATCTTTATTTCTGGAGTTGTAGAGTAAAAAGTGTCTGTAGTAATCCTTAAGATCGGTTGCCTTGTGGTTCACATCCATATTTCTGAAGCTCTAGAGTTAAAAGTGTCCACGGTAACCCTTAGATTAGTTGCCTTGTGGTTCGCATCCATATTTCTGGAGTTGTAGAGTAAAAATGGTCTATAGTAACCCTCTAAATTAGTTGCCTTGTGGTTCGCATCTATATTTCTAGGGATCTAGAGTTAAAAGTGTCCATAGTAATCCTCTAGAACGGTTGCCTTGTGGTTTGCTTCCATATTTCTAGAGCTGTAAAACAGAAAGCGACCAGTGTAATCCTCCAAACACCCAATCAGTCTTGTCGACTCCTGCCAAAGTGCTTAGATTTTCTGACTGCTCGTGGACCCATACCTCCTTCATCTACGCAAGCCCTGCCAGGTGGGGTTTCCCTTTTTCAGCTACCGCTTTTGTGAGGCTTCGCTCGTAGGGAGGGTTCGTAGCACTCTAGCACTAAGTACTAAGTCACATTAGGTACCATGCGGCGTAATTTACACTAGGTATACGGACAAAATACCATGAAAGTCTGTGGCGTAAATTATACTTGCCTAGATCTGAAGGTAGGTGGTAAATCGGATATTTTGACATTTCCTGATTAGTGACAAGTTCCTGTTGTGAAAACGGTTTATTCCACTCGGATTCCGATACCAGACTGCCTGGCCATCCAAGATTGCCTTGCTATCCAATTCAATCTAAGTGAGGGATAATTAGCAGACATGAAGCTGACAACCACACGCTATCTTCACGGGGAGATATGTGCCTATCACGTTTCGGAGAGCGGGTACGGGCCTGTACAGCCGGCGGCAACCTTTAGGGTCGAGTGCTCTAGCAAAAGACTAGGCCATGCGGTGGCACCAAACCTAGACCGGGCTATTTACACTACCTCTCACAGGGTAATGTGCATCAGACAGAACGGCGACTTGCTATGGCACTATGACATAGAACCTCGCTCCATCCAGCACTGCTCGGGGGTTCCCAAATGCGTGTTCTCCCTGGATGGAGCCTGGGTATGGGTGTATCGCCCCGACGCGATGGCCAAGCGTGGCCCTGATACATTGGTCGTGCTACGCGCCGACACAGGTCAGGAGGTCGCTAGGACAGAGCTTGATAGCATTGGGGAGGGAGCCAAGCTCGCCCTACATCCCGACGGGCGGCATATCCTGTTAGATGTAGGCGAGGGTCAGGACGGTGTGAAACTATACCGAGCAGCATTTACTGGTAGTGACATTGACTTACACTCTTATGGCTGGGACGATCGTTGTTTAGTCGATGTCGCGCCCGATGGCCAGTGGTTCATGACGGTTGACCACGGCCAGTATGACATCGCCTTTCATGCCTTTCTTAGTGGTGAGGTAGTACTGCAGGTACCAGTCGAAACATTTGGCCACGAGTACTTTGGGGAGGATGAAGCAGGTATGGCCTGGAACGGCGGATTCCTTAATGCAAATATCGCGGTCGTCACGATCGCGGGCGAGAAGGACGATAAGGAGTGGCACCGCCACTATAGCATCGATCTGCGGACAGGTGCCCCGCGCGGTCACTTCGAGGCGTACTCGCGTGATAACTATGACTTCGAACCCTTAGGGGACGGTACCTGGATTGTCTCAGGTCCCGACGGCGGCGCCATCCGTCGCCGGTTGTCCACGACAAACCAAGGCGTTTAGTTGTACAACTGGTACCAGCCCGGTAAAAATGAATGCATAATATACGCATTTGTGCTCATGGACCACTTAGCGAGCTGCATCAAACCCGATTGGCGAATGTGTGCAAGTGCCGCTTATATTGTAGGTGACCATCAAGTATATGGTGATCAAGCTGATTTCGAGAACGAGTGTAGAACTGGTACAGACTCGACCTCAGAGTCGTAACGGGACTAGGCCACATGTACTCCTGCAGATGTCACGAGAGCGTGCTAGAAATCATAGGCGTTAAATATCAATGACTTATCTGGCGGGAAACAATGTGCTCCTAAGACGCTCAGCTATACATTGCGCTCACCTCTTCAATATAGCCTCATTCGTTTAATTTCATCATATTACAGGCCACACGCTCATTTGACTAACCCGAAACATCAAAAAGTGTCCCAGCTGGGAGACTTTTTTACAGAACCGGCTAGTACATCATGCATACCCTTGCCTGATCATCTATATCCACCAACAATCACGCACTCCTAGGAAATCGAAGTATCCTTCCAGCAGTCCATTACTATAGTGAGACCTAGCCTTATTGGTAATTTGAAGAACAGCACTTGCTGCTTGCAACAACAACACCTACCTGACCAACCAACCGTAATATTCTTTATTCATTACACTACCACATCTCCAGTCAAGGCTTCACTTCTTTCCACTACTTCCATTACTGAAAAGATTTGAGCTGGTATAGCCATTTGCGCCGTTGAAATCACTACTATTCATGGAGCTTGGATCAATATCTTTGTAAAATCGTGCAGATCATGAGAGGTGCGGTACTAACGAGTTGGGGTGGTCGTGAGAACCGGATTCGGTTCTAACACTGACTGCTTTGCTATCAGAGCTAGACTGGCTCTAATATATTTGAGCGAGACAAACCCTTATTTTAGTTCCAGTATGAGCCTTAAGGGGAATGAATATCAGCTACTAACCTGTTGGCCCGTTACAGAGCTCATGTGCGAGCTGTTCTCAGACATGTTTGATAAACTTTTACTTCTTTGAGGGAAGGAGTTATTAAGAGGAGACATGAATAGTTAGGAGCATTTATACCGGTCAAATTAGCAACTTTTGGTCTGATAAGTTCCGTCCAACGATGTCAATTGTTTAGAGCCATTCGTTATATTCTACACTGTGGCATTGGGCGCATTTGTGAAGGTATTGAGTTGTATCCCGTGTCATGTACGCATCTCGAGGGGTATTTCAATTGCTTTCTCGTTACAAGGGTTTGCTAAACATGTTGTAGTAAAAGACGGCCGGAAGAATAGTGCATAATCCCGTCATTTGCTCCATACAATTTTGAAATACGACAGTCATGACCCGAGTAATGATCAGGCTGTATAGACTCGAATAGTGTATGCTAATCACGATGATGTGATACATGATCCCCAGGCCTTCATTGGACCAATCGAGGCCAAAACCCGTACTATCTCACAATGTGGAACGGGTAACAGCTTTCTGGGAAGTACCTTCTGGAAATTTCCTTTTCTGGCATGTACAAATAAATAGCTTCAACTTTATGTTTTCTCTTCAAAGTATTTATACTTATCTGCCCACCTTCCCCGTCATCCTCTTCTTCCTCTCCTTTCCATCTCTCTATCTATCATCTCGCTCATCCTCTGCATCCCCATTTCATCAAACAAAAGACCTTCTAAGAATCATCAACATGCCTGAAGATTACTCCTACAAGAGCTCCGGCACCAACAGCCAGGTAAACAATCACACCTACCCCGCATGGAGCTCACGATAAGCTTCACAGAGGTTACTGACACGCAACCGTTTCATCAAMAGGGCAACCACTATTGCTCCCGCGACTATGGTAGCGAGGCAGCAAACCCCAACTCTTACCACTATTCCAACTCGTACGTATATACAATAGCCCCTATCTATGTAAATCCCAGATGTGCCGCAGTGGTGAAGCAGAGAAGACTGACTTCCGCGACGTCACAGGGACGGCTCGTACTATTACAGCAACCCCAACGGCAGCACCTATTACAACAGCGGCAGTGGCTATTCCAGCTACACTCCTCCCAGTGGTGGGAATGGTGGCAGCAGCGGTGGAAAGAAGTAGATTTCCCTAAGGTTCACGAATGAAGTTTCTAGGGGGAAATGATTGGTCAAGGCAGACTATGGACTGTATCGATTACACTGTTTAGATTGGTGGTGGTGTCTTAGCCTTTAGTGGAGCTCAATTGAAATTCACAAGATCTCTTACCTATCTGGTATCAAAATCGGGAATCTACCTAGTATTAAAATCATAGTTAAGCTTCAAGGTAGGATAGCTCCGCCTTGATGTTGACCACATCTTTAGACACTATTCGGCACGTTTTACAGCACTAATCTGGAATTTCTTGCAAACGACTGTATGGACTTATTTCGGACTTTTCTGACACATAGGTTGAAGAATTGCGCTCCGCTATTGTATGTCGTTTCACACACAAAAAGTATGAGGGTATCAGGGATCTCATATAGAAATGATAGAACATACAGACCAATGAGACTGACTTCCTTCCTATAGCCTGACTGTACGAGTTTGGGCTGGTCTCGAAATCCATCAATCAATAGTGAATGCAACTTAAGGCTACATGTGAAAAAAGGGGCAATGAAGGCCACCTGCACGCTGAGACTACATATACTAATGACTGAGAATGAGGTATAGGCAAATGTTACTGGTCTTATATACCAAATTTATAGAGAAGATGTATTTAGCCAAAGCCGAGTTTCATACATACATACACCCGCATCAAATCTATTCATCCCGTATAGACCAAGGTAAACCAACACCGTGTAGTTCTATCTTACAAAAACGGACAGTCGCCCAGTCAACGATGTAATCTCCCAAATGCGCCAGCAATAATGCGAATTTCTAATATAAGTAGGGGAGTGGACACCAAGTTGAACAACCGGAGTCCTACCCCTGCCGACAAGGGAATAGAAAATAAAAATTAATATAATACAGGCCGAAGAAGCATTAAAGATGAGGTCAAGATCAAAACCATAGACCTTTAAGAAGTGGTGCCGAAGAGACGTAGAATGACCTCGTACCTGAAACACATTAGCTGCTGGGTCGATAGAGCAGAGAAAAAAAACAAACTTACATTCCGAACATGATGGCTGCCGACGGTACCACACGCAACAAATGCGGCGTCAGCCCGCCATACAGACCAGCCAATCCTTCCTCTTTGGCAACGACCTTGAAGCACTGAACCAGACCAGTATATTTGACCTGCATCTTACCACCTGCAACCGGCACAACAGGTGCTTGTCGCAACCGCGTACGCACGACTTCATGGGGATATGTAGCCACTGCCGCAAACAACTTCGCTGCTCCAGCAGCCAAAAGACGACCACCCCAAAGCTCAACGTCGTCCCATGTGGACGGCACATGGTTCGGATCAGCGGCCTTTGCGGCCTCGCGTCGAGCCAAATACATCTTCATCTGCTCATAGAGAACCCATTGCGTTGCACTTTCGGTGACACCGAGATACGACGCTGACAATCCCTTATACAAGCCACGTATTCCCTCATGTCTGACCGTCTGCTTGATGCAGTCCCAGCTGTTCTTATATTGTCGGCCACCCTTGCCGCTTTCGGCGTTCGATTTATCGAGTTGTAGTCGGGTCTTGATGAGCCAGATCGGGTTTGTTGCTGTACCAGTAGCTATGCCAGCAATAGCGGCAGCGCCGAGGTGGATATTCCATGGTGTTGTCATCGAGTCATGATAACCAAAGTAATTGCTGAGGATGCGCTTGCCGTTTCCATAGACGTAGAAATTGATAGCGCGTGCTGGTACGACACCGATAAGATTTGGCCCAAGTCCCTTGAACAAAGCGCGAGGGCCTTCATGCAAGTATATAGAGTGGAGAATTTGAAATGTTTCTTTGAAATGTACAAGTGCGCTGCGTGGGAGAGCGATGAATAGCGGAGCTGGGCGAACGGGATGTGAAGCGCGCAAAGCTTGAAGTTGAGTTTGGTAAAAATCGGATTGTAATCTGGTCTTAAGGACGTCAAGGGGACTCGTCAGTGTGGCAGCGGTCATTCCACCGATTCTGCACAGAACTGTTAGCAAAGTTTTGAGGTTGTAAGTACAGGGTAGGCTGCCACTTACCCTCCAGCAACGAAATGAGCCAAAGGTTTCGCTTTTGGTGCGTTGTCCTTCTGTGGTGTGATGGCTCCCATCTCTCTGGATTCTGTTGCCCCTTCTTCTAGATGAACCTTATTAGGCAGATGCGCCCGCGCAGAGCTGCCATGGGTCGTAGTTAACGAGGTCATACCCAACGGACAGACCTGTTGCAGGTACGGTGGGTGTTGCGATTAAGGACTTGGGTCCGTCGGGCGATAGTATCAGATATTGATCATTGAATTAACTTAAAAGCTTGCTTGAAAAGAATGAAAAGCAAAAAGAACAGAAGAGTAAACCGGCAAGATGCTGGGATCAAATTCCCGAGAACTTTTTTGACGGGGAGATCGGCCCCGGAATCAGATCGGCCAATGAGGTCGAGGATCGCCTCCTGAATGGTTTTCTCGAACAGAGAACGCATTGATGCCCGGGTCTGATGAGATTTGCGTATTACAATTTACGATATGCTACACTTCTATGCAATTGCTTGAGATGCATAAGCCTCTGTCTTGCTTCGAGTCGAATCCCATCTTAAATATTCCAGTGAAGGCTCTGGCATCCGCTTATGAGCAAGCCAAGGAAAAGACTGAATGCGTTTAACCCGTAGGAAACTCTATAGAGCCAGCATTCTCATCGTGAAAATCATCCCCATGGCAGGCAAAGATGAATTGGAAATTTTGGTATTATTCTTTTTTCTCATTGAGGAATTCTATGCACAGGCTATCGTGCAACAAGGTTTCCCGAACCATTTTGCTCATCATGCAATTCCACCATTCTGGCGGGACAAAACATCAAAGAAAAAGAACATAACACCCCGTTATTTTCCCCCAGAATCCAACACATAAATCCGCATGCATAAAATTTAAATGTGGGTGTCGTAAGGGATAGGAGTGATCGTCTCGGGGAAGTTCTCGGCGGACTCGACGACGTGAGCGTCACGGGGCTGAACGGCTTGTCTCTTCAAGTGCAAGTGAACACCCTGCTCCTTGGCCTGGCGCTTCTTGATGGCGTTCTCCTTGACACGGTTGATGAACTCCTCGCGGGAGCGGGAGTGGACGACGTGCTCGACACGGACATTGAGGCGCTTCTCGAGGTAGCGGTTGCCGACACGCTTGTAGATGATGACTCCGACGGCGGACTTGGTCACGTTGTAGACGACACCGGTCTTACCGTGGTAGTACTTGTAGGGAAGACTGCAGCAATTCAGTACTCGTTCGTTTCATTCCTCCTTTTCTCAAATCTTCCAAAGAAACTGTGCAGGCGGGGGACAATCACTAACCCCTTCTGAACGGCACCGTTGCACCTAACATCGACGATGTCACCGACACTGTATATCCGTCATCAGATGTATGTTCGCAAATTTGCTGCATTTCGAATTCATTCGTTCATACCGGTATTCCTTCAAATAGGTTCCGAGAGCAATAGATCCTCTCTTTTTGAAATCGCGAGAAAAGGCATACTGTTCGCAGAATCCGTCAGCTCGTTGTTATGACAGAACTCCAAATCTCCCAGTGCGACGTCTCCGAGAGTCTTTCGTTCTTTTCTTCGTTTCGATAAATTGACTGTAGACATACCCGAGTACCGGCGCGCAAACCTCCAGAGTGACCCATCTCGGCGGTGTTGTCGTGTGTGCTGGGATGGTGGTTGAAGCTGTCGACTTGAGCACAGTGAAGTCCCTCCGCTATGCAAACTTTCGATGATGAGACATCGCTTCCCGCTTAGTGTGCGCGCTAGGCGGTTCCGGGTGAGACCTTAGGGCTTACCCTACCACACCCAATCAGGACTGCCTCGCTTCGCTTAGTGGGTCCTTCCAAGCCCTCCACTCTTGATTTGATCTAAAAGAATCGCAACTTCAATTTATCGAACTTGAAGACTTCGACTTCATCGCGACAACCGGGAGACACCACCGCAGCCATGGCCCCAGCCCCGTGAGTACAGACTGCGACTATTAGTCTAGAGAATCAATCCTGATGATGTGTTTTGTTGTACAGGCGTTCTTACTCCAAGACCTACAAGGTCCCTCGTCGACGTGAGTCCTGCAATCCATGAATCTCAAGGATGAAAATAAAATACTGATTTCTTCTAGCATACGAGTCGGCTCGTCTGTCAGTACCTCCCGGCCACTGAGTGGAAGCGTGCTTCTGCTTATGTCGTGTTGTCCCATCCTAACATATCCTCGATAGTGACTCCGAATTGAAGACTGTCGGCGAGTACGGTCTCCGCAACAAGCGTGAGGTCTGGCGTGTCCAGCTCACTCTTTCCAAGATTCGTCGTGCTGCTCGGTATGTCTCCCGCCACACAATTTGCTTTTACTCAGCTAATTGGAATAGTGAGCTTCTTACTCTCGACGAGAAGGACCCCAAGCGTCTCTTCGAAGGAAATGCCCTCATTCGCCGTCTTGTCCGTGTCGGTGTGCTCGACGAGTCCCGCATGAAGCTCGATTACGTCTTGGCCTTGAAAATTGAGGATTTCTTGGAGCGCCGTCTCCAGACCTGTGTGTACAAACTCGGTCTCGCCAAGTCCATCCACCACGCCCGTGTCCTGATCCGCCAGCGTCACATCCGGTATATATCCTCGCTTCACCGAACTTAAGATGCAAATACTAATTTTTTTACAGTGTCGGAAAGCAGATCGTCAACGTCCCCTCCTACATGGTCCGCCTTGACTCTCAGAAGCACATCGACTTCGCTCTCACCTCTCCCTTCGGTGGCGGTCGCCCTGGTCGTGTGCGCCGCAAGAAGATCAGAGCCGCCGAGGGTGGTGATGGTGAGGAAGAGGAGGAGGAAGAGTAAAGGATTAACAAACAACAATAAAAAGTCTTTTTATGATATCTCTGAGGGTTTTCTCTTGCATCACAGGACAGCATGTATGATCACGATTCAATATGAACTTGCTACGCACGTAGCTCCACTTTCAGAGATTCAAAACTGCTTTAAACTAGATATCAGATACATAAGATAGAACCTCTTTGTCTCCCAAGACTCTGTACACCGCGCCTGTCATCAAATCATAATACATATTAACGTGAGCACGAATTGTTCAATTCTCGACATCAACCAATTTCTTCAATGTAGCCTCTGCACCCCGATACCATCTCCCCATCTCTTCCAACCCATCACTTTCGCCCCCAAGTTTCTTCCTCTCCGCTTCTCGCGCTTGCCCTATCGCCTCGGACTTTCTCCGTTCCAAAACCCCAAGTTCTCTCTCCATCGCTTCTGCCTCGCGCGTCTTTCGCGGTAAGGTGTTTTGTAGAGAGGCCATTTGTCTATCTATCGCTGCCAACTCCGCTTCGCGCTCCGCTAGAAGTTTCAGGGTCGCCGGTAATGAGAGATTTTGTGAAGAGGATGTGCTGTCAGGGTCCGAGGCTGCTGCATATGCCGCTTGGGATTGTTTTAGAGAAGCGATTGTCTGCTCCAATTGTGCGATTTCTTGTGGTAATTCCGATAGTTTTGTCGTTTCGATTTGGACGTTTTTATATCCTTGTCGTCTCATATTAGCATGATCCTGATTCCTCGTGCCCTCAGCGGAGTGTACATAGACTCACTTCTGGCCAATTCCCTTCCAGTCTTCTCCATTTCTTCCACCATTACCCTCACTTCCTCCTTGCGCTCTTGTAATTGCTGTTTTGCCTCTGCCAATGTCGCTTCCAATTCGATATTTTCATTATGACCGACGACCAGTGGCGGATCACCGACTATCCCGCGTAGAAATTTCTCTTTTGTGACTTGTTCCAGGTATGAGAAGCGGAGTTTCGAAAATAGTTCCTGTTTGAGCACAAGTTTGTTAATTTTCTAATCTGAAAAGAGAATGAAGACCAGTAAACCCGAACCTTGTAATGCGTCAAATCAGCCTCCAACGAAGCAGGCGTCGGATTCTCGTCGGAGACTATGGATGCGTCTGAAGCGCGTTTTGAAGGCGATTTCGGTATTCCGTCAACATGTAATGAGGACGTTATAGGCTCGCTTATGCGCAAGATTGCGAGTGTGTTTGATTCGACGCCTTGTCCTTTTTGGAGGTCTTGAATCTTTTCGAGAGCTTCGGCGGGGGATAGGGACGCCATTGCAGGCGATAAATTGCTATTTGATCTCTTGTACTTTCTTGTCGATAATTCGGGAACGAGTGATATCACGTTGATGAGATTGCTGCAATCTAGTGAGCAGATTGTTTGAATTAGGAAAGTGATTAATATAATCAAAATTATCGCGATTGTCCCGCGAAGGTAAACAATATCGATTGCCTATCGTGGACAGTTTGCACTGTTTGTCTCATCCCAGCGGCAAATTAATCTACGACCTCATTGGGCTTTCACCTCAACTACCACCTTCTCAAATGCGCTAGATTTTTGGATACGGGGCTGCTTAATTGCAGTCCAGCTTTTCTTGAGGGTTTTTTCACTATTGCATCCTATGTATATTCTTAACCTCATTCACCATGCCGCTCGGAGACATGATCGATGACCCCACAAGCAATGACGAATATGTCGCGCAGCTACTTGCTTCAGAGGCAAAGGACAAATCGCTGAAATATTCCGCGCTTGGGCTTAAAGCGTATCTTCCTCGTCGGTAAGTTGCTTACTGGAGTTTCCCGTGGAGGTTATGCTAATACTGTATAGCCCGACCGATCGAGCTCCGAAGCCCAATACTCGCTTTCTAAAGAACATTCTAAGAGATACGGATACTCACAATGCGGCGCTGAGGCGCAAGGAAGAAGAGGATGCTCGAGAACGTATGCGCAAATTGCGTGGGGAGCGGTCTCCCCCTTCGCGTCGGGAGCGACGCAGTGACAAGGATGGGCATTATCGAGATCGGTCGCCTCGCCGGCGTGAGAAGGAGCGCTTGTCGAGAAGAGGGCATGTAGATGACTCTTTGAGCAGGGAACACCACAAGTCTCGGTCTGAGCGACATCGCCGGCGGTATGAAGATGAAAGCGAAACGGACCAAGATCGTGAAATTTCAAGGTCTCACCGACGACATCGCGATGACGAGCGACGCTCAAAAAGACCGCGTCGGGATTCTTCGAGATCGCGACATCGATCTTCCAGAGACAAGAGGAGTGTGTCACCTCGCCGATCACGCTCTCCGGGGATCTCGAGGAGGCATCGAGATAGCTACAAGGAGTACGATCGGCCAAAGCAAGATGGCCGTCTTGACAAGGACAACGATCCGCAGATAGAACCGCGCAAAGATGCGTACAGTTCGGAAAATGAGTCCGATCCTCTAGAGGACCTCGTAGGTCCATTACCGTCGTCTACACGTGACAAAGCATCCGGCATTTCTACACGAGGGCGAGGCTCCTATCGCCAAAATACAAGCACAATAGACGCCCACTTCGAGCATGACTACAACCCTAAACTCGATGTCGACATATCCGACAACGACGAGACCACGTCCTCGAAGCGCTCAACTCGACGCCCCGTTGCAGGTCTCATGACTCAAGACGAAGACGAAGATTGGAACATGGCACTGGAGGCGCTCCGTGACCGAGCAAATTGGCGACAAAAGGGTGAAGAGCGCCTACGCGCTGCAGGGTTTGATGAGGGTACCGTTCAACGTTGGAAGGAAGATCCGGCGTTTGCGAAGGGTGGTTCCAACAATGATTCCGAGGGACGGATTGAGGATGTGAAATGGGCGAAGACCGGGGAAGGGAGGGAGTGGGATCGTGGGAAGGTTTTGAATGAGCATGGGCATTATGATGTTAAGGGGCAGTGGTAATTGGTCAGTCATTTTGGATATACGTACACAAATTTCGGGCTGTCACAAGCACAGTAATTACAACATTAGATATCTATGTAAATGATTAAATAGAGAGTCTTGCATTGATCTTCCTAAATAAAAACCTAATTATCGACAACTTCAATGTTCAAATGTTCCAATGGATATGTTCATTTTGACACGAACCATTCAACCCATACATTTCGGAATATATATTTATAATTCATGCCTTAGATTCACCGGCCACTCCAACTCTGCATCATCCAGAAGTCCAGATGTGATGTCGATCGGTCCACTATTGATAGGCATAAACGTTATTTGATCTGCTGGAAAAAGTGTGCACACATGACATCAAACGTCAATTTACTTTAATTTTCGTGATGGTTGTTAGTTGTTTTGGGGACTTTGAAACTAGCCAGCCCTAACCACACCGTCACGATCCCAAACGAAGAATTGACGGTTGGATCTGCTTCAGATAAACTGTATTTTTATCATTTACATTAGCTTTTTTTTTTCAAAAAAACATCGAAGATCGACAGGCCTCATCTGGATTTATGTTGGTCCATTATAGTAGCGTGGCTTATCCAAGTCAAATTCAAGATTCACGAAAGACCTGGGTGCTACACAAAAGAGCACATGCCATCATAATCCTAAAATTCTGACCAACTCTAAATGATTAGATATAGATTCCATGCATATGCATGTCAAGAGAACCAAACAGAATCGATCGATTGATGTGACCTGACCATGCCCAGCCGATCATCCATCATCCACCGTCCAAATGCAACCTTCGCACCTGCTCGTCCTATTTTTCTTACCCTAATTTGCTGCTGTTCTTGCCTCTGTTGGTTGATCGATATAGCCAACCCTTTCTATTCAACCTGACTAGGTCAAGTTCGAGTCAGGTTCGCGCGATATTCAACTTATCAGTGTTGGTGATCATTTGAAAATATGTAGATGTATAAAAAGGTTGGGCTGGGCACATTCCTCGAATGTTATCCCTTTCTCAGTAAAATTTCATTTCCGAGTCTCTTGTAGTCACATATATCTTTAGATAGCTATATAAGTCCAAACAAAAACATGAAGTCGATCTTTGCCCTTGTCTTGGGTGTAGGCGTGGGTTATGTTGCGGCACAGTCTTTGCCTGACTATGTACTCACATACGGTACGTGACAGCAACTCAATGTTCATGCCTTCATACCTTGACTGTTCTCCTATGCTAACGGTTTATGCAGCGCCCCTAGTCTGGCTCGACGTCAACGAAACCTACTTCCCCGGCGACATTTACGGCCAAGTCCGAAATACCTMCCCAGCCGTAAACTACACCAGAATCACCGGTTACACCACCCCTCTCACCCTCGACAATCTCAATCAACTCAACAATTTCGGCAATAAGAGCGTATACCTGACTTCGAATGAAGGCATAGAGGCATTTCCGGCGTGGTTTAACGGCACGCAGCCCAATAATGATGGTGTTACTGAGGACGCGACGAGTTGTGCGATTGTGACGGTTGATCATGGGGATGGAACGCTGGATGCATTTTATTTTTACTTTTATCCGTGAGAGTTCTTCGTCACTTGGGAGTCAAGTTGGTCTGATCGAAGCTGCAGATTTAACAAGGGTGATATCGTGCTTGACTTGGTCTGGGGTGATCATGTCGGTGACTGGTAGGTGAATATTCATCTGGCCTGGAAGAGTGTCAGCTGACCAACAGGGAGCACAACATGGTCCGATTCGAAAATGGCGAGCCACAGGCTCTATGGTATAGCCAACATTCTAGCGGCGAGGCATTCACTTATGATGCCGTCTCGAAGATCGATGGTAGACCAGTCGCTTATTCTGGCCAAGGAACTCACGCCAATTATGCCATTGACGGGTACGTATATTGTTCCAAGCATTCTCTTCAAAGGAAAAATTTCTGACTTACTGCAGAGTTCACGACCACACGATCCCCGGTGTCAGCCTTCCCTTCGGGCCAGTCAACGACTATACCAGGAACGGTACACTCTGGAATCCGGCCGGCAACTACTATGCGTACAGCTATGACAACATCACTGCTGTATTCACGGCCTATGATTCCAGCTATCCCGTCAACTGGCTGTACTTCAACGGCCAATGGGGTGATATCCAAGTTGCTAACCAGACTGGAATCTTTGGTGAATACGAGTACACCAGTGGTCCAAATGGCCCCAAGTTCAAGAACCTTGTTCGCACCAATGTGTGCCCTGACGGAGGCGATTGCGAAGTACTCGATTATCTGTGGTACTAGATGTTGTATATTGTCGATGCTAGTTGGGGATCTGTACATATTTGACAAGGACCTGCTATGATAATAATAAATCGTCTTGCATGAATGCTTGGGTCTTCGTTGATAAGATCGGCGACTATTTCCTTCTACCGTTGACGATCAACGGTTTTTTTTTGCTTCTTGGACAACTATTTCGACGAGTCTATATTTGATAGGTGTGAAATCAAGATTTGCAGGTCCAGCCGTTTCAGCTGTAATTACCAGATTTGGCATCAAAAGTGCGATCACAGCAAGAGCCTAGACCCGGGACTGCAAGGAAGCCCCTGAATGAGTACCTGGCACGTGACCTCACCGGGACCGGCTGGCCGCGACATTTTCGATTGGCCAGTCGCGGCAGCGTCCGTGCTGCGCATTCAGAAAGAGAACGTGCCTGGTGGAGACGGGCAAGTGATGTCTTTATGCTCAGACATGCCACGAGAGTCTCCTGCGGTTTTCGTTGAGACCGTGTTAATTCCTCCGGTCGGACCAACAAGCACATTGTCGCGAAAGCAACCTCTTGGTAAATTCAAATACTATGTACTCGTAATCCGGAGACAACGCCATCTCTATCTAGGCTCAGGAGGTGCTTTGCAGCGCCGGCCGGCTAGTGGCTGACGGCGTCATCACGTCAACCAACGACAGCTTGAGCCTGGACAAGTGGGGAGCACAAGCTGGCTGAAACGGGAGCCCCTGAGTTCTGGCGTGCTGTCCGACTCCCCAAGTTCACACTGTTTGGACAGCTTCGTTGTTTATTGGGGAAAGCGCCAGGCACAGAGGACCCGGAAAGGCCTAACTAGGCTCAGAATGCAGTTAGCGGGTGGAGAAAACAATATTCGTAGACGGTAGGACAAGCCTAGAAAACCTCGTGAGAATTGTACCGCGTATGTATGTGAGAATCGCCATCTTCTCTTTGCAGTTGTCTCTGTTGTCTTCCTCTTCACCCGCTTGTCATTCGTTTCTTCTATCGCGGAACCACCCCCATCTTGTATGAGACGTGGTGACTGTATTGTCTGCGAGAGCCGGTCCGTCTCTCCATTGCTTTCTTTATTCCATACGTCAGCCCCTGGCCAGGTCTGAGTATAGACGCTCGCTTGCTGGACTCGTGATTGCCGTCTCGTCGATTGAATATTTATTGTCGACTTGCAACCGAAAATAACCACGCCCTTGGTCACTGCATCGCTGAGGAGGAATCACTGTTTCACAATCGACTGAATTGCCCGACAGGAAATTAGCAAATCTGTCCGCAACCCCGTCAGCATCCGCCCTTTTATCTCACGGTACCGCGAACCAGCTGTCTATGAAATTAATTGTGACTCGTGAGTGACCGGCTGCCCTGACCAAAAACATCATCTGTTGTACAAGCGCCCAGGCTGTAATCCCCTGTCTGTCCGTCTCTTGTAACGGCGAGCAAAGCAGGAATAAATAGAGTGGTACACAGAACGACACAGAGTTGTGCTGGTGTTTTGGTTTTTTGTTTAGTTGAGGTTGTCTGATCGACTAACAACGTTCCCCGCCCCAAACAGGAAGCCCAAACAGGAAAGCTCGCTCCTTCCCTTTCTGAGACACAACATGGCCACCGTCCAATCTAGCAACAGTCAGCCCCCTCTCCCTTCTTCTCTTCCTCCTCCGCCGCCGCCTCCCGACGCTGTTCCCTCCTCGTCTGCCAATGAAAGCACCACTCGTTTGAGTGTAGCCAACTCGGACGCTGCTTCACGCAGATCCTCCCTGGGTTTCTTGCGTCGTTCGAAATCAACTGAGCCGCTCTCTGAGCGCAAGAGCTCCAACGGCAAAGTCAGCAGGAAAATGAAGGAACAATTGCGAGAGGAGGAACTCCGTCGCCAGCGCGAATCGATTCCAAAGCAAGCCCCGCGTCTCCCTGATCTCTCGCCAGCACCAAAAATGCAGACATTCGGCGGAGAAGAACAAGTCGCAAAAGTGCCTGCACCAGCCACGGACAGTCGAACAATCGCTGCACATCTCAGCATGCCGCCGCCAGCAATCGATCCGTATGCACGAACTGAGAGCATGACTCATCGTGGTCGTTACAGCTACGCTAGCAGCGCGGTCAGCACGATCAATAGTCCCCGCAGACTGCGACGACGCAAGGATCCTACCCCTTACAAGTGAGTTGCATTCCACGTGTATTATGACATTGAAAATTAACTATTTTGGAAAGTCTTCTAGTTGTTGGCGCTAAGAACAGCGGGAAGACGTCGTTTCTCAACTTTTTGCGCAAATCACTTGCGCTTCCTCCAAACAAACTCCCCATTCGCTCTTCTGAAGACATCTTGGAGGAAATCAATTCATCCACTAACCCCAACTTTACGTCGCATTACCTGGAGACCGAAATCGAAGGCGAACGTGTTGGGCTTACGCTATGGGATTCCGAAGGCTTGGACAAGAATGTCGTCGATCTACAACTGCGTGACATTACTGCCTTTCTGGAGAGCAAGTTCGAGGACACTTTGATGGAGGAAATGAAAGTCGTGCGCTCTCCTGGTGCACGCGACACTCATATCCACTGCGTTTTTTGGATTCTCGACCCTGTCCGCTTGGATTCCAACCTTGCCGCTGCCCAGAAAGCTGCCGGACACGCCAATGGTAAATACACCAATTCATCACGTGTCGTTGGTATCCTCGACGAGGAAATTGATCTTCAATTTCTTCGCGTGATGCAGGGCAAGACAGCTGTTGTGCCTGTCATCAGCAAAGCTGACACCATCACCACTGCGCACATGGCATACTTGAAGAAGGCGGTTTGGGATAGCTTAAAGCAGGCTAGGATCGATCCATTGGAGGTTCTCATTTTGGAAGAGGCGGAGGAAGACGACTCAGAAGCCGCTGCTGACGACGATGATGAAGATTCTGACGTTACGCCCGTTGCTGAGAATGGGACATCCGAGGCTAAGGCGGACGAGGAGACCGAAAATGCGGCAGACGAAGACGCTGAAATACAGGAGAAACTCCCTAAAGCGTCCCCTACACGGAGCCACCGGTCAAATAATTCCGTCTCAATTACGTCCACCACTGACACGCCTTTCATCCCTCTGTCTATTCTGTCACCAGACCCGCATTCTTTGGATTCGCCTGATCTGCCCGTTGGTCGACACTTCCCATGGGGGTATGCAGACCCTTATAACCCAGAGCATTGCGATTTCGTGAAACTCAAAGAGTCTGTCTTCAAGGACTGGCGTGCTGAGCTGCGCGAAGCTAGCCGCGAGGTTTGCTATGAACGCTGGCGCACAAGTCGATTGAATATAAAACAGGCTACTCCTAGAAAGCCTAGCCACACCGGACGTTATGGGCCTCCACCATCAAAGAGTGGTCGCGTAACTCGATAGTCGCGACTGGAGGATTTTACTCTTATCTTTACCATGAAGCGGGCCCTTGCGACTTCCATTCACTTCTTTCTATAAAACAATTTCCCTATCTCACTTTCTTTCTACTCCCTGGCCGGGTGCCGATCCACGATCGACTGATCCTCTACACTGCACCATTTTCTTTCTAATTCTTTTCCAACTCATGAGACTGCATCGATGTGACATGTGAGCCATAAGTATTTTCTCAGTGGCCATGCCTGAGCAAGCAGGGAATATATGCGATCGCGTATCAGATTACTTCAAAGCGATTGCTGGCCAGTGATCTGGACGCGATATTTGTATTACTAGCATTGATATTCCCTGTGAAGGTTTTTTTTTCTTTGATGTTTTGATTCCCACCATGTTACTTTTGTCCTGTTATGGTACATTTTCAATTGAAAAGCACTTACGTATTTGATTCAAACCAGAAACAGTTCTCTCTTATTCTTGTATATGTAGCGACTACATAATATGAACCTGCTCAACCGACGTCACAGAAACAACAGTCTCCGTCTTTGTGACTGGAGTTGTCAACGCTCCAACTGGCGCAGCAACTCCCATGGCAGCGTCCCCATCGTCATAGACAGTCGACCTCCTCACATCCCTAGCCCCCATCTTCTCATCATACGCACTGGCGCGATGCATCGACTGCCGATTATCCCACCACATCAGATCGCCAGCCGACTTCCACTCTGCGACGAACTTATACTGCCGATCATTAGCTCCAACTCACTTGAAGCTGTGAAGTAAACACTCACCTTCTCCTGCGTACAATGCCCAATCAAGTCCCAAATCTCCTTCTGACTATCTGACATCTCTTGACCATCCTTGCTAAAGAGCCGTTTCGAATGCGCTGCAAGGAAGAATGTCTCCCCTTCGCCATTGGGCGTCTTCTGGATTAGTCGGTGGTATGCTGGCGGTTTCTTGCCTCGTTCTTCGGGCGTGAGTTCGCTGTATTCTTCTGGCGCGGCCAGGCGGCGAGAATGCCATAGCCTAGTATCAAGAGATTAGTACCAAGCCACCTTCTTCTGGAAGGAGAATGGATGATGCATACTCATGCTCAACAATAACATCCCTAAACTTTTCCTTCCGCTCTTCAGGCAATTCACTCCACGCCCTTCTCGTATCCGCAAACTCCGTCGTCCCTTTCCCCTCTCCAGGCACACTATGCGCCAATAAAAGCGAATATTTCGCGCGATGTTGATTAAACGCAGAGTCCGTATGCCACAACGCATTACCCAAAGAATGCGCCCATCGCCTACTGCCCCTTTTTGCGATACTGCCGTCTGCTTCGAAATTGCTGACGTCAAACAGATATTGGTTATTGACGCGTGTGGTGTTTCCCCAGACGGGATTTACTTCGAGGGCGCCGAGTTGTTGGCTGAAGGCGACGTGGCGGTCGTTGTTGAGACCGGTGTTGCGGAATATAAGGACGGCGTATCTATCTTGGAGGGTTATTAGCTGTTGTCGTGATGGTTAGTGGTTGTTTTAGATGATATAAGGGGTACATGTACTGACGGTCTTTATAGTGGCGTCTGGAAGAGGTACTTGTTCCCAGTCAATGCCTGAGACTTCTGCCCCAAAGGTTTCGTTCAATATGGGTGTGACGGTCAACCCGTCGACGGTGAAAGAAGCCATGGTTGTGAAGTGTTATCGCAAAAAGTACATGATTGCCACAAAATTACGTTCAACTGTTCCGTATCATCTATCCGCGACGTTTTATATCAAGGCGCATTAGTTGGATATCTTTATAAACATATTGACCACATCGGTTCGCGAGCCGATGAAGCCGACGTTGATCTGAGCCGTGGCGATGGTATCAATTCCAATCGGAGGGATCCCGACAACCCTACTTTGCTATTACATACTTCTTTTGAATAAAGACACATGACTACTGCTCATACAACAGTTCAAGCCAATCATTATTCTATTACTACATTGTATACGGGCCACTGCTCCGTCTTTTCGGATCGGCCTAGGTCCGACCAGCCCGATAGCCAAATACAGGATTATTAACCATCGACTCAAAAAACTCATCCAAATACATCTCAATCCCCTGCGCCGGTAACTCTACGTCTTGAAATTCTTTCCCGCTACCATCATCCAGCAGCGGCGAAAAAACTGCATCGAGCAGCGTCTTATACCCAGTTGCGGGATGCGCAAGTGGGTATCTCGTGCAAATGAGGTCGAATATCTCTGCTGCCAGCGCGATCAAGCGTGAAAGAAGACTTTCGGGTCTTGGTCTGGTCGGGTAGCGTGATGCTGTTGTGAGTGAGGATGATGAACCTGCGAGCGCGAGGATGTTAAGGTCGTCGTCTATAGCGCCGCGTGCGAAACAGAGAACTAGAAACACGGCGGCGAAGCTGTGGCTGACCCATGACGAGTCGACGGAGAAACTTATGCGCTCAACTGCGGTGCGGTCGATGGCGAATGGGCCCGTGGGGATGGATGAGATAGAGGAGTGTGTGCTCCATGTTTCCCAGGTGGCTTGCGCGGATAGGGCGAGGATTGTCTGGCATGCTGCCGTGAGGGATACGTCAAGTGCCTCGATCGAATGTAGCGGAACGTTGCCAGGACTTAATGACTCGGGGTTCGGCCGGGCTAGTAACGTCGACAAGCAAGAGCTGTTGACAGTAAGCCGATAAGCCCGTAGCGCCGTATAGGGCATCTGATTATGCATAAGCTCGGGACCTAACGCTTGATTCCAATGAACTTCCCAAGCATCAAATTCAAGGTTTGCACGCCGTAAGCTAAATGCATCTAAAGCGCGGACGTTGGGACTACCACTACTACGCGCAGCATGTTTGAGGATAGCCACAAGTTCACACAATGCTGCAACCCGCATGTCTTCTGGCTGGGAGGCGTCACGGTGCGATGCAAAAGTCTGAGATACCGATGCCACAGGTTCCGGGTTCAGACTCGCAGGTAAACCGCTCGACAGCATCAGATTCGCATCATTCGTTAACAAATTAATCCACACACGCAATCGTGCTAGATCTTCAACGGTCGCCGATGCTTGTCTCTCCGGTGAAAATGCCGCTGGCGAATCCTGTAGCCCAAGAAAAAGCGCGTAGCGAATAGCTAGACCGAGCATACTCCAAGCCGAGACATCATTATATCGCGTTCTCAGACGATCCTGTAGCCCCCCGTTCTGTACATCAACCGGCATCCACTGCACGTATAACAAGAGCGCCTGAATATGGCCCAAATGCACATCCGACGAATCCGGCTTCAACAAAAGCCGACTGAGCGACCCATCGAGGATCCTCACAATTTCACGATGCTGTAGTCCCGCAGACGGGAAAGGATCCATATACCGAAAAGAGACTGCACATATTGACGTGAAGAGCGTCGGACACGCCATTCGAACGCTAGCCGCTGATTTCTGTGTTCGTGGGCATAATACGGGCGCCCATTTGTGGCACGAGGCGAAGAAGAGATCAAAGGCCTCCTGGGCCTCATACATGGTGATTAGCCCGCATGATACGGGGTCTTCGACGGCTTCGGGTTGGTCGGTTGTGTAGCCATATTGTTGGAGGTGTCGGAGGGTGGACATTGGTGTATCCAAATGAACGGCGTCAAGGGCTCCATGATGATGGCCTTGAAGTGGGCGGTTGTGAGTAGCGGTGGTAGTTGCACGAGGAGAATAGACGTCATATCCTGAGTGAGACACGATACTATGCAATTCTGGAGAGTTGATCGATTTTGCATTCGGCACAAACGATTGATCTGGTAGCCTGTACACCGATTCTCGTTTCGCATCAAAGTCCTGACCTTCAGGGGCAGGGACAGCTCTCTTACGACGCTCTTTTGCCGGCGTGACAACCACACTCGCACCATCCAGATGACTAGTGATCCTTTCCAGCCTTTGCAATCGATCATCCTGCTCCGCAACCCTCTTCTGCAATCTCTCCAGCACATGCGCCGTCTTCGCGACCTTAGTAGCCTGCGCATCGTTATCATTACTAGCTCCGATAGGCGAAGTCGTAAAGGAGCATTCAACGCCTAGATGTATGCATCGACTACACGAAGCGGTCGGAGCCTCGGGCGATAGACCGTCGCATCGCTGTTTTCGGACACGACATTGTATGCAGGCCTTATTCGTTCTGCGTACTTTTGTGGGTGGTTCTTCGTTGTAACCTTCGTTGTTGTTGGACGCTCCGTGTTCGCCCTTGTTTGGCCCGTTATCTGCCCTGGCGGGTTGGCCGCTTTCGAAGTCTGATCGCGCCGCGGCCCTCATGTTTGCACTCACTTAGAGAAGTTAACCCTAAGGACTGATACGGAACGCTTCGGTCTATCAACCGTGACGGAAGACGACCGACAAGTCCCGACAGAGGTCGAAGTCAGTACTTAATACACGAGATGACTGCGCTCGCTCGACAGAGGCCTATCTGCTTATCTCGAGCTCGCATCTTATCAGACTGTCTCTAATCACAATCCAATCTCAAGCTTTCCTGGAACGGGCGCGAGATCCACTGAATAACGGAGCCCGAGATATCACTTGGGGATTTTTATTGGCCTGTATGAAGATAAGCGGCCTTCTCGTGGTCGAATAAGGCTGCTTGACAAGGCGAGATAGCATCGGCTCGTTGCCGATTTGTTCAACTATGACAATTCGTATGTCGACAATCTACAGCTCGACAAGATGTATCAGCATACTTATAGACGATCGGCGGTCATGGTCCAGACTACAAGACAAGCATTGTGCATTAATCTATATTCCATTGCCAATTTGACGCCGTCGTCGCCGTCAATATGGACTACACTTCCGACATCAGCGTCAAGGAGAAAGTCTCTGCCGTACCACAAACGACACCCCTCGACGTCGAAAGCCAAACCGGCACAACATACCTGATCGCAGCCCAACAGGCCGTCGACCTTGAGCCAACCCACGCTGCCGAATATGCGGAATACCTTCGTCTGCACACCCATTTCACATCCGACAAGAAGAACCATGGTCGTCTGATCCGGTTGCTGGACTGGCGAATCTTGCCCATGTTGTTTATGTTTTACTTGCTCAACTCTCTCGACAAGGCTAATGCTGGTAATATCAAGATTTACACGTTTTTGGCCGATACGAAAATGACTGGTACTCAATTCAATCTTGCTCTGACATGGTACTTTTTTACATACGCTGGACTGGAAGCTCCTTCTAAGTAAATTACATTTTTCCCATACTCAAACGCCGAGGACCCATTCGCTGACGTTTACTAGCATGATGATGCGTAAATACGGGCCCCGAATCTGGCTGTCCGGCCTAGTCACCTGCTGGGGCGCCGTCACTCTCGGATCTGCCTGGGTCAAAAGCTACGGCGACTATTGCGCTGCTCGCATCATGCTCGGCGTCTTCGAAGCTGGTCTCTTTCAGGGCTGCTTCTACACACTCAGCTGCTGGTACCTTCCCACCGAACTCCAGACCCGATGCGCATGGTGGTACAGCGCAACCATGCTTTCAGGAGCCTTTGGCGGCCTTCTAGCCTACGCCGTTGGTCCTCTCCAGGGCCACCTTGGTCTTAAGCAATGGCAATACCTCTTCATTATCGAAGGCGCCATCACCATGTTTTTTGGCCTGCTAGGTTTCTGGCTCTGCCCCGATTTCCCCGAAAAATGGGGCTCGAGTTGGTTCGCGAAGGATGAGATGCACTACTTGCAGCTTCGCATCAAGTACAAGGATGGGCCCGTTCCTCCTGACGACACTTTCTATTGGGGTGCACTCAAGGAGGCTATCAAGGACTGGAAGACGTATTTCATTGCCTCTCTGTTGGCCTTTGGTGGTAGTGTGCCTACATACAGCGTTAATTACACGCTTGCTACCATGGTCAAGTCATTGGGTTACACTTCCATTAGAGCACAGGCTTTGACCGCTCCTCCTTATGTCTTTGCTTTCATTTGCGTTATTTTGATTGCTCTGTACTCGGACAAATATCAATGCCGTGCTCGCTCTCTCCTCATCAGCTACACAGTCGGCACAATCGGCATTGTGATTCTGTGGCCATCCCTCTACCACAGCAACCTCTCCGGTCTGTCTTATTTTGCTCTCTTCCTTGTTGTCGCTGGATACAACATGCAAGCACCAGCTGTCGGCTCCTGGCTCGGCACAAACGTGCGCAACCCCGCCAAACGTGCCGCCGCTATGGGCTGGCAATCAACCTGGGGACAGCTGTTTGGTGGTTGCATTGGTGCAAACATCTTTGTTAGCTCTGAGGCGCCTACCTACCATTCTGGTTTCACTACGTTGTTAGTGTTGGTGATTGTGGGTGGTTTCGGAGCCTGCATTGCCAATTGGTATTGTTTGAGGGCTTCGAACTTGAAGAAGGATAAGATTCCTCTCGAAGAGTTAGAGGGTAAATATACGGATGAGCAGTTGGCGAAGATGGGAGAGTATAGTCCTTACTTCAGGTATATTCTTTAAAACCTCACTAGGGTGTCAATTGATAGGTAGTGGGATGTATTATGGTTGATCTATTATTCCCTGTATTAAACTTATGACATTTTTAATGGACGATTTTAAAACAGAGACCATGGTGGTCGAGCATTTGTGACCAGATCTTGACATCATACACGGTTGAATTCTATCAGGAATCATATAAGATATAGCCCAGAACAACTGTCTCATTCGAAATGGCTTGAGAAATCATGTCAGACCAACAAGATTCTATTCAAGACCAATTAACAAACATTGCCAGATTGGATCGAGCGTACCGCTTACCGGTGCATTATTCTACGCCATCTCCGGATTCTTGGCCATCATTATACATTGTATGAATCCTGTATGCATGAATACGAATAAGTTCATACTGCTCGGATGTTGGGTGTCCTATAAGCAGTTACATATCACTCTGGATTTAAAGGTGAGCTTAGGGATCAGATCATCATAGGTCCTCGGTTTGGACTGCAGTTGATCTAAGTGCTTGATGATCTGAAAAGGGGTCCATCACCGGCTGGGACGGTCAATTTGATTGATGTGTTGTGAGATGTCCTCGAGGATAATCCTAAGGATCATCGCACTGCGACGGAGGAGCTACTCAAGAGACGGACATGAACTATTGATAGGCCAATACTTTGTACGGCTACATAGTTAGCGAGAAGAATCATTCCAGTCGATCCATGGGTCTTTGTACAGTCGAGTTGTGTCAAGGAAGATAATTTGTCCACATTACGGTTCTGAATACCATGCTATGATATAGGATTTCTGACAACGCAGCGATAAACATAGATAAAAACTTCACAGCTTAGACCTCACTGCCCGGATATTAGCGAAGTCGACCGCTCCGATGGCCTTGCCGTTGTCTATAGTAGTAACTCTTTCCTTCAAAACACGCTTCAAGATCTTCCCTGACGGGCTTTTGGGAATTTGATCAATCCATATTATCCCCCCTGTCAGCCTTTTATACGGCGCTGTACGTTCAGAAGCGTATTCTATCAGATCCCTCGCTGTCTTTGCTGTGGCCTTGTGCGGAATTTTCAGAACTACATATGCAAGAGGAACCTCGGAGGCGACGTGATCGCTGAAGGTACTGATGATCGCGACATCGTCCACATCAGGATGTCCATGCAGGATACTCTCAATCTCGGCTGGTGCAATTTGGTAACCCTTGAACTTGATGAGATCTTTGAGTCGATCGGTGATGAATAAATTACCCTCCTTGTCTTGATAGCCGATGTCACCAGTTCTGAACCATCCGTCTGAAGTAAGGCACGATTCTGTGGCTTTTTGGTTTTTGTAGTAACCTTTGAAGATTGTGGGACCACGCATGCACATTTCACCTTCTCGCTCGAACACAAGTTGATCATGTTCGTCAACAAATTTGATCTCGAGGCCAGGTAAAGGGGGTCCATTGGACCCGATGCCCGTAGTCCACTTATCCCAGCGCTGTATCAAGGATTAGTATGTTGATATAACCATTACATTTTAGTACAGAAAACTGTGAGATTTACCTGAATATGGGAGACTGCCGTTGACTCTGTAAGTCCAAATGCTTGCCGTACGGGAATATTCAGTCGTTGATATACCGCCTTTATGAGCTCCTCACCGAGGGGCGCGCCGCCAGAAGTGAGCATTCGCAAGGACGAGAGACTACTCTGGTATGACTGGGGAAGCTTTGATAGGTATAAAACAACCGGAGGAGCGACGTAAGCGTGTGTAATGGAGTGGTCTTGAACATGGTTTATAAAACCTGTCATTGTAAATTTCTCCATAACCAAGGTTCGAAGGCCTAAGTATATTGGCAGATGGACTAAACAGACCAGACCTATTCAAAGTCCGCATTGATTAGTATTGGTAATGCAGACGCAAAGAGCAAGATTGTACCATAAATATGATATGTAGGCAGCAAAGCTAGAAGCCTGTCAGTTTGCCAGGACAAATGTTGCTCTTCAACATGACTCTGCATAACCATGGAAGATACCACATTCGAATGTGCAATCATGCCTCCCTTGGGCAACCCCGTAGTCCCGGACGAGTAGACTAGGAATGCAAGGTCGCTCGATTTGACTTTCGGACGCACACAACCCGGTCTCAGCGACTCAGTCATACCTTGAACGCTATCAAGTTTCCTGGTGGCATCTTCACGGTCGTCATATATGATCAATATTTGGGACTCGGGAATGCTTGCTTGTCTTGCTGCGGCCTTTGTTACTTCTGCCAGTGAGTGATGAACGACAATTCCTCTCGCTTCACTATCAACGAGATGATATCGCAATTCGTCTACGGTGTACGCCGGATTTGCTGGAGATACAATTCCACCTGCCCAGTGGCACCCCCATATCAATGCTGGCGTTTCTATCGAGTTGGGGGAAACAATAACGAGGATATCTCCCTTCTTCCAATTCCAGCGAGATTGCAAATTTGTTCCGAACTTCTCCGCAGTAGAACGGATATCATTGTAAGATTTCTCTGATGACGAAGTGGGAGATTGGAATATGACTTTGATTTCTCTGAGCTTCTATGCTGTATTTGTAATGGGAATATGCGGGGAAGTCTACCTACCGTGCTCTTCAGGAAACGGAGTATGCGTTCTCTCAAAAAGAAAGCTCCATATATCAGTATCCGGAATGTTCATTGCCATTTCGAATTCGTCTTTTGATATCACAGGCTATACATGCGTAGTAAAATGAATAAACACGAAGCAAGTCATGGTTATATTGTACCTGATGAGCTAATAGATGAAGAGCGAACTAAGCTCCATTCCCTCGGCTAGGCGTCGGGATCTTTGGCATGGGTAAATCAATCTCTGACAAATCGTGGTGGACTGCGGCTTTCATGTTCGCTATGGAGATTTTAGCCTAAACTTCTATTCGATCGCGTAGATACATATAGATATGCGGAAACGATCGATTGAGATATCTTCAAACGGCGTGGCGAGACGGCACATCATGGATTATGCTCCGCTGCCCTTTTTGTTAGTGAGACGAAAGGATCCGTGACAGTAAAAAAAAATTCGCAAGAATCGAGCAGTCTGGGGGAGCTCTGTCAACAGGGGGGGTTTTATTATACGGAGGAAAGTTAGTATGTAGTTAAATTGAAGACCGTAACATGACTCGGAAAGAAAAAGATCAATCGGAACCTTCTTTACCGGCAGAAAAGACAGCTGCCAAGCACCGTCAGCCCTTGGCGGAATCAGACGCCCAACCAGCTTCAGCAAAAGTCTTAGATTCAGTCCTGATGTAGACAAGGCCGTGGAATTTGCGGAGTTTGAGGCTTAAATCCCCTAGTGCTGTTACACATCTTGTTTTCGGTGCTGGAAAGACTATTTTAAAGTCTACTTTGTTTTCCGGGCGCGTCATCTTGTTTCACATCTCTTTATATTTGTTGATCGTTCGTATAGCATCGCCACTCGTTATCCTCCTTAAATGCTGTCGTTATTTTTCAGTCACTCGTTCACATAGTTATTACCAAGGTATACATCATTGACCCTCAAGAAGAGTCAGGAAAAATGCTTCGATCTACCTTAATCCTCATCGCTGCCACCACCGTCTCGGCCCTTGAACTCGGCTGCTTCTCCGACACCAGCGAAACGCTCTCTAGTTTCGTCAACAATGGCTCTTACACTTTCCAGTCAACCGGATATTGCCAGCAGGTCTGCGGCACCATTGGACATAGCTACTATGCGCTAAAAGGCAGTGACTGCTGGTGCGGTGATGCGATCCCCCCTATCAGTGATATGGTCGATGATAGCAATTGCAATATTCCTTGTGCTGGCTATGCGAGACAGAACTGTATGTTTATCTTCAGCCGGAGCGAAACTTGATAAAATTCCCTTCCCGGATTGCACTAATCATCCGACTCAACAGGCGGTGGCATCAATGCCTTTGAGGTCTATCTTAGCGGAGACACGACTGCGATTGAGAGCATCGTCAGCGCATACTCGGCCGCCGCCACGGCTTCGGCTACAGTCGCTGCATCCGACAGTACTGCTATTCTATCAACTGCCACCGCTGCGTCTTCAGAATCGTTTTCGGTTTCGAGTAGCGCTGCTTCTACAACCTCAGCAGCAATTCTCCCAACGGCTACAACTACCAAAGTGTCATCTTCCGCTGTGATTATCCCATCGGCGACATCTACAAGCACGAGTGTACCTACTGGTGCGGCGGTGGCGGTTAATGTGCAGATCGGCTTTGGTCTGATGGCTGGGTTGATGGCTCTTACGTCTTCGCTGTAAATACAAGACAATACAAGAGTTTTTGTTGTATGATTATGCAGAGAATGTAATGCCTGGCACCTAGAGCGCATCCGGGTCATGGAGTTATACGCTAGAGATAGACAAGTATAAACTATTAAATACCAAATTGATTCAATAACTTTCCCTTATCCATAAGTATTATTAGGCACAGGAAGATCAGCCTCGGGCTTTGTTCATACGAAAATAGGTTGAAAAATACTTTTTTGTTGTCAAATCCTTACTATACCTATTTGGGGATCCTGCTGCCTGATGTCATAGCGAGAGCTGATGCAAAGAGTCCTAACCACGTATAAAGTCTTCGATCACTCACCTAATCCTCAATCATTTACAAAGTCCTCAATCAATATACATTACCTTTAATACTAAGCCCCAGCACCATGGTTTGGATCCCACGAGAAGTCGCAGCACGCTTCGCCTGCGACGAACCCCTCTTACTCGCCTACATCTTAACGCCCATCTCCCCCCAAGCACTTTCTCACCTCAAATCCCGTCTTGAACATGGCGCTGCCTTGCGCTACAATCCACAGGTCGAATTTTTAATCCAACAAGCACCAGCTGACTACATCGGAAAGTCCCATTCCTATATCCGCACCAAGGAGAACGAAGCAGGTCGTGAGCGTCCATTCCTACTTATCGACGAACGGGCTACCACAGACTGCGCGGTGTGGTACGTAGACAATTTCGCGCGTGAGTGGGAGTTGGATGATGATGGAACTGGGTTTGCGGCACCGTCTACGGATGCGTTGCATGAGGTGCTTGTGAAGGCTTCCATGGTGGCTTGGATACATGTTGATATCGTGGGCGGTACGGCGCCGACAGAACAGTTGGCTCATTCTGTGTACAAAAACTACAGAACGGCTGACAACCCGTGGCCTGAGATAGCTGGGGCGGAAGAAGAGGCTGAGGCTGAGGCAAAGGAGGAGATGTGTATAACGTTTCATAATAGGTTTGGGAGGTGTGTTGCTGAGCCGGGGGATTATGAGGCGCGCACGGAAGAAGTTATCAATATGATGGGGTTGCCCGTGTCTCAGGATGTTGCAAGATTGAAGCCAGAGGTTGCTGCAAAACATGGGTTGATTAGTGAGTGGAAGTGGTTTAAATCTGTAAGCGAGTACAAGTGTGATAATGGCACTGTGGTGAGCTTCCCTGAAGGGAGTATCTGGTTGGACGTTGTGTTCAACCTAAAGTTCGACTGGCCAGAGTATACATGGCCAGAGGGTTCTTGGGATAATTTACGGGCTGCTCACTTGTGAACATGACCATTCAGCCTGTAAGAGACTTTTAGGGCATCAGAAAATACCAGTAGGGTTAGGGCAACGATATCGGAGCAAGTCCGGCTTTTCTTGATAAGTAAGATTCAGAGGAGCGAGATCCACCGACCCACCAAGACTGGCTCATCAATTCAAAAGAAAAAAGACAAATATACAAATATCAAAGATCGAGGTCTGACTAGAACAAGAGAGGAATAAAATGGCAGAAATAACACCCATCCCAGCACCGCCTCTCGACATTCCCCAATCAAACAACACATGCGACCTCTGGGCCATAGACGCAACATGCGAACTGGTCCTGGACACGAAGCACCTTTTGCAGCCGGAGATCGAGGGCCACGAAAAACTGAATCTGCCGACATATGCATTCTACATTTATAATCCGCGCCTTGACAAGCGTGTCCTCTTCGATGCGGGGATACGCAAGGACTGGTGGAATCTTCCCCCCAAAGTCGTAAGTTCGATTACTTCAGGCGGTGTTACGGGGTTATTGGTGAAGGATGAGGTATACGATACTCTAGCAGCGCATGATAAAACCGCTACAGAGAGAAACGAGAGGCGTATCGTTGATCCGGATACGATTGATGCGGTGATTTGGAGTCATTTCCACTACGACCATGTGGGCAATATTCAGCGATATCCTAAGTCGACCAGTATCGTGGTCGGTGCTGGCTTTAAGCAGACAATTCTACCAGGCTATCCCATTCGCGCAGATTCGCCGTTGTATCAAGCGGATTTCGAGGGTCGCGAGTTGATTGAGATTGCGTTTGATGATGGATTTAAAATCGGCAAATATGATGCACACGACTTCTTTGGCGATGGAAGTTTCTATCTTGTGAGAACACCCGGGCATACGGTGGAGCACATATCGGGCTTTGTCCGAACGACGGCCGATACTTTTGTGTTTCTTGGTGGTGATATTTCACATTTTCCGGGCATGTATCGGCCGACAGCGTACAAACCTATGCCTGCAAATTTGCCGATTGATACATATCTCGACTCGCGCTTGCCGGCTCCTTGTCCCTGTTCGTTGTTCACGACGTGCCATCCAAGCCATAGCACAGAGAATGTCGACGATCATGCAGCGCGGACTCAACCATTTTATCAACCGAATGAGCAGTCGTCTTGGTACCATTCAACGACTATGGCTTTGCGCACGGTTGAGTCATTACAAGAATTCGATGCAGACGACAATGTTTTTGTAGCTATTGCACATGACAATGCGTTGAGGGATGTAGTGGATATATTTCCTAACGGAAAGATGAATAATTGGAAAGCAAATAAATGGGGTGAGAAGAGCCATTGGCATTTCGTGAATGAGTTGCCCGTTGATGGGAAACCGGGGAGGAGTGTGCTTGTAGATGGGCTTATGAAGGAGGGGAAGCCTTACCAGTGATCATCCCTGCATTCTAAGAATAGACCCCGAATTGTGCTGATCATAGTAGAAGTCGAGTCGTCTATTCGTAGGTACAAGCATACAGAATGTAACGTAGTAGATTTTGGGAACACAAGCATGTTACGTGTCTCGCAGACCTAGTAACTGGTGGAGTTCCCCGCAGATGCCAGCTCTTTGTTCGGGGAGTTACATATATGTAACATACCTTGGCTCAACAGTACGGGCTAAGCTCAAAAAAAAAAAAAAAAAACTCGTCAACACCTCAAGGAAATCACAATGGAAAACTTCTCAATTGCGGTCATCACTGGTGGCACCGGCGATATCGGGTTAGCAATCGCCAGACATTTAGCTCAGACACACTCAAAGATCATTCTTCTGGACATTGATCCGGACAAATCTCGCCAGTCTATTCTCAATTTCCCTCCAGAAATCAGTGAAAAGATAACCGGTGTTAAATGTGACGTGACCAATCCATCGGCATTATCTCAGGCAGTTGAAATCGTGCTCTCTATCAAAGGCGCGAGTTTAAAGACACTCATCAATAATGCAGGCGGCACAAGAGTTGCATCCCTTCAAGAAATGACTCCTTCAGCCTGGAAAGCAGAAATAAGCTTGAACCTTGATGCCGCCTATTTTTGCTTCAATGCATTTGCGGAAGCCCTCATACAAAGCTCCGAAGCATCCAAGAGCGTTATAAACATTTCTTCCGCAAATGGAATACTCGGAACATTCGGTAATCCAGCATATAGTACTGCAAAAGCAGGCCTCATCCAGTTCACGCGAACTATAGCCGTAGAATACGGCAAGTATGGGATTAGGGCTAATGTAGTTGCACCAGGAACTGTCATGACGGATGGTTGGAAAGCGAAAATGGAAAGTAATCCGAACGTGTTTGAGGACCTAAAGAAATGGTATCCTTTAAACAGGTTGGTGGACGTTGATGAAGTAGCCGGCGCTGTGGCATTTTTGGCGAGTGAGCAAGCTACAGGGATAAATGGAGTTTGCTTGCCAGTTGATGGAGGGTTGACGGCCGGGATGCCGCCTGTTGCAAGGAATTTTGGTGTGAGCGATTATCTGTGATTGAAGACTAATCAATTTAGAGTAGCCTTCACAGATTTGTGAAATGAAAGCATTAGTACATCGATCTTGCTCAATCTACCCTTCGCAACGGCAAGTTGGCCGTACCATGGCTCCAAAGTTCCCAATACTTGCACTATACGTCCAAGTAGCCTCTAACAAGACCTCTGGAGCACAGAATGGTTTGCACTGTATCTCATGGTTTTGTGGTACAGGAAGATTCCCGAGGATAACAGCACTGAGATCGCACATTCGCATCAAACCGGTTCCTCTTCTGAAATGGCTGAATCCAGGACGAGACTGAAACATAGGATGACCGTCTACTTCCTTGAAAGGAGCAGGGTCGCATTCTTGTTGACGGATAGAGCCTTTGAGGATGCTGGAGTCTTCTAATTCCACAAGTAGATTACCAGACTTCATATCTGTACGTTCATCAGTTCAGAGACTGATGAAGCAATCTGTGCGGATGCAGCGGATAGTTGCCTGCGCGAAGCCGCTTGTAAACACATCTGTACGCGGCTATAAATGGTGGTACGCGAAATTTGACTGTGTAATAGTTAGCAACTTGATATCTCAATTGTTCTACCGGTTGTTACACCATTAGTTTCAACGCTCGATTGGATATCGTAACTCGGTAAATAGCCACGTCGTTCTTTTTCGATGGTTCTGATAGGTCGATCGAGGTTTGTTGTCAAGAAATGAGAATCTTACTCGCAATATCCTGTAACGTGAAGGGCTTCCTTTGTTCAAAAAAAAAAGTGAGTTAGGCTCTGCCAGAGGATAATACATGCACCTATTCCTAATTATGTACAGCGCTGTACGTACTCCGTATGCACTGACAGCATATTTCAAGCCGATCAGCAGCCACCAGCCCGAATGATCGTAGTCAGCCCTACTCCAGGTGTCTCATTGGCAGCGGGACGGCGCCACTAAGGGCTGCTAGGGTGCTAGCGGGCTTTGGTATGGCTGAGTCCTCGGCCCATCCTCAATGTGGTTGCTCGTATTGGCCGGGAAAACGACAAGGATGAGACGGAGGATGTGAGACTATGATCCGTAACTTACATCAAATTCGAAAAAAGCGTGTCAAACATGAAGAAAACGGATATGGTGGGAGGGAAGAAAAAGAACGACAGGTTTGGTTCTTGATGAAAGTGCGCAGGTCACGAGATCGGCCGCCTGCAATCGCTGGAGTTTCAAGTTCAGCTGAAGCTTCCAACTAAAACCCCTCTACTGCACACTAACATGCATTAGACTCTTAGAGTCGCTTAGGCGATTTGGGGTCTGATGGCGGGTCGTCCTAGGCTATTGGCAGTCTTTTCATTTGCTTACAGCATCCCAGCAGAGGAATGATTGCAGGCCGCTAGATTCCAATTGTCAAGCTTCAATTCAGCCTCATGCGCTGCTGATTTAGCGGCGGCCATGTTCCACGAGAACGCGTCACTCATATTCTTCTGATCTCAAGAAAATTTTGATTCTTGTAGCGACATTTCCCTTTCTTTCTTTCTTTAACCATCAAGACTGATCGATCAGGGTCATTGTTTGTTGTTGTTCGGCTGTTGTTTACTTTGTCTGGATACCCCGCATCGCACAGGAACACACACAACCCGACGCCGACAAGAACGCTGAAAAGTCTATGTCGTCTCTACAAGTGAACGATCCACGTTCGCGTGGTCGCTCAAAGTCGCCCAGTGGTCGGATTCGCGAGCGGTCTACTTCGCGCGACAATCGTGCCCCTTCGCGATCGCCAGCACCGACCTCTCGAGCCGTGCCATCGAGCAAAAAGTACTACGATTCCGATTCCGCCGAGGAAGAACGACGCAAACGAAGTGAATATTCGAGTCGTAGTAGCCGTAATGACAAGAGAAGCTCCAAATATGATGACCTATCCGACTCTGAGGAGGAATACAGGGCTAAGGAACGCACGAAAGACCGTTACTACCACTCGGGTTCGGAGGATGACAAAAGCAGCAGTGTAAAGAGAACAATTCAAAACAAGGCCTCCGAATATACCAGCAGCAAATCCTCGTCACGTTATCCAGATGAAGAAAAGGATCGCGCTTATCGTCGCACAGCCGCTCATTCTCGCTCACGGTATAGTGAGTCTGAAACTGAGAGCGACTCTGATCTTAGCGCTCTGGCATACGGAGATACACATAGCCACCCGCAGCAGCAGCACCACCCATCCTCACAAGATCCGCGCTCATCGCGCGAGTCCATTACATCCAAATTGGCTGCAAAATTAGGTGGCGCTTCTTATCGGGTAGATGATTCTGCTCACGATCGTCCTGGCAGTCATCCCAGTTATGCTAAGCCGGATCAATTCGCGTACCAACAACCAGGTGCGCCCGTACATGCTCAGCCAGGACAATACGTCGACCCTAGGTTCCAGGCACAGATCAATGCTGGCCAAATCCCGCCGGTGCTGCCTCCGGATTGGGCTCCTATCCCTCCTAGCGAAATGCCAGGTTATGTACCACCAGGTGCCCATCCGCCAAGCTCGCAGTCCATCCCTGGTGCCTTTCCAGGAGGATATCCTGCAACTACGGCCGCCCCTCCTACTACCCATTATCCCCAGAGCCAAGGATATACTGCAACGCAGTCATATGCGGCACCTGGTCAATATCAATACGCGAACCCAGACCCAAATATCAGGTATGGTTCCAAGGGCAATGAAAGACAAGCATATACCGCAAGTGCGCAAAACCAATTTGCCACCCAAAAGCCTGCTTATACTGCAAGTACTGAACCGCAATTTCTCGAAATTGCACCGGGTCGTTCTCGTGCTGAGAGCGTTGGTCGTCAAGGTCGTCCTCATAGTCTATCTGTCTCCAGCAATCTTTCAGTAGGTGGTGGAATGGGTCCAGCTGCTGGTGGTCGCCCGCCGGCAAGTCCGCTCCTTGAAGCTTACAAAGGAACATATCAATCTATTTCACCGATGCCATCGCCGATTGCCCGTCCAGTCGGACTACCCCATGAATCGGACATCTCCGATTTGGAAGACCTGGGAGGCGGGTCTTCAGGGTCTGACCGACGCAGAAAGCACAAATCCAGCCGATCAAGAGACGAACGCAAAGACAAAGAACGCGAGAAAGAACGTGAACTCGAAAAAGAAAAGGAACGTAGGCGTCATTCGAGACACTCCAGTCATGTGGGCGAAGAGATTATCACGATTGCTCCAGGCTCGAGCCGGAAGAAGGTCGCTTTCTATGACCCAGAGGACGACGCAGTTGCGTTGAAAGATGCGCTATCTCGTCACACCAGTCTCGACACTAGACCGCTCATGGAGATCCTGCCGAATCTTTCCAGTGATCAAATGTTGACTTTGCGCGCAGAGTATAAGAAACACGCCAAAGTTCACAACAAGGGTATCAATATTGCGAAACATATCAAATTGAAGTTGGGAAACACCTCTTTTGGAAAAGCGTGCTATGCGACTGCGCTAGGTAGATGGGAATCTGAAGCCTATTGGGCAAATTGTTATTATCAAGCCGGCACATCTCGACGCGAACTACTCATTGAGTCGCTCATTGGTCGCAGTAATGCTGAGATCCGTGAAATCAAGAGCTGTTTCCGTGATGCGCGCTACGCCGACAGCCTTGAGAAATGCATGAAGGCGGAACTAAAAGCCGATAAATTCCGATATGCGATTCTGTTGGCTCTCAGCGAACAACGGCAGTCTGAAAAGGAGCAGGTTAGTTCAAGAGAAGTACAGGAGGATGCAGTCGCATTGCGTCGGGCGGTGACCTCGCGAGAGGGTGGTGAGACAGCAATGATTGATATAATCCTGCTACGTAACGATGCGCATTTAAGGGAGGTTATGAGGATGTATGATCATGCATACAAGTCAAACTTTGCCAAGGACGTGATTAAGAAGTCGCAGAATCTTGTGGTACGTGTCGATCATTCCTTCTGTCAAAAATTGCAAGCCATACTAACTTCTTGACAGGGAGAAACGCTCGTCCACGTCCTCAACGGCGCTGTCAATAGACCAATGCGCGACGCACTTTTGTTGCATCAAGCAATCCGCGAATCTCACAGCAGCAAAGAGCGCTCCGAACTCCTCATTTCTCGCCTCGTGCGTCTACATTGGGAGCCAAAACATTTGGAATTGGTCAAAGAGGAATACCGATACCGATACAAAGAACGCGTTGAAGAAGGCATCGCGCAGGAAATTATCACGTCGAGCGGAGGCAGTGAATGGGGAGAGTTTTGTATTGAGCTGGCCAGGAGTTCGTCCAAGATGGTGGTGTGAATCACACATTTCCATGGTCTGCTTGTGTCGTCCATCCCCGATATATACCTTTCTTTATTTTCTTTTTGCTTTTTGGATTATGATAAAAAATGAAGTTTTTACCATGTATGTACGGCCGGAGCTGAAATATCATGAGTTATGTAATAATCATTTGATGATACTGTATCGACTTGAAATTTTCAGCAAACATGTTTGTCATGGCTGATACATAACTATGTGAGAGGTGCGACGTTAAGACTTGCAACATTGACTATAGAAATGAAATCCCACACAACATCCAGACGCCGAAATACTGATCTTGAAAAGATCCGACTGCCTAGTGACTGCGAGTTGTTCATAGTTATGTATGTACCCCGTGCCTAGGAAAAATGGTGGATGAACCCTAGGGTATTAGTTTCCTCCCGACTAAATTATCAGGCAACCAGAATACTTCACATAATGTCTCTCCCATGTTTTGAGCGAACTCATTGGCTGTGAAAGGTGCACGAATCCTATTATGGCAATGGATGGATACTTTCCTCGCAAACCTCGCAACCTCGCAACGTCCATGTTTGTACAGTACCAGACGATCGCCTGAAAGTACCATAATGGACCATAATATAGATGAATAGGGAAAGGGGTCGATCCTGAGGACGAGAACTACTACGTAGTAGAGCAACCGTTATGTAGTCTATTTAAAAAACTATAGCCATATATCTCAACTTTTTTGCAAGACTTTCGACAAAAATTGATAGCTCTTTTGGATCATCGTTAGTAGTTATGAAAGACAATACATCTTATGAAAGACTTCGCTTCGCCGGTCTGTCGTGTTGTATCTTATTTTGATATACAATTGCTGACTGGCGCTCTTTTCAGGCCGAATCGAGAGGTATTTAATAGCAAAGCACTCCCTAGGCTTCTACAACAATGTCGGTGTCAGCGCATTTTACTCACATCCTTCACCTCTTTACGCTCAGCATCTTCAATCCATTATATACAAGGCATTAAAAGAAGTCATTGCCGACCATCCTGCTTTGGGGGTTAGTTTCGCGAATGAAGATGAACCTCGACCATACTATTTTCAACTACCGACGATCGATCTCTCAAAAGCAGTCACGCTCAAACCCTCCAACACAATTCCAGATCCTTCGGATCCGGAGGGTGCAAAAGCTCTAGATCTGTTGCTGGAAGAACAGCATAACCTCAACTTCAAAAATCAAGCACCCCAGGATCCTCTCTGGAGATTAACAATTGTTCACGAACCTGAAAAAAGCTCGCGATTTGTCGCTTGCTTCGTGTATCATCATGGGATATGCGACGGGACATCTGGACTTGTCTTACATCGGCATCTGCGCAGAAAACTATCCCAAATCCCAGTTAATGATGTCAACCAGGAAGCGGATGTGATAGTAACGACATCCGCAAAGACATTACTGCCATCGCTTGAAGAACTTCACCCTCTACCACTTTCTACTCGGTTCCTTCTCAAAGCAATCTGCAAAGAGTATCTAGCCATTAATCAGTCCAAGCGGCGCACCTGGACAGCAGCACCGACAACAACCGACCCATCAAAACGAACATCTCGATATCGGTCAATTCGTTTCTCGCAAGAGACTACCTCTCAGCTTCTAGCGGCTTGTCGCGCACAGTCTACTTCACTCACCGCGGTCGTGCAAACAATATTTGCCGCTTCATTGTTCGCTCATCTTCCCTTGGGTCAATTTTCAAGTTTGTACTGTGATGGGGCCATATCTTTCAGGAGATGGCTGCCGACTGATCTTGTTGATAAGGATAGTATCGGAACTTGGGTTTCTCGGTATGACTATGAGCATCGTTTCATTCACTCGACCCCGAGTGACGCTGTCAAGCTCTTTTCGTGGGGGGACGCTAGAAAAGTAAAAGCGACTATCCAAAAAGAAATGGATAATCAGGGCAAGGACAGTGTGGTTGGCTTATTGAAGTACGCAGGCGATGTGCGAAAACTCGCCAAACAGAGAATTGGTAAGCCGCGGGCTGAGAGCTTTGAGCTTTCCAACATTGGCACTTTTGGACGTGAAGAACAAGACGACGACGAAGTGAGCAGCTGGAAGGTTGGAAGAGTTGTGTTCAGTCAAAGTGCGGATGTTGTTGGAGCGGCAATGGAAGTGTCACTTGTCACTGGGAATGATGGATCTCTCAATGTCGGGTTTACTTGGTTAGATGGTATCGTTGAGGGGTCTATGATGCAGCAAGTGATTAGCACGTTTGGGCTTACTGTAGAAGAGGTGATTTCAAAGAAATGAGTTTGCTGCGATGGAACTAAAAGATAATTTTGTCAATAAAAAACATTGCAGAATGCATTTGATGCTAGCCATCAGACCGATCAATAATTCAACCTGCTGTGTCGACATGTAACAAGGCATGTCATCCTGACCGCCAGTGAGCATTGTACAAGGAAACGGAGTTGGCTGGGTACCTGATTCACTCCGAATATCCCGAGGCTATTCAGAATAATGGAGTAAATGGACCCATTTTACGGTGCTAAACAGCTTATCCACCAGTCATTTAGCTCCAACATAATTAGCAAAAGTTGGACTGGTTCGACCTTCCTAAAGGCGATTAGGGCTGGACTAGTCAGCTGGCGATAAGATAAGCCCGGATTCACCATGAGGGGAAACAATCACGGCATTTTCATTCTTCTTTTTCTTTCTTTCCTTTCTTTGATTCCTGTTCTGATTTCTATCATAAGTGTCGCGATGCGTGTTCCGGTGATTTTGACTCCTATCCTGGCTTCAGGGGCAGTCTCACGTTCTGTCTCGTTCCTCGGCCAAACCCCAATTGGGAACTATCAACACTCTAGTAATGACAACACTGTTACCCTAGATGCACCGGGCGACGATGTCTGTCCGCTGGCACCAAAAGTCACACCTCCAGACGACGGCCTGCACCCTTCGCTAGATTTTATTCAAGACTCTTCCTACCGATCGAAGCAAGTAGAGCGGTTGTCGCGTGTTGTTCAGGTGCCGAGCACTTCGACGGAGCTGGAGGATGACCCATGGAGCGACTATTATGCTCCTTTCCTTGACTTGCACGATGAATTGGCTAAGCTTTTCCCACTAGTGTGCGTTGATCTTCTTCTCTGAAAAGCAGGCATGAACTAATGAAGACAGACATTCATATGGCAAAGTCGAAAAAGTAAACCGTTTCGGCCTTGCGTATACCTTCAATGGCACCAACTCAGCGCTAAAACCCGCGCTTTTTATGGCCCATCAAGATGTTGTCCCCATCGATGATCCGAATGACTGGACTTATCCTCCATTTTCGGGCCACTATGACGGCCAATGGCTCTGGGGCCGAGGATCCAGCGACTGCAAAAACACTCTTATCGGTGTCCTGTCCGCAGTCGAGGATCTACTGAAACAAGGCTGGGCTCCGACCCGTACTCTCGTACTGTCCTTTGGATATGATGAGGAATCCAAGGGCTGGAAGGGAGCCGGTTCCTTGGCCGAACACCTCGAGAAGCGTTACGGGAAGGACAGTTTTGAGTTCATCATCGACGAAGGTGGTATGGGCATTCAGACCATCGGAGACAAGATCTATGCTATGGCAGGKGTCGGCGAAAAGGGCGCGATTGATATTCACATCTCTCTCAGCATTGACGGAGGCCACTCGTCTATTCCACCGCCGCACACGGGTATCGGAATCATCTCCGAAATCATTTATCATCTCGAACGAGAAGAGCTTTTCACGCCCAGACTCGATCTGTCACACCCATCCCGACAAGGTCTCACATGTCAAGCCAAACATTCGGCTGATTTCGTCGAGCCCTGGCTCTGGCCTGCCCTCGAGTCATCTGACTATACCGGTCTCGCCGAAGCCCTCGCTGCGTCACGCGGCGATCGGGTCCGTTTCCTCTACCAGACCTCTCAAGCAGCCGACCTCATCAATGGCGGTGTAAAGATTAACGCACTGCCAGAAAAGATTAACGCAACTGTAAATTACCGAGTCGCCATCCACGAAAACACAGACGTCGTCCGTGCTCGAGCCATCAACATCATCTCCCCCATCGCAAAAGCGCACAACCTCACTTTCACCGCATTTGGTGCAGGCGATGAAGCCCAGCCGAACAACCACCTCGACATCTCGGATTATGCTTTGCCACTCGAACCAGCACCAATCAGTCCCACGTCACCTTCCGACGCAGTCTGGACACGCCTGTCCGGCGTCACCAGGCAATTCTTCGAGTCCTTGCCAGCCTCAGGCAATAAGACTGTGCTCGTTGTCGGGGATGTCATGACTGGAAACACCGATACACGATTCTACTGGAACTTGACACGCAACATTTGGCGATTTAGTCCGATACGCCCTGATGGTACGAAGAATATTCATACAGTTGATGAGAGGATTGATATAGCTGTGCATTTGGAGGGTTTAGCTTTCTACTACGGTATGCCTCTTTCTTTGAAAACAGACATGGGATTTATGCTAACTGTGTGATTAGAGTTGATTCGAGCATTTGACACCTACGAGGATTAGTTTCCCATGTCGTCGCATGCAAAATGTGAAATTAGCACGACGTTGATATATGTATACGTATATAGGGTAAAGATAGAAATCTTTGGGTATCAGAGCATATTCAGACTGCCGTCTGCACTAAATCAAAACTATGTACATTCTGTTTCATATTCGCTATTATTATTCAGATGTGTACATTCGCAGAAAGAACACTTGGAATCTGATAAAACAAAGTAAAATAGATCCGTCTAGCGGATCAGAAATTCCCGAACTCTCCTTCCATATTCAAACCAATGACATCAGACTTAAGGCAAATTGCTCTCTCAGAGCATGAAAACACCCAAAATCGCACCAATAACACTACCCAGTAATCCGGCCGATGAAACAGCGCTGCCACCAGCGGCAAGCGCAATAGTAGGCGATGATGTAGCCTTTCCAGTGCCGGTGCTTGTGGCGGCGCCACCGGGGACAACGGTGGTCTTGACGATGGTCGATTGGGGGATCAAAGAGGTCACGGATCCGGAGATGAAGGTTGAGAAACTTGTGCTGGAGGTGGTGATGGTGCTGTTGGAGCCGCCGGTTGAGACAGAGATAACGGAGATGGGTGGGACGACGGTGGCGCTGGTTGGGATGCCGGTTACGGAGGTCGTTGATCTGGATATCTTGTTAGTATGTTTTGATCAATAGAAGTTTTGGTAGGACGGAACGAACCCTGTAGAGGTGGAAGCTGGAGTGGAAGATGCTATAATTGGTGAGCTGCTGCTTATAATCACTGCAGTACTACTACCGGTAGAGGTACTGGTTTGAGATAGAGGAGGGGTGGAGCTAGTACTGGTTCCTGTAGATGTAACCGAGCCGACTGAAGTGGTACTTCCAGTCGAAGTCGTCGATCCAGAAGTAGACGTAGTACTACCGGTAGTGGTGGTAGAGCCAGCACCACCATTCACAATCGTGAATTCACCAGATTCCGGAAATGCGCCAGTGCCTCCATTTCGGGGGTCCAAGACGACGTGGTAGTTGGTTCCATCAGCGACGCCGGTGAAGGCAGCGACATGATAGGAGAACGTAGACGTCGCGGTACCCGCGATAGAGGCCTGGGTCACACCGGTGGCGACCAGCTTTCCGGGGTTTGGGTTGGCGAGCTCGATCTCCCAGTTGGTGAAGTCGGAGGAGTCGTATGTCCAGACGACGTCGAAGCCTTGAGTTGCGTCGATGGTGTCGCCGGAAGCGGGCTTCAATATTTCAATCCCTAGTATCGTTAAAATATATTCATATGAATATTTTGAAGAGATGAACTTACCCTGCACAGCAGAGAAGAGAGTGGCAGTCGCTACAAGCGAGACGGGGACAAACGAGTGCATGATGAAAGACAAACAACGATATCTCTAAACAAAATAAAAAATAATTATTAGTATATTTGTTTTGATAAACGATTGACTTGGTCCGAACAAAATTATAGACGGGACGTAGGGTCTATATAATCGACCGAACTAGGGTAGCATAGCTTACTTCAACCCTGGAAAAAAAAGTCAAATGTTTCAAGCCGAAACCACGGATTCCCCCAAAATTAGACTTGACTTGGGATCGTCCTTTAGCGTTGGCACGTCGTTGTAAGTCACCAAGCACGGTAGCGAAAGCTGGTGAAATTTGAATGTAACTCTGGAAATTTCGTGGGAGCACAGGATCTTAACAACGTGGTTAAACCCCAGGTTTGACGTTGGAATGTCAGAAGTACTCCGTAGTAGCAGATGTTTCGGGGCTGAAAATGGAAAAGGAAGTACAGATGTAAATCAACTCGGTCGCAATTGTTCAATCGTTGTTCTCGTTAGGCAGAGTATCTCAGTGGGAGTAATTAATTTCTAGAAATATTCTTAATGATCGCGAGAAAGAAATCCTGCCCATAAATACATCCTCATAAAGTGAGACATCATAGATCATGTGCATCCAGCAAGGTACAAAGACAACCAGACAAACAACTACGTAAGGTACACATTTTTGCCCATACTCAAGAAGTCAAAGCAGCACGACATCCACAGCAATAGCTTCATTTGACTGGTTTACTTTTCCGGAGAGTACTTATGTAACACACCGCGACGAAGGCTTAGTGGATACCGATCCCTCATTCGGGGCCAACGAGAGTAGTAGATCGATTGAGATGCAACGTGCTCCAGCCAATAGAAACCAGCAGATCATCACCTTAGTCCGGTACTTTTGTTGCTTCGGACTGCTTGTTTCATATTTTCTTGTCAATTGCTTATGCCGAGCAATGAGCATCGAGGACGCTAATTTAGTCTTGTCAGGGTTGCATGCAATGCTCTTGGATTGGGGCTATCGTCAAGTATTAGTCACTTAGTCAGACATATGTGACGCAATTCCTGTTGTATGAAGTAGTGACTTGTCACTTTTGCCTTACCGAGGTCGTGGTCAGGATGCTTACAGTATGCGAACTATCGACTAGTCTGGAGATCTTCTGAGACATGTTGTTTTTCTATTCTGTCAACCAAGTCAAATGATTATGTGCTCTTTGCTTGTTCACTACGATACAACCTCACAATTAAGATAATGGAAAAAGAGAATACAGAAAATGACTATTGTCTCGGATGCGTGGGTTCGGCATACAGGAATTGTAACATTGTCATGCCCTAATTGTGATTTCTGCACTTGACTGGACCACCTCTTCCTACTACTCTGGAGTATACCCCAACGCTAGCTAACGGTAAATACGACCCCTAAAACGGCTACGCTTGACGCTGTTTTATGCGTTATTCTTCCTGTCATCTTAATTATCGAGCTCGCACGTGATCTGTTTCTGCCCACTATTTAGGGTGGATAAATTAGGGATGTCGTTATGTCCCGTAGTTTATGTTATCTGATTATAGATATTAATTATAAAATAGGAAAGGTAATTGATTCACTCTTATCGTATCGATTTTAGCTCATTTTGTCTCAATGCTTCGATGATTTGGGCACTGGTCTCAAAGTAAAGCACGCGTTGTCATCTATTGATCCGGAATGTCAAATCATCTGACAAAATCACGATATAAGTATTACATCCCTTTTTGGTGCCATACAGACTTAAGATCTACTGTAAATGCATCTGCAACAACGAAACCCCTCATCGAAATCTCTCCAAGCATCGCACAAATTGATTCCGTCTCTCGAGCGGTCGTTACTCTTGCACCTGCTACTCTCAAGGGAAAAAAAAACAACACAGCCGCCAAATTTGAGGTCTTCAAAGAGATCTCAGTAATTCGTAGAATCTCATCAACGTGATTCTGAACAACATCCTGTGAGATTGTGGGCGTGGGTATTTTGTTGAATTGAGCGCGGTAGTCGAAGATACCGGATAGATAGATGGAGATGCCGTGAAAATAGATTGTTGCGAGAACGGAATTGGAATCATATTCGGGCGTACCAGTATCGGCAGACCATTTTTGGAAGTTCGCATACCAATCGTCAAGAGTCGACCGGACCACGAAACCTTCAGCTGCAAGCTCAAGGAGGACCCTGTGAGGGGATATATTTGGACACTTGGAGCACGGGTTGAGCAGATCCCATACCCTGCGCTCGGTCAATCATACAATAATAGGATATAGAGGGCCTGGTAGTGTACTTACCGGTCACTTATCGAAGAACATGCGATCATCAAATCGAATAATAGTTCTTTTGGATGCCAGTTGTTATTATCATCCTCGTTCCAGATCTGAGTTGTGAGTGACATCCATTCCGGCTGGCAGAGAAAAGTAGGTTCCGAGTATATAAGTGCGCGGCAAATCTCGAAGACCCGTACTGTGAGAAAAAACGACCGCCCCGAGCCAGCTATATGAGCTTCTGGACCGCGAAGCTGAAGCATTTTGGACGTGCCGTACAAAAAATGCTTCACCCAGCCTTCTCCAGTCACATCGTACATGAGCTAATTGAAAAATTAACGTCCAGCTTCTGATATATATTCCACTCAAGATACTGGTTACCTACCTCGAACAGCCCCAAGAAGAACGTGGTCCATAGATTGACATCTCGAGGGGTGTTGTTGCTTACAATCTCGGCTTTCAATTTGGCAATCGAGGTGTGGTAGGCCGTGAATGCTCCCACGGCCGCATCTTTCCTTTCCGGAGGTAGAGTCGGCACCGGTCTCCTGCTCAGATCAAGTGCACCCAGGGCAATGGATGCATGATACATGCTGGGAGATCTCTGAAATTCCGATATGATAGTGCCGAGGTCTAAGGGGCCTCCAAAGTCATTTCTGGCCAGAAAGTCTGAGAAGAAATGCTTTACAAAGAGAGCTGAGCTTCCTTCTGAAACCTTGGGGCAAAGCCTAAGCAGAGGAAGCTGAGAGGCGAGCGGGAGACAGTCAGAGCCTTTAGATAGTGCCGAGGCATTGACAAAGACTATACTAGCCTGTGGCTGAATTGCTTGAGGGACGCATTGCTGTTTTCTTTTTGTGCAATACTGACAGGGAGCACCGCCTTCGCACTACTGGGAGTTAAATAGGGTAACGTTCACGGGGAAGGTAATGCTGACCTTGATTCTGCGTCGTGCACAGGCCGTGCATCTAGTGCGAGCAGTCCGCCGATCGAGTGGTCCCAGGACAGCCATTTCTCGAAATCAAATGTGGGAAATTTCCGAGCATTCTGTGCAGGAAATGGCCTGGAAATGCCTCATGACCCCTCGCTTGAACGGAGCGGCAATTGGGTACAAGCCGGAAGCTACCAATTATCTTGGCATCGAGTTCAAGATGATAATTTAATCAACATAGGTCTCCTAGGTGCTAGGTAACACCATTTCCACTATTAATTCTGTTCAAGAAATCCGGTAAAGATGAAATGGATTCCATGCCAAGACATGCCCGCTAAGTTAATCGGCCTTTCCTGAAAAGGCAGCATTCGAACGCAATTTCTTGGCACAGGAATCTCAGCCTCCAGTCATCAGTCCTAATCATAAGCGAAAGACGAGCATATTATCAAATTTCCATGGAAAGGATCCATGAACGCGCTTAATCATTGCCCGATCTGGTAGGATAGACGTCAAGATGTCCCGGCTCACATCAGCCCAAAAGGACGCCAAAGAGTCCGTGGGATTGACTCTAGAATCCTATATAAGATGGAGAAGTTTGCCCTTTTTTTCTTTCCTAAAGCACAATTCTTCCTGCCTTTGCGCTTCATTATTTTGCCATGATGTTCAAGTCCTCTAATAAACGCCTGCTGCTTGCCGGTCTCTTTACCCAGCTTCTCCCGAGCATCGGCGCGGTGTCCTTTCCCACCGCGGTAGGCTTTTTCAACACCAGCATTGCGACAACCCAGCTCATTGACCATCAACGTTTGGATCCATACGCTCCAACGCCACAGCCACGTACTTTGATGATCTCTCTATTTCATCCCGTCCCTCCAGCAGCATGTTACCCCTCCCTGACGCCCTACATGGACCCTATTAGCGCAACCTTCGAGGATGGAGAGTATGCACCGGTTGGTGTCCCAGCCGGCGCCTTCGGCTCACTTACCCTTCAAACCTGCAAGCCTTGTCCGGCTTCAAATCCCAGTCGCCGCGTCAAGGGGCCTAGTTATCCGCTTATTCTCTTCTCACCTGGCCAGGGGAATTCTCGACTCTTGTATAGCGCTGTGGTACAGCAGTACGTATTTCTTATCTGCAGTTTCCCGCTCATCTAGGCCTTCGATCAAGAGATCTCGCTAAGTTTCACTTCCCCACAGACTGGCCAGCACTGGCTACATCGTCGTAACAATCGACCATACCTACGACGCAAACATTGTGACATTCCCAGGCAATGTCACAATCCTTGCTGCAAATATTACAACCGATGCTCAAATCGTAGATGACCTGAACGTCCGCGTGAAAGACGTATCCTTCGTCCTCGACCAACTCCAGCGTCCATCCGTCATCTCAAGGCTCATCCCAGGCCGAACTTGCGGGTTGGATACCTCTAAAGTGGGAATCTACGGTCACTCCCTTGGCGGCGCCACCGCAGCTGAGGCTATGCTTTCTGATTCCCGTCTCATTGGGGGTGTTAATCTGGACGGAACATTCTTCGGCTCTGTCATCGACCGGGGGTTGGATAAGCCGTTCATGATCATGTCGCACGAAGGCAAGAATTTGACAACTGATGAGACTTGGGCTGCACTGTGGCCGAAGTTGAAAGGCTTTAAGAGAGGATTTATGCTTAGTGGTAGTACGCATGGTACGTATACGGATTTGGCGGAAGCCGCTGACTTGATTGGTCTGAGAGAGGCCTCTCCGACACAGGTGGCCGCATTATTGGGGAGTATTGATGGGGAAAGAGCCCTTCAAATTATTGGTGCTTATACTAGCAGATTTTTTGACTTTGTTTTGAAGGGGAAGAAAAGTGACTTATTAGATCGGTCCAGTGTGGAGTTTCCTGAGGTGACTGTTGGAGAAAATTAAGCCATGTCAACGAATAAGTTATCCGAGCAAACTGAATTGGGGTTAGATCGTATTATAATAATCACTGGATAGAATATAAACTAGTCTATTTATATATTCATTTTAAAGTCTAAGTAAGAGTATAGCTTTGTTGTAGGAATATTAATATGTGGTAAATAGCCATTTTATATATAATTACTAGGGCGTCACTCACCCCTGTGGAGTACTTTATGTCTCAGAGCAGAATCTCTGCTAGATTTTCGACCTTAAGCGAGAGTCTGTACATGCCATTCTCCATTTTGTTCGCAAGAAGAAAACCGCTTGCTATCAATTTCGGCAATGACTAATGAACGACGCTGTCTATCGACGAGAATGATCAAATACATTGACATTCCCTATACTTTGTGAAAAACGTCCTTCAAATAATCAAATGCTCCCAAAGGCACTCCCAAATGACGCATAATACAATACGCCGTCGTCAAATGGAAATGGAAATTCGGAATCGCATATTGCGACACATAGTCCTGGCCCGTCGCAAACCGGAAGTTGCCCATCTTGGTCTCCATGATGACTTCCTGGTCGGCCATCGCATCCATGGCTTCGGGTTTGGCGGTCTCTAGAATCTCGATTGTGCGCTTGATGCGCTCTTGGAGTTCCTCGAAGGTTGTTTCGTTGTCCTCCAATGTGGGGACCTCGTGAGGGCCAAGGCGTTGGATGGTTGATTTGGCGGTATTGGAGCAGCTTTGGACTTGGTATGAAATTCTACAGTCAAAATGTGGTCAGAGATAAAGGTGCTGTTAAGTTTCCAATGCCCGGGACAAGTCAGAGCTTACCCTCTCATGTCCTCAATCAGCCGGAATGACAGCATGGATGCCGCTGTCATACCTTCCTTTTGCTCCGCGAATTGGGCGCCCTTCGTGAGCAAGTGCGAGAGGTTGTTAAGGTAGTGAATGAAGACGGGGACCGTCTGCTTGTAAAGGCCAGGCATCTTGAATGATTATTTCGCAATTGAATACAACAATCACGGAATCAAGAAACTAGGTAGGTCTCAATGACAATTTAAATATCTACGAACTCTAAACTGCGAACGGACACGTTAATTGTCTCGAGCTGTGTCACCGTAGTTGCGGGGTGGATTGATAAGCACCATGCTAAATTGTATGTTGTTCGCAGGTTTATCCGACGCCTCGTAGCTATAAATACACACTAGGAGCTCTGGGAGCTCACAAAAAGAACTTAGCAGCCTCAGCTGAAAGCTTGAGAACCTTTATTGCTGCATTCGAGACTAGGCTGGACGGAGCTCCACTATAGACCTCAGCTCCTGGCTCTTATTTTTCGTTGGATGTTGCTCGAGTCCTACAGGATCTGTGGATAATATCGGACGGCGACTTGTTTTTAGTGGATAAAATGCCTTGTTGAGGGGAAATAAATCTTATGTAGAGCGTATTATTATCGGATATCAAAGCACCTGCCTCCTCGTCGCAGACATAGTACAGGTTTTTTGAAGTCCTTGATATTTCGCGGGTATTAAAGTTTCCATCGATCCAATGATTGTAAGGATCCAACAGAGTGCTTTTTAGATCGACGAATCAGAATAATACGATATATTATTCCATCCATCCAGTGCATCTGTCCATCAATATTCCCAATTTTGAGATTCGTGTCGGAGGGTTGGCCGAAGCAATCAGATCAGCTGAACAATGCATCAGTCTCTACAAGAGAGAATGAAGTATGCATGGTTGGAGGGGTTGATTGACAGGATGGATATTTTTCACGTTTGCTCCAGTCGAAGTTAGTTGGCATGTGTGACAGACCACGGAACGCATGTCTAGCCATGGAAAATAGACGTCGCCATCAATTTTGACGAAGGATATGATGTATTGAACGAAATGCACCGTATACAGGATATATTAAGGTATGCTTAAATCCCTGCAATATCGGACGTATTAAATTCGGCGACTTATCCGAAATGGCTGTATTTTGGTGCGCTAAGTGAGGTGAATGGCATTCCAGTCGGAAGGACCAACTTATTCCATTGTAAGAGCTATGGAAAACTTCTGATTACCTCAGAGCGCTTGAATTTCCATCTTGATAAATGGCAGCGAGGAGAAATGAACGAAGGGAAGGAGAAAACCCTCCAGAAAAATCGCGCTTTTCGACGCGCGAAAAGGCTTCTGGAATTTGTGATTCAGTGCACATACACGAGCAATTCGCTTCTTATGTCAGAATACCATGAGGTGGTCATTTCGATAGAGATGCTTCTCATTTCGCTATTTAAAGCATGCAACGCAATCTATGGCAGCGAGGCGTGAGATGCTACACCATCCTTTTTCTTCCCCATGAACAAGCTGCCCAGATGGAAGCCCGGCACAAAATAGGCAGGTCATGCTTCATCTGAAAGCACTTATGGTGTCGCAGGGTTGTTGTCAGCACCAGCTGAAAACTTGAGCAAAGTCTGATGTCTGACTCACTCTATATCATCGAGTTACAGGGCACTGAAGATCTGCTTGAGTGTCACGCCTCCTGCACTCAAGAAGCGTCGACAAACAACCAGATCGACGACAGTACATATAACAACACACCACGGCATGCCCTGCAAGGATGTTCGTGCGACTTTTTTCACGTCGATATCTCAGAGACATTTAAGATTATCTAACAAGATCACATCCCTATTACCAAACCAGCACAAGCACGAATTATCGACTACGGCTCGACGCCACTTCGTACGAGCCCGGAAACTCACGTTTCAATTTGCAGAAGCCGCAGTTGATGCTGAGGAACTGTGGGATTTTTACGTGTCTAGCGTCTCATCGGACATGAGTAACAGCGTTGACTTATTCATGATCTATCTAGTGGCTCCTGCTCTGGGGATTGAGCTGTTCGATCTTGGACAGCGAAAAATGTCAACATAAAAAGCTCTCAATGGCCAGCCTGGCGACATCCTTACGGGAATGCGCGATCAGTAAGCCAGAAGATGAGCCACCTATTTGGTTACTGTTCTTGAGGCATGAACTATGCAAGAATGAACATACAGGACAACTTTATCTCAGAAGTATGCCTATATCAACCATATACTTTAACATCATATCCAGGGCTTTTGTCTTCCCCTCCCAAATCTATACTGTACTGTGTTCTCGGTATAGGTGTGAGCAACGCGCTAGTCATGTAGCACAGCCAACAATCTGTTGCTTGTATCACCGCCACCCCCACAATCATCAAATCCAACTCCAACCACATCCCACAGCCTTCATCAAGCTAATTATCCCAAGCATACCTTTGTTCCTCGTAGATCAAGCAACATGCCCCTCAAAATTCTCTGCTTCGGCAACTCTCTAACAGCAGGCTTCCGATCCTATGGCATCAAGCCCAATCATCCATATGCACTGACCCTAAAAGAACAACTCCTCTCCGCCGAACTAGATGCTTCGATTCTAGGGGGTGATGGGCTAGTTGATATTGATGTTGAGGGGCAACCGGGTGATTTGGTGAATTGTCCGCCTGGAAGGTTTCTGGAGAGGATGAAGAGGAGATGTACGTCTCCCCCCCTCGCATGGAATAGAAGGATGTACAGACGCAAATTGGGGATATAAGTATAGAGTATTTGGATAGCTGACTAACGATGAATATGTACTATAGTAGCAGCAAAAAGTTACGATTGGATCATAGTACTGGGTGGAACAAAGTACGTACCATACCATGTCCCTTCTCAAGCCTTCAAGAGAAGAATACCGACCTAGGTAACATCCATTGACATGATCCAATGCATTAAGTGACCTAGGTTACGGCTCCTTCAGCGCAGACCAGATCTACACCGGCCTCAAAAAAACCTGGTCTCTAGCCCTATCCTCCTCGCCAACCACCAAAGTCCTTGCCCTCACAGTGCCCGAATGCGCATACAAATCCGAGAAATTAGATCGGAATCGAGATGCGTTGAACAAATTCATTTTGGAGCATAAGGAGGAAAGATTGTATGTCCCCCTTATACCACCCCCTCCTCTAGTTTCTCTTAAAACAGAAAGCTGTGTAGTGAGGAAGGGCAGTGCTGATTAATCCACATAGTTATGCATTTGACCTCAAATCGGCGATTCCGTATCACGACATGGATGAGCAGCGCCGAGAGGAGAATTGGGATGATGGATTGCATCTTACGGATAAGGGGTATGACTTGATGGGGGAAGTTGTTTCGGAAAGGCTTCTGGAGTTGTTGACGAAGCCCCCTTCTACTTGAAGCGAGGACTGGTTTACCTGGGTAGACATTCGTGCGATTTGGTAGAAAATAGTAGATTACAAATGCATATGTGCAAATAATCAAATCGAAATAAAGAAAGATAATTGGAACCGAGAGAAACTGAAATACAAGAAGAACAGACATGAAGATATCATATATACGTATTATGGGTGGCACCGAAAACTCCCGAGTTCTGAGAATCAAAAATAATTGGTTTGACGTCTCTGAATTCGCTCTGGGACTTGAATGTTCCTCTTCCGGAGGTTCTCAACATCTGCCGTTTTCAATGGAACCAACTCAAAGTTCTTTGGAAGTTGATCATATGGTGTTCCACCCCTATTAACATGTTAGTACTTGCAGATTCAAATGCAGGAAGAAGTGGCTTGAGACTAACTTTAACTTAATCATCACAAGGTTTCGGGCTCGGTCCTTCAAGTCGACCTGCTTCCGCGCATGGAGAACTCTTCCAGAAACCTCATCCTGAGACTTGATCTTGGACCAGCTAATGCCATGCTCCTCAACAAGACGGATGAATTGGGCGTCTTCCTCGGAGGTCCATGGTCGACGAGTTTGTGCTGGTTTCATAGGTGACACTTGGGACGATTGGGAGGCATCAGGCGCGACGGTCCCATTCGATGGACCAGCGTCTGCGCCGTGACGAGCTTGAAGAGAAGCGGCACGGTCATGTCTGGGTCGTTTAACGGTTTGCACGGGCTTCTGAGCACGCCTGTCCTGTACATCAATGCGTCTGTCATCACTCTCGAATTCTCCGTCTTCATCTTCATCCACGTCATCTTCTCGTGCGCGTTTACGCGATGCCTGGACGCCGGAATCAAGTCTTTGAGAATCAATCGGCGACACTTTGGAAGCGGTGGTTTGGCGGTCGATAAATGCTTGCGCATTTTGTGGTCTGCCGTTTGCTCGTCCCTGATGAGCCAATTGCGCACCAGGCGACCCGGACACTCCAGGTCCTGCAGGGTACCGCGAAGCCGGCGTCACTGGGAGCGATCTCCGTGCGATCGGCTTGGCAGTAAGTCTCGAGAGTTGGCGTCCAAAGTCTGGCGTCGTTTGTTTACCACCTGTACTCAGACGCTCTTTGGCGCGAGTCAAGGCTACAATGTTCTGGAATCCCCCAAAAGATTGTCGCTCTCTTGCTTCACGCCTTTCCATGATCTCCGCTGGCGGAAGCAGCTCACGTCGCTGTTGCTGGCTAGCCTGTCTTTGAGACGTTGGCTCGGCATTATCTCCCATTTGAGTGTCATGAACTATATCCTCTTGGCCTCCTTGACTCATTGCGTTTTCAAGCTTCTCAAGCACGTCCTCCACACGTGGTTGTTGATCAAGGTGACTGTTGAGTTCTTCATTTCTTGAACKAAGCCATTTTGCCACAGTGAAAATGAATTCCTCCCACGAAAACCGCTCATCGAGTGCATCAAAGTCTACTTGACCATCTGCCTGGAAACACGCAGTAATTTCACGGATGCGGTCGTTAACTTCTTTAGTATATTGTTCTGGAAGATTACCATCAACATCTTGGAAGGATGGCAAAGAGAATCCACGAAGAGTTGGAGTTGGACTTGCTGGTGCTTGTGAATCAAGATTTGCATTATAAAACACATCTTGTAATAGCAAGTTGGGGTCAAGGTCTGTGACACCCTTATCATAGAGGAGACGCATCTTCAAGAATTGAGTTCTCACTTGAAGTGCCAAATCAAATGTCTCGCGTCGGAGACCACTGATGCCCGCATTCTTGGCCATATTCTCATTTGCTAGTGCACTGAGAAAAGGCATTGGAAATTGCCCCTCGAGTGCATACAAGCTTTCTTCGGCATCTTCTGTCATTGTAATACGAGTCAAAATCTCCAAGGCAAGTTGAGCACAGTTTGATTTGTAGATAATGCCGTCAACGCGCCAGGTCTTTGATTCATGCTCAATAGGTGGAAAAATAGCGGTCATTTTATCGAGGGAAATGTAAACGTCAGAGCCAAACAGATCTAGCTGTGAAGAAAAATTGTTACTCAGGTATTGTAACCTTCTGGTCTGGCTGCTTTTTGGATTGGCCAAGTGCCGTGCTAACTCCGCGATGCGGCTAGGCGACGAGAAACTGGAGGAGAAAAACTCGAGAAGCCTTGTAGATGCAGCTTGGAGGTTGGGAAGCGCTTCAACCATAGCAACGGCATCAATCTCACCACTATCAGCATCAGAGTCTCCTGGTTGGAGTGTCGCGCCAGACATATCATGGCCATTTGGCGAGTCTACAATAGCTTCATGTGCCAGTTCGCTATCCAGCTGCTGTTTTACCGCACTTGAGGAGACCGCGGAAGACTCAGGTTCCTCAGAGTCTTCTTCACCAACAGGCGCTAGTTCTGTCGAGAAATGGTCAGTGCCTGCGAATTTGGATTGTGAGGTGATGCTGATGTGAGGTGAATCGAAGTTATATATAAAGCACCAAGTGCGGAAATGAGGAAGCAAGAGAGTATCACGAGAGATGAGGTCAATCAGAAGCGAAGAGTTTGGTTGCAGGTGACTTAAAATAATCAAAGTTGGTAATCGTAATGAATCTACTCACCAGGTTGAGCTTTCTTTCCCTTACCCTTGCCGTTGCTGTTTTGGGCGATGGCATCATCCACATCACCACTTGAGCTTCTGGTGCTTCGTCTTCCGCCAGCAGCCTGCGACCGTCGAGGCGTAGCAGTTGCCTTTCCAGCTTTTGCAGCTGGCAATGGCGCTGCACTTGCAGACTTGTCTTTGGTCGTGTCGGGAGGTTGTGACGCTGTCGCGCCCGACCGCGTAGCACGCGGTGTCGGGTACTTTTCAAGTGGGTTGACAAAAGACGACATGATGATATGATAAGATAAGAGTACTAGGACATTGGGTTCAACAGGTTGAAGCAATTGAATAATGAAAAATTGTTGTCGAAGATGCTCGATCAACCGCGCTCACTGTCGTGATGTTGGGAGACAGAAATAGAGTGAGAGAGAGCCACAATCTTGAAAAAGAAAATCGGGGGGAAAGCCAGACTATCCTTACACTAGGGTTGGTTCTGCCGTTTATCACACCGCCCGTCTTTGAACCGCCGGACTAATTGTCTTGGCATTACCGTATTTGTTTTACACAAACGTCTCTCTGTAATGCAGACTGTTTACAATACTTAGTGGTCTTTAATCCACTCTTGACGAATCAGAAGCTGTGAATAAAGTTTCGAACAGAACATAACAAACATACCGCGGTCAGAAACAAGTTGTGAACGCAACCCTAACAAACGCACAACCCTTGGACTCGCAACCCTAACCAACAAATTAAAAATCCCAATGAGGACATTGCCGGCACTCGTGATGGCTTTCTGCTCAGCGATGATGGTGTACCATTTTTTTATCGAATTTTCAACATCGTGGAAATCAACTCGAAAACTTGAATCGCCCTTTTTGCCTACTTCTCGTGATACGTATAATTTTTTCAAATTCTTCTTTAGCTACCATATTGACGATTTAAGAGGCGTCGAATTGTGCTAAACTTAACCCTGACCCTATTCCTTTCCCCAACGCTCAACCCTATCCCTAACCCGAACCCTACATGTCCTGTCAGCCACCAATCACCTCAATTCCGCAAATGGTTCTATAGAACCTCGAGGCGGTCATGATTTCATTGATTTGTATATCAACAACAAAGAGTATAGGCGATTGAATCAGAATTGGAAATGACGTTGACTTTACTAGTTCTCGAAACACATAATGGAATTGTAAAATCGACTAGTTTGCGAAGCGGGCTTGTTTGCAGCGTAAAGTCTCGTAGAGTTGAACATCTTGAGGTTGACCGCTTTGCAGACCGCCTACCTTCTTGAAATGCTTACCGCATAGGAATGCCCCAATTTAGGTAAAGTGGTACCGGCAGTCGGCATTACTATTCGACCGGTATGTATTTGTGACGCCTGCTTTCGTCCCATTCGTTACTTACCAGCCATCATACCGCCATCGTATTGATTCCTTTGCTCAGTGCGCTTCATTGCTACAGACTGGTAAAAAGCCAAAAGTATTGAGTAAAAAGAAGAAATATATATTATATGGTAATAGTCGTATAGTAATGCATTTATAGAACAACACAAAGCGGGCACGACCTTAGAATATCGCTTCAATGAGGTAGATGATGCCAAAGACAAGGAAAGCGCCTGCTCCGCCCAATGTAACTGCAGGAATTCAAACGTTAGCATTGGGATATAACTCGAGGAAACAAAGAAGAACATACCCGCACGAAGACTGACTCGGCCAGCGATTGCTCGACCGCCAATGACTGCGGCAGCCGTGCAAATGCCATGGCCGGCGACAGCACCAATCGTAACCCACCAATAATCCTGACCAGCAGCCATGGCAATCGTTGCGATCTGGCTACGGTCTCCCCATTCACCAAGAAATGTCATGACAAAAGTTTGTACCCATGCAGGACTCAACAAGAGAGAAAAAAGGTTTGCCGTTCCTGCAGTAATGGTGTTTAACGAAAAGCCGCGCTCTGGCGACACTTCGCGCGACGATGCAGAGGAAACGCTTTCGGGGGGCGAAGGAAGACGATTAGTCGATCGCGTACGACCGCCGCGACCGGCCTCGAGTGCGTAGGGGGTAACTGAGGATCGTCGACGGTTCCTCAAACGTCGCTGTTCATGCTCTTTTTCTTCCAACTCCATCTCCACTTCCTTCATCTCTTCGCCGACACCTTCGTCCGGCGACATGGCATGTCCTTCCTTGAACATTTTGGCAGCGAAAACAAGAAACAGAAGTGCGGCGGCGAATTGCGTGTAGGACGCAGGTATAAGCGTAGGTACGGCGTGTCCGAGAACAGCAGAGAGGACGGTCATCGTAATCAAGGCCGAGAAAGCGGCACTAAAGACAAGTAGACGAGGATGACGCATAGCCATGAGCGCAGCAACCAAGAATGTCTTGTCACCAACCTCGGAGAACAAGATCATAGTGAAAGAGAGGAACAAGGAGTGTATAGGGCTGAAAACATTCCCCCCGCCAACGGCTCCAGTAGTCGAATCGCCTGTCTTGGTGAAGGGTTTCCTGCCAGGTGGTGCAGCTTTGTAATCGAGGGAGCCATCAGTAGTCTGCCCAGGTGATTTCGGAGGGGGGATATTGTGCGGTTTTTCGGGTAGATCGTCGGGCTTCTATTTGAAAGATTCTGTAAGCAAGTACACTCTTTAATGGGCGGCATGCGATCATACCTCAAGCAGTGTATCTCCTGTCTTTTGATCTGTGACCTCGTAAGAATCTTCATAACCAGGAATCTTCTCCTGTTCGCTGTGTGGTAGAGGACGAGCCTCCTTAGGTGTTTCTGGCTTCTTGTCTTTGTATTGCTTGGTATCCTTGGTCTTTTCCGTCATACCACCTTCGGTGCCTCGTGTGCCCTCTTTGGGACCCAATCGACCAGGATCGTCCATGACTCCTTCATTCGAATTTGGGATCGCTTTGCCGTCAACTCCAACGCTGTTTCCAGCTTGTTCTGTGTCCGCAGCCGCGTACGTCTTTTTATCTGCCTTTTCCTTCTTGCGATCTCGCTCCGCGGCAGTCTCTACCCACGGCCCATCGTGAGGCTTGCCATCCTTTCCGTCCACTGGGGCGTCCAGCGTCCCTTTGGGAGCGGCTTTGGAGGAGGATCCTTTTTGCGACGAGAGATGGTCCGGAACTCCAACTGGTGGCTCAAGGATATCGGCTTTGGTGCCCGCAAGGCTGTCTGAGGAGCTTTCAACCGCAGTTGTGCCAATTGCCAATAGAACGACGGCGGCCGCAGTCGAAAGACGACTGATCCGCATTGTACGACGCGTCTAACTCGGTGATTTGAGAGGGTGATCTGGAGTGCGTGCAATCAGTGAGGTCTGATCGAGCGAGGATCTGTTGATCCACGAAAAGTGAGTGAAGTTGATTAATACATGGATAATGGTCGCTCGTATCAAAGGTATCACAAATGAAGAGCTGCTTGAAATGTCAATGCGCTCAGCAAGGCCCTGTTGAAAATAGAGAAAGCTTGTAGGTGAATTAGAAAGGACGAAAATAATGTAATGATTGAAGCCACTTGGCAAGGGGCCAGCCAGCCGCCACATGCAGCCAAGCCACCGCCCGCAACGGCATGCGCGCACGTGACCTCCTACGACTACTTATCCTCATTGGATCATCTACCTTACTTCTCCTGGACAGCGTGATTCTTGGAACATTTGAAGACTCCCCAGGAAATGTTAAATACCATGCTGCTATGCTTGCCACTACACTGATTTTGCACAGGCAATCCTGGACATGCTTCAACACGTATCTCATCCTCCTTTGCCGAAAGAGAAAAAGGTACACTGATTTCCAATTGTAGCCGAACATGTATCGGTCTCGTTTCCATAGAGAAATATCGCGTGCGATTTCTGAGCGTAAATGGTGACAATTTTTGACTATCTCCCTTGTGTCGCGAGAAATATTTTGTGGATGTGATTGCCGTTGTTCGTTCTCCGCGTTTTGACGCAGGGTCAAGATCTTTTCAAGATGATCGACATCAGTTTGCAGGTCATTAAGAGCAGAAGGCAACTTTTGAAACCGCTCGTGCAGACGCAGGCAGAATGAAGCTACATCAATGATGATAGCGGCAATGCTAGCAATGCCTCCCGCCGTCTCCAGCGTCATCTCTTCAGGCAATACAGATAGTAGTTATTTCTTGTCAATTTGAGCGGCAGTACTTTCCGACCAGTCTTTGGGGGTAGACAGCTCAATAGCTAGAACGCAATATAGTCTGGTCTATTTAAGGGGCTTGGAACTATATGCCATGACTTTTTCTCCTACAGAGCAAAGAAGACAGGAAGTGAATATTTTGGCAGACCTAAGTATTGTATCCTGTTCACAGAGTGTACACCCTGACTACGAGCACATTCCCTCGTAGTTCACACCTTACATTTTGAGCCTACTGAATCATTTCACAAAGAATAATCAACACCAGAAACTTGAACCGTGCTTCTCATTATCGCTCAAAGAGATACAGAATCACCTACTAAGCCTTGACTTGTACTTATTCCATGAAACAAGACCTTCTTTGATCGTTTCTGGTACTAAATACATGTGCACAGTACCTCCTGAAAAAATGAGTTTGCACAGATTCAGGAGCTTTTGGCTTGAAGGGATTTGCACAATGACTTATGAAATCTCGACGTTGCAAAAGATCTTTCCGAAACCAATATGTTACCATATCTCCAGCACACAAAGAGGCCCCTGATGTTTCCTCTTACAGCGTCGAGTCAAAGTTGTTAGATTTGAGGAGATATAAATACGGGGTCTCGAGCACGATGCTGAATCCTCAATTTTTCTACTGAAAAACCAAAATTCTGAAAATATCATGTGTTAGCGCCTGGAAATTCCTCTACGTTCACTCCTTTGCAATATATAGGTCTATACTTGGTCCGGCCATGGACCATCCACTTCCATCTGATGCTATCACTGGGCCCCCCGTTCCCGGGAGGAATGAAGCTCTGGAAACTGATAGGCAAAATTCATCTGATAGAGGTACGTCTTTCCCTCCCAAAGTGAAAAGATTGACTGGAAAAATGATCATACAACAATCGTACTGACATTCATATGTAATGGGCATAGAGAAATGGCCGAGGTGGTGTGGCCCAGGTTTCATTGTTCGCCATCCTCGAGACTAGGAATATATCGAGACCGGATCGCATCTGAACAGTGCAGACGCATTGATGTCGCTAGACGGAAAGAAAACTGCACTTGTGGGCCTAGCAGGAGTTGGGCAAGTATCTCATGCACCTTTTCTTTCCTTCGTGCTGACTCAAGTATTTCGCATTAATTAGAAAATCGGCACTAGCAATTGAATACTGTTACCGTATCAAAGACCAAGCACCTATGACATGGGTTTTCTGGATCGACGCAAGAAGCAGAGCCCGCTTTGAACAGTGCTTTCAGGATATAGCCGATCGATACGATGTTCATCCTGAATCTCGCTTTATTGACACAGTCAACATCGTAAAGCTGGTGCTACGATGGCTAGAATATCACGTGCAGGGGAATTGGGTTCTCATTTTCGATGGGGTTGAAAATGTTGAGAATGCCCAATTTTTGGCGCAGCAAATGCCCGTCAGAACTTGGCGAGATCGTGGATCGGTGATTTTGACGACTCGTAGCGAAGACGTTGCCTTGAAGTTTGTGGCGAAGAAGGATGTGATAGTGTTGTATCCGATGGACGAGACTAACGCGCTGTCGCTTCTCGGGAGAAAATTGGACATGCCATTTGATAGTATCGAGGACGCAAAGAAACTGATGACAGCACTTGAGTATATACCACTTGCTATCGTGCAAGCGGCAGCATATATCAATCGAGCAAGACCCCACTGCTCGTTACGCCAATATCTGGACAAGTTGGAAGAATCCAGCTCAAAGAAAATGGTTCTAGATCGGGATAGAGAACGAATCGGCCGGTGCCCGGCTATCAAAATCCCAATCCTGTCAACATGGAACATATCATTTGATTATCTATGGCAGAGTCGACCATCAGCTTCCGATTTGTTATCTCTGATGAGCTGCGCTGATCATCAAATCATCCCTGATTTTCTTATACGATTCTCCACAGAGACTATAGTAGGAGCAGATGACACCGACGATACTACATCGCAGAAGGACGAAAGACATAACATGGGACTGACAAGATTCAGCACACAGTCTACTTTCGGAAAGGATGTCCGTCTTCTGAGCGACTATGCGCTTATCACATCCAGCGCCGAAACATTCGATATGGCAGAACCGGTACAGCTCGCGACTCAGGCCTGGCTTAAAACTCGTGGCCAGCTCGATCGTTGGAGGCAAGAATTTGTCTATCGAATGGATGCAGTCTTCCCTTATTAGGACGACGAGAATATCACCTGGGATTTGCCTCGAATCCTGCTGCCACATGTGCCGGCCATTCTTGCGTACAGGCCAGCAGACAAACTGTTCCTAACTCGGTGGAGCAATCTGGCTGCTAGAGCAGGGCGCTACGCTTTGATCACGGCGAATCAGTTTGATGCAAAGAGATTGTTGGAGGCGGCGATGGAGGCTCAAAAGAGCATCCTAGGGCTAGCGCATGACGCATCATTCGATACCGCGGGCAATCTGTCAACTCTCTACGTGAAATTGAAGGAAGAGACAAAATTGAGAGATTTGTGGAAGCAATCTCTAGACAATAGCTTGGAGGTGCTGGGAGCTGAGCATCCTCGTACACGGGTTCTCATGGACTTTTTGATGAAGGTTTATTATGCTCAGCATCTCTGGGATGATGCAGAAGCACTACAAAAGCAGTTGATAGAGCTCAATGGAGCCCGACTTGGTGCGCACCATTCAGAAACACTGGAGGCACGAGACTGGCTGGCAAGTATCTGGGAAAGGCAGAATCGATTGTTAGAGGCGGAGGCGCTGTGGAAGGAACTGATAGAGACACTCAAAAATGCATTGGGCCGGGAACATGCAGATGTACTGGAGAAGTCGCGGAGCCTGGCCTTGTTCTACTATAGGCATGGCCGATGGACAGATGCAGAAGCACTGCAAGTGACTGTGATGAACATTTGCAGGAGAGTTCTCGGTACAGGCCACCTGCTTACCCTGAAAACGATGTATGATCTTGCTCTCACTTATAAACGTCGAGGCCGAGGAATGAACGCTATTGCTCTTCTGTTTCTGGTTATCTGGCTACGGAAAGATACCTTGGGATTTTCCCATCCAGACACAAAAGCTGCCTTCAAGTTGATGAAAGAGTGGAATCCACAGTTCACTTGGGATATGGTACCCTTGAGGGTTGCAACTCTAACGGATACAAGGATAAACCACCGAGTTTGAGGGCGATCCATTTGATTCGGATACAATGGGCGTGATCGGCGTACAAAGTTGTGGAGACGGTCAATGTATTGCTGTACAATTTCATGTTGTAGCCGCTAGTTTTCAGGTGACACTCATTTTATATATTCGTACGGTATCACAGGCGTATCTTCATAGTTAGTCTTTAGCTAACCCTAAAACTTTCCCACTCTAAAATATTAGCTGATCTGCTATCGTTCACCTGGTAGTAGCCTGATGGTGGACGGAGGTTGCTTGGGTGCAACAGGCGATTTTTGCGATTGCTGGTATCAATAGCGGCAAATGGTGGTTTGTTGTATCACAATCCTGTCACCCAGGCGTTATTGAGTCCTTACAAATATCCATATACTTCCGCTATTGATTCTAGCAAATACGCAATGTTCAAATCATAGCTGATTGGATATGTGCCAACAGTTCTTTCCTAGATAAAAGCTGCCTAGACTTTCAACAACCGCGACGGATTAGATTTCGCATATCACCGGCGAATCTCTTATGTATTTGTTACATGACATTCGTCAAAGTCGTATGTGGTTTGTAGAATAGGTGTGCTGTGAACTGGCACGCTTTCGGCTCGGTGCGCAGTGACGGCGGGGTAAGGTTGGCTAGAAGACAGCTTGGACTGAGCAAGTGGCATGCGAAACCTAAACAGATTTTCATCGGATTGAAATACTCCAGATATGCACGTATTGCTCAATTCAGCAAAGGATGGCCGCAAAGGCAGCGCTGGGCGTGTGCTAACAAATCTACAACGGCCGGCCAATGCATGTTGTCGTCATAATCTGATCAAGTGATCGAGAAGGTGTCAGTCAAGCAGCATTAATGATAAGGCGACAACCTTCATTGACATAGCGTCAGACTCCGAGTAATCGACAAAAACTGATGTGCATGTCCTCATTCAAGCTGTTTCTGTAACGTCGAGAATACCGATCGATACCGATAGAGGGGCCGTGGGACATGTGTACCGACGGTTAATATACCGACGGCGATCCCGTAGGACTCCGTGTTGCGCAACAAAACGCAGAAGCTTGTTTGCTTACACAGACTTGGCTTGGTCGTCGGTATAGAACAATTCAAGTTGTATGTCTAATCAAAAGGTCTGATACCAATCAGTCGAGTGCATGGCAGACTAAACCATGTCATGCGGCACTCCGGATGGCGGGAAAGCTGAAAGTATGGTGTTGGAGACGGTGGCTTAGAGGGACAAGTCGTGTGATGTCTCGTATGAGTAGACTTCTGGGGAAAAGAGGGTCTACTCCAGTTACAGTACACCAGTTGTTTCTGTTTCACGTCGTGGATGATGATGATGATCCTAAAAGAAAAGAAACAAAACGTGCCATCAATTCGTGGGGATTGGAGGAGCTAGTCAAGGCCTTAGCGGTGAGGCAGATATGGGACTGTATCGGTACTGTAAGATACCGTACCCGTCAAATGGCCAAGTATGTGTAACCATGTATGGTGTGGTAAATACACTGACCCCGTCATTCACATGCCTGGGCGGGTGGGACGCGCCTGCCTGAGATCTTCCCCGAGTCCCCCGATAACGCTGATAAGTCACAGCTCACTGACGTCTGTCTACAACTGCTATATGATCCACATTGTCTTTGCTCTTTGCCTTTTTTTCTTCCCACGCATTCTTTCTTCTGATATTTTTTAACGAGCATTGCGAACATGCATGGTGGCTTTCTGTAGATTGTTGTTTCCGCGAGGAATTTGTGGCTGATTCTTCTCGTCGGCGTTGGGGTTGCCACATATCATATACAAAAGCCTTATTGCCTTGATACGATTGACCTTATTCCCCTTATTTTCTAGCTCCTTCAATTTGTTACAGCACGCGGTCACACGTCGGTATAATGGCTTCGCAGTGGGAAAATCGCTCCAAATGGACGCTGGGTGTTCTGAGTCATCCAGAAACAGACGAGGTACCCGGTAGGATTGCCTTGGTTCTATTAACCTGACGACTTTCTAATCTCTGATGAAAGGCACGATTCTTCTTCTTGCTTCTGACCGAAACGAGCCCTTGGGTTTGCGGAATCAGCCAGCCCGGACATCGGCTTCGTCGCTTCCTTCTCCATACCCACCTAGCAGATCGTCTTCTCGTTCAGTCGCTCCCGTGGCCAAGAAGACTCCGGATGGTCGAATTGTTCTTCATCCTCAACCGGAGGACTCGGCAAATGATCCTCTGAATTGGCCCAGCTGGCGTCGAGACGCCGCCCTCCTTTCACTAGGCTTCTACTGCCTCATGGGAGGCGGAATGACTCCGGTTTTAGCTGCCGGCTTCAACAATGTGGCGAAAGACTATGGAGTGAGCACTCAGCAGGTGGCCTACACGACTGGACTTTACATGTTGGGATTGGGTTTTGGGTCTGTCATCATGGCACCGACGGCAATTCTGTGGGGCAAGCGACCTGTATATCTACTAGGAGCTACTTTGTTTATTCTTTCCGCGGTATGGTGTGCGCTCTCCCCCAACTACCCAAGTTTGGTAGTAGCGCGAATTTTTATGGGTATTGCTGTGAGCCCAGTGGAATGTTTGCCATCGGCAACAATCGCCGAGATTTTTTTCCTGCACGAAAGAGCATATCGCATTGGTATATATACACTTTTGCTTCTTGGAGGCAAAAATCTTGTGCCACTGGCTAGTGCAGCGATTATTGGAGCACTAGGTTGGCGCTGGGTCTTTTGGTACGTGTCACTCGAGTTCTGCAGCATCTGATCAGTTACTTAATAGAATTAGGGTGGTTGCCATTATTGTTGGAGGGAGTCTTGTGCTCCTCTTCTTCTTCGTTCCCGAGACATTTTGGGACCGTACTCCACGGCGCAAGCCAAAGGCCAAGCGACCTGGGTTTTACCGGAGCGTTTCTGAACTTGCTCATGCAGGATTTCGCGGAAGGCATCCAGAACGCAGGACTGACGAGAAAGTGTCCGGGCTGCAAAGCCCTGAAAGCGTACAAAGCCCTAACACTGAAAGGAGGCGAAGGGATGTGCATGTTGGCTTTGCTGAAGACCCAGTGGACGAGAAACCGGACCCCGCAATCGAAACTCCGCCTGAAGCAGGCCTGGGCTTAGTCAGTGGTGCAAATCCGCTCGGAAACGCTGCGCGTCTGTCATCAATGGACTCTGCTCGGTCCCCTGGCGAGATTCCATCTCCGACTGTTCCAAGTACCCCTCGCAGGTCGTCAGGGATCGGTCCTGGATCAACCGGAGCCGATCTTTCATCGCCAGATGCCGTCGATGTGGAGGCCTTGCGGGCACTCAGTCTATCTCCTGCGAGGCATGAGTCTGAGGAACATGTAGCAATGAATGCACCGGCACTGTACACTCACAATCTACGCGAAGGACCGCTTGTGCCTTATCGACAGACACTCCGAATATGGAATGGACGACTCAGTCACGACAAATGGTACCGAGCGGCGGTTCGCCCCTTTATTCTCTTCTCCTACCCTGCTGTTCTGTGGTCAGCTCTTGTTTATGCTTTGTCTATTGGGTGGCTGATTGTTCTATCCGAGTCTGTGGCCACGATTTATGAGAATAAAGAGACATACAACTTTTCTGCGTTGGGCACGGGTCTAGTTTACATCTCTCCCTTTGTGGGCGGTGTTCTCGGTACGGCAGTCGCGGGACGAGTGTCTGATATGATTGTCCGATATATGACCCGACGCAATGGAGGCATCTATGAACCAGAATTCCGTCTCGTAATGGCGATTCCTGTCGCACTTTCGACGGCTGCTGGGCTTATGGGTTTTGGATGGAGCGTGCAAGAGAGAGACGCTTGGATTGTCCCTACTATCTTTTTTGGTATTATCTCATTTGGGTGCTCTCTCGGAAGCACTACGTCTATTACATTCTGCGTGGACAGCTACCGACAATATGCGGGCGAGGCATTGGTGACTTTGAATTTTAGCAAAAGTACGTTCTTCTTCTCTAACCTGTCATGACCAAGCTAATGATTCTAGATGTCTTTCATGGACTGATATTCTCGCTGTTTATTGTGGACTGGCTGAAAAGCGACGGAGCTCGGACTGTATTCCTTGCGATTGGAGGAATACAAATCGCGTGCCTTTTAACTTCTATTCCGATGTACATATTTGGAAAGCGGGCGCGCATGTGGACGGTGAAGCGGAAGTTGATGGAGAAGTTTTGACATTGTTACAATAGCACTGAACAGTTTGGTAGAGCATGGATAGATCTGCTCCCTTGGTTGTTGATTGATCTGTCTTGGATACATTAGAGTTGCGTTATCGATTGCTCTTTATGATGAGTTCATATCTTTTAAGTGCTCTACTACGTCGTATGACTATACAAAGTTACCAGTGTGTACTACGCATCAGACGCCCACAAAGAGAACTTTAGAGCCAATCAGACTGCAGTGCTCACAGCCACCGCGGTCCCTCATCCACAGATAGTGCTGTGGCGCCGCTCGCCAACCAATCAGCCCACCGGCCATCAGCCCCCGTGTCAAGGCGTGACGTCACAAGTCTGCCAGCGTGCCTCACATTGGACATTCGCAGACAGAAAGACGAATGTAAACTATGTCTTTGCAGCCCATACGTCGTTTGAGGCTATTCCTAACCTTTGCGGCATACGTAGTCCGTAGATACTTATTTCCCCCTGTTCCCACCGATATACTCTGAGATTTCTCTCTTCTTTTCTTCTCTGCGTGCGCTGATTTTTTTTCGTCGACAACAACCAGACTGTTTTTCTCGCTCGGTCTGGTAAAAAATGTGTACATATTCTCTTATTATACGAATCTACGATCATTTTTCTTATTTTCATGATTTTCCCGATGATTTTGTTGATTCCACTGACTGTGCGCTGTGTTGTGCGGAATAGGTGTGAGGGTGAAAGTGAGTATGCGCCGCTACGTTGGGCCCGATAGATAGCAGCGATGGAGGCCTGGTGAGTTGTTCCAGTCGCTTTGATTGCGCTTTTCTTCACTGAATGGCTTTCTTGCGATTTTCGAGAAAGTAAGTACCTTGCTACTACTGTCTTTCATTTTTTTCCGTTACTTCCACACTGTCTGTCTACACAGGATTCGAGGATGGTCCTCATCCCTTCCGTCTCAGCAACGCAACACCAGCCAAGCCCGCCACGGAAACGCAAAGGAAGCAGAAACGAGGCACGACGGCAGACTCGGAGAAACCATCCGGCCCTTCAGCGACACTCACTTACGTCCATACCTACCTGAGCCCTCGCCTACCAACCACGCAGTCCCTCCTACGGACTAGTCGACATTACAGGCCACGAACTACGTAGGTGACGCTCTTGCGGCGTGGCCTAGACCCCGTCCAAGCGCTCGACTCGGAGGGAGTACGATTCGATCGGGGTCAAGCCATCGCCCGGCAGTTGGTTGTTACTACCGTACTACGGAGGTAAAGCGGCACGCTACGTAATATGGCATTCTCGGACACTGTCAACTGGTGGAGGGTGCTTTAATACTGAAACGTCTCACATATAAGACCCAGAGGAGCGGGACGTCCTGTGGTGTTTCGTTCGAAATATTTTTTTTTTTTTTACCGGCGGGAGAGATTTGTATGTCAACAACGACAGTCGGGATTTTGTTGTTTGCAGATGATTAGTACTTTCTCTGCAATTTGGAATCACTGGATTTTTTCAGTATGAAAATGTCCATTTTGCGACTTTGATGTTAACGTTGGCTGACATTTATTGGTTTCGCAAATTCAGGCTCGTCGGATTATCATGGCGGAGATCAACCGATAAGATCTTCGATGCCTGGCGATTCTAATGAAATTATCAGGCATCAACAGGCGTCAGCGGGCGATCAACAAAAAATGGCGGCGACAGCAACAGTATTAATACTTTGCGAAACATTAGCTGAGCAGCCAGCGACGACGCACAACGGACGGCTTCTGTCCCGCCAATTGAATCTATGAAACCCGGGTTGCCTACAGAATACTCGGGAGACTGAGTCAGCAAGGAACTCGAGATTTCATAATGATTTTCAATGGTTTATCCACCGCCATATGGGCTGGAATCAAGGGACCGAACAGAGTGGGAATCGATCAACATGGCAGCGTGAGCCTGGATATGTGACTGATGCTGTCCCTCGCACTGTTTGATGCCTGGGGGCTACTACGTCCTGTCTGTCTGTCAGTGCCGAGTGGAGTGCTCCAGGGAGAGATTCCCATTGGCTGGCATGATATCCTCAGACACGGCCGTCTCCAGTGAACAGCTGCGGGATGATGTAAGCAGCCACCTGTGGTTGGTCGCCTGCCAATGTCGCCCCATCCATTCCGATCTCCCCCACCATCAGCAATAATGCCAGGTGATTGGCTGCGACGCCGGCATATCATTCGCTCTTCCAACTTTTTGGTAGTTCTTGCCTTCTTGCTGCAAATCTTTCCCAGCGAGTCTTCTGACTGGATCAGAGCATTCACTGTGTATCCGTTTCACTATATGGCACTATCTGACTATGACTATCTGAGTGCTTTCGCCACAGATCATTGCCATCGCATATTACAACCATGTGTCCTACGATCATCTGATTCGCTCAACCCGCAGTCATCTCCAGGTGTCCACGCCAGTACGACGCCATACTGCGTACTACTATCAGGTATGTGCCTTCTCCCCATCCACCGCACTTCCAGCTTCCTACCACAGAGGATGGACTAATTCTCCGCCTCGTGTTGAAAGCCGCAAGTCTTTATTACTAACCTGTCATAACTATTCAACTAGTGATGACCAGTTTCCAAAATTCTATGATGCTATGCTAGATTCCTGCGTCGCCCTAGCTCCCTTTTGGTTTTGCCGTCCCAGCCCGTCCCGGTGCCTGCGACCAACTTTCAAGAACCGGTTCTCACTCCGTTCGTCAGCCAACGAGCGCTCGTCTGATCACACCAGAACCCCATCTCCCAGCATTTTTCTTTCCTACCGTTCCTCTGAAATTTTGAACAACCAAGGCAGGCCTTTCTGTTAGTACTTACAGCGTACTACTAAAGCCACACGACGTGTGAAACACGAACAAGTCGCTGCGTCGTTTTTATGTCGGTCGCATCGTTCCAGATTTAAGCATATTACGTCGTCGGATCTCAGTGTATCTCTCATATATGATTTGCAAACCATCGACCCCAACAATCCCCCTAATCCGACCAACTCGACCGGTTCCACTTTCTCTGCGCTGTCTGCAATTTCGAATAGTTTCTATCCTCATCCGCGTTGCCCTCGGTCGCATTTTCGCGTCTGCTGTCGAGAACCGCCCCACCCCAGCCAAAGAGACGAATTGTGACATTTGATAATCGTACGCCTTCGCTCTGCCTGCCCATTGCCGATCTGGTTCTGGTCGAATCCCGTCCCGCCTGACCACTTTTCTCCGTTCCATTTCCGGTGCATTCAGTGTGTGCGTGTGTGGATACGCTGGCTAAGAGACCTCTTTCGGATTTCCGTCCATCCATCAAACGAACCTCATTTCAATCGAACTACAGTATAGTCAGAGTTCAATATCAGATATTCGCACACTGCTCGCTATCATCGTTTCACGACCGTTTTTCTTCGAACCACCTCATAATACACATACATCAGGGAGAAACGAAGTCGAGGGAGGGGCCATATCATAACCTGCCCGCCCACTGCTAAGTGAAAGAATGGTTTATATTTCGTTGCTCAGTTCTCAATCGGCTTCACAGGCGTCATAAAATAGCACAGCATGGCACCCACATATGAAGCGCTCGTCGCCCATCGCGACGACCGCCGTTTCCGCGAGCTTTACCGCTATTTTCAACCTGCGAACCCTGCCGCCCTACTCTATCAACCCCAACCTGACCTACCTAACCCCTCAATCATTGCGGAGGACCCTCCGGACGCCATACCTTCAGTCGAAGACAGCCCGGGCATTCCACTAGCAGTGTCTTTGATGCCCCCTGAAGAAAATATCTCGAGCCCTAATACAATATTGACGTCGTTTGCACAGCTGGCTGCTCAMAAGTTGAATGTGGAASGAGCCATAATATGGTATGTTATTTCATACTGTATCTATTGGTGCGAGGCTAACATATATCTAGTGTATTGGGTCGCGATACAGAATACATTCTGGCTGAAGCCGCCCGTGTCGAGCAGACAAATACTCAGAGTCTCTGGATCGGATACGGCAGTGACGGACGGTTTGGGCCTAAGTTAAATCTGGTAAGTACATCATATCTGAAAGCTCGGAATCAATTTACTAATCTACCAAAGAACACTGTGGCACTGCCAGCATCTACAAGATCGAATTATCAATTTCAAATAGTCAACGACTTGGTCGCCGATGAACGCTACGCAGACTTACCATTTGTGGCTAACGATCCTCATTTCCGATTCTACGCCGGCACTCCGTTGACAACCGAAAATGGCATCAATATCGGAGTGTTATTTGTTCTCGACCCGGAACCTCGGCCAAATGGATTGAATGAACATGAAAAGGAATCTCTGGGTTCATTATCACGCATGTCTATGGATTTCCTCCGCGTCAGTCGCCAAGCTGCCGAAGGACAACGTGCTCTTCGTCTATCGCGTGGTCTGAGCTGCTTTGTGGAAGGAAGTTCCAGTTTTGTAGACGGCCTCGGCTCACTTCCTTCCGGCTCTCGATCTGGTTCTCATCTCGACTCGCATTCTGGCTCGCATACCGGTTCGCAAGACTCACACAGTGGTTCTCATCATGGCTCCGCCATCTCTTCCACCTCTGCCCGCTCGTCGGCGTCACCTCCAGCTGTTGGTAGTCCAACCACCCGGTCTCGGAGGTCAAGAGGGTCGCGAGGGTCGCGTGGGAGTAGCATAGATGTACGACCCAGCCGGTCACCAGGCCCGTCATCATCTGAAGGCAAGGATACAGGAACTTCTTCAGACGTGACGACACCACTTCCCGATTGGCTACTTCATGGAACAAAGAGCTCCAAAGCTCGCTTGGCTGATGAAATGCACAACAATCATTGGACGTTCCGCCGTGCAGCGAATTTGATCCGCGAAAGTTTGGGATTGAATGGTGACGGCGGTGTCATTTTCCTTGAAAATAGCAACATGCCAACGGACGCTGAAAATGGACGGATGGAATATTTCGAGGAAGCGGACATTCCGGCCTCAGTACTAGGAGTATCGACAAATGAAGAGCCATTTGCTCCCGAACCCGGATGCAACGCAACATGTCCTGCTGCAAATACCGACCGACGATTTCTTCAGAATGTACTTCGTCGATATCCCAAGGGTAAAGTCTGGACTTTTCACCGGGATCGAAGCTTGTTTGCCTCTTCCGATGATGATGAGAAAAGTGCGAATTCGCCAGTATCGGCAGTCAGGACCCCCAATACGCCTCCGGGTACCAGCAGAAAATGGCGGGCATCCGAAGCTACACAATTGGCTAAATATTTCCCTGGCGCAAGCCAGGTTCTCTTTGTACCATTGTGGAATGCTGCGACTTCCCAATGGTTCGCTGGATGCTTTTGTTGGAGTTCTGCTGAAACTCAGGTTTTTAGTCCCACCGTTGAATTAGCATCTATCATGGGTTTTGGGTATTCAATCATGGCTGAATTGAGTCGATTGGAGTCTATTATAGCAGACCGACAGAAGGGCGACTTTATCGGTAGTATTTCTCATGAGTTACGGAGCCCGCTACATGGCATTCTCGCGGCTGCAGAGTTCATGGACGGCACATATATGAACGAATTTCAGAAATCATTGGTGGAAACTATCAATGCTTGTGGGCGGACGCTACTTGATACAATGAATCAAGTGCTCGATTTCAGCAAAATTGTATCGCTGGAAAAGAGTTGGCGACAGGTGAAGAAAGCTCGGCGAGATCCAAAAGAGGATACGATGGACAATATCAAAGGAATTGATAGTATGGCAGCACTACTCGATACACAGACCTGCGAAGACATCTGCTTGTTAGCAGAAGAGGTGATTGAAGGAGTCTGTCTCGGTCATGCGTATGGTCGTTCGGCTGGCGGGTCTTCAGGAGTATCGCGAACGCCTTCCATGCCATCAGGCGCCGGGTCCAGTTCATTATCTACTCCAGATAGTGAGTCAAATGGCGAAATTCGCCCGGAAGTTGAGGTGATTGTCGATATTCAGAAAGGAAACTGGATTTACAAAACTCAGCCCGGTGCTCTTCGCCGGATCATCATGAACATTTTCGGTAATGCGATGAAATATACCGATACTGGACATATCATTGTACGTTTAGAGACCGTGAAGAGTGAAGACTCGTCGGCAAGTTCGAAGGTCCGAGAAGACTCTGACGAACTGGTTGTACTCACCGTTTCGGATACAGGCAAGGGCATATCTGAAGAATTTCTTCGGGCGCGCCTTTATACCCCTTTTGCTCAGGAAGACACTTTGGCTGTAGGTACCGGTCTAGGTCTGTCGATTGTACGCAGTATCGTCAAGTCTCTTGGTGGTCATATCGGCATTCGCAGTCGACCTGGAGAGGGAACAAGCGTCAAAGTCACCTTGCCTCTGTCTCGAGCGGGGCCTGATGATGGAGAATCCCCTGTGTCGCGCCCTCACCCATCAGTACCGGGTCAAGACCTGCAAATCATTCGTGAACGATTCTCGGACAAGAAAGTTGCGATACTAGGCTATGACCCAGAAAAACCCACGACCAGCACAACTTCTGTACTTGCCAAGTATGTCACTAACTGGTGTGGACTTACTATTGTGCCGTGGCCTGCCTGCGCCGAGTCGGCAGATCTGGTACTGGCTACGGATAAGGAAGTAAACGAAGAGCTGAAACTTCGACAGACGATCAAAGCTCGTGCGATAGTCGTCATCTGCAGTACCACGGTTGACTACGATACCTACCGCTCGGCTTGGTCAAAACTGACCGATGTTGTTGAGTTCTTCTACCGACCTTGTGGCCCATATAAATTAGCTCGAAGTCTACTCCGGTGCTTCAAGCAGGCTGCGGCACTTCCGCCTTCACAGTATGCCAACACTCTACATCCAAGCTTGGTCGACCGCACACGCATGGAGATTCCGGACTTGAAGAGCGGTCAGACAGGACGCAGCAGTGTAGGATCCGAGTACAACTCGACACCTTCACTGGGAGATTTGCGGACCAGCAGTGAACCACGTCTTGAGTCTGCTCAGCCGGCTCTTGTTTCGCCAACGATCGAATTACCTCCTGATATGATGGATGAAGGAATTCATGGAAGGCGTTCGGCGCCTGCTGTACCGGCACTTGACCGTGGCGAAGGCCATATTGTACATACGCTTCCAGAGGATCAGGGATTGTCGCTTATACCTGCTATACCAGACAATGTCTTGGTGGTTGACGATAACCATATTAATCTTCGACTTCTATTGACGTATCTCAGTCGGCGAAACATTGCTAATTTGGATTCGGCCGAGAATGGAAAGATGGCGGTGGAAGCAGTGGAGAAACGGATGGATGGGTATGATATTATATTCATGGGTAAGTCGACTATCTTTCGTTTTGTTTTCCTGAAAATCCTTACTAATCCTGTCAGATATATCAATGCCGGTGATGAACGGCTTCGAAGCCACTCGAGCAATTCGTTCACTGGAGAACGAGCGTGGCGAACGCCGMCCCGCCACGATCATTGCTTTGACTGGTCTCAGCAGTGCTCGTGATGAGACGGAAGCAATGACATCTGGTGTTGATCTCTTCCTGACCAAACCCGTGTCCTTGAAAGAAGTCTCACGACTCTTGGACGAGTGGCACCCCAAGTCACAAACGGATAATTAAAATGTGTTTTTATTTTCTGCATGATCAATTGCTCAGTTTACAACTCATACCCACAGCACATGAGCTAATGTCTGTTCTTCTTGCATTTCGTGTCAATGTCATAACACAAAATTTTTGTTTCTTTGCATATATGCACGTTATAACAGTTATCTGGGATATATTGGAAGCATACGAACTGATATGATACCCCTATGCGAGTTTTGATTTTCTGGCTTTATATTCAATTTTCATCCGACCCGCGACTAACGATTGGGTTCACGGCGTTTTTGTTTTCTTTTCGGGCTGGGATGGTGACGCATGTCGAATTATCATGATATGTTATATTGCTTTTTTGTCGTTCTTGAAAAGGGAAAATGACATGGCTGGCTTGTAGTCTGAATGAACAATTACCATAATCTCCTCGATAGATTTCTCAGTATTTCACTAGTTACTACTGAAGGATGACACAAAATTCTACTGGAGTTGATTGGATGACAAGAGCGCAACGTCAGTAATGGTCCATGAATGTCGATAGATTACAATAGGTTTGTAGCAGACTCCATCCCTCGCTTCCACAATTGTAAATCACTACGTATCTTTGAAGCTGTCGCACTGATGAGTAAACAAATCTGTGATCAATGCTTCCATAATCCGGAGTTTGAATGCGATTTGTTAAAGCACTGTCTTAGGGCTGAATATGCGTTTCATGCCAACAGACTAAAACAATCAACTTTGATGCCTAAGGTCACTTACCAATGGCGAGGTAGGGTTTAGCTCAGCCCCAGCCTCAGTGGGTCCGGCCAGTCTTAACTCTTACGCTGCATGTGTGCTCCAGCCTTCCCCCACGCAATATGACCCGCTCTGTCGTCTTCAGCTCGTTCGACATTGTCTTTCTCACTGCTCAGAAATTGAAAATTGTCGACATTTGCTCGGTAGTATCATTGAGACAAGTCTCACAAAACTGGGAGTTGTGTTACACTGTGCCTCTTTTGCGCAACATTCTGACGGCTGAACGAGAATCATATACGGCATAATTCCCTACTCCTCTGATTATCAGTACATCTCTATCAAATCAGTCAACAACGAGCAAGATGATGAAGAAAAAGGATGTCTACACCAACATCACCCCTCTCCCATCCTTCATCCCCCGCCAGCTAGCCCTCGATATTCTTCACAGTCACAGCGAAATCATCACCCTCAACCCTCTCGTGCTCGACCACAAACCCATCTCCGCGCCCCGCGACGCACCGGCCGAAGAATACTATTCGACATGGTACGAGATCTCGGAACGAATCCAAGTCGTTCCTGGAGCTGGTCGGTTGGGAGGTAGTAAAATTCACTTTCGTGGTTGTTTCCATGACGTGCCCTGGGGTGTACAGACGCATATCTATGCGCCCATGGGGATTGATCTACGGCATAATTACCGTGTCGCAGGCTCGCAGCCGGGCGAACCACCTGAACATCGCGAACTAGGTGTCAACGCGCCTGCTACAGGACTGTATTTACGGGAAGATATCGAGATTCGATGCAATTTCGCCATGGTGTCGTTTGTGCGCAACCAGCTAAAAGCAGCCTCGAAAGTTTTGGTGGATCGGTTGATTAAGAAGGCCGAGTTGTTGGATGCAGGTGTTTTACAGGCGATGATGGACAATGGGAGGTTGAAGACGATTAATCCGGCGGATCGGTCGAGTGTGCGACAGCAGCAACAGACAAATGTACCTCCGTCGCCTACGGTGCCAATGTCGCCGTTGCCGTCGCCACTGCGGTATCAGTCTGTCACTTCGCGACCGAGTACGAGTGCATCGAGTCAGCCGGAGGATTGGCACCAACAGCAGCAACAACAACAACAGCAGCAGCAGCAGCAGCAGCAGCAAGGAAATTTCTATCCCAACTCCGGTCTCCCCAGTCCCGGTTTCCCACCTCCTCAATCGCCTGGTAAAACATTCGCCAACGAACTCCCTGGAGACACGAGCTATTATCAGCAAACTCTCAGTCCGAATAGCGCTTACCACAGCCCTAATATACGCGACTCAATGCAATCTACATCCTCACACGGCTGGTCCTATGCGTCCTCGAACACCACAGCATCCCGACCGACGTCGACGGTCAGCGGGTATGTCCCGTATGTGCCGGCCGATAGTAGCGGCCACGGCAAACAGCAGTTTGCGGCGGAGTTGCCGGCCATGCAGGAGATGCACGAGGATGGTCAGCATCTGAAACGATGAACTGGCTGTGGTGGATGAGAAATTGAGATACCCCTTCTTTCGTTTTTTTCTGTCATGATCGTGTACTTTCCACGGTGTTGTGTATGTTTATTCTGCTTCATGACGTCAATCAAGAATGTCCATATACGTTCATACTACACTGTATAAATACCGTAATTACGATGGACAAATACACAACAAATATATTAAATATAGCGAAAACGTGACAGTCCGCCGCATTGGATTGGTGCAAATACCAGCCAGATCACATGGTTTGTGGTCCCCCGCATCCGTCCAATCACCACGGAATGTGCCAACACGAGCTTATTTGAGGCTTCTGCAAACGAGCCTCGACTCTCCCAGAACACTCACTATTGTTGCCCCCCAGCACAGACTCACTCTTTGTTCTCTTAGCAGCTGTTAGCAGCAGATAAGAAAAAGGAAGCCGCAATGAGCAGATCGTCAGCCCGCAACCAATTGTTTTGCCTCTGTCGGCGCAGGTGCAATCGTCTGGTTGGCTGATTTGATACCTTCCTGTCTTGATTGTCGATGCTCTAAGGTTTTGCTGCAGCTAATCCCGCTGACTCTAATTCCTCTTCTGCTCTATTTAAGTATTCTGCGATTGTCAAAGTGAGGGGCATTATGGTCTTTTATTTTCAATTCTGCTTGACTGTCTTGATTGCTTGTCGTGGTGACCGACTCGGCTGTCGAGTTTTGAGCCAACACGATGAAGACTACACTTCCAATCGCGCTTCTCGCCTTGAACGGCTGGACGGCGACTGCGCTACCCATTCACCACTATGACATCGGTTTCTCAGACACCGTCGCAACGACCCTCCATACGACCTACGACCACGCCGGCCCATTCCCGGTGATGACCAAGTCCTCGTCGACCAAGAAACATGCGCCTCACTTTCTGGAGTGGTGGGCCAACGAGCACTCGAAACACAGAGATGCGCTCCTACATGCTACTGAAACACGACCCTCAGCGCATCACCGCGACGGCAGCAGCAGCGGTAGCAACTGGTCAGATAAAGCGCGGAAAATGATCAATACATGGTCCGCGTTCTACGGGACCGAGTACCCGACCAAACCCTCCTCCTCGTCCTCCGCCAGACCAACCTCATTCGACAGTGGCAACGACAATTCTATTGCAACCGATCCCCTGATTGTGGGCGACGCATGCGGCGTCATCGTCGAGAATTCAGCAGATGGAGAAACATCCTTCACCACCATCCCCTGCCCATCGATCCAATCATCAAACACACGCCCGCACCGACCCGGCTATTTTGAACAATTACGCCACAACCTCGCTACCATGGACGTCGCCATGATCTGCAGCCGCTATGGCCCTGAGCTCGTCGCACTGTGCATTTTCCTGCTTGTACCTATCTCTGTGGTCGTCGTCGAGATTATAGATGCAGTTCAAGATAAAATCGTTATCGAGAAGTTTCCCGACCGTGGTCGTGGACGGGTGCGACTGACGGAGCCCGAGAGGCGGATGAGTGTGCTCGCAAAGTGTGAGAGGGAGAAAATTGTGCGGGATCAAGCCCAGAAATCGTGGGTGAGTTCGAGACGGGGGTCGAGACATGCCTCTACTTAAAGTTCTATTTGTTTCCTGCTCGTTTGTCAGATGTACATACTGCATTGCATGGATTTTTATATCGCGTATATACCCTAGTTAGTGATTTTTATAAGATTTATTATTACACGTCTTCGTTCACTCTACTTAACAACTAGCAGCTCCTCGCCCCTCCTCTCCCTCCATCGATTCGTAGCCCTGATGACTTCCTCGCATCCCTCATCCTCGAGTAACCACGCATACTTCCGCACAAACCCTTCACTCATCTCCCACGACTCTACGAGCCACGACTCCCCCCAAACCATGAATCCCGCTCCTGTCTGGCTACAAGAGGGGGAGGGGGAGGAAGAGGGATGGTTGAGCATTGATCCGAGCATATCGGAACAGAAATCATGCACATCGAGCCTTGGGCTGGCCTGGATGAGTTTGTCGCGCATACCGGCGTCCGGGAATAGATCGATCCAGGGGTAGTGCGGGGTGCGTTGTTGGGGAAGTGTTGGGTGGAGGGATGGTGGTAGTGGTGATTTCAGAGAAAGGGGAGGGGAGAGGTAGTGTGGTGTATATGCGGGATCCTCTTCATCATCATTGTCATGATTGTCAGAGGGATGGTCTTCGTCTGTGAAAAAGTGCGACATTCCGAGTATGAGGCTGTTGATGAGTGTCGCTTGCCAGACATTAAGTTGGGTTAGGATGACCCAGTTGGGCAGTTGGAGGGATAGATGGACTACTTCATCGGTTTGGTAGGGAGTGGTCACTGTGTTGGAGGTCGATCCTGTGCATTTTGATGGGACAAGGACACCGTATGGGGTGGTGTCAATCGATGCACTACTTTGGCTCTCCTCTGTTGAGTTTTGGATACGCTTCCTGAGCCCTGTCAAGATTTGTCAAAATCAAACTCGGAAACCTAGAAGCTAGAGTAAGACATACGACAAGCCCTTTGGTTCAATCTGTTCTGTTCCCGCCGACGTCCTATCCGCCCCCTCTTCCCATCAAAAGTTACTTCAAGATGCTACACAGTTACATTAGAGCTCATCGATTGAATATGAAGGGAACTTGACTTACCGCTTGGCGTATGCTCCGGAGCTCGGCGAGTGTGGACTCCATCCTCCCCCTGTCGCACTACGGCTATCTGTAGAAACACCTTCCGAATCACGCGCAAGTAAATTGAGGCGATATGCTAGCAATTACCAGCAATCTCAATATGTAGACGAGTTTAATGTGATAGAGTCAAAAAGACCAGGGCCATCGGCCATTTGAGCCGATCCGCATTCGTCTTAGCGTCATGCAAGATGATGACAAGCTAGTTCCTAAAAGGATTAGGGCTATCAGATTCTAGGGCTCATAGATTAGGAATTGAGAAGAAAATGGGAATATGAAGTATAAAAGGGAGAAAAATCTCTTCTTAAGAAACATCTGAATTAATCTAGGCTTTTACTTACTTATTTTCTCATCGTCGAAAGGCAAAATGGCACCATCCGTCCTCATCACCGGCTGCAGCGCCGGCGGCATCGGCCACGCCCTAGCCCTAACCTTCCAACGAAAAGGCTTCACCGTCTTCGCCACAGCCCGCGACATCTCCAAAATGAGTGACCTCGCCTCCTTACCCAACACGTACTGCCTGACCCTAGACGTCACTTCTAAGTCTAGCATCCTGCAAGCCGTCGAATTCGTAGGGGCCCACACAAACGGCCTCGGATTAGATATTTTGATCAACAACTCCGGTCAACAATATGTCCGCCCAATGATGGATATGGCTGAAGAGGAAGCTAGGAAGATGTTCGATGTTAATTTCTGGGGCGTCTTCGCTGTTACGCAGGCGTTTGTGGATATGATCATCTCGGCGAAGGGGGCGGTTGTGAATGTTGCTAGTATTTCGGGGTATTGGTATACGCCTTATATGAGTACGCCTCTCTTCCGTGTCTTTTCCCCCGAAAAATAGCCTTTATGTATCTAACAACCGCCGCGTTATTAGCTGTCTACAACGCCTCCAAAGCTGCCCTCGCTATATTTGGCGAAACCCTCCGTCTCGAACTTCAACCCTTCGGTGTCCGCGTTGTATCTATCATCACAGGCGCTGTGGACACAAACATAATGAAAAACTCATCCGTCCCCCAACTACCGGATACATCACGCTACCTCCCCGCTGAGAAACAGATCCTTGATCTTGCGGTTGGTAACGACAACGATGGCGTGAAGCGCATGTCTGCCGAAGACTTTGCAGAAAAGGTGGCTAACGATGTAATCGGTGGTGCAAATGGGAAGATTTGGAGAGGAGGTTATTCCTCGATTGCGAGGTTGTTTAATGTTTTGATACCGACGGGGGTGTTGGTAAGTGAATTCTCTTCACCAGGTCTCTTACTTGCTTATTGATGGTTGTGTAGGATGTGATATTATCGAAGAATCGAGGTCTTGATGCTCTTTGAGACGAGGCTTCAATCTTGTGCTCATGTAAGACGCTTAGCTGCTCAATCAGTTTTGAGAGCTTATCACTAAGTCCCGATATTAAGGCATCTGAGATTTTAAGTAGATATACGCTATATTCGGGAGGCACGATATATAATATTCTTTGACCCTTACAACAACGTAAGTTGTGATCTTTTTCTCTCCATTATAAATGCTCAATTATATGAGCACGAACGCATGTATCAGGTGTATATCACGGAGACCTCGCTTCTATGTGAGCGGGGAGTTGTAGTTAGGGCTTCTTCTCGCACGTGTCCATGGCTAAGCAACGGACCATGCAAGACCGCGAACCTACGGCCGCTGCGGATAAATCGAAGATGGCGTGGATTTTTGCAGTACGTCTTCGATCAAGATTCGTGCTTATAAATTCAATCTCAAAGTTCCGAGTAAGTCAATCCTGATCTCTGATGTGCTTTGATGTGCCATTAGCTCATATGCTACAAGTATTCAATCTCCGTTCAGAGGTCAGATGCATGTACCTGACTTCGGCAGCCCATTGAAATCGTTGGTATTGAAAAAGCCGTGGGAAGTCAAAGAGATTCATCTTTATGATGTAAATCTTAGTTTCGCCCATAAACAGACATTGTTTCCCATCAAGGAGACCCAAGCTTCCATTTTGAGGAGTTCACTAAAGAATGATACCCCCCGGTACTCCCTCGACAGGATGATTCTGTAATCTGCACATTGCTCTCCATTTCACTTGATTTGTCTTGAGTCCTGTGCGACGCCTGCGACTTTGCTTCTGACAAGGAACAGCCTCTTCAAATTAGAGTCTGGGCTTCGTTCAGGTAGAGGAGGTTTGTTGACGTGTTGTATTGGACATATTGATAGTGCACGTCAGTCCTGAATGAATCAGTTCATTATTATGGGAGCTATATCGGTTTTTTGAGGATTGTGATTTTTTTTCCCTTGGATGAGAATGCTTCAAACGCGTGAGATACTCTTTTTCTTGAACATATGTGCAGGGCCTATGCTGACAACGGTTCGTGCAAGTGTTGGTTGTATCTTGAGAAAAAGAGAATAGCCATAAAACGTTTTTGCGAAAACCGCAGTGGTCTGAAGAACAAAGCCATGAAGTATCATCAACTGCTCAACGCCATTACAGATCTACAAACCTGGGCTTTCCTCCTCTTTCGGCAATCCCAGCCAGGTTGTCAACGACGCCGTTGGCAACCGTAGCTCCTTGATCATCAAGGGCTTTGGCTTCTCAAGTTTCAAAACAATTCTTTTGTTTGTCCCTTATGGCTTTATCATCTCACATTCGCAAATTTTGCGGCTACGTGCCTCCAGCGTTGGGTTCCAGGAAAGTAGAGATGTCTTGTTGTTGTCGATTCTACAGTTGGAAATATATCTACTTCCAATGACCGCTCGTTGGGGTTGCTAGCTTACGTTATTATGAGAGTCTGGGTTCTGCTCGCCCTTTTACGTTTTTCTGGTGATATTGTTTGTATGTAGCAATCTTTTCAACATTAGCATGCCTAGATTTTTGACTTCGATGGGCTATAGCATTCGCTATCATCATATCTTCAGTCAGCGCCAACACGGCAGGTTTTATGAAGAGTTCACTTATAGATGTAATCTTCTTCATCTTGTACTGCATTGGCAAGATTGCTTGCCCCTTTGCCTCTGAAACCAGTGAAGCTCCCATATACGCGTCGGAATCAATGCGATTCTTGTCTCGTTAGCATTGCTCTTCATCACATTTGCGTTTTATGCCACAGAATAATATCAAGGCGGATTAGCTTGCTACATAGATCGCATGCGCATGGGTATGATCAGGGTGTGCTTGATGCTTTTGGGGACAAGACGAATACGGCAGGGCGAATATATATATATTCGATACTCGTACTACCAAGTACAACTTGACTTGTTTTTGAACTCTCAGGGTCTACATTTAGGAATCAAAGCTCGAAGTTTATTAAAGTGAATATTCAGTTAAATACACTTCACGATTGTTGGAACATTAACATGGTAGATGCGAGTCTTTCTCATCATAATAGTAGCGTTGGTAGTTCCAAAGTGCCATATCCGAGTTCAGTTAGGGCTTAGCCAAACATGACAGGTTCATCTTGTTCAACAGTTCAATGAGAATGATACAAAAACCCAAGTAAGAAGGCAAATGCTTCAACAGTCACCTACGTACAGGTATTTCGATGCGTTGACCTTACTGGTTAGATATCTTTTTAATGCATGATACACAGGACTTAGAGCCAGAAGAGACCTAACAATCCTATACGACCTTGACTTTACTAAATTGGAAGGTATGTCTATTCTAAGTATAACAACAGTATGCACTCACTTCACAATGACATCAACAACAGCAGACATCCTCTGCTCGAGTACAACCTTCTTAGCCTCAGTCAAAACATCCTTCAAATCTGCGACACGGGTGACTCTCTTTGTCCATAGATGGCCATTGGCAGCCGCCTTGGCTACCTCACCATAATTTGGGCCGTCCAGCTCGAGCGAGATACCCAAATCCTGATTTGTCACGGTCGATGCTACCCCCTGGGGATGGACATCGACGATACACTGACGTGTCGCACGCCAGCCACCATTGTTCAATACAATAGTCAAGAAAGGGCAGTCATGTCTGTGACTAGCCCAATACACGGCAGTTGGAACAGAAAAGACAAAGCTTCCATCGCCAGTAATCATGCAGACAAGTGGCTCTTCACTTGAATCATTCGATTCCTTGGGCTTGACATTGGGCCTGTCAGTCAAGTCGTAAAGCTTTGTTGCAAGTTTAACTCCAATAGCAGCGCCGCCAGCCCAGCCTAGACCACTTCCACCCTTGGTCAGGTGTGACCCGGGGCGGGTGAAACGAAGCTGCTCACTGAGTAAGACCTGGTTTGTGACAGAATCAGAGACAAAGTATGTGTCATCGGGCACTATGGAGCGAAGAGTATGTAGTAAGTAATCCACGGTAGAAGGTGCATCCGGTGTTTCTGCTGCACTCAGAGCACGGCTTACGACGAGTTCTTGGCCTTGTGCAAAACTAGCCTGGACGGTATTCCATCGCTCGGCGTAGGTAGACGCCGAGACTTTGCCGGACTTCAATATGTAGTCCGTTAACTGCGATAGTGCAGTAGCACTATCAGCATGGTACGTTGCGGTAGCGCCGATATCGAAAATGTTCATTTTCTCCTTTCGTGGGTCTAGATCAATGTGGAAAATCTGTGCTGATGGAGACGGCCTGACCCGCGTGGGAATCCACGGTACATCGGCATCGAGAACGAGGACAACATCCGCACTTTGGACAACTTTGGCAGCACCCGTTCCACGTGTGACCCAAGCCGGATGGTCTGCAGGGAAGCATACCTCACGAATTTCCGAATCAAAGACCCTGATACCCTTGACAATATCGACTAAGCCTATTAGATTCTTCACCGCTTGGTGGTTCCGTCCTAGATATCCAGTAATTACCAGTGGCGCTTCAGCTTTAATTAAAGCATCAGCCACCAATTCCACTGCATTTGTCGATAAGCCACCAAGGTGGCAGGACGGATTAGCACGTTCTCGAGGCTTCAAGGACTCCACAGGTGCAGCCAACATCTCCCGGGTTGCTGTCAAATAGACTGGTCCGGGTGAACCGGTGGTCGCCATGAGGACTGCTCGGTGGACCACTGTTTGCACGTGTTCCGCGGACTTAATCTCTGCCGTGTAGCGACTGTAGGGGGCCACGAGGGAGGCTTGGTTGGGAATGTCTTGGTACCATTGTACATGCTCCGATCTAGAACCGGCAGCTTCTCCATGAAGCGTGGACGGGGCAACACCAGCGAAGATAACAACAGGGGCGCGGCCGCTAGAGGCATTATGCAGGCCTTGTCCCAAGGCTGCGGTGCCAACGTCGACATGGACAATAACGCAGGCCGGGCGATGGGTGATTCTGGCATAGCCATCAGCGGCAGACATGGCAGCGAACTAAATTTGCCATTTTGGCAAGTGAGTCAGTTTATTGATCCAACTAGTCCACTCTTGGGCAAACGTTGGTCATGAAGGGGATGAAAAATTACAGTAGACGTACCTCATGCTGAAACAGAATCATACGGGGAAATTCTTTTCCCTGTAATTTAGTCCGACGCACATAGGCCTCGATGATACTGGGATGATCGGAGCCAAGCACTGTAAACAGGTAATCGACCCCAGCCTGTGTATTTTGAGGTTACATAAGCTGCCCGTAATGCAATGTCACACAATCCACGCAGATCGATGAGAGAATAAGTGTTTCACTTACCTCTGCAAGAGCTTCCAGAAAGGCATCTGCAACGATGAGTTTCGAAACCGTGTCAGACATTTTTCCCCTTTTGATTTCACTGCCGTCCAACTCGTATTTGCTATTTGCACAGCCGGCCTGATGATACACCGAGTGAGCCTAGTGCCGTCTACATTTCGACACATGGCAACAATAAGAACGAATTTATAAGGAGTTGGGCCTTGGCTACTTACCAGTGGAATAAGCGAGCGCTGGGCTATTGTATGATGCAAGTACGTACGAGCTTTCGTCTTTCTCAATGAGCAAAAAAAGCAATATGCGCGAAGTTTATATCGAGTAATCCTACATGTTGATTGCCGCTGATCCGACTTATCCATGGAACGACTGCGAGTAGTCACCATGTAATCTATAACGAAATACACTAGTATTGCATTAGTACGATGCTAGTAATTTTAGTTGAAAGTCTGGATGGTTTCGGATCATCCCGCTCAGCTTAACTCCCCACTTTTTGCCCAAAATGTCCCCAAATGACTAAAAAGAGTTAAAAGCCAACAAACTTTTAGCTTCTCTTTAAAGTTTAACCAAGCCCTCATGAATTGGGCGTATCTTGTAGGCCAATCGTATGGCCTACGAACTACTACGTATGAATCTAGTCAATCTACGTAGTCCGAATGAGTCTTCAGGATGAGCCATATATTTTCTTTTTTCGGAGACTCGTTGCTGTTTGAGAGTAGCAGCCTCAGTAGCTGCAACCTCTACGGTGGCCAGAACTCGACGAATCGACTAGCCAAGTAATATGAAAGACCCGATAAGATTACTTGATACTACTTCGTCCAGTGTGGCATGCATTTTCATCCTTAGTACGGAGATAATGGAGTGCGTACTTACTCATTGGTCAATGTGCTTCCACGCGTCCATGGGTCTCTAAATTAAATAAAACTGATAGTATCGTGTACTCCGATGCATGTACATTCGCCATCCTGTTAATACTAGGGTCTGGCCCACAACCTCTTCTCGACCCCTAGCCATTTTGCTCTGCATGTTCTGCGTCTCTGCCGGAGGATTTCCACTTTCTTTAATTGACTTCTTTCGTCTCCCACGTTGTCTTACTCCATCCATTCATTGTCACTATCCAGGGCCCACACCCACTTCAGCAAGGGGGAGGACTACTTTATTTAATCTTTATTTGGTATTTCACACCTTTGTACCCCTCTTTTGTATTCCTTTTTTTCTTTTTTTATTCGGACCGGGACTTGCATACATCTTGTTGATCGCATTGGATTTGCATGTGCGTCATACTCCAACATGTCTGATTCAGTTACTACAATCGAAAAGACCAAAGGCATCGAGCCTGCGGTGCTCGAATCGCCACGAAGCCTGGAGTCGCCCAAACCTGAGCACAGCAAGACTCCCATCGACCCTGTGCTGGAGAAGAAGTTGTTGCGCAAGTTGGATTTCCGTGTGATCCCTATCCTATGGTTCCTGTTTCTTGTCTCCTTTTTCGACCGATCCAATATTGGAAATGCGAAGATTGCGGGTATGACCACGGCGTTGAAGATGAAGGGAAATGACTACAATGTTGCTGTGACTGTTTTCACTGTTGCATATGTGGTTTTTGGTGTGCCAGCCAACTTGTTGGTTAAGAAGTTCGGCCCCAGGATCCTAGCAATCTTTATGTTCTGCTGGGGTGAGTCCAATGCACATTTAATAATTGAGTATGATCTAACCGGTCAAAAGGTCTCCTCGTCCTCGGACAGGGTCTTACCAAAACTACTTCTGGATTGATTGCCTGCCGATTCCTCATGGGCATGTTCGAAGCTGGTTTCGTCCCCGGATGTGCCTACCTGATCGGCTGCTACTACAAGCGTAACGAGTTCTTGCGTCGATATGCCGTGTTCTTCAGTGCCAACATGGCTGCCGGTGCTTTCAACGGTCTCTTCTCTACCTTGTTACAGAAGTTGAATGGCAGAGGTGGTCTTCAGGCTTGGCAGTGGTGAGTTTGGATTTGATACCAGCAAAATGAGTGACGCAAACTGATCACTATGGCAGGATTTTCGTCATGGAAGCCATCATTACCCTCTGTGTCAGCATTATCGGATTCTTCATTATCGTGCCATTCCCCGAAGACGCCAAGTTCTTGACCGAAGACGAGAAAGCTCTTCTCATGCAACGCATTGAGGAAGATGGTGGAAGTGTTCGACATGATGAGATTAATTTGCAGCGAGTGCTTTCCATGGCTGCCGATTGGAAGATCTGGATTTGGTATGCTTCATCTTTCAGTGTCATCAAAAACTGTGGGCTAATTTGACAACCAGTGTTCTTGGATATATGGCCGCCGAAGAAACTGCTAGCTCTTTGGTTGCTTTCCAGCCAACCATCTTGAAGGATCTGGGCTGGACCAACACCTCTGCACAATGGCACACCATTCCTGTCTATGCGACAGCATTTGTTCTTACCTTGAGCAGTGCATGGCTGAGCGATTACCTCAACCACCGTTTCCTGTTCACCGTATTCGGCTCGATTCTCATCATCATCGGCTGGGCAATTGAGCTGGCCCACAAGAGCACCGCCGGCGTTCTCTACTTGGGCATGTTCTTCGTCTCATGCGGTGCCTTCATTAACATGTCGACCATTGTGGTTTGGCTTTGTACCAATGTTGGCAAGGGTGTCAAGCGAACCGTCGCCATGGGCATTCTTACCGGATTCGGTAACTGTGGTGCTTTCGTATCCGGCAACGTCTTTATCACCAACCAGAGCCCCAAGTACCCAGTCGGCTTTGGCGTTGGATTGGCCTTTGGCGTTGTCGGCCTTGTTGCAACGAGTGTCTATGCAGCATTTTTGACAAAGGAAAATCGCCGCCGCGATCAGGTGCAAGGCTCCAATGAGAGGGTCTATGACAGAGAAGAGGTGGAGCAGTTGCAGGATCTCGGAGAGGCTCATCCTGATTTCCGCTTCCAGCTGTAAGCTTTAGCTTGATTTGCCTCAGCCTTGTACTATTTTCTGTTTGTATATGAGTAATTAGGATGAGTGTCAATGCCTCTAGATTTTACAATCATATCTGAATTGCCACCTTGCTAAGTATATAATTATTTGATAATTACTGCAACCTACCTATATTTCTAAACCGCCTCTGGGAAGAGAAATATTGGATGGCACATGGAGTTAGGCACAGGACCGAATGTCCATTCGTGCCTTCATCTGATTCGTGGAACTAAATGTGTCGTCTTCGGAATCCGGAGACACTGATCCGACTGATACCTAAGTTCAGAGACTGGTTGCTAGTGGCTACCTATATAGAAGACTGATAGTATTTACTTTGTCTAGATCCCTCGATCCATTGTTCTTAGTACGAACTTCAACATGCATTTGCTACAATTCTGTGCGCCTGTCAAGTTCTAGTCTAGGCCGCTGAGTTTTCCATTCTCGCTTTTTCCTTCCTGCAGGCTAGCTAGGCTAGCTGTGCCACATATAACTTATTCGTAAGCGTCGTAAGCGAATTTGTGTGAGATTATCAGAATCCAATCGGAAAATAGTCCAGATATCTGGAAATAGCCGATGGATGAAACCTTGGTGGGGGTTATCGAGGCATTTGTCGCGTAGCAACTCAAGGCCATTTATCGTCTAAGCGAATGGTACATTCGTTGTACCTGTACGGGCGTATTGACCGTGTTACCTCTTTCGATGATATAGTCACATTAGTACTCTGCATACTATGCATACTATGCAAGGATTGCTTTCCATAGACCAATAAAAGATGACAACCCGCGGGAAGAATTGAGCTATTGAATAAAATTCGCTAAGAGCCTAAAAGTCTTAAGACACACAAATTGTCGTCCAGGGCTCTCCATATACGTAATCCATGTTGGTTATACATGTTGGGTTGTGTTTGGTAATGTTCGTACACACCCACTTATGTTGGATGTGGCTATATACCAGCGACCTTTATCTAATTCGGACAATAGGCTCTTTTCCATTACACTTTCAGGCTTTCAGCCACCTGTGAGTTATTCTATTTAACCGGAAGCGCATTCATTTATGGGAAGAGTCCTCCGTTACACAGGCTATATCAACACGAAATAATGCTTTGTGGCACTCAATCACAAGCCCTCACGTCAGCCTCTTTTAGTCGGGAACAGAATACGGTACGGACCGGCGGGKCTCAATTACCACGACACCACGGTCGAATGGTACATGGCACGTAACGTAGCAGTACGACAATTGTAACTGTACGGAAGATAGCGGATGGGTCAATTTTAGTACTTAAAGACGCCTACTAGCCAGCTCCGCGAGTCCGCGGTGCGGCGGTGGAGTGACTACGGACTACGCCGCCGAAATTCCTCAATTAGTGCTCCAGCGTGCCGTCCCAGGACCCTTGATCGTCCCTTACTGGCCTACGAGCGACTCCGTACGCGAGATACGTTTCCGGAGTCGTATGCAGTAAGCTTGAAACTAGCCTCCAGACTAAACTCGCGCCAGGGATTCCGTACCCACTATTTTTTCCAGACTTCTTCGACCAACTCAAAGCTTCTAGATGTCATTGGTTTCCACATTCGAATTAGAATGTATTCCTCCCATGCTCCACTTGGGGGAATCCTTTGAGAGATTATCAGACGGTTGGTTACGAGCTTAGCGTCTATGTGGCTGATTGGCTGGATGTTGGTTTACGTGACGATCGAGCTGTGTGAAGTTGAACGTATCAAGTGATGTTGCAATTCTCTTGATCAACTATGTGATCGTCTCTCTAGACTTCAGCGGAATCAGTTTTCATATGTAGCATCGATTATCTACGTGCTGATCTATTTATTTGAAAACGTAGCATACGCATGTGAATTGGTTTTCGAAGTAAGAGCTGTAAGCTGTAACTTAAAATTCGTGGCAGTACGGAGGATTCTGTGTAATTTATTCAAGTAGTATATTGACAATTTATTGACCGTATACGAAGTATAGCCACCAGCTTACAACGCAAGACAATAGCCACTAGTTATCTGTCTCAAGCCACCCGGAATGCGTGTCGTCGCATTCTTATTATCCAACACCATGTGCTGAATACGGAGTATAGTGCGGCCCACGTTTAGATTATGCGACCCCATAATTGTTGGTTGAGATAAATGAAATGGTCAGTGTTATCCTCGTCTCTTCCGGATCGTCACTCAGATTACGATGCCGATGGATGACTTGCTTGAACCTGTATGAGATAAGATGTATCGATGTCGATCCGATGCCCCAAATATCAGCACTCCACGTTTTCTTTTTGCTCATTCGTGTGTTGTCGATCTTCTCGCATGTTGTTCCATTCGTGCTTTCGAACAATATGTGATGCCCACTAATCTTTCAATGGGGTTACTTAGTCGACATTTTGAGAATTTCTTCCCGAAAAAGAAATGAGAGAATTTCTGCTTCATCGTTTAGCCAGCCAAGCCTACGCTATAGGTTAGAGGATATTGGGACGGAGAGACATTCCCGAATTCCTCTTAATCCCATAATCCTAATACGTACTAAGTCTGTTAGGGTCGTATCTCAGAGGCCAATAGAACCATACAGTATGCAACTGTGAACCATGCAATCTGTTGGGTATGTAGTAATTATCACACTGGACACGCCAACTTACTCGTTTTCAGGGGAAATGTTGGATTATTGCTATGCTCTAGCATTTACACCTAGCACTTGAACATCCTTCATTGAAAAGAGTCTCTTCTTGAGAGACACGAATAAACCTAGTACTCGGTATGAATTATTCCGACTGATGGCAGGGCTCAGTTTCAGGCAGAGGAAGCGACGAATACAATCTTTTAGCAAGACGTAAATAACTAGTCATCTACGGAGTAGTATGTACACTAAATCCACAAACCAGAAGATTGTCTGACTCAAAATATTAGTACCAATACTGACCTAGTAGGATGAATGATTTTATTGGGCACTGATCTGCTAGGATTACAACCTTGTTAGACAATCCTCGTTTCTTTTTTTCCACCCCTTGTAAGGTATTTTTGATAGTACGTACGTATCCATACATGTATCATGCGAGCTCACCGCGAGTGGAGCGTCTCTTAAAGCCTTATTATTATCAGATCGTTCGTCTTCGACCACTTGTACCTTTGTATGACCCGGAAACTTCTAATCTAAAGTTTATATACTTGATAAATATAAGCGTCGCTTTGACTCGCTTCTCTTTTCCAAGTTTGAGAAACTTTATCTCACTTTCTTGAACCGACGTGTCAATGCTGAGAACATGGTGAGCAGCACAGTGAGTGTCCCTGACAAGGGACCGACATTCATTGCCGTGACTGGCGTTCTGTCGGGCATAGCGTTTGTCCTCGTTGTCTATAGGCTTGTTCACGGTTGGACCTTCCGAAAGGCCATCTATACGGATGATATACTCATTGCTTGTTCTATGGTATTCCTGCCTCTTCCCATCAGGTTGAAATCGGACTGACACTTTGTCCCGCAGACTGTACAAATCATTACCATAATAGTTGGAGATCTTGGTAAGACTCAAAAACCCTGCTCCGTTGTTTGTGCGTCTTGTTGCGCAAATACAGCTAACATATGGAAATAGCGAATCACTATGGCTTTGGTCGACACAAAACAGATATCGCAAAATCCGGTGGAAACCTGGTGGTAGCTTTGAAGGTGTGATTTGCTCTTCCCTCGGTCATGATTTTTCCTGTTGAGAGGGACATATTAGGGCACAAATACTAATATAGAAATCACCTTCAAATAGTACTTCTGGCTTTTCCAAGTCTTCTACAAGCTGGTGCTATGCTTGACTAAACTGTCTTTCCTGACATTCTATCTCCGCATTTTTCCCAGCAAGAAATTCCATCGCATCTGTCACTTGACCATGGGTGTTATCATTGGTGGAGTTCTCGGGTTCGTTATTGCCACAATCTTCCAGTGCGTCCCTGTGGCGGGCTCCTGGGAAAAGACGCTACCAGCGAAATGCATCAACAACGCCTGGTTCCGCTGGTGGTGGGCAGGCTACAACACCGCAACCGATATCTGGATCTGCCTTCTACCGATGCCCCTTCTTGCGCGACTACAGCTGGATACTGTGCGCAAGGTTGGTGTCATGCTCATGTTCGCTCTCGGTCTTTTCGTCTGCGTCACTAGTATCGTCCGTATCACTGCCCTCGTACAAAGTGTCTCCACTACCGATACAACATGGGGTTCATGGGATGCTTTACTGTGGAGTGGTATTGAGGCTAGCACTGGCATTATCTGCGCCTGCCTGCCCTTCTTGAAGCATCCTCTCAAGCAGATGTTTCCCAGGCTCTTCTCCTCCTTCGACAGCAGAGTCAGCCGCAGTCGACCAACATACAAACTCAGTGCTCTCTCACAAAGAGCTCACCGGACCCATCCCAACGGAGAATGGCAGAACCTTGATACGTCCAAGGTCGCTACAGGTACAGGTAGTATTGGTACGGGCGGTAGTGAGGAAGCTATCGTACCCGGTCACATTATGATGAAGACGGATATCTCGCTGAAGACGGAACGTGTATAAGACTCCTTACTCTTCACGGATGTGATAGCGAGTCAAAAGTACTTTTTGAGATGTTATGATAAGCGAATTTTGGTCGTCATGCTTACTTTCTTTTCCTTCGTTTCTTTTGTAATTATATTAATCAGGCATCTTGGTATTAGTGCTCGAGCTGGAGTTGGGTAATCGGATTATCTAGATCAATTTATTTGTCAAGTCAATATCTTTCTTTGCTTGATTCAGTGGATAAAACATCCCCAATAGAGAGAAAAGAGAAGTTTAAAGCTAATAAGCTTTGCGGACATGATACCGAGGACGATATTGAGCGATGCCCGGGGTGATACCACAAGTACACTGTTTCTGGAAAATGTGGAACTGCTCGACTCGGATTTATTTAAAATACAATTAGCACTCAAGATAAAAGGTCAGTAGCACATTCGCATAAGTTATTATGCGTTAGGAATCAAGAGGTCAGCGAAGTTCTCAATTAGGCGTGACTCAGTAAGCTCTAATTCCCAGCATCTGGGAGGGACGTAGGACACCGAGAACCAACCTTTCTGGGGCTCAGTATACTTGCACAGAATATGGCGACTATCTGCAATTGAAATATTATTCCAATCCTTCAAAACTCTAGATCTAATATACTTAAGAATTTTTGATCGTCGTAGGAGTACTTTTCACTTTCCTCCGATCAATAACTCCGTTGATATGCAACTAAGAACTAGGGCTCCTAAGCATCAATCGCCGAAATTCGACAAATCTGATTTGCATACACGATCAATTTAGTATATGGGAACATATACTCAACTTAAATGGGACTTTAGGAAATTAGGACATTCACATGAAAGACTTTGTGAAGATTGAACGATCATTACGAGGGTATTCATGTCGCCGCTTAACGAAAGGTTGAGTTGTGTACAGACCCTGCTCTTATAACCGAGTTACAGGATTAAATAAAACTTATTCAATTACGAAAAGACCCCATCTATTCAGAAAATTTGCCACACGAAGTCTTCGATTACTTGGAAGTCTTCGATTACTTGCATATGATCAGGTAAAGGTTCGGAGATATCGATTGATCGATCACATTTCACCGATGCCCCGGAGTAACTGTTGACATTGCCGGGAAGAACCAGACAATATCTGGTGGAAGCAGGAGATTCAAGTAAAGTTCTTTTTGCTTGTTCTGGGAGTTTGCTGTTAAGATACCTTTATGAAGTATCTTATTTAGGAAAATCCTTCATTAAGCCTATTCACTTCGTTTCTCCTCCTATACAGGTCTTTAATTAGAGAATGAACAAAGTACCTAAAACTAATCACAATGGCAAAAGAGTACAATGTTCCCTTTGAGGTACGCATACAAACCAATAATGTTATCAACTGCTAGCTATCGTTCGATTAACCTTGAGTTGATGATTAGCTGGACAATCCAGAACTACTGAAGTTCGATTCCTTTGTCAACAAGTGGATTCAATCAAAGAGCGGCGCCAGTTTCGAGGTTGTCGGTAAGATAAGCTTACCTCAATATAATTTTCATTTACATTATGATGCAAAAAAGCCCTACTAAGGTGCCTGAAATGAGTAGATCCTGCCACAGATACTCCCTGGGCCAGCTGCCCTACATTCACAGCCCAAGATGTCCCTCAAGTTGTTGAAGCAGCACATGCAGCATTTCAGAAGTTTTCAAAGACGTCCCCTCGACAGCGTGCGGAATGGATTATGAAATGGGATCAGCTTATCAAAGAAAACAAGATGGATATTGCCAAGATCTTGACACATGAGGCCGGCAAGCCGATCAGAGAAGCTGCAATTGAAGTTGATTTCTCCACAGCATCTTTATTGTGGTACGCGGGCGAGGCAGAGCGTATCGAAGGTACTGTTGCGGCTACTTCATTCCCTCCTGGCCGGAGAGCATTTACCATAAAACAACCAATCGGTGTCGCGGTTGGGTTACTACCATGGAACTTTCCAATCAGCATGCTTTTGCGTAAAGTCGGCCCAGCGCTCGCAGCTGGATGTACGATGATCGTGAAACCTAGTCCAGAAACGCCTCTTAGTGCATTAGCTCTTGCTTACTTGGCTGAAAAGGCTGGTTTCCCACAAGGTGTCATTACTGTGTTAACAACAGATCTCGATAATACTCCGAGTCTAAGTGAGGCTCTTTGCAAGCATCCACTCGTCAGGAAGGTCACATTCACTGGATCGACGCGTGTGGGAAAGATTATTGCTGCTCATTGTGCCGAGGGCGTTAAGAAGGTTACACTCGAGCTTGGTGGAAACTCTCCATATATCGTATTCAATGATGCCAATCTCGTCCAAGCTGCCATGTCGTTGATGATGGTGAAATGGATGAATGCCGGCCAAGCCTGCATTTCCGCCAACCGTGTTTACGTACAGTCTGGGGTTTATGAAAAGTTTGCAGAAATGGTAAAAGAGCACGCTAGCAAGATTGTCGTGGGACATGGCTCTGCTCCTGGTACCACCATGGGTCCGTTAACAAGCCCCCGTGGCCTTGATAAAGTTTTGAATCAGATTGATGACGCCACAAAATTTGGTGCCAAAGTAATTCTAGGCGGCCATCGTGTGTCCAACAACCCCGGATACTTCATAGAGCCAACGATTATCAAGGACATGACACCTGAGATGTTAATATCTCGCGAAGAAAGCTTTGCGCCTGTCCTGGCGTTGTTTAAGTTTGAAACGGAAGAAGAGGTTACAAACTTGGCTAATGATACCAGTATGGGATTGGCCAGTTATGTATTCACCAAGGACGTCGATCGCATCTGGCGCATGTTCGAGAATCTGGAGGCCGGTATGGTAGGACTAAATTCTGGTAAGTACTGTGTATCCGATTTAACCCTTGTTTCGATAATGTCTGATCGGTCGTGTGACCGATATAGCTCAATCTTCTACAATGGAAACGCCGTTCGGAGGTACCAAGGAGTCCGGCTATGGCAAGGAACAAGGCAAGCATGCTATTGAGGAGTATTTGATTACCAAGACTGGTGTTCTGGCACTTGAGGGGCAAATTTAAGAAATGGAAAAATAGCAAATCATGGGCATAACTCTTATATGGTATTTGTATTTCGTTTGAGCTGACTCTAAAAGATCTACACAATGATGGATACATCTCTCAAATGCTATACCAGATGTCGCACTTGATGCTCTGTTAAAGAGATATCAAGACATAAAAATTCCATAAATAAATATGATTTCCAATCGAATCCAAATGGAGTTTCATTAAGTCGTGACTACGTACTTATGTATTCGAGGAATGTAGGGATTTCATAACTGTACCACCATTGTTCTCCCTCCTCGACGACCCGAGGAATGCTACCTAAGAATCCTTCCGATTATCGACAGTAAGGAGAGGATTTGACACTTGCGACTCTTGGAGAATAACAAAATCATGTTGATAGCTAATATAAGAGCCAATATATAGTCATTCACGTGAACAATTACTTCAAATTCTCATATTACCAACGCGATTGTGGGATGATGTTTAAACATTATAACCTCGATGAAGGGAACTTAATCCTACAAACATTCCTGTTGAGGGCACTAACTCAACCTGACGATCTCTCCACCATGGCATCAGCTCTTTTTTTTTTTCAGAAGCTGATTTCGTGTCAACATTCCTGTGATCCGGAGCCGTCTCGACACACATGTGGATCGTAGAGTAAATCAGGACAAAACGACATTTCTAATGTCCTCAATCCTCCTCAAACTCTGAAAAGTTCTCTACAAAACGAGCTTGGGTGCTCAATACGTATCATGAGATTATTCGAAAGACGCCAGCGTCGAGTCATTTTTGTGACCACAAAATAATTCAAGTTCTGTTTACATTCACTTCTAACTCAATATTCATTCCCTCTTCTTCCTTGGAATAATTGCAAATCCAATATACCGAGTCTAGCGACACGCTGGCGTATCCTAGACATCATGTTTTACATCGGCTTKTTYAATTTTTTTAAGACACAGAAAGTGCAGGGCGCTTTGGCTTTGATATGTCTCATTACCTTTCCATTTTTGGTGCCATTGTCATCGATACTGTCTCTGAATAAATACAGACATCATCCGACCAAGGACTTTCAGTGTGGTGGTATGACAAGTTGCAATTGTTTCTTATGTTTGTTGCTGGCTAGTGAACTAATTTTGTGCTGCAACAGTAAATGCATTGCCAGGGCAAGAGATATGTCCGCAGGGCATGTGCTGTTCTCGATATGGGTATGGTATTGTCCTGAGCTTTTTTAAAGTATGGCGATCACTGATATATCTAGATTTTGCGGTACAACAAAAGAATATTGCGGTCTTGGATGCCAGAGTAACTGTATCAAAGCAGCAGAAACGAAAATGTATGCTTATTTCCCGAGGCATGGACAAGATATTGATATGATTGATACTGAGCAATCTATAGTGCCTCACCCTGTCCCGGGTCTATGACTCGATCTATCGCATACTACGAAAGCTGGGCAAGCCATCGCGTCTGCAATAAATACATGCCATCTGACATCGATCCAACACCTTATACCCATATCAATTTTGCCTTTGCACTTATCGATAAAGATGGAAAAGTCATGCTATCTCTCCAAAATGACACCATCCTGTTTGATCAGTTGAAAGATGTTCGCGACAAGAGCCTGGGTAGTAACATCGAGTTATGGATCGCAGTGGGTGGATATGCGGTAGGATCAGCGCCGTTCGCCAAACTAGCTGCCACGCAGCAAGGTCGCAAGACATTTATTGACTCGGCATGTACTTTCATGGATAAATACGGTTTTAAGGGCATGGATCTCGACTGGGAGTATCCTGCTGCTACGGATACGGGCGGCACGACAGCAGATACCAAAAACATGGTATCACTGGTAAAGGAGTATCGCGAGCAGTGTAAGAACAAAGGCCTGAGTGTGACATTACCTGGAGGAACATGTAGGTGTCATTCAGCATTGAAGAGAACTTCTTTTACTGCAAGATATCGATCTAACAAATTGTAGTCTACATGAAAGGTTTCGMCCTCAAAGGTCTSGAGCCATATGTCGACTGGTTGAACGTCATGGCATACGATCTTCATGGAAGTTGGGAGAAACCTACAATCGCAGAACCCCATACAAATCTCTCTGATATTCAACAGTCACTACAGCTTGTCTGGAACGCAGGAGTCAGTCCTGGGAAAGTCATACTCGGGCTCGCAGACTATGGCAAGACCTATACACTATCCAGTGGTTCATGCACAACTCCTGGCTGCGCTGCTACTGGCCCCGGGCTAGCAGGACCGTGTTCCAACGAAGCAGGAAGCTTGCATAATGCGGAAATTAACGCAATATTAAAAAATCATACAGACATAAAGCCCCAACTTGATAAGAAAGCAGCGGTCAAATTTTTTTCCTGGGACAAGACACAATGGTTAGTTGAAATCATGGCGGATAATACACTTACTTGCATGATAGACGCTGACATGGACTATTTTTAGGGTTTCATATGACGATAAAGAGACCCGGCAGCTCAAAAAGCAATATGCTGCAGATAAATGTCTGGCAGGGACTCTAGATTGGGCTGTAGATATGAACGGTATTTCGTCAAAAGACACGAAGGACGATCTGTAGAAGTTGATATCGCCATTCGCGAGAAATATTCTCGGTGTTCTTATCACACCTCTTCAATGTAAATCATAATACTTATTTCATTTTTTCCAATATTGCAATGACCATCAAAGCCCCTACTTGCGCAAACTTTGTAGACTGTCAGTGTACTTGATTACTCCAACGAGTTCTACCTGCTACCCTGACTTGAATTGATAGTGAGCTGTCATCTACGAGCAGTCATCGTATCGAAATATGAGACGGAATCTCGTTTATATGTTCTATCAGAGAATGAGAGTTTCTAGAGGAATTCGATTTACCTGTCTATAGTACAGATGCGTAACATAGTACCATACATACTTACCGGCATGGACCGCAAAAGCTGGCCGGCCCCACATGACTTTGGTGGGTCGGACCCAATTAGTTGTCGACCATGGATCGAATGATGTATCAAAGATGAACTTAATCGAAGCTTATTCAAACACTCACTTCAAGGACAGAGTAGTGAATCACAAATTCTCTTGTATTCGCAATATCAAGCATTTAGCGAGGTTATTTACTCACAGAGGCACGGCCAACTCTGTGCTGTAGGTTTTTTGAGCATTGGAGATTTCAATACCTGACGCAGAATCAATCGAGCCTGCTTGCTGGCTCTTTCATTCATTGATCTGTCGCTCAGCTGAGGCACCACAATATGGATGACAACCTACATGAATTAAGTTTGCTCATACAGACTCATCCAATTATCGACAATCATGCGCACAACCTCCTCACCGCTGAAAACGCACTCGAATACGAGAAATATCCGCTAGAGTCAATAACCTCGGAAGCTGCAGGTGAAGCCCTCAAGCAGGTACCCCATACCCTGTCCCACCGTCTTGCTGTCAAGCAGCTTGCGACGCTATTTGATTGTGAGCCAACCTGGGAGGCAATCAAAGATGCGCGTCAAAAGTGGATTACAGCAGACTATGAGGGATTAGTGCGGAAATGTCTCGAGGGGACATACTCGCTGTTGTTGGATGATTTGTTGACAGACCATGACATTGAAAACTACAAATGGCACAATCAATTCATTGATTCACCGTCAGGCACGAGAAGAATCGTTCGTATCGAGGCCGTTGCGTCGCAAATTCTACGTGATCTGTGGGGTCCAAATTTCGTAGTCGAAGGCTCTCAAGGCAGAGGAATTACGACGTTCATGCATGAGTTCCGAAACCGCATTCAGAAAGATTGCTTGGACCCCGTGGTATCCGGGTTTAAGTCAGTTATTTGCTATCGAACAGGACTAAATGTCAAGACAGACGATAATAGTCCATTTTCCGATTTTGATGATATGCTTCAAAATATAATTACGACTGAGCCTTCGCTTCGCATTGCCGAAAAGCAAATAAATGACTTGCTAGTGAGGATGGCATTAGAAACCATTCGAGACACGGCATTGCTACATGAATTGAAGCCCAAGCCTATACAGTTCCATACTGGCCTGGGAGATAATGACATTGACTTGGTGCTTGCAAACCCGGCCTATCTCCAACCACTAATCGAAAGATATCATGATGTTGATTTTATCCTTCTTCACTCATCATATCCTTATACTAGAGAAGCAGGATATCTCGCTTCCGTCTATCCGAATGTTTACCTTGATCTTGGTGAGGTTTACTCCATGGTTAGCAAAGACGCAGAGATTGCTATCTTACGGCAAGCCATGGAATTGACGCCTACAAGCCGTTTGCTGTGGAGTACAGATGGACATTTCCACCCGGAGACGTACTGGTTATCGAACAAGCAATTTAGGGATACGCTTGAGACTGTGAGGTTTCCTGTCCTTTCATTCGAGCATGGGATTTTTGCTGACTATGATTTCTCAGGTCCTGCTTATTCATGTCAAAAAAGGCGTACTGACTGTTGCAGAAGCCAAAGAAGCGGTAGCTGCCATACTCTTCAATAACTCGAACAAACTATACGATCTCAAGTTAACTCCACCAAAAACCGCAACCGGACAAGGCAAGTCCAAGTCAAATGATCTATTGCTTACCACATATTCAAAAGATTTGGCTGCATTAGCTGCCAAGAATCCAAGCATGATAGTCTGGATGCAATGGGTAGATTACACGGCCACAATCCGCGTGCGCATGTTTCCGATCCGCGAATTCCAAAAGATTGTTAAAGGACAGCGTCGAATAGGTATCACACTGGCAGTCCTACACATGCTACAAGACGATACGCTTGCTCCAGGTGGCATCGCCACCGGCCAATTTTATATGAGACCTGACCTTTCTTCCTTACGCAAGAATGTCGCACTCAAGTCTAATAGTGCCACTGTGATGACATTTTGGGAAGATGATAAAGGCGAACAATTAGAAGGCTGTCCGCGCACGACACTGCAACGAATCGTCACCGCATTGAACCCAATCCAAGTGACGCTTGGATTCGAGATTGAAGTTGTGATACTTCGACGCCATTTGGATGGCGGATGGGTTCCTCTTACAACAAACCACTCCTGGTCGAACGTGACAAGTGATATTCGTCAAAATGCTCTTGAACTTCTCGAAGAGATAGTAGCAACTCTGGCTAGTATAGAAATCCACATTGAGCAGTTCCATGCGGAATCTGCTCCTGGACAATTTGAGTTTGTTCTTCCACCTGCTCCGCCTCTGGAAGCTATCGATACTCTTCTCAAAGCGCGACAGACAATCCAGAATGTAGCTGAGTTGCACGGTTACCGCGCCACTCTTTACCCACGCCCATATCCCTTCGCAGCAGGTACGGCATCACATGCACATTTCTCAATCTCACCGACCACAGAAGAGGAGTCCTTTCTAGCCGGCATCCTCACCCATTTTTCAGCCATAACCGCCTTCTCCTTGGCGCAAGCAGTGAGTTATAAGCGCGTTGCATCCGGTATCTGGGCAGGCAGTGAATGGGTGACCTGGGGCACACAAAACCGCGAAGCGCCAATCCGTAAGATCAGGTCAGGTCACTGGGAATTGAAGCATATTGACGGGCTGGCGAATATGTATCTTGCCATGGCTGCGCTACTTGCGGCTGGTTATTTGGGGATTGCGCATTCATTAACCCTGACGCACGAAGATTGCCCGGTTGATGCGTCGATATTGTCCGCTACTGAGAGACAACGGCTCGGTATTAAGGAGCAAATTCCGAAAACTTTGGAGGCCAGTCTCGCAGCGCTGGAGGAGAATGATGATATGTGCGCTATATTGGGTTCAGGGTTTGTGAAAAAGTATATTGCGGTGAAGCGAGCAGAGGCAGAGAAGCTGGCGTCTATGGAGGATAATGAGAGGAGGACGTGGCTAATAGAGCGATATTGAATTGCTTCGGTCTTTTGATACGTAGGCTGCAATTGGTATAGTGAATACAACATCCAAGGTTGTTCATACTTCGTGGTATTATTATCAATATCTCGAAATCTATAAACAGATCAATCCCAATTCCTTCGTATAATAGGCCTGGCAGGATCCCATGGGCCAATCACGACATTCTTGTATTTTTGCAAGCTGATAAGCCACCAACTACACGAGCCCATCGCCAGTGCCGTGAGAATCGTACTAAGAATCGCACCGACAATCGCAGCAGCCCAGCCGCCGCGCAGTGCAGTACCGACGCCCGCACCGGCTGCAAGGACAAGAGCAAACGTTAAAAGAACATGACCCGTCCATGAGACGTGACGCAACTGTCTGCGAAAGACGGGAAATAAGCCGAATACTTCTATTGAGAATAGAGTCAGACTGAATACGTGTGTAGTTGATGGAAGACGCGATGCCAACACTGTTGATGCCATTAAGGCGGCATTAGTCGATAGTGATGCAGGGAACTTTGTAGCGTCAGCCTGTCCTTCGCCGCTACCATAGTCGAAGGAGAAGATGTTTATGATCATGAGCCAACAGCTAAGTGCCCAAATGGAGTCGCTGGCGGTAGACTTCGTAAGTGATTTTAGAATGGGACTAAGCCCGAGCAACGCGCAGTATATCAGTAGTGCCGATTTGATAGTCGCGAGGCGCTGTCCGTTGCGCCGAGATAACAATGACTTATTGTCGTCGTAGGAATAAAAGGATGGCTGCCCCAAGATCGAAGAAGAGCCTGGTGTCATCGACTGAAATGACGCAACACTCATGCCAGTGCTCCTGCGCCGCAAATGAACTTCCGAGCCTGAACGAGGGAGATCTAAGCCCAGACCATGCACGTTGCCTCCTACATGATCATTCGTCTGAGGGCCCGCCGCGGGTGTCTGGGAGGCCGTAGAACTCGCACTCGATCCATCATCGACCTCACCAGAATCCGCAAACTGTGCGGCCTTTACTTCCTCATTCTTCTCCTTCCACACCCAAGTGTCCCAAAGCACCCATCCCAGTAATGTGCCTATACTTCCGCTGCCCACGACCGATACGGGGCTAATCCTGCTTTGAAAGATTCCGACAAAACAGCATACAAATATCACCACGGAGCAAACGTGTTGAACAATAACCGTAGAATCGGCGACTAGGGGCCAGAAGTCATATGGCCGGAGGCGTGGGTTTCGCTGTAGATGATCAAGGAAGGTCTCGACATCTGTGTAGTTGTCCGGATCTGTACGTAATCAGCATTTTTCTGCCATATAAATCGCACTGAAATATCGTACATGACTGGCGAACCCATAATAACTTCTTCCAAACACCTTTGCGCTTCTTCCGTCGCCCATCTCGGAACTTGCGGATGTCATTCTTTCTAGGCTCGGTGCCAGGCACCGCAGGCGGTGGTCTGAGAGCAGCGACAGATGCGGATGTCGCTACAATTCCATCAATCGGTCGTAGATGAGATGAGCTATCTTGCCACAAGCGCGTTTGGGGGTGGGCGTAGGCATGCTCCGGAGCGAGGCGTGTCGGATCTGGGGGGACACGCTGTGGAAGCGGCGGCTTTAGTCCTCCAGCCCTGTTTGGGTGAGTTTCGACGGGGACTGGAGGAGGCACAGGAGGTGGAGATTGAGGTTGAGGCGCCATCGGGCCCCATGCGATGTTATGAGCCGAACATGACAGATGATTTCGAGCGAAATGAGGTTGACGGTGATCTGCGTTTTGCGGTCGATTAGGGATTGGTCAACTGCTATTGGCTGTTGGGCTAGAAGTCATGTGATTTCTGATGAATACGCGGCTGGGTTTGGCGGCTGATAATCAATGCGGAGTAAACATCAGACAGTCTCACTTACAATTTTCATCGCATCTCTTTGTTTACCTCACTTACGCATTAATGAAATGGACTCATGTAGGCTTTGAGCTTTCTGTCCCTTGACGGAATAATGCGCGGCACGGCCAGCATCTGTCTGGCAAATCGGTCTTGTTTTAAACTTTGAGACCGCATTTTTGATAGATCATAATAATACGCACTCTACACACAAAGATTAATGGCCGACGAAGGGATTTCCGGGAACGTGAGGTAAGCAGAAGTAATGCCAAGCCGAGACTATGCGGAGAATAAGTTCTCTCCCACGATCCTGTATCCTCTTTACCTACTGCACCTTCACTGAGACACTGAGCATTTGTACGGCTCATAGAAAGTTGCAACTAACATGTTGACCAGATCGACCAGCTTGCTGAGGCAAGCTCCTCAAGATGATGTCGTGAAGCCAGAGAAGTCTACTCCAGTTATACAACATACTGGGAAGTTGGTTCTGGCACCGGCGCATCAACTTCCAGCACATCTCATCAAGCTGCTGGAAGAATGGCACCAAGATCATCCAAATGAGCGACCATTAGCTGCATTTGAGAAGAGAAGATCAACGGAGGAAGACAAGGTATATAGTATGCTCTCCCGGGATCGCAAACAGTACCCATTGGTGGAAGAAATTACCATCACCAAGCCCATGTACTACTCGGTATACTATCTCCCTATTGAGGATGGCACGCAAGTGGGTATTCTCGTTAAGCCCTTGAGTTGGGGAAGTCGGATATGCTTTATGAAGAAATGGCTCGGCGGCAACAGCTTTCGACCAGATCCTATCGCTGTTCGGTTGATGCAGCTTCAAGGATCTTTTGGAGAATTTCCCGATGATGCCATGTGGCAAAGAGCAACTGAGAAGAAACTACCGAATGAACTGAAGAGTGAGGAAGAAGGGCAGGCAACTCGACCTAGCGTACCGAGGAAAAGGCCACGCGAAGAAAGAGAGTCTACAAGCAGTTCGGGTGGTGATATTTATCCTGAGGTTATTAAACCTTCGACGCGCCAACAGCAGCCTCGGGCCCGATCAGGACACGCTCGACATTCGGATGGCGCGCTCAGAGACATCGGCAGTGATGAAGAAGTCGAAGCAACGCCTGTAGGATTATCAAATGGAGGACTACCCATCATATCGCGCTCAGCAACTGTGAGTAGGTTTACAAACGCACAATCTCATATTTCGAGAAACGCCACATCTCGAACTTCCCTACCGCACACTCTACATGGGGGAGCCGCACTCCTCACTTCACCATTATTCGTCAACGCGCCAAGCGCTACGACTAGCGATTCAGGCGTCGATCTCCCGATAGCGGCGAATACACATCTAAACTCTTCCGGACCGGCACTCATCACATTCAAACTACGAATTCCGCGAACAAGAATGGAACGCCACATCCGTATTGAAGACAGCAACGAGCACATAGCAGAAGATCTATTCAAAGAAGCCACTCAATATTTTCGCCGTCACGATAGAATGATCGGTACACAGATCTTGGAATGCGTCGTCGAAGGCGAGCCGGATTGTCGATGCATTTACAACGCGAAGGAATTGCGCTATTTCATCGAAGAGCTTCGCGAGCGCCGAGGACTCGTCAAAGTGACTGTGACGCAAAGCTTGTGAGAGTATACCAAAAGAAACGTATCCGTTATCAATCGTTATTTATGTATTGTTATTTGAGCGATTTTGTTTCTCGGGGTTTCGACTGGGTTAGAACACATGGTTGGGTAGTGGGATATGTAACAGGTTCTTCATACATCTCTTTTATTTTTTGTACTCAACGATACCTTGAATTTGATGATTTAATTTTTAGGTCTGAATGTACCTAGGTACAGCTTTCTTGTAGATGAAATCGTATCATATAATTCATATCATTTCTTGGCCCGAAAACCAGAGCGTCATCATTTTATGTTTCTTCTATACGTCTATGCAATAAATATACAACGAAACAGAAAAGCATAATGGCCGCCATTCAGAAACCTCCAAGTCTAATCGCTCTTCTAAGGGAGATTGGTGCGTGTACTGGATGTAAATGCTAAATGCATGATAACACAACTTCCAGAATTTCGGTAGATCTTAGGAAAGAAAGTGAATCGTGAAAATATCTCGGACGTCAGGCGGATAGTGCGGCAATGGCTTTTCATTCGCCAGTTATTTGAGTTCAAAACTTCGATATCATTGTTGTTCTTCCTGTTCGGCCGATTGAGAATGATTGATCTCCTGCACGAGATTTTCACGGAATTGCTTAGTCGCTGATGCCTCGTCGATGCTGTTTCGACGCCCCCAATTCTGGGGCTGCAGTTTCAAGAACGCGCCGACTGCGCCGAGATACCCCTCGTGTCGTAAAAAGTAAGCCTGCTTCTCGCCTTTAGACCAAAACTTGATAGCATAAGATAGTGTGTTCATAGTTTGAAGGTGACCGCGAATAAAGGAACCGCCAAAGTAGATGTGTTTCAGCTGGTGCTTTTCAGATTGCAAATACGCAATTTGACCAATATTGTTACTAAAATCCATGTTAGCATCGATATAATAACAGGAAATACGAAAGAAAAACTCACCTGATTGCAAATAAGAGACTTCGACTCATATCGGCATGGCTAAACTGTACCGGCGGCGTATCCTCTGGGTCTTCGCCAAGATCGGAGCCGTCCTCAGCTCGCTGCTCAGCACTTCGTTTCAACTTCAACACTTTGCCAAACGTGCTGGCGATTGCCGTACTTTTCAGCCCAATCTTGTTATAATCCATTCCATAGATATCGCCTACCAACATATCGACACCACTGTTGTCACCCCGGTCGGCCATTGCCAGCATATCGTCGAAGGTAGTAGCACCAGTTAAAAGTGCCATTAAGCCCCAGAAAGTTCCACCGCCAAGGTGCGTACCTCCTACACGTTGGAATTCTTTGGGACCAGACACTTTGATCATCGAAACTCCTGATCCAATATTGACAAGGAGATATGGATAAACGCTCCCGTTGGGTTCGGCGAATTTCATGGGCTCGGTTTCACTGTAGCTAAAAACTTCGTTGGGTATCTCGGTAATGAAAAAATTGAGGCCTAAGATACCAACACTTGTTAGTCTGGATTAAAGGAGGAGCCGGGATTATAATCTGGTCCCTACCTGTTATTAAGCAGTCCATCTCATCCTCTCGTAGAATGTCCACCTTCAACGTCTCCTTCAGTTTGTCATAGTACTTGTAAGCGCCTCCTCCAGTTGCAACAACAGACAACTCGCCCGGCGCAGAGCCATTGAGTCTTTCATGGTCCTCCTTTAGCTGTTTTATGAATTCGATGCATCGGTCTATCCGTTCTGTCTCGAATTTGATGAAATTTAACCGACCGCCCTCTGATTGTGATGAGATTTCTCTGGTGAAGTAAACTAATTTTGCCAATGAGCCTCCAATCTATGTAAAGAAAGATCTTGTTAGCGAACGATTTATGAGAGGAAGTGCTTGCCGGCAATTGTAACTCATCGAGCACAAAGCTAGAAGAAATTGCGGGGAAACGCGGCAGCAGGAGCTGCATGCGACGACTTACATCAACTGCTACATGACTCACAACACTTGTATGGTGAGGTAGTCGAATATCTTTGCGTTCATATACTATTCCGTCTTCTTCTGCTGGACTTTCTGGGGTCGGAGGTTGATCGTCCACAATATAAGCGCCTTGAACGTTGATTTTCACAGCTCCTGGATTGATGATAGCGTCTTCCAGACTAGGGCGGGAGGGGTCGGTTTCGGCGGAATGGTTGTAAGTAGGCGACATAGTGCGATCGTTGACGTGGCAGCGACAGCGACAGCTTCAAGCTGTTCGCTTCGCAGGTATGGACTTGGGTAATCAATGGGAAGTAAAGAAGGCTGAGGATTGATTCATGATTGGGAATGATGTGTTTGCCAGGCTGATCTTGATAAAGCTGGTCGTGCCCAGGCTTACGGCGTAGATCTCCTTCTGACTAACGACGTAGTATTGATTTTTCAAATCCGTTACCGAGTCTCTGGTCGCTTGAGCACTGGTCGTTTCTCAATAAATAATTCTCTCCATTCGGCCCGAGGGAGATATGCCTTGTAAGAGTCTGACTTATCAAAGATATGTCAGCGACCCTGTGACTCGGTGAAAAAGTTTGGATCCATGCGTAGTAATCCGGGCAAGCGGGTGCTCCGCATTTGTATTTACGTACCTCAACGCTTTCTCCGATGGTGTATGCCCCTCCGTAGTAGACCAGGCACCAGTCATAAATAATGTCGGAAGGAGTTACTACTTTGGAACCCACAGCAGGTAATTCAGACTGCTGTCAAAGCTATTATCGACGTTTGGTGCGGATTAAAAAGTGATCCGCACGGTAAACACAAATGCCGATGAATTTTTTGGAACCGAGGTGTCGGGACAACCCTTCAAGCGTTTTGTGCGAAGGGTTCATCTCAATGCCACTCATACTTTGAGTTCATGAGATATTGCTATAAGCCGGTGAAAACATGCGCACACCAAACATGACATTGTGTTGGATTATCGACAATTCTCGAGGAATGGCGCATGCAAGATACCAAGCGTCATGCAAATCAACATGAAAAGCCCTGCGATGCTCAACAGGGCGACAATATCTGCCTTCAATGATTCATGAACAGTCTTTGAGTGCTTCGCGTTGAAGGGTGAATAGCAAAGGCTTTTAAGGGTGTCTTGCGAGAGTGCGGGATGCCCTGGAGGAAGCTACATACTTCCTAATCAGGCAGGAGCACACATGGGCCGCTCTTTCCTCTCTTCGACAACGAGTGATAGAGCAGCCATGTCCGCAACCTTGAGCGCCGCTATCTCAATTTTCTACGCAATATCTCCGTCTTCTCAATTCCTGTCCGTCCATGCAATATTTACACTAGAGTCAATGTGTCTTTAGCGATAGGAGTCCATCATGCGACTTCCGATTATTCACATAACTTTCTTGCTCAGCTATGCTGATGCTCTCACCCCCCCTCGATTTATACTACCAAATCATGTTGTCCAGCCTATGTCTGACGGACCGCAGCCGAACGATGCCGAACACATGGCCAATCATCAACATCCTCCGTCGGCTGAAGACGCAAAGCAAGCCTTCCCGCAGTCATTTAACAGTCCTTTCCAAGTAGTCGGCCAATCTGGCGTCCCAGCGATGGCTGCTGCTCTGATGCCGAACGGGAACGTCATATTTGTGGACAAGGTCGAGAACTACACACAGCTTGTACTGGACAACGGCCAGTATGCGTACTCGGCTGAGTACAATCTCACTACGAACACAGCACAAGGTTTATCTTTGAACACCAATCCTTTCTGCTCCGGTGGTGCCTTTCTCGCCGACGGCCGACTTGTGTCGGTAGGCGGCAACGGGCCTTTGTCGGAGATTGATCCAACTGTTGGTGATGGATTTCAAGGAATACGGTATCTTGAGCGTGGAGTCCATCATGAGGATTGGTATGAACCTGGTCACTTACTATCAACCCCTCGTTGGTATGCTAGTGTTCAAATTTTGCAAGACAAGAGACTGTTCGTTGCCTCCGGCAGCCTCAATGGAATGGATCCGATGCAAAGCGAGAACAACAACCCGACATTCGAAATCTTGGATGCAGATGGTATGCCCGGCAATGAAAGTACAATCCTACCAATACTGTCAAGAAACCAACCGTATTATATGTATCCTTTTTTGCATCTTTTGAAGAACGGACAACTTTTCATATTTGTTGCACGTTCTGCGGAGATATACGATCCTGATGGCCAGGGGACTGTCCTCCAGCTGCCAAACCTGCCGGGCACATACAGAACTTACCCGAACACAGGTGGAAGTGTCCTTCTACCACTTTCCAAGGAGAACGAATGGGAGCCGGAAATTGTCATTTGTGGCGGCGGATCGTATGCGGATATCGCGAGCCCTGCGGACCGAACCTGTGGGCGTATTAAACCACTGTCAGAATCCCCTGAATGGCACATGGAAGAGATGCCAGAGCCAAGGGTTATGGTAGAAGGTGTCCTTCTGCCCGACGGAAAAGTACTCTGGTTGAACGGTGCTAGGCGGGGTGCACAGGGGTTTGGCACAGCTCAAGAACCATGTTTTGGTGCGCTCATCTACGATCCCGAACAGCCTAGCGGAAACAGGTGGAGTCATGAAGGAACTTCCAATATTCCCCGTCTATACCATTCTGTGGCACTTCTGCTTCTAGATGGAACCATTATGATCGCTGGCTCGAACCCAGTGGAACAACCTCTACTGGAACCAGACTACAGTAGCCCAGAGACTTCGTATGCGACTGAATTTCGAGTCGAGGTCTACACGCCGCCTTACTTATCAGGGGTAAATGCATCGAGAAGACCTCACGATATCAGACTCTCGCAAACGAACCTTACTTCTGCTGACGACGAACCTTTCAACATTACTTTTACAAGTAACACAAATTCGACAGACCTGAAAATTGCTCTCTATCACGGCGGTTTCATCACACATTCGTTACATATGGGCCAGCGTCTCCTTTTCCTGGATCATAAAGGCTTTACTCCAGGTGTTGAAGAACAAATTGTCAATGTCTATATGCCACCATCATCGAGTATTACGCCTGCTGGTCCTTATGTTATATACGTTATCCTGGATGGAGTGCCTGGACTAGGGCAGTTTGTTGTTGTGAGCTGAGTGAGAGAAAAGCATTGTTAATCTTATGTTAGCCTGTTAGTCAATTCAATCATTCATTCATTCTTTCTTTCCGCCTGTCAGATAAATTTTGACCGGGCACAGCCGTCCTTTCACATGACACGTCTTTGTTGACATCATCTGCTCGTTTGTTTGTACGTCGAAACACGCCCAGTGAACGCCCTGCACACTTTCCCGTTTGGTCTGTTTGCTCCTGCCTCCTCGTATTATTTATTTATTCCCCTCCCCTATCATCCTCTCTCACTTTTTCTCTCTTCTTCCTTCCTCCCACCTTCCAAGGTTGCATCTTATCCTCTTTCTATTTTCCATCTTCATCTTCCATCTCACATACACCTCCTCTTGCTACGACCTCTCATCCCCTCATCAGCTCCCTTCCACCAGCCATGGATTCCTTTGGCACTGAAGACATGGCAGCTGCCTTGCCTGAGGTTGTAGAAGCTACAGAAGCCACAGAGGTCATCAGCCGCCTCGATCAGGAAGCCGCAACTCTCGCTCGCGATAAGGGCTGGACAGAGCCCGAAAAATACGACTACTCGCGATATGCTGGTCCCACTGACGATCCAGCTGACCGTCCCTCTTTCGATGCAACCCCTTGGGCCTCTGATGCTCGCAAGTATGAGTGGAAAGAGGAGTACGGTGAGGTCGGGCCTGAAGACGAAGAGCTCGAGAAGATTCTCTATCGTCATGACCTGATCAACCGTGCTGGTGTGAAATTCGACAAGTAAGTTTTCCACAGCTGCGCTACAAAATACTTTTTACCACCCTACTAAATTCTCTCTACAGTCTTAGCAGCATCAAGGTGGTTGTAGAAGCTGTTGAAAAACTTTCTCCGATCGCCCGCTTTGCTGATGCTGGTTTGCATCCCATCATGGAGAAAAATGTGAGGTTGTGTGGCTACACAATTCCAACTCCCATCCAAGCATATGGTATCCCCGCCATCCTCGAGGGACACGACTTGCTGGCTGTCGCACAAACTGGTATATCTCTCTCGTCTGAAACATTGTTGAGCTAGCACTGATGTACATCGGCAGGCTCTGGCAAGACTGCAGCATACTTGATCCCAATTCTATCGAAATTGATGGGAAAAGCCAAGAAGCTAGCCGCTCCTCGCCCTTATGTCACGGAAGGCTTTGATCCCAAGGTTCAGGGAGTTCGTGCCGAACCATTGCTTTTGGTCATCGTGCCTACTCGCGAGCTGGCTTGCCAGATCTTTGATGAGGCACGTCGTCTTTGCTATCGCTCAATGCTTCGCCCTTGTGTCGCCTATGGTGGTGGGCCCGTCTCCCACCAACGCATGGAGCTACAGAAGGGATGTGATATCCTCATTGGCACTCCAGGACGTCTCATTGACTTCATGGGCCAATCTCACATCCTTTCATTGAAACGCGTTCGGTGTGTCACATCTCATTCGATCCTACGAAGTACTTATTTGACCTTTAATCAATTAGTTACACCGTCATTGACGAAGCCGACGAGCTCCTCAGCACAGACTGGGAGACAGAATTTGCTCAGCTCCTGACAGGTGGAGGTATGCGGTAACTCACATCTCCCTGTAAGATGCACTAACTGACATTGATGACAGACTCTAACGAGGATGCTGATCACCGCTACATGATGTTCTCGGCTACTTTCAACAAGACGTGCCGTCAAGTTGCCAAAAAGTACTTGGAACATGGATATGTGCGTGTCCGTGTTGGTCGTCTCGGGAGCAGTCATGCGAACATCGAACAGCGGGTAAGTATCATAGAGCGGGAAATCACAAACATATAGGTACATAGACTAAAAGCCAACAATCTAGGTGGTCTATGCAGATGACTCGGCCAAGCAGCAGTGTCTTTACGACCTGCTTCTTTCTATGCCTCCCGCTCGCACTCTCATCTTCGTCAATACCAAAGCGCAGGCGGACCGGCTCGACGACTTCCTGTACAATCGAGGACTTCCTAGCACGTCTATTCACTCCGATCGTACTCAGCGTGAGCGTGAGGATGCTATGTAAGTCACCGTAACGGCTTCTTACCTTTGCAGTATGGAAATATTAATATGAAAACATGTTAGGTCGGCGTTCCGTACAGGAAAGACCCCCATCCTCATCGCGACCGGCGTCTCCTCTCGCGGCTTGGACATCAAAAATGTCATGCATGTGATCAACTACGACCTCCCTAGCTCGGATCAAGGGGGCATTGATGAATATATCCACCGTATCGGTATGTTGCTCATGGTAATAAAATGCCCACTTTAATACTGACGCGTGCTCTTTCAAGGTCGTACCGCACGTATTGGCAACGAGGGTATCGCTACGTCTCTCTACAACCACGAGAAGAACACCGACATTGCGTCAGACCTCGTGAAAGTCCTGCTGGAGAACAAACAGGCGATTCCCGACTTCCTCGAAGAGTTGAAACCCGAGGGTGAGCTTGTCTTCGACGATGACAACAGCGAAGAGGACGAGGAAAACCAGGAAGCCACCGTCGATGCCGACCCTCGTTCCACCGAGCCTGCTGTGGCCGAAGAGTTCGCTGAGCCAGTCGCTGCGTCTGATGAGTTCTCTGCACCAAAGCAGGAGACTACCGTCGAGGCACCTGCTGCCGCTGATGATGATTTTTCCTGGTAAATGTCTCTTGGACGGTCTTCAAGTGATTAAGCAGTTCTGCTCGTTTACAAATGAAACCAGATATCAAGGTAATTTGAATCGAATCCCAAGTGGTCTTTTGAGCGGAGGTTGCGTCTTGTCTTCCCTGTTCATTTTTGAATCGATATGAAATGACAACGAAAAGGCCAAAAAAATTTGAAAAAGAGCAACAAAAGCACAGGGGGAAAAAAAGGTTATTTGTCTAGGAGGAAATTGTTTGGGATTCAAAAGCAGTGAGAATGGAGGTTCATGTTTGATGGGCCAAAACAGGAAGGAAGTAGTTAGGTAGTCACAGCCCTAGTACTTGCCTTCAAAACAAATTTGGTGATAGTCACTTCTTTCTTCTCCCTCTAGTTTACTTCCCGTAAATTACTCTGCAATCATCGGGACATCGTACATTGACCAGCAGTCCATGCTTATCTTCTGTTGCTCAAGATGGAGCTCCTTACTGTGCTAGTATACTATATCCTCTTTATCATGATCTCGTCGACCCACGCGATGATGCCGCTCCGAAAACACCCTCGTGAATTCGTCATTGATAACTTCTGTAGAAGCTCCGTCAACAATCTCGGTGCATGGCACGGCCCTGGCGAAAACCTCCCAATCGAGTACGACCAAGACGACGACGATGACTGTTCCGTACGACTATCCCCTTCCAATCCCGACCACAACTATCATACCCAGTTCTCCTACTCCTGTTTCGACCTCTCCAAATATCGGAAGATGTTTCTTCACATCAAGTATTCGGGCAGCGATGCTTTTACCATTTCGCTGTACCAACATAACGGTGCTTGTAACCCATGGCGTGCTCCGTTTCCAGGAACATTTGACAGTGTCGAAGCATCTCGCTACGTGACTGACGATGAAGGTGATATCTACATTCCACTGTCCCATTTCTATATCGACCTCAAGCGAGCATCGTCAGTTGCATTTCACGGCTTTTATACGAGTCAGGAGACGATCCTACACAAAGTCGAGATCGTCAAGCATCTGCCCGACGATGTTGATGTGCCTAGGAAGTTGCCAACAGGGACAATGGTACTGAACTGTAAGAGACCAAATTCTTTTGCATTTGGTATCGATGATGGCGACCCAGCACTGGCGCAGGAGGTTATGGAGATACTTGACGAAGAGCGTATCAAGGTCACTTTCTTTGTTGTTGGGCAGGGATTGCGAGATCCATTTACCAACTTTACAAACTTGTACTCTGAGATGCTTGAAAAAGGTCATCAGGTTGCATTGCATTCTGACACGCATCCAAAGTAAGCCTCTTTCCTTGTTTCAGTGAGACCTAATCTAACGTTGGGCTTACAGGATGGAAGGTTTGCAAACAATAGATGAGATTGACGATGAAATTACTGGAGGACAACATGCCCTCAAGGATAATCTTGGAGTCAAATGTGAGTTTTGAATTCTCTGATCAGTGTTTACGTGAGTTGGACAACCGACCAACTGCGATCAAAGCTCGATACTTCCGCCCTCCTTACGGCACCGTCGGAGCCCGAATGAGACAAAGACTGGCCGCTCATATCGACAATCCATACATTGTGAATTGGAGCGTGGACGTCGAGGACTGGCTTTGGGCGAATACGGATGAGCCTTGGAGGCAACTGAGAGCATTCCATCGCGACGTCGAGCGAGGAGGTGATCTAGTGGTGATGCATTATCTCACCTGGAGTACGGTCAAATACTTTCGAGACTTTATAGATATTGCTAGACGGAAGGGCAAGCGGATTATGAGGATTGATCAGTGTATGATGGACCCTGATGCTCCCAAGCTGTCGAGCTTGAAGTCGTGGCAAGATGATGGTGAAGAGTCGAAGATGCTGCGAACGCAACGTCCTAGTCAAAACGAAGTTGAAGAAGTCAAATCGATAGATGAGACGGGGGAATAATTTGCATACAAGGATTGGACGGGATAGCTCTATCAACATTATTGTTATATATTCATATGAGTAGATAGACACAGAATCAAGAGCCTGGTCTATCTCTTATCGTCGACATAAATCGGAGATCTTATCAGATGTGGCCCCTCACCCCGCAACACCACAACTTTAAATGTTGACATCGCCAACTTCACCCAACACTTCAACACTCATTGACTATACACACAATATGTCTTCCTCCACAACCCCATCCGATGGTAATGCCTCCGACCCCTCAACCTATCCACGCCAAATCCATCTCCCCTCCGAGAACATCTACCTCGAACTAACCCACGCCCCACTCAACACCACCCTCATCCTTTCCCAAATCTCCTCCCCTGCCGCTGGCGCCAACATCCTCTTCCTCGGCACAACCCGTGACACATTCGACAACCGACCTGTCTCCCAACTCAGCTATTCCGCCTACGCACCCCTCGCTCTAAAGACACTAACCACAATCGCGCGCGACACATTCCAGCGTTTCGAAGGGATAAAAGGGGTTAGTATTTCGCATCGATTGGGGGTTGTGCCGGTTACCGAAGCGAGTATTGCGATTGCAATTAGTTCGGCGCATAGGGGACCGGGTTGGAGGGCGGCGGAGGACGTGTTGGAGAGGTGTAAGGAACGGTTGGAGGTGTGGAAGAGAGAGGAGTTTGTGGGTGAGAAGCCGGAGGAAGGGGAATGGAGGGCTAATAGGGATAGGGATGCTAGTGGGAGGATAGTTGAGGAAAAGGCTACTGAGGAAACGTGATGGATTTGTGAAAGTTTTTTTGAAGGAGAATTAAGCATGGGGTTTGGAGTTTGGGGTTGTTGCATTGGTGGTACGTCTTCCACACTTTGTGATGGAGGAAATGAGATGCTGACTAGTTGTAAGACTATATACCAGTCGAGGAGAATTTAGCTCTCACATTTTGCACGGACGAAAGTCTGCTCATGCACAATTGAAACAAAACGGTGAGATGAGTGATTGTTTGGATCCATCGCTAGCTAATCGGCCATTTCCAATACATACATATCAAGACATAATAATACAATCTATCCTTCAAAAAGTCTCCCTTTTCAAGTGCAATGGTCTAAACATCCAACTTCTTCCCCTCCCTCTTCCAATCCTGCACATGCTCCAGAATCAACCTCGTCGCACTCTCCGGCGTATCCTGCCTACCCACGCACTCCACAAAATCGCCCTCCGGATCCATCAAATAGAAATAAATACTATGATCCACCAAATAATCCTCTCCGGGCTTCACATTCTCTGGCGTACTGAAATATACCCGATACGCTTTGCAGACTTGTTTCACCTGCTGGTATGTGCCTGTCAAACCAATAATTTCAGGGTGGAATTCAGCTAGATATTTCCGCAGAACTTCGGGGGTGTCGCGGGCAGGGTCGCAAGTGATGAAAACGGGACGCATGACTTCGGCGCCGTTGGAGGCTTCCTTTACTTTGTCGATTATGGAGGCCATTTTGTCGAGTTCGTCGGGGCAGATGTCGGGGCAGTGCGTGAATCCGAAGTAAACCTTCCCATCATGTCAGCACGCCGTCTTCAACTGCACAAAAAATAGAGAGGGGAAACGTACGAAGCTATACTTTCCCTTCAAATCCTCCGCCGTAAACTCCTTCCCATCCAGATCCTTGAGCACAAACGGGCCCCCAACCTTGGGTCTTCCGACTCCCTTACTCATTTCCGTAATTCTCTTACGTTCCAGACGCGCCTTTTCGACTCGGAAGTAGATGATCATACCAGCGCCAGTCAGAACGAATAGTAAGGCCGCTTTCCATGAGAATGGACCCGTGCGTTGGCGAGATTTCATCTGTTGGACTGTCTTCGCTGTTCGGGCGGGTGTTGTGGAGAAGGATCTTGTCGTTGAGGATGTGAATCCATAGTGGAATTGCTGTCTCTGGTTCTGTCGTTGACAGCGGAATGCGAGTTGTGATATCGATGAGCGTGAGAGGGAGCACGTTGGGGATGAGGAGAGTTTTGGTGCGGCGAGCGCATAGAGGCGGCCGGTCCTGCCCATTGATTGGGTCAGAGATGTGAGTGCGGAAGCCATTAGGAGGCTCTTTTGGCTATGTATACGATCGTCGCTAGATCTTTATGAGAATGACAATTGATGTAAAAAGATGTCTCGTCGAAAATGATGCGGAGATGTCATGAAATGCCGCGCCCTGTGGAGCCGCTTCCGAGAGGTTACTTCCTATCTGGGTTAGTAAGCGTCGCCATTAGTAAGCGTCTCATTCGGAAATTCGTTGTATGGACGATAGAAAGGAGATGGCTGTGTATACTGGAAGAATTAACTAATGTCTTTACTTCTGAGCAAATGTGGCTTTGAGATTGAAGAAGGTCCGCGAAACAAGCCTAACGCCGTTTCAAGATTGTGTGTATGGGGGCGCGGGATATATATACATCGAAAAAAAAATCCGTTATTTTTTTTAGCCTACGTACCAGACATTGAAAACATCGGCAGAAATTGAGTGCATTGAGGGTCAATTGTTTTAATGCTCAATGCTCACATGATCTTTCAATAGATGTTATATAAAAAATTATTATTGCAAGTAGAACTATACCATAGCTTCAATGCAGACGTAGAAGGTGGATGGAGGAAACATGGAGGTATCTAGGTAAGATGCATGGAMAAGCCGATGGATGATACATGCACAACAAAATCAAAATCATCAGTTGCCAGTCAGACGATAATCTACATGTAATTTAAGATGAGAAGAGAAGATTATTAACTTTTCCATTCCTTACTAAAAACTAAAACCAAGTCTCAGATAATAAGAAGAGAGAAGAAAAAGGCGCCTACCATGCTGTGCAGCAATGCAATCAAAGAAAAATTACTTTATAAAGCACTGGCGACTGAGAAAAAAAGGAGCAGTAGAATATTGTATGGACGACAAATAAAGATAAAAAGAGAAGAGAAAAAAAGTTTGCTATGAGACATTTGAAAAACTCCATATCATATCCAACGAAAAGAAGAAAAAAAAACAAGATGCAAGGTTTATTCATGATGCTTGTATGAGGTTGTCGAAAGTATAAACAGTCAGAGAGCAGAGTTCTAGGGTTTAAGTTCAATGGTTAGAGAGAGAGAGAGAGAGAGAGAGAGAGAGTCTCTGGGTGCAAGTCAACCGTGGTTTTCTACCGGACAGGTCAATGCAAACCCCGACTTGCCTGGCTGGCACGACTGGGACTGGTTCGGCTTCGCTCATCTTCTTCCTCTAATACGTCACTGAGACGCGTCGGATGGCGGTGTCGAGGAGTTATAGAGTCCCAMCCGCCCCAGCCAGAGCCGCTGTAGTCGACGTTGCCCTGGCCGTAGCCGTGAACGGAAGACGCGGCTGATGTGCCGGGAGGATAGGAAGCTGGGTCATACGGCTCTTCTTCGTCGTCGTCGTATCCCTCGCTGCCTGCGTATCCGTGCTGAGGATCGTGGCGGTAGTCGGGGTGTGTCACGGTGCCATAGTCTTCTTCGAGTTCGCTGCCCTCGGTGCTGGCGACATAGGACCGAGCATCGGGTTCGGGTTCGTTGTGAAGGGCTTGGCCGCCATGTTGATAAAATCGACCGGAGGGATCGGTATAAGCGCCGGTGGTGATGGGAGGCTGAGAGGTGGGTGTACCACCGACGACAGTAGAAGATGATGTTGGTGGGCGTGCAGTCGGATAGCCCTGACCTGGTCGCTGAGTTGTTTCAACGAAGGGGTCCGTCTCAGTTAGCGATGGCTCTTCGTTGTATGGGTCTTGTTCGTGGGAATCATGCTGTCCACCCATGCTAGAGGCAGTAGGTCCGCCGGGATACGGTCCCTCGCGGGTCGATGGTCGATTGGCGCTGCTGTTCTGTCGACTGGGCATACCAGCAATCATGGGCAGCACTTGGACACCTCCTACTACAGTAGGCTCGCCGTTACGCAGAGAAGCTGTTCGATCTCGTTCTTCCTGCTCTCTGCGACCGAGTTCTTCCCAAGCCCTTCTCGCCTCTTCCTTAGAAATTTGTAGTTCACGGCGCATCTCTTTGACCAACTCTTCCGCTCTCTTGCGGTCTGCGTCGGTCTTTTGGCGCAGCTCAACGACGTCATCACGCTCGAGTTTGAGTGCTGCCACTTGTCTTTCGAGATCAGCCTGAACTTCTCGAGCTTTCTCCTGTTCTGAGCGAGTATCAAAGAACCATCGTTGGAAGCGTCGTTCGGACGATGCTCTGAGACGCTGTAGTTCTACCACTGCGTGGAATAAGTTTGCACCTGCAGCGGATAAATCATTGATTTGTCGAGCCATCTGCTGGTTGAGGGGATCTTGGCTGAGCTCATTGTTGTTTTGCTCCAACTTGCGAATCCAATAACCAGTCAACCCTTCCCAATGGGAGGACAACGTTTCCCATCGCTCGAATGCATGTGGAAAGGTGGTCCTCTTCAATTGATCTTGAGCTTGTGATTGACTTGGATTCTGCGGAGCTTGGGGCTCGCTAGGAACGGGCTGAGGAGCAGCTTGAGAAGGCAGAGGTTGCCTGACTTGTGGTTGCGGTTGAGATGGAGCCTGTTGGTAAGTGGTTGGTGCAGCCACGGCTGGAGCAGGTTGTTGAGATGTGGCTGGCGGKGCTCTAATTTGTGGTGTTCGTTGGGGAGCAGGTCGAGTAGCCTCCGCTCTTCTAGTAGCAGCAGCTGACGGTGGTGGGTAGGTTGTAGACTGCTCTGGATAAGTAGCCGGATCGACTGCTACGGGTTGGCGTACATTTGGCTGTCGTCGCTGAGCAGGTACTTCCCCCGCGACAGGGCCAGCAGCGGCAGCATACTGCTGCTGTACTTGATGCTTAATTTGCTCTTGTTCTTTGCGTTCACGATCTTGTGCTTCCCGTTCTGCTTGCCTTTTGGCTTCTCTATCTCGCCGGTCCCTCATAATATCCGTGGGCGTCCGTACACCTGCAGGAACTTGCGAGTGTACTGGTGGTCTAGCTTGAACTGGACGTGATCCTCCATTTTGAGCACGAGTTTGAGGCCCCGTTCCCGGCCCTGCTGGATTTGTTAACTCCGACATGGGAGCGTTCAATTCCTCTAGCACTGGAGTGAATGGGAAGGGCTTCCGAATGGCCTCTTCCAGCACCCAACGGATTGCAGATGCGGTGCGTGGAGAGACTCTAGTGGACCGTGACGGCCAGTAGGATTCGTCGAGTTGACTGACCGAGTCACCTGCGGTTGAAGCGCCAGCTTCTGTCTCTGCTTCAGAAAGCGCCGGGGCAATATCAGCAGAAGTGACACCAGCTACACGTGAACGACGGCCAATCGGTTGGTTGACCGTTTGTTGGGCGTAACTTTGGTCGCGCTGAGGACGGAAATTTGCATCAACTGAAGCGACGCGGCGGTGGGCTGTTGATGTTGGTCGATTGTTTCCTCCCAAAGGCGAGACTCGACGCAGTGGGCGGTGATCGCTCGCAGCGCTTGCGGGTCGAGGTGGAGGAAGTTGAGGGAATTGTTGAAAAGTCGAAGAAAAGGTAGACTCAAGAGCGGGCTGCTGCTGTTGGCGCTGCCGCGGAGGATTCGTTATCGTATACGGGTCGTAAATATCGTGGGTATCGTCAAGCTGTCCCTGATGGGCGGAAGACACTGCGGAAGTAGTCGAAGTGAGGTAGTGAGGTAACAGTGAGGACAATGCGATGAAATGAGAAGATTAGATTATCCAAAATTGGCGATAATCAATCGTGAGCGTTGAAAGGTTAAAGACAAATGTGATGGCGATTGCGATGTCGGAATCGCACAGCCTCTTCGACGGGATAGATTATCTCTGGAATGTGCGGAGAATTACACAAGGTATTAGAGAACGAGGATAATCAAAGTCTGGAAACCGATTTCAAGAATGGAAGAGAATCGAGGCCCCGGAGGTCAACCAAGAAAACAATTCTGAGCTGGGAAGTTGTCGCGCGCATTTAGTGTGGCTGGTCGAATAGGATGATGCTATAAATTCGGATGGCTGGGGAGAGCTGGGCGGGAGCTCTGGCGACGACTATCAGCATTTAACAGTGGAGTCACCTGTCATTGAGTCGGGACAGGCGACTCAATTGCTTTGTCTGAGCGACAATTGCACATTTAGAATGGCAATGGCAAATATCATCGTGGAGGTGTGGCCTGGTGACTTGGAGGGAGGGTGCGCGGTGTGGTGATGTCGAAAGGGCGATGGCTGCGGGAGTCACGGGGATAGGGCAGGAACCCAGCCTAATAGCCTTGCCGCCCCGTTGTTTGTCCCCGTCGCTCGACTCTTGATTGTATAAAATGTCAAGTCTTAGATACCGCCGCTGATCTTCTCTGAGTTGGTGATTTTGCCACAGTTATGGTGTGAGTTTCTATCTTTGTTGAGTTTATCTTGATGTGTTGTCAACGGCTTAGTTGTCAATCTCGATGCTCAGCCACAACTGTGGCGTTAGAAAATATCAACGATGCTCAGCGACGATATCTTGAAGTTGAAGGCAGATTATATCGAAGCAATGCGGGCTTTATTACTGCCTACACCGACAGTTGGCAGGATCTACTAATCTTACAAGTCATCACAGCGTTGTGCAATTTCATACACTACTTCTTGAATAGGGAATTGGAAGACATCTCGACAAGCCTCACTAGGGCACAATCCCACGTCCGCTGAACTCCATGACGAAACTGAGTCTGACAGTCAGATACGGGCATATAGAAAAGACTAACATATGCTACGTAGTTTTTCCTTTATTGCTTAGGCAGCAAGGCAGCAAGTGTCTATCTCGCTAAATGATGACGGCGCGTCCACGCTCAAGTAATCTAGGGTGATGCGCTGGCAGTTCTAGGTTAGTGCCTCAAATCCAGTCCATATCCGGCGCACAGCATACTTCAACACTGATGAGATTTGCCATCATCCATAGTTCCGAGAATGAAAAGAGCGCGCAGCAGTGGCATACATATACCTAGGGAAGATTAATCAGGCCAATCAGTGCGTCGGAAACGGAAATATACTTATATAGTTCGTCAATAGCTGTGCATTCTTTTAAGCAGCCCTTACTAAATACCCGATTTGTCAGTCGATAGGCAGCCCAAGTTTCTAGTAAGTGTGAAAGTGGGCTCACTCATATCTGATAATTGACAATCCAATGTCCAACTCGCCTACTTGACTAAATGTCAAACAACAGCCGAAATCCTTTCGTGGTACACTAGAGCAATCATTCCTTCAACCCTCGCAGCACAATAACTTCAAAAAAAGGACATATAATCTTGTTGCTGGGCAGCGACCCGTTCATAGATGAGACGGGAAGCCGTTCTATGAATCAAAAGCAAGGGAAGCCCTTTGATCTCGATTGTCAGTCTAGATGGCGCTTCTGTTGCGCAGGAGAAAGGGGACGACTGTTTGTTTATACTGTAAAAGCTCCTTGACGATTGCTCACAACACAGCTGCAGTGGAAGCATAAGGTACCCGCTGTCGGAAAATTAAGTTGCCCAGAATCAGACACGTACATATCTAGACGGCTATAGACGACTGATTCAAGCGCCAAAAGTAAAATCTCTGTCTTGAAAGGTCTCTGATTTGTTGTGATCTGAGGTATCTCCACCGGAGACGGTCTCAGCCTTGCCGCCCTTGCGTGCTGTGGTAATTTGGCTCTCAATAAATAGTCAGATAATGTCTAGAAATTGGCCCGTACGCACAGCGGGGAAGCAGAAAAGACTGTTAGGTGCATCTAAGCATGAGCTTAATGCGCCTCGAGAGTCTGTTATAGGAAGCTCTGTGAAGTATCGTCGCTTCGATAGAGTAGTAGAGCGACCTGTATACTATGTAATGCTGTGGGACTTATTCTCACAGACTGTTCTAAATTCGAACGATAGTCGCGTTTACAACCACTGAAAGCTCTGCTCTTCTCTTCTTGCGAGTCTCGACCACGAGATAGTAGACTTATCAGAGGCATACAGGGTAGAAGTGTGGAAAAAGGTGCAGTCGAAGAGTCGAAGAGTCGAAAATCAAAGAGAGTGGCTCGTGCGGACACTTGCACAAGTTGGGCAAGAGAGCGGGGCGGGTCGGCGCCTTCCCCATTGAGAGTGGGCATCGGATCCAGATTGCGCCTCCCCGCGGACGACATGTCAGATCTCTGCATCCCTTCCTCAGACAATTGAACAAAAAGACACGATCCAGACTACTGCTCACCAGCCGCCTCCGGACTACTGGAACGCCCTCGATTCGCTTTACGCTAGGTACACCGACGATGAACTGAGCCGATACACTAGCAGAGTCCTGTCTCTAGATCGCGGATCTATCCAGACGGCCGGGGCTATCAGACATACGCTACGCTTCTGTTCGGGCTCTCGGACTTGGAGAATGAATATATCAACATTGGAAATATCTCGGGATCGCGCGTCCGACCTATCGGCGTCTGAACTTGAGGTGATGTCGATAGTGTTGTGAAGAGTCACTTTTCCCTGGATGAAATTTCGCCTCTGAATGTATCTGAAACCACCAAATCGACACTCTCAAAGGCTTCATCAAATCCGCAGCTCCGAAAAGTCTGTTATGCAAGTTCACGCTTTCTTATGACGTGATATACAATCACATACCGTATGTAGCAACTGGCTGTTGACAGACATCCACAGCTCTGGAATGCGGGGATCACACCCTAATGCATAGCAACGAGCTTAACTTGGGAAAATTTATGAAGCTCGCCTCGATGCTACGCTGATGAAACGACAATGTTCAGCACAGCTCCCAACAGTTTGGTCCCATTCCTTGCTGACGACATAAAATGTATCTTGCAGCCACAGCTACAAAAATAGTCGCCTCGCAGTGTCCCATCACGGAGATCCGGAAAGAAAGTCTAATCGGCTTGGCAGAAGACCTAGCGTCCTGAGGAGTCTTCAATTGGACTACGTATTCTTAGTCAGACACTCGGCAGCTCTTTGATGGCCTGAAATGACCCAGTCGAGAGTTGCTCTTAAAGCTAATGCGCTGGAAGACTGAGGACATGCTCTTCCGGGATGTGAAAGCGGAACCACTATTGCCTACATCTGATAGAAGACTCAGTCATTATTTCAAACGCGCTTCCTTAGTCGCGTTTCTAGCGGAGCTCATTGACTACGGTCTTAATCAAGCAAGATGCCGTAAAGATTGAGGCATGGAATGTCTGCTATCGTGCGTAGCACGGATTCCAAATCATCATCGGCTCATGGCAATACTATTTTGTACTGCATCTTTGTGTGTAATGAGGCCCAGTTCAAGGCTTCCAGTCCGAAAAAAGCTCCCACGCTGTGCTGTACCGCGAACTCGCTTTGTGCAGTCCGAAAGAGAAGTTTGCTGGACCTGCGTCACCCAATGTTGCCGAATCGGGACCCGATGTCTCCCTTGCTAATGGGCCAGCGCTTGGCGAAGATCAGTTCCATCGAATCTGTAAGAAGGCGAATCCACCTTACCGGAACCCCATCCCTGCGCAGATATATGCAAGGCTTGATAGGCCACTGATGTCCGTGCGGCTGCACGGTTTACTCTATGTTTACAAGCCTTCGCATCGGCATGCAGATGTCTAATGTTAGCCACTTTGGAAATGGCTGGATCTTTGTTTGGGTCTTTTCTCCTTGTGGAGTGTATAAACAGATCGTCATTGCCCTTGAATACTTCTGGCGAATTTAGTATCATCGTTCTCAGTCTACAGCCGCTGCTTACATACTTTTGGTCGATTCTCACTGCTGTCGCCAACGTTTCATGTATACATTTGCTATTCTTTCCAAGGCATCAATTATCTGAAACACCTAGCCCATGGCTGGCGACTGTGCTGAGGTTCCCTACCATCTGGACGTCTCTGGGAACCAATATACAGGTGATGCTCTGAAGCAACTGCGACTTAGTGTAGAGAGATTTGTGCCGCCAAAGACGGTCCCTCTGGTTGAGGATCCAAACCTTGATCCTTTCTACCTGGAGAGAGCATTAGAAGCGCCGAAGCAGTGGGATGCTTCTCTTGACGACGACTCAGAAGTTGATCTGGATGATCTCGAGAATGAATATTTCATGTCTTACATGACCGAGGAGACACAACCACCATCGTTGACCCAGGATTATTCTATTCAGTCCCACGCCGTTCAATACCAGGAATCACAAAGCACAAAGCCCGCTTGTCCAACGACACCTGATTGGCAACGAACACATCACCACAACCAAAGTTCCTGCAGCTCCATCCAAACTGATGCTACGGGGGTCACTCCTGACCTCACGCCAAGCAGTTCATTCTCTTCGACCTATTCTGACTCCGATTACCCAGCTGCGAAAAAGACGACACACCAGCAATTCTTGCAAAGTCGTCGCGCTCTGCGGGACAGATCCCACAATACAGCGCGATTTTATCTGCCCGCTGCAACTCCTGACAACCAGTCAAGAGCGTGCACGCGGCCGAATACTCCCATCGAGCGATCCGCGACTGCCGCTCTCGCAGAATATCATAACACGTCTTCTGAAACACTCACCATGGTTCCAAAAGAGCCTGCAGCAGCTGCAGCATCTTCCCTACGCTCCAAGCCGCTACCTAGCTTGCCACCTATTTTGAAAAATGCCGGACCTGTCCCTCCGGCTAAAAGGGGACAAAATAGTGGATCGAGAAGCCAGATCGATCCATCGCTTATCTCACCGCCGAGTCTGGTGAACCCTGTCACCAAGGAACCTCACATGTCTCCATTCAACCACGCTCTTTTTATTCCTGCCCATGACTGCCCCAGTCCGGTGCCACACCCCACGTCCTTCTCTCCACTCATTGCACGACAGAGCACCAATGCATCGACCAAGGGGCGACCCTCGACTTCGACATCAGTAGCTTACGGAGAACAGTCGGTTTGGGAATCGGACTCGGAAACAGGGTCAATTAGTGGCAAATCACAATCCCGGCGCGGACCCATCGACACGCTTCGGAAGGTCCGAAGTCGAGTGCAGCTGCGTCGCATTGCCAAATCGGATGCAAAGTTGCACGCGGACATCAATAATAATACGAACGGAACCACTATTACGACTACGACTAATAGCATCGGTGGTACGGTGACGACCACCCGTACCACAACTACGACCCATGCCACCCGTCATGGGGCACTATGGGCGCCATCCCCGCCAGATGCGGGCCAGCCCGATCCCGCAACCCACCCGCACAATCTAGCCCACCTTGACCACCGCGCGGCCGCTAGTGTCACCTCCATCACCGACGATTTGCTGCCACCACCTCCGCCCCTGAAGCAGACACTACGCTTGGTGGCTCCATCCACCACGTCGCTGGCACGCCCACAATCATCGCGACACAGCAGTGAGAAGTTATCCGGAGATATTGATTCCTCGACAGCCGCTGCCATTCAGGCACAATCCCGTCGACGCCAGCGGTCTAACGCCACGGATGAGTACCTACCATTTCCCAAAGCTGAGGCAATGCATCACTATTACTGTAACAGCCATACCTTGCCATCATCGGAAACTGTATCGTCCCACACCGCCATAGAGCAGCCCACTGTCTTCAAGAGGATATGGGGATCACTCCGATCTTTGGACTGCCGCGGTCGTTGATCAAATTCTTTCCTAGTTTATGTTTTTTGCGCTTATTCCGTCTAATTGATGATCAATGTGTCATGCTCCTGTCATACGCTTGTGAACGTCTTACGCTCTTTATGCTCACGGATATCTCTTATGATCCTATGGTCATGACTATGACTTTTCCTTACTAATACTTCTTGATTTGCTGTTCTCAGATGCATACGAACAATCCGCCTCCTAGGCTGTCTTTCTTTTTCTCAATGTGTGTTTCTCCTTGTTGCTTATACATGTTTCATCGCAACATATATCCGTACCCGGTCAAGGTACGGAAGGCGCAAGCCCACAAAATCACGATTGGCGTCTTACCTCAGTATTTTTGCTTTTCTGTCTGGCGTTGTGGTTGGCTGTTATCGAAGGAGAAAAGTTTCATTCACGAAGACTTTGATTACGATTGGGAGGAGGAGGGAAACTGGGTCATACGAAAAACGGATCCCATGCATGTATGTACCTCGGCTTGGAGCAGATATTCGGAGCATTGGTGAGTTTTATAGTTTAGTTTAGGTTAGGTTACTTAGTCTACAACAAGAAGCTTCTGAACTTCTTGACTTATTACGATCAATATCAATGTTATTGAAAAAAGTTTCAAGATAAGTTTTCAGTGTTTCACTGGGTTGTTTTCAATTCGACTGCAGTAAGTCGTTCCTATTGGCATGTGACCTAAGACATTGAGATCAGAAGCAGTGGAAGTGAAACATAAGCCTGTCAATAATGGTATTCTAAGGTTGCTCCCTGGCCGATACTTTGGCTCTAGATATACTGGCATAGGTATCCATGCAAAACCGACTCGCACACCGTGTCTCGAGTAGGAAACCCTTCCACCGTCCGTGGCATCGTCGCACAGTCCATATGGTTGATTAGGCAAACCGCATCATGTTACAATCAAACGAGCGGAAGAACCCCCGCCTCATTGAGGAAGAGTCTAGCATCTCAACGTGGCCTCTAGGTGCAATCCCGAACCTGTTTTAGGAGGGCTCAGTCTCCAGCCCCCAGATCTCAGTCAAGGTGATATGGTGAAATACATTTGCTGTGGGGTTGGTACACGATAGGGTAGGGAGGACTACTCTTTTAGCTGCTACATACGTAGATACATGTATAATGATTTGAAAGGCACATGAAAGACATTGCTAGATCAATATCTACACCGCAGAGACAATGATAAAAAAAAAGCTATGGTCTTCGTTGAAGGACCGTGCCCTAGTTCAATTATCAGACCCTGCCCAGGTGAAAAGCAAGGAAGCGTAAGGTCGAATTTAGAACTCATCTTCCAAGGTTCCAGGGCAAGGATACATGTATATTGATGGACCCTTGTTTTCCTACATTGCACGGACTGGGAGATAACGTCTACTGCCTAGCTAGGCACCTAGACACATATCCCTGGAATCACCTAGGTACATAGGAAGCGGTGGGCAGGTGGAGAGTCACCCGAACGGGTAATACCTGTACAAGCTTGAGCGAGATGAGTACGTGTTCTCGACTCATTGTACCATATGAAAGAAAAGTATCCGACTTACGTATTATAAGGGATGATTTGAATTGGGTTTCGGAGTTTTTCATACACTTACTATCAAGGTATACCTACCGTGGTTAGACCTGGTCAGACTGAATTGTTACGTATGAAGCGAACCAACGAGAAAGCCTAGTAGGCGATAGACATGGAAATGGTCAACCAATTGATCCTTGTAAACGAAATGGCCGATGGGTTTTTAAGGCATCGCATCGAACATCCCAGTATGCATAGTTAGTTCAAGGGAACACAAACGCCCGAATCCGAGAAAACCCCTTGAACAACCTTATGGATCCCTTCGCTTGAAAATCGAGATTCAGTAAGATGGATGGCTGGGACCGACTATCCTCATGTCGAAGCTCCGTCACTACACGGAGAGACTGGACCATAGATCGAAAAGGGTATCCGCTCCCTTGGGACAGTCATACAATCATCATACTAGAGGAAAGAACCGGAAAGACAGAGGAAACACTCGAAGGAGGAAATTTTTTTAACGCACGTAATAAATCGTGGTGCATACATGTGATATGAAGTATCGTTCAATCAGATCACGCAGGTACCCAATTTACTGGTTGCACGGATTGTGTGTAGTATATAGGTATGTGTTATGTAGGCAAGTCCCTGCTTGCATATATGCAGTATGCACATGCTGTGTATGTACTAATATACTCGGGTGCGTACGACCGTGCCTAAAGTACGTTCTAATTGCACGAGTCTGATTGTGTGGAATGTGATGAGAAGATGCATGAAAAATTTTTTCTTCGTCTTTGACTTCGGGCCTGACTTTTGAGTTGAGGATGACTTCATGTGAATGGGAATTCTGGGTTCTGGTTTGCTTTACTGTTGGGGTTGGTAGTAGCAAATGCACTGTAGGGTACATGTACATGATCCAAGTCTCTGGTTCGGTATGTTGTGCAAGGTGAAGTTGCTGGGATTTCTTCAGTTCTTCTGCCGCTGAAGGTTCATTCCACCTGTTTTTTTTTTTAGGTTGTGATGCAGCACTAGGTATTTGGTTTCATTAAACCTTTTGATGGCCACATTCTGATAGCCCATGTGTGCGATCTTGTGTCTCGGCGCCTTCTTCATCTTTATTGGTAACTCCGAGGTGTGCCATGCCTGAATCTCAGTGTGATGTGTTGTCTTCTGCAAGAACCTTCACGCCATTCCAGACAGTCCCCTTCAGAGAGGTAGAAATGATTGCTGAAAAGAGCAGACAGTATTGTATCACCTCTCTTCGACAATCATATCCTCCATGCTCTCAACTTCTTCCATACTTTCCTCCCATTTCGTCACATTCATTAACTTCTCCCATTCGGCAACAACAGGTTCGGCTTTCTCGCGTAACCTATTCTCCGGTTTCGATTCTTCACTGAACTCCTCTGCAGTCTCCTTGTCTGCTCCGTCGGTGTCTTCTGCTTTCAATCCACTGAACATTGCCTCAACATCCAGATCTTTCAGAGCATGTTCATACAATTCCTTCATCTTCTCAATATTATTTATCCTTACTTTTGTTTCACCCTCGTTATGATCTTCCTCGGCCTGCTTATTACCGACAGAACGCTTCTTCACAGGTCCTGCCTTCGACGACGTCGATTTCAATCCACCCACGAGTCCTTCGAGAATACCCAGTATCGTACCCACTCGCAACCCAAATTGTGCACCGATGGGGTATCCTGCGTCAAACCCTCGTTGAACATGCTCTGATTTAGACATAGCGATTCCATCCCTGTACCCGGCCGTAACGTGTTGACGGCGAAGGGAGGGGAGATCGGAAGGTTCTGCCGATGCCTGCGTGGATGGCGGAATATTGTAATTATGATGCCTTTCGAGGACATGTCCGMGATCATGATCATCCGGCGACGAGCCGAAAATATCGTCTAGCGAGTTGTTGTTATTGTACTGGTAGTTGTTCTCGTCTGCCTCACTCAGCGTTGATGTCATGGTTGTCGTCGGTGACGATGCAGCCGATCTTGCATCTGCATTAATGGGGATGGAATGTGTAGAGCTCGACGGTGATACAGGCATTGCTGTAGTTCGTTCCGAGACCGAATGAAGCTGTAGGTAGGTTGTTTAATTTTGGCAGGTGGGTTGATGATAAATTATTTGAGGTGGGGTGACCCTAACCCTACTGGTGCCTGAGGCAGCAATTTCCATCGCGTCTTTTCTTCCAGCTATCAGAACTCCATCTCCATGTCAGCTTTTTCCCCACTTCTCAATCCTTAACTTTCAATTCAACTTGTCTATCATCTTGTCGACGCTGAACAATTACCGCATGCAGTAAGTCTGATCATGCATGAGTCGGAATTACAATTGTTATCTCCGTTGATCTTTGCTTCAGCTGCCAACCATGCGGGAAGTCTGAGTGCCCGAGAACCCTGTCCGTTCGGGCTCGACACGGCAGGCAAGCTCATCAACAACCAATTGATTGCTCGACAGTTGGCGCTCCGTGCTAGGTCCTGGATAGCTCGCATTTAAAATCAAGTTTTGTTCAATTCTGCATCGCCGAGGAACTCCACTAACAGATGCGCCGGAGCCTCTGGGCTTAAAGGGCCTTAGCCGGAGCATTATTGGTCTGATCTCCACGCTGATTTCTCGCATCCCTACTCCAAGTGGCCAATTATGAGATTTACCTTCGACGCCGAGCTTTTAGAGTATAATGCGGCTGGGAACAGGGGTTCTCATAGGCGTTCTAGAGACGACTATGCACGAGACGATTATGCATAAGTACGGGCTGAACGGGGGCTAAGCTTCTTCACGGTCAGGCCCTGATATCAAACGGCTTTAAGGCTTTGGGGCCAAATGTGGCAAGGAGATTCGAAACCCATTAACTCCCCCTTATCAGATCTGCTGCTTTTTAACTTTCAAAACCCCATGGTTTTAAGTTTCGAGGTCCCAAAACATTGGGTTTTGCGAGATGCAGTCCACTTCGCACGAGCTCCAAGACCTCAGAGGGTCATCTCTGGATCATCGTCAATCGCTTCTTCCCAAAAGTGAAGATCTAAACTCAGAATCACACCGTGTGGCTGCCAATCCAACCGTTGGTCACGAGACCACACCCTACAAACCGCCATCAGGATGGAGCGCGATTCCATGGAAGCTCGAAATCCTTTGCTGGATCGGTAGTCTCTGCTTCTTCATTGCGATTATTGTCGTACTGAGAGTACTCAATGGCCGTCCGCTTCCAGATTTGCAGTTTGGCATCCAACCCAGTGCAATTCTCGGCTTATTAGCCACCTTTGGACAGGCCCTCTTGATAGCACCAGTCAGCTCTGCACTTGGGCAGATCAAATGGCTACAAGCACTTGAGGAACGGCCAATGAACAACTTCGAGACTCTCGATAAAGCCAGTCGTGGGTCATTCGGAAGTACACTTCTTATTGCGGGTCGAAAGTCAGGGTACGTAATATCCCTAAAGCTCTTGTCGTTAGCTTGAACAGGAATTTAAAACCATGTACCGCCTGGGAGTCATCTTCATACTGACTTCATTTAGGTTCGTCGCATCCTTTGGAGCTCTTCTCACAATCGTTGCCCTAGGCATCAGCACCTTTACTCAACAGTCTTTGAAGTATGATATAATTTATCCGTACACCAAAAACGCTTCTATGCCGATAGCACAGTTCATGAACGGGACTGGCAATGCACCAATAGGGAATGGTCAAATAGAACCGGGAGTTGATGCCGAAGTGCTGAATGCCCCCTATCTTGCCTTTTATAACTCTCCAGGCACCGATTTCACTGCAGCGGCAAGTTGTGGGAGTAATAATTGTACATGGGATTTGTATCAGACACTGGGTCTTCGCAGTACATGCCAAGACTTGTCTTCCAGTCTGAATATGACCGAAGTATACATGGCACCTTACGACGTCCCTCTTACCTACAACACCGACTACTACACTCTTAAAAACGGGTTTGGTTTGACAGGAGCCCAACCAGGGGAGCAAAGTGACCAAGTATCTTACTTGATAAACAGCGCGTTGATGAATGTAACAACAAGCTGGAGCGCCGCGATTGGCACATCATACTTCACTTGGGAACCTATAGCCTTTCCTAATAATGGATCGACTTTAATGAGTGTATTTGTGGTTGGTCCGTCACCCGGCACGGTACCAATTCAGCCCGATCTGAACTTCACCAAACCCATGAGTGGCTCGCTCTTTGCTCCGCCTGTTGCTTATGAGTGCCTTCTACAATTTTGCGTTCGCAATATGCAAGGCAAAGTCATGAACGGGACAATACAAGAGACCGAGCTTTCTACGTGGACCAACGAAACTGCACCGGAAAACGATCGAACCTACACATATGCAAATCTAGAACTTCATCCGCCTGACTCGTCGATGACCTTTGTCGCGACAGCTTTCGCAATCGAAGGGTTACGTGAGTATTTAAGTAGTCTTCTGGTAGGCAACGCGACCATTTCCGTGGCCACAGACTCATCTGAAAATTGGGAACTCGATCAATATCAGTACTCTTCCTCGAGCCTGATGCGACAATTGTACAGCGCAATGAATMCCTCCGCCACAGGATTCCCAAATATGATGGACAATCTAGCCAACAGCATATCCCTCAGCCTCCGCTCAATAGACTACCAGCCTTCTCCCGTGGTCGGAAAAGCGTTTACAGCTACCAGCCACGCCGTCGTGACATGGGAGTGGCTCATCCTCCCATTCTTTGAACTCGCGGGCAGCCTCGTTTTTCTGATAATCGTCATGATCCAAACTAGACAAAGAGGTCTGTCCGTTCCCTGGACAAATAGTACATTGGCATATTTCTTCCATGGCCTTGATGAGAGACCTGCCCGTGGGGTCGTATCTCAAAGCGAGGAGAAGCTGGCGGAAGAGTTGCAAGTGAAGTTGGAGCGGGATTTGGATGGGGGGCATTTGGTTATTGTCAAGTGATGAGTTAACAACCTACCTGTTTCCACTTGGATCCCGTGTTTGTTTTTTGCTTTCCTACTTTGCAAGCGCTTGTATTTTCTGGACTGAAAGGTGGGGTTGTATGATATACGTGTACGAGATACCCTTGGCTTAATGCGGACTTTGCGATACTCGTTTTCTTGTTACGGAATTTTATTAGGAATATTTGCTATGCATACTCTTGAATTGTTGTGTATTGCTATAAGTACGCGGTCTACCTGACTAATGGCGTCCATCGGCGCGAATAAGCGTTTTATACAAACATTTCCCATTATTGCTCATGGGACAAAACTACCTATCACTCCCAGAACCAGTCGCAACCCTCCAAGCCCTTAGCGGCAAAGCCTGCAATTTAAGGGCTGTAGGCCGTATATACACGTAAAATGTGACAGCGCCGATAACCACACAAAGCAAGTTCGTTATGTAATAACCATCCTGCTCAACTACGCATTGCCCGCCGCCGGCTTGACAGCGGCTCTTGTCTGCTTCGAGGGCGCAGGAGAATGCGGATGTGATGAGGTCGCCTTTCAGGGTTGATGGGTCGGGGATTGTGGTTGGTGGGACGCAGGTGGCTGAGGTAAACATGTCGACCATTTTGAGGATGAAGAATTTCGGAAATGTTCCTCCCAGGTTGGACACACTTTGAGACTAGTTAGTAATTTTCTTTTGGAGGGTGATGAGATTATAGAGAAAACGTACGTTGCTAGCAAGGTCATATAAGTCCCGCCAATGGCCGGATCGGAGATACGTGCGTGGAACGCGGATACCGCAACAAACATGACGGTATTCATAAAAGTCGACAAGACGTGTTCGGCAATGACGACTAGAATATACCAGAATGGAACGGCCGAGGCAGCAGGATATATCATGACCGTAAGTTGAGCGAATATCGCCGCGGCAAGTCGACCAACAAAGGCCCAGCACCATAATCGCATCGGCGTGTATTCGGTCGACCATTGACCGGCATAGTAGCCCAGAGCAATCTCAAATGGGAAGTCGATCAAAACAACGAGTGCCATGTTGTCTTGTCCAAAGCCCTTGTCGATGAGCTTGAGACTGGTCACAGCCTCATTCGCTTGAAAGCCGATCTTGGCGATCAAATGAAGAACGATGATCATTTGGATGTTTTTGAGTTTTAGGACACTCCACATGCTGCGATACACCTCCATGATGCCGTCTTTGTCCTTGGTACGTTCTTCTTTTTTCAAGAAGAACAGTAAAAAGGTTACAATAATGTATGCCCATCCGGCAAATGCCATATAGCCACTAAGTGAGAGGAGACCATGTTTCGGATCAATGTTGGAGGCGGACCGGAACCATCGATTGGCAAATTCGGGAGAATTGAGGGCAAGGAATACAGTATAAGAAAGGAAGTGGCCCGCAGTAAGACCAACGGTTTGAGCCGTAGAGGCGTATGAAATGTTTTGGGGCGAAATGAGTGTAAGCGCCCAGCCGTCGACTGCGATATCTTGTGTTGCGCATAGGAAAACGAGGAAGAACCACCATTTGGTGAAAGTCCATACATTGCCGTCGCTTTCACCTGCCGAGTTCAACATCGCCTCAACGCGGCCAGCTAGATAGAGCATGGCGAGACCGGAAAGCAACTGCACTGGAGTGATCCAGCTCTTGCGTCGACCAAGCCTTCTGCTCCAGACTGCATCCACAATGGGACTCCAGAATAGTTTGAGGGAATAAGGATATGACGCTAAAGAGAAGACACCGATTTGCCCGTAGGAAATATGTGGTTTAAGAAGGAATGGAACTGATCCCATGGCTAGACCCATCGGAATGCCCTGCAAAAAGTATAACAGCACCAGCAGCAGAAAATTTCTCCGGTCCTGCTCCGGTAGCGCAAAGAAACTTGTATTCTGCAGTCTTGGAGTACCAGGCACCGCCGGAGGTGCATCATCTAATGTGAAGCTTTCCCGAGCCATGACCCTGTTGGCATGTTGCGCAGAGGATGGAGAATCGACAGAAGGATCTTTCCTCCGCATTTCCAGACGTGAGTTCATATCGCCGTCCGCGTGGCCGTTCTGGCCCGTTTCTATCGTCAGGCTCGAAGCAGGCCCCCGTTTAGATGACTTCTCACGAGTCCTGCGCTTCATCTGTTTTCTGCGAGATGTTTCTGAGCTTCCTTCCAACAGTCCGGCGTTTTCGCGTTCGTCAGCGTCGCTCGTAGAGAGATCGGAGAGGGTGGACTCTTCGTCGCGTACGTCGAGTATAGTGTGTCTTGTTGGAAGGTCTTTTAGTTCGTATTCGGTGGAATGTCTTTTGTGGAAATGTGACGAAGATTCCGTAGTGTTATTGAAAGAGTGCGACACTGCGTGTTCTTTCGATGTTGAAGAAGAGGGTTGATTATTATCAGCGAGCGTGTAGGGTCGGGAGGGGAAGTTGTGGAATGCATCCATGTGGCGAGGAGTTGGTCCTGAGTGAGGCAAGCTGGCCTCTCCAGGGAAAAGGGAAGCAGGAAGAAGGATATCGCGGTGGTGCCTGTGAGGTTATTCCTTTGACTGTGATTGGGCCAGTCTGCTAGAGCTTCCGCGGCGCCCACTTTATCTGATCAATGGCCAGAAAGCTCTGTTTGTCACGTGTAAAAACGGGCAGACAGCGTGGACCGTCGTCCAGATCAGAGTCTGCAGGAGAACTCAAGTTGAGGTTTGAGATCTGAACTGGCCCAGATGTACGACGGTTCGGACAATCACGCAAGCAGGCCCGGGCCTTGTCTGTTTCCCGTCTCAATCTTAAAAGCGCGCCAAGACCGACCCCTGTAAGGTCACGTGCAACCAAGCGCATAGCCCTAACAGCAGTGAAGGATAGGCATTTTTCATGTCAACTTGAAATGTTGGCTCATACGGTGGGAATTTTGTTCTCCTGGCTGCTGAAGGGTTTAATATTATGGTAACAAAGCTGAATGGAAAGTCCACTTAAAGCAAACTGCGTATACGCTCACTTGCTGAGAGGTATCTGTATTCGAGAACAGAAAATTGTGCCTGAAGAGTATCTCTTGCAGGTAGAGATTTGGCTCCTTAGCCCTGGCCCAAACTGAACACTAGTTTGCCTGGAATGAACTAAAGGTGCGAAAAAGAAGCACAGCTCAGTTGCGGTGTGGGCTATCAAGAACATCTCACAATTTTAGAGCATAAACGCTATATACATGCGTATGGATTGGATCACACAAGTGCAGTACTGGAATGATTAGAAACCTCCTCCTCATTCATCCTCCTCTTCCACCGCGATTTCACCGATAACAACCAATCCTTCCAAAGCTTCTCTTTCTTCCCAATTCTAATAACACCATCTTTTACTCCCATCCACTGATCAATGGGCATAGACAAGAAGCTGTGTCGAGCCCAGCAGGACTTGTACCAAAACCCCTCCTCGTAATTGTCGTAGAACTTGATTTGTGTTTCATAACACGGCTTGCAATATTGTAATTCGTTGCAGTCGAGGCAGTAGTACATCTTTTCGCTCTTGGGACCGAAGCTTCTGACTATGACGGGAGGATTCATGCACGGCCCTGAGCAGCGGGTTGGGAGTTCGGTGTCCATGATGTCTTGATACATGGATAGGTCTGTAGGGGCGTCTTTAGGCTCTGGCTGTGGTTCTGTGGTCACTGTTGCCCCTCCTTGACCATTCACCTCTGTAGCGGTTGTCGGATCCATTTGGATGGGTTCGACCTTTAGAGTTGCTGGCACGGTGTGCTCATCTTCACTTGGAGCAGGTGAGGGTAAAGTTTCTGCCGCCTGTTCATCGGGTGCGTCTTTGTTCAATGCATCATGTGCGCTACCAGTTCTTTTTGTCTCATGGGCGGTTGTAGATGAATCATTCATTTCGACTACCTGGGTTGATATGGAGTTGTTTCTGTCGTCAGACTTCGTAGGACCAATTGAAGGCAAGAGACCAACGGATCCGTTGACAGTTTCTTTCACTTGTTGAGATTCCGTCTCTGACCCTCCAAGCCCCCGTTGATCCTGAGCTATTGGAGGCCCCTGCACAGTCTGAGTCGGTGGTTCTTCCTTGGTCTGCTCTAAAGTTTGTTCCGTAACAACAAGATCTGTTCGCCTACTGTAGTTATCATCGTAATTCATGTTGACGTAAGAAAACTGGAGAGACAACGCAATCTTGGCATCAATCTCCAAGTCGACAAACATGAGCACTTTGGCCAAAAGTCGAAAGGCCTCTGCATCATTTGATCCAATTGTGTCCTCCAAGTCTGCAATGACTATGGAGAACACACCCTCAGCGTATTGCTTGGCTTTCAATTTGCCGTCAAAATAAGACCACATTTTCGCAAGTACAAGGAGGGCTTTTCCTATGGTCATAGGCTCAACTATCTGCATGTTTTCGTAACGGTCGACGAGCTTTTCCACTTGTCCGATTATCTGCTGCTTGACGTCCTTGGATTCTGTTACCGTGAAATTCTCGTAATGAATGTCAATCATTTCAGGAAAAACAAAATCTMCCAGCCACAAGCTCACACGGTTTTCCACGAGACGGGTTATCAGTTTATCAATCTCAATCTCGGCCATCTTCGTGGCACGTGCATCTCGTCTGTAAACCAACGCCAATTCATACTGTAGGGCTACCGAGTGACCAACGTCCCGCGTGCGCCAATATTCAACAGCCTCTTCAAAAATTTGAATTGCGAAGTCGACGCGCCGAGTCTCGACTGCCGCCCTTCTCAAAGAGTCCGTCTTATCCGTCCAATTATCGGTTCGGTTCCACAGCCACTCGGATCTGATTCTTGGTCGTTGACGTCGCACTGCTTGAATCACTTTCGTCCACTCGCCTTTCTTGGTATGAATATTGACAATGGTCTTTAAAAATTCCAATAGTTCTTCAGTATACTCTAAATCCTCGCCCAAGGCCTCTTCACAGGTTTGGATTGCCTCAGTATCGGACCCTAGGTGCGTCAACGCTTCAGATTTGAGAAGGAAGGCTTTGATACACCGCTCGTTGCGAAGCTCTGATCCAAGAGCTCCCTTCTCTTCGTTTCGTTCAATAAGGGCCTTGTTAGCAAAGTCCACAACATTCCTCCAGTCCTTTTCTTCGCCCAGGTCGAAAGGAGTGTTGATTTGTGCTCGATAGTACTCTGCCATTCCCAAGTACGAATAGAATTTCTCAGGACCCAGAGTTGTTGTCTCTGAGAGATTAGTTTGATACAACTCGACACAAAATTGCCTAGTTTCATCAGTGTCCTCAAAGTGAAGAACCAAAGCTGTCGCGATTCGACATCGAGCGATTTCCACGGGATTCAAGTAGACTTGATTTTTCCCGTATTCAATAAGTGCTTTAGCTATTTCAACAGTCACTGATGGGAAGTAATCGCTTGGACCGACGAAGTCGGGATGTAACTTTTCAGTCTTTTCCGGTCAGTAACTTCCTTGTGCATTTATCCAAAACTGGGCCTTGGGGTTCACATACCAACCACAGAGCCCGACAAATGAAATTGTAGGAGATTCTAGCCTCGCGATAAGTCATTTTCTCTGTCCATCTCACAAGGTGACCACGAGCTAACTGCTCCAGCACACATCGTGGATCTTTGAGTAGACTTTCAATTCCTTGTAGTGCCCTGAACGACATCTTCTCTTCGTTATGGAAGCTCATCTTTCTAGCCCACGCTAGTAGTAGATTCAGGTGTCGAAAACCTCGCTCTTCGTAAGATATATTGGATATGCGATAAATGCTAAAGTCGACGTCTATCAACTCGTTTTTTCGACTCTGAATATCTTCAAAGACGCGAGATACATCGTTGTCATCGTATAATATCCGCATCAAAGCTTCAACGACTTGAGCACCTTGTTGAGGGGTTGTTTTCTTAACATCGATATCTTCGAGGTGGTCCAGGAGCCATTCCGCAGCATATTCTTGGAGACTGTCGCGATTTGGTGCTCCCTGAGGTAATTGGTCGCACAGTGCACCAACAAGCCTCAGAAAGATATCCACTTTCGCCTTGGTCGGATCTCGAATCATGTTGTTGTCTGATTGCTCCAAATAATCTTTGAATGCTGGTTGGCGAAAGCGGACTTGCTTCTGCTTCTGCTTTTCGAGCTTTTTCTGCGCTTCAATTGCATCATTCTCTGTTTCAGGCTTAGGTAAATTATCTGTCTCTAATGAACTGGTCGAATGATAATTGTCCGTAAAAAGCAGGCTGTCCCATGCATTGTCAGTGACATAGACATACAATTTTGGGACCGTAGGATTTCACCATACCTTGATAACCTTCCCTCGATCTCAGCAGCAACATCAAAATTACTGATTGATGTTTCTTGTTCGAGAAGTTGCTCAAGCTCAAGCACTTTGAAAGGCTCCTTAGCAAATGTACATAGAGCGAATATCTTCTCGACAATTTCGCGGTCTCGTGGGCTGCGTTTTGAGCAAACCGTATCGATCATGGCAGTATACAAACCGTGTTGGCCTTTCACATGATCAATTTTAATTAGAGCGGATGCATCGCCGTCACATTGTTCCAGCATTGTCAGTGTAAGATCTACCGATGACATGACTCCTAACGCAGTGTCAGCTTGAGTTGATGCTTTTTGTCTCTCAAAAAGGCCAAGTAAGAGGTTAGACTTCACATTTCAACTTACTTTCAGGGCTGTCCAGAAGCTTGCTCTTGATAATCTCTTTTGTGGAATCTTTAAAGCTTTTCAACATCTCTGACTGGTTGAAATGCGAGTCAATGAGTTTTGCAAAATCACCGCTGGACCGTGTCTTCTCGAACAGATCGATTTTCGGACAATCTGTATACTGGGCTATGGGACCATAAATATCTTCATCTGGAGGTCCGGTCATAAGAATACGAATTCCGTCTTTGTCGGAGTTTAAGGTCTGGAAAAGACCTAACATCGCTTGGCGGTCAGGGCCATCCATCAATTCCACACCATCAAGGATGATATAGATCACACGGGACGTATCTGGGGTCTTCTCAAATTTCTTGACCAAAAGCTTTTCCCACATGAAGTTTAGCTTCTTCTTGCTATCTTCCTCCTTTGCAATCTTGGACGCCACTAGGTCTTTTGCAATTGCGTCACCTAGCTTGCTATCGTTATCTGCAATTTGAACCAGAATATAGGCCAACACATTTCGGAAAGACTGAGAGTCTTGCCTTCCAGGCTCAAAAGGAAAGTAAGTCACAAGAGTGGTTTGTCGTGGATTATTCTTGCCGCCCTCTAATCTATTCTTCTTGGCCTGTTCCTGAATTGACAAGAAACACCGATAGGAAAAGAACGTCTTTCCGGTACCGGTGGCACCAGAGACATAGATGACTGGGGTTTTGTGTCCGCTCATCCAAGATTTGTACGCTGGCTCATTTTCTATCCACGAAAATGTGCCAGGGACAAGGTGCGCTTTCAGGAATTCCATGTGAATCTGGATTGGAACTATGATATCAGGGTCCAGATCCTTGTTATCCTTCAAAGTCTTTGTAATTTTCTCCAAGGAAGTGGTTCTGCCCCAAAGGGCTTGCAAATCAGAAGGCTTGATTTTCTCATGTTGCAGTAAATCGAGCAAATTTGCTGGAAGATCTTCGATTTTGCTATCCATAGCCTTTACGACGTCAAGGATCTGAAATGGTATTGTGGCGCGAAACACCATTATCGTCATTTTCMCTTTTTCGCATCGAGCCATGATTTTCTTGTTCCTGCCATGTAACAGAGCATTAAGATAAAGCCCTGTCTGATCTTTAGATGTATGCTTGTAAGATCAAATAAAACGGATACATACTTTTTCTTCGGTACTCAGTAAAGATCTTGCCGCTGAAGAGACAGAAATCAAGCATAGCGATGAATATATCTAGCAACCTATTGAGGAAATTTGATTCACGAAACTCTCGCTTTTTGAGATCACCAATATCAAGTAGCGCATTGTGCAGCTCGACGAAGGTCGCCTCGATTAGGTCAAAGTCTTCAGTCACGTTTTTTGCGGCCTACCAAGCCCTCTTAGCATAAGTTTGCCAGGCTAACAGAGGCAAAGACTTACCTGTATCATATACATAMCCGAGCCCGCCACAATTTGAGCGGGTACTGCATACTGTGAAGGAACAATAAGTAAGAAACCATACAATGATAGCATAAATGAGACGAGAGATCATCGCTTACAGTTCCAGACACATGATCTTTGAAGAAAGATACACCAGAATATGTCCAGTCCAAACATCCAGATACAGCATTAATCACCTTGGTTTTTCGGTCCTCAGGATGCCGCGATTTTTCGAATAGTTCCGACGCCTTTTGGAGACGTTGATCCGGTTGCTGGAGCCCATCAGATTCGCTTTCTGCAATGGCCGAGATGTTGACGCGATATTCTTTCTGTATGTTGTTCACAGCTTCCTTCCACAAATCATCGAGACTTTTAGAGTCTTTCTGCTCCGGAGATGTTTCAGCATTTGGGAGAGGAATTGGTGCTGTCTGTTTTGCGACATTCCGTTTGTCACTCATGTTTCTAGAAATTGCTCGTGATTCTTTAGATATACTATACTGCTTATCTGAGGCGTTGAAAGGGGCCCAGCAGGTCAGAAGGGAGCGAGCATAGCAGATTTAAGCTTTGGAAGAACGCCGGAAGGCTTCATATTAGACAACGCGCTTTACTTAAATACACGCGATCGCGACTGGTATAAAAGCTGGCCTTAAGCTCTACTCGTAGTAAACTAGCATGCGGCTGAGCGGGAGTCTTGGCTGCATTTAAGGTGTATGAGAGCTCATCGAGATTGGTCGAGAGAATCAGTCAAAGCTGAAGAGTGACCAAACACCAGCGCCATTGTACGTACTCCTTTCCCGCTGTGGGTTGGTGTTGGGTCTCACTGACTTACAGAAGGCCCGTTCGGCTCTAATTACATTGTCATCACATAACCAAGCAATAAACAGTAAGACTACGTGCACTCGTCGATCCCCTTGACGCTAATGGTCAAACTGACCACTGATGTTGTTAACGATCAGGCAATTATTAGAACTTCAAGAAATCGTCGGCTCAAGTCAAAATCCGATTTCAGCAAAGCAGCAAGGACAGTCTATCAACTGGACAATGCTTAATAATTCGAAGTTATTAACCAATATGTCTATTTCCAATTCTGCAATTATAATCGTATATTCGAATCCGGAACCGCCAACTTTCTAGTGGTCATTGAGTCCACCACGGACCGCGTCTGTTGAGGTTGTTAACTTATGCCCGAGAAAACATGTCATGACAACACGCACGCATTGCGCTTAAAGTCTGTAACGATTAACAGTTTGGACAATTCAAAACTAACCAGAGTAATGGTTCTGTCTACGTTGACCCAAGCCTGCTTCCTATTAGGATGAGGCCCTCAGCCGCGAGGCTGCACCCTCCCATCTGTTAGCTAGGCATCTTCAAAAGCAGTGTGGATGATACTTCCAACATGAGGTTCTCTTGAGTCAATTGGATTCGATTCATGCATGCTCCCACCGAGCATGCATACAGAACAGACTCCGATCTCACGATTGGATGTGCTGCCAACGCAATGGTGAAAGACGGATGGGGCCCGACAGCAACACCAGACCTCGATGCCGCATAAATGGAATGAGGCTCGGGTCAAACTGGACTAAAAATCACTGGGGCCAAATGTCCCTTCTTTTAAAGACTTAAGATCTTTGCGCCTGTTGTACATGTAACCAATCATCCAAAGATCGGCCTACGGCCGGCCGTACACAATTTTTTTCAGCAAGCTGAAGTCGAGGTAAACGAGACTAGACAGCTTGTACTTAGTGTCATAAGAAAATCTACAATAAAGCCAGCTGGAGGTCTCTCTTCTTGTGAGGTGGTTTTTTGCAACAGCTTGTGGAGATGTCAAAAAGGAGAACTGAAATTCTATATGCAGAAGCATCACGTGACCGCGGAGCACATGAATCGGAAATGCTCCGCGCCTCAACCTGGGAACGTAAACAAACAAGCAACCACCACGACCATACAAAAACACCAATGACAACATACATCACGATGGATAACGAGACAATCGCGAATATAAACAACTCGCTCGAGGCAATGGACTCGGAAATTGCGAAAATTCGCGAAACCAGTAAGTCATCACCATACCGAATGGAAAGTGATGAGCTAACCAGTCGTCAACTTTATAGTCAAAAACTTCCAGAGTAAACGTCGCCTGCTGTCCGCTAGCTTACTCTCATCAGACTATATTCGTCGCCAAATCGAAGATAACAACAACAGACTTGGAAGTGGCGCGGCATCAAAAGTCGCGCAGAAAGAAGTCACAACCTTGATGAACGATGCTCACAAACACCGCGATACGAATTACCATCGCTTGGCCTTTTCGACAACACTGTTCCCCTGGAAAGATCCGAATCCGTATAATGAATCGCCGAACCTATTAGGCCTAAGGATTGACGTCTGCGAGCGCAATGGCACATTCGCGAAACCTTACTATGTTCTCTTCCAAAAGGAGACGGAAAAGTCTACGTCAGCACCAGGGCAACGGTCTTCGTTGTCATTTTCTATATACCGACACACAATCCCACCGTTTATACCTATGGAGAAGCTAGCGCATCGATATCTGCCCCAGGCCAGACCGTCCAGGAGGCAAGGCGCGGTTGACGATGAAATAGAGACGGCAAAGATCAAGGCAAAGATGAGGAAACAAGACCTGAACGCATTCGTGCGACATTTGCGCAAAGAGTTAGCAGCATGGTATGCGCGACGCGATTCCATTGCATGGCTTCAAGAACGATTGGGCGTTGCAGACGTGACCGAGAAGGACGCAGTGAGGAACCAGCGGACAAACCCGGCGCAACTTGTGTCACTGGCTGCCACGTCTATTGAATCGCGATACGTGAAATTGGAGTGGACGGATGGTAGAGTTGGTCGATTTAAAGTCTCAAATTCGGGGCTTGTGGAGCGCGCGGTCGTCATTGGCGAGAAAGGAAGAGACAAACGGACGGAGTTGATTTTGATGGGAGGTGATAGGCGAGTTGAGTCGCTGGTTGATCGATTGTCCGTCACTTGATTACAGTAGTGTTATAATACACTCGAGCACGAGTTAGAGATAATGCTTGAAGTCAAATTCTATTCATGCAAATCACGCAGCCATGATATCATATAGTAAATTCAGCGAGCTAAACTAAGCTTAAATTATAAATGGGTATCAAAATGTATGTGATGATATGATGAAAGCAACAACGAGAAATGATATCTGCCGCCCAGGGTATATTATAATATGTAAAATGGTATGATCGATGGGATGCAAAGCGCTCCTTGGGAACGAAAAACCCGAAACTGCTGTATCCTGACAACTGGTATAATTCTCTATATCATGATTCTTTCGTGGTATATGCAAACGGATTCTTCAAAATGGGTATCTCAAAATCCATAAACTCACGGCCGTTCCCTCGATGAACACCGTTACGATCATCACCATCCTCGTCCGGTGTACTGAAAGAAACGATAGGTAACGGTCCATACGGTAATCCGCTCTGATCCTCCAGCTTTTTCCGTAGTATCGCCTCTTCGATATTCCATCTTCGTCTAAGCCTGTTCTTCTTGGCGTCGAAGATCTGTAAAATTTCCTGTTCCGCGCGTTGATGGTCACGCTCCAGCTCGACGATGGCTTCTGCGTTTCTGCGGATAATATTCTCCAGTTCTCTGTCGAGGCGAGATGTTGTTTCCTGTAATTGCTGCTCTTGTCTTTCCCGGAGGACCTTGATGCGTGCTTCGTGTAGCCGATCCATGGAATTCCGGTCCAGGTATTCTTGAGCTAGTTGCTCTTTCTGGCGGCGGGTGACTGTCCTAAGCTGTTGTTGCTGTTGAGCGCTATTGGAGGCGAGCTCGAATTCAGAGCCCGAGAGTTGAGGTGATGGCGGAGGACTGGAGGTGCTGACGTATCCTTCCATGTATTTGATTCGGGTCTGTGAGTTTCGTTTTGTTTTCTCAAATTCTTTGATTTGGTCAATTTCCACTGAGAGTTGTCGTTCTTCCATTTGTGCAAGGAAATCAGTGTTCTAACAATAGAATTAGCTGCGTTGCACGGATTAGGACTTCTGGTAAGCTCACCCAATCCTTCTTCGCCTTTTCGGCCTTGCTGTTATTTTCTCGTTTCTCTGCGACAAGAGCTAAATGGGCTGATTTTAACGAATCCAATAACTCATTCTGCAATTGTAAAAATCGAGACCTCTCGGCTTGATGTCGCTCAAATAACTCCTTTAATTGCGCATCTTCCATAGTCCGGTTTATAGCAGCCTCGTCAAACACGGGCACCTCAACTTGCAAAGTACCTTGCGCTTGCGCATCTTCGGAACGCTCACTTTCAGTCGTTCTCGCAGGCGTTGTTTCCACAATGACTGTATTTGCCCCTCCACTCTCGTTCTTCTTCAAACTTATATGCGCGTTTGGTGGTAAATTAACGGCGGACGGGGKGCGTCGTTTCCGAAACGGCCGACCAATCGCGCTGATAAAACTCGATCGTTTCCGCTCAGCGAGCCTCAATGCACTGGCGCTTGCGCTTGTCGAGTTCGGCGAATATATGTGTTGCGGCGATTGTACCCACGACGAGCGCTCATGCGGTGGCGCGGCAGCTTGCGGCGGAATAATTCTAACATCGCAAGAACTAATCGACGTCGGCCGAGTCGAAAACGAGTCGATAGATGGTATACTCCCCGAATGATCGCGATCGGATACAGTCGTTTCCGATAACGAACTAGCGAGGTGATCAACCGATGCAACACTCGATCTTACAAGATCTGCAAATGAGCGGGGATGCGTAAACGATGGACGATTATGCTGTCTCAATCCAGCCGTGGAGGAAGATGATGACGATGGTGCAGCGGGTATAGTAAAATCCAAAATTCCCGCGTTGATGGTCGCTGCTAAGGAAGCTGCGATTTGAATATCGGGTATTTTCAACCCGAGTTCGGAGGCTTCGGCGACGAGTTGTGCTTCTATTGTGTCTTCTGCTGTTTCGGCATCGTCGTCGAGTCGGAGGACCTCCTTCCGATAGCGAGATTCATCCGTCGATGACAGGGAGGCTGTGGTCGCTCCTCTTGTCGCCATCTCTGGATGAACCTCTTCTCCTCCTTTCGTCCAATTCAGTATCGAAAATAAAAAGAAGAAAAGATAAAATCTACATAACCAAATTCGACAGTGGGCCCTCCGTCCCCTGACCGAGGAGGACTGCCCCAATCGGGAGTTTTGCGCGTCAGTCAGTTACAGAAAATGCAAGGAAGAGACGAGCCCCACTGATGAGTCGGTGGCATCAGAGTGATCAAGGCTGAAGCCAAAGCATTGAAAACAGCCACCGAGCCCACTGCTAATCAAACTCCTTGAAATTTGGGGGCTGGCCGCCAGGAACCGGACGCCATGCGGTCAGCTATCCATCTAATCGAGACATGGACGAGAAACCGCGTTGTTGAAGTGTTTCTTTTGAGCATGTGTACATGACTCCAGAGACAGTCACAGAACATTTACTACGTCAGGACCGAGTCCCGTTGTCTCCGCCACCTATCAACTACTATATGTGTGAAAGGCTAAATCGCTCGAAATTTTGATGTGCCATGTGACCCATCAGCCGGGATTTTCCTGTGCTCGAACCCAAGCACATATAGGAATCGGTCAGTTATATCGCAATGCCTCAAGTTGACAGGAGAGCATGCAAGCAAGCCAGAAATTAGCGATGTCTAACAATTATAAGTGCCGCGTGTGCTTTTATCTGCACCAGATCCATGATCGCGGAGGACCGGAGTCTTTACTCTTTTAAGTACTTTGGGTGCTCCCACGTGGCCGCGGTCCGATCCGCCAGATCCGATCAACTTTTGGCCTCGACATCAGACGATACTTTACTGTGTAAGGGGACAACTGAAGGTACATTGAAGTTCAAACTATTTTCGATATAACAATGGATTCAGAAAAATACGGCCGATTCATGAGAACCAATGCCAAACAAGACCTAGCACCCAGACCGAAACCTCGGGTTTAAACTACTGTAATTTCATTAAGCAGAAACGCCGATCTTCAACCAGGGGTGGCGCCGCAATGGCCGATTTGTCGCGACTTTGTCGATCCATCTTGAATCGCGAGATATTTACCATGTGATACTCTGTAATAATGGTGCTGCTTAGTCTGTACATATCTGCGACAGCCGCCAATGTCAGGCCTTGTCCTAGTTCGTGGCTCGTTTCATCCGGGATGTCAACTAAGTGCGGGCATACCCTTGTCGGCTAAATGTACCTTCCATGTGATAAAAGCATTAATAGACGACAAGCTGCCTCCGAAGTCCCTGCATTAACTTCTGTGTAACGGGTTCTGTTAATGTCTATATAACTACCCAAGAATACAGTTTGGCTGGTGTTCAATGACATTGAAGCAGCGCACTGTGCAATTTAAGAAGATACATTGTAAATACATCGGATCTTTTACTATTTTATATTCTACGTATAAACTTGAAAATATTTCCATTGAACAGGACATAATAATGTATAAATTGATTAACAAACCCTGATATTGGGGTAGCTTGGCTTTTGCATTGGAGGAAAGTGATCCATTGAGCTAGCAGGCGATTGAGTTGAAAAGTATTTGCAAACATGATGACTTGGATAAAGATAATAGATCTGACTCGGTGATAATCCGAGTCACAAATTGCGAGACAGGTGATTGGGAGGTGGCTTGACTACTTGACTGTATCGGATGGCTGGCTAATTTGCCTTCGTTATTGTGATGGAGAGAGACGCACATATTATACAACTTGTGTCTCCTTGAAGCTTGTAGACTTGCAATTGAAACCCGAATGGCGACTTGAAGATACCTAAATATGATTTGGATTGGTAATGAAAATGGATTGCAGTGCTTCGAAGTGTTACCTAGGTACCCAGGTATACAAGGCTAAGCTACTTTGCTGTTAATATACACAATAGCCATCCATGGATCTTATTTATTCCGTGACATTTCAAACTCAACGTAATGCGAGCAAAACTAGACCTTCTCAAGCTGCACAGTATTTTCAGCCTTATCATAGACAGCCTCATCTCCATATTTAGACTCGTTTGTCATGCCTACTCCAGGTCTTGCATGAAGAAGAATCTTTTCCCCAGTGAACAGCGTATCAATATCCTCCAGGGACAAGTTTCTGGTCTCCGGGTAGAAGAAGTAGATGAGAGGAAGGAAGAAGAAGTTGAATATGCAAAAATAGACATAAGTCTTGTAGCCGATGTTGTTGATGCTGACAGGCGTAATTTCGACGACCAAGAAGGTAAAGATCCAGTTAGAGGCTGTGGCTAGGGAGGCGGCGCGCGTACGAATTGCAAGAGGAGCGTACTCGGCAGGCACTGTAGATGGAAGAAAGGTAAGTCAGTTTCCAAAAACGAGTCTTAGTCAAATCATGATACTCACGTAGCCAGGGAATAGCCAAAAGACCAACAGCAAAGAAGAAGTTGAACAGGAAAAGCATGATGACGGCAACAATACCAGCGGCTTTCCCACCATTCGATACAGTTCCTGCAAGAATGGCCATACAAGCACATTGGCCACCGGCAGCAAAAAGCATCAGCTTCCTACGACCAAGTCTATCAATGGCCCAGATAGGGACCAATGAGGAGATCCAGTAGGCGATTCCATTGAAACCAGCCAACAGAAGTGAAAGGTTATGAGACATGCCAACCGACGTTTGGAAGATAACGGGAGCGTACTAGATTGGGTAATATATCAGATCGAGGATCTTGCAAGGCGGTGATAGACGGGGAGAGGAACACATACATAGGTGATGAGGTTAATTCCAGAAATCTGCTGCATGAATTGGCCACCAATACCAAGCATTGTCCGGTAGAAAAACCTTTGTGGCCCATTTGTGAACAATGCTTTATAACTTCCCAAAGACGCGGCTTCGCGTTCTTCTACAATGGCCCGCTGAATTTCGTGGAGGTCATGAGAGACTTTCGGGCCGTTGATATCTATGTCTTTTGCGTTTGGCTGCACCGCCCAAATGATCTGTTTAGCATCGTCATGGCGATCATGAGCGACTAGCCATCTGGGTGATTCGGGTAGCACAAGAATGCCAACGAATGTCAAGATAGCAAAGAAGATTTGGAAAGCCAATGGAAAGCGGAATTGAGATTCATTGTTGACAAAGCTCATGCCATAGTCAGTCCAGTAAGCCAGAGCGACTCCAAAGATGTTGATGGCAAGTTCAATGCAGAGACCCTTTCCACGGTTATTTGCACTCATCAATTCGGAATGCCACACAGCTATCAGAGAATGTTAGTAATTAGCCAATCCTCCCGTATCAGGCGCCTCAAAGTGTACACAGGAATAGAATTGGGGTTCACTTACGGATAGTACTGGTATTCATGCCATTTCCCAAACCGGCCACAACTCTCCCAACAATCAACTGCGCAAGGCTATACGCAGAAGCCTGCAGAGTAGCACCGATACTCAGGATAACACATCCAATCGCAATACACTTCTTTCGACCAAGGCGCTCACCGACAAGCATGCAGATGAGAGCACCAAAGAAGCAACCAATTTCGTAAATAGCCACAACAGTTCCCTGAACCGTTGAACTCCCGCCGTTTGTTGTGTCTATGGATGGAAATACTCTCGTAAAGGCATCTCCCGTAAGAAGTCCAGACATGACACCTTGGTCGTATCCAAAAAGTAGGAAACCAGATCCGGCAGTGGCCGTGATGGCCCAGTTCAGGGGTCGTCCAACTAGACGTGTCATCGTGGGCTAAAGATCAAATAGATAGGTTGTTGTTTGTTCTTTGCCCAACTCATGCAGGTATATCGATACCCTGGTATGGTAGTAAAAACACCGTGTGGAGGAGAGGAATGTGGGTATATATACCTCCGGATTTCCAAAATCTCCGGAATATCTCCAGGTTCAGACGTCAAGCTGTACACGAGGTAAACCCGGAAGAGATATGAGGCCCCAATTGTAGCGTTAAATTTAAACTTCAAATATCACCAGATTGAGGTAACACATAGCCAGCCGCTGACTACATTGCCGGTTGCTCAACTCCCACCAAACTTGATTCGGACATGAAACTGCGGAGTTTGTATGGAGTCCTTACTGATAGAAACGTATGAAATTGGAGAAAACGCGCAGAACAAAGATTTGCGAGGAGCAAAACTGGTCTGCCCGCAACCGGTACCACTTGCCCAACACAGCCCAAAATGTTTTGGGATCTCCATATCTATAGTCCGGACCATTGCCAATACGATAATAAAAGCAACTGGAAGCGTGGGCGAGCGGGGGATTTCATTACGTACTCGGACCATTTCCGAGAATTTCGGCTCGGGGACTTTTAAAACTGCCTGTTTGGCCCAGATGGAAACTAAAGCGACCTTGCGACTGAGATCTATTCCGAAATCAACCCACGATGATGTAGTGTACCACATTCCGAAAGTAAGACTTATTCCATTTTACTGATACTACAAAGTGTCGAGATGTGTAGAATATTGTTGAACCCATCTTTCAATGTTCTTAGGCAATGTTTTGGAGACATCGGAGTTGATTCCGAGCCTTTCTCTCCACAACCACGGATGCCGCTTCCAACTGCCTTCGGATCAGCGGCTACCTATTTGACAGCAGCAGGTCTCAAGAAAGTAGTACACGCGCCTCCAAACAAGATTTACGTAGTCACATATGCTAAGTCTCCTGTAAGGGCAAGGAGCGCCCAAATCATATCAATACGTGCTTTAAGCAAGCAAGCAAACTAGACATAGGGCAAGGTGGCACAGGGCTAGTTGATTGGTTTCCTAGGCATATCGGGGCCCCACGTTTTACTTTTCCAACCATCCCACGTCTACCCCGGACGAGATTAAGATTGCACCTTGGCCACTTCATAAGTCGAACAAGATAAAAATTCGACATCGGTCACTCAATTGGAAGGTGTAATAACAGATATGGAAGCTCAGGATACGTCGCACGAAGACCGGCAAAATGGCGAGAAGCCCTGGAAACGAACCAGATCAGGGTGTCTGAACTGCCGAAGGAAGCGACGAAAATGTGACGAAGCAAAGCCAACTTGTCGTCACTGCCACAAAAGCCGCGAAAACTGTAGATGGGGAATGCGCATTTCTTTTCGCGCAGAGAACTCACAAACTGTGCAAATGCCAGTGATACCAACTCGCACACCGAGACGTTTCCAGATACTGGACATTACGTCGGAAGTTATTCGTGATTATCATCATGTTGTACCGGAGGAAGGCCCGATCCTCGACGATCCCATTTCCCCTAGTCCAGGCCATAGATTGCTTGAGTATGATGCTGGAAGAGAAGAGGGAAGGCAAGCTAGCCGGATAGCAAGGCACGAGAATAGAGCCGAGCCGGATGGTGAAGCGGAAAGAGAACATGACCAGTGGAAGAGCCCTGGAAAAATGCGAAGTCCATCCGATGTGCGAAGAGAGTTGATTCCAGGATCTAATCGACCTCTTCCTCCCAAAAGTGATATCGATAATTTGTCACCTCCAAGCATCGCATATTCTCAAGGACCGATTGCCTGTGCACCTGCAGAGCAGGCAGGAGGCATTGTCGATGCACCCGACGGCTATACAACGAATAATATGTGGTTAAAACAAGTCCTTCAGCGCGACCAGCTATCAATGGACGATGAATCTGACTACAGCGCAGTATATTCGCCACTATCACAATCAATACGAAGTGGTTACTGTGATCCATCGATACCCTTGTCTGATTTCCACGTTCAGGACGGCATCTTCGTCCCTGGATCCGAGTATCTCGAGCTCCACTCCACATTGAGAAATCACCTCATCCTAGAGGCGAGATCGAGTGTGCCAACTAGACACTGTACGCCCGAGCACTTGGGGGAGGACTTTGGTTTTCAGGTCGATAGTACAAGTGCACGTATTAAGATACCGGAAGAGGAAGAGTTTCTATTATGGAAGAATTGGCTAGGGGAACTCGCGCCATGGCTAGATAAATTCGACAACCAATGCCATTTCCAGAACAATTTACTGGCTATGGCTCGCTCGCACGAGCACCTCAGATATGCCATGCTAGCCCTATCGGCACGTCAGCTAGAGCGGAAAGGTGCCACAGCACACAACGAACGCAGTCTGGAATTCTATCACCATGCCATTCATATCCTTCTACCATTATTACCGACAAGAAGTACGGCAGTTATTGCCTCATGTGTAGTTCTCTGCGTTCTGGAGATGCTCAGCTGTGCGCCAAAAGCCTGGCAGCGACATTTGGACGGATGTGCAGGGTTGATGGAAGCCGTCGGAATGAACGGGTTTTCCGGTGGCCCAGAGCAAGCACTATTCTGGTGTTTTGCGCGAATGGATGTATGTGGAGGGCTGATATCTTGCACCAAAACCCTTATCCCCGTTGATCATTGGGCGACTGGTGATCTCGACGCGGACGTGCGTCTCTTTCGATCGGCACCTACCTTTGACACCTTCGCAAATTATATGGTTTATCTCTGTGCACAAGTTCTAGATGTACTTGCTCCATGTCATCACAAATTTGGAAGACTCGGCGGTCCTCGAAACAACAGCCTCACGGACCGAGCATTTACAGAACGGTGGTCTAAACTATGGCTCTACATACAAGACTGGTATCTCAAACGCCCCGAAGAAATGAAACCAGTGATGGAATACTCCTCATCTAGTAGCTCGTTTCCAAAGATACTATTCGCTAACCCTGCTGCGATATCTGGAAATCAGCTCTACCACACCGCTTCATTGCTCATGTTACAGGCTCGCCCGCCGGGAATGCGCTTGGAACCAAAACCACGGTCTGCACTGTGGCACGCGCGTCTGGTGTGTGGTATTTCAATCAATAATCATCATCATGGAGCGTGGACGAATGCTATGCAACCGCTTTGGATTGCGGGACAGTGGATGAGTCATCCGAGTCAGCATCAAGAGATTCTGGAATTGTTGGAGCGTATTGAGAAGGAGAGTGGATGGCCTACTCAGTGGAGGGCAGATGATTTGAAAGAGTTCTGGGGATTGATCTAGCCTTCCAATGTACCTAGCCACCTGAAATCGCAATTCACAGAAGATGCGGCGCCTCTTCCCTGATACCTGCAAAATATACCTCTTATTCTTGTTTCAAAATTTGTAGATTGTGGCACATAGGTCTATCCTCTGGAGCGACCTTGATTCCAGACCCTCGGGACGCTGGTCAAGTACAGACCTACAGCAATACAGATGCCGGACCAGGAGGACTAGGTATTTCGTCAATATTCTGAACTGTCATTATCCGGGTAGACTGTTATCGAGCTTATATGAGAATCGATAACAGTAGGCAGCAGCTTTGATGAACCACTAGGAGCCCACAATAATATTGAGAGGCACGATCTGTGCCTCGACTCAGTTCGGAGTAACGCGCGTCAAGGTTCTGTTAGTGATGTTGCTCGTCAGTGAACAATGTTTAGGCTCTGTTTAGTTTTCAAGGTGCTTTACAAAGAGTGACAGTAAACTCGAAAGTTATCGATATATTGATCTAAAGTATCAAGAACCAACAAAACACCGGTCTTTCCCAGACGTTCCAGTCTATTCAAATAATTATTCAATGGTGGCCATCATTCAAATCTCTAAACTCTCCTCGTAACGAGTCAAGGCCATCCCGTTTAGCATCAGCAACAAAATCAGCCACCTTAGGGGCAATGACTTGCTCATCAAAGCCAAAATATTTATATGCCGCTGGACCAGGCAGAGAATGTCCAAATGAAGACATTGAGAATCCTGCATCAGCATAACGCTCCCATCCGTTCACAGCGTAGGCCTCAATAACCACGCGTGGAGTTGACTTGTATTTCAACACAGACCTCTTATATTCGATGCTCTGCTGCTCAAAAAGCCTTTGACACGGGAAACTAACGACGCGAGCCTTGATGTTGAACTTTTCTTGCAGAAGCTCCCGTGTACGCATGGCAAACACCATCTCAGCACCGACGCCGATCAAAGTCACATCGGCATCTTCTTCCTCAACAAAGACGTACGCACCCTTTTGGGCTTTTTCTCTGCATGAGTACTGTGGATATTGCTCTAAGTTCTGTCGAGAAAGTGAAATGATAGTCGGAGAGGAAGTTGCTTTTAGCGCAGAAACGAATGCTCCAGCTGTCTCTTCGCTGTCGCATGGTCGGATGTAGAGAAGGTTGGGCATAGCACGGTACAATGCTGCTAAAGCAATAGGTTGATGTGTAGGGCCATCTTCGCCTGTGCCGATGGAGTCGTGAGTGGCAATGTGGATTTGTTGAAGGCCTTGAAGGGCGCCCATGCGGACACCTGGGGCAGCATACTGAAGGTAGATTAGCATTGGACCTGAAAAATGGGGTGGATTGATTTCTCACAATATAAAACATAAAGAAGGAAGAAGTAACCGGTAGGATTGTTCCCTTGTTGAACGCTGCCAATCCATTAGAGATCGAAGCCATGGCATGCTCCCTAATACCCCAATGAACATAACGTCCACTATAGTCTCCATTGATGCCGCATGTGGTTTTCAGATCCGGCTATGATTTCAAGTTGATTAGTCCGCGAACAAAGTCGTATCAACTCGGGAGAATATGAAATACACTTACATGTTGAAAGTCAACCTTGCCTTTCCAGGCCATGTTAACGGAGGGAGTCAAGTCAGCCGTTCCAACTATCAGATTCTGTAGCTTCGAGGCCAATGGGTTGCAGCAAAGCCCTGCAGACTTTCGTGACGCCGTAGGTGCTGTAGGAAACTCCTCTTTTGTTGGTAAAATCTTGGTCCAGTCATCGGTCATCTTTCCTTCAACTCTCAGCAAAAACTCTTGATGCAATTCTGGATATTCCTTCCCATATCGTTCCAATAATTGGTTCCATTCGTTTTCATAAGCTTGGCCTCTTTGTACCGCGTCACGGAAAAAGTCATAAACTTCATTTTGGACGACGAAATGTTGCTCTGGGTCCATGCCGAATTTTGTCTTGATGGATGCCACGTCTTCCGCTCCATATGCTGCACCGTGAGCCTTAGCATCGCCTGCAACCTTACTACCAATACCGATGACTGTCCGGACATTGATGAATGTTGGCTTTGGGTTAGAGCGAGCTTGGGCTAGAGCCGCAGTCAGAGCAGGGACATCGTAGCACCCGTCTTCGACATCAATGACATCCCAACCACACGCTCGCATTTTTGCGTTGACATCTTCTGTGTTGCAGAGATCCACACTACCATCACATGTAACCTGGTTATTATCATAGATAACAACCAAATTGTTCAACTTCCAATGCCCCGCGAGCTGAATAGCTTCCATAGCTACACCTTCCTGAAGACATGCATCACCAATCATGCACCATGTCATATTATTAACGACCTCAAATCCGGGCCTGTTGTAACGAGCGCCGAGATGCTTCGTGGCCATTGCCAATCCAACTGCATTCGCGATTCCTTGTCCCAGTGGTCCTGTTGTGACTTCAATTCCGTCATTTTCAATCTCGGGGTGACCAGGACATATTGAGTCGGTACGGGTCGAATGATATGATTGAAGTTGTTCCATTGTCATCGCGGGATAACCGACAAGATGGAGGAATGTGTATTGGAATAGGCATGTGTGGCCGTTGGAGAGGACGAAGCGGTCGCGGTTGAAGTAGTTTGGGTTTGTGGGCGAATATTTCATCGTGTATTTCCAAAGAGCGATACCAATTGCCGCCATTCCCATCGCACCACTGTAGGTGTTATGTTAGTTGGCCTGACTGTACACTTTCCATTATGTATGGGAACGATGCATCTTACCCTGGATGACCGCCCTTGAATTGTTCGCAGAGATCTGCAATCAGACATCGGAAAGTTCTCAAGGCCTGATCAATCTTTTTCTGATCTTGAACTGGAGATAATTGAAGATGGGCGCTGCCATTTGTCGCAGCTCCATTTGCGGAAACTGTGCTAATGGGCGCCATTGCGAATATTGAAGATGAATTTTGAAAATATACTATGTCAGAGCAATGGCAATTCTTCGAAACCTCATTTGCCTCAATATCATAAGATTGCAAAGAGCCTTCAAACCCCCGGGGTGCGCTTTATAAATCTACTGCGTCGCATAGCTGTTGAGTAACTCAACAGAATGAGAGTATGCTACGTATGAATTTTTGTTCATCCCAAACAGGAATCCCGTGGCTCCAGAGCTTCAAAGATTCAAGACCTCGTCTCCAATTATTACTTAGTCTGATGATGTTTCCTTGTTCAGTGAGGGGCACATTTACACCTGTCCCTGGCGATGGCGCTTAGGGTTTCCTATTCCGGAAGATTGTGGAACTTCATCTGGAGTACATCTTTGGGGCAATGAGGGGTCATGTGCCCCTCGGCTTTCCTTCCATAAGTTCGTATCGCTTGGAGAATCCATTTTGGTTCTTAAGGAATTCATTTCCCCAAAGTTGTGGATTGATGGGCATGTTCTGACTTGTTGACAAGATTGTTCGCCGATTCCGAGATGCGTCTCGGAACGCTTCATCGGCTTCCAAGATTTTTACTGCAATGAAGTCAATGGCCTATGATCCACAGTCCATTAATGCTATACATCATATAACAGCAATGTTATCGCAATTGAGACTTCACTATGCGGATGTAAATTTTATTCTTGCGCGCTATTGACTTCTCAATCATTGATTTATCATTTTCATTTTACTAGTCACAAGAACAAGAAGATGTCGCCTGTATTGCTGGAAGATCCCCAAACGAACACGGCGCCTACAGCGGAAGCCAAAACTCAATATGGACAGGACACCGTCCCAAATCTGCTATCGCTTCGCGGCAAAACTATCGCTATCACCGGCGGTGCTAGAGGTCTCGGTATGGCCGTCGCTTACGCAGTCGTCGAATCCGGTGGCCACGTAGCATGTCTCGACCTCCTCCCTGTTCCCTCCGAGCCTGAATGGAGCGATCTCCAGAAACTCTGCAAAATTCACAACTTGACTGCCACATACGCTACATGCGATGTTACTAGCGAAATTGAGATGGAAGAAGTGATTAATGCTATTGAGGAGAAAGCCAATGCAAATGGGGCACCTTTCTATGGTATGGTTGCGTGTGCCGGTATCCAGCAAAAGGTTCCTGCACTGGAATATAACTCTCAGGACTTTGAAAGGATATTAAGGGTAAATGTTACTGGAAGCTTTGTCACGGCGAAATGGACGGCAAGGAAATTGGTAGAGAAGAAGAGGCCCGGCAGCATTGTGTTGGTGGCAAGCATGTCGGGAGATATTGCAAACCGGGTTCGTTTTACTCTTCTTCGTTCTTGTGAATATCGTTACTGACTCAAAAAATAGGGACTTACATGTTCCGCATATAACACAAGTAAGTCAGCCGTTCACCAGATGTGCCGTTCCTTGGCCCAAGAATGGGGTCAATACGGTATCAGAATCAATACATTATCTCCAGGTGTAAGCTATGTCATGGTCTAACTTCCACTGCAACTCACTTCTAACTCAACTTTGATCTAATAGTACATACGAACGGATATGACGAACCAATTACTCGCCGCAGAACCCGAGGTAGAAAAGATCTTCATGGCTGGAGCACTTTTGGGAAGACTTTCAACACCAGAGGAGTTCAAGGCACCAACCGTTTTCCTTCTATCAGAAGGAAGTTCATTTATGACTGGTGCGGATTTGAGGGTCGATGGAGGCCACTGTGCCTCTGCATAAAGATAAATTGATCGATAGACATTGAGAATTATTTCAGATTTGCATACTATAGAGTTTAATGAAATCGATGCCATGACAATTCCTGCAAGTGGCATTTTGTGTATTGGTGGCCGATTTCTCTTTTTAGCTTTGTAGAATTTCAACTGTCCTGGATTACGAGTGGAAAAGACAACATGTCTAGGTGAGTGTATCAAATAATATGGAATGAAAGCACTAGACTGTTTTGGATGTCCACATGCAAGATACGGTCGACTTCGGAAAGCGATAATCCAACTGAGGCACTTGATCAAGGTATATGCATTTACTAGAACTAAGATTACATTTATTAAGTCACGCTGAATTCATCTCGACTTTGCAAGACCTCCAATGATCTAGTTGAGTCCAATTTCAGCCTTTCACGACATTTTCCAAAGCCAACTTGATACCCCTAAGAATACTCAAAACACCCAGCGCGCCAGGATCCGGTATCCCCCCATTCTCCTCAAAACGACCTTTTCCAACATAACTAGCCCTTCCCAAGAGAGCTTCCATCACCTTAGTCTTCTCACAACCTTGTCTTGCTGCCTCAAAGGCGGCATCAAAATCTTGTCCCGTATTGCTAAATGTCGTCACAAAAGGTATGAGTGTGTCCATCAATGTCCTGTGACCTTCTCGTGCCGTCGTGAACTTGAAAAGATCCTCCAACCCCTTGCTGAGGGTTATGGATATGATCTCACTGATAGATTGTTTGTTCGAGTTTGCGTCTAAATCGATGCTCTCTAGGGCTTCAGCAACCGCGTTGGTGAATATAGCATAGATGGCGCCTGAAGTACCGCCCATTTTGGTTTCGGCTACAATGGCGATTTGTCGGAACATGTGAGCCAAATCGATAGAGTCGGTCTGGAGATCGTCGGAAAGCTCGACAAGGCCTGCAGGCTGTGTAAGAAAAGATAAATCACTGAGAATTTGAGGCAAGTTACCATTCACGCCGTTCAGCAGAGTCTCTCCGCAGTCACCATCTCCGGCCAGAGTATCGTACTCAGTAATCAGAGGTTCATCCTCTCGGGTTGTGCTGGCAACATTATCAAAGATTTTTTGAATAATTGTTTTGGCAACTGAAAATCTGTATTAGTGTCGGTAAAACCTGGCAACGTTTGTACTGCTTACCTTTCGGTCCTGTATGTGATAGAATTGGTGTGACTTCAGTACTAGATTGCTCAATAACTGCTGTCACAACGTCTGCAGGCACTGTTAATATTGACTTGGGCCAGCCCGGCGCCGTGGTGGGTGCATCCAATAGCGATAGGAGCTCATCGTCAAGCCCCAAAAGCGTAACCGAAAATCCAGGACCATCGAGAGCAGTAACAAACGTCCCGAACATAAATCTTTTGACGATTATAGACCTCATTTCCAGTTGCTGATGTACCTCTTCTGCAATGATGCTAATTTCCAGAGGACTAAGACCACCCAGATTATTCACCATGACTGCAACGGGTTGCTCCATGGTAGGATGCCAGCTATCTGGTTTCGGGGCGAGTATAGTATTCAAAAGAGTTGTGACGGTTACTTCGAGCGATTGGAGCTTTGATCGAGTTACGCCGGGCTCGTTATGTATACCTGTTGATATTCGCGAAGGACATGTTAGCTGGTTCTGGATCGTAGATATCTTTATCGAGTAGGCTGCTCGTACCCATTCCAAATTCCACTTCATCAGGCGGTAACAGTTCAATCGGCGCACGTTTCGGTACACTGCATCTATCTAAACTCACAGCTGCAGTTGCCATTTGATTTGCCGTCTTGTTTGCAATAGTCGCAACGGATGATAGATCAGCGCTGTAATTTCAAGTCAGCATAACAATCGCGATAGAAATCCATCCAACCCATCATCGTGAACAACATACCCCTTTGCGGCCAAGGCACCAGCGATCTTATGTACGAAAACCACACCTGCAAGACCTCGTCTGCCTACTGTTGGGTTATTGGCAACTGACACATCATCTCCAACCATGACGACTTCCACGTTCAGTCCTAGAGCTCTGGCTTTTATGGCGGCTAACCCGAAATTCAATTTGTCGCCTGTGTAATTCTTGACGATCATAAGAATCCTGTGTAAGAGTCGATGAGCATGTTTTCAGCCAAAAACAGATTCCTTTTAGAACCATACCCTCGGCATGCGTCAACTGATTTGACACCTGCCAAAATCTGAGATGCAGAAGGCGATGCGAAGATATTGCCGGCAACTACAACATCGAGCATGCCCTCGCCCACGTAGCCGGTGTGAGCTGGCTCATGCCCTGATCCGCCACCAGAAAGAAGTATCACCTTTCCATGGTCTGCTGGTAGTTTTCTATATAGAACTTCTATAGGTCAGCCTTTTCTACCGAGAAATGGCTTTGAGTCGTGAATGGTTCTCATACCTTGTTCCTTCGATAGTACTCGTAGTCCATCAGCGCCTCGGGCGGCGGCCGTCAGCGAAACTTGAACAGGATTCTGAACATCATTGATAAAGTGCTTGGCTGAGTTACAGAACGTTAGCTGTGTGATGCGAGGCCTCTTTAAGCTACATACCACTTCTCAGACCGGACATTGTGAGGAGATCCTCTGTCAAGCGAGAACTATGCTGTACTGAAAGCTAAATCCAGGTACAGATATTAATTGGAACTGGATTGCGGAAACGTTTCTAGTATGTCTTATAGGTAATGCTTTATTCCTCATCCCTATCCGTAATATAATAATCCTGTTCGAGCACTCGTTCTAGACCGTGTGCGTATAAAACCAGCGCCGTCCATCAAATTCAGCAAGCCACCAGTCAGTGGTTTGTCAAATAATCTTTGGCAAAATTATCCCCGGTCAGGTAATGAGAATAGCTTCATCAAAATTAGCGTTTGCATATACCCAATTTGTACATGTTCCATATAGGAATTTGAAGAACGAAAGTCAACCGTGATTGGTTGATGCTTATAATCGCCATATCTGGAAGAAGGTTAAAGGCTAGTCTCCATATCGGCTAGAGCTTCCTCTAAACTCACGATTTTGTGGAGAAGGGCTTGCGCTTAACATCACTCTTTTCGATCCTTTGGGTAAATATTTGCATTCTGCTGCCTGAAGAATAAGGCCACTAAAACCGTGTCCTAAAGAATTTCCGAGTCAGACAGGCACAAATGCAGTACACTCTTTGCGGTAATCATCGAATTCTGTTGAATTTCTATCGACTTATCATTGCAGATACAAGGAGAATCGATTCATGGTCTCGGCAGAGAAAGTCTGTGTTCCCAAAATTCTCACCATCTCATCGTGACAAAAAGTATTCCCGATGATCTTGAGAATGGCCCCTTAAATGTGGGCGTTATCATCCCACAGTCTTCGCACATCCCCATCCTCCTTTCATCAATTCTCTTGGGTCTCCCATCTTACATATATGACAATGAGTTCCTCGGAGCCACACGCTTCGAACGTGGACAGCATCATATAGCATCGATACCAAATGATAGAATGATATCAGAGGCGATGGCTGAATTGACTTAATGTGCTCTTCATTTGACAGAATGAGTGGGCCAATAACGTCAAGAAAGGATAAGGCAGCGGACGTTATAGGCAATAGACATCTTCAAGGCCGAACGACACTAAGGACCGACAGGCCAAGGTTGACATATTCAATTATAAAAATGATAGCCTAATCTCAGCGTCAGGATTAGGAACAGAATACAGTTTCTATGAACAGTGCAAGTAGAAGACCTATCAGTTTCGCCGCTTGACTGAGCCATTTCCGACTTTGCGACTTCTTCGTTTTAGAAGAATATATTTTAAGTAGAGACAAGGAAATGAAGATAGAGGAATGCCTGGTTACAGTAGATCAATGTAATATCATTACTCTGTGGCTAACAAGATAATGCGCGCTGGCTCGCTTACTCATAGACATATAATCATTCGATTTTCAAATTCTGATAAAGTCTACACAGATTCACAAATAACGACTGCGCAGCGCTTGACTGATCGTGCTCATTCGACTCGCCATTCCTCCATGCTGCATATTACTCAAAAGAGCTTCTTCGAGCGCTGATTGTGTGACGCTCGCATCTGAGGCAGTTAGTAAAATACTCCGCAATACTGGAAAGGCAAACGAAATACCATCTAAGTCACTAAAACTACTGCCCATGCTGGGCGTCTCTTCACTACTTTGATTCGCCGATCCCTGCTGTCTGGAACTCTGCCGGGACAGGTGGGCAACTCGTCTCGGACTCAGGGGTTCTGTTGGACGCTGGGGTCCGGCTCGCGGACTACCTATGGCGACGCCAGAGCTTGCTGAACTATCCAGACTTACTAATTCACGACGATGTGATGGGGTATAGCCTGTCATTTGTCTTTGCGACGTTTCTGGTATATTGTTCTGTTGGCGGAGTGTCGAGTTCATGTGCTGAGCACCAGATTCATTTTCGCGCGGTAGGGGGAGAAATGCAGGCGAATCATCGTCGTCGTCGTCATCTAGATCGTCCCTTAAACTAGGCTTATGCATAGAATATTTACCGAATCGACGAACACCAGGCAGTCGACGACTGGTCAACATCTCATCCTCACTGTCATCGTCATCATCATCACCTAGATCAGAGTCGGTATCAGAATCGGTTGATATTGATGGGCTATCGTCGGCCTGTTGCGTTGTTTGGGGTGCTTTCTGAAGAATAGCCAGACTTGGCCTCTCGCGTCGGGGTAAATCTCGGCCAGCTAACGTTTTTGTCAGGGGCGGTTTATCTATGCTTTCGGTCGCTACTGGTGTCTGAGTAACGGTGTTGGCGGAATTTGTTCGGACGGATGGTGCTAAACGGGTTAGTATTATTTTGTCGTACTCAGAGGCGGAATGTGTATTACCCTGAGCTTTCGTCGAGGAACCACTGCTGTCCACCCTTGACGGTTGATTGTCTTTCTGAACAGCCGATAATCTCGAAGGGACACGGGATCCTACCCAACTTTAGCTTCATTCACATGCAGTATCAGCAAAACGATAAATCAAAACACACCGCCACTGCCAACTCTCCTCATAGCTTGTCCACCTAATGCACCACTCCCAGAAACCGACCCAAGTATTGGCCCCGGGGTCGGAGACGATGACTGCGAATGTGTATTGCCGACCTTTAGCATTTGTGCTCGGACTTGGGATAGTTGTCGATCGTAGAGCCACGCGGCCTGCTGGAGAAGGAACGGGAGGGTAACGTTGAAGTCATCGGCGCTGATCGATTCAGTCTTCAAAATATATGGATCTGGCGACGAGAGGGTCATACATTGCTTTCCCTAAGTATCAAAGCGCTGTCAGCATAGGTATCACACTATCGGCCCGGGGTGCCAACATACAGTCTATATCATTGCCCTTAGATGGCTGTGACAGAATCTCCCATAGCGCGCGATCTTTGACAAGACTCCAGTTTGCCTATTACAATCAGCAAAATGCTTGTATAATCCATCAATATTCACTAACAGGAGGAGGATCGATAAAGTCGCCTCGGGGAAACGGCAGTCGCACGAAGACGGTATACTGAACATCGGATTCAGATGCCAGGGGCGTCATGTTGGGTGCGTGGCGAGGCAACTCCAATCTTTAAAAGTTTATCAGACCTCTCAACGTGATTAATCAAATATTCAACGATAGATTGAGGTTTGATCGATGAAATTGAAATGAGACGAAGATGGTGAAGTGATGTGACGAGGGAGTTGCGCGATAAGCCTTATCACCTGCCCCGGTGGCCATAGCTTCTCAATCCATCCCGCTAACCGCATTAGGCTGATACATATTAACCCTAATTTCTGATGATTTTTAGGCTTCGACCATACATTTGTAGGGCTGCGAATGATGTATGACTGGATGACAGTAGATGAATGATAAATAGTCTTTGCAGACATTCAGCAGTTCAAGGACACCCAAGTGGTGCGCCATGAAAAATGTCGGGCCATATGTGACCCTTGTTCTTACCAGGGATCCATTTTGACCTCACTGGAACACCGTGGCCATTCTGCGAACATGTATGAATGGCTGAAGTGCCCCATGCTCATACATCTCCTATAAATAGGTACGCCAATCGGATCAGAACTTGTCTGGTCGAAGTGGAGTACACACCCCTCTTCAGCTTAGCTATAGCTGCCTAGAAAGCTAACTCTCGCACCCAGTATTCCATAAAAAAAAGTCGCATTCAAAAATTCTGGTTACAAATTGCTCCATAGCAAACAGCTATTTAATAACCAAGATGGCTTTAAATGCCGGATCTGAGCCTGATATTGTCTTGTATGACCTTGCATGCATCAAGGATGTCTGCTTCTCCCCCACAGTTTGGCGTATCCGCCTTATGCTTAACTATAAGCGTATTCCTTATAAGACCATATTCCTCGAATTTCCAGACATTGAGCCTACGCTGAAAGAGCTGTAAGTTTCCCATTTCCGTACAATTTCACAATCGACAATATTCTGACCATATATCAGGGGCCTTAAACCTGGCAAAACAGCTACGGGTTCCCAGTCCAAATACACAGTGCCCGCGATCCATCACATACCAACCAACACGTATATCATGGATTCATCTAAAATTGCACATTTCCTAGAATCAACATATCCAGAACCACCAGTGCCACTAACATCAGAATTGGGCCGCGAAGTTGAGGTCAAGTCGCGATCTATCATCGGCAGGACCCTCAGTGGCTCGATAATGCCACGGGAGATAAACATCCTGTCTCCACATGCCCAGGAATACTTTCGACGTACACGAGAGGCATCGATAGGACGGCGACTCGAAGACGTACTTGATTTGGAGAAAGAAGAGCAGGATTGGATTGCCATCGATCCTGAACTGAGAGCTGTCGGCGAGCTGATGCGGACAAACAAGGCTCAAGGACCGTTCGTGTTGGGCGATAAGCCTACATATACTGATTTCTTCATTGCCGGAGCGCTGCAGTCTGCCAGGATGGTTGACGAAGGCACATTTCAGAGGTTTATGAAGTACGATGGGTACAAGGATATTTATGAAGGATGTCAGCCTTACATGGAAAGAAATAATTGACATTCCCTAGATGGCAGAAATTTTGAATTAGTGTGGAGCCGATATATTAGAAATCATGAATGAAAAAAGTACTATGTACATTGGTATCTTCCAAATCGCACCAGAAACCAGAACTTGCTTCAATATAATAACAACCCATCCAGTCAAATCCATGTCAATCAACCTATCCTCTGCTTCCGCCGCACCCAAATCTCCTTATCGGCAGCAGAATCCGGTTGATCACGCAGTTGCACTTCCCAAACCTTCAACTTATAATTGCCACGATCCGCTTGGCCAGAAGTAATATCAAACGACCATCCATGTTTGGGACACGTAATCCCAGTGCTCAGCTTGATACCGAAATCCTCAATATCAAACAGGTTCCCCTGCGAAAGCGGGAATGAAGAATGCGGGCATTGCTGAGTTCTTCGTCAGCCACATCTTCTTCCCAAGGCCAGAAAGGGGAACATACATGATCAATAGCATGAATCTTGCCTTGATATTTAAAAATCAGGACCTGATCTTTCAGATCCTTCGGTAGTTCTGATAAATTCGCCTCGAGCGCTTCTTGGTTTACTTTGCTCGGGATCTTGAACGCTTTGCAGCTGGGCGTTAATTGGCAGCCATTATCGTCACCGTCAGCTATGTCTGGAAATTCAGACGTAAGACCTACACGATACCAGGTCTTACTTAGCTGAAATGCGCCGATGAAAGGATTCATGGCATCGCTGAAAGAGGACGATGAGGAAGAATTGTGAGAGGTGGGGAATTTTCTTTTCATCCAGCCCCGCTTACTGGTGACTTAGCTTGGTAACCCTAACTAGAATCATCGTTCTACACAGGTATCAAGATGACGAAGCTCATGCTCGAGGTAGCTCTGTCCCAATCATGGCTGAGACTTGCACTTGAATGATAGCATTTCAAATGATATGCAACGTAGAGTTTTGCAACAGCGTATTATCATCTCTCAACTTTACGTGAAGGATAGGATCTTAAAAAAGTATACTGCCCGGAGTTCTTTGGAAAAATAGTATTATCTTTAAACATTATAGTAGAAATATCTTCTACTATAGTAATTTCTTAATAGTTATAAAAATTTATCTTCTAGATCTAATCACTGTTCTAGTATAAAAGCCCCCGCTTCCTTTATCAGCTCTAAAATGACCATCATCGACTCTAACATAATTGAATTTTACTTTATTAATCTTACACAGTGCTTAGCACGTCAGTCTAAAAGGATTAAAACACCTTAATAATATATAGATATTCTCAGCATGTTCAGTCCATTCTAAGGGGCTCTTGGTTGACTTGGTCAGATATGCAGATTAGCGGATAATTATCATTTATTAACAGGCGACTGATACATATTGCTGACAGTTTAGAGAGATAACACGATTTCAATTAGTAAAAATGAAATAAAAACATGCAATAGAGCTGATATGATGGGACAAAGCATCTTGAGCAGGCTAGGCTGCTAGAATGTAAGTAGCCTTACGTCGACAGTGGCGTGGCTCCTCCCCGTAGTGTTGGTCTCCTCACAAGATTCTTTCTTACCTGTGCAATTTCCTCTTCGTGACGTCGTATTTCATCACAGCTTTCGTGAAAGGCCCGGGAGTCCATGAAGATAGCATACCCTGGAATGGTTTTCTTCTTTGCATCAACCGGGTGGAATACAACTTTTGGAAATAGGCACCAAGACTGCTGTATTTGGGGTTCATATGTAGACTCCAACTTAGCATTCACACCGATGTTTTCAAGCTCTGGGCAGTCTTCTGCTACCCAACCCGGACTGCAGACTGCGGGTGGCTGAAGGTCAAATTCCACCAGGCAGCTATCCCTTTTCAATTCGTTCCAGAAGCTAATAGACTCCAGAAGAACATCTCGTAGCTCGACCTCAAAGGTCTCATGTTCTTTGGCAGGGATGAGCCGTCGAAGAATTTTCATAATCCCTGTTTCTTCCACGTGTATATCCTGTGGAGAAGTTTGTGTTTCGAGGCCTTTGAAAGTGAGGAAGCGCCATAAGCTTTCTTTATGACGGTCTTCTCCGGCAAGTGCCTGAGTAATTTGAGATAACACAGCCGTAGTCTCGGGTGAAAGAGGATTAGTAGTGACGTAGAACGGCTGCCAAACAAGTTTGTGAATTGCGTGGACTATGGTGCATTGAGCACCGCGAATGCGAAGAAACTTGGATGTCGCAGATGCAGATATAGAAATGGTTCCCAGGATGCTGTTCATGAGGTGGAGTTCCTTCTGTGTCTCCTCGATATTCTTCTAAGGCTCAATTACAGGCTCATTAATCGGAGACAAGAATCCACTCACCAATTCGTTATCTGGTGGTAAATTCGATAAGAAATGCTGTGCTATGGCTTGAATTTTTTCACGTACCCTTGAGAGTCGTTCTTCGCTATTCTAGTATTAGCAGCTGTCACTGGTGAATAGAATCAGTGGGTATGACGTACTAGTGCTCGATAGGTAGGCTCTGGATGGAATATCTCAATTTCAGCTCGTCCAATTTCAACTCTAGGACCTTGGAATCTTGGGCGTATAATTTGAGGGTCTTCTCATTCTGGACGTTTTCATCATTCAGAGTACCTATCTTCTCATTGAGCTTCGTGTTTTCCCTCTTCAATCTCTCAAACCTTGAAGCATTTTCTTCAACAAGCTTGTCTCTTTCTTCCTCGAATCTCTTTTCAAATTTCTTTTCCTGTTGTTTTATGAAATTTGATTGTTTCACCTTTTCTTGTTCTATTTGCTTCTTCAATCCCTCTTGATCCTCCTTGAAACGGGCCTTCTGGTACTCTAATTCTGTCCAACTCCTCGAAGCTTCCTCAACCTTTGCCTGTAGGCCTTGAAACTCTTCATCATTGGAACGCTTTAGCTCGCGGATAGTCGTAGTAAGGGATCGGATTTTCTGATCCTTCTCCTGGAGACTAGACAGTGCATGTTCAATTTCTCCAACATCATTATTATATGATGACAGGAATTTCATCAACTCGATTATGCGAGAGACCGGTTCTCGGGGAATTTTTCTAGCATTGCTAGCATCGGCTTGTTCGTCGCTATATAGAGATGCCATTTCCCGAGAGTGATTTCGAGCTAGTTTTCTTTGAGTCCGTCTGGATAATCGCGAAGAGGTCTTAGATTTGATTAGTTTGTGACGGACTGATGATTGATGAAGCATTACCTGGGAGTTGGTAGGGCTTTGTGAGCGACCGTTCATTGCGACGAGCCTCTTTGTGACACGGACTAACAAAGAATTTTCGACTCTATCAGTCATCGATAGCATTCTCTTAGTGAAAGAGTGATAAAACCTGATCATAAATAGTCCAAAGACATCGGGTCTTTTCAATAGTAAAGGAGACGCACATTATGTACTTAGCTTGCCTCACTTCCTAGCGAAGAGGTCATATGGGCCTTTAGACAAGGCTCGCCACGATACGTGTCATGATAAAAATTGATCTTATTGCTCGTCTGACCCTGGAATTGTGCTTTATGGACAAGGCTGAGCTTGTGAGAACAAGAAACTACTAAAGCCATTGCTTACAGGTCAATACCCCGCTCATCGTTCAATATTATTATTCAGAAACAAATGGAAGCTGTAATGGTAATCAATAACCCTACGTTCGTGAACTCTTGTAGGGATGATAGTCGCAGCCATCGTGACAACCATGCAGCTTGCCTCATCTTTGCCTGATATTAGCTTGTACAACTTTGCATGCACACCCCTCTGGATAAATAGAGGTAGAAAGAAAGACAGCTCAACTATTACGTAGGTAGGTATCTCCAAGGATGCTATATCTGTCTTAGATGGGAGACTCAATCATGATAGGTCGGCATGGTTGCAAGGCTGGCATTTCCAGGCCACACTTGGATCCCATAGTTTCCTTAACGATTGAAGTAGAAAGCCAACGTGAATAGATAAATTGTCTGATTACACCCCAGAGTCTGGTCTCATTGGTTGCTTTGCATTGTGTTTGATGCAAAGCTGATTGCAAATGAGCATGGTTGTTTAGGTCTGGGTTGCGCACAGGCAGCAAGACCTCGAAAGGTCAATTGGTGAGGGGTGACTGTGCCGCATTTTGCGTGAGAACTACATCTGAGGAAGAACAGTAACAGCAAGTCGATCTTTGCAATCAGTACGTGCTTGAAGTTCGAATCCAAGACGAGTTTTGATATCGTGCCCAAACTTGCCGGCCTGTAGGTGATTGAAACATGTATTCAAGGTCATGCTATAGCCTCATAAGAGTGGCCACCGTTTGGTTCTATCATCACTTTTTGGTATCATTTTTCCCTTGAATGGAATCATGGCTCGCAGACAGCGGTCGCTAATTGAAATATTGGCCGGGTATTTCACAACGTCTCATTACCAACACAATGCGAGGCAAACCCCGACACATATGAACGTTGACAAGGCTGAATAAATGAGAAAAGGCAAATCTGACTTGACATGCGGAGTATTTCAGATGCACGCCATTGTCGGCGCCCAGCATGCCTAATAGGTTGGGAGGTTTGATTTTTGGCAGAAATTGATTTATCATAGGTGGAATGTGCATTCGCTCAGCTAGTTAGTTGGCGCATATCTTCTTCTGTCGTGATTTTCTCGAAGACATTAACGATGAGTGGCTGGGACAAAGTGTCCAATACCATAAATTTGACGGAAGTACGCATCGTGCGGCTGCTGTTTCCGCGATTTTTGAACATGATCGATGGATGAAAGCCACAAGTTCAAGAGCATGACCAAAATCGCTAGTAGTTCACCAAAAATTGGCGCTGCAAGCCACTCATAGAAGCTAGAATCCGATGCGCTGATGCGCTGATAAGAAACATTGTTAACATGCATCTATAACCAATTATTGGAAAACACGAATCAGTCACAGGGGGTTATACATCTCCAAATCTTGAGTCAACACATTCTTTTGTCAATCGCCTTGCAGTGATTGATCATAATCTGCCTTATGATCAAGAACGTCTGTTTATTGCATTGTGTTTTTTTTGAAGGGTTCTAGACATGTACCGAGACAATTCGATGTCATGGAAACCTTACAATAACTTCCTAGCGGGAAAGCTGTGCCTCATTGAAGTAGACGGACGCTAGGAAGCAGTATAGAATAGAACAGAATAAACTAGCTAATTAGTGACTAGCTAAATCTAACTATATAATTATACTAAAGTATGAATAACTCTATAAGCTAATGATATAATATAGAAAGTGTATATAATTTATGTATTAAGTAAAACTATCTTTGTAATGTATCTGTACAAATATCTGATAGTAAAATAGAATATATAATTTCAATCAGGGCTTTCATCTTTAAGAAAGTCTTCAACTGCACTGTCGGAAAGTAGTTCAGCCATCCCCTCTTGGGCGTAATCAAGACCTTTGTTCTTGTTGCGGATGTGTTGTGAAAGCCCTGCAACTGCCGCTCCGCTTAATCCTCCTACAGCTGGCTTGCGTCTCTGGTTTGGTGAGAGATGATCGGCGTCATCAAGACCTGCGACTGCCACTCCGCTAATTCTTGTCCGAGCTAGAAAGGCATCTTCGGAGTCAAACATCCCAGTGGTGTACTGCTTCTTTTCTCTTTCCAGGTCCTCTTTTTGAAGCTTTTTCCGTTGGCGAGAGTCAAGTCTGGTTTCGTTAGTCAGACGCATACGATAAAATAAAAAGGGCATGGGGGGACATACGCTGCTTGCCTATTCCGAAGGAGACGCTTCTGCTGCTTGAGTTCTTTAATCTCGTCCTCATTGGTCGACTGGGCGATCAACTGGTCGATATTGCTGAGCGTACGCTCGGCTGGGATCTCAATTCTAGCACTCTTCTTGCGTATGCCAACAAAATGTGTGCTCAGTGGGCCATCTCGTGGATGCTCTTCTAGGATGTATAGAGACTTGGGATCGTCATAATGCATTGCAGCAATATCCGTGTCCTCAAAATCTAATGGAGTCCCATAATCAGGATTAACAAAGGTGCCAAAGGTGCCTTGACTCTGCCGGTCCATTTCCTCGGAAATGATAGCGGCTTTGCTAGAGCCCTCCTCCCCCTCTCCATCATCCGTGAATGGAAGAGACTTCAATGCAAGATATCTGAGATGAACAGCGATGTGTTCTTCTACCGAAGTACCATAATCAGAAGTCCCACAAAGAAGACAGAACTTAAAAATTGGACCAGACGATCTACTGCCACGCTCGACCAACATTGAGAGCTGGGATTCGGTGTTTTTGTGCTTTGTCCGCATATGCTCTTCATACTCAATTTGGTCGTCGAATAAAAGCATCCCATGCGACTTTGCCGCACAACGCCACTGTTGTAATATGTGCTGACGCATGTGTTTCAGCCAATCTTGGCTGTGATTGTACAATATATCTGGGGTGTCGCATGTCTTGAATAAGCACACGTACGGGTCGAGGTCATGTTTCACATGGTCTCTATAAAGAAAAGAATGAGCAGATTCCAGGATTTATAACGAGCCTGCCAGAATGTTATGCGTTAAACTCACATCCACCGATGGTCATTCATCACAATTGCGCTGGACAGCATGCAGCAGCAATATGGACAGATGACTTCCATATTTCCTTTATGACATGCTTCCCGGTCGTTTTCTATTCGTTCCTCCAGTTCATCGTTCAGATCTGAAATGCGATTCTGCCTCCAGGTATCTTTATCAATTTCTTGGGGAAGATCGCCAATGTGTTGTTTGTAACCTAAATAATTGTCAAGTGATGAAAGTTCTTCATTGTGTTTAGTTATCCAGTACTCCTTGCGCTCCTTTAACCTCTGCAATAAAGGTCCCTTGGGCGAAGGAGGAAATTCGAGTCTTTCTTGGTCGCTCAGGCGGATCGTGTTAGGTCTGCTTATCACCGAAGGAGTTGACGCTCTTCTCCACTGCTCTATATGAAGAGTAGTCGCAGTGTTAGTTTGAGACTTAACATCACTTTTTTTCTGTCCGTGTTCTTGTATGGACTCTTCTTGGGTAGTATTCTGGGCTTGTTCGATGTTTGATGATGCATCATTGCTGGACGGAAATCCACCGTATCGCGAGCGTCGATAAAGAATTCGTTTTCGGCGGAGCAACATTGCAGTAGCCAGTCGTTGTTTTATTGTCTCGTCGCACTCTGGAAACCTCCAACGAATAAGCTCCAACGCAAAAAGGTCTCTGAATGCAGATCCGTAGTCATTGCCTTCTTCATCTCTAATGACAAAGGAATTTGCAGCCTTGAGGGTATGAGTTTCCCTACTCGCTTTGCGGATTGTATTGGAAAGTTGATGCAACAAGCCAATTTCTTCCGAGATGTCACAGATCGCCGAGTCAAGGTCATCATTGATTGCTGAGGTAATGATATTTTGTCTTGGTTTGTTTGTTGTTGAATCAATGTCGAGGGGTTTGAGGTATGATAAATCTGCAAGAATTCAGAATCAGTCGTCAGGACGTCTTTGGGGAGAAATAGAGAGATCAAGTATAATTGGCACACGAAATTCTCAATGTATATCTTACATTGCTGAATATGCTCGTCCAATGTCTGTAGAAGTCGCCTTACTAGCCGCTGTATCTCACCCACACCACGAAGGCGATAATCGAGAGACGCTCGGTAAGAAGCAAAAACACCAATGCTGAAGGCCCAGATCGAGAATCTCCCTAGCTGATCCTCAATAGCTGACTGCTGTTTCGGGGAGAGCATGTCAAAATATGTGAGGCATTGGTTGAACGACTGGCGGCAGATTCCTGCGCTCTCCTCGATTGTCATATGTGATCTCTCTCTATCAGGCAAGCGGAAGCGGACCTCGAGTTCGTTTTCGGCCATCATCTCATCTTTCCAGAGACCCTGGGGGCCGTCGTACGCAGACAGTACGCGCTTCTTGGTTATCTCCACCTCTCAACTTTCTCTTTCTCTTCCGCTCATAGTTAGCGTGACCAAGATATCCTTTGGGTTTAAATGTAAATAAGCAGGTCGGAAGAGGTGAAGCGCATTTTCATCCTTTTGTTGGTGGTTCCTAGGTTGGCTGTATGCAAGGCTGAGGATTGCTAATTAACCCCGCATCAACTGCCCAGGCGCGCTTTCCTTTCTCAATCGCTCTTGCCTGCGAGGCTGGCTCTTTGCAAAATGCTTCCTCTTCATTATTATTTCCTTCTCCGATTTCTACCAAAAACCCGACTCGCCGAGAGTCCCATATCACAATTGTCATGCAGACAACCTTGTCGATAAACAGCAGGGTACACTCATCTTTGATGACATGCAGTCTAAAAGGAATGGCTGAATCCGATGAGGTTGGGCGATTGCCATCTATTGCATGTTAGAGGAAGGAAAATACAATCGCTAACATGACAGTTGCGCGCAGAATCCGACTGACTTGCTGTTGGACGTATTACGGACATTCCGGGAGATTGTCGACTCTGTGCAGGACGACGAACCAAATCTTGACCTCCGCAAATTCTACAGCCACCTCCATGTTCACAGCCTTGTCTTGACAGAGGATATCTTTCCGGTCCTGCAGGCCGAATCTGGCGAGGATATTAGATTTCTCGTTCTTTTGATACTTGACAAATTCGCATCGTTCTTACAATGCTCTGTTGTGCCAGACTATGAGATGACCTTACCGGCTTCAGATGAGTTTCCAGGTCTAAATACACTGGTATATTACTGGAGATTGTCTGGTCTGAATGCCGTTGAAAGGCTTGCGCATGTACTAAAGTGCTTGGATTTCAATCTGAAAGAACGGCGGGATGAAACAATACTCTTACTTCGGCGCTCTGTCAATAGGCTTCAGTCCCAAGTTTCCGAACCTTCGACATACCAAGAGGAATATCGCGCGCCACGGAAAAAGAGGAAAGCGACATCTTCTGTGCACCGTGCTGCAAATACAGTATTTCAAGTGCTGTCTGCTTCTTCAAGAGCGTGTCAAACCAGTCACAAACATGAATACACGGCTAGACTGCGATTAAAAACATATCGCAAGAGGATTGAAGGTCAATATGCTTTCGATGCCTTTGTGAACTTTAGTCTAGCCCATCAATTTTGGCAAGAGACGCAAATCCAGGCCATTCTGGACAAGCAGCATGAACCTCGACATAATCCTCGTAGTGTGAAATTTGCCGAACGAGACAATAGGAAAGGCCGCCCTCGAATGCGTCTGGAGAGATTGTGCGAGCAGATCGAAAAGACAAAGTCAAAACCATGGATGCGCCTCAATCTAGCTGTAGAGGATGGAAAACTATGGAAAGATGTATCCTCGAAAAGTGAATTCCCCATCAGTCGATCGGACCCTCCACTGTCTCTAAAAGACATCATCACTTCTCGCCCGGCCAGTTTGACGGAAAAAGTAAAACGCATCCTCGCAGTCTTACTTGCTTCTTCCGTTCTTCACCTTCATGGAACACCCTGGATGAGACATATCCACTTCAATGCTGCCAATATCATGTTTTTTCGTACTTCTACTGCCGTCCCGCTGAAGCCATACATCCATGCGGAGCTGATCGACTCTGATCCAAATGCAGCTGATATCTCGGAAGCAAACGATGATATTGACCCGGATGATCTACCGATTCATCCTTTTCCCGATATTGTCATGTTGGCAATCATGTTGATGGAGCTATACATGGTACAGCCGATCGAATCACTGGGTGAACAAGCGGATATTGAATTAAATGATTGGAATGATATTGATGACAATATGAAATATTCGATTGCTGTGGCAGTTTTTGAAAAATTCAAGGGGGATTTCACAGAGAATTTCCGAGAAGCAGTTGACCGGTGCTTAGATCAGAATATGGGATTCGACCAGAACGATGAGGAGCTGGATGAAGAAGGCCTGAAACGATTGATATATGAAGAGATCGTGGGGCCACTTGAAAATGAGCTGGATCAAGGCTTTGGTAGCATCATACCAATTGACAATTTGGATGAAGTTGCTCAGACCTTGGATCTCAACAACTGTGGACAGAAGAAATTAGGCCAAGGAGGCGATAACATGCCCATTGAGACGCCCTTTAAGCACATTAGCATTTCCCACAGTCTCCGTCCGAAACGTTTGAAAAGTTCATATAGCTCATCATCAGACTATTTCATGTTCAAAACTGCCTTGGATAATTTGGAACTCAGCCAAGATCCTGACTATAGTCCTCTATCGGTCCATGAGAAGCTTTATCGAAGCCAAAGTGAACCAAATCCATTGAACTTTGTGCCTTCACTGAGCCATGAAAGCTACACGGTCGGATGGATTTGTGCTCTTCCGGAGGAAATGGCAGTGGCACAAGCAATGCTCGACGAAATACATACGCCTCTATCCCAGAATTTCTCTGATAAGAACAATTATACATTAGGGCGCATGGGCACGCACAACGTGGTGATTGCATGCCTTCCAGCCAAGGTCATAGGCACTGTTGCTGCAGCACGGGTTTCAAACCATATGCTTTATACTTTCAAACACTTGAAGTTTGGTTTGCTTGTTGGTATTGGTGGCGGGGTGCCTGGCGCCAAAGACATCCGATTAGGAGATGTTGTGGTCGGAGAACCATGTGAATCCAGCGGGGGTATTATACAGTACGACTTCGGCAAGACAATAGAGGGCGGCACATTCTCTCACAAGGGATCGTTAAACCGGCCACCTGATGTGCTTCTAACAGCCGTTTCCCGTCTTAAAGCAGACCACTATCGGGGGGGACCTAAGTTTGAGAGCTATATAAAAGAAATGGTGATGAAGAATCCACGATTAATCCCCAAATTCTCGCACCCTGGTATAGAGCATGACTTTCTTTATGAGTCCGACTACGAACATTGTCCTCGCAGCGAAGAAGGATCCTGTGGACAATGCGACTCAACGAAGCTAGTGAAGCGGAGTCCACGAGAGCAGCATCTTCCGCATGTTCACTACGGTCTCATCGCATCAGGAAACCAGGTGATAAGGCATGGAAAGACCCGTGATCGCCTGGGAAAGGAGTTGGGCGTCCTCTGTATCGAAATGGAGGCAGCTGGAATGGTAGACGCCTTTCCCTGTCTGGTGATCCGAGGCATCTGTGATTATTCCGATTCGCATAAGAACAAGAGATGGCAGGGATATGCCGCGTCGACAGCCGCAGCCTATGCGAAGGAGCTTCTGAGTGTGATCTCTACATAGAAATGGCCACTGAAGTAATTTAATGTATACGTAGTAGATAATTTAGCCCCATTGGTAGAGGGTTTATAGATAGCGAATTTTTTCTTGAATATCAAGGGCGCCGTGCACATTCAATGCAATATCAAGCAGAAAGCTTGATCAGCTCAATAAATATATAGGTAAGGAGGTGCATTTCTGTTAGCACGCGACAGACAATAGTAAGAAGAGAGAATGTCATCTTGAGCCAACGGTTGCACTGAGGAAGGCGTGCATGCGTGCCTGAATGGTGAAGCAGCAATCAATCGAAAACAGTTCCGCACCGCCTAGTTATGAACTCATTGAATAATACATGTTCCAATGAGATGCACCGCAATTTTGTAAAGATAGTCAAATTGACTGGCTTGTGGGATGAGGTCTTACGTGCGTAGTCTAACAAAGCCTTCAATTGGTTTGTACCTTCAGGATTTGAGATGCCATCCACGCTAAGGCTTGAAGGTTTCGAAGTCCCCAGAAGACCTCCCTTCGCTCATCTATTCACTTAAAGGCTGCCGCACTGCGCCCCTATCAGTCGTGAAGCTTTGGCCTTCCAGCATCGAGCCACAGCGTCCCGAGAAAATAAGCTCTTCGAGATTGGTCCGTGTCTTATCCCTGAAAAGGATCGCTGAACAGAACGGCAAGCTATGTAGGTATTATGCAAATCTGATATCCGCCATAAAAGCTACAACGGACACGACAAACCTTACCAGACAAGAAGTCAATCCCACAGTCAGACTTTCCTTCTCATTGGCTACCTACAAAAAGGGTGTAGCTTCGCACCACTTCGCCTTAAGATTCTTCAGAGACTTTGAAAGTGGGCGCGACTTGCCCCCTGGAAACTTCAACAGCTCTTGCAGGAATACCTTTTTCCATCGCAACTCAAAAAAAGTCGAAGAAAAGAAGTTGTTAGTAGGATTCCTGACAGGGCCCAGGCACGGATCGAGACACTTATCGGGCGCGTATATCAGCCCAAGGTATCTGAGTCGCTTGAAATCCCAGATACAAAGACCAAGGTAATCTGGAGGAAGCAACAATTGATCCTGTTCGAAAGACACCAAATAAAAGCCGAGATACAGATGATGCCAGTAATTGTCCCTAAGATAATAATCCATATCACTGATATTGGAACTCTTCTGACCGGCCTGTCTGCCTCTTATCGTCTCAACTGGCAATGATTCTTTGATTTTCAACTGTGAGATTTCCTGGAAAATAGTTGAGAAGGTCCACGATATTGTTAAGAAATATAGTGAGTAGGACAAGTACCACTAAAGAATAACTGCTCATTATGCAACATCGTCAAATCGTCATACGGTCAACAGCCGCGGAATGGATTAAAAATTCATGCGTATGTCGATATGTCTTATTTTACAATAAATCAGGGCTACTCTTTGAAAATTGTAAAGTAAATCAAGTAAAAAACCTAACACATATTCTAAATGATTATGATATAAGATCCATTTCGATATAGTAAAACCTTAGTATGTTCTTATAGCTTACATAAGCAATTACCTTAATTTTATTATATATCTAGATTCTTCTTTTTTTTTTCTAATTCTAAATGTACTTTTTATATCTTCTTAGGATTATTAATAAAAGAGATATTATCATTTATAATATAAATTAGTTTAGTTAACTATCTTGAATTAACTATTTAATCTTAAATATACTATTACTTATAGATCTAGTTAACTAAAGTTATTTTATTATTACTTAGGCCTACTGCTCTTTCTTAATAGAATACCATTTAACTGCCGTTAAGTGACGAGTTTACTCTGATCTAGACGATTACGAATCATCGGTTTATGACAATGAGGTGGCTTCCAAAACTACCCAGACTACTGATACAGTGGAACTATCGTTGAACGCCAGCCGATAGTAGCTTTTTTATCAAAGGAGACTGTGATGAAACCACTAGACTATCCTGTCTACATCTTCCCAAAGGCTTCAAAGATTGTGGTGGCGAAGTCTGCCTCACTGGAAAAGAGGATTCTGCCAAAATTGGATCCTGAGATACTAGTCCCTGGAATGATTCTTGGAATGAAGGTAAAAAGGGCTTAGGCTCTGTCATCATCAGGTTCAGAGCATTTTTAGCCACGGCTTGAGTGTCACTTGGTTTGGAAGAGATGTGTGCCGCACGCGTTCGGCTGTCATCCTCAGAATCTATATCTACCGGAGGCGAGCCCTCTCCTATCTGTCGGGCAAGTTCTGGTCTATTGGGTGCTAGAGTATTCAGCAGGACTATATCGGCTAATGATGGTTTAAGTTTCCTGTTCTGATAACGCTTAGGCGAGCGGCCTTCTGAGCTGGTAGGACTTAAAGAGCTATCTCTTTTGCTATTTGCTGACGCTCGTTGCTGCTTCTCCTGTAAGGATAGAGGGATAGAGTTATCAGGACCATACTTGATTGTTGATGGCTGTAATATGGGTGAGCGATTCAATGCATCATCTGAATCATACACGTCGGAGTACATCAAGGCGACTTGGTGCAAACCATGGAGCACTGTTCGCGATGTCTGGCTCCTAGTGACGAGACGAGGGGTTTTCTGAGACAAAGCGCGGCGCTCTTGGTGTTCATCATTCAAGAAGGCTAAGGCTTTCAACTCTTCCGGGGTCAATTGAGCCGCATGCTCTTTAAGACGCGAAGGTAGGGTTGTAGGTATCTGAGGTCGTTTTCCGTGCTGATTGCTAGATTTTTGTCCATCTACACTAGACTGTCGAGAATGCATCACGCCCAGGTCGGATAGATCCCCAGGCCCCGTATTCAGGTTCAACATGTGGTTGTCCTGTCGACCCCTTGAAGGCAGCGATATCTCATGGCGAGTATGCAACCCATTGAGCTTTTCATTTCTCTTCTGGAGATATTGCAGCTTGGCAACATTGTGGTCTTCTTTTCCTGACAAGTCCTCGGATATAGTGGCTTTGACAGCAATTCTCGATCTGTTCGTGCGGTTGGATTGCTTAATACGATCCATTCTTTACCTGTGCTTGGATTTTCTTTTTGATGTTTCAAATGATAGGCTGGCTTTTCTTTAGAGCTTTCATGCCGAAGATTTTATCTCAACCAGGTGGAATCGATCGACGTCAGAGGACTGGGTCGTAGACGTGAGGGACGCGATAGGAAGCAGAAATGGATGGAGAGTGTCGCCGGAATCGATTTATTCGCTACTCGCTAGTATAGATATAGTTTGATTTTAATGAGGAGACGAGATTGACTCGAGAAGTGATTGGTTGAAGAGGACTTCTCGAAACAGGAGACGAGTAGATTGGGCTGCGGTGTCTCATATGGCCTGACAAGGCTGTGCAACCACCACTAGACAATTGAATCAGTGATCACCCTAGCAGCTACACTAAGCCAGAAAAGCAATGATTGGTGCACGAGTCTGTTATTCAAGATTTAGGAATGTAGCTCTCTCTTTATTTATATATTCATGGAGGGCAATGAGCCTTCCAGAGCGCGCAGTCACTACAAGGCATAGCCGAATTACAAGAAGTTGGGGTAGACTTTCCAGCCACGGAGGCAAAACCGTGCGCCAAGCGGGGCTAAACTACATTTAGACAGACGCCAAGACGGCTACAATTCATCGTACTGTGTATGGTATTGAAACTGAGAAATCGTGTATTGTACTCATGTTTGTCTAATAGAATGAAAGAAACTGGCAATTATGTGCCATACATAACACAGCCGCAGGTGTCACGGACTTGGATCCACCTTAGTTATACAGCATTGCGTCGAGATACGTTAGGCTTGGTTAAACCACACAAAGGTTCCTTAGACTGATTGATTGATTGATTCATACCCGCATCTAAGCCTAGTGGCCGGTGGCGCCTCCTATTGGGTAGCGGGCATACTACCATACAAAGAAAAGAAGTGCTATTATATGTTTGCATTAGGCCATGGCATAGCTTAGAATTATCACTAACAAAAAAGCGGGAGCTAGACTTAATTTAACTAGTAAATATTATAGTTTAGAAGAAAATAGTGTTATAAATTATTTCTATTTATATTTTATTTCTTCTTCTATCATTACAAATATTTTTTTTTTAAATAATTTTATTTATTATGTTACGAACCAACTTGCATGACACTAAAAGGTACTATTACAAGAAAGGCCGCAATTTTGAAGAGTCGCATCTTCGAGCAGTAAACGGACAAAATGAGCTCGACGAATCAAAGGGAACCCCCAAGAGGTCACGAGTAGCAATCAGTACACACTTCATTTCTTCAATGTCATGAGGGACGTAGAAACCATGTATAAAGGAATCACGCGTTTTGTCATAAAGCGGCGCAACGCATGGATCAATAGCCTTGAGCGCTGTCCTGTATATCGAAAATCTCCAATCATCCGAGATTACCGCCAGGTCCGGACTAATCGATTGAATATTCCAATAAACAAATAAATTCCAATATGCGCGCACGATCCTGATTTTCTCAACCCAGGATGGAGCCCACCAGGCAGCAGCCTGGAAATTAACACCAGTCCTGCACTGTTTAATAGGATAATGATGCGACCCTTCATTGTCGGCTGGTGAGATAGACCATATGACCTCATGAATATTCTGTAGCAGTGAGACAAAACAGATATACTGAAGCACATCTATACGATATGCCGTCAGTACCAGATACCGAGGACCCGGTGTGCCTTTCACGAACGCAGAGGACGCTGGAGCTGTTGACAGTACGTCTGCTGGTAGATCTTTGTACTTGTCCACAAAACCTTTGAAGCTAAATTCCGAGGATGACGCGAATGTGCCCAGGATAGCAATCATGCGTGCTGAATGCTTGAATTCTGGGATTGAGCACTCTATTGCGGCGTCTAGGATGCATGGTGAGTCGATGTTGAATGCTACATTGGCACGCGAGGATCCGCAGATGAATTTGTATATTGTTGGAAGATCTGGTGCGTAGTTGAGAATAATGGTCAAAACTTCCAGCGGGGGTCTATTGAACGAGTTGGTCATTGTTATCTGGCAATTGGTAGGCGAAATGCGCGTTTGGCAGTATATGTATAGGAAATCCTAGGCTGCATTAGTCGATTAAATTCTAGTCTGGCAATTGGTAGGCCAAATGAGATTTTGGCAGTATGTGTATGTAAAATTCTAGGCTGCACTCAAAGAATCACCATGACGATAAATGAAAACAAATGGATGTCCGACTGAATCGACAGCTTCCTGTAACATTCGCTCCGGCGACCATAGCTCTGTAAAGGAAAATATTACTAAGGAAGGCCAAAGATAGTATGAATTTCGTCTCGTGCAACAAACCCTACACATCTCGGAGTTTAGAAGTACGTTCGAGTGCCCGGTAGAGCATACAACCCGTGCGCGCTCAACGTGAAACGGAGAAGTACCGTATGTACGAGGCAGATCTGAGCACAGCCGGAACAATTTAACGACATCAATTGGAGGATAAAAGGATTTTCTTTTTTTCTCTTCTCAAAATGTTTTCAACATGAAGTATATGCCTAGGCAAGTAAGGAAGACCGAGGGGAAGATTAGATAAGAACCAAACCATCTCCGACCACCCCGCATTATTTCTTTGATGTTTGCGACTCTCCATCTAGCAGCTGGTAAACAACATCAATTCTACACTGCCGCGTCCACTACATGATATATATCAGTCAATCATTAATCGACGCATTACTGCATTGACTGCTGTCGTCGATAGTCACTTATTACTTATCCCACCACCGCATCGTCCGCCGCAATGTCCACAGAAACAGAATCCAACTACTTCAGCAGCTACCCTCCTCCCAAAGCCCTCCAACGCCATGAATCGCTCACACGAGCCTTTGTCCAGCTGCAACTGGAGAAGAAACGTCGTGTCGTGTTGGTGACAAGTGGTGGCACAACCGTTCCTGTACCTGCCTTCCTCACCACCAACCCATCAACATCTCACTGATATAAACCCCACAGCTCGAGAACCAAACAGTCCGCTTCATCGACAACTTCTCCGCCGGCACGCGCGGTGCCTCCTCCGCAGAACAATTCCTCGAAAACGGGTACGCCGTGATATTCCTGCACCGCCAATTCTCCCTACTCCCTTACTCTCGGCACTACAGCCACTCCACAAACTGCTTCCTCGACTTCATGGACGAAGACCCCGCTACCTCGTCAATCGTCGTGCGCGATGAATACCAATCCTTCATGCGCGACGTTTTGCGGAAATACCGCTACGCAAAGGAGAATAATCTGTTGCTAGTACTGCCCTTTACGACGGTGACGGAATACATGTTTGAGCTTAGAGCGCTGGCGCACGTAATGAAACCGCTGGGCGCTAATGCATTGTTTTATTTGGCGGCGGCGGTTAGCGATTTTTTTATTCCGAGGGATAGGATGGCGGAGCATAAGATTCAGTCGTCGGAGATTCCTGCTCATCTCACCAGCAGCACCGGCACATCAGCGCCGGTGGCAGCGTCAGCGGAGGACACAATTCAAGACGACGATGTATACACAGGCTATAACGAGGAACCATCAACAACAGCCGCAGAAGAAGAGCACCGATCCAAAAAGTTAATCATCGACCTTGACCCCGTGCCCAAATTCCTGCACCGGTTGGTGGACGGCTGGGCGCCAGAGGGTAGTTACATCGTCTCCTTCAAGCTCGAGACTGATCCCTCATTACTGGTATACAAAGCTCGTACATCGCTGCAGCGATACGCTCATCATCTCGTTATTGGCAATTTGCTCTCTACACGGAAGTGGGAAGTCGTGTTTGTCACACCCGAGGAGCCGCATGAGCGGTGGATCAGAGTGCCGAAGGCGAAGAGGAGTAAATCGATTTCGGGGAGTGAGAATCAGATTGGTCTTGCGGAGAAGGTCTTCCATCCTCAATTGTCCCAAGGGGACGAGGAAAAGAGGGGGGAAGACGGTGCGGAGTTGGTACCTGATGGAGGGCTCGAAATTGAGAGTTTGATTATCCCCGAGTTGGTGAAATTGCATACTAAGAGGATTGAATCTAGACAATAAATCGAAAACATGTCTATGGTTCAATTGGTTACTATAGGTATATATGATTCTCAGCGACATGATAGAAGTCTAATTGAACGATTTTAACGATTGTATGCAGTCCTTTCTGGACTGACCAAAGAACGCCATAGCTATGCCTATGTTGATACATAAAACGCCGACCCATCCCAGAATTAGCAGTAAAAACAAATCTATCTTCCCCTATACCACGAGATGGAAGATCACTCCCATTCAACACTCTCGCATTCTCCCCTGGCTCCTGTCGTTACCTCAATCCGTGTCATCATCCAACCGGACTGTGTCCCCTCACGCGCGACCCCTAATCGTGGCGACTCAAAGGTTCGACATTCAGGTCTCCATTCACCTTCGAAATCTGGGTCTTCGCTCCAGCGGAAGCTGTATTGACGACACAAGCCGTCCCCTTCGCAGACGCGGCGGCATTCGTCCACATTCTCAACTAAAATGTCCTCAACGAGGTCGCCGGAAAGGTTGTCCCAATTTTGCTGGATGCCGGGACGCATTTGTGGCAAGATGCGTTCACGGAAGACGTCTGAATGGAGGAGATACTTATGATTTTTCTACAAAAATTAGCACCAAAGATTGCACTCCGAGGAACAAAGGACATACCTTGACAAACCATTCCTGATCAAACTTCCACATCTCCTCCACATCCTCAGGACTCAAATGATGGAATCCAACGACCGGAAAACACCACGGCTGGCGATAAAATTGGTTCGTCAAAGGCTCAATCTCGCCTAACCTCGCATTCTGCAACAGCGGCCACGTAAATGTCAAATCCACCCCAGCATCCTTGAGCACTTTGCCCAGAACCATATCCCCCGCCCATTCTTCATTTGTGTATGCATTATACTCCGTCGTATTCTTCGCATACTGCTTCGAAACCATCCTCATCGCCCTCTGCGACAGAATAAMCCCCGACCCGCCATGCGCAAACAACACATCACCAATCTGCGTCTCCGTACCCAGATACAACGGCTCACTCGGATCCAGCCGAGCCAGCCACGCCACCAGATTCGCCCACACAATATGCGTATCCGCTTCCATAAAGACATACCACTTTGCGTCCGGTTTGGCCTTGAGCGCCTCATCGATCATAGGCAGGAACTTCCATTTGTCGAGCTTCCAACCGGGGTTATTCGGCATACCAAAGACCCCATTCTCTTCCTCCGTCGAGTCTGCTTCTTGTAATCCCGCTCGTCCCGACACTCGTAGGCGGTTGTAGAGGTCAAAATCTTCGATTGTCAATCGTACATCCTTTTGCACATTTTGTAGAACATCGAATAATTGCACGCCCTCGACCTGTTCCGTATAATCCGAGAAAACGACGTAATTCGGCACGCAGCGAAACGTGGTGCGGGCGTGGATGGGTACTTTGTCAAGTGCCTCCGTAACGCCCGTTTTGAGTACGACGAGCACATCTTCAATCCCCGGCAGCGACGGACAAGCGAATTTCGGTTTCGGTTCCTTCTTTGGCGGTTTCGGTTTCGGCTTTGCGACCAGCGGCTGCTGTTCTCGCTGAGCCTGTTTCGTTGGCGCTGCGATTTTGTTGTTCTGTTGTAGTGGTTGTTGCTGCTGTTGGTCCGGAGAAGCGCCTCGAGGACTAATCTGACTTGGCGTTCTGTTGGCGACGAAAAACCATTGCGGACCACGCAGGAATTGTAGGAGGACCACGAAGCCGATCAACGGCGCAACGATTGTGATCCATCGGCGCGATTTGCGGCGGAGGGGAAGCATGGGGGTCGTCGTTTGCTGTGTTGATGAGCAGATGTGGTGTTTGTGAGAAAAGGTAATGTGGCGGGAGCGGAAGCGGCGAACAACGTAAGCGTGGACGAGGAGGGATCATTCGGAGATCATATAACAAAAAGAAAGAAAGCAATAGTGTAAACTTATAAAGTCCTTGGAGTTGGATTGTGAAAAAGAAAAAAAGAAAGGAATGAATGAAGGAGTATCAAGGAGTGTCTGGATCGGAATCAAGGATTAGAAAGACCGATGGCAATGATTGCGTTACTGCGTCCTACGTATGTAGAAAACGCCAAATATGTGGATGTACAACGGACAGAATTCCCAGGCGCTCCTCCTAAATAAGTATTGTAGTACGGAGGGAGAAAAAGGATACCTAAATCGCGATCAACGCACAAGCCCTGGATTAATCAATTTCAACCTACACCAGAAGCTTGTCTACCTGACTGTCCGACTAGAAAATATAGCGGGGAGCGGAGAATTGCCAGTATATTAAGCAGACAGATATTACGTGTACTCCTGTCCATCCTGCCCATCTTTGGGATCTTGTTGGTCAATCATATGGATCGTCATGTATCGCCGTTCATTCCATGATGCCGCACTTCTCCATACGTATCCCGATTGCATAGTAAATCCTTATGGAGAAACGGCATTTGATGCTTTGCATTAGTATTTTCACACAGAGCAATCGTCACGGAAAGTTTTTCCATACCCATCTCGTAGTACGTAGACAGAATAAAGATGTCACCGAGGCACTGCCAATCACTGTTATCGCTAGAACGTTCCCCTTTATGTGATATATCTCAACGATTCCGTCCGTGTTGATCGGACCCATCTGTGAGAATCTGAGTGGTTTCGGTCTTTCAGATGGAGCCAGCCTAACCTCCAAAGCGTCTAGGGTATGTCCCCAGCGTGTTTCAGGTTATTTGGACCGACGTCATGCTGTGTTTTGGCTGGATAATTCGTCTTAGCTTCGCCGTAGTGTCATTAGTCCATGCTTGGTTGGTCTTAGCACATCTCCACCGGGTTACTCCATCTCAGTGGGCAGTGAGCGCTTGTGGAGGATGGAGGTGAGAAATATATATGAACGATCGACAATCCTGTCGCTGTTAGATGTCGATCGCCTCGGTTCAGACTTCGAGCAGTTCCCGTCTGAGAATTGAGTGACTTGCGATGATGGATCATGCATGGCTGTGCTGTTCAGCCGAAAATAAGAACGGAGCGGAATATTTGCCCGGAGAATAAAAAGATGCCTGGAAGATGCCTCAGTTATCGGGCTTCTACAACACTTCCAGAGACATTCTGCTAACACAGTACACAATGCAGAAATCAGTCAGCAGGATCATGCGCCGCACATACAATTGAATTAGGTTGGTCATCTTGGTCATACAACGCACAACTCCATTGAATACGATGACTGCGTTTGCAGGGATATCAGTCAGCCTACCCCTTCCTAGGTACTGCATTATCCGGGGATCGTCCACTATAGCACGCGGAGTTATAACACAACACTTATTAACCTCTAGTCGAGAAACCACATGCGTGCGTCATATGTCGGATTCATTCTACTTTATCGCCAATACTTAGTTACGAACTAGCTAGCCACTCTACACAGCCTCCCATTCTGCGTCGGATAGTACGGAATCTGGCCCTCGACATACCAATCCTCCGAACCCACCGCGGTAATCGCATATAGCAACCCCCACGGATCATACCGCTGCTTCAAAGCATACAAGCGCGGGTAATTCACACCATAAAATGACTGCTGAAACCCCGGCTCATTGATATCCGCCTCATTCATATACGCGCCGGAGCTAGGACTCACGTCCCGCCACGTCTGCAACCGCTGCGTTAGTAGCTTGTTAGCAGCTGCAATATCATCGGCCGTTGCGGATTGAGACCAGACAGCGCCTAGCATGGTGTGAGAAAGCGTATCGCGCCAGGCTGGATTTATGGCGTTGTCCTGGTTGATGCTCGGGTTGGCGGCGACTTTGAAGTTGTAACCCAACATCAAGCCGGCATCGGTAGCGGCGTTGCGAAGCGCGGATGACTGCGCGGCGAGACTTGTTTCGTTTTCCCAGTTGTGTCGTGGGAAGAGGCGTGAGCCTACATGGGAGGTCCAGGTGCCAACCACCTCTGTGTCTGCCGGAAAGGTCGTAGTGAAGGCGCTCAAAACGCCGTCGTACTCCGCATAAACGACATTCTGGGGTGGCATCCCCAGGGCTGTAAGGTTTGCGAACAGAGGAGCCACGAAGTCCTGCAGTTGCGCGGTGGTGTAGTTATTCGCCCAGTGCGCAGCTGTGCTGAAACTACAACTGGCCTCTGAAGCGCACGAGACGGACCAGTAGCTGTAATGGCCTGCATCCGCGTAGGCAGGGAACGTAGCCCACACAAGGTCCATACCTTGCCAGAAAGTCTCGTTCGTGACGTTGTCGTTGGTGCCAAATGTAAAGTCAATATGGTGATTGGAAGCTTGGGATACGCACGAATGACCAGCGAAGTCACCACGCCAAAGGTGCTTCCACCGCCGCCACGCAGCGCCCAAAACAGATCTGAATGACTCGTCTCAGAGACCGAGACAAAGCGGCCGTCGGGAAGGACGACTTCCAGCGCAAGGACCTGATCAGCGGCCATGCCGTATATTGACATTAGAGGTGAGTGGCCGCCGGCGGCGATGTAGCCACCACCGAGGCCGATAGTCTAAGCATGTCAATGACACTCATGTACATCATGTAGAGGCCAATGGTGCACCCACTCTTGCAATCCCTCCTACGATATCGAGCCCAATGTTATCGGCATACTCATAAACCTGCAACATCTGCACTCCAGCCCCAATCTTGAGTGCCGGACCGCTGAATGAGCCAATACTAAACTCAGGTCCAAGGTACTCAATATCATTCAGATGCCTCGTCCACACAGAGAGGGATCCCGCGCCAGCACTTTTGGCATTGAAGTCATGGCCCTGATTTTTTACGCTCAGACGCAGATTCATATTACGCGCGAAATTGACAGCTAACTGGATCTGAGCTACATTGGTCACATTGGCAATATACGTCGGACGGCATACCGCCCAGTGTGCATGTCGCATTTGTCGGGCCGAGAGTTGGAGGTAGACAGGTTACGCCCTCGAAGAGCGGCCAGTCGATACCGGTGGGTTGAGATGACCTTCACAGTTAGCTGTGTCATAGTCCAAAATTTTGACCAGGATACAGGGGGAAGTACTGGAATTCTGGAGAGTTCCATTGCGAGGTGATATCCACGCACTCATCCGTATTGTATTGATCCCAATCAGAATAACACGGCGCGGCAACCGGGACACTCTTGATGAGCGCATTACCGCCGAGAAGCAGATCAAGCACGCTCCAAATGGTGTCTGTCGGCCACGCTGAATCACCTGGAAAAGCCTTGCAAGCAGCCGAAGAGTCTCGCCTCGCAGTGGTAGAGGAAGCATTGCCAAAATTGAAGTACTCGATGCCTGTTAGGTTTAGAGCTGTGAGGTTGGCAATGACCTCGGGCTTTAATTGCGTTGCCTCGAAGGAGAAGTAGGCGACGCCTGAATCGGCGGAGTCGGGAGATACTTTGACTGCTCCAGGTGCAAGTGTGGTGGCATTGGCGGCTGTTGGGGTCAGTGTATGTTCCTAAAATTAGCCATAGCTGAGTTCATAATACCAACGACCTGACTGCCATCATGAATAGTCAGGGCTTGGGTGAACGGCAAAGATGCAAGCGCTAGTAGAACGAGTTTCATAGCGACGCTAGTCGCCATGGTGTAGCAATTCAGGCGATGCTGTCTGGTGTTTGGATATCACAATCAAAATGAACGTTCGATGCACTCCATGAGATGTTAGAAACCATGTTATGTTGGTGAGTTTTGCGGTGCATATTCAGGCTGAAATGTGCTGTCTTCTAACTAAATTAGTCTAGACTAGAAACAATGCACGCTGTTACCCTGCTAGTATAGCATGCTCCGGATGTATGGCAGGTATAAAGTCACTGTTACAGCACCCATAAGCTATTTTCGGTTGCCCGGGGCACTTGATTAGGTCTACGCTTCTGTGCCTACTCCGGAGTAAATCCCTCGTATCACGTTTAGGAGATCTCATATCTATCACCTATATAGTACGTCGTAATCAAGCAACCAACAACACAATAGCCTCATACGGCCGCAACTCCCCTCTAAACTTCTCACCCACCCCGTAGTTGTTCAACAATACCTCCTTCACTTCTCCTACCAAATTCTCAGCTGAATCCCATTCAACCGTCCGATCCGTAAAATTGCAAACCACCAACGCCTTTTGATCCTCGAATTGTCGAGTATAAGCGAACAGATTCTCGTTATCGCGATCAACCAACACAAAATCTCCATAGACGAAGATGTCGAGATACTTTTTGCGTAGACTCAGCACCGAGCGCCAGTAGTTGTACAGGGAGGTAGGGTCCGACACCTGATTCTCGGCGTTGATTTGCGTGTAGTTCGGGTTGACGCTCATCCAGGGTTTGACGTCACTAAAACCTGCGTTTGGACCTGCGGTCCATTGCACCGGTGTGCGGGCGTTGTCGCGAGATTTTTTCTGGTATTCTTTGCGGTAGCTGGTGAGGGCTTCGACGTTGTCATGGTCTGTTTCCAGATGTCTACACCAGTCCATTAGTCAATGCAACACCGTAAGATAAAGGTGAAATACCTCTTCCAATGATTCAAACAATCAATATCCTGATACTCTTCAATCGGCCACTCAATCGGCACATTCCGCATGCCCAACTCCTGTCCCTGGTATATGAACGGCGTTCCCGCCATCAACGCAAGACATGTAGCCAACATCTTGCCTGCAATCACCGAGTGCTCGGCACTGGCACCGGTATACCGATCGATAGACCGTGGCTGGTCGTGATTTTCCCAGTACAGCGCATTCCACCCTTCATTCTCATACATGAATGTCTGCCATTTATTAAACATGCGTTTAAGATCGGTCAGCTTCCAGCTTCCAGACCCAAACTTGTCGAGTTTACCATGGTCAACGTCGACATGCTCAAAGTCAAAAATCATGTTGATCTCTTTTCGGTCGAAGCGGACCGCCTTGAGAACATCTTCGAGGGTAGTCGCAAATGGCATTTCGCCTACGCTGAAAGCATCATACTCCTGTAGAATCTTGCCAATTTCTTGCAGGTACTCGTGTAATCGCGGACCATTGGCGTAGTGACTATACCCCCATTGCCATGGAGTATCAGGGTTTGTGACTGGTCCGTCTGGAAATTCTTGGTTCTTGCTGATAAAGTTGATAACGTCCATACGGAAACCGTCGCAGCCCTTATCAAGCCAGAACCGTATAATATCATGCACGGCTTTGCGGACTGGCGGATGCTCCCAGTTGAGGTCTGGCTGCTCCTCGGCGTAGAGATGGAGGTAGTACTCTCCCGTCAAGTCGTCGTATTTCCACGCGCTACCTAGATGAAGTCAGCATATACAGTCGTATACCTAGTAAACTTAGGGGTACCCTGAAAATGAGACACCCAATTATTCGGCGGATGTCTATTTCCCTGCTCATCAAACTTTGGCGGTTTCCAAATATACCAATCCCGAAACTCATTGTCCTTTGAGCTTCTCGACTTCTGAAACCACTCATGCTGATCACTCGTATGATTGACAACCAGATCCATCAACAACTTTATCCCTCTTTCGTGGCACCCACTAATCAGCTTTTCCACATCTTCAACCGTGCCGTACGGTGGATGAATGCTGTAGTAGTCCGAAATATCGTAGCCCATATCTACCTGCGGCGATTTGTACGACGGGGAGAGCCAGATTATGTCCACCCCGAGGCCTTTGATATAATCAAGTTTGGAGATGATGCCGGGGATGTCGCCGATGCCATCATTGTTGGAGTCTTTGTAGGAGGCGGGCCAGATTTGGTAGACAGAGGACTCTTTCCACCAGGCGCGGTTTACTGATGCCGACATTTTATTGTAGGTGTCAATTCAATGCTTGAATACAAAGAATTCGGTTGTGCTTAAGCGAAATGGCGAGATTTAGAAGACAGCTGACTGAAGTACCCCGCGGCTCTAATCAAGCCACTTCTGCAATTGGCAGATCTATCAAGCAATGGCCGCAAAGTCCATCTTCATTCGACGTTCAAGCTGCACTGGTTCCGCTTTCTGATTTGGACCCGTCTTTACTCCACCTTAGATTAGGGGGGCCCGAGTAAGAGCTTTGAAGGTGCAAGCTTTGAAGCTATCGTGGCTTTCGAAAGGAGCCATTTTGTGCTTGTCTTTGTTCCTGTCAGGAGTCTTATGACAAGATTGTAAACGCAAGAGAGGAGGAAGAGGGGAAGTTGTTGCGTCATAAATGCTGTTCCTGGATGTTTAAAACTACGAACGAGCCTCATATTCTGCCATTCCTCGGTCCTCTACAAGTCCAAGCCAAAAAATTTCTCATAGCTATCTTAAAGAGGCCGGACTATGAATGCCCACATGTAACGAATTTCTGTAGTATGTCCGACAATTAAAAAGGAGGAGAAAGAAAAAAAGAAGCTCTTATCGGCGAATCGTCATGTCCATATCCGGACTAGCGTTGGTGTCTCCAACTTCCGCGGCGAGACAGGTCAACTTAGTGGACGGCTTCAACAGACACAAGACAAGACAACACATTCACTTAAGAGTCTTTGGCTTTGTCGCTAGCTTAGCGAAATGGCACACGACGGCAGATACGCGCCATACCGCTCGTCCGGCTACGACGACCGCATGTATGATGACCGCTACTCAAGATCTCGCTCCGTCGAGCGCGGACACTACCCTCTACATGGTACAGACTGACAGCACGGTTCAACTGGATATTACAAGCTTTATTTATTTATGATCTGAGCATCAAGCTAATTTCTGATGGGCGATGTGGAAAGACCATGCACGAGATGCTCCTCGAGGGCCCGCTGGCCACAGAAGACCCGAGTATCCGGAAGATCGAGACCACAGAAAAGGTCGCGACGACTACCGCCGCTCTTCCCCGCCACCTCGTGGTGGCCGACAAGCAGGCTACAGAGACCGCGATCGCGAAGGATATCGCTCGCCAGAATACGACAATAGCCGCAGCAGAAGCCCCAGTCGCAGCCGGAGTCGAGGTCGAAACCGTGACCGCGATCGTCATCGTGGAAACGTTCAGGAAAGTCGAGAGGTTATAATGGAAGGATTGCCGGTGGATATGGTGGAAGAAGACGTTCGACAACTCTACCCCGTTTGGTTATGATCGATGCTTTTTATGACATGAAGCTGAGATGCAATCGCTACTGGACAGATTTCGAATGAATTGGCCGAATATTATCATGTTCAAGGATTGGAAGACGTTCGAGTCATTCGTGACAGACAGACAAGTGGGCATTATTTTTATCATTCATGCTTATGGTACTAATATCTACGCAGAAATGTCGAGGCAGATTGGATTCCTTCGCTTTCACAGTCTAAAGGACTCGAGAGCTTTTATCGAACAGAATGCGCCGACTATATATCTTTATGGACGGAACCCGGGCAATGACGAACGCGGGGCCAAAGTTCGCATATCTTATACCCGAGAAAGAGACGACCGTCGTGGAAAGCCAGAGGGCGAGTGGACTTGTCGCAACGTAAGTGTCCGTTTCTGACTCCAGACTCACTTTTGGCTGACTCTACAGTGTTCATTTGACAACTTTGCAACTCGTCAAAAATGCTTCCGCTGTCAGGCAGATCGTGCCGGTGCGTATATCCATCATCACCAAAGACATATCTAACAAGAACAGAGGCGGAAATGGCACCAGAAGAGCTACCCGCTCGTGTTGGCAACATCGGTGATAATGATGTAGCTCCGGACAACACGCCATCTCAATTCCTACTTTTCAGAGGGCTGGACAGTTCGGTCACCGAGGAGGTCTTTTCTAGGGGCGTACAAAAACTATATAAGCCCGCCGCTGATGAGACTCAAAACACAGAGACTGGACCTAAAAAGGCCAAAGTTGCCTCTACTACTGGCGATTCGAATCTTGGTGCCAGAGAGGGGTCTTTGCGAAGGGTTTTGCTTGCTCGTGACCGACGTAGCAATGAGAGCTGGAAATTTGGATTTGCAGAGTTTGCTACTCTTGAGGTATGTTTTGTGAACTGGTTGTGGGATAACAGCGTCTAAGTTTATTAGGACGCACAAGCAGCTCTGGTCAAATTGAACTCGTTTGAAAAATTCACCATCGCCTCGAGGCCAGTCTTAGCGAGCTACATCCACGCCGGCGTTTTTGTTCCAGTCATTAATCCTACGCCTAGTACAGCGAGATTCACGTTCAGTCCGTTGAGTAACGCGGCTATGAAACTTGCATACTGGGATGAGGATGGATATGTCACGGAACTGGTAGTCTCGACCGAGGATCTCGATAAAAAATCCAAGACAGACTCGAAGACTAAGGAAGGTGACAAGGCAAAGAAACGAAAAGCGGAAGCATCTAGCTCCGCTGGCGCGAAGAAAATGGCCGTTCCTTCGCATTTGCAATTCTGGTCCAACCGACATGCCGAACTACACGGTATAAAGAAGGACGAAGACGGCCACGATGAGGCAGGTAAAGAATCGGAAAACAGCGCACCAGCAGCACCGCCTAGCCGATCTTATGCCGACCCGAACCGTAACTGTTGCTACTTGTGTATGCGCCAATTCAAGTCCTCGGCTGAAGTCAACCGCCACGAACGATTGAGTCAACTGCACCGCGACAACCTTAACAATGAAGGACTGGTCACGAAGGCCTTGGCAAAGCTCGAAAAGCACAAAGATGATCTGCCTTCTACGGAATATCGCGACCGAGCCAAAGAACGCCGCAAAGCATTTGGCAGCTCACGGCAGACTCAAGCCAAACCAAAGCCTGTCGCGCCGAAACCAGACATTGAAGAACCTGTAGCCGCTCCAGCTCCCTCTAAAGGCGCAGCTCTACTAAGCAAGATGGGCTGGTCCGAGGGCTCTGGTCTTGGTGCACAGGGAACCGGCATGACAGCCCCGATAGCAACAGACGTGTATGCACAGGGTGTCGGATTAGGCGCACAAGGCAGTAAACTCGGCGAAGCGTCTGAAGAAGCTGCCCGGAATACGCGTGGCCGATACGATGAGTTCTTGGAGAAGACAAAGGATTTGGCTCGAGAGAGATATGAGCGAATGTCTTGATCCGTTCTATGTACTATAGTAAATGTATACACGTATGCAAACCCTTAGGCCTTCAAATGTTCAATGTTCAATGCTCAGAGTGGTGATTCGTCCTTTTCCCGTAAACCCATCCTATACAGTCCACGCTTTTGAAAACGCCTATAAACTCCACGCCAAAATAATCCCCCGACCATCCAATTTACTCCGTCTTCCTACCCCTCTGCTCCGCCTTCTCCTTATCCTTCTGCCTCGCCTCCTCCACCCTCCTCCTCACCTCGCCCAAATCCTTCTTCTCAAACACGCTTCCCAGCCACTCCTCCATATCCCTCTCAAACTGCTCCTCTTCCTCCTTCGACGGTTTTGTGCCGGGTTTAAGACTCCCCTCCAACCCCATCTTTTCGCGATACCGTTTCCGCGCGGTTTCCACTGAATCGATATCCATGACGCAAAACGTTGCGCCGGCGAGAATCATTGCTATCGATACGGTGTTTATGGTTGCAATGTTGAGTGCTTCGAAGGCGTCTTGGCCGCCGCTTATGGAGGGTTTGTGGAACATGGATGTTGTGTAAAAAGGTGGAACGGTTGCGAGGTGTTTGCGGAGTAGGGCGCGACGGGTTATCAGGGCGGAGAAGGAGAAGAAAATTAGCCCGCTGAGGAGGAGTTTGGCGTTGTTGGGGATTAGGGGTGGTTCTTTCGGAGTAGGCGTAGGATTTGCGACAGTAGCTTGTTGCGATGGCGGTTGTTGGGGCGTGGTGTTATTGTCGGTCGTCGGCGCGGTTGGAGAAGATGAGGATGGTGCTCCCTCCGGAAGAAGCCATCTTTTGAGGAGCCAGGACATCTCGGCCTCTTCTCGTATGAAAATGAATGGAGTGGAATATCTTGAATGTCCAGTGCAGTAAGAAGAAAGATGTGATTAGCTCCGGTACGAAGAAAAGTTCGGACGCTATTTTACCCCGGATCTTGTCACGTGTCGTCTGGATTAAGACAGCAACTATTTTTGTTTATTTGTCAGATGTGAGGTAATATATCACCAAGATGGCAATCTCTATCCAATCTGCGCTCAGGCATGGTTGATTCTTTTTGATTGTTGGGCTGAGGTTAAGTTTCATGAAAAATGTATCGCGGTTACAGGTATACCATATTTCGCAGATTCTAAACCGCGGTTTCACTCAATTATCTTGCATTGTAATAAATTAGTAGAATAGAAGTTGTTCTTGTTCAAACTATAGTATAATACATCAAGCTGGGTTGATATTCAAACAAGTCCCTAGATTAGCTAGTGACTCTAAATAAAAGAATAGATTTGATGTAGATCCTTCATAAATTTAATTAAGTCTACATCCAATATAGATAAAATCCTATCATCTCTAGCTGTAGGCCAAGGAGAGTAAGACCAGAAATGATCATAGTATATAGATAGGAACTTAGGAAGTAATAATTATATTATTTTAACTTAGTAGGTTATTAAATATTTCAGTCATATTACTACTAGAATTATTATGATAGCCTGATATTTTATCAAGACTATTCAATAACTAACATCTGCATATGCGGTGTAGGTGCGTCGGACGGCATGGTTAGAAATGAAGAGTCCATCCCCAAAACGAAGTTGATGAATATTGATAACGAGTGTTGTACAATTAGAGCACAAACCAGAAGCAAGTATTGAACAAAATTACAAGGAGGGCGTTCTTGTTTCTGGAAGGAGAAAAAGAAGCCGCACTTTTGCCTGTAGGGGTTGAGGAGCTACTTGTCTGAGCAGATGTACTTGTAGTGAGCGGCCAGACGCCGGAAGGCTGCTGGAATATTGTAGGGACAGCAGCTGTTACAGTAGTTGCAGGTGAGACTGACACTGCTCCTGGAATGGCACTACTACTGCCATTTCCTATCTCCAAGATATTATCGGGCCCGGGTTGCGGATTTCTCCGTGCGAAAGAGATTTCGTTGTTAGAAAGATCAAAAACGGAGTAGACCGAGCGTAAAAAGCTGCCACCCAAGATCGCCGAGTCTCCTTCTCCGATCGGTGCAAGACCAAGAATACAAGTATCCAAGTTGTCTTGCAAAGGGCGAGAAAGTTCACTCAAAGGCAATGAAATATTAAAACTATCGAATGAGAAAGTGATAAAGAAAGATGCGAGTGCCGTGCTGCAATTGTTTAACAGCCCAGCGCCAACAATATCATCCCACTCAGCGCCGACTTTTTGATAGATTTGCGCAAGGAGGGGCTCCGGCAGATAGGTCCAGGGTGCAGCGCTATTCACGATCATGTATGCTGGTAGTCCAGATGTCGTGAGAGTAGCGGGAGAGGAGCTTTCTTGCAGAGATACATTTGTAACAAGGACCGTTGGCAGATAATGTATGCCGCTGACAGCTGGTATAGACATGGTGTATAATTCACCAGTGTATTTGGCGGTGTTGACTCCAACAAATAGGACCGTCCCGTTTTGTCCTTCCATCCACAGACTGTATGCGGCGGAATTAATCTGGCGACTTTCCAGTAGAGCTTGTGGGAGACTTGTATAGGTATTATTGAGACTATATCCAATGCCTAGAAGATAGTTAGCGGACAAATCTTCAAGCCCAAAGGTCATGTCCACTGTCGCTGTCCCAAGTGTCAATTGATCTTGGACAAGATCCCCACTCAAGTTGCCCTTTTCAAGGGCAGTAATATTGAATTGCTCGCCGGTTGATTTGTATGTTGACGATGCACTGGCATTGAAAGATCCGAGCGAAGTGGCATTGGAGCTTCCTGGTGGAGCACACCCTAGTGGTGTACTTGCGCAGAGCTCAGAACTGGACGAGGTTACAACCAACAGACTGTGGCTTGTGTCTAGAACAACTTCCACTTGCTGCGGCGGTGTACCGAGAGCGACAATGCAAATAAAAATTGGAGCTGTAACATTATCCTACAATGATCATCACGTTAGCCCTGACCCTAGTAGGTAGGAATGATATCTAGGTTTACCCGGAATCCAGCAGGCAAAGCAACTGTGTCGCCTGGTTTCTGAAACTGATTCGAGTTGGAGCGGAGCTGGAGAGGGAAGCTGATGACGGCCGGCGTGTCTCTTGTCTGGAAAGATAATGCACTCGCGCCGGAAAGGGTCATGAAGGGCCAGCACAAGAATGATGATATCTTCATGATGCTAAGTGAGTCTCAGTCCGCGACATGTAGCTGTTTTCCGAGATGTTGTTTTGTTGTCAAGATGAGAGACCTTGAACAGAAAGTGCGGAAGGAAAGAATCACTTTCTTCTCCTGAGGGCTATGGCATGTACTTGTATGTAGCCAGCTAGCCAGGCGCCTTTGTCTTCCCTGCGCGGCTAGCAGGGATGTCTCTCTGCCCCGGTACAGGTAATTCACGGTACGTCGAAAGTGTTACCATACGGTATCATATGCAAGCGAAATACGGTTGTATTTCAATTTCAGGGTCCAACCTAAGTGGTACTATACGTAGCACTTCACAAGGCCATAGCTTGTACTTCTAGCATAACGAACGATTCTATCGTTCCTAGGCGGTATACTTTGCAGGAGGTCCAAAGACTCAGTATCTCGGTATGACGGCGATGGGATTGAAGTTTCGTATGCCAAAGCTATCTGCCACTGCTCTTGCACGGTTGATCAAACCATTACTAGAAAATCCCATTAAGAGGATCCCCTTCTTGGTAACCGTGGTATTTGGGTTATTATTTTGTTCCGACAATAGACTTGAGTCACGTGGTCTTGAGATGAATTGCCCACAAGCGGTCAACCAGCCAACGCACAGGATAGTTCAAAGGTGAGATACTTTCCGGCAAATAAAGATACCAGTCATCATCATCGACGAGGCTTAGGGTACGTGTCAATACGGTGCATTCATGCCATGCAGGGTAAAAGCCACTGTCCTCCCAATCGATCATTCCAGTAACAAGATAATCATCGGTATTGGGATCCTTCTTCACCATAATATTGTCAGTCCTCACATCACCATGAGTGAAAACTGACTCGTGCGTCAAAGTGGAGGAATTGTCATGTTTTAGAAAGGAACGAAGAAACTTCACGTAGGTGGCGCTGCCATGGTGGACCGCGGAAAATTGCAGTTCGTTGAACTGTGTGATTGTGGTAATGCCTGTGAACAAGGCACATTCATCTACCCGGAGTTCTTTAACACCTTCACCACATATCCCTCCAAGCACATTGCTGTCATCTTGTCGAATATCCCTCAGTCGGCAGAAAATACCATCCAACTGGTGTTGTATAGATAACTTCTCCCTATTTGACAGACTGGGCCATGCTTCAGTCAGTGTCATGTCTGGAATGTATGACATAAACATCACGCGAAAAGGGCCAAAGGCGATCAGGCCATGTGGTCTCGGAGCAGGTATATCCGGTGCCTTTCTCGCAAGGTATTCAATGCTTGTATACTCGGTGTAATCCGTATTTCCCGAAATGACCTTGGCAACAATTTCGTTGCTACACTTGACCACAATGCCCCTAACCGGATTTTCCCAGAGCTTCAGCGAATCCCAAAGTAGCTGTTTCAAGGATAGCACGAGAGCATTCTCTTTTAAGTCATTCGACTTGTTCAAGCCATTTCCTGAATATTGCGCAAGCAAGTCGTTCACTTCCTCCGATAACGGAGAGATAATCGTAGCAGTCTGAGCAAGTTCAAGGCGTGTCCTGAACTCGGGGCCGTTATCCTCAGGAGAATCTTTTTCGGCACGCGGTGTTACCTTGGGTCCAGTCGCTATTGTAATCTTTCGATTATAATTCTTCGGAAATGCAGATAGCAAGTTGACTTCCGGTTCATCTCTTAGTTTGTCGTATAGCTCATCTAAAGTTCGAAGATTAAATTTTGCAGCATAAGATAGCTGGCGATACTGAGCATTTCGATGTTCATGACGATAGAAATCGGGGAATATTGACATTAGATCCGCAGCTGGGTTGTCTTCCAAGGCGGCCTGGAATTCCCGCACTAGATCTCTGTTCCACTGTACAGCGTCATCGGTGAGAAGCGAAAGAAATGGCATGGTACGACCCAATGTAAGGAAATAAATACGGGGGATCGCAGGGAATTTTTTCAAACCCAGTTGTTGGATTACAGTGCAGGAGAGACTCTGTTGACAATTGAAGGGGAATTAGTTCGCAATTTTAGTCATTTTATATCGGGCCGACCTCCAGATTCAGAAGTAAACCTTGTCAAAAGAGTTACGGAAACGTGACTGGCTGACCTTATTTAGAATACATTCTAGACTTAAGGTATGTATAAGTCCCTTAAAAATATATTATGCGAGGTTTTTAATCTAGGGGTTTCACTTTCAGAATCCCGAGCTATTTCTCACGTTGCAGAGTTCTCATGATGAGCGGCTACCTAAAACAGTCTCTATCATCTAACCTTTCGACGATGATAATTTACAGCGGAGTACTTTGAGAGCGATCTTATTCGAAGATAAACAATCGTCTGAGATGGTTTGATGAGATTGGGTAGGTGATTAAAATTCTCAAAAATTTGGAGACATCAGAGATGGCTGCAAGACGAGGAGGTCCCTGGTTAGAGATCCTGTGTGGTTACTTTTACAGAGATCAAGGGAACAAAAATCTGCTATGGTCACGGAAGATTTAGAAGCGGTGAAGTTATGGACTACTCTAAATTTGATTTTTCATCTTCTAACTAGATATAAGGTCCATCACAACCAAACTGCACTCCCTAAAGGTAGATGCTTAGATACTGAACTACGAATTTCTTTTGCTAAAAGTCTAAGAGGACCTCACTTTATTTCAAATTACATACACAATATCAAATCGGATCACACAGCTGACGCGCCCTGAAAGTACCAGTGATTGCAACAAGTGCATGATCAAGCGTTGTTAACTTCAGTAACATCCCCTAGGAAAGCAATGCCTGTCTTGGAACGATCCAAGAACCTCTCCTCATCTGCCGCAATCGCAGCCGCGATTTCTGGCTGGCTTGTCTTAGTCGTGTAGGCATGAACAGCCTCTGGACTCGCAAAGGTCAACTCGGTGTAAGCATCGAAATCGAAGTCGGACTGTTGGCCCAAGACAAGTTTGGCTGGTGTCGTTGGGTTTCGCGCAGTCGTATCAGTTCCGGCATTGCTACCTTTCTCCTCACGGGCAATGTAGCTGCGGCGGTGTGAGATAGGGAAAACGTCGCCAGCCAGACGCTTGAGGAGGTGACCATGCTGCTCGCTATAGCTCGTGAACTCTTCAAGCGAAAGTCCGGATTTCCGGTAGGTGAAAACAACAGCTCGGACAAGAGTCATCTTGGAATCGAGCGTAGGTACGGTAATGTTGAAGGTGAGGAAATTGGCGATACTGTAGATACAGCTGATTTAATCTTCGAGATATTTGGATGGAATGGTGGAAATGTTGAGGATGTTGGAGATGTTCACAATAGAATATTTTCTGAGTCTTGTCGACGGTCGCATGCTCCATATTTATATTCATTTCCATGAATGACAGGCGTATCCCTCTAAGCTCAGATCGGCCAGATTTCGCTGTATCCAACTCTTCGGATCATATTACGCCTAAGCCCACGTACATGCGGGAGGCGGGAGAACTGAATCGGATGTTTGTACATCTACCGAACAAACCTTACTACCACCAACCTCCGAGATACAGAGTACCGAAGTACCGAATTGCGTGCGACGAAACGCCAGGAATGTCAAGATTTTAGAGACTAGAATTATAGTAATCAATCTAAGTTCATATTCAGGTATATCAAGACGCCGTCGAATACTGTCAAATTCGGATTGCAGGAAAATTCCGCCTATTAAAATAAACTTCCGGATCTAGTCTATCTATGTACTAGTCAGATCTTGTCGTTGTTTCTACGAAAAGAGAGGATAGTTTCGGTCGTTACTCTGCATTTGCAAAGTACTGTATGCATATCTATAGATAACGTTATCGAAATTTTCGATTTTGCTTGCTGCACGCTACTTATGGCCAAAGCGATAGCCTGATACGTAGCACTCAAATTGCAATAGCCTCGTTCACGCCTAATGGTTTCGATAGTCCGTCTCTAGTTGCGCTTTCTTCATCTATAAAGCATCCCAAGCCGGCAAATGCCTCGAATAATGTCCGTGAGTAGTATTCTTTGATATCGAMCCCGCCAGCTGCCATGGCGGTATTAGTGCGTGCTTCCTCGAGCCACTGTGATGGGTAGTGATCTTTCAAAACATAGTAATCTCTCCTTCTAAATTCCGGTCCATCACCGAACGGGTTGTATGGTTTCTCGGGTTCCGGTATGGAAACTTTCTTCAGGCCCTTGATAAGGACCTCTGAGTCTATGGCACCACTAGAGAGTAGGGCCTCTTTGTTAAGCGCCAACTTTCTTCCCTCACCGCGTAGAGCAGCTTGCTTTTGCCGTAGACGATCCTCTTCACTACGGCGTGCGGACGATTTCTTGAGCAAAATCTTTCGGCTCTCCTCGCGCGTGATATTCGCCGCATCACCCGCCGCGTACCAGCAGCGAGACGAGAAAGGAAGGATTCATGATCAGTTTGACGATTTCTATATTCTCGTTCATACTCTTCTTGTGCGACCTGACGACGTCGTCGTGCCTGTTCCTGTTCGAATGACTGCTGTTCTAAAAAGGCTGATGCCTCTTGCGATTCCCGCACCTGGTTTGCTTGAATGGAATCCAGATGAGAGCTTTCGTACTTTCTCAATTTTGCTTCTGTCTTGGCAACATCAACCCCTGTGACGAGATTCACGATCATTGTTTCGCGTTTTTCGAGAAAGTTGTCCCAATCGAGTTTGCTGTCGAATTCGTCTTCTCGACGGTTCAAACTAGTCTCTTTCTATCAGGTCTGAAAGGTCCCTTCAGTGTAGACTTGTGCTTACATTCTTATCACTCTCTTGCGAATGTCAACTTCTCTCTCGACGCCGATATCTTCAAATGTCTGCTCGTGAAACTCTTGCTTCCGTAATGTTTTGTCGCAACCGACAACAGGACAAGTGTTTGGGGCGGTAAATATGCGTTGCACACATGATTCATACATACGATGATAGCACGCCGGGTTTATGGGGAAGCGCATGTCCGGGTTGAGATATCGAGACGATTTGCAGATTGGACATACTTCTCATCAAAGACAAACGGTGTTAGCTCACGTCTCAAGTCTGGATAGACAGAAAAGTACCCACCATCGTCATCCCTGCTGTATTCTCTGCCAGCCATTTTTAAAAGTGAGGAAGGGATATTCACTGGCGGATGTTAGTTTGAACGTCGGCCTTGCAGCCTGCTAAATACGATGTAAGTAATCAGAACGTCGCATCACATTCTAGATGGCCTCAACATTATGGTGGCCTGGGTTTGCCACTAATCTGGTCGGAAAAGAGATATGGTAGACGATGAGGTAAGAAGCTAGACCTAACCATGGAAGTTTCGGAGCTTACTATAAGGTGGTGAGCCTTTGAAGCGCTATACCATATAAGAAAATGGTATGCAATGATACCTATTTAGGACGAGCTTAAACCTACCTATATGTGGAGAGATAAGAGATACGAGACATGTGCCTCTATTTACTGTTTTACACTGTATTCATTCCATTCTTATGAGCACTGATGACCTAATTGTGTTTTGCTGTGCTTCAGTACTTCAATCTTTTACTCACACTTCAGGAATTCTTTTCAGAAAACGGCAGATTTCTTGTGAGCGGCGGCAGTGAATCTATGAAAGTAAATGCAAGTTGCATGCTAGCTAATCATAGAGTTGATATACCAAAGCCTCGTTCGGCTTGGCATGGCTCTTACACAGCAAGTCCCAGCCTCCCTCAAGCCCCTGTTCACCAGAGATTCCCTTCCCCCACACCAAGCGCAAATCCGGGGCTGCGGATTCGTGATGCATCAGCCATTGGTTCCAGCGCTTCTCAAGTTCTCCGAAATATTGTTTCGGTTCGATGATGCCCAGCGCAGCATCCTGGATAGGGGAGGTGTTGACCTGAATGAAACCCAGCTGGGCTCCGAGGCTACTCAATGCTATAAAGTCTTGTGTATTATGGACCTATACAATAATAAATGTCAGCTATTTTCACTTCTCCTTGACAGGTCGAAGAACGGAAAGTGAGCGTCTGAAACCACCTTTTGCTGTAAACCAACGCTAAGGACGACTGTTTTAGCGGCGTGTAGAGCAGGCGTACCCTGGATCATGCCAAGCAGTTGCTCGAAGCCCCCATCACGACTACCAAAATTCGCGACGACGATCTTGGAAGGCTGCTTGATAGCAAGCCACTCTCCCGTACTGGCAATATCGGAGTATGAAACTGCCTTGGTGGGGAATGGTCCAGCGAGCTTGTCTGCCGCCTCGGAGAGGGCAGCTGGCGCCGAGGAAATTTGAAGTAGAGCCAGAGGACCAGTTCCGGCAGGTCTGCAAGAAAGATTAAAGGCCGCAGCGCGACCAGTTTTTGTCGACGCACCTATGCTGATGAAAACAGCCTTGGAGAGGTCCGCATCATCGACCGTCCACTGAGTGTCCGGCCCGGGAAGAGGGTGCAGGGGCGGATGAGTAGCTGGATCGGGAGTAAAAACGTACTCGCTGAGGAGATAACCACAAACCCAAGTCGGTCGCACGGAAGATCCCCAGCCTAGGCGCTCGAGGTCTTCCGTCTGAGTATCGACAACAATATAGCGGTTATATAACGACAGCATGAACTGCCGACCAGGGGAAGTCTCCACCCAATGGCCTTCTGGCTCTTCTCGGCTCAATTGCAAGTCCACTGCATGGCCGGAAGCAGGCCAGTAGCCCCAGAGCGATGTGCCCGACGGTAGGTCAGCGATGCTACTCTCTAGGACAGTTGCGTAGCCCCATGCAGGCACAATTCCCCATGTCGCTTGATCGTTGTAAGGGGCAGGCGATGTCTGGGGAACAGGATACAGATTCCATAAGTTCCACACATCAGCAAGTGCAGCGTAGGTCAAGTTGTTGGAGGTCAAGCTGACAATTTTGGCGCGCACGCGAACTGATGACGGCAATAGTGCCTTGGTTAACTCAGCGATACGAAAGCTAGCATGTTTAGCATGGTTCTGTTTGGAGACGACATGGACTTCCATTTTTGGTTCGAGGCGTGACTCGGAGAGAGTTTTTGAATCACTGAAGAGCTTGGTTACAGGAATCTGCTTATTGAGAAAGCAGAAAATATACTACACGGCAAACTTGCCCGAGACCCGTTGATAGGGTGGGTAATATATCATTCATATAAGCCATGTCTGTTAGTCACTCAACTATACAGCGACGACAAGTATATCAAAGTAGCCTCTAGCGGATAAGTCCCAGAGATGGTTGACAGTTCAGCTGAATTCAAATGCCCGATGTGCCAACGGGGTTGCGCCCACCGAAAGACAATCATTCGTGAGCTCGGGAATGTTCTATGCACGTCTGTCCTAGTGTGGCGGAACCTACATCCAATCGTTGGAAGCCTTTGTCGTAGACATCACATGGAACAGGGATTATTGGCCAGTCAAATGCAGATCCATGATTCTTGATATTCCTTCGTGCAACGGGGTTCTTTCACTACTCAATTCGGGATGAGTTGCATTAGTTCCAACAACCGGAGCAATGTTTTGACCTGATTACACACGAATTTCATGACCACGGTTTCGGTTTTATTGTCTGGCCAGCTGTGAAGATCGGGGTAGCGGCCCGGCTCGTTACCGAGCTCCCCGACTGGATTTAGAGATTAAGCTCAGTGATGATTAGCGCTCGAATCGTTCCATCGAGAGAACGTGGAATGCAATGAACTATTCCAGAACAAGGAGCCTACGATGATTTCAATGTAATGTCATATAGTTGCATGTACTCTTTCCCTGAGCAATAACTAGTTCTTGCTGTCAAGGCCAACATTCAACGAGCGGAGGTAGTTGCGGTGATGAGAGCAATTAACAAATTTGTTCACCTTTCAGGTGTTGATATTATCAAATGATCAATGATAGAGGAGGAGCCTTTACACATCGTAAATTGGTTCTTAGTATGTAGGAATGAAGAGCTGAACTATCCATAGCTGCCGTGGATGCGCATGGTTAGCTGCGTGGGCCTCACATCCGCCACGGGTTTCTTCTATAGTGAAACCAATAGTGATAACAAGTTGGATGTATTCTGGCTAATGAATCCGAGGTTGAATGAAGTTGGATAGGCATGATCGTCATTTTTCATGTCTATTCAGCCTACCACTATTTCCTGTAGCTTGGAGCGATTGGGGTCCATGGTAACAGTAATTTCGAGGAACTTTTCCAAACTATTGTTCATGTTAGTGCTGATGACCGCGTTTGTAAGCATACGTAGTTCTGAAGTTAAGATTTTTAGTGCATAAGGCTTACGTTCTTGCTGATATACTAGTAGACTCTAGGTATAGTTATCCAACTAGCTGGTCGATTAGAACTAGGAAAAGATCTTTTCTTTATAACCAGATAGCTAATTCACTCAATGAATATTTAGTTCATCAAATTCTGTTTGTATTATTACCAATTTCAAGTCATTTACCTATAGTGATTTAGATCGTTAGCTGACCCTAAAAGACTTGATAGCCTGGCCTTCCCTAATCTTGCAGGACCTTGGGCTTCATAATCCGGGACCAGGAAATACCTACAAGATGAATGGATCCTATCGTAAACAAGGAAATAATAATCTCAACCACTAGAGGAGACGACTTTATCAGGAGGAAGAGCATCCAAGCTACGAAAATTAATGGGACGCAAATAATGCATTTGCAAAACCGAGTTATCCAATATCCTATGTTTTCCAATTCTATTCGTCTCTTTTTTGGACATGGTGTAGCGGCCACTCAGCCCATGCTTGAAACTCTGCGGTAACAACTTTGCGGATGTGAGAAGTAATGTGGACATCCCAGCCTTCCATAAACCAAACCGACCTCATGTATTTCAATAGCATAGCCCAATTAGCAAGAATCACCAAAGCAAATGGGCTTTTCTGCTCAATATACGATACAAAATCTTGGGGTAATCGATATAACCAGCCCAATATGATGTGCATCAAGCCTACACCTCCCTTTGCGTTGGATCGATGCTGGTACACTTCGTGGAAGGTATGACGAAGAGTTTGAATGGCAAACTGAGACAACTTCCGAATGCTTTCGTCTGGTGTTTGCGCACTGAGCCAAATCTGCAGCCTTCGAAGGTAATCCCAATGCTCTAATAATTCATCACGCAGCTCTGGACTGATATCTTTTGATATCAAGTCAACTTCAGGGGACAGAACACCGACAAAAACATTATCTCGATAGGATTCTCTGGTCGTCTTCACACCGTATAAAAGCTTATACCATTCACCTGGACCAGAATCGCTAAACACGAGGTACTCTCCGGGCCGAAGGCCCCTTCCAAAGCCGACCAAGCAAATTAATACAGTCGCTAGGTATACACGTTGACATGACTCCACGTCAAGGCCCGAAATTTCTGACGTAGTATGTTGAATCCCTAGCGTATAATGGTCATCGGCCTGCTTCACATACTCCTCTCTCGATTCTGGCCGCTGGCGACTAAGATGCAAAGCAGCGAATGCTAGCAGAAGATGAAGAAACGGGCGATATGAAAGATTCTGTTCAATGATGAGCTGCCATTTATTGGTGTCATCCGTCCCGTCTTGCAATGTCCGTGATGTTGAAGCTACATAATGATAGAAGAGATGGAGGTCTGCGAAGGAGATCCCATGGTTCGACACGGACACGCTCAGATTGCATTGCACTCCCACCGAGTTGTACGTCGGAGACTTTTGCTCGGAAGTGTTCTGGTTCTTCTTTCTCATCTGAACGACAGAGCGTTGATAGATACGAAATCGATTGCGCGAAGTGGCCGTTAACGAAGACGATGTGGAACCACATGACGTCTCCGGCTCTGTAGTCGCATGTCTAGCAACGGTGAAGTCGCATTCTATGGAATGTTTGGAGCAATTCGCACAGACAGGCTTATTCTCGTCACACTGGATATGGTTAGAGTCTTACTTGAAGCTGAGTTGGGAAACGTAGTTGACCAGACAGACCTTCATGTGCCGAATTTTACAATTACTACATCCTAGGCGAGACTTGTGATGTGACCTGCGTGATACGCGCTTTGTTCCGGGCCTATCCGTAGCGGACATGTTAGTCGCTCACGTTTAGCAAGCTCCCGGATATTGTTTCAATGTTATCTCGCATCCCTTCTGACTCGACTGAGGAAATAATTGCGCTCGGTCTGATTGGGTTTGGTAGAGTGCAAACAAGGCAAACAGCATCGCACTTTGCTGACAAACACTTTTCTGCTTTCATTGGATCCTTTGTAGCTGTAGGCTGGTGGCTTGGTCCTAGAAATCAATGGGCCACTTCTCCGATTCTCAGAATCTCAATTTCGTGTTCCTATTCGATTCCAGATGAGCACGCGTGTGTTGAAAATATGGGTCACATGATGACGGCGCCATATAACCCTATACAAAGCATTAACTTACCAAAAAGCCTCACTAGGGTCATCCTGTTTCCGGCCAAATGGTAATCTTGCTTCGACAGCGTGATAGGGTTAGAGACAAGATTAGAAAAATCTACGCATTTGTAGACTTTTTTACAACTTACTACAGTTGGACAGAGCTTCTACGTTCTAAGCATGCACTTAAGTTTTCTCGGTGCCGATTGTTCGATATCTAATGAGCATTTGGCATCCGTTCCTGATCGCTGCTTAGGTTGAGGAATATCGTGTTCAGCCGGACTGTACTGATAATGAAGATTCATTTATATACTAAGGTAATGATATAGTACTCATTGCTTACTGTCTGATTCTACCACTTTCAACTACTCCTATGAAGAATGTGCTCCGTTGTATGGTTCAGGGTGCGGGCCCTTCCTAGGGCACCGAAGAGGAGTGTTCCCGTATTCGTATTGGCAAACTTGGTGTCTATACTACGGACTATAGAGTGTCTAATACAAAAACAACTCAGCTATCCCAATATAGAATAAATCCCGATTATTGGTGACCTTTTCCTTCTGGTAGTTACTTGACACAGGGGTAATACCTCCTAGCTATTTAAGCGCAGCATGTGCTTCTCAACGATTTGTATGAGGTATTCAGTACCAGTAACAGGCATAGGACAGTCAAATGCCTTCCAAAAAAGGTACTTTTGACCTAGGCATACAGAATCTTTCCTTTCCTTTGTACTACCCAAGTTTCTTCACCAATTTCTTCTTCTCCCCTTTCATTATTTAAGCGCCATCGATCCTAAGAACCATGAGCACCCACCAGGCGTTTGGCCCAGTGGTCAACGGCACTCAAATCGTTTTCTACGACTATCGTCCTAACAAGGCTGCTGGTATATCTTTCGTGGCTCTGTTTGGAACGATCACTCTACTTCATATGATTTATTCCGTATGTCGACTTCGAGCATGGCACTTCATTCCACTACTTTTGGGAGGCTTAGGTATGAACGCCGTTCCTCTTCAACAACCATACTACGAAATTCTCTAATGAGTACAACTAGGTGAAACATTTGGATATCTCGGCCGTGCTCTTTCATCAGATAATCCCAATGATAGCGGCCAATTCATCTTGCAAACAATGCTACTCCTTGTTGCTGCACCGTTCCTAGCGGCAACCGTTTACATGACTACTGGTTGCATGATCATGTCTCTCGGACCCCATAGCAACGGGGTTTGGGGTCATCGGTGGATGACAAAGATATTATTTTTCGTTGACATTGCTTGCATTATGAGTCAACTTTACGGCACTGGGCTTGTCGCTTCCGGGAATCCAAGCAAGTTGGCTGAAAGCCGCACGGTCATTATTGCTGGCTTGATAACCCAGTTTGTTGCGATGTTTGTCTTTATACTCACATGCGGCTTCATGCATATGCGATTCAAGCCCCAAATAGCGAAATCACATGCAAAGTATTTTATATCCGTCGAAGCTGCGGGCATATTCTTGCTTGTGCGAAATTTGGTTCGAGTCTTTGAGTATCTCCAAGGTTCACATGGATTTGTGATTACTCACGAGACGTTCATATATATGTTTGACGCCCTGCCGATGTTTTGCATGATGACTATGCTTGCATTCATCAACCCGGCTCGTCTTATTAGGGAAAGAAAACTCTATGAAAAGAATCAAAGAGACTCAGAAGGACAGATCATGTTAGGGAGGTGGTAGCTGATATGCCCGAGCAGGGAAGCCTTGACCGCTGTTGGTTGATAACACTGCTCCAAATGGTAAATGGAGACAATAACAGGTCAGCCAATGGTCTAAGATTGTGTGTCGACTTTTAATTGCTGTTTCAAAATGGGGTGTTGCAATCGTGGCTGATTTCAAGCTCCAGTCAAACTGTATCCCTGAGAAGATACGTGTATATATCATCAAGTAGGGTATCTTGGTATCCAGTCTATGGGTATGTAGACCATAATCATTAGTAATCGTCCAGAAGTTAGATCAAAGATTTTAAGCTTGAATTAGGTCACGTTTCTAAAAGATACGTTATCAGTTACTTATTTTTGCATACATACATAGTGACATTTCCAAGCCTATGCCATGGAAGAACTTTGAAACATACAACCTTGGAATGCCGTGGCCAAATGAATACGAGTTTCCTAGCTCCCACGTCGGGTGAAATCGATCCAGCTGATTGTGAAGCGTTCTATTACTCACTTTCCGACACCGCATGCTTACCTCTTCATCTGTGATATCCACATAGAAGCAACGGCACGGTGACACCTCCAGACCGTTAATCCCATTACATTCCTGGGTTATCTATATCCGATCGTCGAGAGCAAAATTATCACTTAATACAATAAAATTATTCTAGGTTACTGGCAATTGAAAGGCATAAACTAAAAGTACGAATATCCTTCGGTCCAACCATATTTGCACGGATGACAAAGATCAAAACCTCGGACCAGTCGAAGATGAACGCTAAATGAAGCCAAGCCATGTCGAACTGGCTGAAGGATTCTGTTGTACCAGAACCTCTACTCTATCGGTGTTATGCCATCTGACTAGTTTTACACCGCAGTGCCCACAGTAGTGTTCGACATCTTTCAGCGATCGCATAAAAAAAGGTATGCATCCAATACAGCAGCAGCAGCAGAGACTTGCGGCCCAAGCACTGAACACAAGTTAGTCTATTTTGTCTTGGTTTTGCATCGTTTCCAAGGTTGCAATGATGTAACATTCGGGTTTATAAGACACAGAAGGACCTCCCAAGTCAAGATCAACATGATGAATTTACATACCGCGTAGTGGTCCCTGTCACAACTTCCGTGCGAGTCATGTCACGATGTCCACAAGACGGACAATCCACAACAGCTGCGGCATTGGTAAGAGATCCCAGAGGTGTTGCAGTACTGTATTGCGAGTAGATCGGCTCGGGCGGGKAATTTTGTTGCTGTACTGGCAATTCGATATCGTTAGTCCTTGACGACGAGGGATTGTTTAAATCGGTGTATGCAGGAGCAGCTATATCAAAGAGATTAACGCGAATTTCCAACCAAGTGTGAGACAGAGTCTATGTAATGTTATAGTAATAAGAAATAGGTAGGGGTTAACTTGCCCTGCGCTTGTTTCTCAGACATTTCCACGACAGCAAACCGCGTGCTGGGACAACAATTGCCATTCTCAATTTTCAAGGTATGGGATAGAAGCTGCTTTTAAACAATCCATTGACTTGTGGACCTCTTGTTTTCCATACTACCTCTGTGGGCGTTGCACTAATGGGGATCTCTAAAAGTTTTGGCACCTTTCCGAAAACAGTAATTATCCGTATCCGTGTTATGAACTTTACTAAAGCCCCCTACCATGCAAAGTCTATCCCCTATCATGGGAACTTGTACAAAGATGAAACTGGTACTAGACTGATTCTGGGTTGGTTATTTTTTGACATGATTTTTCGCTATTGAGTAATCAGTTCTAGCTACCAAGGCAGGACGCAAAGTACTTACTAGCAGTTAGCAAATACCAAGTGCGTAATATACCCATGGGGATTAGAATTAGCCTGTCATAAATGAGGCACATAGTGCCAGATAATCCAGACACCCAACTTGCTAGAACAGATCAACATTTTGATTTTGGGTAAATGTCTCATCTCGGGTGAAGTACACACATTATAGGTACTGGGGAGCTACGAATTGGTGCAGTAGTCGATCAGAAGCAATTATTTATCAGGGCTCTCAAGTTTACCCTTCACGCTATATGGACTATGGCAAGATTTACTCGCTGTATTGTCTATCTATATCGCCTTCTTAACCTCATATTGTACACAAGACACACAGCTCGACAATACAATTCTTGTTAGTCTTCACATTCTTAAGTTAGCTCTCACAACGTCATTTCTGGCCAAGGCCACTGAGTGTTATCTCTGCTGACCATCCAATGTATGGAGAATACATGCGATAACTTCTCCGTTCGAACGGGTCTCAAACGTGAGACCTGGAGGCAAAACTGTAGTGCTGTGGTACAGCGTCTTCACTAATTCTAGACCCTCCCTTAATGTATCCTCATTCAGATTCGCGCTCATGAAATTCTCTTCCGAGCGCCAGGAACGCATTGCATCAATGCCTCGATAACGGAGCCTATAACCAGGGCATCGAGAGGGCTGGCACTATTTCATGATTTGCGGTGAGGATCAGAGCTTGGTCGTGGAATTCCTTCATAGCGATCTCTGCCGCTTCAATTGACGCTTCACATTCAAGGATTGTATTGGCAAGTAAAGGCGCGCTTCTAATAAACAGTGATGTTTTGACTTCTATTATGCTGTAGAGGGCGGATAGCTAAGTCCTTACTGGAGAGTCTGGTTTATCGTGATGTGGGGTCTAGACAGACTCCTTCACTAACGACCAAATTAGGCTAGGCGGTGAAGTCAAGCACGACCGCCATGCCTATTGTAGACTAGCGGCGATCTCGGAGATCAAATTGGGGCAGTGCATTCTCACTTGTGACTTGAATCACTTGAACACCTCACTCGTTCTTCGTCAGTAAGGCAGTCTGATGTTCAGATGACTGCACATAGTCATGATGACCTGACCGCTATCTTGACGTTCACTTGCAAGCTCTCTGTCTTGCTTAAGACGGCATCCTTTCCCCTCACTCTGTTATCGCCATCTGCTCTCCTCGCATCATGCAGTTCGGAAAAGCAGTCGGGACTGCTTGCAGCTCCTTCGCTATCACTAATATTGACGACATGTTCGTCTTGGCGGCCTTTTTTGCAGAGTCATACACCAGTGAAAGTCTGACTCCGCTGAAGATTACTATCGGTCAATATATTGGATTCACGATTATCGTCGCCATTAGTATGATAGGTTTTGGTATAGCGCAGGCGCTTCCCTCGGAACCTATTGGATTTCTTGGTCTACTTCCTATGCTGCTCGGAATCTGGAAATTGTTCGAGCTTTATTTCGACGATGAGTCAGAAGATGACGATGAAGAAAGAGAAGTGGGAGCAGTTACCGAGAAATCTCATATTGCTACCGTGAAGAGCATACTTAAAGTCTCTATCGTCACAGTGACGAACGGCGGAGACAACATCGGAACATACGTGCCGCTATTTTCACAAGCCCAGGGAGCAGAAATAGCAGTATACATCGTTACATACTACATCCTACTCGGGGTGTGGTGCCTTGTAGCGTACCTAATCATGCGGCAGAAACATATACTGCGCCTCGGTCAGAAATACGCCGGCATAGTGGTTCCTTTTCTCTTCATCGGCCTGGGGATATACATCATTGTCAAGTCCTCGTGTTACCCGTGGTCCATCGAACATATTAACGATTCACTCTCCTCACATATCGGAGAAACTGTCATGGCAGTCGTGACGACAGGTCTTCTTTTGATATGTATCGGTGCTATGTTCTGGTTGAAGCTGCGAAAGAAGAACACGCAGCCTACTTCCGCCATATCAGGTGCTGAACATGAAGTAGAAGCCCCAAATGATGACACTACGGCACAGCGAACCACAGAAGCAGATGCAGAACAATCGGTCGCTACAACTTTGGTCGAACCAAACATAGTTCCTCGTCGTATCGAAAGCGAGCCTTGCTAGGGCAATTCCTGTCCTCTTGCATGACATATCCCGGCGTTCACATTGGGTCGTATCTTTAGCATCACTGAAGGAGTTCAACAGTTAGCAGTAATGGTGGATACATACTTTTTCCTAAGCACTACTAAGACCATCTACAATTCAAAAAAGTGGAAACTAACGTGTCATTGGACATGTAGCAATCCTTCTACATTCTTTCTGCTAGATAGTATATATGACGAAAACATCCCGTCACGCGTAGACATGTATAACGTGCGGGCTGCTGTGGTACTCGGCCATTACACCCTGTATTGTGCAAGGAGTGATTCTATCGCGAGAAACGGTTGAGCCAATGAGAACGGGACAAGGGTTCTTACCAGCGATCTAAGGCACCTAGGCACGCATATACACCCGTGATGATGTTGAGGTGACTTTGGACATAGGTCTTATGGTGGTCACCACTGAGCTGTAAAGATGTACTGTTAACCAACTGAGTATTTAGATCCAACCGGCCGTGGAGGTCCCGCGATCTTGCTCCAATTTCAAATTGACCTCGATATCTTCTGGAATGCTATTTGTTAGCACCATGGAAGCAGCTGTTTCTCTTTCAATAGCCTTGTCTATGATTTTCCACGTTCGATTTCCCCATGTCCTTCACTACGTGATTTTCCTAGCAGCCCAAACCTTTCGGGAAACCCTCTCTTTGAATATGCCATCTCACAGTCCCCTTCGGACTAGGCACGTGAAGTGATATAGAGCAATTTTTACGATTCAGGTACGATTGATATCTTGAGGATGTCACAGATATCTGTGGCGAGGTTCTACTTGCTTCCCCATGATGTGACGAATTGGAACTTCAGACTAGTCTGTAATAGCTGAGCATTATTTACTTTGTTTTCCATTATGTGATCGAATAGTGATATTCAGTCATTCCTCTAATCAATAATGGACCCGTTGTAAGCACTAAGTTGTCACTTTTCACGGAGGACTTTTAGGGCTGAATCACCCAATTTCCACTCGGATAGATTCAACCTCCCGCACTCCGTGTAATCACGCCGGTTTCCGGATACGTAATTAAAACCTTAAATCCACGACGAGCGATTTCTATTATCTTGACGCGTTGTTTGAATTACCCGCAAAATGGCGACAACCAAAAAGGACCGGGAATACGAAATTGTGCTTGTCGGTGCAACAGGTTATACTGGCAAGCTGACTGCCCACCACATTGCGCGAAACCTGCCTACGAATCTGAAATGGGCTATTGCTGGACGATCGAACATCAAACTCGATGCTCTTGCCGCTGAGTTGAAGCATATCTCGCGCGATAGATTGCAGCCAGGTATGACTCAATCTGGTTTGTGTCAAGCGCATGCTTACGAGTGGCGCAGGAATTGAAATTGTGGATGTTGAGGATAAAGCGCAACTTACCGCTCTTGTCGCCCGGGCAAAAGTATGCATCAGCGTGGTTTCGTACAACGAGGTAGGTGCGAATATTATTGAGGGGTGTATTGATAGCCGCACGGATTATGTTGATACGTGAGTGAGCCAGTGACTTGTACCTAGGTAGTTGCAGGGCCAACCGGGATACTGATTATATGTAGTGCTGGCTCCGTCACACATCTACGACAATGGATTGACAAATACCACCATGCAGCCGAGAAGGTGGGTGTTGCTGTAAGTATCATCTCTCCACAATGAGCGTACTTTACTGACGTTAGATAATAGATCATTACATCCTGCGGCAATTTCAGCGCCTTCCAGGATCTTCTCACATGGCTCTCCGCCAACGAACTTGCGAAAACCTCATCTCTCAAGATCAAAGAGGTCGTTCTTTCCGTATTGAGCATGCCAGCAGACCCCAGCGGTGGAACTGTAAAGTCAATGTTGACTAGAACGAATCTCGATGAAAAGACCATCCAAGAATCGCAGACCCCATGGTATTTGTCGCCCGTCAATGGCCAGCAGTATGTGGATGACGAAGCCAATGTTTTTGGCATACGACATGATGCAGTACTCGGCACACTGTCACCCAGCTCATTTAGCGATTTACAGAATCGAGCTGTTGTACACAGGACGTGGGGACTGCTTGATGGAGGGAATCGTTACGGCCTGAACTTTCGATACAGTGAATACAGCAAAGTCTCCTCGACCATAGCTGGGATTGTGGATATACTCAAAGCTAAGGGAATAAGACTCATGTTCACACTTGCGCCATTGAGGGCTATCTTGAGGATCATTTTGCCGAAGCCAGGCGATGGTCCGGATGTGGAGAAAGAGAAGAACGCTGTGGTTGATATGGAAGCTGTTGCGTCGGCAGATTCGGAAGATAGCTCGACAAGCCCAAAAGTTTATGCGAGATTCAAATTTTCAGGAGGACCGTATACAGCCACAGCTGCTTGGCTTGCACAAGGAGCTGCCTCATTGCTTTATACGAGGAAGTTGGAGGATGGTGTTGTGGGTGGATGTTTGACGCCGGCTTTTTTGGGAGCGGATCTAGTGGAGAGGATTCAAGCAGTTGGCGCGGAGTTGGAAATCAAGGTATTATAAGAAATAATTGGAAGGGAAATGGCAGTTTGGTATGTATCAATAATTCGTAAGATCCCAATGATACCAGCGCAGGTGCTGTCTGTCGTTTTTGTTAGATAGACTGTGTGCCTACTGTTGTATTTCACAGTCTCTGTTGGTCTAGAATACTTGCCTAGACATGCTCTTAGCCATCGTCATTAAACTCGACTTGCTAAGAAACGGTGTTGAAAGAGGCAAGATCCCAGATAGGTAGGGTGCTTATATTTTCCTAATTGGGTAACATGAGTCGCACAATGACCTGAAAGTGTTCCCACCTTTAAAGGTGATGTTTACCCTCCTCCATTTAGCCTCATCTCACTCTTGGCTTGAGTATACGTAGCAAGCTTCAAGGTTGCTGCAGATCAAGGCGTGTTACTGGAGCAATCTAAGGTTACATGAAGCGCAAGTGCGGGGGAGACCCCAAAGAAGGATTCTAGTCTGTAAATGTGGCCCAACTAGGAATTTATAACCATCCATTGGCTGGCACATCATTAGTTAAGAATGCAGATGATAAGTTGAATGGTAAGATCTGGTCAAGAGATGTTGTGACTAAATTCAAAGCTATTGCCCAATATACATAGATTCATTTTCAATCACGAGATATCGAAGGACGAGTATGCTACTCATATATTGAACACCAAAGATCGTGTTCTTCCAAGTCGTGCAAGCGTTCCAATATGCCTGTAGATAGCCTGAAAATTTTCAGATGTCAAAGGAAGTCACTAGATAACAATGTTACATACCTACATCTTCAACCTATATCTCGAGCCATTTATGGCCCAATAAAGTATGATTGAACGCTCCAATAAAAAGTATGATTCATAACTAACGCTGTATGACGGAAATCTCTCCGCATTTCCGGCACAAGAAACTGAGGCCGGATGTATAAAGTCACACGAGATCCCATAATATGTCCACATTACTTGACGATTGATTTGTGTTCTCCGAATTCTGCAATTGTACAGGGTACTCTCAGCCCGTTCTGTCTACCAGGAAAAATCAAATCACGCAAACATGTCTGTAGATGTAGAAGCCGATACCTACTTCGCTGTCACCGCAGATAGGCGCGTTCAGGAAGCGCAGAAGACTCGATGGCAAACAGCATTGCGGAATAAAAAGATCTTTCTCATAGCGTTCTTTGCTTCGTACGCCTCGCACCACCTATTTTCCTGTGATTGACTTCTTCCTTAATCTAGCATCCAACTAACCCTTCGCGTTATGCAGTTTCGGTGGCTTCGAATACGGCTACCAGCAAGGCGTCCTTGGCGAGTCATTCATAATGACAAGATTTGCAGCAAACTTTCCTTCAGTCGTAAACTCATCTAGCACCCAGGGTTGGTTGACCTCTGTGTTGTAGCTTGGCGGTATTGTCGGCTCGTTGTCCGCGGGTGTCCTCGGAGAGATCTTTTCTCGAAAGTATACTATGTTCATCGCATGTTGTTGGGTGATCCTGGGAAGCTCTCTGTATTGCGGTGCGCATGCAGGCGACCCGGGTCTTCTCTATGCTGGAGGATTCTTTACAGGCCTTGGGGTGGGACTTTTCAGTGGTGTCGGGTAAGCTGCTTCATTACGAGAAATTTAGTTACTCTGTCTAAGAGGCGGTTGTGTGAAGACCATTGTACAACGCAGAATTGGCATCCCCCGAACTACGTGGTTTACTGATTCCATTCTACCAATTCGCAACCATCCTCGGCATGATGTCCGCCTTCTGGATTGGGTACGGAAGCAACAATATCGGTGGAACAGGCGATACACAATCAAACCTCGCATGGCAGCTACCTTCCATCATTCAAGGTATCCCGGCTTGCCTTCTTGCAATTGAAATTTGGTGGATGCCCTTTTCTCCTCGCTGGCTCGTCAAGAAGGGCAGGGTCGAAGAAGCCCGAAAGACACTCGCGTGGCTTCGAAAACTTCCCGTTGATGATGCTTTGGTGCAAGTTGAGTTTCTCGAAATTCAGGCAGAGGCTCTCTTTGAACCGTGCGTTTGAAAAGGCATTCCCAGATCTTGCCACCAAGGAGAAGCAGGATGTTCTGTTTAGGGAATTGGCGCAGTATGTCAACTGTGTTCGGACAAAGGACAATTTCAAACGTGTTGCCACCGCTTGGTCGGTCATGTTCTTTCAGCAGTGGAGTGGAATTGACTCTAGTATGTATGAAAACTTGAATTGCATTGAGAATATTCAACTTACCTGGATGTAGTTATCTACTATGCTTCCGAAGTCTTCGTCAGTCTAGGTCTCAACACTGGTACCATCGCATTACTTGCGACAGGTGTCACTGGGGTCGTGTTCTTCGTCTGCACATTTCCTGCAATGGTAATTACACTCATACCCAATATTAAATCTTATCAGATAGTTGACTTATTTCTGCCATCAGCTTGTCATTGATAAAATTGGTCGAAAGCCTATGCTTCTGGCGGGATCTGGCTTGATGTTTGCGGCCATGGTTATCGTCGGAGTGATCGTGGCTAAGTTTCGTCACGACTGGGAGCATCACGCAGTAGCTGGTGAGAATTCTTCATTCAAACTTTACTTTTCGTTATTCGTCCTCCGACAATGTACTAACAATTTCTATGATAGGCTGGGCAGCGGTTGGTATGTGAGTCCCCAACTATGGGTCCTTATTCAACTTCTCTTATATCAAAAATTACACGCTAACTTCTAATTTAATAGCTTTATTTGGGTCTATAACGGCACCTTCGGCGCTACATGGGGCCCAGTCTCATGGACACTCGTCTCCGAAATCTTTCCCCTCTCCATCCGCGCCAAAGGAGCCTCAATCGGCGCATTCAGTAATTGGATTAACAACTTTGCCATCGCTTTGTTTGTTCCCCCTATGTTTGATACCTGGGCTTGGGGTACCTACATCTTCTTCTCCGTTTTCTAGGCCGTTGGTATCGTGTTGGTTTGGTTTGCTCTTCCAGAGACCAAAAATGCGACTTTGGAGGAGATGGATCGAGTCTTTAAGAGCCATACTGGTAAGGAGGATGCAAGAATGTTGGCTGAGGCGCAGCGCGATGTGGGCTTGATTAGATTCCTATTGGACAGAAACTCGGATGAGAAGAAGCTGGCGACGGAGGTTGTGTCGGAGCATCTCGAAGGGAGATCGTGAAAACTTGGTTAAAAGTTTCGCCTGTGATTCAGTATCCATATTGAAGCCGAAAAGAGACACGAATTCTACATTGCTTCTAATTTGTCATCCCCAGTATTGATCAATTACGTGCTGCCAGTTGCAGTGGACTACACTGACCCTAGGTACATGGCCTAGATCTTAAAGTCAGATTGTTGGAAGATCTCGATTCTATGACAAACAGGCTTTTGTTTTGTATTACAGGGTATAGATATGGGATTTATATATGATAGTACTGGAGTGATCAGCTTTTGTGAGATACCCTCATCACTGACATATGTAGGATGTAGCTATAAGGTGAGATACAAAATATTCTAAAGCATACATATAACAATGAATTCATAAGGTTCTCAATCACGTCCCATCATGGTAGCGCTCAGACCAAGCATAGTACCGAGGTTATCAGCATTTGCATTCCAGGTGTCCAAATTTCGCCTCATTGACCCTTCATTTCTCTGCTTAGAAGCATTAATGAGGTCCCCAAAGACGTCAAATCCATTGCGAGCCATGGATTGATACACTTCATACTCCGTTTGCCATATTGATCGGGTCCTTGCTTCCCAAAGTGATTTAGGCGAACAGAGGGGGAGGTCCTGGTACCCGCTGATTGTATCGCAGGAAACACCAATTTTGATATGAATCGTTTGAGCGATGAGGAACCAAACTAGTGCGGTTCTGAGAACACAATTCTTAATTTTAATCTAGCAAATAGGGGAAAAATTGATGAAGTTACCTTCTCCTTGATTCTGCAAAAATCCAGTCTTCCCAGCTCGCGCTTGGGTATAGTCTCTCGTCTTGGCAGAAGGGCTCTTCGCACATTTGTACGAGGCCCTCGCAGAGGATCTACTCCAATTAGATGGAGACTGAATGAACGAACTAGAATTCACACACCTCATGAGTCTCAAGCATCTGAAGATTCATACTTTGGTCTAATTGCGAGTCATCAAAGATCCGCATAATGATATACATGATCTGGGCTTGTATGGCTGCGAGAAGGTCATCCCTGGTCAATTGACGATGCTCGTTCTATTTCATCAAGTTAGTCAAATGTCAATCTGAAGTAATGAGGGCTCTGAGTACGTAGATTGTATAGTTGCATATCGCCACGTTCAAAGGGAACGTACCTTTCCAATAAAGGAACTTTGCTCCATCTTGACCAAGTGCCATAAGTAATGCTTGCTTTCGGTACTATGGGAAGCAAATATCTGTGCTATGCCCATGCAGTTGACCAACGGTTCCGGCATAGAAGACTGGATAGTATTAGATTGGCGATACCAGTGGCCATGTATGAAAGAAGGAAGGGTCTCTGCACGAAGCATCATCAACGGATACGTGCGGATCATCTCCAAGACACTGGTTGCAATGAATTGCGAGACGGGATCTGATATCGGCAGTTGAGCCAAAAAGTTTGAACTTGATCGCTGGAAGGTATGTGCATTTTTCGAGAGAGTAGACAAGTTTTCATCTCGAACAGTCAAAGCAGAAGATGTAAGCTCAGGAGGTTGAAGAAGAGTCCCAGGGTCAAGATATGGACTATTGATATTGTGAGTGGTGAAAGGCCGATTAGAACCAACTATCGGTATCGGGTCGTTCAATTGAGGAAAGTCGGTCTTGAGACTTTGCGTGGTAATATCATCAAATACATCCCAGTTGAAGTCAACCTGTATGCCGTCTGTATTAGGTTCTCCGTTTGATGGGGAAAACAGGTCACCCAATGTAGACGTGTCTCCTGTAAGAGGCGATACGGGAAAGTCTGGAGTACTTATTTGCGCCAACTCTTGATCCTTTGACCAGTCTGGAGGATTGTCGTACACGCATTTGATTTCCTTAATAGTGCATCGCAGACATTGCGACTGGAGGCTGCACTTGGCTTTAGCAGCACTGCATGCATGACAGGACCGCACACGAGATCGACGCGTATTTTTGGCGCGGCGGCAGTAAAGAACGTGACGGTTATACGATTTTTCTAGTATCAGAGACTCAATTTTAGAATGTGATTGTAATATAGTTCATGACAAGATTAGTTTACCCTTCAAAAACGGCTTTTGGCAAAACCCACACAACCGTAGTGAGCTCGGCGCTGATATTGACTGGAATGGCGGTGTTGCGGAATGCATTTGTTCAAAGTGTTAAAAAAGCTACTCCGATATCGTTTTACCTTAAAGTTTTGATTTCTTCTTTCCGCCTTTGTATCTGGGAGGGTTGATGATTGAAGAAAAGAAGAGTGATGACAAATGAACATGGCACCGGAACAAAGTGGCCGCCGGAGTAATTTGGCTAACTAGTACAATGTTCCTCCTCAAGACTATGACCGGCCAAATTGTTGTGAGACTTGCTAATGACGTCGCTTGGTTTTTTTTTTTTTGCGTTTGCCTCCTTTTTCGTCGTTAAATAATCGTTGCGATCTTTAGCAATAGTCATGATTCGAAAACGTCTCTTCATCATATTCCGCGGACGCATCACAAAGTACTCCCATTTGCTCAGTATATAATGAGTTCCTCAGAGAGTATAGGGGAAGTGGTCCAAAGCGACCCAACTGATTCTAGTAAGGAGCAGTCCCCTGCTACGTCTATCAAAGAATCTCCGAGCCAGCGGCCTGTACGTGGCTTCCAATGGTTCTTAGTCTGCGCGTCTCTCTATATTGGAGCTCTCATCTACGGTCTTGATACCACCATTGCTGCAGACATTCAAGCGGCTATTGTGGAACAATTCGATGATTTTGAACGTCTCACTTGGGTCGGTACGGCATTTCCTCTTGGATCAGTCTGCGCTATTCTACCCATGTAAGGTGCTACCCTTTCCTTGGTTGGACATGAAACTCATTTATCTCCTTATAGTTCCGCCTTGTTCAACAACTTCAACCTCAAGCCTCTTTTCATCGGAAGTATATTGCTTTTCGAAATTGGTTCTGCAGTCTGCGGTGCTGCACCAAGCATGGATGCACTGATTGTGGGCAGAGCAATTGCTGGTGTAGGCGGCGCTGGCATCTTTCTTGGGTAGGTTAATAAGAAAACGCATTATGTCAGATCTCTGCTAACATGCATCGTACTAAGTATTCTCAACTATTTCTCCCTCTGCACTTCCGAAAAAGAACGTGGTCGCTATATCTCAGGAACTGGTGTGGTCTGGGGAACGGGTGCTGTCCTGGGCCCCGTCGTAGGAGGCGCATTCTCTACGTCCTCTGCGACATGGAGATGGGCATTCTATATCAATCTGTGAGTTCATCCAGGTCAATAATGCAGTTTTGTAAACTGAGATTTGCAGTGTCGTTGCGGCCGTATGTGCACCAGCGTACATCTTCTATCTCCCTCCAGTAAAGCCACCCGGCGCATCAAACACCTCTGTTTTCTCAAGGCTCAAAGCTCTGGACTGGGTGGGCTTTATTGGAGGCACTGGAGCATTGGTATCATTCGTGATGGCTTTGACTTTTGCAGGCTCGATTTGGGCCTGGAATGACGGCCGTACAATTTCGACTTTTGTAGTCGCTGGTGTGCTTCTCATCTTCGTGCTTCTCCAGCAATACTTTGTTATATTTACCACCCGCCCAGCCCGCATGTTTCCACCACGCGATATACTCGGAAACAAAGAACTCATACTATTGAACATTGTTACTGCGGCGGGCGCGACTAACATCTACGTGCCGGTTTACTACATTCCTGTCTATTGCTCCTTCGTGCATGGAGACAGTGCCCTCATGGCTGCTGTCCGCTTACTTCCATATATTTGCTTCCTTGCATCTATGAATATGTTTTCAGGTGCCCTCCTTCCACGTATCAGCTATTAGTAAGTGTTGTCACACCTTGCGATCTGTGTCTCCACATGCTAATGTCTGTTAGCTGGGCATTGTACTTATTTGGCGGTATCCTCATGTTGACCGGCAGCGCCGCTATGTACACTATCAACATTGATACCGACATGTCAAATGTCTACGGATACAGCGTTCTTCTTGGAGCTGGCACCGGCTTGATATTCCAGGCTGGTTACACCGTGGGTGGCGTCAAGACCATGATGAGAACTGGCTCGGGTGCAGATGTGCAGCGTGTCATTTCGATGCTCAACCTGTCCCAACTTGGCTTTCAGATGGGTAGCTTGCTCATCGGTGGTCAGATATTTCAGAGTTTGGCGATGAAAAATCTTACTCGCGTCCTGAATGGTCAAGGCTTCTCTCAAGAACAAATCAGGGGCGCGGTTGCAGGCACTGCGAGCACCCTTTTTGGCTTGCTGAGCCCTGACTTGAAGCAAGCAGCTATCTCAGCTATTGTTGATGCTATTAGCAAAGTTTACATTATCAGTGTTGCGGCCGGCGCGATCACGATTGTTTGTGCAGTGGTTATGAAAAAGGAGAGGCTCTTCCCCAAGGAGGCAGCACCCAACATGGTCCTTGCAGGCGGAGTTTGAGGCTTTCTACTGGGATAAACCATGCCTCTGTCATTATCCACTGCTCACTCTTTAATTTTTAGACCAAGGCTTGGCTATAGCCTACACGCTTTTGCTCGATATTACTCGTTGTGTTCGTGTTTGAAATAGAGAATGTTGTTCAGATTTATAGAATATTTTTTCTATAGCTTCGTTAATTCAAATAGAAAAATCTCAGCCTCTCTGTACCAATACTGATGCATTCTCCCTTCTATATAAATACTTTTGAAAATAGAGTAAGAATACAGAAACCAGACATCTCAGTACCAGTATGCTGCATTAACAAGTCGCTGCTTTCCTATAACTACTTTCTGTGCTCTTAATAGCGGTTTCTACATTTGAGCTGTCCTGCTACTTTACCCGCAACACAGCATGTAAATCATTGACAATATTAGATCTGGTAGAGTTAGGACTAGGTAGGGCTCCTTTGCAATCAGATCCGCGAATAGTGGTGTGGTTCACATTGCAGAAAAATATATTTAGTACTGAGTCATTTAAGTCTATATATGTATTCTTTTTTTGGGCTAAAATCAGATCTAGTGGGCTACTCATCCGAATCGCTATCAAGATCCCTTTTGCCAATTGCAAAAGATGAGATCAACATCACTCCTCCAACAGCGGTGTAGAATATCCACATAGTCTTCAATCCATCAACAATACCATCCCCAAGCCCTTCATCCTCAGTTCTCGCACCCGAACCCAAGCTCGATCCATCGCTAAGATACGATGCTTCATCACTACTCAACCCATGCTGCAAAATAACGCCACCGACAACGAGCGACAGCGCCGTGGATAGATTCCTCAAGAATGTGAAAGCAGCTATGGCTGCCGCAAGGAGATCCTCCTTTCCTATCAGCTGGCTTTGGAAAGCAATCATGGGTGCTTGGAATAATGGTCCAGCACCGAGACCTGCGATTATTTGATAGATAACTATCTTGGTAATCATGCGACTCGGGCCAAAGTCAATGAACAGACCTGTCCCTAAGACCATGATACTTGCTCCAATCCAGATAACTGGTCGATACGCGCCAGTACGCTTTACGACAAACCCACTGCTGAGAGTCATCGCAGACAGGGGCAACACAAGGGCAAGCGTATAAAGTCCAGACTGGATCGGAGTAACGCCGAGAACGGTCTGAAAATACAATGGGTTGAAGTAGTCGTAGGCAATGAATATGAAGCTATGACAGAAGGCAGTACAGAGACATGCCAGTATAGATCTATCCTTCAACACTCGGATTGGCACAATAGGATTTTTTGCGTAGAATATTTCGTATAAACCAAAAATGGAGAGGATCACTATCCCAGAGATGAGCAGTCCAAGTGTATATGCAGAATCCCACGGATGTTGTTTACTAGCACCGATTTCTAATCCGTAGAGAAAACAGATTGTGCCGCCAACGATGAGGATAGATCCGAGCCAGTCGAATGAGAAAAGTAAGGTTTGCCACGGTTGTTTCTCTTTCTTGGCTGGGAGCTTCAGGGCGAGAAATAGGAAGATGAGCGACAATCCATCGAATGGAAGGTTTATGTAAACTAACTTGTTACTATGGTAGTCGTCACAAAGGATAGAGAGAACAAACTTACAGCACCATCTCCAACCTATTGTCTGTGTAAAAACACCCCCCAGCATGGGACCGACACCACTGGATATCGCCCATACAATACCAGTCAAAGCGTAATATTTTGCTCTTTCTCTTAACGGAAATAAGTCACCAATGACTATAGTCACAACTACCGATATGCCACCACTACCCAAACCTTGCGCAACACGACCTCCGATCATCATTCCGGGCGAGATACTCAGAGCACATATTAGACTTCCGACCAGAAAAACGACATTCGTTACCATCAGAATCTCTTTTCGGCCACAGATATCAGATATTCTAGCCCATAATGGGGTCGATGCCGTGCTGGCAAGGGTATAGGCACTGCCTACCCATGTGTACTGTGATGTGGTGGCATTGAGATGCGTAGCGATAGTCGGTAAGGCAGTTGCGACAACGGTAACATTGATAGCAGATAAGAATAGAGTAAGCAAAAGAGATATTATCACAAGATATAATCGTACTCCAGCTGGTTTTGCAACGCATTCACTGGAGGCACTGTCGACGATAGTTCCTGTCACGCTTGGTGATCGTCCTTTGACTTCCTCCATTTGTTTGATCTCTGAGACGCAAGAAGTATGGGGGAAAAATATTTGGGAAAAGATAAGACTAAGCTACAAACTTTCAGAAGTACGAACTAGCGCATAGGGGGATCACCAGAAAAAATGGCAAAAAATGACATTACCATTTAAGGAAAGGAGGGGATATCGGAATGTGGTCGGACCCAATCGGTGGTGCTGCTCGGCGGCGTCGGCCCCATCTTCGGGGGAGAGTTAGGGCTAGACTTTTGGTCTGTAATATTCTTGTATATGTGTAAGAATAATTGGTGTATTTATTTTGTAAAATTACTTCTTCTGCTGATTGTACTTTATCATTCACGAGGCTACAGCTGGTCTGATAGCTAGTGTGGAGTAAATTGAGTCATGTTATTGTCATGTGGAGGTGGCTACATATATTTTACATTTATACTTCCGAGTCGCTAGAATGACGTTTTGACCCTGCTAGTTGTTACTAGGCATATCATCCAAATTGACAAAAACGATGTGAATCAGGTGTGGGCATTAGAAATAACTTCACTCTGAGAATCGAAGTATAGCATCCACTCCCACAGGTCTTCGACATTATAGCCATCAAACGGATATTGATTGTCTTCCTGTAGTGGCTCCTGTTGCCAATTATATCTTTCCATATTTGCTGGCAGATTATCATGCTGGCTATCCGGTACTCCATCCAAATGATTGTATTGGGACAGTGTTGCTGTGTCAGGTACAATGCCTTCATATGTTTGAAGTGGCCTTGTATCGATTACGCCTCCATCATCAGGATGATGGCGTTTGTTTGCATTATGAGGTGTATTGTGTGTATTTTGGGAAATAGAGGGATCTTGGTTTGGACTGATGACGAAGCTGTTTTGTACAGTGCTCGACTTTTCTGTGTGGTTTCGTAGGTCACCTGACACATAAGGGCCAGTATTTGCACGGTTCTGAGGTGTATTTGGTGCTTTAGTTGCTCTTTGGGAGTCTACGTATCCACTGACACGCTCATATATAGTTGATAAACCTGGGGAATATTAGTTTTGCTCAGTAATGACATGATAGAAACAATGTAGTACCTTCGATAAAGCGGATATCTTGACCACAATCCGTCCATTTTTCATTGCAAAGTTCGAGACAAATCTTCAAAAGCTATTTATAAGTCAGTATGGATCGATATAGACGTCAAATAATGACCTTGAAATCTTACTTGTAAATCAGTCGACTGCATTCTGCTATCAGGATGCTTGATCAAATAGATAGCCAAAACGATACACGCTAGCAATGGAACGCCAGTAGGTATCAATCTCGTCTCCGTCTTCTGATCCGACAGCTCGATGCTTAACTTCACAATGGCTCTTGCGCTATTTACACATATCGACTCCCCACCGAGTATTCGGAACCGAGATGGGTCATCTGGACCCTCCTTCTCGACTTCGGCTTCGAAACTTGCATTAGGCGCAATGAGAGCTGCCCTGTGCAAAGTTATCATGGCTTCATGATACATCATAGACAATAAGGCTGCGAGATGAAAGACTCCACGGGGACAGAATATATCATTTCCCGGTCGCATCTGAGGAGGAATTCCATTCACCCAGTCCAATAGACATTTGTCAAGTCGCGCTGTATCGAGGAGAATCTCTCGTGCCCGGCGTTTTCGTAAAGTGTGGCCGTAAATATGTTGCCCAATCTGATTTTGATATACAGCAAGTCCTAGTTGCCAGCGAAGTAGTTGACCGTCATCCTGTTCATGAAGATGCGGAGGGAGAATATCGTCGCATGTGAAGGAATACGGAATCGCAGTTGGTCGTCCAGATTCAAGCTCCATACACTTTTCTAGAATGCAGCATATTGCCCATATTCTACCCTCGTGCGTATACTTTTGTATGTATTGCACATCTCCGGTGCAAGGGGCACTATCGGCTGCTCTTCGATGGATTCCGGTCGTATGGGCAATGCGAATAGCCATTCCTAGATACTGCCATCCCAATCCTTCTTGGTTCCGCCCACGGTAAGCAATAGTGAACATAAGCATTGCCTGCACTGCAGGAAGATAGGGCACCGACGTCACGTGTCCTATAAGACTTGAGGCTGCTTGGAGATATACTGTTCCATCGGAAGTAACTCCACGAGCTTCTTCATCTGCGCCGATACTGACTGCTAGATAAACACTTGCAAGCCAGGGTATTTGGTCCCGTGGTAAAGCTTTCAAATCACTTCCCATTCCCACTATCTGGTTGACGAGTAGATGAAAGGATTCGACGTTGAAAAGCGGATACAAGGGATGTATTCGGTCGAAAAATGTCGTTAAATATCCATGAAGACGAGTCCGGTCTGGTAATTGCGGTAATGAGACTTCCAAAGGGATGTCGAATTCTTCCGCGTATTTCATGCCATATTTAAATAATCCGGAAATTGGTTTTCGGTGCACTGATTTGAGGTATACATCCAACGATTTTGCCAAACATTGTGAACTGCTTCCACCAACAATTTTCGTGCGATTTAATTCTGGGTCGGTGTTCGAACTGACATGGAATGGTTGATGTACGGGGGATTCGTGCAGATTCGTATGGCCGGACTGGTCATTCTGTGCTTTGGCTGCTATAGAGTGTTCTATCCGTGGCTCTGAAATCTGCGTTTGTTGAAATAATTGTTGTTGTAGAGAGGGCGTAGGACTGGCGTATACATTAGGTTTATTTGTGTCAGATTTGTTGGGTATCTTCTCAGTCACAATCCACTCGCGTACAACAGGCTCTCCGGGACGTCGCGGATCACTTGTAGCACACTCTTCATCGCGAACTCGACAATTGCGACATCGCGGATAATCCGCATCGCATTTCACTTTTCGTAGTCGGCAACTGTTGCATGCCATAGATAGGCGTTTCTTCATTGGCCGGGGATCCATGACGGGTTCAACGAAATTGCGAAGCACTATTTGGGATTTCCTTCATTAACCCATCGCATTATCATTCGATCTCCATGTTAAACCAGGTGTGTTGACTTTCTGGCTGCCGAAAGAGCTGCTGGTAATCGAAGATACTGAAAGTATCTCGTGGACCATAACAACTGGGAGTTGCACACCCCACGGGGAACAGACTGTGGAGACTCTCCATCCCGACCAATCGCCAAACCCATATTGACAATCTCCAAACGACCCCCCAACTGAAGGGCGGACACTTGGCCGTACCAAGGAAAAGTGCGGAATCAATTCCAGGTGGCTTAAAAGTTGTGAATATACCTAACACAAGTGAGTATTCGGCAGTCATAACCGGCAGTTGTTCAGTCATTTGTGTCCAAATGACCAAAATAGGCGACCCTAGGGATGGGTTTCAATAACCCCTACTTCCTCTGAAGGGGCAGTCCTCTGCGCTTTATAATTAAGATTGAACGCAGTATCAAGCCATAGACCGAGAATATGTTTCTATTCTTAACAGCATCTGCGAGCAATTCGTGTCACTCGGTGACTTTCACCGTACACTCGGGGCTTCGGCGGCCTGCCGAAAGGATAACGACCCAGTAGTTAGCGATATAATTGTGCCTCTTATTATATCAATAGCAGTATAGTGCGGTATCCTGTATCTTATGGCAATAGACATAGGCAGGCTCATTCAGAATTTGGAAGAGATACGCCGGAATTAATGACTTGAGACAATACAGACATGCCTCAATGCCACAAACTATCATGGCCAGTTTGACCGTTACTATCTACGTGACTTCGGTCACTGTTCTTTCTCTTTACGTACCTTACTGTCAGTCACATACAATGTCTCGAAAATTGTATCTGGGCAGGTGTGTAACTTACAAAATTTTGCAATTCACTGAGTACTGACCCCAAATATAGGAAGTATCCGGCGATTGGTCCCTTTTTTCATCTATACTGAGCTGATCGACTGGATTACTACGGATTTGACCTGGGCATGCGTAGATACTGAGAGCTGTACTTTGAATTTTCATTGCTCGTACAATCATAGGTCTTGGGTTTCTCATTTGATTTCTTTTTTTGTGGAGTTTTTTCTTTTATCATTCATTTTGCTGGATATTCGATGCACATAGATGTCTCTTATTACACAATCATTATGGTAGAATGTAGTTATTTGAAAAGTATGGTCACATCACTAGCGTTGGCTCGTGTTTAAATGTGTTACAGGTCTAAAATCTAGGTCATTTTCACATCTAAATTAAAGTGGTTTGACAAGTAACCCAACGTTGTCGTCTAAAATATAGTATTCAGGTCAACTAGTAGTGACTATAAATTCCATACTAACAAACACAGTGTCATGAGATCTAATCTTCCACTCACTGTTTGATGAACGGAAGAATAATCGAGCTCGGATATTCTTTTCCAATATGAATTGTATGCAGTCCTTTGTTCAACTCATGCTCCGGTCGAGGCTGCGAGAAACTCTTGAACTCTGCAATACTAGGATATTGTCCGGAAACCTATCTTTGGTCAGTACATATTTGTGAGAGATGATTGTGGACAGCGCAACGGTACCTGTAATGATATGGTCTCTCCCTCCTCAAAGTCGTAACCCATAGCCCATATGCCAATTTCCAATTTCACAATCTCTCCTGGCTTCACCTTCTCCTGCTTCGTGTGCGGATGGAATGGGAATTGAGGATGGATGCTCTTGCCAGAGTCATAAGCACGATGCGATGCACGTAATATACCAGTTGAGCCCAGGTGAAGGTTTGTGCTTTGTTGTTCCTTCTCAGGTATCTCCTCGATAGACTTAACGGGAGTGGCTTCAATGGGGAAGTTCAAATGCATGAGCAGCTTTCCATGACGATCTCGCTTCCGGAGAATCACGAAAACCGTGAAGTCATCTTGCTGATCATTGGAGACATATAGAATTGCCTTGGGAAGACCAATGAGTTGTGTTGCTTTGTCGAAAGTATAAGAGAACTCGGCGATGGACTCTCGTTGCTCAGAGTTGTATGACACAGTCTCGACGTCGATATTAGAGGGAGCATTTGTCTTCAAAAGACCATCTTTCGCAAGATACAGTTCGCGGTACTCTGTGTTAGGAGCTGGGAAATCCTCGAGGATAATATCGTCGATAGCCGCACGGTTGCCGAACCGGAGTGCTGACCAGCGTACTTTGGGAGTCTTCTCCCAACCATTGCCTTCCTCTCCTCGCAAGTATCGATCGAAGAACAAAAACAGTTCTTTCTCCGATTCGGGCTCACTGTAAAGCTCGTACCATTCTTGCTTGCTTCCCCAGCGAATCCATTTGTTGTCATGGGGTAGTTCCAGCCATGCACGAACACTTCCCATTGTGTGGATGGATGAGATGTCGCTTCCTCGAATGTAGACGGGGCACTGAATCTTTGTCATATCGGCACGCTTATCCTCCCAGAACGCATTCGACACATTCGAACGACGGTACATTTCCTCGAAGTCTTCCAATCCGGAGTTGACCTGCCCGCGAACAATAGCGTTTGCAATAAGATCGAAGTTGCTCATGAAGAACCAACCACCACGACAGAACTGCTCTCGGTAGATATCTCCGGATCCTTCCCAGGGAGCAATGGCCTTCAGTGAAGGTGGCTGCTGAGCGGCGATGAACCATTGAGAGATAGCCAACGCCGAATTACCGGCCATTCCAATGCTACCATTACACCAGTCCATTTTAGCTACCGCTTCAACCACATCGTATCCATCTTCTGCGTCCTGTGTGCCCATGACACCGATCTGGCCATCGCTATGTCCTGCACCTCGTGTGTCAACACTAATGATTGCATATCCCCTCGGGCACCACGTTTGGGGATCGAGACCCTCAAACTTCTCGATACCACTAAGGTCTTCACGCGGAACACAGCATTTCCACACAGTCATAGGGAGCATTTCCAAAGCACTATATTTCTTGCCATAAAATGACCAACTGAGGACGGCAGGCACTTTCTCCGTTGAGTTTGCGGGTCGATAAATGTCGATATAGAGTCTCGCACCGTCGCGGACTACGATTTCAACATCGTGCTCAACTATAATGTCGCTTTTAAGGGGTTTTGCGTTGAAACCATTCCAGCCTTTGGGTAGGACTTCAGTTTTGCCGGGTTGAAAGCCCACATAGCCGTTTTCACCAACGGTGGGTTGTTTGACACGCTTATACGCGATCTGGAGAGGAATGGGAGGCATCGTAGATGATTTGACTTGGTTTGAAATTCAAGATGTAAAATATTTTGATGCTAACTGCTCAGAAAAGCTCAAATAATATTTAATATTTATTTTGAACCGATACCACTTCGGACAAGAATTATACCGTCAGAGATGTACAGTGCCCCTCCAAAAAAAGTCAAGCACATGCTCCGAACCAAGTTCTTCATTTCAGTCCCCTCTTCGGTATCAAGACGAACTCAATAGTAATATTCTCCGCATTCTTCCAAAAAAATGTCCGGTTGATGCATGGAAAGTGGGGACGTTGGAGGAGAAGCTCAAAGTTTCAATGAGCCGAGACCGATTTTAGGGCACGCTAAGAGGCCGAGCAAGAGCCCCGAAAGTCAGCCCCGAAGCTTCTAGCAAATCAGTGGCCGTCGGTGCCTTGATGGCTCTTCGGGCGCTCACCGAGGGTTCTCGGCCGCTAACAAATCAACGTGAATCGCCGAGGCAACATTACAGTCATTACTGGAATCAGCTGAGAAGATCTTAACGAATATGGTAAGGACCTTTAGGTAGACAGCTTTGATGTTGCTTATTTTTAATATTCACATTTCCTTCCTCAATTGAACGATTTGAATTTTCAAACTCCCTCTTTGAAATCACCTCTTGAATTATCAATCTAAGCAAACATCAAAATGTCCCTCACAGAAACCGAGATTCAGGCCAAGGCCGCTCTGCAAAAGTCTCTGCGTGAATCTGAAGATCTCATTCATTTTGAGCCGAGAGTTTACGGCGATTGGCGCGATGAGTTCCATGAGAATGGTTGTGTTGTGATCAAAAATGTCATCAGCAAGGAAAAGGCCAAGTACTACTGCGATAAGCAGATCGAATGGCTCCACAAGTTTGACCTGGGATTCGACGAGAATGACGAGAGCACATGGACAGCTGAGCATTTACCGGTTAATTTCAAGGGAGGGTGAGTCAGGACATAAATAAAGACAAAGCAGCGAACGCCACTAACCGTGCATAGAATGTACTACGCCTATGCCGCACCACATGAAAAAATGGCATGGGAAGCCCGCATGGAMCCTGCCGTTATCGAAATCTTCGAGAAGCTATGGGAAACTAAGGAACTAATTTCATCATTCGATGGCTTGAACGTTTCCTTGCCCCGACGGAAAGATCTGACGGGGACCCCTTGGCCACACTGCGACCAGAACCAAGCTCGTAAGGGCATGCAGGCCGTTCAAGGTTTACTCAACTTTGCGCCAAACGGTCCCAAGGACGGAGGCTTAGTCTTGATGAAAGGCTCTGCGAAGTTGTTCAATGAATACTTCTCTCAGGACAGGGAGTCTTATGCACACGAAGATGCTCCCCCACCAGAGCTGAAGTACCAGGATCTGTTCTTATTCGACCCGAAAGACCTCAAGTGGTTTGAAGACCGTGGCTGTGAGCTGGTCAAGATTAACATGGAACCCGGTGACTTTGTTCTCTGGGACTCCCGTACCATTCACTATGCTGAGTTGCCTCAAGGCAACCAGATCCGACATGTTCAGTATATTTGCATGACGCCTCGTCGATTCGCGACTGAAGAAGCGCTGGAGTTGAAGAAGCAATGTTTTAACAGCTGGATGGGTACTACCCACTGGCCACACTGGTACGTGTATGGCTTTATTGAATACGAACATTGGACTAATTGAGACCATAGCAATATCCGCCCATCAGCTGAGAAGCCTATGCGAAACGGCAAAGTTTGCCCCAAATACCGCACAGAACCATTCGAGAAGCCTGAGCTTACGGACCGTCTGCTGCAGTTGGCTGGAGTGAAGGGTTACGATTAATCTTCACGTGGAAGAAGCATATTAACTTGTCATCAACTGTATCTATTTGAGCTCAAGAATGAACTAGAAATGTATCAATTCGTTATCAAAAACCTTCGTTTTATTTACATTAAAATTGTGTATTGATACAGTGCGCAGACTTTGCGTGCTGCGATTCCTATCTCAAACAAGATTTCTTGCCATAATCGCACGGGGAGGGTTTGGCTGCCACAGTCCAGTTACTTCACTGAGAGGAAGTTCAACCGCCTGATTTCCCCCACATTCCGTTCATCCTCCGGACGGTGCTTACGGACTACCCCGTTCCCAAACAAAATTGAGGCGTTCTACCCCGCGGTGTCACCTTGCCGTGAATCTGTGGGGAGCGCTAGACATCTCGGGGCTTGCTACACTAGCCACCGAAATGAACCTTCGGACAGTGACCGAGCACAATCCACGGTTCCCCAGCGAACCCCGTAAACGCTCGGGCTCTTTGCCCCATGACTTTGTACCAGCGACCCCAGAGTCTATTTTGCCTCCCCATCTTGGAGAAGCTTTCGGCGCTTCTCTCTTGGTGAGAAGGGATTTGTGACTCCGTACGCGTGTGCGTGCGGACACTACGAGCAGTGCGTATATGCGTGTGGACACTACGAGCAGTGCGTATATGGCTACTTGACTATATCAGCAATTCCAATATATAAAGAGCAACATCTTGGCCAGCTAATTGACCATTATCTCGCGCATACTACGCGGATTACACAGGCGGGAAACTACCAGGTTTCTCGCAGCCACTCTTATATCTACTCTTTATCACTCAACCCGCTTGGGACTTCATCATGACAGACATCAAGCCAGCCGACAAAATGTCATCTCTCCATGTCGAGGAGGCAGAGGCCGCCTTGGGCACGGAGGTTGAGATTGTCCAAGTGCATACCATGGGTACAGTGAAGTTGACTGAAGGGGAAATTGTCTACATCCCGACACCGACAGCAGATCCTCAGGGTAAGTACAGCTCTTTCCGGCAGTAATGGCGTCTACTAATTACACTGTAGATCCATTGAACCTGCCTATGTGGCAGAAATGTGTCATTCTTGGTATTATATCTGTTTGTATGTAACCTTCTGGCCCGTATCCAAGACAATGCTAATATCTGTCAGTCTCAACCCTCGGTCTCTCGCTCGTCTCCGGATTCGGTGGTCTACTAGGCTTCTACATCCCCCAATATGTTGCAGCAGGCAAGGATTACAACGATATCACCAAATTGATGACATATCCATCATTGTTTATGTACGATAAAAATATCCATACTCTACACCTCGACTTTCTGACAAATGAAAAGGGGAATCGGCAACATTATCGGTATGCCTCTCGCCATCGGAGTAGGCAGACGCGTCGTATTTCTCGCCTCAACGGTGATCCTCGTCGTAGGCGCAGCTCTCTGTGCAGCTGGCAGTAGCTACGAATGGCAACTTGGATTTCGAATGGTTATTGGATTGGCAGCAGGACAAAGCGAGTCAGTTGTGCCTATGGTGTCTCAAGAAATATTTTTCCTCCATGAGAGGAGTACAGCTATTACTGTCCAGCTAGCATTTCAGGCCATCTTGACATGTATATGGGTGCTCTTTGCTAGTCCCATTGCAGGTGCCATCACGCCGCAGTGGTGGTACGGCCTGGGTGCCATCCTGAGCGGCGTACAGTTGATTCTTACATTTTTCTTTCTACCGGAAACCAAGTACAATCGACCTTTGTCTTCTTATCAAGAAGGTTCATCCACGGAAGACTCCTCTGCTGAGAATCCCGAGGGCACATCTGATAAAAAAGAGGTGCCAGTCTACACAAGCCGACCTCCTCTGGATTATGTCAATTATAAGCCACGAACATGGAAGTCGGATCTGCGCCTGTGGATTGGAAGCCCTGACTGGGCTGCAACCTGGAACGTGCTCCGGGTACGTAGCTTGTCTTTTCCTATTMATGGTTATCACTAACAGGAATTCATAGCAAACCGGTGAACTTCTTCTCTTCCCCAATGTCATCTGGGCACTGCTGGTCAATGGTCTTACTCTCGGGACTAATGTCGCTATTGGAACAACATACGGAACCATCATTACAGGTGCGCCATACAACTGGCCAAACAACAGCGCATCCTACGCCAATATCGGCCAAATTGTCACTGCCCTCGTGGCACTACCACTCCTAGGTCAAGGCTCGGATTGGCTCATCAAGCGCATGGCGAAAAGGAACGGCGGTCTACATGAGCCCGAAGTTCGCTTGATCCCTTTGATCATTCCCATCATTGTCGGCACATTTACTGCTGTCTTGTATGGTCAGGGAGCGGCTCATCCCGAAAAATACCATTGGTTCGTTTATGTATGGGCCGTCGCAGCGTACTATTTTGCGTTTGTCGGTGCAAATATCGCTGCTGTTACGTACTTGTTGGACAGTTATCCAGCTCGTGCAGGTCCGTTGTTGGTCATTGTATGTGCTTTTAGGGGTATCATTTCGTTCGGAACAAGCTACGGAACTGCCCCATTCATTGCTAGTCATGGATATGATGGAACTTTTGGAACTTTTGGTGCGCTCACGGCTGCTATGGGCTTATTGGGCATTCCGATTTACATCTGGGGCAAGAAGATTCGTCACGTAACTGGTCGGTACGCCAGGGACTGATCAAAACAATTGGGTGAACCACGGACAGGCATTACTTTATCCAGGAATTCCTGTGTTGGATCGCCCATTGGGAAGTTTACATGAGATCCTTGACTGTCTTTAGTCAGCCCTTTCTGATATTTGTTCTTACGGTAATCCATGGAAATCAACTATTAACTACTATAATTCAAGGCATATTCCTAAAGGCATGTAGAAACGATCCTATGATTAACTTATCTCGTACCTACGGTAGCCATATATCATCTATTCAAACAGTTATTGACAGCACAAAATGCACATCCTACTTATATTCGACTTTTCCATATCCACTCTAGCGAAACGGAAATTCATCGAAATTTCTCTCCTTAAATATATGAACATTGGACTTATTCACGCGCAGTACAAAAATTATTGCTGTTCAAAAGAACTAAGCCTCAGGGTTGATTCAGTTGAGGTTCGTCGGCTTTGCTACGCTATGTTTTCTATGAAATTTCTTCGGATAGCTTTAACCTTGGATAGAAGCTCTCTCAAGCAATGTCTTGGGTAAATTCGTCCTATTCTCCCAAAGTCTGACGCGTCCAAAGGAAGGAATACGTGGGAGGAATTCGGGATAACTTTTTACCTTGTCTCGTCGCGTTATGTCTTGTTTGCCTTCAAGCTAGCCTCGTCACAACTAACTTGCTACGTAACTCTCTTCTGGATCCTCTTGGGATTATGACAGGGGTTCGACTCGCTTACATGCTACATGAGTTGATGACGTGGCTGACTCTAGCCGAGAAAGAGGGAACATGGCCAGATCGTATTTAATCAGGCATGACAATCTCTAGCTCGTGGTTGTGTAACAAAATGCACGAACTGTCACATAGCAGGACAGATATTCGACACAAATCAGCAAGATGGGTTTGTGATGCGTCGTCAGCTTTGACAATACTTAATATACTCTACTATTTTCATTTATATTCTTTTGTCTAGGGAATCGATCATTCGGCTCGAGGAGGTGGTATATTTCAGATTACTGAGTATATTCACCACCTAAGTTCGAAACAACATCCAATGGATGGCACAACATCAAAAATGAGCTATCACAAGCCCCTCCCGTGATGGAGCTCAGTTCCCCGGAGATCATATTTGCTTTTTAAGCACGCTAAATTTGATGCAGGGATTATCTGACCGGAAATGAGGATTTGATTGGAAGACTGACTTGTCCGGTCGGAGCTGAGAACAAATGCAGCTGCACTTGCGGTTCGTGAGCGSGGGTGATAGATGGASGAGCCGCAGGTCTCAGCTAGCCACATGGATAACTTTGATGCAACCCCTTGAGTACTTGAACATTCTCCTGATCGGGCTTTTGGCATTCAATCCACTACCTTTCATATGATCTAAAATCTTGCGCCCAAGTCTCTGCCTAGTAGCGGTCTACACGAAGTTCTCGTCCGCGAACATTGACAAATCTGGCAGTGTTGATCAGTGGAGTTATTAGATACTGCAAACAGATCAATGGAACGACTTGGAACTGGTGTTACAACCGACTGCACAAGCATCACAGAGATCTACAGTCAAAAGAAGTGACGGGGGAGGAAAACTTGGCAGAAAGCTTTGTCGGCGGTCTTGACTTGCAATATAACTGGACATTGACCTCGCCGGCAACGTAATGGACTTCAAGATAGTGGCGTTGTTGAGCAAAATATGAGAGCACATGTCTTGAATCGGAGATCATGTCTCCGTGCGTGCCGTCGTGGTGAGATTTTCAGCTTTCTGGCTTTGGAATTGTCTCATGAACCACGTCACGAACGTCTAGTGAGTATGATTGCTCAAAGGTATAAGTATCTGATTCCAACCCAACTTTGATCTTTCATTACAGCAACACAATCTCCTAATTTTAATTGATCAAGCTTTATAATTTCACATCCTATTTCTCTCTTCGAGGCCAGCCAACATGGTTCGCCTGAATTTCTTGATTTTGGGGKTTTTAGCCATCCAGGTGGCGTCGGTACCATCCATATGCGGAACCGAAGAAGAATGCAACCAAGCCTGCGCCGACGAGTGGCAGGATCCTGGTTACAAGTGCGAGCGGTACAGCCAGAAGCAACAAGCCTGCGAAGGTTGCGTGGTGTTTCGATGCATGACCAAGTCTCAAGTCCAATACCGAAACCCTCTCAATGGCAAATTAGCCTGCTGTCCGGCAGACCACCATTGGGAGTTTAACAAAGACGTGAATAAGGGTAAATGCTGCCACAACAGCAAGTATCTCAGCGTGGAACCCAAGTCAAAGACTGTGGACTGCTGCCCGGCGGGTGATAACCCCCCTCACAAACTCTTCGTCGACCCGGTCACTGGTGATTCTTCATGCTGCGAATCCAGTGCCATTGAATACAAGGAAGGCAAATGTATCATGGCTCCGCCGAAGCCCCCGCCACATGACGACCGTGATCCCCGAAAACCCGGCCAGCCTGACCAAATTCCCGTCCCGCCTGCACCCCAGCCTCCAACTCCACCTGCCGACCAGTGTGGTCATCAAGTCTGCCCACCTGACGAATATGATATGGGTGTGGAGTATGGCAAGTGTTACCGATTGATCAGTGTGGCTACGGGCTCCCCCATCAGCATGTACAGGAACGAGAAGTCGTATACCTTCGGCCCTAGAGATCCGAAAGATGTGACTTGGCACTTCCGTTTATGTCGCAGCACCACAGATTGCACTCCAGGTGGTACGATCAAGGCAGATGAAAAGTTCGTGCTGAACGACGTGATTGGGAAGCCTTGGGATGCCAATCCTGGGCCCTGGTTCTTCTGCCATGGCGTTCACCACTATCCATGCGTGGAGGGAAAAAATGCCAAAGAGTTTAACGCAAAGAAATACTGCACCTCGGAAGGCTGTGGTCTTTGCATTAGTACCGATCCCGATGGCTTGGGTGGTGTCTGTCCCGGCCAGTTGTCCTTGGGCTCTATGACAAACCCTCGCAACTGTATGCCTTTCTTCTTCGAGGAGATGCCTTGCCTTTGGCCCAGCCCATTTCAGCCACAGGTCCAGCCCCCTCCGGTTGTAAAGGAAGCAGTTTCCTTTGCTACTGCCGAGGACGCACCAGAGGCGGATGATAACGGTGAATTTGAGTTCGAGTTCCACGATACTGATGAGCTGTGAACTCTAGAATCCTGGGTAGTGGACATGTCTTTGCCGCCATTTTCTCAGAACAAAATCTCTACCTCAATATCAGTTCATCTTTCATGATTCGGTTTTCAAGAAGGTTGTGGTAGCACAAGGTTCCCAGTTCATAACCTGTTAATCACATGATGTATTCAAGTAGTGTCTCATTACTTCTCTCGGATTAAAAATATACACATAGAAAAACAAAACAACGGGAAAGAATCGAAACAAGTAAATGTAGACGCGGGATGTGATAATGAGATTCTAGGACGCTGCGCATAGTTTCTTATAAAAGTCGCTCTGCTGCTCAGTATCTAGCTCTGTGTGTCTGAGAAGTCCTTGTACCTCGAGACCCCTGTTCACTGAACGTAATGAGTACACGGATTTAGAATTTATTACCATCTTTGGTCATTATGAGTCAAATGCTCGTGTCCTCCTGACACAAAGAAGATGCTTGTACGAGGCTGTGTAGAACCGATCAGCCCATTATATAGATAATATTAAATGTCATATATCTGTTTGTTACGTGTCTGGGTTCGATTAGCCAGCTCGGAATATTTCTTTTCTAAAATATTCAAGGAGACCGTCGAACATGAAACCTTAGTCTCAACATTGAACAATAAGAATAGCAGACATTTCATTTAGCGCTAAGTATATTCCAAGCCATTTCTTCGACTCGAAAGTTGACGAAAATAATCAATATCACCAGTTGTTTCAAAGTTCACTTTCTGTATCTCGCGAATGCTTGAGACAAGGCACAGAGTGCCTAGATCAGGAAGGCAGATATACTACTTAAGCAACCACCTCCTGTGCAGACACCTCTCTGTCAACAATCCTCATTTTGCTGATATCTTCTGCCAATTTATCTCCTCCTGCCTCCTTCGCATCTTCCTCCTTCTGCCTCCTAAGCCACTCTACTGCGCCCCCATAATTACAATTATAATCCATAAACTCACTCGGACTCATCTTGACCTTCACACTCCCTTCCTCCGTAGCCGGCTTCGCAGCCTGTCGACTATACTGTTGAATAGTAGTAGCTCGCTTATACCGACATGCAAAAATCTTCTCATTAACGGCTTTGACCTGCTCCAATCCGCCCTCGTCGATGTTAATATCGGCATAAAAAGCACCAACAGCCTCCGCATCCTCAATCGCCTGACTCGCCCCTTGCCCTTGCGTGGGTAACATCGCATGCGCCGCATCACCAACAAGCACAACCCTGCCCTTCGTCCAAGTCGGCAAGGGGTCAATATCACGAAGTTGCCACAACCCGACCTCTCCATCATTGACGCACGATAATGGTCCACGCGCCCATTCAGGGAAGTCGGAGAATGTTTCCTTCATCTTGGGGATGTCGCCGTGTGTTGTCCAGCTTGTGGTATTGGGGTCTTCGCCGAGGTCTTCATCAGGAACCATAGCGACGATACTATATACTGAACCATTACGGGCTGGGCCCATGATCATTCGCCTGTTGCGCGCCATTACCATTGTCGTGTAAGGAGCACGGGGGTCAACAACTTCGCAAAAAGCCTTGCAGTCTGTCAGGAGTCTGTCGATCGACAAGATCATGCGATACGCCGAGTGGCCAGTCCTTAGAGCCGGAACTTTGGTGTCCAACACAGCGTCTCGAACAACACTCTTAATACCATCCGCACCAACGACCAGATCGGCTTGAAACCTCTCTCCAGTTTGTGTATACACAACCCCCTCGTCACAATCACAACCCGTAACCCTACTTGAAACACGAATCTCAGCGGGTTCACCATCCCACTCCTTCGACGTAGCTCTTTTCTTCAATGCATCATGTAAATCAATCCGATAGTATAGCATCCTCTCCGCACCATACTTCTCCGTCGTCGATAACGGAACCCGCATTTGTAACTCTCCATCAAGGTTGTAGACTTGAAATCCTTCGTCTACCATGGAACCTTTATCCTTCAAGGTTTTGGAGAGGTCCCATTGCTGCTCAACGATTTTGGAGGCGTTGGGTTGCAGCGAGATGGTGGCGCCGATTTCGCGGTTGAGAGATGATTGTTCGAGGATGGTGATTTTGCGGTTTGGGGCGCGTAGGGCGATGGCCTTTCAGATTAGTTTAACTCGATGATGAGGATGCAGGAGTGTTACTTACCGTAGCCAGGCCGGCGATGCCACCTCCTACGATGATGATGCTGAATTGCTTGCTCATTTTGACTCTCGTCTCCTTGGAAATTCTCGGTGTGAATTTTTCATGATTGAGGAGTAATGTTTTTTCTTCTACAATTCTACAACTATCTTGGCTGTCCCCTCCACATACCTGCAACATCCGCAAGATTTCCTATTTCGGCTGCTCTTCTTCCGAGTTCTCCACCTCCACATTCCGATGATTTCAGAAAGATGCCCTTGCGCATGTCACATGGCCTTGAATCTGGGGAAGCATGTTTTAGAACGGTATTATTTAATAGGATGGCCCATAAGATTACTTCTTGATTGAGTACATGCATACGCCGACTAATTGTTCCTCCGGACGACTCCTCGGCCGCTAGACCTCCGAACCAGGCCCTAAACTAGCTCCGAGGAGGCGACCGAGCAGCTTCCGAGTGGGCGCATCAGCCGTACATGCTGTGAACATGACCATACTCATGATCCTCGACTAATCTGAAACAGTGCCCGACATAGCCTCCATATTGTAAAGGCATGTAAGTATCAGCATTTAAATAAGCATCAATCATCAACAAGCCATTCCATCAAGCCAGCATCGAGACAATAGATACATCTGGATATATCAAAATGTCTTCCACCACCACCACAACAACCACCCAAACCACCCTCCAGGGCCCTAAGCTTGGAATGGCCCTCGACGGCCTTCCAACAAACTACAACGACTTTCGCGACCAACTCAACCGCGACGGGTACGCAGTCATTAAAGGCGCAGTTCCGCGTGACCGTGCTGACAGATATGCCGACAAATTTCTGAGTTATCTCGAAGATTTGTACTTTCTCCCCTCACCCTTACTGGAAGACATGCATACTAATGAACTTTGGGGACAGCGGCCTCGGCTTCAAACGCAATGATCCCTCTACAGTGAAACGGGACATGTTACCCGTCCTCAACGAGAAGGGTATGATCCTTGGCTACGGCGTGACGCATGAGCAGTGGGTATGGGACATTCGCGGCGAGCCTGGTGTCATTGATGCGTTTGCAAAAGTGTACGAGGATGAGGATTTGATTGTGTCGTTTGATGTTGTCAACGTCGGATTCGCCAAGTATGTCCCCCCTATCTACCCCAAGGCCTAAATACGTTTTAGGGGCATGGACTAACGGGCCGTTATGTAGTCGCGAAGACCTCCCCGAGAACAAACCCTGGCCACACCAAGATCAAGACCCCGCCAAGCCCGGTTTCCGCTGCCTCCAGGGCCTCGTAAATCTGCACCCTTGCGGCCCCAACGACGGTGGGCTCATAGTCTGCAAAGGAGGCCATATACTGTCTGAACAATTCCATCGTGAGATGGCCAACGAACCACGCATCCCCGCTTGGACACCAGAATGGTTCGGCTTCACCGACAACGGGATGAAATGGCTTKCCGACCACGGCCTAAAATGGGAAAAGGTATGCGCCGAACCAGGTGATTTGATTGTTTGGGATTCGAGGACACCGCATTATAATGTGCCACCGACATCGAAACAAGATCGTTTGGCGGTTTATACGTGTTTTATGCCAGTTAGGGATGTGTCGCAGGAGGATTTGATTAGGAAGAAGGGTGCTTTTGAGAGTATGTTTTTCTTCCCTTCTTTATCATTGATTGATTGGATAGGTGTAGCTAATGAGGTAGAACGATTGGGAACCACACACTGGCCAAACGCAAAGCATGTTGCGCCGACGAATGATGCGACGAGAGATGGAAAGCTGTGCCCTAAGAATCGGTCCGGGCCGGTGGAGGATCCTGTGTTGAATGAGAGGACATTTAAGCTTACTGGTATTCCTTACATCAAGGCGTCTGTTTAATCCATCCTCGAGTAGCCTAGTTGTTCAATTTAATGTATATGCTGAGCTCGATGTTGAGCGTGATATCTTGTACCCAACGTTTAAACTACTTATGTGCCCCTCTCCAGCGAACTCATCCGTCTCCATTATCTTCTGAAAAATCATAAACATTACCGATTCAACTATTCTACCACGTTGCAGGAAATGTCTACAATGTGGTGGCCACTCGTTAATGCCATGTGGCGCATTGCTGCTGTGATATTGCCTTCGTTTGGGACATTTCTGTTCTGAAGCGATGTTGTGATGTGCAGGCATAGCTGTACGAAACCCATCCTCATAAAACTATTTGTCTCCAGGTTGCTACGCACCCGTTCTCTGACGAAAGACGGCCGGTCACAATTCAATTGCACCCAGAAAGGGCCATGCTCGATGTCCTCTGCCAGTAAATCAAATTGATTTCGCTCTGACACAGGAGAGACAATAGCATTCGTGGGCTCAAAACCCCCGATATACCTTAATCATAGGTGCATCCAAACTGTAAGCGTAATGCATTGGTATCCACAATATAACTCTGGCCGCTAAGGTACGAGGGATTGTATAGATTCTAGCAACTTCACGAATTCTGCGAAACTTTCATTTTTCAAGAAAGAAATGATTTTTTCAATCTCTCTCTCTATCTGAGCTTATTTTTGAGCATCTTTCTTTCGAATTGGTGGCAATTTGACGTATTGAAATATGAAGAATCAATATAGAGCTAGAATTAATATGATCCTAGTCCAGCTTATCACAGAAGATATAATTGGATTATGCCAGGGCGTAGTGTAAGTACCTTTCATGAACTTTTCCTTCACATGGTGGCATACGAAGCTCATTCTTCGCTGCAGCTGCATGGCGCTCGTTCCGCCAATGCAAGTACATCTTCTAAATATAGCATCGAAGAAACCTCTTTTGAAACAGCTAGGTCATCACCAGATGGAAATATGTATGACGGCCGTGAATGAACTGCGAAGGACCTACTTTGGCGCAGAAGTAGTATACAGGCTGTTTCTGAATGCACAAAAACAGGTACAGACATCGGATAATGGGTCCGGCGAGAATATTACCTTGCAGCCGCATTTCGATACATCGACGATCTGGCTGACTCAAGAAACGACTGAGGAAATTGACAATTTGAATGACATCGATCCGGTATCCGTCCTGTGGAATTCCTTCTTATGGGAAGAAAGCTATCGTGACGAGAATTTCGCCACTGTCTGCGTCTGATCCCATCATGTTTGAACACTCTATTGAGTATAATTGCAGATTTTGGTGCCGATTGATCTCGATTGGTGATACATGCTGAAACTGGGAGCTTGAGCTGCTCGACTTAAGTCCTTCACCATTTTACGAGATAGATTCAATTTTAATCAAGATCCTCCGTATGTTTAAAACCAACCTGCATGATACGAGGCAGGAATTAGTGCTGTTTAAGAATCTGAAATTCGATGTTATGATACAATATAACACGTTTTGAGATTTTCATTTGATATGGGGAAATTCGGTTACCCCGCGATACCACAGTACCGGGAGGAGAGGCTTGAAAAGAAGTTGCGCTCTTGAGTTCATGCTTTGCATTCCCTTCGATCCCTTATAATATCTATATAGTTATATGAGTAGCTAGCTATATTCTCTAGGTACTAGACCTTAGCATACTATATCATAAAGAGCTTAAAAATAAGAAACTCAATATAAGTAAGAGAGAAGCTACAATAGGGGATTAAACATTTTAGAACTCAGCTCATGAACTGTACTTTGAAAAACGTTTTATATGTGCCCTGTCATATTCAGTGATACTACACAAGAGCCGTCTCGATAGTTTACAACTTCATTGTCTAAGCATTACGTATAATCCTAGACCCTAAGGGCCTAGATGTCAAGTTCTTTATAGGGGATTGGTCGGCGTCTTTGAGAAAGAGTGGCTAGTAAAGTAGATATTAGATTAGTTAGAAAAACTGATCATTGACCATTTCGAAGCAATCATCAAGATATCGATATATATACGTATGTTCGAATAAGCTTTTCGAATATAGGAGTATATTTCCGTATGGTATAACTTTGGAATAGATTTCGTAAGTTTATATACCTGGAACTATCTTCCGTCGGATTTTATATCCGTACGTTTTTGATGAGCATTCGTATTGCGAGGCATATTTCTGTAAGGCGGTGAGCTCAGCCAGCCAATTGGAAGCGCCAAGGCTTACCCTTGCGCCTTATATAAGCGTGCAACCCCAAGTAATGCCCACGGCATTACTTGTGTTACCTTTTAGTATAGAGGGTTGCTGCTAGCTGGTTTACAATTTCGAATGTTCTCTATTTCTTGGCGTTTACCCTAGAGCTTTACCCAAGCTTGTCTTTATCATAACCCATAAGTACCAGCTAATTATTTAAAATTGATGCTTCTAAATATATCTAAAAAGTGATATTAAAATTATATATAGACTAGCTTATAAAGTCTTCTTAGTGTAAAAGTTTACATATAATCACTTTATCTATTTATTTATTATAAATAATATATTTATTTAGAACATAGCATAATAATTCTAAATCTGCTATATCTAGCTTTACTATAAAGAAAAAAGATATAAAAAATACTAAAAATATAGATATCTATATTTAATATCTGTATACCATTTATCTTCCTTATCATTGGTATATTATTCATATCCTCACAGGACTTTTTGTGTGTCCCATACCGAATGCCCACTTCGTGACATACTTCCATTTTGTCTGTAATCGCATGGTTCATACGCCTCCATCACCAAAGTGACCTTTCCTCCTTGGTCGTAGTATATTTTAGCGTCCTGCAGGTTGATTCGTAACAGGATAAATTGTCTTCGCATTTGCGGCGCAGGCATGAGGTAGCATACATTAAATGTATTGCAATGGAGAACCCCTACGAAGTATGAGATTTGATTGACTCTGAATGCTGGACGATGCTCAGTGTCTCCATCCCGGAGACACTTAGGAACTAGGCTAAGATGAGTCACGTCAAGGGTCGCGATAGGACTCCGTGACATGTACGTACTCTCTATGTTACGATATGATATAAGTAACTTCGTAAGTCCGTTCGTATTTGGCCAAGACGGCACTATTCGTACGGCCCGGTTACCCGTGAAATGCGTTAACCCGCCCAACCCAATAGGTGTGGGTTCGGGTTCTTCGGGTGCGCGGGTCGGGTTCTGCCATGTCTATAATCTTAATATCTTTCTATTTATGACTKCCTAGAGGACATACTATTATGAAAAATTGAGTATGAATGTACATTATATTTTTTTCAATTATGTCTAAAAGAAGGATAATAATTAGCAGAGCCCATACATAACACAGCGCAGAAGTATGCGCGCCAATTTAGTAAGGGGGTTTCTAGGCATATCCTTGTATCGAGGAAGGGTTGCCATCCAATGAGAGTAGCTGAGTAGATTCACTGCACCACACCCAGGATGGCTGCAAAGTAAGCCTATCAGGCTCAGCTCAGTATGTTGCCCTTCCAAAAGCGGCAGTAGGTATAAGCAGGGAATCTGCAAGTAAAATAAGGTGGAAAATTTTTGAGGCACCGTGTCGGATGTCCTGCTGTATGAACAAGCGCAACCCAACAGCTGGCCAAAAAATGGCGCTAGAATATGAATATATTCGCCGCGAAGTTGCAAGGTTGAGGGATTTTTGCGATTGGATAAGTTCTACATTGAGTCATTAATATCTGCTAGCTGCAGGGCTATGTCAAGAAGGAGGGCCTATATTGCACCACTAGGAGCGTTGTGACTTTCAGATGAAAGAAGTCATTCTAGAACACCTAGGATGGAACCAACTTCAGGAGAACAGCCGGTCTGAGTGAGCACAAGGAAATCTATCTTGTGGATTATTTTCACTGACTCCATGGAAGGGACTGAAGTCACGCAGTAAAGCCTGTAGGAGCCCACGTGAGTGCGATGAGTGTGTCTTGAGCTATTGGAGACTTAAAGGAAGTTAAAGAACAGCTTTCCCGCAAATATACAAGCTGGATATGGAATGCAGAGAATGCTTTTAATGTCAGTGCATGGAAGTCTGACGCCGACGCTCAGTGTTTCAAACGGACCATATTTTCGATCGTCTCTATAGTCTTGCAAGCCAGAAACAAATGGAAATAGCAAGAAACCCGTGGAAAACTTGGAAAACTTAGTTTCGCAATCTACCGCTGATGGGTTTGAGTGATATAGAGCCTCCTTTAACTCTGGTCGATATACATATGAAATATGTTCTTTGACAACATTCTCCTGCACGTCCTGACATCGACCGCCTACATATAGTATCTACATTTTTGCCTTGATCCCAGCAGACTCTGCAATGCACCGAGGGCAAACACAGATGAATCTGAATTCACTTTCCAAGTAAGCTCTCCTCTCTTTCACGTCCTTATATTTGGGCTCGGCTAAGTCGAAATAAGCTAGTGAGAGCTCTTCGCCTGCAGCGACATTTCTTGATGTACGGAATATCATCCTCCCGTCTTCATCAGGTTGGTGCATTAACTATTACACCGTTTCGTAAGCCTTTGTACTGTGAAACCCAAGAAGCAAAGTAGGATCTTACATTAGGAATGCAAGAATGATTCAGGAATGGTGCCCTGAGATACATTGCATACGCATAGCAGCTCTCACCTCGCTCAGCCTTTGAGGGAATAGGCCAAATGCCAATGAGATTCGGCCACAAGTCGTAATGATTGGTTTCCACTCGACACATCAATATTAACATTTGTTCGGCATCAAGCGAGTGTGCAAGCATTGTGTGCTTTCCCACGAGGTATTTTTCGATTAGTCTTCTCCAGGATTGCAATTTGAGCGGCTGTAATAAATCCTGGTTAGAGCGCAGTCTATCAAATATGTTCCAATCGCTTGCGAAGCTTTCATCTATTTTGGACGCCGCATCGATGGAAGCCTCAGCCTTTGACAGTTCCAAATGCCGCTGCGCGAGAATCCGCACTATGAGCCAGAGTATGTAGAAGTCTTCTTCAATAATCTCTTGACGAATAGATTTTGCATGAGCCTTCAACCAAGGGCATTCAAATTCATGTTCTGCCTTGCCTAAATCCCGACACTGAGAATTGCACCATACGACATCTGGTGAGCAATCATGGACGCACTTGGTGGTAATCGTGCTTTGAACGACTTTTCGACTGCATTGTAATCTGCTGCAGAGTGGGTGAATGTCGCTTCCCAGCGTAACGGTCGGAACCAAAGCATAAGGTGTGTCAATGAATGTCAACGTGCCTGCTTCTAAGTTGATTCTAGATGCAGTGCCTGTTCCTTTGACGACATCAGTCATCAAATAGATATCCGGATGGACGTAGAAGCTAAATCTTTCTTCAGGAGTTGGATGCATACTGATGGGGCTTGGTTCTGGAGTGATGGTGGTTCTAGTGCTGTCTCCCTTGAAAAATGGGAAATCCAATATCAGTTTTATACTGTTATACTCAATGCAGAATGATCTTTGGGGGCCTATGAATAAAAGCACTCTCATTACCAAGTTGCTCTTACCCTCTTATATACTTTGCCTAGATGTAGAATATCACCTTCACTGCTACAGAACTAGGAATAGTGTCGAAGCCTTGTGTACTATTTACACGAATGATCTTTGTGCAATTGGTAGGCCCCCATGTTATCGTAATGTCCTTAGTACTTGCAATGATCCGGGGTATGATGCAGGTTGGTTACGTATTATCATGCCTGAGAGTGGATCGTATGTTCCCTAATCTATAGTTGAGATTACAGTCTCAGATTGCCTTACAATGCAATTCACTAATAGCGAATATAATGACTAGAGAATGCATTATCATTGGTTAGAGATAACAATGTTGCAATAAGTTTTTGACCACGCATTACAGCGGACTATGTAAAGAAAACATGTATCTATTAGCACACTGAATTGCCAAAGGCCGATAACATACCCTCCGCCCTGATTAGACAGAGTGGATGCTCCGGTCTTCTGTATTTTTATGCCAAAATATACTACGATGCTGCATCATATCTAGTTTATTGTTGGTAGATTAGAACTGATATGCCAGGTTCTTAGATCCACGTCGTAGTGGAATCGCTTGTGATTACCTATATGATGTAACTAGTTCATGGTCGTTGCTAGGATAACCTAGTCCCTGAGTTTTAGCATCTAAGGCGTCCAACAGTGCAATGCTAGCTGTTCTTGAGTCACAAAAGATTGTTGCAAAGTACCCCCTTTCGACTCACTATTCCTATGCTCTTTACCAAGAAGCATTTAAGATGTCGGAGATATCGCACGCTACTATCAAAGGTAAGCATTTATAAAAGTTCCTTTTCCTCGCGGAGAAATCATCCCTACATATCACTCCAATATGGATTGTAGTAGATTCTCAAGTTAGCGTTAGCTAGAGCATCAGTGAGTCGTGTCCTCTACCGTGCTAATTGATTCAGCAAGATGGCTGGTTTCACGAGATTTCTGAGATGTGGCCTGGGCAAGCCATGACTTTAAAAGTGAAGAAGGTCCTTCACCACGAGATATCAAAATATCAGGACATTCTGGCCTTCGAATCTTCCAACCATGGCACCGTCCTAGTTCTGGATAATGTCATTCAATGCACCTCACATGATGAGTTCGCCTATCAGGAGATGATAACGCACCTGGCTATGAATTCTCATATCAATCCAAAGAAAGTTTTGGTCATTGGTGGTGGTGACGGGGGCGTTCTACGAGAGGTTCTTAAGCATGATTGTGTTGAGGATGTTTTTCTATGCGAAATCGATGAGGTTGGTTGTCATTATTTCAGGCCGTAACGGAACACGCTAATATTATATACTCAGGCTGTTATCCGTATCTCCAGGACGTTCTTGCCAGACATGTCCATTTCGTATGGTAACCATAAAGTCAAGGTCAACGTCGAAGATGGTTTCAGGTTCCTCACAGATCGCAAAAACGAATTCGATGTAATTATAACCGATTCCTCGGATCCGAAAGGGCCAGCAGAGAATTTATTCCAGAAGCAATATTTTGAGCTCCTCTATGGAGCTCTGAAGGAAGGTGGTGTTATTACTACTCAAGGTTAGTCATAAGTATACTTATGTCGCACCTTCTTTTAGGTGGAAGCTTTCCTGTGAACTGTGTGATTTAGACTACACCAACTTCATGTCTAAATGGATGTTGATACTAGCCTTGTATTTTTGGGTCATTGGGCTCGCAGTACCCATTGTCTTCTCCTTACCTCACCAAGGAATATTTTTCGATTCACCTATCATCTTACTGACTCGTCTCACAGCTGGAAGTCTATGGCTCGATTTGCCCTTGATCGTCAAGCTAAAATCTCAATGCAGAGAAGTCTTTCCAATTGTCCAATACGCTTACACAACCGTCCCAACCTATCCATCGGGCCAAATAGGGTTTATGGTTTGTTGTAAGAATGCTAGTCAAAATGTTAAGGAGCCTGTTCGCTCGTTCCCAATCGAGAAGGAGAATGTTTGCAGGTATTATAACGCTGCTATTCATCGCGCGAGCTTTATCCTACCCACGTTTGCTATGGCTCTGTTGGGGTAAGGGATGCTAGTGGGGGTTTCTTGGTGGGATGTTGTACTTCCCTATCTGTGCAGTCTTGACTTATTTACTGGAGGCGAGGAATAATGGTGTAGGCTATGAGTTTAATGCTTCATAAGCCTTAACGCCCATTGTTATCATCTCCACACTCCAATTAGATGATAGCAAAGACCATAATCTCTTTTCTTCATTAGATAATGATCTTTGTGAATAACCATCTAAACTGGACTTGCTATTGCAACTTCTTCTCGTTAATAACTAATCCTAAACAAATGAGGACGCCCATACTAGCTAAAGTTACAAATACGATTTCCAAGCCCATATATCCCGCCAGGCCCTCTGCAGCAGTAAGAAAGAAAGGCGTTACCACGATGCTAATTCCCATTAAGCCCGTGATGATCCCGTAACCAATTATTGTCAGGTCGTTTCCAGGTAACCTGTTCTCCACTACCGGCCAGTCTGAGGGAGTACTTAGCAAATGATCTGAATCGAGATTTCTCTCTTCCTCCGGTGCAACATCTGGGTTGTTTTCCATCGGAATGCACTCTTGTTCCAGGGGAAGTTCACCCAAAATTGGAACTTGAAGAATGCTCACAGAAACGCTTGCCCATATGCCAGCTGAGAATAGTGCATTTCCAATAGCAATTAGGGATAAAGGAAGTATTGGCTCTTTGTAGTTCGCCAAGAAGAGAACATGTGCAACAAGCATCAATACCTGGGAGTAGAGAAGCGCAAGAGAATAGTTCCTTAGTATTGGAATCTCGAGCAGCATTCCAAGAAACATAGGCATAACTCCTCCCACGAAATGTACAATACTGTTTCCCTCATTAGAACTGATTATGTGACTATATGAATGCGGTAATACCTAACAGCGAGGCCTGCAATAGTCTGGTTGTCGGCATAGAACTTAGACGCGATGAATCGCTGAGCGGAGTTGAAGAAAGGAAGTAAACAAGCGTATCCTGTCAGACAGATGGACGCGATATACCAATAACTTCGTGGAAGGCGACGGATAGACTCGATGAATTTCTCCTCCCCTTCTTTCCTTGAAGATTCTTCAACATCAGCGATCACCACGTATAAAGCACTAAGAGCGACAAGTACGAGAGCCAACGCGCTGGAAAACCAGGTAGCTTCTAAGGCCCCGTAGGTATCTGTCAATCGTGGAGTTAAGTTCGAGTTAGCGACGCTACCTAGAGAAGAGATGCTCTCATATATAGCCATTGCTAGGCCCGTCGCATCCCCACTAACAGGTGAAGATTAGTATAAGACCTGAGCTGCCAATATGCAACTGGACATCCAGGACGGAATCTGACTCACGGAAACCATCTTGTAACAATTTCGGTCCCCAGTACTCCTAGTACCTCGCCTCCCATCCCTAAGATCACGCGTGAAATGACCAATCCTGTCGTCGATCTGAATTGTACACCGACACAGAATCCCAGCTGGCTACCAAATACTGCGGCTAAACAGCAGAACAATAGCCGTCTAGCACCATATTTCTGGATAACTGGACTCGAAAAGAAAGGTAGCACGATGCTCGGTACAGCAAAGGCTATATAAAGGGACGAGAGGAGATATGTGTATTGGGGATTCGATAGAGCGAGGTAAAGTTGTAACTCGATAGAGAGAGCCGAAGGCAAGTCATAGACTATAATCCGTTATTAGATTGATGGTGTTTCGGGAATTGAGCAGGAGTTTGTGTGTACACACTCCAATAGACGCCCAAGTACATGCAAGACACAGCAACGAGAATACTATAGCGTATTAGCGCCTGTTTTGTGACGGCCATGTCGGTTCTTCTCACGGATTCCATGGACAGCATGAAGACTTCGAGATTGGTGACAGAATAGAGGCTGACAGGAAGATGAGAAGCAAAACAATTGACAGGATTACTTAACGGCTATACCGGATATGATTATTGCAGCGCATAATCCCACTCGGCTGCCCTTATTGGATAGCTGGCTTTCCTCGCAATAAGGATTTGCCAAGATTCTCCTTTACTACCTTGTCATGCAAGATCCTACTTAGTAGGGGTGTTGCAAGACATGTTAAATCAGGTGCAGCAACATCCTATTATTACAAAGCTCAGTCAGCCTGTCATTACACTTGCTTATTAAAGTTAATATAGAAACACTATAAACATATAAATTATAATATACTACTTTTAACTAATTAAAATATAAGAATTCTTATTCTGACTAATGAATTTATATACTCATTTAGAGTCATACTACATTGTAAATTATACAGTAAATTAGTAATGATAAGTCATATTACTTCTAAATATATAATTATATATATGTATATATTTAACTTTTAAATTATTAACTGTATAATATACCTTTAAAAGCCTCTAATCCACTATAATATTTAAATATAATAATTAGTATTATTTTTCATATTTTTTATTGTCGGAACRTCGATATCAACCCCGGATATCTGACCCCGGCATCCAGCAACTACGCACCCACCATACGTGCTCCAGTGAATGGTCATTCCTTACCAAAGCACGTACGCGTTGTTTATATATCACCAAACCCCTAACATCCCCTTTCATAGCAATTAGATATGAATTAGGAATTAAATATTAATCTTTTTATATTTTACCTTTTAAGCTTGTCAGACTAGTTTATTCTTAATTTAATTAAGCTAATCTTAGACTAAATAAACTAATATTAATTAGTATATAGATTAGATTCTTTATATCTAACTTATTATCTTTAATTTATATATATTTATTTATTTATAAATCATCTACTACTTTTAATATTAAATCTTAAATATTAAAAATAATAATARYAYATAATCTAAYTAAYRYAGATTTTAAYCTTAAAARTAARAAYTAGAAARTATTAAATATCTATATYYTTATAAAGTATAATTTATATAAGAATTAATATAATATATTTTTTTTAGGAAAAATAGATAAGACTTTAARAAATAAATYTTTAARAAYTTTAAATAAGTCTTATTTYTATATTTTAATAGCYTTATTATATAACTCTATATTAATAGTATATATATTAATACTAGTAACTCTAGCTAGATATTAGAGATAATATATATAATAATATAAAAATTAAATATAARRCTATARAYTAAAATAAATATTAAATATTATYTTAATAYTAATAAGARYTTCTATTTATAAAYYCTTATTTAAAAGTAATTTATTATAATTCTTATTTTATATAATACTCTTAAATCTATACTAGCGTTAAAAATAACTACTTTAAAGATATTAATTATTCTATTCTATMCTTATAATATTAGATTAAAATTAATTATTAAATTATTATAAGAATTTATTTTTATCTTAATTTRTATAAGTCTTATATCTAATATTAAAAATATTATTATATTAATYTTTAYTAAGAATYCTAGTYCTATATAAATTATATCTAGATTAACATCTTTATTAAAGCTCTATATTAAAGATATAAAGTATAAAAAAAGTAATAACTTATTTAATTTTAAGCTAGATATCTTTTAAGATTACTATTATTATATCTATTTATTATATATATTAAAGATATATAGACTAATATTTCTTATTATACTTTATAGTGTCGTAAACTGGTGATTTGTAATCGTCTAGATCAGAGTAAACTCGTCACTTAACGGCAGTTAGGTGGTATTCTGTTTAGGAAAGGGCAGTATACCTAAGTAATAACAAGAGAGCTTTTAGTTAACTAGATCTATGAGCAATAATATACTCAAGGTTAAACAGTTAATTCAAGACAGTAAGTAAAACTAACTAAGAGGGCAAGTGAGTGTCTTTATATACTTGAGGGATTCCTGATGGAGGGCAGCACATAATGTACTCCCGATACAATATGATGTACCTCAGTGTCAAAGAATCAGAACGTCACAGCCAATAGATAATAGTTCCCGCACTAGTTATGTAAGCAGGAAATAGCCTGTTCCAACAGCTGTTTCACTAATAACAATTCTACTATATAACTACCAATCATAGGAAATAGATCTAGTAAAATAGAAGCCAAGAACAGCCTTTTATAGGAATAGGGATCTTAGAACAGGAGACTTAAGAACTAGTGATTCTTAAATAAGAAGTCTTAAGATGGGCTAATTCTTAGGAATTAAGTTATAGGATAGTCACGGACAAAAGATACCTAGTGATATAAGATAATAAATTTATAAAATATATCTTAAATATACTCTAAGTATACCCTAGGTATACTATATCATATCTAAGGTATATTATATTGTATTGGGAGTATATTATATACTACCCTCCATCAAGAATCCCTTAAATATATAAAGACACTCACTTGCCCTTTTAATTAGTTTTACTTACTGTCTTGAATTAACTGTTTAATCTTAAGTATACTATTACTCATAGATCTAGTTAACTAAAAGCTCTCTTATTATTACTTAGGCATACTACCCTTTCCTAAACAGAATACCACCTAACCGCCGTTAAGTGACGAGTTTACTCTGATCTAGACGATTACAAATCACCGGTTTACGACACTCAGATATGATATGGTATACC